CTAGTCTCAGACGTTTGTTGGGGAGACCTAGGTTTTTGGGGGAGTTATTTGTCCTGTCTTCATGCTTTTTATGATGGAGGACCGCTGTAGCCACCCCCAACGACACGTTCTCAAGATGGAGGGGGAGGGAACAGCTGCAGTCGCCTGCGGTTCCTGCGCAATATTTGCCATCTTGCCAAATGTTGCAGGCAGCTTTACCTGCAGCAATTGCATGTTGATTGCCCTCTTAGAAGACAAAGTCCAGCAACTGGAGGAACGTGTAGCTACGCTCCAAAGAATTAGAGAGCTGGAGCTCTTCTTGGAAGCAACAGAGCACACCGTCTCCACCAAGGAGGAGACAGGGGACTCCCTGAGAAGGAGGCTAGTTCACCAACACAGGAGCCAGATATATGGAGAAACGTGACTCAAAGAAGTAGGAGGCCCAGGGTTCGCTCTGATTGTTTAGAAATACACAATCGCTTTGAGGTCCTCTCCCCTAGCATGGAAGATGAAGAGCAGACTCCATTTGAGGATCTCTCCCTCATTACAGTCAATCAGGTATATGAGGACGAGCAGCAAAGTGTGTGAAGGCGACCTTGGAACAGACAGCTCACGGAAGAACCCCGACCAAACCTAAGAGGAGGCGTGTAGTGGTGATAGGGGATTCCCTACTGAGGGGAACAGAAGCAGTGATCTGTGGGCCTGACAAGATGTCTCGGGAAGTGTGCTGTCTCCCCGGGGCTAAGATCCAAGATGTAACTGAACGACTGCAAGGAATCATAAAACCCACTGACAAATACCCCTTCCTCTTGGTTCATGTGGGAACCAATGACACTGCAAGCAATAGCCTCCAGAAGATCAAAAGAGACTACGAGGCTCTGGGCAGGAAATTGAAGCAATTAAATGCACAAATTGTGATCTCATCTGTCCTCCCAGTTGAACGACGTGGCCCAGGGAGAGAGGGGAAATAGTGGAAGTGAACAGCTGGCTTCGCAAATGGTGTAAACAGGAACGGTTTGGATTCTTAGATCACGGACTGCAGTTTCTTGAAGATGGACTTCTAGCAAGCGATGGGCTGTACCTCACAACGGTTGGGAGGAATGTTTTTGCCAAAAATCTCAGAAACCTCATCAGGAGGGCTTTAAACTGACTAATGTGGGGGAGGGAGACAGTGCTCCTGAAGGTAGGAGTCTATCAATTGATGAAGATGATCATCCAAATGTCATAGACCAAATGGAGCAAACAGCACGCAGACCTAGTGGTGGGAGGAAAAAAATCCTTAAATAAGAGGCACGGGGGAATGATTAATGGACTTCAATGTCTGTACACTAATGCGCAAAGCATGGGAAATAAACAAGATGAGCTTGAGCTCTTGGTACAGCAAACTAAATATGACATAATAGGCATCACTGAAACCTGGTGGGATAAGTAATAATGGAGGGATACAATCTATTTCAGAGAAACAGACCAGACAAGAAAGGAGGAGAAGTGGCGTTATATGTCAGGGATGTGTATACCTGTGAAGAGAGCCAAGATTTAGAACCTCAAAGCCAAAGTGAGAGCATTTGGGTCAAAATTAAGGGAGAGAAGAATAACAGTGACCTCATTGTGGGAGTTTACTATAGATCCCCAAGCCAAACGGAGGACATAGATGATGCCTTCCTGGAACAGATGGCCAAGTATGCAAAAGGAAGGGAGATAGTAGTAATGGGGGACTTCAATTACCCGGATATTTGTTGGATGTCAAACTCAGCCAAGAGCATAAGGTCAAACAGATTCCTCACTGGCCTTGCAGACAACTTCATTGTCCAGAAAGTGGGAGAAGCAACAAGAGGAACAACCATTTTAGATCTGGTCCTAACCAATGTTGATGACCTGGTTAGTGGGGTAGAAGTGGAAGGATCATTAGGTGCGAGTGATCATGCTCTTCTGAAATTTAATATACAGCGGAAAGGAGCAGCCAAGCACACTAGGACTCAATTTCTTGACTTTAAGAAAGCCGACTTCATAAAACTTAGGGAAGTGCTGGGTGAGATCCCATGGACAGTAATACTAAAAGGAAAGGGAGTTCATGATGGCTGGGAGTTTGTTAAGAGGGAGATAGTAAAAGCACAACGTCAGGCAATACCAATGAGACGGAAACATGGAAGGTGCCTAAAGAAGCCAGGGTGGCTATCTAAAGAACTTTTAACTGAGTTAAGATTAAAAAGGATGTGTACAAAAAATGGAAAAGGGGGGAAACCACCAAAGAGGAATTCAAACAAATAGCCAACACGTGTAGACACAAAGTCAGAAAAGCTAAAGCACAGAATGAACTCAGGCTTGCTAGAGAGGTTAAAAGCAACAAAAAAGGCTTTTATGGGTATGTTCGTAGCAAAAGGAAGAACAAAGAAACAGTGGGGTCACTCAGAGGAGAAGATGGTGAAATGCAAACAGGGGACACAGAAAGGGCTGAACTCCTCAATGCCTTCTTTGCCTCTGTCTTCTCCGATAAGGAAAACAATGCCCGACCTGAAGAATTTGGAGCAAATGATTCAGCAGAGGAAACACAGCCCAGAATAACTAAGGAGATAGTACAAGAATACTTGGCTAGTTTAGATGTATTCAAGTCACCAGGGCCAGATGAACTGCATCCAAGAGTATTAAAAGAACTGGCAGATGTGATCTCAGAACCACTGGCAGTCATCTTTGAGAATTCCTGGAGAACAGGCGAAGTCCCGGCAGACTGGAGGAGGGCAAATGTTGTCCCTATTTTCAAAAAGGGGAAAAGAGAGGACCCAAATAATTACTGCCCAGTCAGTCTGACATCAATACCAGGGAAGATTCTGGAGCAGATCATTAAGCAAACAGTCTGTGAGCACCTAGAAAGGAATGCTGTGATCACCAATAGTCAGCATGGATTTCTGAAAAATAAGTCATGTCAGACTAACCTGATCTCGTTTTTTGACAAAATTACAAGCCTGGTAGATGAAGGGAATGCAGTGGATGTAGCCTACCTTGATTTCAGCAAGGCATTTGACAAGTTGCCCCATGATATTCTTGTAAAGAAGCTGGTAAAATGCGGTCTTGACTATGCTACCACTCAGTGGATTTGTAACTGGCTGACTGACCAAACCCAAAGGGTGCTCATCAATGGTTCCTCTTCATCCTGGAGAAGAGTGACTAGTGGGGTGCCCCAGGGTTCTGTCTTGGGCCCGGTCTTATTCAACATCTTTATCAACGACTTGGATGATGGACTCAAGGGCATCCTGATCAAATTTGCAGATGACACCAAACTGGGAGGGGTGGCTAACACCCCAGAGGACAGGATCACACTTCAAAACGACCTTGACAGATTAGAGAACTGGGCCAAAACAAACAAGATGAATTTTAACAGGGAGAAATGTAAAGTATTGCACTTGGGCAAAAAAATGAGAGGCACAAATACAAGATGGGGGACACCTGGCTTGAGAGCAGTACATGTGAAAAGGATCTAGGAGTCTTGGTTGACCACAAACTTGACATGAGCCAACAGTGTGACGCGGCAGCTAAAAAAGCCAATGCAATTCTGGGCTGCATCAATAGGAGTATAGCATCTAGATCAAGGGAAGTAATAGTGCCATTGTATTCTGCTCTGGTCAGACCTCACCTGGAGTACTGTGTCCAGTTCTGGGCACCACAGTTCAAGAAGGACATTGACAAACTGGAACGTGTCCAGAGGAGGGCAACCAAAATGGTCAAAGGCCTGGAAACGATGCCTTATGAGGAACGGCTAAGGGAGCTGGGCATGTTTAGCCTGGAGAAGAGGAGGTTAAGGGGTGATATGATAGCCATGTTCAAATATATAAAAGGATGTCACATAGAGGAGGGAGAAAGGTTGTTTTCTGCTGCTCCAGAGAAGCGGACACGGAGCAATGGATCCAAACTACAAGAAAGAAGATTCCACCTAAACATTAGGAAGAACTTCCTGACAGTAAGAGCTGTTCGACAGTGGAATTTGCTGCCAAGGAGTGTGGTGGAGTCTCCTTCTTTGGAGGTCTTTAAGCAGAGGCTTGACAGCCATATGTCAGGAGTGCTCTGATGGTGTTTCCTGCTTGGCAGGGGGTTGGACTCGATGGCCCTTGTGGTCTCTTCCAACTCTATGATTCTATGATTCTATGACTTGCAGGGTTATTGCAATTACAGATGGAATGGAAATATTTCAAGGAGAGAAGGTGTCCAAAGTCGCCTCAGTAGGGTGGATGGAGAGTTCAACAAGACTTCATCCCAGGTTGAAGGAGTGTGGAAGATTCCATGGTATGTCCCTGGTTGCAACTCACAGCAGCCATTCACTGGGACCATCCTCCCACGTCACAGATTGCAACTCCCTGTTGTCCAGAGGCCCAGAACCTTCATGTTAAGGTCTGCCTGGAAGTAAGGGAGGTGGGAGAGCAGAGCGCACTGCTTCTGCCACCAGGACACTTACAATGCCAGTTTCCTCTCATTCTCCGGTAATCACTAAAATTGTTAGCTGGGTCTGAAACTTTGCACACACAGCAAAACATCCAGCAATTCCTTCCCTGCAGATAAAGGTTGAGGCTATGGAGCTGGGTTTGGATTGGAGAGGCAGTGCCATCTCTCAGCCTGACCTACCTCACAGGAATGTTGTGAGGACAAAATGGGGAGGAGGAGAATTGTGAATGCTGCCTTGAGCTCCTTGTAGAGAAGGGAGGGGGGATATAAATGTAATAATAATGAGGAGAAATGGTGGCGGCAGCGGCACCTAGGGCCTCAGAGGGAGTCTGTGGCAGAGGCACAGTTTGGGCTGCGGCTTCCTCTTTGCCACTGAAGCCACACCAGCTCTTGTGGCCACGGACATGCCTCCTTTGATAGGCGGCTCCCGCCTTCCTTTGATCCACCGCATCTCTTCCCAGTGGCTGCTCTGTGGCAGGTGGGGGGGGGTGCCCACTCCATCTGGCCCTCCCCTTCTGGGGTCTGCCTTCCCCTTCACCAACTTCTTCAGCTGAAATCCTGCAGGGGCGTTCAGGAGACGCAGCAGGAGGATGTCTGCTCCTCCAGCTGAGTTCCTCATCACCGGGCAGGCTGCTCTGGCAAACCCTAGCCCAGCACCCCTCCTCACCCAGGCAGACTCCAGGGACAAGTGGAGGAAAAAGATGGATTTCCTTTTGTCAGTGATAGGATTTGCCGTGGATCTGGGCAACGTCTGGAGGTTCCCTTATATCTGCTACCAGAATGGAGGTGGTAAGGAGACGGGGTGTGATTTTGGGCTCTCTCCTACCCCATCCCCTTCTAAACAGTTAACTGCTTCCCACTTTAATTGTGGGAGTCTTATTAATGCCTTGCCTGGGATCCCACATTTTCTGTTTCTAACTAGGGTTTCAATACTTGTCTTAACTTTGCAGAATCCTTCTTCATTCCCCATCATTTTTTTATCCTTTCCTGCTTGACAGCTTCTTTCCCCATCAATGCCACTCCTGGCTGAATCAGAAGTTTCGAGTTTCTGAATGGAAGGAACCGCTCTTAAGAGCAGGGTGCAGCATTAAAAAAACCCTCTTACAAAAAATGGATATAAAATCTGCCCCAGGAGTTCTTTTCATTGCATAGTTTACATTGAATTAGCCCCTCTAGGACTGTGTCAGTTACATGTTTCTAAGCCAACTTCCCTAATTTCAGCCACTTACTCTTTATAACCTTTTTCTTCTTTGAAAAGTGTTTCAAAAAGCTACTGTGACATTCCATGATAATAAAACTGGTTCAGGGAAGGAGATTGATGCGTCCATGTCAAAGACCATATCTGAGAGCCAGTGTGGTATGATAGATAGAGTGTCAGAGTAGGACCTGGGAGAGACCAGGGTTCAAATCCCCACTTGGCCAAGCCGAGCTTACCTTACATGGCTGTTATGAAGATTAAATGCAGAGAAGAAGGACCATGTATGCCACCTTGAGCTCCTTGGAAAAAGGTAAGTGACCTTCAGACATGGCATACATGGCTTTGTTTGGAACATTCAGATGCACAAAGAATACACTAGTTTGGTTGACAGATAGGAATAGTTTTTGTTGAAAATGGTGTTAAAATAGAGGCACTGAAAAGCAGCCAATTTTTCTCCTTTTATTGCAAAGTCTGAGGCTTTGTCTTTTGGAGGGCTCCAAATGACAGGCTCCAAATGCCACATTCTTCCTGGCTCTGCAGCTGTTCTACAAGTCAATATAATGCAGGAGATTAGTTTGTTTGTTTGTTTTTTAAAGAAATGTGTGGGTTTTTTAAAAATTCCAAGGAGCTGTCCATGGTATTGGGCATTCCTGGAATAACTAGCACACAAGAATGTAGAAAGCTGTGTTGGATTATTAGAAAAATAATCCAAAATCTACAGTCTGGTGACACCTTTATCGGAGCCAACACAAATGTTGCAAGATAGTGAGTAAACCTGCTCATGACTCAGCAACATTTTATGCCTAATACAAGGTATTCTCATTCTACAGATCTTGCAATAAAGAACATGCTCTCTCTTCTTATCCCTCTAATTTTAATTTGAACTATTCATGCCTCCTAGCATGGCTTCCATTTTTTATGCAATCAAGCTATTTAAAATACAAAAAATAAAATAAAAATGGAACTGAGTCAGGAGGAGGGAATCAACATGATCTGGTCAGCAAACCTTGGGAAGGACCAAGACTCAGTGGCAGAGCACCCACAATGCACGCAGACAGTCCCGAGTTCAATCCCCAACAGTATCTCTAGGAAAGACTGGCAGAGACTCCCTCTCTGAAACCCTGGGGAGCCTCTGCTAGTCAGTATTGACACTACTGAGCTCGATGGATGGTGGTCTGACTCAGTATGAGGTGGTATGTTTCAAGGGCTATCACATGGAAGATGGAGGAAGCTTGTTTTCTCCAGCTTACAAGGAAGGAGATTCCAATTAAACATCAGGAACAACTTTCTGACAGTAAGAGCTGCTTGACCGTGGAACAGTCTCCCTTAGAAGGTGGTGGATTCTCCTTCCTTGGAGGTTTCTAAGCAGAGTTGGATGGCCGTCTTTTAACGTTTGGTTGAGTTCTCCAGGTACCTTTTAAGCCCTTCTCCCTGGCAGAGATGTAGATGAGTGACATCCATCCCCACACATGCACAGCAGACTTGCCCATGACAGTCGCACCTAATGGTGCTTCCTCTGGGTGCATCCATCAACTATCCCCAGTGTTGTGGGGTGTGCATTTCTCCCCAACACAACAGATTATGTCTTTGGTACAAAAGCACTGGTGTACCAACAATGCAGTGAATGTTGCTCATTAGGACTGCAGTCTCAGAGTGATCCACCCTTTATAGGGAAGAGGAGGCTTTATCACAGGGGACCCACTGCCCACCCCGGGTCTTTCATTCAGACCATGAGTTATTCATATCACTGGGAGGGGGCAAAGCATATTCATGAAACTCTCTCTCCTCTCAGCTGTCCCTCCATCCCCACTGGGCTGCAGGGATTCTTGCCTGAGGTGCTGGCTGCCTTGCACCCACTCACAACATTTTTATAATTTCTCTCACCCAGTCCACAGCTGACTTGACTGTCTCACAGCCAAGACTTTTTTGCTTGTGGGGAGATGGAGGCCAGGTCTTTCCTGGTGGCCCTGGATCCAGCAGCACAGGAGGAAACACCTGTTAAGGCCCTGCCCTGCCCAGACCCCCTCAAACAGCCTTTCTGTTCTCTCCTCACAGGAGCTTTTCTCATCCCATACATCTTGATGGCCGTTTTCGGAGGGGTGCCTCTCTTTTACATGGAGCTGGCTCTCGGACAGTTTCATCGGGTAGGAGCTATACCCATTTGGAAGCACATCTGCCCCATCTTTAAAGGTAAAAACCAGCCAAACAAGCAAGGATGAAAATTATAAGATTCTTTGAGCTATGGGCTTGCTTTTTTTCTCCTCCCTCCCTTCCCTCTTTCATTGTGTGCCGCGTCCCAGAGGAAAGTGGTTAGCCACTCATCTTAGTCATAATAAATAACAAGATGAAAGATGAAAAAATCATTTTAATCATTCCAGTGGCACCTTAAAGATCATCTAATATAAGCTTTCAAGGCATGAGTTTTCGTGTGTAATACACTCATCTTAGATTCACATCAAACCCAATCCCCATGGAGGGGGGGATGGTGTGGGATTCAGGTCATTCAAGTTTTTTATACCCTGTCCATCCAGCTGGGTTGCCCAAGCCACTCTGTCCAGCTTCCAACACATATAAAATCATAATAAAATATCAAAGGTTTAAAACCTCCTGATACAGGGCTGCCTTCAGATGTCTTCTAAAAGTTCTATAGCTATTTATCTCCTTAACATCTGATGGGCACCACCACCAGAAGACCCTTGGAGCTGGACCTCAGTGTCCAAGCTAAATGACGATGTCATTTAGGACTTTAAAGCACCAACATTGTCATAGTAGAGCTCAGTGGAGGGAAAAACCAGCCAACCAGCCATATCTTAGGGGAGTACTTGCCTGGAGGAAGAGTCCATATGCAAGGTTCAGTTCAGTCCTAAGGTCAGGAATATCTCAGTTTACATAGTCAGACAATCCGGGGGTCAAGAAAATCGAGGGCCCAAGGTCTTGAGAAGCAAGAGGCAGCAAGATATGGCCAGGAAGACAAATGTTGTTTCCAGCAAATGACTGAGACTGGAAACCATGCTTAAGAAAGTTGGAGCGAGCTGGTTCTCATCATGACACACATTTTGAATTGTACTTGGAAATGTACTGGGAGCCAGTGAAGATCTTTTAGGACTGGTGTTATATGGTCTCAGTGGCTGCTCCCAGTCACCAGTCTAGCTGCCACATTCTGGATTAATTGCAGTTTCCGGGTCACCTTCAAAGGTAGCCCCACGTAGAGTGCATTGCAGTAGTCCAAGCAGGAGATAACCAGAGCATGCACCACTCTGGCCAGACAGTCTGCAGGCAGGTAGGGTCTCAGCCTGCATACCAGGTGTTGGTAGACAGCTGCCCTAGGTACAGAATTGACCTGTGCCTCCATGGACCGCTGTGAGTCCAAAATGACTCCCAGGCTGCACACTTGGTCCTTCAGGGGCACAGTTACCCCCTTCAGAACCAGGGAGTCCCCCCAATCCCTGCCCTCCAAGGTGCTGTTTTGCTCTCCACGCAGGTATCGGTTTTGCCATCTGCATCATTGGCCTGTATGTCTCATTCTACTACAACACCATCATTGCCTGGGCCCTGTATTACTTCTGTTCATCCTTCACCCACACCTTGCCCTGGACCAGCTGTGACAACCCCTGGAATACGCCCAACTGCACCAGCTATTTTGGGAAGAGCAACGTCACCTGGACCAACCACTCCAAGTCGCCAGCTGAGGAGTTTTACGTGTAAGTTCGTGTCATCTCCTGCATTTATATGGTTTTGTCAACATTTGCAAATTCTGCCTGAACCCCCTCCCTCCCTCCCTTCCTATCTCTCATCTCTCATTCACTAGTTTTTCCTGCTTTTATTAACTGTTATTTTGTCTTTTCGGTGGTTAGAAATGTTGCAACGGTACAATAATAGTAGCACGCTTCTCTTGTTTCCTCTCCATGACCCTTCAAAATATCCTCTGCAGGGCTATCAAAGGCATAGTAGGCACAGTAGCCTGCCCTCTCTTGCATCTCTCAAGCTTGTGGCCTTGCAGGTGTCAATGGACCACAGTTCCTATCATCGCTGACCATGTTAGGCTGGTGCAAGGGACTGATGGGAGCTGGAATCCAACAACATAGAACCATAGCATTGTCGAGTCAAAGGGGACCCTAAGGGTCATCTGTTCCAACGCCCTGCAGTGCAAGAATCAGAGTTACATGGAACCCGCTGGGTGGAAAGCCACCGGAGGGGAGAGGACTCTTGGGCTCAGGTCCTGCTTGTCCGTTTCCCTTGAAGGCATCTGATTGGCCACCCTGAGAACAGGATGCTGGGCTAGGTGGGCCATTGGTCTGATCCAGCAGGCTCTTCTGATGCTCTTAAGATCTGGAGGGCCACCCACCAGGGTTCCCGGTTCCTCCTTCAGAGCCTCTGCAACCATGTTTGCTCTGAGCTAAGTCCCATTGGCTTCAGTGGTGCTTACGATTGCACCCTTGACCATTTGTGTGTACAAGGAGAGCCTGCTCTGGTGACAAGTGAGGCGCTCAGGGCGATGGCACTCTGATGTTTCCACTTGTTTCTCTCTTTCACTGACCCAAGGGTTTCTGTCTGCCTCAGGAGGAAGGTTCTGGAGCTCCAGAACTCGCAGGGCCTGTCCAACGTGGGAGGCATCCGTTGGCAGCTGCTCCTCTGCCTCTTCCTCATCTTCACCATTGTCTACTTCAGCCTTTGGAAAGGGGTAAAGACCTCTGGGAAGGTAACAGATGCTTTGACTCCCTTCTGTCCAGGCTCCTGGAGGTGGGCAGATCAAGGAGGGGAAAATGTCTCAGCTATACATTCTGCACTGGCCTCTGAAGGGACATTGTCCTACCTGCAAGTAGCACCCCACCCCATGGCAGCAAATATTTGACCCACCCCCCAGCTGACCGGCACCACTTCTGAGGTGTTTCTCCAGCCCCCTGTGGCTGACAGCAGTGGTGGGAGAGGTGAGGATTAGAGAGGGGCAATGTGCCAAGTGGGAACAGGAGCAGCTAGCAGCAAAGCCTTCATGGTGCTCACGGCTCCCAAACTCTGGGACCTTCCACTTGCTGAGGTGCCAAGACCTCACCACCAGCTGAGATTCAGGAGGTAGTGCAAACCTTTCCTCCTCTTCTACCCCAACCATCAAGCTTTTGAATCAATTTTGCTTTGTTCTCTGGCTGGTTTCCTTTCTTGTTTTATGAGGAATTGTTTTGCTTTAAAAAGTTATCACTCTGATTTATAATAATCTTTTGTTTTATTTTTAATGATTTGCTCACTGCTCCGAGGATAGTTACATGGGGCATGCAAAGAGAGGAGATTGGCTGAACAGATTTAAATAGATCTGCCTGAATCTGTGTGTTTCCTGCAATTCCACAGTGGGCGTGTGGGTACCAAATTCTGCACTGTTAAGCATCTTCATTTTCGTTTTGAAAGCAAAGAAATAGCTTCCTAGCCCTTAAGCTTGAAACATTTACAATAATCCCCGATGAAAGAGTCCAGAGCCCAAAGGAGAAGGGGCTGAGCAGGATCCCCAGAGAAGAGGGAGGGAGGCCCTCAGGGCAGCCCTGCTTGGCTCCTGGATTGGCAGGAGGGATCCGAATAAATGGTGCAAAACAAGCCAATTGGAATAATTTGACCAATTACAGCATCCAGTTGTGCTTGATCCAGGATGCCAAAACCCCCTTTTCAAAATAAAAACAATAGTTGCAATGATGATTATGATGATAAACATCCTACTGGGGAGATATGTAGGAATTACTCCAAGGGAGAACCATGGTAATTTGACCTTTCTGATGGATTGGCCATAAACCACAAGTGAGGGGGAGGGTGCAGGAGATTCACTTAGAAAATCTGGGAACTTGGCGTTTTGGGGGAACAAGGAAGGGATGCACAGCTGGCCCTGCCCACTGCAGCCCCTTTGCTGCCTTCCAGGTGGTGTGGGTGACAGCCACCCTGCCCTACGCTGTCTTGCTCATCCTGCTGATTCGTGGAGCGACTCTGCCAGGAGCCTGGAGAGGGATCGTCTTCTACCTGCGACCCAACTGGGAGAAGCTCACCAGCACAGCCGTAAGCCAGCACGATGGCTGCCTCATAAGGCCATGATACAAATTGATGGTGCAGCCACATTTGGAATACTGTGCCCAGTTCTGGTCACCTCACCTCCAAAGGGATGTTGTAGAGCTAGAAAAGGTTCAGAAAAGGGCAACTGACAGAGGTTTATAAAATTAGGCAAAACATGGAGAAAAGGTTTTCTCCCAATCTCAGAGCACTAGAACCCTGGTCCTCCAATGAAGCTGAATGCTGGAAGATTGGGGAGAGATAAAAGGCAATGGATGGCACTGTGGTCTAAACCACTGAGCCTAGGGCTTGCCGATCGGAAGGTCAGTTGTTCGAATCCCCGTGACGATGGGGTGAGCTCCCATTGCTCGGTCCCTGCTCCTGCCAACCTAGCAGTTCGAAAGCACATCAGAGTGCAAGTAGATAAATAGGTACCACTCCGGCGGGAAGGTAAACGGCGTTTCCGTGCACTGCTCTGGTTTTGCCAGAAGCGGCTTAGTCATGCTAGCCACACGACCAGGAAAAACTGTCTTTGGACAAACGTCGGCTCCCTCGGCCAGTAAAGCAAGATGAGCGCCGCAACCCCAGAGTCGTTCATGACTGGACTTAACTGCCAGGGGTCCTTTACTACCTTTTTTTACTTCATGTAGTGCAGAGTTAAACTATGGAACTCCCTGCCACAGGAGACCATGGTGGCCACCAACCTGTCTGACTTAAAAGAGGATTAGACAAATTCATGGAGGAGGAGAGGGTTATTGATGGCTACTAGCCAGAATGACTGTGCTCTGTCCTCATGGTTTGTGGCAGCAATGCTTCTGAATCCCAGTTGCTAGAAGCCACAGGAGGCGAGAAGGCTCTTGTGCTCAGGTCCCACTTGCTGGTTTCCCACAGGCACTTGAGAACTGGATGCTTGACTAGATGCGCCCCTTTGCGCCTGATCCAGCCAGCTCTTCTTATGGTCTTATGCTTCTTGCACAGCTGCACAATATAGTGAAGGCTGCCACTTTTGCTCGCTGGCTGGGCTCCTGTGCCTTGACCAGATGTGCGTCAGGTTGGCCATCAGCAAGAAGCAGCAAAGTGACTTCGTATGCAGAGGTGGCCCACCTGATGCAGTGCTGAAGCTCCTTGGGGCCTTAAGGAAGCTTTCCAAATTCTATGTGTTCCTCCCACTCCAGAACAAGCACCAGGAAAACGGCATAGAGGTTTTTCTCAGCCTGGGCCTGAGCCCTTTCCTTTAACTAACCAGAAGCAGGTTGCAAACGAGCTACTATGGCAGCCCCAAGGGGCACCTTGCACTGCCAGGCCAGCTGCCCTGCCCGAGCCTCTGAGCAAGCTGGCTGCTGGCGTCCCATCTGCCATTTCAAAGCCAGCCTTAAGTATTCCATACTGATATGAGAGCATTGCATAATGCAGTGTTATGTTAATGATTACCAGAATATGACAACACCCTTTCCCAGATTGCATCTGATGCTCTAGCAGCACACCTACCCAAGTGGACAGAGACACTCCCACCCCATGGAGCAACAGGGAGGAGAGGCTTGCAGTGGACAGAATCAGGGGAGAGGTTGGGGGAGCACAGTGGCAGGCTCTCTTTAAAGCCTAGTGTGGGGTTTCTGACCATCCCTCCACCTGGCTTTGCACTCCAGAGAAGATCAGAGGATGGATTGTCAGGAGGGAGAGTATTAGGTTGATTATTTTTTCAGAAAACAATAATCAAAAGCAGCCCTTGGAAATGTAAATCGCTAATTGAATCACTCATCTCATTTGCATCTGCTGGGGATTTAGTTGGCCAGCTTCCCTCTCACTGTCTTTGCAAAGCAGGACTGACAATACACTTCCTGCCTGTAATTACCGCTGAGTTGCCCTGGCGAATTTTGATTAAAGCTAATCAGGTGGAGAGGAGAAAAAGCAAAGGAATCAGAACCAAGAAGTGGTGCTGCCTTTATAGTCTCCCCCCCCCCCACATTCCCCTTGTGGGAATCCAGGTGGGCATGGGGGGTTGGCCCCTACGGACAGGTGGGCCAAGACTTCCGTTCTCCTGCTCTGAGGAACTAATTAGGACCAGGATCTGTCCAAAGACTCCTCCAGCCCAACAATCTGTTTGCCAAACGCTTCACCTGTGGTCACTGCCACCATCACCACCTGCCAGCCATGAGGGCAACCACCCAGGGGCACTGCTGGGAGCAAGGAGGGAGGGTGAGCCTCAAGCCTTTTCCTAGGTGCCCCCAAGTGCTTCTGGCTGGGTAATAAATTATGGGGGGAACTGAAGACAGAGGTGATCTTGGCTTCTGGGCGCAATATTAATTTCAGGAAAGAAGGAAAGGCCCAACAATTTCACCTAGTGGTGTGTCAGGAGTAATGAATGGGGATAATTGAAGAGAAATTGAATTGATCTGGAGCAAGATCTGTTGGGAAGTTAACTGAGGGCAAATTAATTGGAAAGGAAATTATTTTGGGGGAACTTGAGGTGGGGCACACATTCATTGAAGGATTTATTTGGGGTGATTTGGAGTGGGAGATGAGTTGGCTTCCTTTCTGTGACACTGAAGTCCAAACATACATCTCCACATATAAAATTGCATTTGCAAATTTGTCTCTACGGCCCCACATGCCGTCTTTTCAGCCCCTCACCATGTATCCTGGCAACAGCTCTTCCCAAACGTTAGACAGCTTGACTACACCCACAACTGGAGTCTTTGCTCCTTCCTGAGGAGCAACATGGTGTGACCCAACTGAACAACAGGTCTCAGTATTCCTTCCTGTGGTGGAGGGGATGATTCTGGATGTTTAGCCTCTGTCTGGGTTCTGTTTTGTTCCTCTGAGCCAGAGGCCTGTTGTATTTGGGTCTGTGCAGGTTTGGGTCGATGCTGCCGCCCAGATCTTCTTCTCCCTGGGGCCAGGATTTGGCGTCCTCCTCGCTCTGTCCAGTTACAATTCATTCCACAACAATTGCTACCGGTAAGGGCCTGAGGCCAAATCCAAATTCTCCCTTTGCCCCCTCCCCCCATGCCTCCACTGCAGATGAGTGAGACAGGGCTAACAACCTTCTCTCTGCAGCACCATGATTTGAATGGCTTTCCCTTGAGTGAGGACTGGCCAAGCTTGGCTGATGCCGTGCTGGTGTGCCAATAAGCTGTGCTCAACTCCCAGGGAACTGCCATTCCTCCTGTGGGAAGGAGTGAGTATGGCATCCAAAGAACTTAACCACTGCCTTTGGTAACCCTACAGTCTTCCCTCCTTTCAAGGCTTAATGTGGGTTGACCATATAGGCTTGCTTTTTGTTTGGTGGAACAGGTCACAGGGTTGGCCTCTCCAGAAGGCCTTGTGCGCATGCAGGCATTGCTCTCCTTTGATGGCGCATGCTGGTGCCACCACTGGTGCACTGCAGCATTTATTTGAGCTTGCAGGGAGGATGCCATCCTCAGGCAGAGTAGCGAACAGAGAGGGTAAGTGCGGGAGGCCCTACTAGGATGGCTACCCTGAGGAGAGGAGAGGCACACCATCACATTGTCATGGTAGAATTAAGATTCAGCTGCCAGCCCAGTGGGCTTCTGGAGGTTGTCCTTTTGCTGCAGGGAGCAAAATGTCTTCCGCTAGCCCTGAGTTGGTGCTGCAGAACCAGGTTGTTGCTGCATCCTCTCAATGACAGTCAAGGTCACCTTGTTGTGAGGCCTGTGGCCTGTCCAGAGACTCATTTATTTTGCCTTCCAGGGATGCCATCATTACCAGCGTGGTCAACTGCCTCACCAGCTTCCTGTCAGGATTCGTCATTTTCACCGTCTTGGGATACATGGCAGAAATGAGGGATGTGGAAGTCGAGGATGTTGCAAGAGACAGAGGTTTGTGTTCTGCGTGTCATGTGCGTCAAAACTGCAGTGCTAAAAATTCTTCCACGTGGTGTATCTGATTGTGGCCTCATGCTCCATACTCCGTAACACAGAATCCTAGCATTGTAGAGTTGGAAGGGACCCCCAAGGGTCCAATTACCTGCAATGCAGGAATCACAACTGAAGAATCCCTAACGGGTGGCCCTCCAACCTCTGCTTAAAAACCCCCAAGGAAGGAGAGTCTGCCATAGAGTTCATCCAGTCCTTAAACTCCCTCCGTTAGTCTGTGACACCTGAGATGTGGACAACCCTCCATAGCCTGCTTGGTGCTTATGTCCCTGCCACATCCAGTTAGAGGAGGTTTCTGCCCTCAGTGTTGAACACAAGGGCAAGCTGTGGCTATGCAGGTGTAGAGAGTACACTTGATTTATACACTCTTTGAATGTGGCATGTTGGCCTTTACAAAGCTCAGGGGTTCCATATAGTGAAACCCTGAGAGAACATCTTCATGTATATTTAGGCAAGAGTTCCCAAGATGTTTAAAATTAATTAATTGCAGTTTCCGGGGCACCTTCAAAGGTAGCCCCACGTAGAGTGCATTGCAGTAATCCAAGCAGGAGATAACCAGAGCATGCACCACTCTGGCCAGACAGTCTGCAGGCAGGTAGGGTCTCAGCCTGCATACCAGATGGAGCTGGTGGACAGCTGCCCCGGACACAGAATTGACCTGCGCCTCCATGGACAGTTGTGAGTCCAAAATGACTCTGTGGCTGCGCACCTGGTCCTTCAGGGGCACAGTTACCCTCTTCAGGACCAGGGAGTCCCCCACACCCACCCATCCCCTGTTCCCCAAAAACAGTACTTCTGTCTTCTCAGGATTCAACCTCAATCTGTTAGCCGCCAGCCATCCTCCAATCATTGCAGCAGTCCCATCCCAAGGCCTTGCCCTTCCATTTGCCCTTGGCCTTTGGAAATGCTTGGCCATTCATGGTATGCTAGGAAGCTGCCTTATTCTGAGCCCGGCGATTGGCCCATCTGGCTCAGTACTGCCTACACTGACTGCCAGCAATGGCTCTCTGAGGTTTCAGACATGAGTCTCTCCCAGCCCCACCTGGTGATGCTGCAGGGATGGAACCTGGGGCAGGTGCTCTCCCCACAGAGCCACAGCTCTTTGGCATATTCTCTTCTTTAGGGCCCAGCCTCCTCTTCATCACTTACCCTGAAGCCATCGCCAACATGGTCGGCTCCACTTTCTTCGCCATAATCTTCTTCCTCATGATGATAACACTGGGACTGGACAGCACGGTAGGGAGAACTCTGCCTTATACCCCAAATCATTCATTGCTAGATTTTAAAAGGCTCAGGGCATAGCTCTCCACAAACCTGGGCAAACTTTGCCTGTGCTAACATAGATGCAGGGTGAGGCAGGGAAATTGCTATGGAAATGTACCCGCCCCTCCAAACATATAACTGGAGCAGGGGATCCAGGGCCCTGGGGCTCAGGCCCCCTAAGCCACCCCTAACAGTGACCCTGCTTTGTGGTCAGGCAATAGGGAAGATTACGGGATTCTTTTCACAATGTTTTTAGTTTGATTTCACCCGCAAGAGGACACTCCTCCAATGTCTCCCGAGACAGACGGATGCCAAAACATTTCAGAAATGTAGCACATCATTCCTTTTTTATTTGTTTCTTTGAAAAAAAGGCTACTGCGAATTGAAATATTTCCAAATTCTGAAAGTGTGCACCTTCAGAGAAGAGCCTGGCTGGATCAGGCCAAAGGGGCTCCTCTAGTCCAGCATCCTGTTCTCACAGGGATTGTCCACACTTCCAGGCCCACTGGCTTGGTCCCAAAACTGTGGGTGCCCAAGGCAACACACAGCATGGGCACACATGTGTCTGATGTCACACGCACAAGTCAGTGGGTATGCTGACATTGCACGCACATGCTGATGTGCCTGCTGACATTGGGCATGCACGCCCCTGGTGCAAAATTTGTGGGTTCCTTCATGGGGAATGTTGTGGGGGCTGGAGTACCCAGAGCCCCAGGCAGCCGGCACCTATGCACCCTTCCACTTAACCTGTGCTTCCGAGGCATCAGTCTGAGTGGTTTGCCCCCTGCCCTGCTCCTTTCCCATGGAAAACACACTCCCTAGCTCTAAATCAGAGCAAACATCAACCCAAATTGCTGTTTGCTCTGACGGAGTGCCAAAGAGTACTTTTCCTCAGGGAAAAGCAGTGGACAAGAACAAATGAGGATAAGCTGCAGTGGCCCCCAGATGCGCCCAAGGGAAGCCCTCCAAGCAGGATTTCAGCACAGGAGCAACACTCTCTGCTCCTGTGGCTTCCAGCAACTGGCATTCAGAAGCATTGCTGCACCACCATAGTGCCATGTGGAAGAATTATCCCATATTTTGACTGAGCCTTCCACATAACTCTCTCTGTCTCTGTCTCTGTCTCTGTCTCTGTCTCTGTCTCTGACACACACACACACACACACACACACACACACACACACACACACAGTGTCCTTTTGCTGACTGAGGCTGACAACTCTTTTGGGGGGGTGTATTTGCAGTTTGGGGGCCTGGAGGCTATGATCACAGCAATAATGGACGAGTACCCCCACCTCCTGGCCAAGCAACGGGAGCTGTTTGTCCTGGGGCTCATCACAACCTGCTTCCTGGGCTCTGTAGCCACTCTGACCAGTGTGAGTTGCCAAAAAAGTGGAGCCATATGCGGGGGGGGGGGGCAGGGGGCTTGGTTGTCTCTTGCTTGTTGACAGCCTTCAGACTTAGAATAACAGAATCCTAGAACAGTAGAGTTGGAAGGGATCCCAAGGGTCATCTTGTCCAACAGCCTACAACAAGTAGACTTTTCAGGATCCACTTCATTTTCTGCTAGAATCTTAAGGTAGGTGCAAAATATAGATGACTAGAATCAAAATGTTGAGAAAAGGGGCAGAGCCTGTTGCCCTCAAGGGCATCAGCTGAAAGAGTTTTCATATACAACGACAAATCTACATCAGAGCCCCAACAAACTGGCCAACAGAGCTCAGTAAAGACCTGGTCAAAGGGATCTTGTTAATACCCTGGTTTACAAGTGCGGAGACACAAGACTGAGAGAGAAGCAAGTAACAGAAGAATTGCCAGGACAAAGAGTTGTGGTTTGGGGTTTTTTTACCAGCATTTTTAATAGAATCATAGATGCAGGAGGCCAGCTAGTCCACCCCCTGATCAGTACAGGACCTTGCAACTACTTCATCTGTGAACGAAGCCCATTCAGACTTGGCTTAAATATCTCCAGAAGAGGGTGCCTGCTGTCCTCTGAGGCAGAGTGCCAAGCCACCCTTCCCATTTGGACATCTCTCCTCATGTTTAGCCAGAAACTGCTTCCCAGCCATTTCCCCCTATTGGTGGGACTGGCACATAAGAACATAAGAAGAGCTTGCTGGATCAGGCCCAAAGGGACCCATCTAGTCCAGCATCCTGTGCTCGCAGTGGCCAACTAGATGGAAGCCAGTAAGCAGGACCTGTGCCCAAGAGCCTTCTCCCTTCCTGCGGTTTCCAGCAACTGGTATTGAGAAGCCTTGCTGCCTCTGATTATGGAGGCAGAGCACAGCCATTGTGGCTGGAAGTCATGACTAGCCCTCTCCTCCTCTATGGATTTGTCTAATTGCCTTTTAAATCCATCCAGGTTGGTGGCCAACTCTGCCTCCTTTGAGAGTGGGTTCCATGAATCTTCCAACATCCAGCTTTGTTGGATGTTCTCAAATTTGAGGGTTATGAGAGAGGGAGAAAAACTTCTCTCTCCACTTCTCTCTCCATGCCATGCATAATTTAATCAGCTTCTGTCATGTCTCCTCTTACTCACCTTTTATCTAAAACCAAAAAGCCTTTCCTGATAGGAAATAGTCACTCCATCCCAGTGATCATTTTGCTTGCCCTTTCCTGAACAAACCTGCCCTGACTTCTGTGTGATGGTCCTTTCGATTTTTTGAAGACGGTTATCGCGTCTCCTCTTCTTCTTCTCTTTCCCCAGCAAAACATGCTCAACTCTTTCAACTGTTCCCACAGTCATTGTTAAACCACTGGCATGGTTTAACATATGGCTGGTATAGTTACAGGTAGGTAGCCGTGTTGGTCTGCCATAGTCGAAACAAAATAAAAAAATTCCTTCCAGTAGCACCTCAGAGACCAGCTATGGCTGGCATGTTAAACCAGTCATAGTAGCAATAATGCATTGATTGGATGGGGGTAACATGACCAAGATCTCAACAGAGAAGCATTGGCCGTATCTGCCACCCCAGCTGAAAAGCTACTAAGCTTGGATCTTCCCATTTTAGGGCGGGTCATACATCGTGAAACTCTTGGAAGAGTTTGGTGCCGGCTGCTCCATCTTAGCAGTGGTGTTCCTGGAGTCCATTGCAGTCTCCTGGTTTTACGGTAAGGAGAGAAATACCATGTCCCAGTTACTAGGTTTACTATGAGCCCTGGAGAGATTCTCAGCCTTCCCTGCCTTCTGAAACAACCCCCTGTACATGCTGTTGCCTAGAAGTCAGGGGGAGGGATTGTGTCCAGTGGGTTTCCATAGGGAAAGGACTCTATAGAGGTGGGGCCACACCTGAGAAGGCCTTGCTTCCAACAGCCATTGCACCACAGCTGCTCTGGATGTTTCATCATTATCCTTATGTGCCAAATGTTCCTGTGCCATTCATCCATTGTTGTGGGGGCTGTGGGGCGTTTTTTTTAATTAGACTATTTATTTTAAAATATTTATATGCAAGCATCTCCATATTTACATGCAAGCATCTCCAGGCAATGTACAACAGCAATACAAAATATGATATGAAATGTTACAATGCAAATACCATACAATATGCAATACAATTATAATCCAAATGAATTAGTAGTTTAAACAAAGTCAAACTCATGAGAATTGACATCAGGAAAGAGCAAAGTGAATACAAAGGTCTTGAGCCTGCAGCAACACTGTGACACAAATGGTACTTCTGCACCTGCTGAGAGGGATCACACACTTACTGTGGCTGAAATTTTTGTGGTGCAGATCCCACAACTGCCACAGCCACATGAACAGGAGCTCCACCCCCCTTGGCCCCCTTCTTTTCTTTCCAGGGATCCAGCAGTTTTGCAATGACGTGAAGGCAATGCTGGGGTTTGCTCCAGGAATCTATTGGCAGGTTTGCTGGGCTGCTGTCAGTCCAGCCTTTCTAGCAGTAAGTACTAATCTTCATCATCCTCATTCACCCCCAATGTCCAGCTCAAGAAAAGAGACATTTCCCTGCTTGAGACCACAGAGGAAGCAGAAGGGAAAGAGGCCAAGCTAATAAGGGATGGATGTGGTTGTTGCAGCATATAGAGCCCACCTTTCCTCTAAGTGGCTCCAGGTGGCTTACATAGTTCTCCTCCTCTCCATCTGATCCTCACAACAACCCTGTGAGATTGGGCTGCGATACTGCTATTAGCCCAAGGTCACCCAGTGAGCTTTGTGGCTGAGTGGGGGTTTGCACTCTGGTCTCCCAGATTCTAGTCCAACACTCTAACCCCTACACCTGCTGGCTCTCAAATGCTGGCCACTGGGGAATTGAGATGAGGCTGAGGGGCTTTCTCGGGCCCCTTCCCTTGAGAGCAAGGGTTGCCACTGAGTGCAAGCATGTATGCTTTGCTGGCAAAAGGTTCTCAGTTCCATTCTGGGCATCTCCAGTTAAAAACATCTCTGGTCAGAGACCAAAGAACATGGCATGCCAGAGATGGAGGAGGAGGAGGAGGAGGAGGCGCTGATTGGGAAGACATTATCTTCTGCTCCAGGACCATCCAGGCAGGGGACATGGCTTTCCTAGTCTCCTCAGACTCAGAGGAAAAGCTCTCTCCTCTGGTCCAGCAAGTCTGCACCTGTCAGCCTCCAGAAGGCCCCTGCGTGCTGCTGTGACCCCTTTCTCCTTGGGGGAGCTCCAGATTGGGCTACCTGCTGCAGGGATTTGTCTGTGGTCCTGAAGAGACTGGCCTTCCTGCTGTGATTCTGCACAGCCTTCTTTGGCTTGGCCCTCCCAGATGTGATAGAATCATAGAATCATAGAGTTGGAAGAGACCACAAGGGCCATTGAGTCCAACCCCCTGCCAAGCAGGAAACACCATCAGAGCACTCCTGACATATGGTTGTCAAGCCTCTGCTTAAAGACCTCCAAAGAAGGAGACTCCACCACACTCCTTGGCAGCAAATTCCACTGTCGAACAGCTCTTTCTGTCAGGAAGTTCTTCCTAATGTTTAGGTGGAATCTTCTTTCTTGTAGTTTGGATCCATTGCTCCGTGTCCGCTTCTCTGGAGCAGCAGAAAACAACCTTTCTCCCTCCTCTATGTGACATCCTTTTATATATTTGAACATGGCTATCATATCACCCCTTAACCTCCTCTTCTCCAGGCTAAACATGCCCAGCTCCCTTAGCCGTTCCTCATAAGGCATCGTTTCCAGGCCTTTGACCATTTTGGTTGCCCTCCTCTGGACACGTTCCAGTTTGTCAGTGTCCTTCTTGAACTGTGGTGCCCAAATCAACTGTGGTGATTCTCCAGCCGGCTTCTCAGCCAAGGCAATTGCTTCAATCCCCCCTCCCCATGGATCCTCAAATAAAACTAGGACAGGGCAAGCAGGGGGTTGAACTAGATGACCCTTGGGGTTCCTTCCAACTCTTCAGTTCTATGATTCTCAGTAGCAAGTTACATGGAAGCCCTTTCTTTGCCTGAGACTGGAGATCTGATACCACTTAGTGTAGAATCATAGAATCATAGAATCATAGAGTTGGAAGAGACCACAAGGGCCATCGAGTCCAACCCCCTGCCAAGCAGGAAACACCATCAGAGCACTCCTGACATATGGTTGTCAAGCCTCTGCTTAAAGACCTCCAAAGAAGGAGACTCCACCACACTCCTTGGCAGCAAATTCCACTGTTGAACAGCTCTTACTGTCAGGAAGTTCTTCCTAATGTTTAGGTGGAATCTTCTTTCTTGTAGTGTAGAACAGCCTCTGCCAACCTAGCACCCTGCAGATGTTTTGGACTTCAGCTCCCAGCGTCATATGGCTGTCCCAGACAGCTGGAAGCTGAGTTTGAGGCGGGTGGTGGGGCAGCATGCTTGCCTTCCATGTTGCCACAGCACAGATGCATGTGTGTAGGCATGTGCTGCCTATGTGTGCTTGTGTGTACACAGTAACCTCATTTCCGGTACCTGTCACTCAATGGCTGCCCCTGGCAGTGTTGTGTGAGGAGACAAGGTGGGGCTGGAACCCCCTGCCCTCCTGCCTGCCCTTGCTGCTCTGCCAGCTGATCTCCAAGCTGCTTCTCCCACCTGGGAAGCACCCAGCTGGCTGGAGCACGTGGCACTCCTTGCCTGTGCCAATCAGGGCACACAGGTTGCCTTGCCCCAGTTGCTGGTCACGCACACTAAGCCACTGGTGATGGGTGTCCCAGCTAGCTCAGGGCAGGGCTCTCCATACTGGTTCTTGGCACCCAGACTTTGCCCGTCTCCTCTTGTCAGTTCATCATTGCCAGCTCCCTCCTGGACCAGCCTCCCCTCACTCTCTTCGACTACCAGTACCCAGACTGGAGCATTTTGGTGGGTTACCTCATCGGAGCCTCATCCTTCATTTGCATCCCAGTCTACATGGTCTACAAGCTGATCTGGACCCCGGGATCTCTTAAGCAGGTCAGGGAGCTAGAATCCTCTCTACTCTGTGGTTGTGTGGATGCCTGTGTCTGGGCGGGGGTTCAAGAAAGGGGGTTTCCCTCAGCAGTGGTGGAATTCTAGGTCTTCTCAGGGGCACTAAGGCTGCCATTCTGAGCTTACCTGACTCCATGGAACCTGTGAACCTGCTGTGCAACTCAGGGAGTCTGATGGCGAAGAGGCTAAGCTATGAACCAGTCACGCACATTGTTGGGAACCACTCCCCCCAAAATATACTTTTTCTTAGTGTTTCTTTGTGAGTAATATATTCAAAGGAATTTGAACTGGGGGTGATGACTTCATGATGTATATACAGTGTTTGCTTGTGATGGTACTCAGCAATAGAAGAGCTTCTTACGGCCTGCTGGATGAGAGAGGCAGTGAGCTTCACGGCTGAGGGGGAGGATTCGAACCCTGGTCTCTCCCAGGTCCTAACCCAGCACCCTAACCACTACAGTGCCACTGGCATCAGCTCCCCCTCTCTCCTTTGCAAGATATATTCCCCAGGCTGCTGTAACTGGGACCCATGTTTTGTACTTTAGCCTGTTTTTTATTTTACGCATTGTTTTTATGGTAAATTGCTTAGACAAGTCAGTTTAAAGTGGTATAAGAACTGTATAAAATAAAGGTGGCATGGGAAATGTATGTAATCACGTAAAATCCATCACTTGAGTGGCGTTTTCCAGGCTTGTCCCTCTCACTGTCTGTCTCTCTGCCTTGGTCATCCAGCGCCTGGCAGTCTGCCTTCGGCCGGAGAGGAGAGCTCAAGAGCAGCCCATGGAGCCTGGCCTCATGCCACCGGCCCCCTAATCCACAGCACGGACAGCCCCCCGAAGGGAGAGGCCAGTCGGACAGAGGGGACCAACTCCAGAGCAACCGGGAGCCCCAAGCTGCCCTTGGCTGCTCAGGCAGCTGCACCACTTGCTTCACCTCCCCAGGAGAGCGAGATGCCTCCTGCTCGTCCAGCACCAGCTGCAGGGGCACCAAAGTGCATTTCCATCAACACTGGACAACTCCCAAGTCACACCTTTCTTGCTCCTCCTCTCCACTCCACTATCTGCTGTATTCATACAATTATAGAGTTGGAAGGGGCCCCAAGGGTCCAACCCCCTGGGGTGCAGGAATCACAGCTAGTGAATCAATTTCTACTTAAAAACCTCTAGCGAGGGAGAGTCCACCTCCTTCGGGGGGAGGGGTCCTGCTCCACTGTTGAACAGCTGCTACTGGCAATAAGTTACCGGTATTCCTGATGTTTAGCTGGGATCTCCTGTCTTGCAGTTTGAATGCATTGGTTTGAATGCTGCCCTCTGGAGCAGGAAAAACAAGCTTCCTCCCTTGAGGTATTTGAAGGTGGCTGTCCTCTCAGCTCTCCACCTTTTCTTCTCCAGGCTAAACATATCCACTCCTTCAACCATTCCTCATATGTCTTGGTTCCCAGGGTCTTTACCATTTTGGATGCCCTGCTTTTCCCACACTTAATTGTTCCAGGTCTGTCTGGCCAGGCGATGTGGCTAGAAGAGTTTAAGAGAAGCTGCCAAGAGAGATTTTGGAAGTGTGCATGTCTGCAACCAGCATAGTTTCCCCTGCAATCCTTTTCATGGAAGAAGGCAAGGAGGAGGAGGAGGAGGAGGGGAAAGTCACCCTGAAGGGGGCTCTTCCTCTTTCACAGGATGTCAAAGCCCTCAGCACAGCCCTGCAGTGCAGCTCTCTCTGCCCATGTGCGGCTCAAATACCTACCTAGCTGCTGATCCATATAGTCCAGCATCTTGTTCCCACGGAGACCAACCAGACACCCCCATGGGAAGCCTCTGAGCACCATGTGAGTGCAACACCAGCCACTCTCCTCACTTGTACAGTAAAGGGTGGGCATTGAGTACGAGAGGCTGGCCCTTCGGGGAAAGAGGGGCTCTACCCTACCATCTCCCCTCTGTCTGCCCCACCTGTCTGCCTCTCCACTTACAACCAGTCCAGGTGGGAGGGAGCACACCTTCTTAGAACCAGGACGAGGGGGACAAACCCAGGGTGAGCTGGCTCTGGCGCCACCTACTGGTGGGCTCCCTGTCCAATGAGTAACCATTGGTGGGAGAGGAGACAGACACTGTGTGTGTGTGAGAGAGAGAGAGAGAGAGAGAGAGAGAGAGCGAGAGAGAGAGAGAGAGAGAGAGAGAGAGAGAGAGAGAGAGATCATGTTAGGTATTGGACAAGACTTGCTTTTAGTCTGTAATCAGGCAGATTGGGACAGGGGCAGGGAGAGGCAGCGAGAACTAATCTGAATAAAATGTACTGAGTCCAGAAACTCCAGTTGGTACCCTGACATCCTGTTGTGAAGAGGAAGCGCTAACTGCAAGTTTGTTTTCTGTCCTCTGAAATTTGTCTTGAATTTACATGGAAATTACCATATGCAAGTTTGTGTCATTGGCCTGTGTGAAGAGTCTTGTCAATACCTGCCCATGGTACAAAGAGAAAAGCTACCTGTTCAGTTTGGCTAATTGGAGTTGCTGTCGCTCTACAGTTGCAGCCCTCAACACCTTTACATCTTCACAAGGCTTGGCTAGGCTGTCTTACCTGGAGGGCAATGCCGGATTTACATATAAGCTAAACAAGCTTTGGCTTAGGGCCCCACTCTCTTAGGGGCCCCAAAAAAATTTAAAGGAAAAAACAACTGGATGTACATTTTCAAAATATAAGATAAAAAACAAATAAAATAAAACTTACATACAGCAACAGTGTTTTGTGTTGTGTAGGCTCTATGACGTAAGTAACGGGCCCTGCCTGCTATATATAGGGCCCCATTACCTACAGTAGCTTAGGGCCTCATCAAACCTAAATCCAGCCCTGCCCGGAGGGCCACATTTGTCCTTGGCTAACCCTCTGGGAGCCACGCTCCAGCAGTGGGTGTGGCCAAAACTGGGTGGAGCCAACACCCCCTCTCATATGCACACCAACGCAGACATCCTCTCCGCTCATGATCTCCACTCATCCAGTGATTGATCTGCTGACTGGGGAGAGGGTGGTGTGCCCCACAAGCAGGACGCAGGGCTCCCGCACCCTAGTCCTAGGGCTAAGTATTATTTTCTTGTTGCAGACAATACCAGAATCAGTGGAGTGGGGAGCAGCAAAAAAATGTGTTTAGGAAGTTTGCAACCTCTGTTGTGTAATTTTCCACAAGGCTATCTCCTCTAGACCCAATTCTAGGCTGTCAAATCATTTCCACTGCGTATATATATTCCTGACTTGGATCATTTTCAAAGGCTCTTGCTGCTTTCTCCCTGATAAAGAGCTCTGCCTTACTTTCTTTTGACTTGGGGAAAATAAGCTGTTCTTAGAGTGGAGAGAATCACCCTCAATTAGATCTCTGACTACAGGTTCAGGGATCAGAAAATACAGTACTGTAATCAAAAGTTGGCAACCCTACATTCGTTCTATGATAAATGTATTTCAAATATCTGGATGTCACCAGTGTCCTTTGACTTGGAGACCATCTTATTTTATTGTACGCAGCTGGAAGCACTGTGGATTTTAATTCTCTTGTATTTAATACCCTCTTGTATTCCCCAATTTACCAATTTATTTGTTTTGGGGAGGTGAGGTGAGCTCTGCAAAGGAGGAAGGGGTTACTCTGAGAATGTATTTGCACTGTGGTTCCTTTCAGAGAGATGCTGGGTCACAACTGCGTCCCATGAAGTCCACAAAACATTTATGCCATGATAATAAATTTGTTAGCCTTTGAGGTGCCACAAGACTGTCGTTTTTGCTGTAAGGGACTGGTGTGGCTACTAGCCCTCTGGAAATGGAAATGGCTGGGTGCCAACTCCATTCAGAAAGTGCTCTCGGAAAAGAAAGGAAACTTTTGCAAAATGCACAGGCTTGTAGAATATCTGGTTATGAACAAAAACAGCTAGGAAATTAGTGAGATTTAAACCTATGAAAATCCGAATTCTTCAAAGCTGGGGACTGTTTCGTTCTCGTTTTATTTCTAGGAAAGATCTGTAGCTTGCTGCCTTTTCCAAGGCAAGGAGGTAACGGGTGAAACGAGATAACATTGATTAAAATGCAATAAAAAGAGCAGGAAATTAAAAGCCGCACTGACTGACCCATGGTTTTGAAGCCTGCTGTAACAAACCTAGGTTATTTGCATTTATGCTACAATCCTATGCACACATGGGAGTAACTCCCATTGAATTCAGTGGGTTTCCTTCCGAGCAGGGACGCCGGGAATCGCGCGGTCCAATTTCCACTTTCCTCCATCTTTATGCCCTGACGCCTCTCCAGAGAGTCCAGGGGCATCCGAGAATGGAGACTACCACTCCCAGCATGCAATGCTCGGGAGGAGGGCTGAAGGGGACCCCCAGGGTCCTAAAGTCCACGTGTCCACGCGCAACCTTTTGTTGGGCCGGTTGGCTTCTCCCTCCCTCCGCTGGGCAGAGCGGTGGCGTTGCGGGGCCCCCCGGCCAGGTTGCCGTTGGACGCGCCTTGGGCTAACACGTGCTGGCAACTTCGCCGCATCCACACGTGCAGAAGACACCGGGTGGAGCTACGGGGATTTGGCGGGCGGGGCTGCCCTGCGGCTTGGCCCCGAGGAGGGCGAAGGAAGGGCGGGCGGGCGGCCTCGGCCTCCACTGCCGGCGCGGGGCCTGGAGCGGAGGGGCCGGGCGAGGATGGGGCGGCGCGGCGGCTGCCGGGCGGCGGGCCTGCTGCTGCTGCTGCTGCGGGCGGCCGGCGGAGACGCGCTGCGGGACGAGGCCGAGGCGGCCCCGCCAGGGAACAGCCGGCCCTACGCCGTGCTCCAGACGCAGAACCTGGGTGAGGAGGCCGGACGCCTGGGTCCCCGAGGGAGAGAGGGCACCCTCCTCGGACGCCTGGGTCCCACGGCCCTGCACCCGCCTTCCACCCCTCCAGTCCTCCGCCTCCCTCGCCTGTCCCAAGCCCATCACTCCGCGCCCGCCGCTTGCAGGTTCGCCCCCCCCCCCGTAGAAAGGGAGCCCCGGGACTTGGGGGGGGGGGCTTTGCCTGCCTCCCCACTTCCATCCCTGTGATTCCTGGCTCAGTTCTCTTTGCAGGGCCAAAGACCTTCTCTAGCCAAGGGCTGGCAGGATGAACTGGTTTGCCCTTAGCAGCCGGGACCAGGGAAGGAGGAGGTAGCCCCTGCCTGGGATAGACTAGATGGCCTCTGGGACACCCTGCCTATGCTGGGGGGGGGGGGGATGAAAAGCCATGGGAAAGCCAGACTCTGTGGACCCTGCATGTCTTTTTTTTTATACCAGAGGAGCCTGCTGGATCAGGCCAGTGACCCATCCAGTCCAGCATCCTGTTCTCACAGGGGGAAACTGGCAAGTGAGACCTGAGCGCAAGAGCCCTTTTCTCTCCTGCTGGCAACTGGCATTCAGAGGCCTTGGTGCCTCCTGGGCTGGCTCTCAGCACTGAGCTTCCTTTCTTGAATTGTTTTGCCTCCCAGCCCAATTGTGACTTAAATGTGCTGAGATTTACACCTCACTGTCAGAAAGTTGCATCAGTAGTAAGTTGTACTATTCCTCTCCCGCTTGCCTGTTGGGGTTTCCTTCTATCCTGTGAAGAAGACTTCCAAATGTGTTCCTCATTATGCTTCTGAGAATCCCCACAATCAGGTTGCTGGTCATTTTGGCTGTTTCTTTTCCCAGCCAGGCTGGGGCTCCCAGCACTTTCTCCTCACCCTGCCAGGCAGTTCCTGGCCCGGCTGCATTTACTTGCAGCCAGGATGGGGCCAGCAAGGATTGCAGACTGGAATTTCCCCATTGACAGCCCCTGACAGAGTCCAACAGAATCTGGAGGGCTACAGGTTTCCTGTTTCTGCTCTAGCAGATGCTCAGTAGGAGCACTGGTTCTTCTTGTGCCCAAGGATGAGAGCGAGAGTCCAAGGAATTCTGAAAATGGGAGGAATTGGTAGCGAAGGTTGGAAGGCACTGTGAGTGATTGGCCTTTGAGGGCTCCTACGTGCTGTGGTCTAAACCACAGAGCCTAGGGCTTGCCGATCAGAAGGTTGACGGTTTGAATCCCCACGATGGGGTGAGCTCCCGTTGCTCGGTCCCTGCTCCTGCCAACCTAGCACTTCGAAAGCACGAAGGGCAAGTAGATAAATAGGTACCACTTCGGCAGGAAGGTAAACGGCGTTTCCGTGTGCTGCTCTGGTTTGCCAGAAGCAGCTTAGTCATGCTGGCCACATGACCAATAAAGCGAGATGAACGCCGCAACCCCAGAGTCATCTGCGACTGGACTTAACGGTCAGGGGTCCCTTTACCTTTAGGGAGCTTCACGGTCGAGTGGAGATTTGAACCCTAGTCCTATTCCCAGCCTGTAACTGCACCCTGTATCTCCCAGCTCCTGCTCTTCAGAGAGCAGCGTGCCCTGTAGACTGAATCAGTCCCTGGCTGCCCTCCTCCATGCCTTATCAGCCCAGGCTCTCGCTCTTCCTTTCTCTTGCAGTTCTGATGGGAAGTGTCTTTGGCATCCTGCTCATCGCCATGATCCTGCTGTCTGTGTGTGTGTACAAGCCCATTCGCCGGAGGTAGCCCAGGAGCAGCATCTTCAGGAGGGCTGGAGGCTGGAGGGGAGACCCGTTCCCAACACCAACACGGGCCATGTGCTCTGATATACACTTCATCTTCATGCCCGACCAGCTTCTGGGCACGCTGAAGGGGACCCTGAAACTGAGATGGGCTGTGCTTCCTTCCATCTTCCATGTAAAAGTTGTTTTGCTCTTGGTCTGATTGCTCCAGTTGCTGTTCCATGTGTGTGTGTGTTTGCATGCATTTGCGCCACAGGGATCTGTGACTTAACAGAGCATTAAAAAAACCACCCTGGTTGTTTTCAGTTGGGCACTCCTGGACTTTCAAAAATGCAGAGCATATTTTGAACTGGGAAAGAAAGGCAGCATTTTATGAAAATTGTTTCTTTGTGTGTATGAACCAGAGGCTCCCACCACCCCAAACTGTTGTCTGTAATATTCTTGCTGACAAAACATAGTGAACTCCTCCCCACACTATTTCTATTTTCCATCACTATTTGCACTTCTTCAGGTGTGTGGGAAGACTGCATCTCTCAGATGCGCTTGAAACATGTTAGTTGCACTGTGGGGCATTGAAGTCACTCTCTGCTTTGTTGAGGGAGCGTCTCAGACAGAGATGGGGAACCTAGCCCAGCCAGCAGGACCAATGATTGGGGAGGCTAGGAATTGTAGCCCAATAACATCTGGAGAAGGACTGATTCCCTACCCCAGTCCCTTTCTGGTTGGCCAGCACAGAGGGCTCATCTTGTATCATTTTGCAGAAAGGTTCTACTTACCAATAACACAACTTAATCCATTCCAGTTTGAGTGATCCTAAGCCTCTGGGAAGAGGTCTAGCTTAGTCACATGGTATTTGCTTATGCATGCAAAAGGTCCCAGCCAGGTGCAAACCCCACCTCCTCAGGTAGGGCTGGGAATTGCCCCCTACCAGAAACCCTGGGAGCCTCTGCCAGTCAGTGCAGACAGTCCAGAACTAGATGGACCGTTGGGCCATGGCATAAAGGCAGCTTCCTGGGCTTCCAGGTTTCAATCAGTTAGCATTACTTCTCTGCATCAGAAAACACAGAGCTTAACACTAAGCTGGTAATATTTTTATATATATATATATATATATATATATATATATATATATATATTGTCCAGTAGCACCTTAGATACCAACGAAGTTTGTTCTTCGTATAAGCTTTTGTGCGCATGCACACTTCAGTGCATCTACACTGAAACGGAAGTCACCAGACTTCCTTATATATAGTGAGGTGGGGTGGGGGTTTTCTCAGAAGGGTCTATAGGAGATGGGTGATTGACTCAATGGGTTTGGTAAATCACCCATCTCCTGCAACCCTTCTGAGAAAACCTCCACCCCACCCTCCCACTATATAGAAGGGTCTGGTGACTTCTGTTTCAGTGTATCTGAAGAAGTGTGCATGCACATGAAAGCTTATACGAAGAACAATCTTAGTTGTTCTCTAAGGTGCTACTGGACAATTTTTTAATTTTTTTATATATTTTGACTGCATCAAACCAACACAGCTACCTACCTGAACTAAGCTGGTAGCAAATTAAACTTCGCAAGACCCATTTAAGTTGTTTTGGAGTACAAATAAGGAGCAGCAAACAGGCTAGGTCCCAAAATTATCTGGCCTGTTTTGAGGAAACAGGCTCTATAGGGTAGCAAGCAAAGGCTTCCGTTTTCATGGAATTGTAGTGCTGGAAGTCTAATTTCCTGAAATGCAGGAATCACAGTTAAAGAAGCACTGGCAGTTGGCCATCCAACCTCTGCTTAAAATCATCCAAAGAAGGAGAGTCTACCACCTTCTGGGAGTCTGTTCCACTGCCAAACATCTTTTACCACCAGAAAGTTCTTCCTGTTTTCTTCTGCCGTGTGATGGGACTGGTGTGACTTAAAAGAAAGAGAATTGTGAAATCTTAAGAGTAGTGATGTGAGGTGAGAATATTCTGCACAAACTGTAAACTAATGTAAGAACCAGTTTTACAACCCACATTAAAATTTGTAAATAAATAATAAGTCAAGCTGTGACATTGCCAGTGTACATAATGAATAATGATTTTTTTGATCCAGTTACATTGTGTCATTCACCATTGGCAGTTCTGAAATGTGAGCTACAGAAACATTAAATTTTTTTAGTTTAAAAATAACTAATTTAATTTGATGAACATAGGGGCACGATTGTATGTCCCTCTCCGGTCATGCCTGTGTACATAAGTGTGTGTGTCTTTTTGGTAGTACAAATCTTGTTGCAAAAGGGAGGTCATGGTGCTAAGATCCCTGTATTTCAGTGGGTTGGACTGGATGACCCCAGGATCCCTTCCAACCATACAAATCGATGGCTATGTGGAAGAGTAGTTCAGTGGTGGATTGTATGTTGTGTGTAATGTGAAGGTGCTAGAGGTAATTAGAAGGAAGGATAAGGAATGTGTCTGCAAGCATTGGAGAGTGAAGTTAGGGTGGGGTAGGGTGGGGTGATGGGCTGAAATTCAGCCGAGCTTTGCTCTTTGGTATAAAAAGATGGAAGGATTGGTTTTCAGAGTTTGGAATAGTTTTAAGAAGTGGGAGGTGAAAGTGCTGATGTTTTGAAGCAGAGCTGGTGATACCAAGCATTTGAGTGCATATCTAGGGGTTTTCACCATTTTGTCTGTTATTTAAACCAGACTTCAAATATGCTAGAGTCCAGCCAAAGTTTAAAGTACATAAGGTAAAGGGATCCCTGACCATTAGGTCCAGTCGCAGATGACTCTGGGGTTGCGGCGCTCATCTTGCTTTATTGGCCGAGGGAGCCGGCGTAAAGCTTCTGGGTCATGTGGACAGCATGACTAAGCCGCTTCTGGCGAACCAGAGTAGCGCACGGAAACGCCGTTTACCTTCCTGCCGGAGCGGTACCTATTTATCTACTTGCACTTTGATGTGCTTTCGAACTGCTAGGTTGGCAGGAGCAGGGACCGATCAACAGGAGCTCACCCTGCTGCGGGGATTCGAACCGCTGACCTTCTGATCAGCAAGTCCTAGGCTCTGTGGTTTAACCCACAGCACCATCCACGTCCCTCTTTAAAGCACATACAAATTCATAATTAGGTGAAATGAGCCTTGATCATTTTTTCCTGCAAATAAAGGGCAGAAAATTTGGTCTGCTAATGGTAAGGCTGAAATGACTGAGAATATTAAAAATCTTATGAACCGTGACTGTCTGGCCATTTTCATTCAAACACAAGCGGGCGGTCGATTGTTCTGCTAATGATGGGGGGGGGTGATGACACAAAATAATAATAACCCACATTTGTGAAACATTTTTGAAAAGTGATCTGTACCCCTAACTCCTGTAGATAAAGAAGGCATGTAGCTCCCAATTTTCTTTGGCTGGGGTGCAGACATGTCTGTTTAATGCAGGAAACATCATCCATTAGTGCTGAGACTTGATTAGGAATTTAATTTGACCAAACTTTTATTACTGGCTTTCGGTGGAAAAGTTGAGTTGTTGGGTTGTCTGAATGGTGAAATTCTGATCTGTTTAAAGTTTAAGATTTATAAACCTGCTTCCTAAGCAGCAAGAAACAGGAAAGCATATGTATCAGAAATGTCTTAGGACATCAAACTGGGAAAATGGATTTTAAACTGACTGAACAAGTTTTTGGCCCTTGGGAATTTGGTCTCTTACATCTACCCCTTTCCCCTTCCTTGAGTCCCTTGTAAGAAAAGCCAGTCATGGCTTTATTCCAATGGTAATTTAGTCAGGAGATTTAATACTTTAAATGGTATAATAGATTGCTGAATCATGAACCCTGTGCATGTACAGAGGCTATGTTAGTTGAAAAGAAAAGAAAAAGGAGGTTTAAACCAAGAGGTGACAAAGCTATGCCCTGCACATGGAACTTTATTCAAATTTCTTTAGGTAAAATTGGGAGCCATTGAGGAAGCTGCAGTGAGAACTACCCCTTTGTGGGCTTTGTGTAAAAATGTAAGTTGCCCTAAATCTTTGCCCCAGGGGCTACTTAAGAAGAAACAATAGTTAAGTACAGAACCATTAACAACTATCAACAATAGAAAAAAGGTTCCCAGATTTTAATCTAACATGCAAATTTTCGTATGTATTTCAACTATATGTAATAGCCTTTTTTTCTATTTTGGTGTGACCTTATTCTTAGCAATTCTATGCCCATGGCTACACAGTGATTTATTTATTTTTACAGAAAGTAGCTTTAATGCTTTACACTTAAAGTACCTAGGCCTATACAATTATGTTTAACAGCATGTGAGGTGGCCTTGATTTAAACAGTTGACGTTTCTATATTTTTATTTAGTGCCAGTAACTGGTTTTTGCAGTGCTATTCAAAGGTACAAGGTGCCATTTACCAGAGATTGACATACTGAAATATATTATCATATAATGATAAGACCAAAATTATGGTCTTTGGGAAGCGTAGTCCCAGATCCAAATGGAAAATGGATCAGCAGAATCTGGAGCAAACATGCTCCTTCAGATATCTGGGAGTTCTCTTCACTGAGACGCTGTCATGGAAGGGGCACATTGAGGCTACGAAACTCAAAGCGCAGAAAGCTTGTGGGGCATTAATGAAATTCTATTTTACAGTGGGTGGCCAGTTACTAGAACCTGTGTTGAAAATCTTTGCCAGCGAAGTGGTTTCCCAGATGCTCTATGGAATAGCGATATGGGGCATGGACCCAAAGGCTAACAAAGCCTTAGAAATAGTGCAAAACAAATTCCTCAGGAAAGTGCTCTCGCTCCCCAACGGGATCCCGGCTGCACTTCTTCGTGCTGAAGCTGACGTGACAACAATACAGGCTAGAATTGATTACCTGTGCCTAAATTATGTGAAAAGACTTCAATCTCTTTCGGAGAAGAGATTTCCTGCTATGTCTTACATAGAACAGGAACAGACCAAATGCTGGAAGGCTGGCATCCAACGTCTCTTGTCCCAGTATCAATTACAAGATCTTCAGATGATCACGAAGATGGATAAGAGGCACTTAAGAGACTGTCTCTTTAGGTCTGATGCAGAAAGGGATCTAACCATGATTGCTTCTACCAAGAGCTCACCATGGTTCCCACTTATCAAAACGGAGCATGCCCAAGCCAGATACCTGACAAAGCTCCCACTTGCCGTACTAAGAATTGCTTTTACAGAACTACGATTCCAATTGATGCCCTCGGCGGTGTTGGATGGACGGTATGGCAAAGTACATTATGAAGAGAGACTCTGTCTGCGTGGACAACCCTGCGTCGAGGACCTGTGCTGTTATTTATTGCAGTGCCTGTTATATATAGACCCAAGAGACCGATTTATAAAACCCCTGTTTACGAATGGAACACATTTGAATAGGGTGGAAGGGGTGAAATGGGTGCTGAGCGACACCAACGACTTTGTTACTTATAAAGTAGCACTCTATGTGCTGGCAGCTAAGAAGATCAGGAACTAGACAAAATAGCGGTCAACTGCAAAGGGGATTCGGATACTTAATTTGGCACATCTTACTTGAGAATCTTCTGCTATTCTATTCTATTTAATACAACAAATAATTTTAGTAGCCGTGACCGTGGTTTTATTGTATGTGTGGTGCCCGATGATTTTTATGGTTGTTTTTTGTTCTCCTGAATGTTGCCATGGCCTATTGGCTAGTGCAATAAAAAGTTTTAATTGGAATTATAATGATATTATATTTAATGTTAATGGCTTCTTTTTTATATGTATGCATATAGTTTTGTTTATCAAGCTGTGTTTTAGTCACCAAAACAGTTATTAAGTGTTAGAGCTATTAGAAGCACAAGATAGCCTATTACTGAATTTACTTGTATCAAACCTTAACATGCCAGCTGTATTTCTTGACTTGTCCTATAACATGTACATGTTCTAATGGAAGAATAAAATATGATTTAACTACTGAGTTTCTATATATCAAACCTTAACATGACAATTACTGGTGCCATCACCTTAGAATGCTTTAACTTTAACTATAAAACATGTTTTACTTTTTAATTTGATACTTGCAAGTGACAAGTAGGCTTGTGCTTATATTTTCATTGTGGTTCCTTTATTAAACAACAAGTTTCCCTATATGTCAACAGTGCTGACCTGTTGACCAATAAGAAAGAATTTTCTGTAGTTTTTGGTTGCCATCCGAACGAGTTTACCATGAATAAACATGCATATTAACTAATTATATTATTTTCGGTGCATTAAAATGAATACAGTGGTACCTCTGGTTACGTACTTAATTCGTTCCAGAGGTCTGTTCTTAACCTGAAACTGTTCTTAACCTGAAGCACCACTTTAGCTAATGGGGCCTCCCGCTGCTGTCGTGCCGCCAGAGCACGATTTCTGTTCTCATCCTGAAGCAAAGTGCTTAACCCGAAATACTATTTCTGGGTTAGCGGAGTCTGTAACCTGAAGTGTATGTAACCTGAATTGTATCTAACCCGAGGTACCACTGTATTCTATTTTAAATGAAAATTCTCTAATATTCTCATTAATCAAGAATATTCTCGAGAATATTCTCCAAAAGATTACTCTCAAGAATTTAACATCACTACTTAAGAGTGAGATACAAGCCTCTCTTACTACACATTATGCACTGAATGAAAGGCTACTTTGCTTGCTCCATTTTCTCCAGACAGTAGGATAACTTCTACTGTGAGTTATCATGCACAGATGAATGTGCAAGCATTTTACACCATGAATGAAAAAGCTACTCAGAGTGGCTGGGGCAACCTAGTCAGATGGGCAGCCCATAAATGATGATGATGATGATGATGTGAAGAGTAGGGAAAACCTGTTGATGTACTGGCTTCTCCATACATCACTGGGGAGTAGATTGAACTGTGCACACAGTTGTGTATGTGGGCAAGGTCCCTTTAACCAGAGAAACTGGTAAGGCTGCAAGTGCGAACTCCCCCTGTCTGTCCCAGCAAATGCACAAAACAGCATTAATGAAGAACAGCAGTCATGATCCAGCTTCCATGCTGAGCATGCAGAGTCACACACTCTGCCATGGAGACACATCCAAACCTTTGGACTTTCCTTTGCAAGCAAAGTGCAGCTCTGCCTCTTCATAGGTGCTTGGATTGTGGCTTTTTTGTGTATCTTAGCACAACCATTTCTTCAAGGAGTCAAGAGGTTGGAAGATGCAATGGAATAAGCTAGTTGAGGGTGTTCACACTGAAAAAAAATGCACACTTAAGTTTTTGTTGGTGCAGATGTGGTTTGGTTTTTTGTTTTACATACAAACTTGATTTTCCTGGTGTATATATTTTATACTTAACAAAGGGTTAATTTTGCCACTGTATTTATTTTTTGTTAACTGATGTGAACCTAAATGTCACTTTCAAAATGAGAATTCTGCCTCCGTCTCTTTCCCTTCATTGTGACTATGAGCCTGCAGCTGTACATTTCTGAGCTGGAAATGTAACTCCAATTGCTTCACTGTGCGGTAAAAACAATTGTGGCTTCACACAACAAATTCCTGACTAATGTGGTTCACATATTTTCTAGACTGATTGTGAGTAAAGGGCTTGGCCTTTTGCAATCCTTGCATCTTTCAAGGCAGTCACTGCTGTTTCTATTATTTGGGCAGCACAGGATCATGGCTGAGAGATAATGAGGTTCTGTCAGCCATGATATTGCCCAAATATTTTCAAGCATCCCTGCATGATCCCCAAAATGGAACATATTATGTAGCAAATAAGATGCTATTCAGATTATGCTGTATTAAAGCAGCCTGCTCAAGACATTTCTTTATGAAAGCTGCTTTGCAAGGGCTTATTAATGCATTATATTACAAGCACATGCAAACAAAGTGCTGAATGTGAAAGTGGCTTGTCTCTTTGGACCCAACTAAGTGCCACACTGCATCAAAAGAGCAAAGGATCCACTGACTTGCTAAATGTCACAGAATGTCTACACCGCTTAAGGTGCCTCTGTTCTGGAGGGCCAGCTGACATTGTAGGTTTAGCAGTGTGAAGCTACTCAAATGTCAGGCTTATTCCTGCAGACTTTTATCTGTCTGTGATAAGCACAGAGTGACTGAAGGGTGTCTTGTGCCCCTTCCTTTGGGGTTGCAAGAAGATGCAAGGATCAAACAAAGAATTAGGAGCATTGATTTTGGTTTAAACTTCGGGATAGACAAGAAAACTATTCTAAAGGGAGAGGTCTGTTATACTTACAGGTGCCTGCTGAGCAAGATAAGTTGCTTTTAAGCCTGCAGTGGTATTAAGAAGCAATACTCTATGAACAAAGGTTTAAATAAAGACCATCTTTTTCTAGGAAGCCTCTCATGTATTGCAGTCTCCTGCCTTTGAAGCTCTACAAAAGGGCAAGATCTGAATTACTAAAAGGGGTAAGCTAACATTCCTGCCAATTGGTGTGTTTTTACTTTGGCCATCAAAACTAACAGCTCGACAACAGCAAGCTAACTTTCTGAGAGCTGCAAAAAGGGCTCTTGCGAGGAGATAACTTACATTATCCTGGACTCAGTGGGCCACTGGCACAATGACACAGAGAGGACAGTCCACTTGCCACAAATGTCCCAGAGCAAAAACAAGAAAAGGCTTCCTTGTAGCAAGAGGGCTGATTCCCAGTTACCTCCTTGCAAGCACTGAAAGAATCCACAATACCCAACAAGGCCCTCTTCAAAAGGATTCCTTTTATTTTCATGTGAAACTTAGCTGCATATTTCTGGCCTGGTTACGACGACAATCCCAGAGTCGTCCATCCCCCCCACCCCACCCCCAGCTTGCCCCGCATAGCACACCCAGAAATTGCAACTACCTTTCTTCTGGAGCGCTTTATAGAGATTCCCTTCCCTTCGGGGACTTGAGACAGATTCAGTTAAGAGTGAAGATTAAATAAAGTCAGGCAAAACTTGCAACTGGTACATTTGGAGAGGCTGCCCCCCCAAGGGGAGGTGAGCAAAGATTAGCCCTGCAGCTGGTCTGAGGCACCTGAAAGCCCACGGATGTGTCTGCCAACCATCACAAGGCAGCCTTCCCCAGCCTGTGCCCTCCAAATGTTTTGGATGACCCCCCCATTAGCCAAAGCATCCCACAGCTCTGCTGGCTAGCCCCCCATCCCCCACCCAGGAGTTGTACTACCAAATAGTTGGATGGCACCGCCTTGGCAAAGGCTGCTGCTCTGAGGGACTTCCTGTGGTGTGGCTTCACATTTGCTTCCCTCCTGCCAGTTTCTGAAACAACATTTGAAGGAGGTGGAGCCAGCTCACCTCTTCGCTTGCTACCCAGCCCCTCTGTGCCTCTGGAGAGGGAGGAGGTGGTGGCACTGCTGCCTTGCCTTGCCCTGACCCCCAGCCCCCTCCCCTGTGTTTATTGCTAGCTAAGGCCACATGGTCTGCAGGCAACAGAAAAACAAGCAAAATTTACTCCTATGCTGCTCCTATTCCCCATGGCACCTGCTTTAAGAACTTAAAACAGACAAAAAATGCACTTTCTAGAGGAAAGGGAGATAATAAGCACTATAAGAAGGCAACATAAGGTTCCCTTTTGGTCAAGAGAACCTGCTTTACAGCAGTCCCTTTCTCCCTTTTAATATGGGGAATTGGGTACTGAGTTAAGTTCCCCTCAATTCCCTTTTTTTCTTTTTTAAAAAAACCCAAACACTCCTATACACACAAAGACCCTTATAAAGCACCTGTGTGGGACAGGAGGTCTTGTGCCCACTGGAGTAGCAAACAGCTGGGGTTGAGATAGTGTTAAAGGCTGGAAGGAAATAGGGCATTATGCCTAGAGCATCCTTCCCCATACCTGGAGGTGCCAGGTTAAGGTAAGGATGCTCATGGCACTGTCCCCAACAGACAGTGGCTGCTGTTCGCTGGATTCAAAGACAACCTGGAGGACTTGCTGCATCTTTGACCGGCAATGAGATGATGCTCACACAAACCTTCCTCAAACAGGGCAAGTTCCCTGCAGTGCTGGACACTAGCCAAAGTGCCCCCCCCCTTTTCAGAAAAAAGTTGAAGGCAGCCCAAGAAGTTCGTCTTTTAAGTCCAAAGTTCAGAGCACACAAAAGGAGAATGAAGCTTGAGAGGTGAGGACGGCTCCTGTAGATCTGCCGCAAATTGTCCCCACAAAGGACATTTGTAGCCTGGCGCAAGGTGCAGCCAGCCCTGGGCAGCTGAGCCCACGTGCTTCTCAGCACTGAGAAAGGATTAGGCTCTTCCTTTTGCTTTGAGAGACAGAGAGAGAGGGTTGCGGGAGCTGCCGCCTGCCTGCCTATTTGTCAAGGAGGGAGCGCTGGAGAGCTCGCTGCAGCTCTGCCTCCTCCTCCTCCTGCCGCCGCTGCTCCAGGTCCTGCTGCTCACGAACAGAAAGCTCCATAGCCAGGCGCAGGTCCCGATCGAAACTGGAAGATTCCTGCAGAGAGGTGGAGGCTGGAGTAGCCAAGAAGCTTTCCTGCAAAGCCCTGGGGGAGAGGAAGAGAGATGGAGTGAAACACTTTTAACCAGCTGCCCAGCACAGAGCCTGCTTTCCTAACACCCCCTGACTTTCTGGGGCAAAGCCCCCCTCCCCCCAATGCATGGAGAGCAACGCTCCCGAGCAGAGGCATCAAGGACCTGCTGGAACAGCTGTGAGAGCTAGAGCCACAGCAAGGAAATGCCTGGGTCTTGCCAGGAAGCCGCTATGCCTCCACACCCCCTCCCAGGTCAGTGTTTGCAGGGAACTTAACTGGACCAGCCGAATGATGCGCAGGTGCTTAGGATGTATATTCATCCTCCCCACTGCCCTTTGTGGGCGACTTTTGTGTTTCTCACTCTCACATACTCGATTTTCATGGAAGGAAAGGAGGCCGGAATGGCTTTAAACGAGGGTTAGACCAATTCATGAAGGAGAAGGCTATCGGCCGCCACTGGCCAGGATGGCTCTGCTCTGGCACCACAGCTGGAGGTGAGGCAGCTACACTTCTGAACACCAGTTGCTGGAAGCCACAAGAGGGAGAGGTGCCCTGCTCTTTGGTTCAGGTCCTGCTTGCTGGTTTCCCGCAGGCATCTGGTTGGCCACCCTGAGGACAGGGTGCTGGACTAGATGGGCCCCCCTTGGCTTGATCCAGCAGGCGCTTCGGATGTTCATAAAAGTCTCCCACCCACAAACAGAAAAGGCAGAAGATGCTGCAGAAGCTACACAGAAAAGGAGTGACGACAGGCTCAGCCTGAACTAAGACCATAATGGCCCCTCCTTTTACGTGGTCCCTCCGAGGCCTGGAAAGGGGGGGGGGGATCAACTAATGATGGGCAGATGGTGAATGAGAGAGAGAGAGAGAGAATGGGTGGATGAATGAACCAGGGCTGTCCCACACACTTCTTGCTTTGGGTCCACTCAGGGTTGTTGATATGTGGCCTCTGATCACCTTCCCACAAGGGAATGCGGTCCCCAACTTCGAAAGGGCCACCCACCCCTGCTATGAGCAGCTGCAGCAGAGTTGGTGAAAAGCACTTAGCAGCCCTGCTCTACTCCTGCACTTTCCACATATTCCATCCCTCTCCCACCAGAAACCCCTGGGAGATGAGAGCTCCTGCATGGGAAGGCCAGGCAAGGGAGCGTGAGATACTCCCTGTCACTAGCAACAGATGCTCCAAGCCAGGGCTGGGGAACACCTGGAGCTCTCCAGCTGTTGCTGGGAATCCAACTCCCATCAACGTGGTCAGGGATGATGGGAGCTGGAGTTTAATAACAGATTCCTCTGGTTCCTCCTCCCTGCTCTACAGTAAACCCTGGATGGGGCTCAGCTTCCTAGCACCTGGTGGTGAGTAACTCCTCATGTTTAGCAAGAAGGAACATTACCTTTGATACTGAAGGTTGAGGTCCTGTGAGTAAGAGACAGCCCCATTCAAGTCTGGTCCCAAAGCCTCCTGAGAAGGACATCAGAGCAGTTAATACCAGTGACAATTTGAGACGCACACTCACACATCATGCAGAAGTGGCTGGTGCTGGGGGTCTAATACCACTGATATCTTTTCTAACCCACTTTTCTATTGGATGCATTAAAGTGACTTACAAAAACTCAGAACAAACCAATCTAAAAAACTAAACACAGCAAGATGCGATAATAGTAAAACACTAGCATTAAACTAGCATGTTAATTCAGAAGCCAAACAATCCTTAAAAGTAGCAACATTAAACATGAAAGCCTCAGTGGTCTTGCTGTGGGTTTTTTAAAGTCTCCAGTGGTTGCCAAAAAGCAAACACATGAAGGAGCTTGGTGGATCTCTCCTAAAATGGAGATCTAATGCTGCCCTCAGCTCAGTGGCAGAGCACATATTTGACATGCAGAGGGTTCTAGGTTTTATCCCTGACATCGCAGACAGGGCTGGGGAAGGAGACCTGACAGAAACCAGAGCTGCTGCCAGTCAGTGTAGGCCAGTGATGAGGAACCTGTGGCCCACCAGAAACTGTTGAATGCCAGGTCCCATCATCCACCGCTAGCATGGCCAATGGGAGTGGTGGTCCTGCAACATCCAGAGGGCCACAGGTTCTCCATCTCCAGGAGAGACCAGTGGTCTCAGTATAAAGCAGCTTCTTGAGTTCTTTTGGACATGCATTGTTGCATTCCCAGGATGCAACAGACTCCCTCAGAAAGTGGTGGACTCTCCTTCCTTGGAGGTTGGGGAACATGGTTCACATGCATCGTCTGAAGACCCCATTTGCCAGATCCCCTGGCCTTTCCTGTGCTCTGATTATTTCACACAAGAATTCTCCCATTATGCTGCTGTCCCAACTCTGCCTCCTCAGGTGGCCCCTTCTGCAGTGTGAGAAAAGAGCAGGGGCAAAGCTCAGCAAGGCCTTCCAAGCTCATGAGAAGTTGGCCAGGGGTGTGAGGTAAGGGAATGGGAAAAGATCCCTGAGCAAGAGGGGCTCACTCTGTTCTGGCCAGACTCCATCAGGCTCTGCTGGATAGCAAACTGCATGATCTCGTTGTCTTCATCCTGCACCCGGACATTCCTGCCATCGTCCTGAATGTGATAGGATTTAGGGATCTCAAAGACGGACTGGTCGACCACAAAGGCAGAGGCTGGAGTAGCCATGTGGGGGGGGAAAAGGACACCAAGCATGAACCCCAGGGATTGGCAGAAAGCCCATAAAGCAGAAAGCAGAGGTGTAGCAGTATTATTTCATTTGGCTTGCTGGCATAAGGATGTAATTCTCTCTTAGGGTGAAAAATGGTGTAGCCCAAGGGTGAAGATGCTGACGATGGGCCCACAGCTCAGGCGGAGCACCTGCTTGGCACAAAGGATGCCCCAGGGTCAGTCCTGGGTGTCCCCCATTAAAAGGATACGACTAACACGCCACAGTCTTTGCTCCTCCTCCAACCCTGGATGGAATCAGCCTTGGTTGCCCTGGTGGATAGCCCGTGTCAGGAGAGGGACCGTTCCTTGATCTCTCAGCGACCTTCAATACCGCTGACTGTGGCATCTTCCTAGATAGCTTCTGTGGCATGGGAATCAAGGGGAGTGGACGACTGCAGAAGGTGCAGAAACACTGGAGGAGTGCTCCTCAACTCCACAGGGTATCCAATGCTATCCAGTATCTATATGAAGCTCCTGGGAATGGCCATTAGGAGTTTGGGAGCACGGCACCATCAGTATGCAAAGCTCCAGGGCTCTGGACATATCTTGAACGAAAACTAGGGAAAGCAGGGAACACCTTTTCACCTCTATCATGGCAACCAGGTGAGCATACAATGTCCACTGCTCTATTTAACAGTAGTGCAGAATCAAATAATAGGGCCACTGAACTGGTCTATCCAGTGGTACACCCCATGAGAAATCAGAAAATAGGAGAGACTTCCACAACATGGTGGCTCTCCAGATGTTGCTGGACTCTTGCCATCTCTGACTGCTGGCCATATTGGCTGGGGCTGATGGAAGTTGGAGTTTGCAACCAGTTTGTGAAGGATGCGTTATTGCGTTGAGCATTTTAATTTGTTGCAGTGAACATAATAAGGGATCCATAAACACCTAGAGGACCACACATTGGGGAAGATGGCACTATCTATCCCTCTGCTGCACAATGCTTTGGGAGATGATCTCAGGTGAAAAGTGGGTTTTAAATATATAAAAATGAAGGAGATATCTTGCATAATTCAGCCTGTGTGAAGGCGCAACCAGGAGCAAAGAGGTCCACACATTTTGTCCACTTAAATCTGACTGCCACAGAGTCTCCCAGAGGAACATCCCAATCTGGAAACCAAAGGGTTCCTCTTACTTGAGTTCCTCCCTCAAACCCTGGAGCAGCTCTCTCACCAGATGGCTGCTGTGCCCCATCTGAAGCCTGGGGAGACGCCTCTTCTGCTGTGCTGCAGCCGTTCACATTCCCAAAAGTAATGCGAGCATTGAGGATGTGGAACAATGGGATCTCTGCAGTTTGGGGGAAGGGAAGAGGGACAGGAGAGGTTGAGCAAGGTCACCAGTTATCCTCATCACCACAGTTTGCTTTGAAGGTGCCCCAAGACAAGAAGCACCGTTCAAGGGGGGAGGGAGTTGATGTCTTGAACATGGTGGCAGGTGGGGGGCAGGAACCGCCAGCACAAAAAGGGTCATACCGATTTTAACTGGAAATCCAGGAGGAAAGTCCAAGGTGATGAAGTCTTTGAGTTGAGCAAAATGTGCACTGGTTCTGGCCATCAAGTCCACAATGGGGGTGACCTGCTCCACAAGGGAGAGGGGAAACTGTTCGGACATCCACAAGTTGGCTTTAAACCTACCAGAGATGAAAGTGTCATAAACACATCTGCCCCAAGTAGAGAAATACAGCACGAGTCAGTAAGCAGTCCTCCTCCCCCTCTCCCTGACACAGAATGCAATGTTGATAAGGAGCTAGCAGAGAGTGGGAGGGTGAGAAGTCAGCTCGCTCAAGATGCGCAGGCCGTGTCGTACTACAGCTCCCAGATGGGCGCAGAGAATCAGTGCACGCCCTCATAGATTCGGGAGCATCCAGACTTGGACTCGGTGGAGAGGTCGGGGTTGGCCACACAGAGTTTGGAGCTCCCTCTAGAAGTGCAGACCATCGATGGGCGGGGGCCCCTTATTGTCAGGGAGCATCTCAGACACCACGATGCCAATAGGCCTCGAGTTGCTGGGCCACCAAGAGACAATATCGTTCTTAAGCTCATCTCAAAGAGGGGGGGAATGCCAAGCCAGTAACTTAAAACATGGACCAAGTGAATGTTGTCTCTTGACTCAAGCCTTGACAAAAGCAAGCATTGCTAATGCTTCTGCACCGGGGGAAATGACATCCTTACCCAAAGCAAGCAAGATGTTGGGCTTCTAATGGAGGCCCCCAGCTGCAGTTGGTGGAGGATTTCTAAAATAAAAGGTGCTGTGGCTTGAGTTACCCTGAAAGACTTCTCTGACTCCCAGGTTCCTGGGGACCATGCTGTGAAGGGCTCTCTCACTGAATGGGTGCTGGGGCTCAGCGCAGGCTCAAATCAAGTGCTGCGAGGCTGCTTCAGCAGCAACTCATGGTCCAGCAGGGAGTGGGCCTGACTTCTGCAGGGAGCATCTTTTCCTCCAGAGAGAAACAGAGTGCAGGATTTGCAAGCTGGGGCGCAAGAGAAAGGGAGGGGAAACTGAATCAAAGATAACAGACGTTCAACAGAGTAGTAGATTTACTTCTGAGTCCGGATGGTCACTTCTTTGGGTCTCCCAATATCTCTGTCTTTCAGGTCAAACTGAGGGTTGAAATATTCCTCAGGAGTGATGGCTGTAGGGTTGTTGGTTGTGGCATATTCTGTCGTGAGGTCCTGGGGGAAAGAGGAGAGCACAAGGTGGGTGACCAGCAAGGCTTGGCAGAAACTCCTGGCTATCTGTCCAGGTTGCCTCAAAAGCCAATGGTGTCCCCAAATCAGAAGCCCAGGAGATCAGTAGCAGTGGGCCAAGGCTTCCCAACTCAGCAGGTCAGCTGCTCAGAGGGAGAGAGGGGGATTTTGCCTCAAAGTGAGTTGGCTCATCAGGCAAAAACAGAGGGCAGGATCGGCACAGGGAAACATGAAGGTGTCTGAAGGAAGACAGTCAGTGGGGGTGCAGTGGACCGTGTTAGACTAGGACCTGGGAGACCAGGGTTCAAATCCTCAGACCGGTCACTCACCCTCAGCTTCACCTACCTCACAGGGTTGTTGTGAGGAGAAAATGAGGAGAACTATGTGCACCACCTTTAGCACCATGGGAGAAAGGTGGAATATAAATGAAATAAAGTGCTGGCCTTTCACCAGAGGACTTCCAACATTTATTTGCTTTACATTTACACAAATTTATATTTTGAGGAGTTGAAGGCAGAACATCTTGGTTGGTCCCCTGCCTTCCGCCCTACATGGCTGGGCCAAAAGGGGTCTTCCAATGCAAAGCCCTCAGCTTCCGAGTGCAGGGCAGGCCTCTCAGCTGATCAGCATTACAGGGAGCCCATCTTCAAATGAGGCTTCTCCTTTGAACTTTGGCAGGCATTAACCACCTAAAGTAATTACATAATGATGTCATTATGACATCAGCTGATTGACATACAGGTGGTCCTGCCCACCTATCAAAGTTGCTCAGATCCCTTTCTCCACCCCTGGGCTAACTATGAGAAAATAACACAAGCTGCTGGGAAGGAGCTCAGGCCAACTCCTGCTTTTAAGTCCATGTTTATTATTTATTTTTAAATCAGCAACATACTGTGCTGTTTTATTCTTGCATTTTTTAATGCTAGCCAGTGGAGGAACCAGGAGGTTGAAATGTGGGACAGTGAGTAAATAATAGAGGAGGAGTCCTCTTCTGCTGAAGAGATCAGCCTCAAAATACATTTTGCACCTATCTCTGTGGTATAAAAACAGGAGTTCCTTGGCTGTTGCAGAAAAAATAACACTTCATGGTTCCAGAGGGGTAGAGAATCCAGAACACTTCTAGGCTGCCTAGAGGGACTTCCCCTCATGTTTCAAACCCAGATGCACAAACCTCTTCTCTTGGACGACATCATGAAATATAAAATTCTCTCATAAGAAATTTGTTTTGTATTAAATTTGCAGCATGAATCCTACTTTGCTCCCTTACTTTTATTCATTTTCCTTTGTCTTTCTTTATGTATTTTCAATTGTACTGTTAGCAGTTTTCCAGTAAAAGACTTAAAACCATAAAAAAGGAAAAAAAGACAATGCATTTTGCTCACCTGTTGTGCCCCGTACTCATGCTCGATGGTTCCCAAAAAGGATTCAAAGGGGTTTCTGTCAGCTGGAGGAAAGGGCGGGGGAGGAAGCACAACTGCAGTGTTATCTCTGTCAGCCCCCCATGTCATGCTAAAACCTTCCCACTGGGAAGCATGAACAAGGCTGGCCTTTCAAAAGGGACTCTCCCCACAGCCCCAATGCAAGAGCTGGAGACGCCCCCATTGGATCTCCTGGATCTACTCCTGGAGGGCAGGACTGGAAAATGGAGAGGAATCTCACATCCTTTCCAGTGTGCAAGGATCATGGGAAAATGATTCTCCCTCTGCCTTAAATATGCACAGTAAACTGGTTTGTGATGGAATCTAACATACATGGACGCTGTAACAAATGGTTCTGTCACTTTAACACATGACTTGAGCTGAAGAGCCACTTCTTGTGGCAGCGCTGGCAGCTCAGAAATCTTTGGTGCAAAGTGGGTCTTAACACAGTCATTGTCAACCTGGTGCCCTCCACGCTTTTTGGATTATTATTGACAGCCATGCCGACTGGGGCTGGTGGAAGCTGTAGCCCCAAACAACTGGAGGGCTCTAGGTTGGCAAAGCCTGCCTTAAAGGATCCAACATAAAATGTCAGGAAGGGGCAAAATTGGCAGTTGCAATTCTGCAAAACAGCCAGCAATAGATTGCCTCCACCACTTGTGCGAGGCTGGTAAGAACATAAGAAAATACAAAGAGCTTGCTGGATCTGGCCAGTGGCTCACCTAGACAGGCGTCCTGTTCTCACAGGGGCCAACCAGATGCCTGTGGGAAACCATCCACTAGCACAAGAGCCTTCTCCCCTCTTGTGATTTCCAGCAACTGCTATGGAGAAGCATTGCGGCCTCCGACTGTGGAGGCTGAGACAGCCATCGTGGCTGGTAGCCCTCTCTAGCCCTCTCCTCCTCCATGAATTTGTCTAATCCTCTTTTACAGCTATCCAAGGTGACCATCGCTGCCTCCTGTGGGAGCGAGTTCCACAGTTTAACTATGCACTGTGTGAAGGAGGACTTTCTTTTCTCTGTCCTGAATCTTCCATCCTGAGTCACTGACATCCCCGAGTTCTAGTGTTAGGAGACAGGTAGAAATAAATTTCTCTATCCACTTTCTGCATGCCATGCATACTTTTATAAACTCTTGACTCGCCTTTTCTCTAAGCTAAGAAGTCCCAAATACTGCAGTCTTTCCTCACAGGGGAATTGCTCCATCCTCTTGATCATTTGGGTGGCCCTTTTCTAAACCGTTTACAACTCCAGATATCCTTAGAGGATACCCACACTGTTCTGACTTCCAGCTCACCCCAAAGCCGCATGAAACAGCAGCAGGCCCTGCTTAAAACAGAGCCCCAAAACAGACCAGCTGCTCTTCCCACAGCCCTCCCAGCCTCCTGAATTATAGAGCAGCAGCAGCATGCCTGGGAACACATTTCATTTTGCAGGGGACTGAATTTTGGCCAAGCCGTCACCAAGGAATTGGGTCGTAATGTCTGGGCTCAGAATCAAAGATGCCTTGCCTGCAGGAGGGTGATCAACCTCGGCCCTCTCCTCCCACAGGACCAAATTACCTTTGTATCTCCTCTTCTCTTCTTCTGTCAAGTGCTCTGTTCTGATCTTGGTCACAACATTCACGTTGTTGGCCGTATAGACCTTGAGGGAAACAAGGAGGAGGAGGGAGAGATGTAGAGAGCCCAGCTAGTTCTGGAAGCCGCCATAGAAGTGGCTACGGGGTAACTGACAAGGAGGGTCCCAACCCATCCTCATCCTACCCCAATTCCCAACACAAAGGTGCCAAAGCACCATCTGTTGGCCAGCTAAAGCATCTCATTAGGGCTCCTCTTGTGGAAGGGTCTCCCCAGGGAGGCTCACCTGGCGCCTTCCTTACATAAAGCATTCCTCTTCCCCATCGCCTTCGGCTTATTAAACTATCTGTGGCCGTTTAAACTCTGAGGGGGAGTACTGTTTTTGTTTGCTACTATGGGATGCATTTTTGTAAACTGCCCTGTGATCCACAGTATAGAAATTTTAATAATAACAACAACATCTCAATATATAATATGCACAGTAAACTCTTTGGAGGGTACAGCTAGCCTGTGTCATTTGGAGTGTCTGTAATTCTGGTAGGGAAAAAAGGAAAATTGCATAAGAACCTCCACAGCCGTACCAAAGGCCCACTGCGTCCTTTGAAAGAAGCAGGTCAAAACACCTCTCATTAAGTTCTCAAGCAGAACTTCATAGTGGAAGAGGAACACTTGATGCCTCTCAGAGACATCCCATCATCAAAACCACCTAAGAGCATAACAGCCCTGCTGGGTCAGGCCAACCGGGGCCCACCCAGTGCAGCCTCCTGTTCTCACAGTGGTCAACCAGGCGCCTCAAGGGGAAGCCCCCAGGGCAGGACGCAAGCCATAAGCCCCCTCCCCTCCTGTGGCTTCCAGCAACTGGCATTCAGAAGATTTACTGCCTCCAAATGAACGTCATTGATAGCCTTCTCCTTTGTGAACTTGCCCAATCTATTTAGAGCCTCTTGACATGGAGGCTGCATTTCTCTCGAATGTTACCTAAAGCTGCCAATGGACATTTCTTCTTAAAGCCACTGAAACTGGTCCCAAAGAGTTACAGAGGCTCATTTCACCCTGTCTTTTGCTTGTCATGAGCACACTGCCAATCCATGTTTTCATCAGATAGCTGTACATCCTTACACTGTGAGACAATGAAGCCCATTATTTGCTGTTTGCTTTTCCCAGACCATCTGAGGCCTCATTCATGCCACTCTTCCAAATCAGAAGCAAAGGTTTTCAGGCTGCATGCACTTTTCATCAGGTGTCAAGTCCTCATGGCTGCAAATTAAAGCTCTGTGGAAGGGGGAGATTTGTGGGCAATGCCTGGAGAAATCTTAAAATGCTGAGCAAGGCTCCTAGCTGTCAGGGAAAAGGGACATCAGTACAAGAGCAACAACTGACCTTTGCATCATAATCGCTCACCAATTCACTCTTCTCAGTTCTCCAGACCCAGAAGCCGGACGTATTTCTGCAAGAGACAGGAAGCTATCAAAGAATCTGTGCTTCTGCCTTTACAAACTGGCTGTTGGAAGTGCAACAGCAAGGACCATTGGGTTTGTAACTCAAGAACTGAGTGTTAACTAGCCAAGAGGGTGCCAGGTGGAGGTGCTGCATGATGCTTGCTAAGGTAGCATGTACATGGAGGAGAACCATGGACTTGAGCACCTTGGGAGAAAAAGCAGCATATAAATGTGATAGATAGATAGATAGATAGATAGATAAATAAATAAATACATTCACTACCCACCTCTTTAAGGAAAGAACCAGGAAGGGACTCAAAACTCCCACCAGCCCCCCGTGCACCTAGGGGAGCCCATTACCACTCCATGGTGGCCTTGGCATAGTTTCTTAGCAGGATGAGAGAAAAAGAGAAAAAAGAGAGAAGAGGGGAAGGCTTCCTCCACCTCCTCAGAGTCCCCATATCCAAAGACAGGGGTTGGGGAGCTCTGGATGCCTCCTCTCCCTGCGCCAGACTCTGAAACTGGGGCTATATGAGATCTAGGGCAGGGGTAGCCAACCAGGCAGCCTTACTTATGGGGGTGCCATTGCAGTTCAAAATGTCTGGAGGGCACCAGGCTGGGCAAGGCTGGAAGAAGGAGCAAAAAGGGTTTCTTGTGTGTGTGTGTTTCTTTGTGGCTGATTAGCTGTTCTCCCTGTGCAAAGGTCAGAGGGGGCAGGGTTTCTGTTTTAGATTTAGGAGAGCTAGTCTCAAACGTTTGTTGGGGGAGACCTAGGTTTTTTTTGTGGGGGGAGTTATTTGTCCTGTCTTTACGCTTTTTTTTTTTTGATGGAGGACCGCTGTAGCCACCCCCAATGACACGTTCGCAAGATGGAGGGGGAGGGAACAGCTGCAGTCGCCTGCGGTTCCTGCGCAATGTTTGCCATCTTGCCAAAGGTTGCAGGCAGCTTTACCTGCAGCAATTGCATGTTGATTGCCCTCTTAAAAGACAAAGTCCAGCAACTGGAGGAACGTGTAGCTACGCTCCAAAGAATTAGGGAGCTGGAGCTTTTCTTGGAAGCAACAGAGCACACCGTCTCCACCAAGGAGGAGACAGGGGACTCCCTTGACAAGGAGGCTAGTACACCAACACAGGAGCCAGATATATGGAGAAACGTGACTCAAAGAAGTAGGAGGCCCAAGGTTCGCTCTGATTGTTTAGAAATACACAATCGCTTTGAGGTCCTCTCCCCTAGCATGGAAGATGAAGAGCAGACTCCATTTGAGGATCTCTCCCTCATTACAGTCGATCAGGTATATGAAGACGAGCAGCAAAGTCAGTCCTCAGGGAATGTGCAGGCGACCTTGGAACGGACAGCTCACGGAAGAACCCCGACCAAACCTAAGAGGAGGCGTGTAGTGGTGATAGGGGATTCCCTACTGAGGGGAACAGAAGCAGTGATCTGTGGGCCTGACAAGATGTCTCGGGAAGTGTGCTGTCTCCCGGGGCTAAGATCCAAGATGTAACTGAACGACTGCAAGGAATCATAAAACCCACTGACAAATACCCCTTCCTCTTGGTTCATGTGGGAACCAATGACACTGCAAGCAATAGCCTCCAGAAGATCAAAAGAGACTACGAGGCTCTGGGCAGGAAATTGAAGCAATTAAATGCACAAATTGTCATCTCATCTGTCCTCCCAGTTGAACGACGTGGCCCAGGGAGAGAGGGAAAAATAGTGGAAGTGAACAGCTGGCTTCGCAAATGGTGTAAACAGGAACGGTTTGGATTCTTAGATCACGGACTGCAGTTTCTTGAAGATGGACTTCTGGCAAGCGATGGGCTGCACCTCACAACGGTTGGGAGAAATGTTTTTGCCAAAAATCTCAGAAACCTCATCAGGAGGGCTTTAAACTGACTAATGTGGGGAGGGAGACAGTGCTCCTGAAGGTAGGAGTCTATCAATTGATGAAGATGATCATCCAAATGTCATAGACCAAATGGAGCAAACAGCACGCAGACCTAGTGGTGGGAGGAAAAAATCCTTAAATAAGAGACACGGGGAATGATTAATGGACTTCAATGTCTGTACACTAATGCGCAAAGCATGGGAAATAAACAAGATGAGCTTGAGCTCTTGGTACAGCAAACTAAATATGACATAATAGGCATCACTGAAACCTGGTGGGATAAGTCCCACGATTGGAATGTAATAATGGCGGGATACAATCTATTTCAGAGAAACAGACCAGACAAGAAAGGAGGAGGAGTGGCGTTATATGTCAGGGATGTGTATACCTGTGAAGAGATCCAAGATTTAGAACCTCAAAGCCAAAGTGAGAGCATTGGGGTCAAAATTAAGGGAGAGAAGAAGAACAGTGACCTCATTGTGGGAGTTTACTATAGATCCCCAAGCCAAACGGAGGACATAGAAGATGCCTTCCTGGAACAGATGGCCAAGCATGCAAAACGAAGGGAGATAGTAGTAATGGGGGACTTCAATTACCCGGATATTTGTTGGATGTCAAACTCAGCCAAGAGCATAAGGTCAAACAGATTCCTCCCTGGCCTTGCAGACAACTTCATTGTCCAGAAAGTGGGAGAAGCAACAAGAGGAACAGCCATTTTAGATCTGGTCCTAACCAATGTTGATGACCTGGTTAGTGGGGTAGAAGTGGAAGGATCATTAGGCGCGAGTGATCATGCTCTTCTGAAGTTTACTATACAGCGGAAAGGAGCAGCCAAGCATACTAGGACTCAATTTCTTGACTTTAAGAAAGCCGACTTCATAAAACTTAGGGAAGTGCTGGGTGAGATCCCATGGACAGTAATACTAAAAGGAAAGGGAGTTCATGATGGCTGGGAGTTTGTTAAGAGGGAGATACTAAAAGCACAACGTCAGGCAATACCAATGAGACGGAAACATGGAAGGTGCCTAAAGAAGCCAGGGTGGCTATCTAAAGAACTTTTAACTGAGTTAAGATTAAAAAAAGGATGTGTACAAAAAATGGAAAAGGGGGGAAACCACCAAAGAGGAATTCAAACAAATAGCCAACACGTGTAGACACAAAGTCAGAAAAGCTAAAGCACAGAATGAACTCAGGCTTGCTAGAGAGGTTAAAAGCAACAAAAAAGGCTTTTATGGGTATGTTCGTAGCAAAAGGAAGAACAAAGAAACAGTGGGGTCACTCAGAGGAAAAGATGGTGAAATGCAAACAGGGGACACAGAAAGGGCTGAACTCCTCAATGCCTTCTTTGCCTCAGTCTTCTCCGATAAAGAAAACAATGCCCGACCTGAAGAATTTGGAGCAAATGATTCAGCAAAGGAAACACAGCCCAGAATAACTAAGGAGATAGTACAAGAATACTTGGCTAGTTTAGATGTATTCAAGTCTCCAGGGCCAGATGAACTGCATCCAAGAGTATTAAAAGAACTGGCAGATGTGATCTCAGAACCACTGGCAGTCATCTTTGAGAATTCCTGGAGAACAGGCGAAGTCCCGGCAGACTGGAGGAGGGCAAATGTTGTCCCTATTTTCAAAAAGGGGAAAAGAGAGGACCCAAATAATTACCGCCCAGTCAGTCTGACATCAATACCAGGGAAGATTCTGGAGCAGATCATTAAGCAAACAGTCTGTGAGCACCTAGAAAGGAATGCTGTGATCACCAATAGTCAGCATGGATTTCTGAAAAATAAGTCGTGTCAGACTAACCTGATCTCGTTTTTGACAGAATTACAAGCCTGGTAGATGAAGGGAACGCAGTGGATGTAGCCTACCTTGATTTCAGCAAGGCATTTGACAAGTTGCCCCATGATATTCTTGTAAAGAAGCTGGTAAAATGCGGGCTTGACTATGCTACCACTCAGTGGATTTGTAACTGGCTGACTGACCGAACCCAAAGGGTGCTCATCAATGGTTCCTCTTCATCCTGGAGAAGAGTGACTAGTGGGGTGCCACAGGGTTCTGTCTTGGGCCCGGTCTTATTCAACATCTTTATCAACGACTTGGATGATGGACTCAAGGGCATCCTGATCAAATTTGCAGATGACACCAAACTGGGAGGGGTGGCTAACACCCCAGAGGACAGGATCACACTTCAAAACGACCTTGACAGATTAGAGAACTGGGCCAAAACAAACAAGATGAATTTTAACAGGGAGAAATGTAAAGTATTGCACCTGGGCAAAAAAAATGAGAGGCACAAATACAAGATGGGGGACACCTGGCTTGAGAGCAGTACATGCGAAAAGGATCTAGGAGTCTTGGTTGACCACAAACTTGACATGAGCCAACAGTGTGACGCGGCAGCTAAAAAAGCCAATGCAATTCTGGGCTGCATCAATAGGAGTATAGCATCTAGATCAAGGGAAATAATAGTGCCACTGTATTCTGCTCTGGTCAGACCTCACCTGGAGTACTGTGTCCAGTTCTGGGCACCACAGTTCAAGAAGGACACTGACAAACTGGAACGTGTCCAGAGGAGGGCAACCAAAATGGTCAAAGGCCTGGAAACGATGCCTTATGAGGAACGGCTAAGGGAGCTGGGCATGTTTAGCCTGGAGAAGAGGAGGTTAAGGGGTGATATGATAGCCATGTTCAAATATATAAAAGGATGTCACATAGAGGAGGGAGAAAGGTTGTTTTCTGCTGCTCCAGAGAAGCGGACACGGAGCAATGGATCCAAACTACAAGAAAGAAGATTCCACCTAAACATTAGGAAGAACTTCCTGACAGTAAGAGCTGTTCGACAGTGGAATTTGCTGCCAAGGAGTGTGGTGGAGTCTCCTTCTTTGGAGGTCTTTAAGCAGAGGCTTGACAACCATATGTCAGGAGTGCTCTGATGGTGTTTCCTGCTTGGCAGGGGGTTGGACTCGATGGCCCTTGTGGTCTCTTCCAACTCTATGATTCTATGATTCTAAGACTGCTTGGGGAACAGCTGCTGGAGACCCAAACTTGAGCCTTGTCCCACAAGACCAGTGCCTGTCCCTCCCTCCCAAAGGGCAAAGGAGAGCCTGAGAGCTCTGGCCTCCTCCTCCTCCTCACCTTTCAAAGGCAATGTTCCTTGTGTCCAGGGAAGTGCTGATGATGGGAGAGGTGAGCCGCCTCTCCACCTCCTTGGTCTTCGGGGTCATGGAGTCCAAGGTCAGGCGCTTGATTTGCTGGGTGATCTCAAAGCGCTCCGTGGCAACCACCTTCTCATCGTGGTTCACCTCGATCAGCTCTGCCCAGTTCCCAGTATCTGGAGAGAGGAGGAAGATGCTTTTCTGGGCTCCTGGCCAGCACATGCACACAAAGGCCCTTACTTGGGAGTAAGAGAGTGATCTTTATTTGGGCAAGTAACATGACAGGCTCAGCAACAGACAGAGGGCTCAGGAGTCACAACTGAGGAGTTAAGGTGCAGAGCAAAAAGTTGAAAACTGGACGAAAGAGACAGAGAGTTCCTGTGAGTTCCCTCACCCACCTGACAAGCTTTTAGGGACAAGGCATGGCCTGCTCACTCACTCACCATGTGGGGATATCAGGATTGATATCCATTGGGGGAAGAGCAGGCTACTCCCAAGTGTGAAGGCAGCACCTGGTTTTTAAACTGATTGCTGGGTTTAAAATGGTATAAGGTCGATGTTTTCCTTTATACTTTTGGATTATTATTTTTTCAACAAAATAATATTACTGTGCATCATTTTGAGTGTGTCTTTTTTTGGCAGAGAGCCAGTGTGGGATGGAGGTTAGAGTGTCTGACTAGGCCCTGGGACAAGCCAGGGTTCAAATTCCCACTCAGCCATGAAGCTCTCTACGTGAACTTGGGCCATTCCTTGCCTCTCAGACTAATCTACCTTACAGGGTTGTTGTGGGGACTAAATGAGGAAGCGGAGAACCATGTACACCACCTTGAGCTCCTTGGAGGAAAAGGTGGCACATAAATGCAACAAATAAATGAATAAATAAAAAACATTGTGATCTGTTTAACTCAACAGCTTGGGGAAGCTGAAGCATTGCAAGGCACATTCTGCTTGCTCCTCTGTAGACCAATAACAATAACCAAGGACAGTGATAGCCAACAATGGGTGCCCAAAGGATAGTAAAGGCCTAATGTGGTCAGGTGACATTAATGGAGCCAACTCAGGTAGGTGAAGGACTCTGCAAGTTTCTGAATTTTGCAGAGCCCTTCTTCAAGTGGAATGGAAACACCATTTCCTGGGCTTTGTAAACAAACAAAGGCAAAGGTTTTCAGTTAGGCCTTTTTGCTGTACTGAGCAAGAGGCATCACCTGGGTGACAATCCAGAAATGCATGTTGCACTCTTAGCCTTTGGGGGAAAAACCCAAACATTATCAAGGAAGCCATGTACTCCACCTCTACCTGCCCCACTGCAGAGAGACTGTCTTCCTGCACAACTCACAGCACAATCCTAACTATGTTTACTCAGGAGTAAGCCCTATTGAACTCAGTGGGGTTATTAGGATTGCAGCCTTACTTTCTGCCTCCAACAGACTGCTGGGATCACTGCTGGTCGTGCCTCTGACTGATGGAAATGCCTCACCTCTTGCCCTCCAGGGCCCTGCAACCCCTGTGAGGAGAATCAGAACTTACAGGGTTAAACAGTTCTGTGTGACGTCTCACATTCTGAGGCGTGGTTATGTTCACATACGGGAATCTTTCTTTGTGTGTGAGCTTCCTTTCGTTTTTAGCTGAGAGACGAAAGAAATGCCTGCTCTCTCGCCGGGACAGATTTATGATGTTTTTCTTCTCATTAAAGGCTGTTAGAGATTAGCAAGAAGCCTGCGAACAGTCTGATTTATTATCCACACACAAGGCAACACTTTCTACCGCTGCAGAGCTCTGCTAAGAGCTTCAAAGAGAGCTCAAGTTTTTTCTATCGGCACAGGGGAAGTGTGCCGGGCGCCATCGTATCTCAGCAGGTTATGGGAACTAGCCAAGCTTTGCAAGCTGTTGCCACATCGTGCCTGTGTGTGGGGGAGAAGCCAGCTGGAGCTCCTGCTTAACATTTGAGGCAGTGAAGCTTGCTGGGGAGAATCTCATCTTCAGGACTGGGTGCCAAGAGGAGCTGCTGGTGACGTGAGTAGGCTCAGCCCCGGGGGAAAAGATGGCAGATGGCCAGGAATTTGAAAAATTAAATGGGAGCAACTGGAAAGAGTGGTCTAGGAAGCTGAAGGCCTGGCTGGTAGCCAAGGGTCTGTGGGAGGCGATCCAAGGGCCCCCACAGCAATCTCCAGCCGGAGCTGCAGCAGCGGTCGTTGCAGCTGCCCATGCCTCACAGAGGAAAGACCAGGAAGCCCTGGGAGCTATCGTGCTCAGTTTGGAGGGCTCACAGCTACCTTTGGTGGAGGGTCTTGACAGTGCCCAGGCTGTTTGGCAGGAGCTGGAGAGGGTTTGCCGAGAAACCACAGCGGAAGCCAAAAGCCACGTCCCCAGATGCAGTACAGCCTCAAGGAGAGCTGCTGGCAAGGTTGGGGGGGCAGAGAAGACCAAAGGCAAGTTTGCAAAGTTTTCCACCAGTTGTTTGTGTGACGAGGAGGAACGCCGTCTCAGAGAGGGCCGAGCTGGCTCAGGGTGCCCTGCCGGTAACAGAGGGGGGGCCAAGCCAGAAGGCACAGTTCAGGCTTTTTCCACTCGTTGTTGCTATGTCTGCAGGTCTGTTGACCACCTGCGTTGGTCCTGTCCGAGGAGAGCCAGAGAGGCCGGGCAGGATGTCTCCAAGGTCGCTTCCCGTGGCAGTCAGCCAAGTCCTTGTGGCAGCCAGCCAGGTTTCCATGGCAGCCAGTCTAGGAGAGGAGGCCAGCGTGGGAATACGAAGGGAGGATGTGACAGAGGAAGTGAGAAGGACGGTTCTTCTTATCACCTAGCTGCCTCCATGGCAACGCTAAAGGACAACTCCAGTGAGGGCAGCATGCTGCGTTGGGTCATCGACTCAGGAGCCAGCCATCACCTGATGCCATCTTGTAGCGAAATGTGGAACTGCAGGGCTGTTTCAACTGGGAAAACAGTCTCTCTTGCTGATGGCTCACAGAGACAATTAACCACTGTTGGCAATGTGTTTGTTTCTTTTTTACAGGCAGAGCTGGAAGTCTACGTTGTGCCAGGAATGAAGTGTTGTCTTTTATCTGTATCTGCTCTTGTAAAGGAGGGTTATAAGGTTTGCTTTGAAAATGATGTCTGTTCTATTTCCAGGGGTGGGAAACAACTGGTCAATGTTGCATGTCAGAACAACCTCTTTGTTCTGGAGACACCTCTGGAGGGTAAGGGGGACGCTGAGACAGCACAGGCGCAGTGTGCTAACGTTCCCATACATGATTCGTGTGCTCACTTGTGGCACAGGAGAATGTCGCATAGCTGTTGGAAATATATTCAGAAGTTGCCAGAATGCACTGAGGGTTGTAAGATGAAAGCATGTGATAAATTCTTGGATTGTAGGGCATGCAAAAGAGCAAAGATAAAAAGGTGCAGTTATCCCAGATCGGAGAGGGTAACCACAAGGCCTTTTGAGCTAGTGCAGACAGACCTTTGTGGACCCATGCCAGTGCCGAGTATGGGTGGAGCCAGGTATGCGCTCACGCTGACAGATGATTTTTCGAGGAACGGCTGGATTTTCTCGCTTAAACGGAAAAGCAAGGCGGCGCAACTGATCAAAGACTGGGTTGCGGCGGTGGAACTACAGTTTTCCACCAAGGTGCAGAGTTTTCAGAGTGACCGAGGCAGAGAGTTCACCGGGTCTGCTCTGCAGAGTTTCTTCTGCCAGAAGGGGATAAGTCACAGGTTGACGGTTGCTTTTTCTCCTCAGGAGAATGGCGTAGCGGAGCGCCGGAACAGAACGCTAGCAGAGCCAGCTGACGCTCTACTGTTTGACGCTGGTTTGCCTCAGAGCTTTTGGGCAGAAGCTTGGAAAGCTGCCAGCTTCACGTTGAACAGGTCCTATAGCTCTGTTGTAGGGGACACGCCCTATTTTCTGCTGCACGGGAAGAAGCCCAAGGTGCATTTCTTCCGTGTGTTTGGTTGCGAAGCTTGGGTGCTTGTGCCAAAGGCTCAATGCAAGAAGGGTGACCCGAGGTCCCGGAAAATGATCTTTTGTGGGTACGAGCCTGGGACAAAAGGGTGGAGGTTTGCCTATCCAAAAGGCGATCAATCCAGGATTCTAGTCAGCAGGAGTGCTGAGTTCTGTGTGCAGAGTGGGTGGGTCAAGGATCCACGCGAATCCTGACGTTCTCTCAGAGAGTCTGTCTGATTCTGCTGAGGAGGGAGAGTTAGAAGCTGAACCTGTTGATGAGGACCAGGTCTCTGACCAGGGTCAAGAACAGGGAGGGGCATCTCCACAGGTTGTTAAAAGAGAGCCCAAAAGTGAGCCTTCGTCTCCCGTTAGTCAAGTGCAGAAGGCCAGAAGACGCAGTAAGTCAGAGGGGGAGTCTTCTGATGTCAGAGACCCACTAGCTGGCCCCAGTGGGTCAGAGGGAGCACCTGAGAGTGCTCAGACGTTCCACACGCACTACAAAGGGGGTACCACCTGAGAGGTTTGAGGTCACCAGCGTGTGGGTTGGTTTAGCGCAGTGCGAAACAGAGAGTTTTGAGGAGGTTCAACAGTTGCCTGAAGCAGAAGCCAGGAAGTGGCAAGAGGCAATGGGAAAGGAGTTGAACTCAATGAGGTCCTTAGGTGTGTTCTCCACCACGAAGCTGCCAGAGGGCAAGCAGGCCGTGAGCTGTCGTTGGGTTTACAGGATTAAGCCCACAGCGTCTGGAGAACCACAGTACAAGGCGAGGCTTGTAGCCAGAGGGTTCTCGCAGAGAAGGGGGTTGCATTACACCGAAGTGTATGCTCCTACTTCCTGGAGTGAGACTCTGTGCATGCTTTTAGCAGTAGCTGCTCAAAGAGGGCACCAAGTGCACCACTTTGATGTGGATGTGGCTTATTTGAACTCGAATTTGAAGGAGGATCTGTACATGTTACCTCCTCCAGGGTTTGAGGGCAGTGAACCAGGTGTTGTGTGGAAGCTGCACAAGTCAATTTATGGTTTGAAACAGTCAGCCAGAAATTGGAACATGTGCCTGAATGAAGCTCTGGAAAGTTTGGGTTTCCGGAAGAGTCTTGCAGACAGTTGCCTGTACCTGAAGGAGTCAGGATCTGTGATGTTGTGTGTGTTGGCGCTGGTCTGTGACCGTATTAATAAATTCATTCATTCAAGGAGTCAGGAGAGACACAGGAGGCAATTCTGGTGTTTGTAGATGATATTCTGTACGTGGCACAGACAGGTAGACAGGTGCAATGTTTTGCCAAAGAGCTTGGTAAGAAGTTTAAGCTCAAAAACCTTGGTCTTGTTCAGGTTTATCTAGGCGTTAGGATAAACAGGTCTGAGAACGGGAGCTTCTTGCTCAGTCAGAAAGGTAAGATTGAGCAGTTGCTTGAGAAGTTCCGGATGTCTGACTGTGCAGGGGTCAGAACACCCATGGAGACCAACTTCGTGAAGGACAGTCAGCTTGGGGAGCGTTCTGAGTTCCAAAACCCTGAGGTGTTTCAGTCAGCGCTAGGGAGTCTGTTGTATCTCTCTCAGTGGAGCAGACCAGACATAGCGTTTGCTGTGAATCTGCTCAGCAGGGAGGCTACAAAGCCCAGTGTGAATGCCTGGCAAGGCATCAAGAGAGTGTTGAGGTATTTGCAGGATACCAAAGATTTTTGCCTCACATTGTCAGCTGAAGGTGACGCACGGCTTACGTGCTGGAGTGACAGCGATTGGGCTTCTCTTGGGGACAGGAAGTCGGTGTCTGGGCTGGTGGTAAAGTTCGGGGAATCCCTGGTTGGGTGGAAGTCCCGGAAGCAAAGTCTTATTGCACTTTCTTCCACTGAGGCTGAGTTCAGTGCGTTGTCGGATTTGTGCAGGGAGTTGGACTTCTACCGGTGCTTGATCCAAGAGATCTGTGGGGATTGTAACTTGTCCATAACTGTTTGGGGAGAGAATCAACCTTGTCTTAGGTTGGCAGAATCTAGACAGTTCAAGTCCAGAACCAAGCATTTGGACATACGTTTCCAGAATGTATGTCAGAGTGTCCCGGCAGGTTGGATACGGCTCAAGTATTGTTCGAGCCGGGAGAACCTAGCTGATGGGTTTACTAAACCCTTGACCTTCCAGCGACATGGGGAGTTCTGTGAAGGGTTGTGTTTGGGGTGAGTTATACTCACAGTTTCCCTCAGGATGCGAGACGAGAGGGGGTGTGAGGAGAATCAGAACTTACAGGGTTAAACAGTTCTGTGTGACATCTCACATTCTGAGGCGTGGTTATGTTCACATACGGGAATCTTTCTTTGTGTGTGAGCTTCTTTTCGTTTTTGGCTGAGAGACGAAAGAAATGCCTGCTCTCTTGCCGGGACAGATTTATGATGTTTTTCTTCTCATTAAAGGCTGTTAAGAGATTAGCAAGAAGCCTGCGAACAGTCTGATTTATTATCCACACACAAGGCAACACTTTCTACCGCTGCAGAACTCTGCTAAGAGCTTCAAAGAGAGCTCAAGTTTTTTCTATCAGCACAGGCGTCCATCGGCACAGGGGAAGTGTGCCAGGCGCCATTGTATCTCAGCAACCCCAGCCTGCAAGCCTGCAAGCCCTGTCCCCCTCTCTGCCTACCTTCTTCCCCCCTGAAGATCAGACTGCGCTTCCCTCGTTCCCAGCTCATGTTCTCAAATCCCAGCAGTGTGATGTCAACTCGCAGCTTTGCACCGCTCTTCCAGATGCGGCAAACATCGCTGGGGCAAACTCTGGAAACCAGCGGAACTGTTGGTAGTTGGAGAAAGGGAGAGAAAAGAAAAGTACCTTTTGCAAAAGAAGACTCCAATACCCAAGGTCCCCTGTGAGGTCAAACCTGTGGCCCACAGAGTCTGGTCTTCTGCTTCCAGGACTGGCCTCCTGGAGAGTCCCAGGAATCCCACCTGCAGCACAGCACTGGGAGAGCAAGGCTTCAGGAACATCATGACGAGCTGCTGCATGTCAAAATTTACCACTATATGCGTAACCCAGTAGCTAGCTGTCTTACAGCAGCCAATTCCAAACAATAAATCTTCGTTTTGCAGACTTTTCTCTCACCTGTCCAGAATCTCCTCCCTATCAGTTTCATTGGAGGACCCCACCCCAAGTTCTAATATTGCAAGGGAGGAAAATCTCTCAGTACCACCCATGAACTCACAAACCTCTGGCAGGCCCCTTTCCAATCATGCTTTTTCCTAAACTGGGTGGCGGCAGGCGGGCAGGTGAGGACCCTGCAGCCCCTCCAGATGCTGCTGGACTCCCAACTCCCACCACCAGCAGCCAGCCTTGGCAAGGGCCAGGAGAACAGGAACTGTAGCCCAACAGGGTGTGCAGAGCAGCATGTTCCTCATCCCTGATATAGCCTTTCCTTGTAGGGAAGATGCTCTCACCTCTTGTGGTTCACTATCTAGCATGTGGTTTGTATATGTGCACTCAGGTTAAACACAGACCCTTTGGGGGCTCTTAGGGAGTTTTGGCAGGACAGACACATAGACATAGTGCAACATAACTGAAAACAAGCAAGTCCCAGTAAGAGTGAGCTGAACACAAAAGGAAAGAGAAGGAAATTTAATTTGAACGTACCCCAACTGGTGAATTCCCATTTCATTTCCACATAAAAATCTGGTGTCTGTTGGGGGAGGGAAAAGAGCACAGTTGTGATGTGTGATTCAGACTGGGGTAGGGCCTATAAAATCCAATGTGTTACTTTAAAATGAAATGAATGCAATATTGCACAAATGGCATGGAACTTGCAGCCTGCAGGCCTCATGACGATGAAGTGGCCACATCATTAAGTGGTTTTCATAAAGAGAACTTGGTCAACACACAGATGAACAGCAGGCGGTTGGCTGTTCTGGGTGCTCTTTAAGCTCTTACCACCGGCTGATCTTTGAGGCTTGCAAAAATCCTTGCAATTTGAAGCTTCAACAATCAGCCAATAGCTGAGGCTTCAAAGCGCTTTCACCAGCCATGACTTTATAAGACCCACAACTGATCTCATATATCGCAGCAGGGGGTATGGCTTGGCCAACTGGAGAGGTCTGGAGGGCCCAGTAAGGCCAGTGACCGAAGGTTCCCCGCTGCTGTTGCATTAAGACATTAGACAGAAGTATTAGGCATCTGCTGTTCTTTTCACTGTGTTCCTCCAATGACTGCAACACCCCACTGCAAAACCTTCAGCACAATTTTATGTACATCTACTCAGAAGTCCCCTTCATGGATCACTGCCTTGCCGTGGTGAAGGGGCTTGAATAACTCAGAGAAGCTATGAGCTATGCCGTGCAGGGCCACCCAAGATGGACAGGTCATAGTGGAGAGTTTTGACCAAAAGTGATCCACCTGGAGCAGGAACCGGCAAGCCACTCCAGTATCCCTGCCAAGAAAACTCCATGGACAAAGACAACAGGCATATAAAAGTTATGACGCTGGAAGATGAGCCCCTCAGGTCAGAAGGCATCCAACATGCTACTGAGGAAGAGCGGAGGACAAGTACAAGTAGATTCAGAGCTGATGAAGCAGCTGGCCAAAGCCGAAAGGACGCTCAGTTGCGGATATGCCTGGAAGCGAAAGGAAAGTCCAATGTTGTAAAGAAAAATATTGCATAGGAACTTGGAATGTAAGAACCATGAACCTTGGTAAGTTGGATGTGGTTAAAAATGAGATGGCAAGAATAAATATTGACATCCAGGGCACCAGTAAACTAAAATGGACAGGAATGGGCAAATTCAGTTCGGATGACTGTGTATCTACTACTGTGGGCAAGAAACCCGTAAAAGAAATGAAGTGGCCCTCATAGTAAACAAAAGAGTGGAGAAAGCTGTACTGGGATGCAATCTCAAAAATGACAGAATGATCTCGATACGAATCCAAGGCAGACCGTTTAACATCACAGTAATCCAAGTTTATGCACCAATGACTGGTGCTGAAGAAACTGAAATTGACCAATTCTATGAAGACTTACAAAACCTTCTAGAAATGACACCAAAGAAGGATGTTCTTCTCATTATAGGGGATTGGAATGCTAAAGTAGGGAGTCAAGAGATAAAAGGAACAACTGGCAAGTTTGGCTTTGGAGTTCAAAACGAAGCAGGGCAAAGTCTAATAGAGTTCTGCGAAGAGAACAAGCTGGTCATCACAAACACACTTTTCCAACAACCCAAGAAACGACTCTACACATGGACATCACCAGATGTGCAGCATCGAAATCAGACTGATTATATTCTCTGCAGCCAAAGATGGAGAAGCTCTATACAGTCAGCAAAAACAAGACCTGGAGCTGACTGTGGCTCAGATCATCAGCTTCTTATAGCAAAATTCCAGCTTAAACTGAAGAAAGTAGGAAAAACCACTGGGTCAGTGAGATACAATCTAAATCAAATCCCTAATGAATACACAGTGGAAGTGAGGAACAGGTTTAAGGATTTAGATTTGGTGGACAGAGTGCCTGAAGAATTATGGATGGAGGCTCGTAACATTATACAGGAGGCAGCAACGAAAACCATCCCAATGAAAAGGAAATGCAAGAAAGCAAAGTGGCTGTCCAACGAGGCCTTACAAATAGCAGGGGAGAGAAGGCAAGCAAAATGCGAGGGAGATAGTGAAAGATACAGGAAATTGAATGCAGATTTCCAAAAAATAGCAAGGAGAGACAAGAAGGCCTTCTTAAATGAGCAATGCAAAGAAATAGAGGAAAACAATAGAATGGGAAAAACCAGAGATCTGTTCAAGAAAATTTCGTACAAAGAGGAACATTTCGTACAAAGATTACCATAATAAAGGACAAAAGTGGTAAGGACCTAACAGAAGCAGAAGACATCAAGAAGAGGTGGCAAGAATACACAGAGGAATTATACCAGAAAGATATGGATGTCTCGTACACCCTAGGTAGTGTGGTTGCTAACCCTGAGCCAGACATCCTGGAGAGTGAAGTCAAATGGGCCTTAGAAACCACTGCTAATAACAAGGCCAGTGGAAGTGATGATATTCCATCTGAACTATTTAAAATTTTAAAAGATTGTGCTGTTAAGGTGCTACACTCAATATGCCAGCAAATTTGAAAAACTCAGCAGTGGCCAGAGGATTGGAGAAAATCAGTCTACATCCCAATCCCAAAGAAGGGCAGTGTCAAAGAATGCTTCAATACCGCACAATTGCACTCATTTCACACGCTAGCAAGGTTATGCTTAAAATTCTACAAGGCAGGCTCAAGCAGTATGTGGACCGAGAACTCCCAGAAGTGCAAGCTGGATTTCGAAGGGGCAGAGGAACCAGAGACCAAATTGCAAACGTGCTGGATTATGGAGAAAGCTAGAGAGTTCCAGAAAGACATCTACTTCTGCTTCATTGACGATGCAAAAGCCTTTGACTGTGTCAACCACAGCAAACTATGGCAAGTTCTTAAAGAAATGGGAGTGCCTGATCACCTCATCTGTCTCCTGAGAAATCTCTATGTAGGACAAGAAGCTACAGTTAGAACTGGATATGGAACAACTGATGGGTTCAAAATTGGGAAAGGAGTACGACAAGGCTGTATACGGTCTCCCTGCTTATTTAACTTATATGCAGAATTCATCATGCGAAAGGCTGGGCTGGATGAATCCCAAACTGGATTTAAGATTGCTGGAAGAAATATCAACAACCTCAGATATGCAGATGACACAACCTTGATGGCAGAAAGTGAGGAGGAATTAAAGAACCTTTTAATGAGGGTGAAAGAGGAGAGCGCAAAATATGGTCTGAAGCTCAACATCAAAAAAACCAAGATCATGGCCACTGGGCCCATCACTTCCTGGCAAATAGAAGGGGAAGAAATGGAGGCAGTGAGAGATTTTACTTTCTTGGGCTCCATGATCACTGCAGATGGTGACAGCAGTCACGAAATTAAAAGATGCCTGCTTCTTGGGAGAAAAGCGATGATAAACCTAGACAGCATCTTAAAAAGCAGAGATATCACCTAGCCAACAAAGGCCTGTATAGTTCCCAGTAGCGATGTATGGAAGGGAGAGCTGGACCATAAAGAAGGCTGATCACCGAAGAATTGATGCTTTTGAATTATGGCGCTGGAGGAGACTCTTGAGAGTCCCATGGACTACAAGAAGATCAAACCAATCCATTCTTAAGGAAATCAGCCCTGAGTGCTCACTGGAAGGACAGATCCTGAAGCTGAGGCTCCAATACTTTGGCCACCTCATGAGAAGAGAAGACTCCCCGGAAAAGACCCTGATGTTGGGAAAGATTGAGGGCACAAGGAGAAGGGGATGACAGAGGACGAGATGGTTGGACAGTGTTCTCAAAGCTACAAACATGAGTCTGACCAAACTGCGGGAGGCAGTGGAAGACAGGAGTGCCTGGCGTGCTCTGGTCCATGGGGTCACGAAGAGTCGGACACGACTAAACGACTAAACAACAACAACTCAGAAGTCAGTCTCCCAGCCATCTGCATTAAGCAGCAATCTAAAACACTCATACCATTGAGGTTGCAACCCTGCATGCACTTATTGCGAGCATGCTCAACTAAAGAATGGGTAGCTTCCCCCCAGGGTTTTCTCAGAAATTTTACATTTCTTGTCTATAACTGAGCTGAGGCCTATCTATAGCCTTTAAAATGAAGGTTATGGAATTAAAAAGAACTGGCAAGCTAAATAGGCATCATTCATGCCTCTCTATTTACCTCATTAATTTTTTGGAGCAATTCTGGGACCCCACCAAGAGTGGTGGACGTTTGGTGGTAATCCCTATGTTGCAGGATCATGTGGACCATCTCAGGATCCCCTGTGCTGACAGCTTCATGCAAGACTGGAAAAAAGACAAACAGAGGGAAGCTAAGAGAGAGGGAAAGGGATTCACATCATGCTGGATACTTGCAACTAGTGAGCCAGTTCAAACAAGAACATGAACTTTCACTCCTGCTTTTCTGGAACTTTCTTAGCTCCCTGGACAGCCATCCTCAGAAGCTCCAGGACCTGCCTACACCTTCTGCTGAAAGCATAGAAACATCTAGGCCTAGAATAGGCATGCTTTAGCCTGGTCAGATCTACTTTTCCTTTTGTTACTGGAGTCCCCAAATTTAACGTAACACTAGAATGAAAGAGCAGAGTGCCTCTGAGCTGTTTTCAGTACCAGAACTGAACTGGAGCTCATAAACCTGTCCTACAAAGGTTCTCTCCTGCTTAACCCAAGCTTTCTTTGTTTCAAAAGTCTAATTTAAAGGGTGGTGGGAACTGTGTTGTTGGTGCCCTATTTAAACAAGTGGGAATTGGAATTCCTTGCCCAGGAATCCAAGTTGGTGGTTCCTTGAAGCACCAAATCAACGAGCGATCGACTAGTAGACCAACAGCTTTACCTTCTGCCCAACACTGGTCTAGGCCCTGCCTGAAGTTCTTCCTCTGTTCTCCTCCCTTTTGCTGCAAACATGCCTTGCTGCAACCCCTTACCTGTCCATCCCTGTGCATTTTCTTTGGTGACATCTGCTTTATGCCGCAGGAGGACTCTGACAGACTCGATGTATCCCAAAGAAACAGCAAGATGCAATGAGGTCCGGCCACGGGGATCCCGCTGGTCTACATCCTGCTAAAAAGCCAATAGGCAGACCTCTTCTAAGGCCTCTGCTATAGTCAACACAAGTTATCAAGGATGTACAGAGCTAAATATGAAAGCTGACAATGTTTCATGGAGTCTATGCTGACAGCTTCAACGCTGTTGGTGTTGCTTATAAGGACACATAGGCAGGCAAGCTTAAAATGAGACAGCAATCCCAAGAAAAATCAAACTGGTCATCCTTTATATAGAGATAAATAAAACACCCTATGCAATGAAATTATGAAGAGACATGGAAGAAATTCTGGTCTCAAACTGCACCTCATGTGGGGCACCCCACCAGATGTCTGTGAAACAGACAGATTTTGCCTCCTTCAATGTTTTGCAATTAAGCATAAAACATTTTTCTCTTAGTAGGTTCCACCAGCATCCAACTCAAGCAGCAATCTTATACTGAGTCAGATCATTGGTCCCTTTAACACGATATTGTTTACTTGCCCCAAACTTGTGCTCTCCAGATATTCTGGATACAACTCCCCTCTGCCTTAGGGCCATTTTGGACTGCAATTCCCATCAGCCACAGCAAGAATGGCAGGAGGCATCTGGGTAGTGACAGGCTGGGGAAGGCTGGTCTACCCAAGAGTGGTGGCAGCTCTCCCAGATGGCAACCGGTCTTCCTATGCGAGATCATTTGGCTGGAGATGCTGAGCACTAAACCTGGGGCATTTGGTGGGCAGAGTTCAACCCCTGAGCTAGGATCTCCCCTGCAATAATCATGAAAGCACTTGTGGGAAGAGGTTCCGCCTTTCTTTTTCCAACTGGAGCTCCAGAAGAACTGTGTCAGCAAGTTCCTCCAGGTTCTTACAATTTCCCAGCTCTTTGTGAGTCTGTGGGTGGGCTTTGGGAGCGAACGGGGAAGCCTAGTCTGCTGGGACTTTATCTCACTGTCTTGCCTCCCCTCTTCACCAGCCCAGATTTCTCCTACAGGAGGGGTGAGGAATCTGTTGCTGGGTTCCAACTCCTATCATCCCTGACCATGGATTGGCTATGCCAGCTGGAAGGTGGGAGTCCAACAACCCACAGGTAAGCAGATTTCTTCAACCTTGGGTCCCCACATGCTGCTGAACGACAAAACCCACCATCCGCAGCCAGCTTAGCCTATGGTCAGGGATGGTAGGAGTTGCGGTCCAACAACATCTGGGGACCCAAGGCTGAAGAATATTGCAGGATCCTCTCCCACTGGGTATCCTGCAGGATGAGGCCTTCCTGCACAAGTGCTGGCCCAATAGGGTGAAGCCATCTTCTCTCCAGCACTTGCAAATGGAGACACATTCCTCTGTGAATGTCCTAAGAGGCCTGGGACTGAGAGGGACTTCTGTGTACAAAGTCTATGTCCTCCCACTGTGTTATTCACCCTCTTGCCCCCCCCCCAAAAAGCTGAAAATAAGCTTTGCCCCCCCCCCCGAAAAGAAGAATCTGGCCTCTGATTTTCTGTACCAGGAATTGCTGTCATTCAGCTACGAGAGGATGCTATGGCAAAATGCCTGCTGATGCATATACCAGGCAATAACCTTTACAAAGCAAACTTTGTAAAATGACTGGTGATGTTATGGAAACAGATGGTCACTGGGATTGGACCCCCACTTGGGGGACGGACACGGACACGGACACACACACACACACACACACACAACAATGAGCGCTCTTGACAGACCACTACAAAATGCAAACCACACAAGGCAGAGAAAGAGCCACTAGCATGCAAACAGCAACACACACTCTCGCCTTACCTAGGTCTTTCACTACTAGCTTTAGAAATCTGAAACAGAAGAGCATCTATAACTAAGGGGGGAAAGTAAAAATCAACAGTGAGCCAAAGAGGAAAGGTCATGATCATTTTCAGTACTGCTGGTGGGAGTTCTATTGTGTAATCAGCGTGTACACAGCACTGCTTAGGGCAGCTTTCCCCAAGCTGATGCCCTCCAGATGTTTTGGATTGCCACACCCAGCGGTCCCAGCCAGCCATGTTCCCAACACACCACACATCAGTTTGTGCTGGTTGAGGCTGATGGGAGCCGTAGTCTGTATTTTCTGGAGACACTAGGTTGGCAATAGTGAGTTTAGGGTCACGTGGGCCAACACACACAAACACACAAGTTACACTGAAGTTGTAAGTTAGGCCCAACAACAGATAACCAGGTTTTTCACTGGCCAATGTCCCGCATTTCAGATGATTTAGCAATTAAGATTCAACCTATCTGCAGATTACCAAAACCTCACCAGCAATAAAATTGTATGACTGCTGACTGCAGATGGGCTAACTTCTGTGTGAACATGCACAAGGCTGCAGGGAAGATATCAAAGAATCCTGAGTTCAGTTCTGGCCATATGTAGATTATTTAAGCTTAACTGATAAACAAATCTTCTTTAAATCACAGGTTCAGGCACAATCCCTATGCACACTTTCGTGGGAATCACCCCACCTGATTTAGTGAAATTTAGTTCCACAGTAAAAGAACTGCTATTCCTTGTAAGAAGGAAAGACCGTATGTGATATTTTCCTTACCATTCAGAATTTCAGCTACACACCAGGACCTCTAAGTGACAATTGGCACCTACTGCCAATTGCAAGTTGCAAGTTCCTTGGGGAAGGGGCCTGAGGTTTTGGGTGTATGTGTGTGTACGGAGACACACAATAACCACAACTGTGATAACAGATACATTTAAAACCAAGTTTAGCATTATGGGCCTAAGGGGTTATGGGGCAGGTTGGTCTATCTGAACACAGCAGCCCGCAAATTCCTAACTCAGCTCTAAGCCTGCGGGAAGCTCCCCCTGCCTAACACTGTGCACAAAACACTCCCTCTGACTGGGCAGAGAAGGAAGTGAACAAATTGACTAACCTCTCCAAAAAGAAATCAGGTTTTTGGAGGGATGGAGAAGAGCAATTATCTGCTTTACCAACAACAGTAAAGAGTGGTTCAGCTTAGCAAAGTCCCAGGTTTCCTTGTTGTGATCTCCTTCCATCTAGGCTAGTTTCAGCTGCAACCAGCAAGCATGCTCATTCTCCTAGTGGCCTTGCTTCTTGGCCCCACTTGGACAGTTTCCAACATTTCCCAGACACCAACAACACTGTTTGTGGACCACCTGTAAGCTTCAGTTAGAAGCCAGCTGGTCTTAAGAAAACCAGGCTGTTGTACAGTTGCTTTGGAGAACAGCCAGCATAGAAAGAAAAGAACGGGTGGCAAAGATGGAGCAGGGGGAACATAACCAGAGAGCTCTGGGTTCAAATCCCCCCATCATGATGCTCACCAGGTGACCTTGGAACAGTCACTCAGCCCAGCCTCTCTCATAGGGGATGGATGCTCCTTAGAGGAAATGCAGAAAAAAACACTTCCTGCTGTGATGCCCAAGTGAAAGATAAAAACAAGGAAGATGCTCCCTTTAGAAAACCCCTTTTGCCTCAATGTATCAGCTACAGAGCCCTAGACATCAAACGCATCATTGCACTGCAGAAAAATTCATAACAGGTTCTGAAGCACAAGCTCAGTTGACCAGGACACTGACCTGAGCAAGCCGAGATGGTGCCTTAGAGCTTCCTAGAAGGGTTGCAACTGCCATTTCCAGTTTGAAACCATTTGCTAGAGTGGGCAGGATTCTACTAGGGGCATGGGTGGGCTGCAAGCTCAAATATTGGCCATTTCTGTGTTATTCTTTTGTGTCTGCCAAATGAAGGGACCCCTACGACTTCCTTTACCCCTTCTCATAACTCATTCTTTCCTATGAAGCTTTAGCTGTTGATGGCTTCTCTCATCCCTTTTCCTTTTATGTAGCTACCTATAGGCCTGAACAGAGGCAGAGATTCCATTTGGCCTCTCTGCTCTTATTTTGCATATCACAGGGATTACCGTAACTCTTCCAAATCGGATTCATTCCCCCTCCCACTCATTTAGGGAGCCCTCAGCAGCACAGCCTGAGAATAAAGCATACTTTGTGCAGGTTTTTAATTGCTCCTGCTTTTTCACAGATCTCAGGTTGGCCTGACAAATCTGGTTTCTCTTTCCCTTTTCCTTTTTAAAAAAGGGAAACAGCCAGCAGTACCTAAAAATAGTATGTAATTGCTATAAGGCTTTTAGAAAACCTGCAAGCCCAGAAATAACCAGGACAGCCTTCACCAACCTGGTGCCCACCAGATGTTTTGGACAACTCCCATCATCCCCAACCATCAAGTAGTATTCCAAAAGGGATGGAGGGCACCAGGTTGGAGAAGAATGAATTAGGATATGGAGGAGTCCACTGTAGGACCCCTGTTCTCCACCACCCTAAAAGCTTTGCTCTACTGAAAACATGGGTACACCCCCTGCCATGATAAATGTGTCCATCCACCCCTCTTGAGCCCCTCCAGCCCTGAGCCAACAGAAAGAGCCCTGGCTCCAGAGAAGACAGTGGCAGGAGCACTTGAGATTGGGGGCCACTTGCCCTCTCGCTGGCCCTCTCTCAGCCTAGCCTCCCTCACAGGGTTGTCATGAGGATGTTCTCATGCACATCCTACTGAAGCTCTTGGGAAGAAAGGAAAGACACGAAGGTGATCCACAGCTGCAACTGCTCAGAATCCACACAAACACCTGTGGAAGTCTTAAGAGCCCAGGTGTCCCCTCCAACGCCACATGCCCCCCTTCCTCTTTTTTACCTTGTTCTTCAGCGCTTCTTCCAGCTTCTGGAAGTCATTATTCCAGACTAAGCCGTGCAAAGGGAACTTGCTGTCGGCGTCCCTCGAAGAGCTCATGCTGGGCCGATGGGCCCCTTCTCCCCCCACCTCTCCGCCCCCCACGGTCGGGGCTGCCTCCCCCACCCCTCCTTTGGGTGCCCAGCGAAGCCCCTCACCCCTCTCGGAATCTGTGGGAGGTCCTCGTCAGCCCCCCGCTTTCGGGCTCCCCCTAACCTTTCACCCCACCGCTCCTACGCTGCTCCTCCTTCCTCGCCCCCCCGCCAGGCCGACCCGCCCGGCCCCGCGCCCGCCTGTGGGGACCAGGAAGGAGGCCCCGGGAGGAGGAGGAGGAGGAGGAAGAACCGCGGCCCCCTCCCCTCGCGGGCGGGACGGCCTTCGGAGGCGGTGCCGGGAGGGGGGATCGCTCAGGGCAACCACCCGCCTTCCCTCGTCCGCTCCCTTGAAGCCGCGGGCGCCATGCTGCGTGCGGGCAAAAGCTTCAGCCCCGCCCCCGACACACCCACGCTTTCTGCGCTGCCCGCCATGATGTCTGAGGGCGCCCAACAGTCTCCGGGTACTCCGGCGGTCATCTTGGAAGAAGGCAACTGGTATTGTCTTTCTCTGCTTCGCTCGCGCTTCCCTCCGACCACCAGGGTGACTAAGGGCGCCGTTGCCGCCGGCGTAGATCAGGCGGCCATGTTTGGAGAGGGCGACGTATTAGCGTTGTCCGGTCCGCCAAATCAAACTCTGCCATTTTGAGAGAGGGCAAGCGCCATGTTATGTAAGGGCAGCTTCTCCCGTCTCCTCGGACGCGCACACTTGAAGGTCCCCCTCCCCGGAACAGCCGAACTGGAGAGAAGCTTCGTCGAGTTTTATCATAGAACCACAGAACTGTGGAATTGGAAGGGACCCCTGAGGGCCATCTAGTCCAGCCCCCTGCCGTGAAGGAATCAAAGCTACGGCATCCTTGACAGAGGGGCACCTGACTTCTGTTTAAATACTTCCAGTGAAGGAGAGTCCACCACCTTCCCAGGGCGTCCATTCCACTGCCAAAGGGCTCTTGCCGTCAGAAAGTTCTTTGTGAGGTTTAATCAGAATTTCCTTTCTTAGCATTTGAATCTACTGGTTTGGGTCCTACCCTCCGAAGCAGGAGAAACAAAAGCTCACTCCACCCTCTGGATGACAGCCCTCACATCCTGTATGTCTGGCCATCCTGTCCCCTCGCAGTCTTTGCAGACTCAACATCCCTAACTCCATCAACTAGACCTTGGATCATCTTGGCTGCCCTCCTCTGCACACCTTCCAGCTTGTCAATATCTGGTCTTAAACTGTGGCACCCAGAACTGGACATCCCCGGACTTCCGGGTTAGCGCCTCTGGCAATGGCGGATTTCCTCTGATCGGGAGGAATCCGCTCCATGAGAATTAGGGTCTGGACCGCCGCGGCGAGGCGGACACCCACTAAAAACCACAGGCGGGAGAAGCCTGTGGACGTGGGATTCGGCTGGCACCCTTTGCGCCTCCCCTACTCGCGGGGAAACCCGGTTTCGGGGATCTGGAGCAACGTGGGGTGAATGGCGCGGTGCTTCGAATCGACTGCTCTTTTCACGGAGTGAAGCCGCATTGCTGTTGCCGGAGAGCGCTGACTTTTTCCTGTGGACAATTGGATTTTAAACAACTGCCCGTGAGTAGAATGGAAAATTGGACTATGAAATTTCTTAATTTGGCACCGAAGCGGGAAGGTCTAAACAGGAAGTCCGCCTTCTGCTTTTGTAAATAGATTGAAGCAAAGACATGGCAAGCTAGAGTCTGGGAAGTCGTTTGTAAAGGATTAAATTTGTAAAGGATTAAAATTACTGAACCCCCCCTTGGAAGCAGGAGAAGAGGGGGGAACCTTTTTTAGACTGTCTAAACCTGCAGAAGAGAGAGTAAAGAAAGGTAAATTTCCACTGTCTTGAACCTGGGAGCAGGGTGTCAGGACAGACGTTTTGGGGAAGTTCATTGCCTGTGGACAAACGTTTTTGACACATAGTCAAAAGAAGAGAAACATATTGATTCCATTGTTCCCTTTCGCATTTAAAAGGAACAAAATATCCGAAAAAGGAAAACTTTGTTGCTAGATCTGCTTTAAAAAAAAAGAAAAAGAAAAAGAAGATGGATACAAATAGAAACTGTTTCCCCTAGAGGGAGCCTGTGAAACTGTTATTAGAGTAGAACTGGGGAGCTTTGCAGCTGTAGAGATTAAAGATCGTGGGACCAGACTTCGACCTTGAACAAGAATGTGCTTAGGGGAGGTTTTGGTGCTTGCTCTCTGCAAGACAAGTGCTTTATTGGAACAGTTACATGAGAAGATGGATTTGATGACTGTTGCGGTCGGAAATTTTGGACAGGCAGTGGGTACCTATATAGAACCCACTCAGGAATTAATCCAGGAATGTGCTTTGACAGATCAGATAAAGGAGGAGGTTGTTGCCGAACCTCAAGTAGCAGAAATGGAGAGAGCTGTGGCCCAGCAGGAACATGAGTTGTTGGATTTGACGAATGAACCTGGAAAAAGTCAGATTTGGAGAGATGGAGTTCTGTTTGGCTTGGAGATGAAGGGCTGGATGGATCCCCCTATGCAGGGATGTTTTGACCTTTCGAGTCTGGCTTTGGGCCGGGGGGAGTTCGGAGTTGTGGGGGCCCTTAACTTTGGAGGGACTTTGAAACATGCCTTTAAATACTATATGGATTTCAGTATTGACTATGGAAAAGGGGCTGACTTGTCGAGAAGGGACAAAGATATTGTCAAGTTGGAGTCTCCCCGAGTGAAAGGAAGGAAATTAAGAATAAGATCAGCAGAAGACAAAGTAAAGTACAGATATAAACATGAAGAAGACCTGCGGAAGGGACATGGAAAGGACTTAAGAGCCTCGGATACAAGGTCACCAGGTTGATGGACTAGATGGATGGGATAGAAAAGACTGACAAAACCCGAGACCAGGAAGAAGAGACGATGGATGAAGATTGGAAGAAAGTTTTAAAAATTTATTTAGAAAATTATCGTAAAATTAATGAGTATTAGAAAAATGTTGGAATGAAATTATTTGGCTTTAGCAGAAATGTTAAAAAGAATTATGTAAGAATATGTCATGGTTAAAAGAATTTGGTATAAATAAGATTTAAGTTTTAAGGTTTAAGGTTTTTTATGGTAAGATAAGGTTAAAATAGATTAAGGTAATTTAATGACACAATATTGTGAAAGATGGAAAGGATTTGCTGAGATAATTAACAACTAGAATACAAAAAAGGGAGGTGTGAGGAGGTCGATGAAATAAGATAATGAAAGTTAAGGATTTGGGAATATTGGATATGTTTTTAAATTTTTTGTTTATTTTTGCTTTTTGATTTTGATGTGTGTTTTGTTTTCTCTTTTTGACTTTGGTTTTTATTGATTTGTATTGTTTAATTGTTATTTTTATCTACCTTTCTCTTTCTTTTTTCTCTTTCGCTTGTTTTTTCCTTCTTTTTTCTTTGTAATTTTAAAATTCTCAATAAATATCATTTAAAAAAAAAAGAACTGGACATCCCCGGTGGGATCTGACCAAGTCAGAATGAGCAAAGCCTGGCCAAAGGCTGGTTGCTTTGGGTTCCCCGCTTCCCTCAGGGAAAGCCCAAGCCAGTGCCTCAGCCATGAGACCTGGAACAGACGCAGGACCTCAGAGCGAGCCTAGCTAAGTTGAGGTGCCACTTCTGGTGGGCTCAGCCATGGCTTAATTTCTAGCCAAGAGAGGTGCCATGGCCTCCCATTCTTCCTGGAAGGCTCCAAATCCCACCTAAATTGGGGGGGGTACTTTTATTCAGGCAAATGGGAAGTGTACTGGTCCAAGGCAGAACCATAGCAGTTTGCCACTTTGTTTTTCAAAATTAACCTCCAAGGGAGAAGCACTTCATCTCTTCTATCCCAACGGTTCATTAGAAGAACTGTGACGTTAAGAACTCCTGCCTGAGCTTGTTGTTTTCCTCCTCCCTCCCAATCTCTTTTTCCTTGTGGGTTGTGTATTTTAAATTGCAGAGCTAAGGGCAAAACCGTCTACTAGTTTTTGTAAGCTGCTTCGCCGCAGGGGTGTGTGTGGCTGAATAGCGAGACAGAAATGTTTTAGAATGATAGATGAAGGGGAAAGGCACGCCCGGGCACAGCAGGGGAAACTTGGAGGGGGGGGGCTTTTACATACAAACCTGAAAAGCAGCTGCCTGGTCTCCCCAGTTCCTCCTCAGACGGGGGACTCATTGGCATTCAAGATGCATCCGCTTGTCTGTCTGGGAGCAGAAAATAGCAAATTTTCTTGGAACATCATTCATCACAGCCAGTGACATGCCAGGGGGGTTCAGCTTAAATAGCCTCCCAAGGTGCCTCTTGGACAGGCTGTGGCTGTGCCAGCAAAGAGGACAGAGGGGAACTTGGCCTCTCCTTCGCTGGTTTGGAGGCTGCAGGACTACAGAGCAGGGAGGGGCTCAAAAGAGGATCACCAGATTGAGGAAGTGCTCTCATTGGCCAAGTAATATTTGCATGGGGTGCAGATGGAAGCCTGGTTAACTCTGCTATCAGCACATGACTGAGGTAGCATGGTGGCTTGGGCCTGCCTAGAGCTGTACAATCCCAAATAGATAGAGATCTAGTTGGCCACTGAGAATAGAAGGAGGGACAAGATGGGTCCTCTTTGGTCATCCATCAGGCTCCACTTACCGTATGTCCCATTCTGATTTCACAATGGGGCACGGTCAGTAATTGCAGCACTGTGGAGAGCTCCAGGTGAGCTTTTATGAGGGCTTTATAGATGGTCACCTTCCAGGCTCTGCCCCTTCCTTGGATCAAAGGGTTTAAAGAGGCAGGTCTCTGGCTTGGGACTGAATCATAGAATTGTAGAGTTGGAAGGGAACCCAAGGGTCATCTACTCCAACGTCCTAAAATGCAGGAAACTCAACTAAAGCATCCATGACAGATGGGCATCCAACCTCAGCTTAAAAACCTCCAAGGAAGGAGAGTCCACAACCTCTGGAGGGAGACCTTCCACTGTTGAATGGCTCTTACTGTCAGAAAGTTTTTTCTGATGTTTAGTCAGAATCTCCTTTCTTGTAACTTGAAGCCATGGGTTTGAGTCCTACTCTCCAGAGCAGGAGAAAACAAGCTTGCTTCATCTTCCATGGGACAGCCCTTCAGATATTTTAAGAGGGCTATCATATTAATTTTCTTCCCTAATTTTTCCTGGGGTGTCAATTTTATAGAAACAGTAGCACTAATAACGGACCACCTTTACCCGCAACAAATATGGTCGCCGCATGCCTCGCCTTTCCCGGCGGCAAGCTGGCCGCCCGAGGCCCCGCCCCAGCGTCCCTCGTCACGGACCCTCCGCGCGGCGATGGTGAGGTGCGCACTTGGCGCAAGCGGCTTGGCGAATGCCTCGGCTCGCGCGAAGAGGTGCGCTGGTGGCGCGCGCACGCGCAGGACGCCTTCCCCGTGACTGGCGGGGCTGAGAGGGACCCGTTAGCGGGAGCGGCGGCCCCCCGAGCGGCTCCACCCGGCCCGGCTAGGCCATGTCCAAGCGGCTGCGGAGCAGCGACGTGTGCGCCGATTGCAGCGCTCCCGGTAAGCGCCGCGGGAGACCAGGGGCGGACGGCGGGCGGGCGGGCGGGGGGCCACCGCGGAGCTCGAAGGAGCCAGGCGTCCGAGGGACCCAGGCACCCCAGGGCTGCCTCCCTGGTCACGGGGCTGCCGCGGGAGAGGCCGCCGGGGAAAGGGAGGGCTACGATCCTGCTGAGGGGAGGCCCGTCTGGGGGTGTGCAGGGGGCCTCTGGGCATGTGCAGAGGGCCTCCCCTCGCAAGCGGGTGGGGGAAGGAGCAGGTACCGAGGGGGGAGCCCCGGCACCTCTCCGCTCTGGGCTTGGGGTGTCTGTGAGGGAGGGAGGGGTTTAAAGAGGGCCCCCCATCTCCCCTTTGCACATGGGTTTCCCTCGCCCGCCCGGGAACAAGAGGCTTTGCTGGATGGGCCCCACTAGCCTCCTGCAGGCTCTGCTCGGGTCCTTGCAAGGCGGGCTTCCCAAAGGCTTCCCCCGGCCCCGTGGGATGCAGGATGCTAGGCTAGAAAGGCCTTGGGCCTGATCCATCCACAGGTGGTTATGTTTTCCAAAATCACCAGCACCCAGCTTGGGGGCAGTTGGTGGGACACACCCTCTTCCCCCAGGGCCTTTGATGGAGATGACATTCTGGGCCCCAAACAGGAAACCAGCTGCGGAAATTGCTGCGTCCTGCCTTGAGTTAATTGCAGGTGGCAAGAGAAAGCAGCAGCCAGTTCTCAGAAACCCAGCCGGCTCTGCTTGTGGTGGCACAAGGGGCCCGAGCCTTTCCCCTGCACCTTGGATGAACGAGCCAGAATTGCCCCTGACATCAGAGCCTCGTGTGGCTACCAATGGTTGCCCCATGGGCTGTTGTTGTGGATCTTCCTGCCACAGCGAATCTCAGGTCTGCCTCGTGGTCTGGGCACAATTCAAGGTACCGGCTCTGGATGATTTCTTCCTCCCCATTGCACCATCACGAAAGCACTACTTCAGCTCTGCCATTTGTGGGCTGAGTTCACACAGCCGAGGGCACTTGGGCATACACCACAACTGTGGCAGTCACTTCCCCCAGATCAGACAGAGGCAACTTTGGTAATCTGTGCCCCCAACTCAAAAACCCATGAGTTGTCCTTCTGTAAGTAAGTTGCCAACTTGTACTAGTTGGGGAGCCTGCCTAGCATCAAGTACAAAATATATATACTGGCATACTGCACATAAATCCCAAATGAGAACTCTGAGGTTAAGCGTAGATGCTCTTCTTTCTTGCAGCTTGCAATTCCACTTTGCTGCATTGTAAGTAAGTCGTTTTTAGGGTGGAGGCTGAGTTGCCGTGCTCTTGAAATGCACAGGGGACCCTAATAATTTATGTGGAAATGGGAATTGCTGGTTGTTTCAGCAGCCTTGCCCCATATCTTTCCCCACACTTAAAACAAGTATGCAAGCATTTCTTCATTGTGTGCATTCTTCAGCTCTTTCAGGGAGAACTGACAATTTCCCTCTGCTGTTCTTACAACTTCTCTAATAATGATGCACCTTTGCAGTAAAGACAGTAGTGTAACAGATGTTCTATTCGGCTTCAGTTCAAGAGATCGCATGCTTTGCCAGGCACCTTCCCATTCTGCTCCGGTTCAGCAGAGAGCTTGGCTTGTGACTCAAGGCCAAATCTGGCTTGATGCTTGTCATGCTTCCTGTTTTGCGTGACCCTGGCATGTTCTTTGCAGCTTGTTTTAGCTCATGCCCTGGGTGCCTTCTCTGAGCTCAGTACAAATCCAGATTTCCTTCCTTGTTTGGTGATGCACAAAGTACAGTAGTTTTTAAAATATAAAAACTGGACCTGAGAAACCCAACACTATCTGTGGCTGAGGTGGACGGTAGTGGAATTTATTTGCAACCAAACTCCTGCCTTTCTCTCTTCCTATGCTAAATGTGCCACTGTTTTTCTTTCAGACCCATGTTGGGCATCAGTTAACAGAGGAGTTCTGATTTGTGATGAATGCTGCAGTGTTCATAGGAGCCTGGGCCGGCACATCTCCCAAGTCAGGCACCTGAAACACACACCGTGGCCCACAACGCTGCTTCAGGTAACACACACTGGGCTCATCATGCCATTGAGCCTCGCTGCTGCCCATGCAAATGACCACCCCTCCTGCCTAACAGCTTCCCATAGTAGTCGTGTGTGGCCCAAAGGTGGATGGGGCAGAGGAAGAGAAGAGCTTGCTTGTGTAAAGCTTCCTTGTCTTGTCCTGCGAGGCCAAGGCTTACTTGTCAGGGACAGCCAAACAAGTGGCTGTGTAAGCACTTAAATTATAGTTTGGTGCTGTGTTTGGACCAATTTGTAAAGTGGATCTGAGTTGATGTGCTTTTCTCTTCTGTTCCTGATTCCACTTGCTTGCAAGTAAACCTGTTTGGTTCAAATGGGGCTTAAACATCCAATTGATATGTTGCAGGTCCAGAGGACTATCCAGTCTTAGAGTCCTCTTTTTCTTTTTATGCACATGTATGGGTGTGTTCCAGGGTTTTCTCTTCATATTTGTGTGTCAAAACTGCTTTATTGCAGAGAGTGCCTTGTTCTTCATAAGCCTCCACCTTTGCTCCAGTAAACGTCCTTGCTGTTGAAGCAACTCTTTTATCTGTGGGCCTGTTCAGTGGCAACACCCTCCTGCATTCCTCCTGCTTCTGGGACTCCTGTGGGAGGACAGGATGCTGGGCTAGATGAGCTCTCTTTGGTCTGGTCCAGTAGCCAGGCTCTTATGGGGGGAGCTGGAAAACACTGACCTATGGAATGCATATCACAACCAAATGCTTTCTCCCAATTTAATGATTCTGTTTGTCAACATTCCCTAACCTTTTGCTTTTGGTGCTTTTTTAACGTTTTCTAATGTAACTGCAGTTGTATGGGGGGGAGTGGGGGGGATGCAGGGGGGTTGCAAGCAAACTCTACTTGTTCACTGTCACTATGACTGCAAAGCACTGTGGCATGATTCCCCACTCAGCCACACAAATCACTAGGTGGCCTCAAGTCCCTTGCAAACTCTTGGCCTGCCTTACCTCTGGTGGAGGTGATGCACCTTACCCGGAACTCCTTTAGAGGAAGGTCAGAATAAATATGTGTTAAAGTGTGCCTGCTTGTTCAGATCTTTTAAAGCTATGAAAGGCAGACAAGAAAGGCTGTTTTCCCCCTTCCAGAGCTGGCAATATAAAATCAGAAGGCTTGTGGTTGTTTCTTTAAAAAGCATCCTGCCAAGTGTTTTGGGGCCACATAAAACAGTAGCTAATTAGACATAGGTTCCTTTACTGAAAATAGTTTAGCAGGCAAAGGAGGAAAAAACTCCAGGAAACGTCTTGAGCTTATCGGTTGTTTCATAGAATCATAGAGTTGGAAGAGACCACAAGGGCCATCGAGTACAACCCCCTGCCATATTTCATTTATGGTTTGATTGATTCTGGTGTTGTGTGTTAAAACAGCTCTGGGTTTAGTTTTTTTTTAACAAGCATTATGTAAATTTTAATAAATAAAATAAATTTTTGAAGAAGTAATGAAATGAGACACAAATTGCAAAAAGACAGAATATTGTGCATCAATGCACATTGCTGAATGTGTCCAGAGATTGACTATGCAGCAGACTTCAAAACTGGTCTGGGGCCTTTCGAAATGCTGAAATGGATGTTTTTTGCACATTAAACCCAATACTGTAACCCTTAACTTTATTCTAAAGGTCAACAAAACTTTGAGCAGAGCCTTGAGAAGGGCTGTTTCTGTAATAAATGCTGATGCATTATAGAACGTTTGCAGAGTACACCTGCAGAGCTCCATGCCAGCAACAGGACAACTGTCACCTAGCGTCTAAGTTGCTCTGGACAAGAGGAAGACACCAACTCTATGCTTCGGGTTCTGCTTTGTTTTTTGCAGATGTTGGAAACCTTGTACAGTAATGGGGCTAACTCCATCTGGGAACATTCATTGCTGGATCCTGCATCTGTCATGAGCGGAAGGCGCAAAGCAAACCCCCAGGACAAAGTTCAGTAAGTTGGATCGGGGCGGGCAGGTGGGGGGGAGCAATGCCTCTATCTTCCCTAGAGGGCCAAAGGGGCAAACCTACGGCAACCTCCAGCAAACCATGGCCAGGGCTGGAGCCGATGTGAGCCAATCCTGATCCTGCCTCCCACATTGCCCAAGCAGAGGAAAACACTCTTGGTGGCAGATGTGACTAAAATGGAGAAAGCCTCTTTATTCAGAGAGCTATTTGGGGGTGGGCGTTCGAGGAGCACACCGGATCAAAACGTCAGAAGTGTGGCTGAGTCCATGGCCTCCTGCTGCTGGAGGAGCACGATTGGGATGCTTGTTTCAAATCAGCATGTGAAATTCAGACCACCTCTGTGGTCTCCTGGGCCATGGCATCTCTTGCATGGCATGCTTCCTCTCCCCATCAAATGCAATTTTTTCTCACCATCCTTCGCCAACAGGGACATTGAGTATTTTTATAGAAAGTGAATTTTAAAAAATATATATTATTGCGTTGTTGTTGTATCTCACCCATCTGACTGGGTTTCCTCAGCCACTCTGGGCAGCTTCCAGCATATATAAAAACTTAATAAAACATTACACATTAAAAGGCTTCCCTATTCAGGGCTGCCTTCAAATGTCTTTTAAAGGTTATATAGTTACTCATCTTCTTGACATCTGATGGGAGGGCATTCCACAAGGTGGGTGCTACTACTGAGAAGGCCCTCTGCAAGTGTTCATCTTACCCACAGGATTAGGGCCTTAGTTTCAAGCTAAAGGTGCTTAATTAGGGATCACAGGCGCAACTACTGAGTAAAAGGCATTGGGAGCATGACTTTGTCAAAAGCCTTACTGAAATCAAAATACATTGCATCCACAGCATTCCCCTGTTCCACCAAGCTTGTAACTATCCATAGAATCATAGAATCATAGAGTTGGAAGAGACCACAAGGGCCATCGAGTCCAACCCCCTGCCAAGTAGATCCAAGTAGAGCCAAATCCAAAAGTAGATCTCACTCATGAGACGTTTTATGCTCTTCTGTGGTGTAGTTCCTTTTCCTTTTGACTCACTTGTAGCCCCAATAAAGCGGAATTCATCAGAGCAAAGTATCAGATGCTGGCCTTTGTTCATCGCTTACCATGTCGGGATGATGACAGTGTGACTGCCAAAGACCTTAGTAAGGTAAGATTCCCTCATATGAAGACCTCTGAGTTTGGATCAGGCTGAAGGCCCATCTAGTCCAACATTCTGTACTCACTAGATGCCCACTTTATGGGTAGTTAGCTGATCAGGATGTGTTCCATCCACAGTATTTAGCTGCCCCCCTGACACTTTGGGGGGAAAGGTATGATTGAGTCCTAAATGCTTCAGAGGCCACTCTGTGTCAAAATCCAAATTCTGATTCAGAAAAAAGAAACTTAATATTTCCTTTTTTTACTAATGAGGAATTGAAAAAATAACTTCATTTTTTACAGAATTGGATGAAATTTACAGGCATAGTAGCCCCTCCAGATTGGATAAAGGACTACCAAATTAGACACAAAAAGGTTTAGGATTCCCCCCCTCCCCCACTGGGCTCATCTGTAAAATTCATCCCTTCCACCCCCCAAAAAGGGAACCATCAATACTTAAAAAAAGAAAAAAGAAAATATTTCTGCAGAAATGGATTAACTTTTCAAGCAGGGTAGCACCTTTTGTGTATTTACAGTTTGGGGGCAGTTAAAAATGATTCATTTAATTGTTTTATAAACAACTTGTGTGAAAACAAAGGGTACATCAAAGGTGACAAATTTGCCAAATGACAGACAAATCAGCCCAGAGATTTTAGTGCTTGGTGTCTTTGAAGTTGATTTTGAGCAGGGGGAGAACTAGAAAGGATTTGCTTCCTTCCCTGTGATATATTGTGGGCAACAGTTCCATTATGAAATCTTAGAGGTGTCCCTTGGAAAATAACCTGCAAAATTTTGGAAGATAAGATGTATGGGCCAGAGGGTTACAATGAATGAAAACCAAGAAACACAGCTTCAGGCTTGTATTCTGCTCAGTGACATCAGTTAAATCTTAAGTGTGAAGCTGATCTGAGTGGATGTTTTTATGAGAGACGGAGAAACATCTGTCACTCCCTCCACACCAGCCTTCCCCAGCCGAGAGCCCTCCAGAAGTTTTGGGCTGCAGCTGGGATGGATGGGTGTTGGGGGCCCCAGGTTACCTGGAGAGCTGCAGGTCAGGGGAGGTTACTCCACTCCGTCTGCCATTTGATAAACCTTTTTCATGTCTCCACACCTTATTTGTCGGTTGTAGCTGGCAGGTGGCTAGAGGCCAGCCTCGGCGTCCCCCAAAGCAAGCCCCTCTGGGAATCCCTGGAAGGAGTTACTGGGACTGTCAGCACAGGTTTCTCAGCTGCGGTGAGGCGAGAGAAAATTCTCTGCTGACCTCTTTCTCTCCCTTTCAGCAACTCCACTCGAGCGTCAGGACAGGGAACCTGGAGACCTGTTTGCGGCTTCTCTCTCTGGGCGCCCAGGCCAACTTCTTCCATCCAGTAAGAGAAGGCCTTTGCATGAGCTTGGCCATCATTGCTTTGGGCTGGTCTGCAGCAGCTTCTCAGCAAATGCCTGTTAACTCCCCTTTGCAGGAGAAAGGGAACACCCCGCTGCACGTAGCTGCCAAGACGGGTCAGATTTTACAAGCGGAGTTGTTGGCGGTGTATGGGGCTGATCCTGGCACACAGGACTCCAGTGGGAAGACGCCTATTGACTATGCAAAGTAAGCCATTTCAAACTTGGGGGGGGTATTGTTGGCAGGAAAAAAACTAAGAGCAAGTTCCAAAATCCCTTTTGGAGTGGGTGGGAGATGGACCAAACCTCCTTACTATTGAATTTCACTGTTTAGTGACATGAAAAACTTTCTCACCGTATCCCTTCCTCTGTTTCTGAGGCAACGGAGGATCTCTGCAGCTAGGTTAGAAGGAGGAGCTCTATGTGCTGTGGGATGCTTTCACCCACTTAAAATAAGGCATGGTGGCTTTCAGTGCCTTATTTTAGATAGCAAACCTGTGCAGTACAGTGGTACCTTGGGCTAACTTAATTCTTTCCGGAGGTCCGTTCTTAACCTGGAAGCACCACTTTAGCTAACGGGGCCTCCTGCTGCTGCTGCGCTGCCGTCGTGCGATTTCTGTCTCATCCTGAAGCAAAGTTCTTAACCCGAGGTACTATTTCTGGGTTAGCAGAGTCTGTAACCTGAAGCGTCTGTAACCTGAGGTACTACTGTAGTATATTTCACTCACCCTGTGAGTAGGATTGCAGCCTCAGAAGTCACCTGCAACAGATTTTTATTATTGTTCTTATTGATGTTTTCAACTCAACAGTAGTGATTTCTGAATGAATCTCCCACCCACCTTTTGCCCAATAGGCAAGGAGGGCACCATGAGCTGGCAGAACGCCTTGCGGAAATCCAGTACGAGCTCACGGACAGGCTGGCATTCTATCTCTGTGGCAGAAAACCTGGTAAGGGTCTGACTAGGTTTATTTCATGTTATTGTGGTTATTTCATTTCCCCCCATAAAATTTGAATATCGGTTGATTGCTAAAAATAAACAAACTTCAGAGTAGTGTCTCACACCCTCCAACATTTCTCTGATGAAAATAGGGATGTCCCATTCCATAATGATAATGTTACTCTTTATACCCCAGCACATCTGACTGGGTTGCTGCAGCCACTCTGGGCAGCTTCCAACATCTATAAAAACATAATAAAATATTAAACATTATAAGAAAAAACCCTTCCCTATACAGGATTGCCTTCAGACGGCTCCGGGGTTGGATAACTTCATACTCACCACCATTTCCCCAATGAAAATAGGGACGTCCTTAGGAAATGTGGGGCATTCTGGGATCAAATCAGAAACCAGAAGAACTTCTCTAAATCAGGGACACCCCTGGAACAGGGACACTTGGAGGGTCTGGTGTCTGTTTGTAGAATAAGAGTAAGAGTAAAAAAGAAAAAGACAATAAAAATATCAGTAAAAACAGTTCATAAAAGGTGTTAAAACATTCAAAAAAATAGAAGTCAGTGATAAGCTAAAAATGGATTAAAACCCATGTCAATATTCTCCATATCTGAGAAGGCTTGTCAAAGCCAAAATGTTTTTAGCAGGTGCCAAAAAGAGTGCAGTGAAGGTGCCTGCCTGATGTCAACAGGCAGGGAGTTCCAGAGTGTAGGTGCTGCCACACTAAAAGATTTCTTGCTAAGGCAGATCAATAATTAGGTGGCCCCTGTAACTGTGCTGGTTTTGTTGATGGAATCAGTTGAGGGGCAGATCTGGGGTCACTTTATGTACTGTTAGTAACACCTTGAAGATGGCTCACTAGCAAATGGGCAGCTTCTGCAAGTCCCTGAGCAGAGGTAGTCTTATGTTCTATCCTGCTTTACTTCCAGAGAGCTCGGGGTGGAGTCCATGGTTCATGCATCCCCCCGCATCTACTTATTTGAGAAGTGGTCCAGCAGGAATGGGGGGGGGGGGCACATATGTTCATCCTGGGTTGCCATTATCTTTTAACCCCTCATGACTGCTGTAGCTCAAGGGAGGAGAGACTTTAGACTTGCAGGAACTACTTGACTTTTTCCTAGAACTGTAGTCTGGTATAAAATATGTATTCTGATCCCAGGAATTTGTTTGGAGTACCAGAACTGAGGTGAGCTCACATTCCTTTCACACAGAAATCCACACCTGGTGACACCCACACTTCATTCACTTCTGCAGACTAGTTTGGGTGTGGGAGGGGTCATTCTGTTGCTGCTATAAGCAGATGGGAGTCAGAAACCCTTACCGATCTACTGCAGGAGATCCAGATCTGCTTCTGCCTGTCCTAGCCCTGCCAGAATGCAGCCCTCAGACCTCTCCAGTTCATGCAGGCACTGAAAAGGCTGCTCAGCTGAATCAAGTTGTGGCTTGTGGAGAACTGTGGGTTGAGATAATGACATGATCCTTTCTCGCACCTAATGCTCTTTTGAAACTTCATTTTCAGATCACAAAAGTGGACAACATTTTATTATACCTCAAATGGCAGACAGGTAAGAATGCAAAGCACTAATAATATGTGGTAATAGTATTGTTGGCCAAATCAAATGACAGTCGTAGATTCGTTTGATTGTCAAGAGTGATGTGCGCTCAAGCTTTGATTTTTGTCTTCCTTCTCCTTGCAACCTCTCCTTGTCTTCTGTTAATTGATTGAGGTGCCTAAAGTCTTTCCTGATTGGTGGGGCAGATGTTGATAAATAAGGCAAATAACATTAATAAATTTAATTGATATTTTTTCTCCTGCTGCGGTCCCTTGGGGATTAAGACGGCTGTAAGTAGTTCAGTAGTTTAATTTACCATTTAACTCTGCTATGTGAGGGTTGAAAATTAGGTACTTGTCACAAAACACACTGATAACTCAGCTGTGCACTAGAAAGTGTGGACAATAAGTGTGGGTTGGTTGTTTCATTTCTGTGTATTATGTGACCTGTTTTTGCAGAAGTTGTTAAACTGAGGATCTGTGTTCTGGCCAGCGCACCCTTTTGAGATAAGCCTTTCATCTCAGAAAGATTTATCTCAAAAGATTACTCAGGACAGGGCTTTGAGTGTGGCTGCCCCTGTTCTGTGGAATAACATCCTGCCCACTATCTGGACCCTCCGGAAAGAGTTGAAGACATTTTTGTTCCAACATACCTTCCTAGCTGGACAATTGGGTCTTTGCCATGAATGTCTAGTCTGTATGGTTTTAGGTTTGTTTTAAGTGTATCTGGGTGTTTTTTGGTTGGGGAGGCTGTGTGTGTGTGTGTTTAAATTGTTTTTTCCTGCTCCCCTCCCTCTGTTTTTTTTATGGTACATCACCTTGAGATGATTCTGTTGAAGGCGATCAATACATTTAGATGGTGACTGATAATATATCCAGTGCTTTGGGGGGGCGCAGGGGTACACATACCCCTAAACCTTTTGTGAATCTTTGTACTTTTGTCCCCCGATTTGAACTATAAAATGGTGATTTTCTTGAGTCAAAATGAGAGTACCCCTAAACATTTTTTTAGGGGGGAAAGCCCTGAATATACCTTTAGGTTATCTCTCAGGGCGTGTGTAATTAAGTTTATATCAGTCTATAGGCTGACATTCCAGCAGAAACTGTCCACAAGCCTGCCTGCTATGAGAAGCAGATAGATAGATAGATAGATAGATAGATGATCGATAGATGATATAAAAGCATCAAGCAGCACTTCACACAAGCTTTCTCTGGATCCCTTTTAGAATTCGGTTAATCACTTAAATAACATACATGTTACTGTGATTAACAAAACAGGTTTTATATTTATGTGGCAAACCATTTCCCCTTCCTTCTTCATTAGCTGCTGTGATAAAAAATGAAATGATGCAGTAAAAAGCAAGAGGACTAAACTACAACTGTGTCTGCATTCTTGGTCAAGGAATGACAGGCGCGTAACTTTAATTTTCACCCCTCTTTGTTTATTCCTTGCCTAGTGGTGCTTCCAAGGTTCAGGTGTCAATAAATACAGTGATCACTTCTTTCTTTCATAGCAGTTTAGATTTGTCAGAACTGGCCAAAGCAGCCAAGAGGAAGCTTCAGTCAGTGAGTAACATTTTCTCTCTGCTTCCCCGCCCGCAGCTTTGGCTTTTCAGGGAGGAGGATTGGACCCTGGGTGGGACTGGGGAGGGTGCAGAGGGTGGGTTGGATACAGAGGGAGTACAGCTTACCAGGAGTCTTTAGTGTGGAAAGCAACAGGGACGAAGGAACAAGCCTTAGGGGCTTTTTTAGATTTTTATATCCTTCACTTTAAAGAGTGTGTTGCTGGTGTTAAACTCCTGGGAGTAGCCAGCAGCAACTCGAGCAGCTTTTGGCCCATGCTGAGGTGCCAGTGGATTGACTCCTGAGAGGCGGCAGCCCTTGCTGGCTGAGTGCAGATTGTGCCACATTGAGTTTGTACCACATTGTCCCTCATCTGCCCCACTGCCCATTTGCATGCTCTAAAGAGCCACCATGCTGTCACGGACTTGATGTCAATAGAATTGCCCCAGACACCCATTGGCTTCCCCTTGTTTGAGTGGGGCAGGGCTTCCCCATTCCACCCCAGAGCCCACCAAGCCCAGCTTTGAAGGGGCTGGTGGCAGAAGAGCAGAATGTGTGTTTCAGTGCTGGGGGGGGGGGGCGGCAATGGTGGGGAAATGCTGTGGGCTTCATGAGGAGGGTTTCCTGGTGGGGCATCTGGTGGCTGCTGTGAGAAGCCTGGCTAGATAGATGGAAGTTAAGCTGATCCACCGGCTGGCAGGCAAGCAGGGGCCCCTTAGGTTCTGAATGTCGGGAAAATAAAAAGCACACATTTGCTGCTCACTCCAAGGAGTCGTGCTTAACTTTCCCTCCCCTCCTCTCCAGCTGAGCAATCACTTGTTTGAAGAGCTCGCCATGGATGTCTATGACGAGGTGGACAGGCGGGAGACGGACGCAGGTGACCTTCTGTTGCGGGACTTTTGGGTGCTGGAGGGCAGTTGGGTGGGTGGGTGCCATGCCGCAGCACAGGGGCCCTGCGTGAGGCCAGAATGAGCCTCCTCAGCAAAATGCTGCATTGCAGCAAAGGGCTCCTGCCCCTGGAAGGTGCCAAGTCCTCTCTACTCTTCTTGCCCCGTTCTGCAATCCCCCCCCCCCCGGGTAGCTCTGTGTCACAGGGATGTGATGGCCTGGGTTGTCAGCCTTGGCAGCTGCTGTGGGCCTTCCCCAGTCTGGGGTCCTGCAGGTGTTTGGGGAGTTGTAATCCAAGGGCTGGACAAGGCTGATTATAGCCCACAACCCAAGCCTTGGTTTTTGCTTTAGAGTGAAATTGTGTTTGACCCGGAAACTACAACTAATCCAGAATGCGACAGCTAGACTGGTGACTGGGAGCGGCCGCCAAGACCATATAACACCAGTCTTGAAAGACCTACACTGGCTTCCAGTACGTTTCCGAGCACAATTCAATGTGTTGGTGCTGACCTTTAAAGCCCTAAACGGCCTCGGCCCAGTATACCTGAAGGAACGTCTCCACCTCCATCGTTCTGCCCAGACACAGAGGTCCAGCGCCGAGGGCCTTCTGGTGGTTCCCTTGCTACGAGAAGCCAAGTTACAGGGAACCAGGCAGAGGGCCTTCTTGGTAGTGGCGCCCGCCCTGTGGAACGCCCTCCCACCAGATGTCAAAGAGAAAAATAACTACCAAACTTTTAGAAGACATCTGAAGGCAGCCCTGTTTAGGGAAGCTTTTAATGTTTAATAGGTTATTGTATTTTAGTGTTTTGTTGGAAGCCACCCAGAGTGGCTGGGGAAACCCAGCCAGATGGGTGGGGTATAAATAATAAATTATTATTATTATTATTATTATTATTATTATTATTATTATTATTATTATTGAAATTTGTGTGTCTTAGTATGGGGGAAAAGCTCATGGGGGAAAAGCTCATTTGCCCAGAGGGCTTCATTTGGGACAAGGACTGGGCTCTAGGACATGTGTCCAGTGCTTTGACTTCAGGTGTGGGAAGTTTTTGAGGGAGGGAGCACCCATTGTCTGCCACCGATTCCCAGCCAGTGCCCAAGCATGGAGAGACTGTGGGCCTCCAGATGTTGTTGGGCTTCAACTCTCAGCAATCTGCATGGCTGCCGGTCCGGGATTATGGGGCTGGAGGCCAGCAATACCTGGAGAGCCACAACAAGTCCCTCCTTTTTTATGTAGAAACCTAAGTAAAGCTAACCCTGGCTTTCCTCTCTCTGTCCCTTGAAATAGTGTGGCTTGCCACTCAGAACCATAGCACGCTGGTCACCGAGACGACGGTGGTCCCTTTTCTCCCCGTCAATCCCGAGTACTCCTCAACAAGGAACCAGGTATGTTTCTCATGCCATTTCTCTGTCATCTGAGGAGGAAACTTATTCCCAAGCCCTAAACACAGGGAGAGGATTTTCCATCTATCTTTTTTGTTTGTTTGTTTGTTTGTTTGTTTTTTAAAATAATTTTTATTAAAGTTTCAATCGAAAATTAAACAACAACAACAAAAAACATAAAAAAGATACACAAATACACAGTACAAATCTCAGAAAGAAAATTAAAAAAAACACGAAGAGCAAGAATCAACAGTAAAAAAAAAACAAAAAACATAACAATTAAAAACAATATCTCTTTTCCATTTCCGTTTTGAATTTACTTATTTTCTGGACTTCCTCATACCTCCCTCTTTTGTATTCCAATTCAAATTGTTTGTCCAGCAATTTCTTTTCCACTTTTTTAATCCCAATCTTTAATTTTAATATAATGTATAACTTCAACTTCTTTAAACCTAATCTTTGATCTTAATGTAATATAGCCTTGAAATTTTACCTCTTAATTACCAAATTTCCATTTCCTTAAACATCTTTAATCCTAATCTTTAATCTTAGTCTATCATCAACTTTAACCTGTACAACTGGAAACCACTTATTTTCAGTCCAACATCACTCTAACATTCTTTAATTTTGCAATGTTTCTGAAGATAATCTTTGAATTTCTTCCAATCTTCCTCCACCAACTCTTCTCCCTGGTCACGGATTCTGCCAGTCATTTCCGCCAGTTCCATATAGTCCATCAGTTTCATCTGCCATTCCTCCAGCGTGGGAAGTTCTTGTGTCTTCCGGATTTTCCATCTATCAGATTTCTACCTTTGCTGGACAAATTCAGAAGTTGATTGCTGGAATGCACCGTATGTGGAGGCTTTCTGGGATCTGGTTTGGAATCTCCTGCTGGTGCAGAATGCATTGGCAAACTGCTAAGCAGGGAGCTTCCGGTCAAGAACATGGAGCACCAGGGTTAAAGCAGCTTCACTGGCAGCCCATCTGCTTCCGAGCCAGGTTCAAGGATCTTGCACTGATTTGCAAAGCCCCACACAACTTTGGCCCAGGAAACCTCAGGGATGGCCTGAACCCTTGTATCCCAGCTTAGTCACTGAAATCCTCTGCAGCAGCAGATGTTGATCCCGGAGTTGGTGAGGCTCATTTGACAACAGTGAGAAAATGAGCCTGAGGAACCCTCTGCCACTAGAGATTCACCAGGTGCCTTCTGTGCCAACTTTTAAATGCCTGCTGAAAATTGTTCTGTTCTGCCAGGACTATGCAGGCAGTTAACTATACATCCTTCCACAATGGTTAACTGTTGTCTGGTTTGGGTTTTTTTGTAAATATTTTTTATTCATTTTCCAATTAAAAACATTCATATTAGTAACAAATCAAACCAAATCTTTCCACATTCAAAAACAAAAAACAATATAGCCAATTATATAATCTAAATTAATTAATTTCAATGGGACTTCCCGTATTCTGGATTTCAAAAGCCAAATATCCATCCTTTATCTTTCAGCTATCTTCTCTATTACTTCACAGTTTTCCAATCCTGATATTAACAATCTCCTCTCTCCCTCAGTCAGTTGCTGGTATAACTCACTATCATGTTTTATTTGACCATTTCTTATTTCTGTTATCACGCAGGGGGCTTTTTCCACATTGTTCTTAGTTTTAATATTTTTAAGCACAGTCCACTTTGATGGCCCCTTCCTTTTCTGCTGATTGTTGTTCTAATAGGCTCTGGGCTTCCATCCAAGGTTGAAATTAATTAGCGACTTCTCACTGTCTTTGATCTTTGATGTTTCAAATGTACTGTAGAGGTGTACTTGGCAATCAGTAAGTCACACAAAGATTGTTTCGGTTTCCTCATAAAAACACACGCCAGCTCTCAGGGGCCCTTGGACAGCTGGCAGGCATCCAGAGTTCACCGCCACTCTTTTCTCAAACTGTAATGTTCCATGCAAGCAAATGTGTCCTCTGTAAAGTACACCCCTTTTGCAATTCCAATAAAAAAAATCTCCAATCTCCCCCCATTGAAGGAGGTTTTTTCTGATCATATCCTCCTTAGCCCAAGCTGTTCTGATCATATCTGATCCTGCTCTGCCAATTTCGATCAGGGCTCTTCGCCAAGGACTGTGATGAGTCAATAAGTCCAATTATTTTACTCCTCCTGCGTTTCCTTTGGGTAATTAATTATTTCTTGGTGGGGTTCGCCAAATCATGAAATAGTAAATATAACAAATATAAAAGTATGGCAGCCGCTCACCTCATTCATCAAAACGACAAGAAAGGAGTCTTTTTGAAGTCCGAAACTTTACCTCCAACGACTGTGTAGTTTAGCAGATTTTTCTTTTAACTCTTTCCATCTAGAACATGCCTGTTTTTTGCCAAATCTTTTAATTGTTAGGAAACAGGGACTCCCGGCTGATGAGACTGACTTTGGAGAGTTGCCAAATTCGTGCCTTGGACATCACCCAGAGTCCCTGCCTCCGCATCTTGTTGCGGAGCGCAGATAACGGACTATCTGCAGGTGGCACAGCTCCCCCCTTCCCTGGGGGGTGGCCAGGATTAATTACCCTCATTTAACCCCGAATTACTGACACGACTGGCTGTCCGATCTCTTGGGAGGCCACCATATCTGTTTTTAACCTTTTAAAGGTTTTTCTTACATGATTTTATTGCTGTAAGCCATGTATGTGCTGTGTGTGTGTACGTATATGTGTATGTGTGTGTGTGCCCATGCCCACACATATCTGTGATACAGCTGTATACAAATATCTGTATGAATAAATAAACAAACTGTGCATCTTGGTTCTGAATACTGAACCTGTTGCTGATACTATCTTGGGAACAAGGAGATGCCAAGAGCTCTGAGCTTTCCTTCTGCTGGAAATGGATTTTTCCAGAAAGCCTGGGAAGGCATGAATCTGTAAAGGAGGCGAAGGATCTGCTTTCTGTTCCTGCTTCTCTGGCTGCTTTCTTCTATTGCCTTGCAAGCTCCTCCAGCTCCTCTAAGACCTTGTCTTGCCTCTTGTCTTTCAGGGAAGGCAAAAGCTGGCTCGCTTTAATGCCCATGAATTTGCAACACTTGTCATAGACATTCTTGGGGATGCCAAGCGAAGGCAGCAAGGGAACCCTGTCCCAAGTTCCAGAGGTGAGTCCCTGTTCGGACGACTGGCTGACTTGAGTTTTCAGGACAGATAAAGGGACGTCCTTCTTCATGCAGCACATAGTTAAACTATGGGACTTGCTTCCACAGGAGGCAGTGATGGCCTCCAGCTTGGATGGCTTTTAAAAAGGGTTGGACAAACTCCTGGAGGAGATAAGGGCTATTGATGGCTACTAACCCTAATGCCTCTGCTCTGCCGCCACAGTCAGAAGCAGCAGTGCTTCTGAATACCAGTTGATGAAGCCACAGGAGGGAGGAGGGCTCTTGTGCTCAGATACCACTTGTGGGTTTTCCGTAGGCATCTGTTTGACCAAACAGGATGCTGGACTAGATGGGCCATTGGCCTGATTCAGCAGGTTCTGCTTGTGTGCTTAGGACCGTAGTGCAGGCAAAAGTACAAAGGGATCCTGGTGAAGGCTTCAGCTGACTCCTTCCTGCTGCCTGTTTCCCTTTTGTTCTGGTTCATGGAGCTGCATTCTCTAGGCTGGTCATTTTGAGGAATGCCACATTCTGCACACATTCCCTAAACATCAGGCATTTGGTTGCTGCTTTTGCAGAAAATGTAGAGCTGATCCTGAAGTCTGTCAACAGCCAGCACAGTACAGAGTGTCAGGATAATGACCAGCCTGACTACGACAGCGTTGCCTCTGACGAAGAAGTGGATCTGGAAACAAGCTCAGTCAAGGCACCCCGGCAGAAGGTGAGCCTGTGCAGAGATATCTAGAGGGCGGCAGCATGTTGGAAGGGGCTGTGCAGAAAGGCTGCTCCTCACGAAGCGCTCGCCTCAGGCCCATCACTGCTGCTAAAAGGTGAACAGTCCTTTGCAGAGTGAGCCTTGTCCCTGCTTATTTGAGCAGCTGGGCCTCTATCCCCAGCACTCTTGGTTCATTTGAAAAGAGATTTGTAAGGCTGCTTGGTTCCCCTTCCAGGTCTGGAAGGAGACTTACGGCCTCTCCTGACTTTAAAGGAGAGAGAGAGAGATGGTACTTCAAAATCCTTGAGGTGTTTGGGGACACCTGCCCTTGGACCAGCATAAACCCTTTGATGCTAATTTTGAGAGCCTATCTCACTTTTGACTTCTGAGTTGTAAACTTCTAGTTATATTGATTCATTTGTGAATTGCCTTTGGAGTTGTTTGTTTTATGTTTGTTTCTGATGTGCAGTATATAAGTGGCACTGAATTCTGTATCATGCCATAGTATTCTCAGAGGCTTCATTGTTTATTATTTAACATGTCCCTTTTGACTTTGGTCCTCAAAGTGAGAGGAAACAGCTGTGTCTAAATGAGCAACACATCATTGTGTGTTGCGTTTTGCAGAGCCTAGATTCAGACTTGTCGGATGGACCCATCACAACCCAGGAATATCTGCAGGTTAAAAACGCCCTGGTGGCTTCGGAGATGAAAATCCAGCAGTTAATGAAGGTGAACGTCAACTTGAGCGATGAGCTGAGGATCATGCAGAAGAAGGTAGCATGAGAGTGAACGAGAGAGGGTTTAGTTTAGTGCACCTTGAGTAAAAACCCCACATGCATGAAAAGGGCAGAATGTTGAAAGCTCAAAAAAAAGGACTGCAGAGCCTTCTGCAACCTGAGACCCTCCCGCTGGCTGTTGGGTTCCAATCCCATCATCCCTAACCACTCTGGTCAGTGGCCAGGGATCATGGGAGTTGGAGTCCTGCAGGGTAGCAGGTTGGGGAAGCATGGCCTAGCATCCACTTCCTGATGGATGGTGATCAACCGTACTCAGCCGGGGCTCAAAGGGAGGGCAGCCACTTGGTGTCCAATCCTGCACGAAGTTGTCCCTCACTGTTCACTGTGAAAGAAAAGGAAATGGAAGCCTTCTGTTCCTGTTAATTCCTCTTGGGATTGCTCAGGCTTGGACCCCCATAGATCAAATATTCATCACTTGCATCCCTAGACCACAGCCCTGGTCACCTTAATTCATAGTTTTCCCCTCCCCCCACCTGCTGATCTCAGTCACCCCATTAAGGAAAGGCATGACTGCAAATGGTTTACGGTGGGTCTGTACAGCCATTTATGGATTCTCCCGTGTGGTGAGATTTTAAATCCATGAATTTCTTAAGTGGTCAAGGGCAATGCTTTGTCTATGCTGTGTCAATAAAGTGAAAGAGTTTGCCTTTATTTTATATTTTTCTGTGCTGTCTTCTCCATAGCATGAAAAAGGAGAATGATAAACAAAATTATCCTGTTCTTTCTTTGAGAAGCTCAGGATGGGATACACTGTGTGGGCCTCTTGTCTTCACTGCAGCCCTGTGGGGTAGGCTAAGCCAAGGGAGACCGAGGAGTCCAAAGCCCTCCCAGTGAGCTTCATGGCAAATCAGGGATGTAAGCCCCGGTCTCCCTCATCATAGTCCAGTGCTCAAACCACAGCACTACCTGTTCTCAGCTCACAGTTTCCACCATGGCCGTGATCTACTGTGTGAGAGCAAACCCAGTGATCATAGCAAAATGTTTTGCAAAATATGAGCAATGGGGATCATAGAATCCTAGAATTGTAGAGTTGGAAGGGACCACAGGAGTCATCTAGTCCAACCTCTGACAATGCAGGAATCTTTTCTCAACTTGGGGCTTGAACCCACGAACCTGAGATGATGAGTCTCGTGCTCCACCAACTGAGCCCTTTCAGTTCTCAGTTCAATGTCACTAGATTTGTGAGCCTTGCTAAAATTATAATGGGCTTCTGGGAATGTGTGTAGGACTTTGAGTGCAAACTGTAGCTCCCCCCACCTACTTCTTCATCTCCCCCAAAGATTTTCAGCAAGGAGGAGCAGCTGACCACAAAGCCCCTCTTGGCCGTGTTTTGTGTTTTAGATGGGTGGCCAGGGCTACTGCAGGCAGTGGGGAGGTGGTTTGAGAAATATGTTGCAGCTTAGAGTAAGAAGGAAGAGGAGGGGCTGAGGAAGGGTATTCACAGGCCTTCAGGGGTGGGAGAGAGAACTAACTTCCAAAGGCAGCGAAAGGGTTTTTTCTTTCTCTTTTCAAGATCTCTCTGACCCAATACTGCAATTGCATGGCTTAGCCTCTCAGTGCTATGTAAAGTTCCTCCCCCTCCCCTTTATGATGGATGTAGCAATTCATGAGCCGCCAGGGGGTGTGGGCAACTTCCTCCTTTTATATCTATTTGCGGGGGAGGGGGGAGCAGGAGCGCCAGCTGCTTTAAACTGCGCAGAAAACTGCAGAAGGTCCACCAGATGTTTTATGGCTCTTCCTCCTGATTAATTGTGCCCTTAGCTGACTTGAGGACATTGTTGGGAATCTCTTGTGATGGGGCTCCTGTTCTGATCCCCCTTGTTGTGTTTCCATTCCAGTGGCCTTGTCCCTCTCTCTTGTGCAAATAGTCTCGTTTCGTCTTCCACTTCCTGCGGTGACATTGCCATTTCCCCAGTTCCCTCTTTTCTCTGATTTGACTGTTGGGCGCTTGGCCTGAGTCAGCCACTTTTAAAGAATGTTGCTAAAGCTGCTGTCTGTGTTGCTCAGAAACTTGGCCTAGCTTGGGTTCACGTTGCTAGATGTTGGAGCTCCTCTTGACACACACAACACCACCTGAAATTTTGGGGCTCCCAAAGCTTTGAGAATGTAACTGATTTGGCAGACGTTTCCTATAAAAGGAAAAGACTGCCTTTAAAAACAGAAAGACAAGCAAAACCTGGCTAGCTGGTAACAGTTTTCAAGCATGAGGATGCACCGACTGTGCTGCCCCCCTCCCCCAATTCTTGCTTTGCTGTGCTGTGGGGACATCCAAGCCCCCACTCTGAAATGTTTTATTCCAGCTTCAGATGCTACAGAGTGAGAACACGAGTCTCCGGCGGCAGGCCACAACAAACGCCTCCCTGACTCCTGCTGGCTCTGAGTACCCAGACGCCGGCAGCCACTCTTCCTTGATCTGGCGGCCCTCTGTGCGCAGCAGCCGGCCCATGTCCATGTACGAGACAGGATCAGCCCAGAAGCCCTACTTGCCATTGGCCGAGGTCTCCTACCCAGAGGAGCACATCACGTCGCGGCTGCAGCCGTTCCCTCCCCACGTAAGTAAGACCACCAACCTGCTGCCTCTTTGGGGGGGCTGCTTGGGCTTGCCTCACTCAGCCTGCCCCCAATCTGGGCTCTCCAGATGTTGGGCAAGGCTGGCCATGTCCCTGGGAGAAGTGCCTCTCTCTGTGGACAGAGCATCTCTGCCTAGCTGTCTGGGGCTGTAGCATTTCTGCTGTGCAGACTGGAGCTTTGGCCTTCCGCTTGCCCTCTTCATTTCACCTTTCGCCAACCTGGTGCCCGTCATATGAGGACGGACTGCTGTTGCTCAGTGGGGAGAGAAAGCTGCTCTGTGCATGCTCAAGAAACCTTAAGCATACACTACGACTGCTTGTCAGTTTCTCTGATGAAGAGGGGCAATCAAATATGAAAGAGGGGTGGTGGTCACTTAGCACCTTGAAAGATGTGGGACCCCAGGAGGGGGGCAGGGGGATCCGCAGGGGGCTTCTTCCCATGGGCTCCTCCATTACTTCAAAGCCAGAGTTTGCTCACACCAACGTCCAAGCACCCTGAGCTCCTTGCAGTGGTGTGTCTTTGTCTTTCCTCACTCAGTTCTTTTGCACCTTTGACTTGCTGATGCTGATGCTTGCCTCTTTGTGTCTTGCTGGATTTCAGAGATGTTGCTCTTGCACCCATTACCCACTCTTGGGACATTCTATTGTGGGTTTATTGATCTAAATCAAATCCCTTATGAATACACAGTTGAAGTGAGGAACAGGTTTAAGGATTTAGATTGGCTGGACAGAGTGCCTGAAGAACTATGGATGGAGGCTCGCAACATTATACAGGAGGCAGCTGGATGATATTCCAGCTGAACTATTTAAAATTTTAAAAGATGGTGCTGTTAAGGTGCTACACTCAATATGCCAGCAAATTTGGAAAACTCAGCAGTGGCCAGAGGATTGGAGAAGATCAGTCTACATCCCAATCCCAAAGAAGGGCAGTGTCAAAGAATGCTTCAATACCGTACAATTGCACTCATTTCACACGCTAGCAAGGTTATGCTTAAAATTCTACAAGGCAGGCTCAAGCAGTATGTGGACCGAGAACTCCCAGAAGTGCAAGCTGGATTTCGAAGGGGCAGAGGAACCAGAGGCCAAATTGCAAACGTGCTGGATTATGGAGAAAGCTAGAGAGTTCCAGAAAGACATCTACTTCTGCTTCATTGACGATGCAAAAGCCTTTGACTGTGTCAACCACAGCAAACTATGGCAAGTTCTTAAAGAAATGGGAGTGCCTGATTACCTCATCTGTCTCCTGAGAAATCTCTATGTGGGACAAGAAGCTACAGTTAGAACTGGATATGGAACAACTGATGGGTTCAAAATTGGGAAAGGAGTACGACAAGGCTGTATATTGTCTCCCTGCTTATTTAACTTATATGCAGAATTCATCATGCGAAAGGCTGGGCTAGATGAATCCCTAGCCGGAATTAAGATTGCCGGAAGAAACATCAACAACCTCAGATATGCAGATGACACAACCTTGATGGCAGAAAGTGAGGAGGAATTAAATAACCTTTTATTGAGGGTGAAAGAGGAGAGCGCAAAATATGGTCTGAAGCTCAACATCAAAAAAACAAAGATCATAGCCACTGGTCCCCACACCTCCTGGCAAATAGAAGGGAAAGAAATGGAGGCAATGAGAGATTTTACTTTCTTGTGCTCCATGATCACTGCAGATGGTGACAGCAGTCACGAAATTAAAAGACGCCTGCTTCTTGGGAGAAAGGTGATGACAAACCTAGACAGCATCTTAAAAAGCATAAAGCCATGGTTTTCCCAGTAGTGATGTATGGAAGTGAGAGCTGGACCATAAAGAAGGCTGATCGCTGAAGAATTGATGCTTTTGAATTCTGGTGCTGGAGGAGACTCTTGAGAGTCCCATGGACTGCAAGAAGATCAAACCTATCCATTCGGAAGGAAATCAGCCCTGAGTGCTCACTGGAAGGACAGATCCTGAAGCTGAGGCTCCAGTACTTTGGCCTCCTCATGAGAAGAGAAGACTCCCTGGAAAAGACCCTGATGTTGGGGGAAATGGAGGGCACAAGGAGAAGGGGATGACGGAGGATGAGATGGTTGGACAGTGTTCTCGAAGCTACCAGCATGAGTCTGACCAAACTGCGGGAGGCAGTGGAAGACAGGAGTGCCTGGCGTGCTCTGGTCCATGGGGTCACGAAGAGTCCGACACGACTAAACGACTAAACAACAACATTGTGGGTTCTTTCTTTTTTATAAGAACCTGCTTTTATACTGTGCACATGTGCCTGCGCGCGCATGTGTGTATCTTTCTCTCCCTTATTTTTAGGCAGGGAGGAACGGGCTGGTGACCGGCTATTCTTCCTCCATGCCTTTTTTCTCCATTCTCTCCTGGTTGGGATACAGAAACACACAAAGGGTTGTGTACAGTACCTCTTCCCTGGAAAAGCCCCCACTTCTGCTAGCAGAGCTGTTCCTTCTCCTTCTTCTGCAGGAGGGTCACTTCTTATCCACCCCTCCAACTCTACCATGCCTGAGCTTCTGGCCCTGTGGATCCACCATGCCTGTGCCTCCCCTCCTTATTTCTATCTCAGCTGCTTGAACTGCGAAGCTGCCTGGCAGATCAAGCTGGAGTGCTGGCTGAGACTGAGAGGTGGCCACAGCCGCCTGAGAAGGTTTAATTGTTCTGCGTTGGGGGAGGGGCTGCTGTGCCAGCTGGACCAGAAATTGGGGGAGGCTGTAATGCTTGCAAGGCAGTCCCCAGAATCTCTTGCTCAATCTGCTGGTGGTTTTGCTGGCCACCTGGGCAAAGAAGCCCTGGAGCCGAGAGGGAGAAGGGCAGCTGGGCAGGGGCCTGTGGTGACAGCTGGGAGGGGGGCGCAGCTGAGAAGGCCATAGTCACAGCAAGGGATAAAGCTCTTGGGGTGTGTCGGGGGCTGTTCCAGCTTAAGGAGCAACATAGTAAAGCCAGGGGAAGGGGAGTCCAGAAGAGGAGCCAAGCAGGATGGGGGGGGGCAGACCACAGATGGATTTGCACAGGATGCAGTCGACAAGAATCACAAGATCATCAAGTAGGAAGGGACCCTGAGGGTCACCTAGTCCAACCCCCTGCAATGTAGAAATCACAACTAAAGCATCCAAGACAGATGGCCATCCACCTCTGTTTAGGGTGTGAGCAGAGATACGGCAAGTTTTAAGAGTGGGGACTCCTGGCTTCCAGGAGACGTGCCCCTTCAGTGATATCAGAGCAGCTCAGCCAATGGCAGCCAGAGAATTACCTGTCATTAAAGTGGCACCGCAGGATCAGAGTTTAGCTTGTGCCACCAAGAGGGATGAAGCAAGAAGGAAAAGGAAAAGGGGGGAGGCAGTTGGAGGGCGGAGAAGGCAATGGGGGAGATCCGTCCTCTTCTTAGGGGTTCTTTCTCCTGGTGATGCAGAACCACGGAAAAGCAAGATGACAAAAGTGTGCTTTTGATACCATCTGTGCAAGGAGATGCCTGTTCTTTATATTTCTGTCCTTTAGCCTTCCAGAATTTAATTTCTGGATCTGATATTCTGTTTATTCTGGTCTCCCTGGATTTTGCTCTGCTCTTAAATTGCCCTCAAAGTGTTCTGTAGGTATTGGAGAAACGGGTGTTGGGTCTTCCCATCCACCCACATGTAAACCCCTCCCTTAATGAGCTGATACCCAGATCACTTTTACTCCATGGTGTGCTGTCCACTTCATAGGTAATTAGTTCAGAAATCCTTCAGGCAGAGGGCAAAACAGGGAAGAGGGTAATTGCAGCTTTGTAGGGGTGGAGCTCCCCAAACAAGAAATTTCCCAGCACTTTAAAGCATCAGCAGTGGCCAAAATCCAGCAGGGTTGGCACCTCCCTGCCTCTTGTGGGAGATTAACCAAAATGTTTATTCGGCTTTACGCCCATCATATCTTGTGGGAGAGAGTTCCATAGTTTTAACTGTGCAGGGTACAAAGAAGGACTTTCTTTTGTCTGTCCATTGGCTGACCCCAGTGCATTCAAGTCGGAGGGTGAATGTATCACTTTGTCCATGCTGTATATGGAAGCCCAGAGGGCTGGCATAGCCTTATGCTGAGAAACGCTGGTGTTTTTGGAATGAGGGCAGTGGTTATCCTCTCCAGTTAAAAGGTTTGGACAGCAGTAGCCGTGGGGGCAACAGACCCTCTGCTTGAGAGCAGTGAGAGTAAGTAGCCCTGGGTTAGGCAGAGCAAAGGTCTGGCTATAAGAGCATCTTGTCTGGCTGTATCTATGAATCTGGTGGCACTCATCTTGCTTCCTGCCCTTTCTCTTCCAGGCATCCAAACTGGAAAAGCAGAGCAGCCTGCCTGAAGGGGATTATGACAATGCCGTTCCTGCGCTGGAGCCCGACGAGACAGGGTAGGCATCAGGAGAGCATGGGCTGTGTATGAGTATTACTGTTGATTAGTATTTATTACCCACACTTCACCGTAAGGGCCCAGAGCAGGTTGCAGCATTAAAACACCATATGAAAAGTAAATTTAAGCAACTTACAAGCATAAAAGTAAGGTGGCTCTACAAACTTTGTCTCAGGTGACAAAGGCCAGGGTCAAGAGGAGCCTTTTCAGCCTTTTTCAGGCTCCAGGTGCCTCTGTGAGGGGGGAGGTCCCTAGGTCAGAACCCAAGAAGGTCTTTCCTGTGTTTGAGGTGTATATGTGGGTTGGAGCTTTGGACACCCAATGTGCTCACCTTGAATTGGGCCAGGTAAGGAGCTGGCAGCCAGTGTGGCTGTTTTGAAACAGGGCTTATATGAAATCTAAATGGGTGGGAAACCCATGAAGACTTCCAGAGGTTTCTGGACTCCAGCCTCCCGTCATCCCTGAGCATTGCCCATGCTGGCTGCAGGGGCTGCTGGGAGTTGGAGTCCTGCGACCTCTGGAGGGTCCCCCACAAGCAGCGTTGTCCCTGTCCTCCTGGTTTGTAGCTGGGCTCACACACAGCCTCCTCTGCCAGCTGGAGGCCCTCCACCTCTTGCAGGACTCCAACTCCCAGCAGCCAGGGATTGTGGGATCTGAAGTCCAGCAGCGGCCAAAAGTCCACAGATAACACAGGGTCCCTTCAGTTCCTTTCAAAGTGCAACATGGCAACCCTCAAGACTGGGCAGGAAGTTTTGCTCATGCCTCAGTATGACTGAGGCTGCATTTTCACAAGGCTGCATTTTCACAAGGCCAGGCTGCATTTTCACAAGCGAGTGAAGAAAAGCCCCCCCCCCCGCCTCCCCGGTTCTCTCCCCAAATGGCCCTGGGTAAAGCTGTAGGCAGTGAGCCAGAGCCTCCAGGAAGCAGATCTTTTCTAGGCTTTGTTCATGACTGCCTATAAGTGGAGGATGAATCTTGGGGTGAAGGAGGTTGCCTGTTCTTTACCTGACAGCCAAGGCCAGCTGGCTAGGGACTTGGGGTGGAGAGCAAAGAGCACCATTGGCAGCCTTGCAGATGTCCCCCCGCCCCCAGTTTCTTTAGTGGCTTGTTTCATATCAGTCTTCAAAGGGAGAGGAAAACAGTTGTCCTCTGGAAATTCTCTCTTGGCCACTTGGCAGAGATTCTGATTTGCCAGAGACAGTCAGGCAAGTGGCCCTCTGAAACGCTTGTGTGTGTGTGTGTGTTGGCAGAATCAGCAGGAAGGCCAGGCAGCGAAGCACCTTCCGACAGGGAGAAGGGCCCACATCCGAGGCCAAGGACCCAGATGCCAGCCCCAGCCTCCCCAGCACAGAGGACGTAATTCGGAAAACAGAGCAGATCACCAAGAACATCCAGGAGCTTCTGCGGTCAGCTCAGGAGAACAAACACGACAGGTGAGGAGGCCAGGAAGTCAGAGCAGAGGTCCCTGGAAGAAGCACTTGAGTATCCTGGTCTGCGTTGAGCAAAAGTGCTCTTCCCCCATCAGGAGGGATCCTGGAATCAATTAGATGAGGCAGCATGCAGAGCGATGATGATGCGTGTGTGTCTTGCAAGTGTGGGTTGACGTCCTTCTTTCTTTAAAGAAAGAGAGGCCCAAATTCTTGTACACCTGGCTGGCTTTGCTACCTTTTCCATCCAAGGCAACTGGCAGCTTTTATTTTCATCCTTCTGGACCTTCTAACAGGCCAGGATCTGGTGCTTAAAATCATACCTTCCTCCTCTTTAGCTGGGAAAGGGTGTGTCTACAAGAGGAGTCCTGAACTACACAAGTATCTGATGGTGTCCTGGATTTTCCCACGCCCCTTCCTGCTCGCCCCATTCGGGGTTGGAGGGGTGTCAAGAGGCAGAAGTGACCCTGGGAGCTTGGGAGGGGGGAAGCTTGAGTCACATGTGTGTCCTCTTGAGCAAAAGTGTAGGTTATGACAGCTTTATGCGCTCCTTGGTTCTGCAAGCGCTCCGTTGGGCTGTGAGGCGCTCCTGTGCTGAAAAACCTCTCTCTCTCCTCTCTCTGGTTTTCCTCCTTGGGGTGCCCAGGCCATTCAGGCACAGCAGCGCCCCCAAGCTTAGGCACAGCCTGGGCTGTTTCAGTCCCCTGGTTCCATGGGCCGAGCGAGCGTCTCTGCAGCCTCTGACCCTCCGGCAGCCTGACCCTCCCACCACCTGGTATTCTGGCCTCTGTCCCTGCCTCCCAGGCACAGTGTCCTTTTTCTTTCTTTGGGACCCTCCCCTCCCCTCCCCTCCCAAGCATGGGGTCTTTAGCGGTTATGCAAGAAAGGCAGCAGAACACCCTGGCCCAGCCTGCTCAGCACCATTTGGGAGAGGAGCTGGGGTTCAGTGGGAGTGCAGTTTGGGGCCAGCAAGCGGGGGGAGGGTTCTTCATCCAGCCTGGCATTTTTTGTCTGCTCCGTCCCTGGTACCCTAATGTGCAGCAGTGAAAGGGGAAACCTTCTTTGACCATCCACAGGGGTGTCACCTGCTCAGCTGGCACCCTGTGTTTCATCACAGGTTGTACTTGCCTCGTGGGACTTTCTGAGCTCACTTGAGGGCAGAAAACAGAAGCGCAGGCAGCTGATGTCTGAAAGAGAGACCTAAATCCAGATGAAGAATCCTGTACCTCTGAGAAGCCCTACAAGAGCTAAAGGAAAAGGTTGAGGCCCTGGCATTTGGTGATGGGACACCCCCTCCTCAACCATAGAGAAAGATGGCCTGGGAACAGGATGAGTGCTAAGAGGCAGGGAGTGGGAGGGTGCAAGGGAGCGGCTTCATCTTTGAGCTTTAGGAAGGTCCTGGCTGCTCTTGGAGCACAGCAGGAGCTCTTCTTACCCTAGGTGGGCTTGCTGAAATGGGCTTTTCATTTTCTTGTTCAGGTGAGGGACGTGTGTCCCTCCCACACACACACAGTTGAACTCCAACTCCCAGCATAGAATCATAGAATCATAGAGTTGGAAGAGACCACAAGGGCCATCGAGTCCAACCCCCTGCCAAGCAGGAAACACCATCAGAGCACTCCTGACATATGGTTGTCAAGCCTCTGCTTAAAGACCTCCAAAGAAGGAGACTCCACCACACTCCTTGGCAGCAAATTCCACTGTCGAACAGCTCTTTCTGTCAGGAAGTTCTTCCTAATGTTTAGGTGGAATCTTCTTTCTTGTAGTTTGGATCCATTGCTCCATGTCCGCTTCTCTGGAGCAGCAGAAAACAACCTTTCTCCCTCCTCTATGTGACATCCTTTTATATATTTGAACATGGCTATCATATCACCCCTTAACCTCCTCTTCTCCAGGCTAAACATGCCCAGCTCCCTTAGCCGTTCCTCATAAGGCATCGTTTCCAGGCCTTTGACCATTTTGGTTGCCCTCCTCTGGACACGTTCCAGTTTGTCAGTGTCCTTCTTGAACTGTGGTGCCCAGAACTGGACACAGTACTCCAGGTGAGGTCTGACCAGAGCAGAATACAGTGGCACTATTACTTCCCTTGATCTAGATGCTATACTCCTATTGATGAGGCCCAGAATTGCATTGGCTTTTTTAGCTGCCGCGTCACACTGTTGGCTCATGTCAAGTTTGTGGTCAACCAAGACTCCTAGATCCTTTTCACATGTACTGCTCTCAAGCCAGGTGTCACCCATCTTGTATTTGTGCCTCTCATTTTTTTGCCCAAGTGCAATACTTTACATTTCTCCCTGTTAAAATTCATCTTGTTTGTTTTGGCCCAGTTCTCTAATCTGTCAAGGTCGTTTTGAAGTGTGATCCTGTCCTCTGGGGTGTTAGCCACCCTCCCAGTTTGGTGTCATCTGCAAATTTGATCAGGATGCCCTTGAGTCCATCATCCAAGTCGTTGATAAAGATGTTGAATAAGACCGGGCCCAAGACAGAACCCTGTGGCACCCCACTAGTCACTCTTCTCCAGGATGAAGAGGAACCATTGATGAGCACCCTTTGGGTTCGGTCAGTCAGCCAGTTACAAATCCACTGAGTGGTAGCATAGTCAAGACCACATTTTACCAGCTTCTTTACAAGAATATCATAGGGCACCTTGTCAAATGCCTTGCTGAAATCAAGGCATTTGGCTACATCCACTGCGTTCCCTTCATCTACCAGGCTTGTAATTCTGTCAAAAAACGAGATCAGTTAGTCTGACATGACTTATTTTTCAGAAATCCATGCTGACTATTGGTGATCACAGCATTCCTTTCTAGGTGCTCACAGACTGTTTGCTTAATGATCTGCTCCAGAATCTTCCCTGGTATTGATGTCAGACTGACTGGGCGGTAATTATTTGGGTCCCCTCTTTTCCCCTTTTTGAAAATAGAGACAACATTTGCCCTCCTCCAGTCTGCCGGGACTTCGCCTGTTCTCCAGGAATTCTCAAAGATGACTGCCAGTGGTTCTGAGATCACATCTGCCAGTTCTTTTAATACTCTTGGATGCAGTTCATCTGGCCCTGGAGACTTGAATACATCTAGACTAGCCAAGTATTCTTGTACTATCTCCTTAGTTATTCTGGGCTGTGTTTCCTCTGCTGAATCATTTGCTTCAAATTCTTCAGGTCGGGCATTGTTTTCTTTATCGGAGAAGACTGAGGCAAAGAAGGCATTGAGGAGTTCAGCCCTTGCTGTGTCCCCTGTTTGCATTTCACCATCTTCTCCTCTGAGTGACCCCACTGTTTCTTTGTTCTTCCTTTTGCTACGAACATACCCATAAAAGCCTTTTTTGTTGCTTTTAACCTCTCTAGCAAGCCTGAGTTCATTCTGCGCTTTAGCTTTTCTGACTTTGTGTCTACACGTGCTGGCTATTTGTTTGAATTCCTCTTTGGTGGTTTCCCCCCTTTCCATTTTTGTACACATCCTTTTTAATCTTAACTCAGTTAAAAGTTCTTTAGATAGCCACCCTGGCTTCTTTAGGTACCTTCCATGTTTCCGTCTCATTGGTATTGCCTGAAGTTGTGCTTTTACTATCTCCCTCTTAACAAACTCCCAGCCATCATGAACTCCCTTTCCTTTTAGTATTACTGTCCATGGGATCTCACCCAGCACTTCCCTAAGTTTTATGAAGTCGGCTTTCTTAAAGTCAAGAAATTGAGTCCTAGTATGCTTGGCTGCTCCTTTCTGCTGTATAGTAAACTTCAGAAGAGCATGATCACTCGCGCTTAATGATCCTTCCACTTCTACCCCACTAACCAGGTCATCAACATTGGTTAGGACCAGATCTAAAATGGCTGTTCCTCTTGTTGCTTCTCCCACTTTCTGGACAATGAAGTTGTCTGCAAGGCCAGGGAGGAATCTGTTTGACCTTATGCTCTTGGCTGAGTTTGACATCCAACAAATATCCGGGTAATTGAAGTCCCCCATTACTACTATCTCCCTTTATTTTTGCATGCTTGGCCATCTGTTCCAGGAAAGCATCATCTATGTCCTCCGTTTGGCTTGGGGATCTATAGTAAACTCCCACAATGAGGTCACTGTTATTCTTCTCTCCCTTAATTTTGACCCAAATGCTCTCACTTTGGCTTTGAGGTTCTAAATCTTGGATCTCTTCACAGGTATACACATCCCTGACATATAACGCCACTCCTCCTCCTTTCTTGTCTGGTCTGTTTCTCTGAAATAGATTGTATCCCTCCATTATTACATTCCAATCGTGGGACTTATCCCACCAGGTTTCAGTGATGCCTATTATGTCATTTAGTTTGCTGTACCAAGAGCTCAAGCTCATCTTGTTTATTTCCCATGCTTTGCGCATTAGTGTACAGACATTGAAGTCCATTAATCATTCCCCCGTGTCTCTTATTTAAGGATTTTTCCTCCCACCACTAGGTCTGCGTGCCGTTTGCTCCATTTGGTCTATGACATTTGGATGATCATCTTCATCAATTGATAGACTCCTACCTTCAGGAGCACCGTCTCCCTCCCCCACATTAGTCAGTTTAAAGCCCTCCTGATGAGGTTTCTGAGATTTTTGGCAAAAACATTTCTCCCAACCGTTGTGAGGTGCAGCCCATCGCTTGCCCCAAGTCCATCTTCAAGAAACTGCAGTCCATGATCTAAGAATCCAAACCGTTCCTGTTTACACCATTTGCGAAGCCAGCTGTTCACTTCCACTATTTTTCCCTCTCCCCCTGGGCCACGTCGTTCAACTGGGAGGACAGATGAGATGACAATTTGTGCATTTAATTGCTTCAATTTCCTGCCCAGAGCCTTGTAGTCTCTTTTGATCTTCTGGAGGCTATTGCTTGCAGTGTCATTGGTTCCCACATGAACCAAGAGGAAGGGGTATTTGTCAGTGGGTTTTATGATTCCTTGCAGTCGTTCAGTTACATCTTGGATCTTAGCCCCGGGGAGACAGCACACTTCCCAAGACATCTTGTCAGGCCCACAGATCACTGCTTCTGTTCCCCTCAGTAGGTCAGGGATGATGGGACCTATAGTCCAGTGGCATCTAGAGGGCTGCAGCCCTCTTGTACATGTTAAACTGGAACTCACTGCCACAGGAGGCAGGGATGGCCACTGGCCTGGATGGCTTTAAAAGGGCATTGGACAAATACAGGGAGGAGAATAAGGCTCTTAGCCGTGATGACTCTGCTCCCTGGGTCCCATCACCATCCTCCTGGGGTCTGGCGGCAACTGTTTGGGCTCCACATCTGTCTCCACCTCTGGTGGGCTTTAGATGAGACCTTCCTTGCCTCAAGCAACTTTCCTGCATAATCGTCCATGACTGACCCAGCTCCCCATCTCACCTGCCTGCCTGCCTGCCTGTCTCTCTGTGGCTTGAGTTTGGGGAGGAGCATGGAGGTTGGGCATGCAGCTGGTAGCAAGGAGGTTTGTGTGTGTGTGTGTTGACTGGGGGACTAATGCACACATGGCTGGGCCACAACCCCTGGCTAACAGTTCTGCGCGCACCAGTTGGATTTCGTGGACTGTGTGGGTCTTGGCACTTCAGGCACACAGGCTCCAGTCCCTGCTTGCCTGTAACTCCATCACGTCACTTTTTGGGGAGCAATTTTGGACACTATGGCAAGCATTTTGCCCCCCCTCCCCGCTGCCACCACTGCTGCCGTCACGGAGGAGAAGACTGTTGATGCCTCCTCTCCACGATGGCTCTGCTCTGCCTCTACGGTTGGGGGAAGCAGTGCTTCTGAAACCCAATTGCTGGAAACTGCAGGAGGGGAGAGGGCTCTGGGGCTTGGATCCAGCTTCTGGGTTTCCAACAGGCATCTCGTTGGCCCCTGTAAGTACAGAAAACTGGACTCGGTGGGCCCGTGGCTTGATCCAGCAGCCTCTTCTTAAGCTCTTAGGACCATTGCTCTCTGAAAGGGACAGTTTGCACCTCCTCTGCTCTCTCCCAGCACAATGAGACTCTTTTCTATGAGACAACTTAAAGCTTTTCTTCTGGCTACTATTTTTATTTTAAAGTCTCCACGTCAAGCATTTGGACTTCCCATTTGTACTTCTTGTGTTGCCACTTGCCAAGGTGCATGAGGTGGGACTGGATGTGTGGACACCCTTGTTTTTAATGGCTTTGCCTTTGCAGCAACTAATGTCACCTTTTGTGGCCCTGGGGGTGGGGGAACTTGCTTCCCTTAGAATGACCTGCCCCCTCTCTCCCCTTGCAGCTACATCCCCTGCTCAGAAAGGATCCACGTGGCAGTGACGGAGATGGCTGCCCTCTTTCCAAAAGTGAGTAGCCCTGCAGAGGTCAGAGGGGGACTCTGAATGCGGCAGGGACTCCCTTGTGGTGGCCAGCCTGTGGAAAGGACCAGAGGACTTATTTCATTTCACCTTTATCTCCAAGGAGCTCAAGGGAGCCTACATGGTTCTTCCCACTCCTCATTTAATCCCCACAACAGCTGTGTGAGGTAGGTTAGGCTGAGAGAGGCAGTGACTAGACCAAGGTCACACCCAGTGAGCTTCCTGCCCAAGTGGGGATTTGAACCCTGGCCTCTCTGAGGTCTTAGCCCGGCACTCTAACCAGGACACCCCGCTGGCTCTCTTGGGAGAACTCTTACCAGCCACAGGAAGTGGTCTTAGGCCAGACACACCAGGGGTCCCTCTAGCTCAGTACTGGCTGTCTCCATGGATGGGTGGCAGATCTGTAGGGTTTTAGACAAAGGGTCTGCATGCAGAGTGGGCTCCTTTGCCAGCCGTGAAGCTCTCTATTCCCATCCCGTCCTTATTAGTTTCTTTAAATGCAATATTTCATTGTGAGTTTTGTAAATAATAAAATATATTATAGTTATGTAAATCATCTTAATGTCCAGAGACTGGTAACATCTAACCAGATCTAAAGAGAAAGGGAATTCTGACACAATCATATTGTATACAGAGATGTAAAACCTTATGCCATAAATTCCGCTGCTCACACCTGAATCTCTGGCTGAGCGACACAGCGAGAAATAATCCAGGTTTGCCCACACTGAGTGAATAGTCAAAGGACAAGAAGGAGAGTCTGACTAAACAGCAGGAAAAGTTATCTGACAGTAAGGGAGTCTCTCAGAAGGTGGTGGGCTCCCTTTCACTGGAGGTTTTCAAACAAAGGTTGTATGGCTGCCTGTCAGGGATTCTTTAGCTGTGATTCCTGCATTGCAGTGGGTTGGACCAGATGACCCCTGGGGGTCCCTTCCAGTGCTACAGTTCTGATTCTAGGACACTGGAGCCAGTCTCAGCTCCCTGGATGAAGCCTTTCTCCAGGCCTAACTGTAAATCCTCTTAGGTCAGCGGTGGCGAACCTACGGCACGCGTGCCAGAGTGGGCACGCGGAGCCCTCACTCCTGGCACACATGCTATCGGCCCATCCGCGCTGTTGTTTTGTTGGTTTTTCCATTTGTGCTCCCGCTCCTCCCCATGCTACTGCGTGCATCCACTGCTTAAACCCGGAACTTTTATTTTTCTTATTTGCTGGTAGCTGGCGATTGTGTTCGGCGATTGCTCTGTTTTTCAATTGGCTACAGCAGTGGCTGTTTCCGATTGGACATAACAGTGTTCGTTATTTGACCCTCGTGATTTTTTTTCTGCACTTTTTCCGGTGCTGGGTGGTAGTTCCCAGCTCCCCCCTCCAAGCCAGGCCTCGCCCATTCCCTTCTGCCCCCCCCCACTCCAATCCTCCGCAGGCTCCTCGTCTCCCTTGGGCTTGACCTGCCTTGGCTAGGAGGGCACCTGTGCCCGCCACCTACCTGCGTGCCTGGCCCAACCCAGTCTCACCCCTTTGCCGTTGCTGGAGGGAAGGAGGGAGGGAGGAAGATGGGGAAGACCACACCGGGATCGCGGGCAGGTAGCAGGCAGGCACGGCTGTTGGGCTGGCTGGCTGGGGTGGGGGCTCTTGCTCTCCCTCTCCTCCTGTCCGCTGCTCACCTGGCCCCAGGGCTGCTCCGTCCTCCCCATCGCATCAGCCTGAGAACGAGCCAGCCAGCTAGCCGGGGAGCGCGCCCAGCACATCTGGTGGGAGGGGGGAAGACGGAGGGAGATGGCGAGAACCGCGGCAATTTTTCTCTTCTGTCTCTCCCCCAGAAAGCTCAAAAACTTTGGGCACTTTGCAATAAATAAGTGGGTTTTGGTTTGCAGTTTGGGCACTTGGTCTCTAAAAGGTTCGCCACCACTGTCTTAGGTGCACACAACGGAAGCAACTGCTGATACATTTTTGCAGTGGAAAGAAAATATTTGGCCCTTTAACCTATCTTCCTCTCTGCATGCTCCTTTAGCCCCCTGCCTCTGAAGTTCATGCAGAAGTGCTGCTCTAGCCGGGTGGTGCCTGCCCCCCTGTGTCATGCTTTCCCCCCTTTTCCTCTGTCCTCCCCAGAAGCCCAAGTCTGAGCTGGTGCGCACCTCTCTGCGGCTGCTGACCTCCAGTGCCTTCCGACTGCATTCCGAGTGCACAAAGGCCCTTCCACCAGAGTCCTGCCCCCTGGCCGACATCCAGCTGGTCACCCAGCAGGTCATTCAGTGCGCCTATGACATCGCCAAAGCTGCCAAGCAGCTGGTCACCATCACAACCAAGGAGAACACCAACTGAGGCCGCCGTGTCCCCCCACCTCCTCAGCAGGCCTCCTGCAAAGGGTCGGCTTGGAAGCTGAACATTTTCATGTTTTTTACAGGAATATTTAAGGTGGTGCATTACTTCTTTTTTAAAAAGGAATCTCAGTATTAAAGGGGGGTTGCATGTTTCCCCCCCTCAAAAGGACCCCCCCCCCGAATTAATGTAACCCACTGCCTTATTTTATGCCTGTATTGCCAGTGTAAAGAGGGTGTCAGTGTATGGAACGTCATGAGCCAATCTTCGCATCAACCGCTCTCACAGGGATGTGTGTGTGTATCTGGGGCAGGGAGTGGCGGGGAGGGTCGCACTCTGCACCATTTGTGAACTAAAATGCACATATCAGGATACAGGGCACATATCCCCAAGTCTTGTTATGCAGCTGTTTGACACACCTGAACCACTATGTTGCACGTACCACTAACCTCTGAAGAGCGGGGGTAGGTAAGGACACCCCCCCCCCACATGATCCCTGCCAATCAGTCCCCACCCCTTGCAAAATACCAGGCCATCAAAGGCTTGCTACAAAATGGTAGGACTAGCCTCCCAACCCCTTTAATATTTTAGCCTCCTGGGACTCTTCTTTGCTTTCCATGGTGGAAGCAGATGGGAGTGTCTCAGATTTTTTTTGGCCCCAGTTCATATGGATCTTTGAGAAAGTGCTTTTCATGACATAACTGCACCACAAAGCTTTCCTAGGGCAGAAAATGATTTTTTGCTTGTCCTGTTTCTGCTCACCCGCCCCCACTCCTCCTTTGGAGTATCTGCATTCCTGGGAGGATGGCTTGCTGGTGGTGGCTGTGCCGGGAGCGGTGCACTGCAGGGAGTGTCTAGTTGCAGGTGGGACTGAAGGTCCATCTTGGGTGGCAAAGGTACAGTGGAAACCTGCCCGGATTTGGGGAGGAGTGAGAGACTGATTGTCTTGTGTTTTTTTGGTGGGGGGGGGGGAAGAGAACTGCTGGTGTTGAGAGCTGGGCTTGGTGTCCTGTCCCATTTGAGCCCCGACAACCTTGCTTCTTGAGAGCCACTGTGCCTGTGTTCACCAAGGCGGCAGGGCAGGGCAGGGTGACATTAAGAAAGGGGGCAGCTGTGCAGGGTGGCTAAGAAAGACTCTGCTTTGCTGTTGGGTGTCCAAGTGGTCCAGTGGATGCCATGGTTTGCAGACAAGATGCCGTGAAGCAGAGTGGCCCAGCCGGGGTGTATGTGGAGAGAGAGGAAGCAGCTGGGGGGGGTGCAGAGAGAGGAAGGCGGACCCTGTTCCAGAGGCTGAATGCGCCTGCTGGTGAAAGGATCATAGTAATTTCTGCTAGGTTGGCAATTTGGCTGGTGCTTCATGGAACGAAACAGGTACCATTGATGGGCATGCATGAGAGAGGTTCCTACACTAGAGCACATTGGTTGCACGGAACCCCTGCTGCCATCGCTAGGCCTTGAGGGAGTGGTGACCGGTTTGTCTTGTTGGGTTTGGTGGGTCTTAAATGGCCCTCTATGGGAGAACTAGGTCTGGGTCAGGAGCCTTTCTCCCCCCTTATGCCCAGTTGCCCAGTCTGATCCTCAGTGCTTCAGAACATCCTTTGTGCCACTTGAGGGGAGTCTTCCCTGGGGAAGGCGGTTCAGGGGGCAAGTCTGCATTGTGTGTGTCTGGGGGAGAGATTTCTGGGATGGTCCCAACAGCATGCAGCATGCTGTGTAGTGATTTCTGGCAGGGGCCCTTTAACAAACAGCTGATTTTGTCCAGCGACAGCCCCACCCCCTCCTTTCATCTTGGTGTGTCTGAGCCACCCCACTAGTAAAGGGTTCCGATGAATCCGGAGAAATTCTTATGAATTCTGCTGAATTGCTGAATGGAGAAAGAGTCTTGGGCTACAGCCGGCCTGTGAGAGTTTGGTGCTCAAGGTGGAAAACCCAAAGGGCAGCCTGTGGGCACATCATGCCCAATTCTGTGCACACCTGTCTCATAACAAGCAAGAGCTGTGTGCAAGGATGCCTTGTGGTGCTCTGGGTTCATGTCCCACTCATTCCACTGCAGCCTTCCACCCCAGCAGGACAAGACCCACTTAGCTCCTCTTCTCTTAAGAGTCTGGCCAAAATGTACGCACAAAACCGAGAGGGTCTCGGGTCTGGGGAAATAGGAAGCTTGAGACTGGCTGGGCCTGAGCAAACAAGTCAACCTTCCTCCTGCCCTGCCTAGTGCTCCCCCCGGCAGGCTCTGCCACGGCCCGTGAAGTTGCCAGCTCACTGCAGGGTACTGCTTCTGTACAAGGCAGAGGAGGCGATCTGCCCACCTGCATGCCACTCATAGGAAATGGGCAGACAGGCTGTCTGCTCCAGGGATGGTTGGCTGGCAGTGGAGAGGTTTCTGGGTTTAGAAGCAGCAGTCCAACTTGAGGGGTGTGTGTGAGAGTGTGTGTGTTTTACCCTGTTGGTATTTATATATTAAAAGAAACCAAACCAAGTGCCATAATAATGTTGGATGCTGATGTTACTTGTAATTAACTACCTTTTTAAAAAGTATTGTACTATTTTTGGGTTTAAAGAAACAAACAAACAAAAAAGGTAGAACAGGTATCTTGCTTTTTCTATTCTTGTCTCCTGGTTTTGTCTTCTTGCAAACAGTGTTGACTGGCATGAAATGTTGGCTGAGCATAGCTGTCAACTTTTCCCTTTTCTTGCGAGGAATCCTATTTGGAATAAGGGAATTTCCCTTAAAAAAGGGAAACATTGACAGCTATGTGGCTGAGACCGATTTGGATGTCTTTGCCCTTGTTGGGCCTGTGGGCCCATTGCAGGCAGAGAAACTGTTTTGGGCAGCAAGTGCGCACTCCTTCCTGCCAGGAAGTAGGCTCAGGAAAGGGAAAGCACCTGACCGCTGGGATCTAGGTCCTTCTCTCTCACGAACAAAGCAAAGGAGCAACACCAGCTTGCAGCAAGAGAGTTAAAAAGCTTTATTGAGCCTTTTGACATCCCTGTCAGAGCCTGAATGGGAAGTGCTTGGAGCCTCCCACCCTCTTCTTCCTTGCACTGCTTTGCCAACAGCAATAATAGGTAGCTGCTGCTTCCACATCCAAGTTTGGCGAAGGTGAAGGCTTGCAAGGACAGTGTGTGGTTGAGCTGCTGCCTGCTGGCTGAGTCTGTCCACCACCATCCCATATCTCCCCCAAGTGCCTTGAAGGATCAGCAATCCCCACCTGCAGAGCCTCTTGGAGCCACAGCTGTGCCTGCTCTCCAGGAAGGGCCAAAGCCTTCAGCAGGAGAGGGCTGCTGTGCAAGGGGGGCGGGGGGCTGCAACCCTCCAGCCTCTCTCCTTTTTAATCTATACAAATACTCCCACAGCACGCCCAGCAGGATGCAACCAGGAAGCGGCTCCCACATTGAGGATTTTAATCTACTGAAACTGGAAACCAAGCCCCCTCTCGCTTCTTTAGGTCCAGGCTGCTTTGGGATAGCTGTAGCTCTGGAAAAGAACAGAGAAGGAGAAATGCTTTCAGTTCTTGCAGGTAACACTTTGCCTTCAACCCCTGGCAGATCCCTGAATGGAACTGTTGGGATGGGAGGCAGCTGAATGTGTAAATAAGAGGTGGTGAAGGCTGCCTTGTTGTGCCCCAAATATGTTGGTCCAGGCACAAAACCCCAAACAGTTTGGAAATGCCTGACTCCCTTGTCCAGGACCCATGTGGTAGGAGGCCAGACAGACAGGCTGGCTGCTCCCCCATATAGAGGGCTTGGCTCATCCACAAGAGGCATTTCAGAAACACCCGGGGGACAGAATCACTCTTCTCTTGGCCACAGGATGGGGAAATTCCCTGTTGACTGGCATGAGGCACCAGTTCTGATAGGCTGCTGCCTCCGCCCCCCTCACCTTGTTGCGATAGCCGAGCTCCATCATGCGCCTGGCAGCCAGTTGCTCCAGCTCTGCGTTGCGCTGCTCCTGCTGCTTGGCCTCAGCTGCTTCCTCCCACTGGCACTGCAGCTCCTCCTGCTCCTGCCGATGCCGCTCCGTGAGCTGAAAAAGCAATAGGGAAAGGAGAGGGAGAAACCCAGCAAGGTGGGTACATCGTCACAGCCCACGTGAACTATTAGAGCTCACACAGTTAGCAGTCCTCTCTGGACAGCCCACCTACCCTCCTGCTTCCCCCTGTGAGCCTGTGCCTTCAAAGTCCCTCTTCTTAAGCACAGCTCGCCTTGAACTTCGAGCATCATTTTGTCATCACCTGCTGCATGAGGTCCTGTGCCCCCAGCCCTTGATCAGTCCTTCACTTCTTGCTCCCGTCTCTGCCTGACTACTTCCCTTTTGTGTGGAAAAACAGTCCCATTCCTGACTGGGGAGAGGAACCACAAAGCAGAATGATGAAGCAGACCATCTTGTAGCTGACGTGAGGATAACTGCCCTGTATTGTCTAGACTTTGGGGAAACCCACCCAGACACCAAAGGTCTGGACCCCTCCTGCTTTTAGTTTTTGATGGCAGAAAGTGAGGAGGAATTAAAGAACCTTTTAATGAGGGTGAAAGAAGAGAGCGCAAAACATGGTCTGAAGCTCAACATCAAAAAAACAAAGATCATGGCCACTGGGCCCATCACCTCCTGGCAAATAGAAGGGAAAGAAATGGAGGCAGTGAGAGATTTTACTTTCTTGGGCTCCATGATCACTGCAGATGGTGACAGCAGTCACGAAATTAAAAGACGCCTGCTTCTTGGGAGAAAGGCGATGACAAACCTAGACAGCATCTTAAAAAGCATAAAGCCATGGTTTTTCCAGTAGTGATGTATGGAAGTGAGAGCTGGACCATAAAGAAGGCTGATCGCTGAAGAATTGATGCTTTTGAATTCTGGTGCTGGAGGAGACTCTTGAGAGTCCCATGGACTGCAAGAAGATCAAACCTATCCATTCGGAAGGAAATCAGCCCTGAGTGCTCACTGGAAGGACAGATCGTGAAGATGAGGCTCTAGTACTTTGGCCACCTCATGAGAAGAGAAGACTCCCTGGAAAAGACCCTGATGTTGGGGAAAATGGAGGGCGCAAGGAGAAGGGGACGACAGAGGACGAGATGGTGGGACATGTTCTCGAAGCTACTAGCATGAGTTTGATCAAGCTGAGGGAGGCAGTGGAAGACAGGAGGGCCTGGCGTGCTCTGGTCCATGGGGTCACAAAGAGTCGAACACGACTAAACGACTAAACAACAAAGTCCTACAGGGGCTGCCAGCTGGCTCCTGAGCAAGACCTACCTGCGCTTCCAACTCCCGCCTGCGCTCAGTTTTCAGCGCAGCCTCCTTTTCCTTCTCCCGGTGCGTCAGCTGCTTGGCCACTTCAAGCTCCTGGATCAGCTGCTCCCGGGACTTCACCGATTCCTGCTGCGCCTGCCTGTTCCTCTCCATCCTCTCTTGGATCTGGCGCTCCCTCTCCGCCAGGACCTGTTTCAACCAAGAGGTGAGAGGGAGGCAGAAGCCCAGGCTCCGGTCCCTGCTGCGCAGGCAACCTGCCTTGATTCTTTCTGCACCAGGTGCAGAGAGCTCACCTCAGCCATGAGTCTGTCCCGGGCCTTGCGCTCCTTCTCCCACTCTTGTTCTCGCTTCTCCCACACTTGCTTGGCTTCCTCCCTTTGGTGGGGTGGGAGAGAAAGGAGGGAGTGACTTTGAGTGCCATAGAGGTGTCATGGAGGACAATGGCCTTTCTCCATACAAGTAGGGGACCCCTCAGCTGCTTTGAGAACTGAAGAGCACTGACGCAAAGAAATCATAGAACTACAGAGTTAGGAGGGATCCCAAGGGTCATCTAGCCCAACCCCCTGCAATGCAGGAATCACAGTTACGAGATTCCTCCAAGCTCATCACAGATCCCCTGCCAGATCCTAGGAGCCCTCTCCACCCACAAATGGACCACTGGCTATGCTGGCTGGAGCTGATGCAGAACCTGGAGGGCACTAGGCGAAGCGGGGGGGAGGGGGAGGCTGGGCTGGCGGCTGCTCTTCTCCAGCAGTCTCCCCACCACCGCAACCACAACAGCTAAGCCACTTTTGCAGGGTGAGGTTTGTCAGCTACAGGGAAGCAATTGCTCCTCTTCCCAGCAGCCTTTGCTTCAGCCACACCGCCGAAGGGAATGCTGGCAGCAAATTGCTCCACAGCCCGCCCTCCATCCCGTTCTCCCACCTCACCTGAAGACGGTCTCCAGCTCAGCCTCCCGTGCTTTTTCCAGCTGGAGCTGCTCCTCAATGACCTCCTTCATCCAGGCCACGACAGCCACCGCTTGCTCCCGCTGGGCAGACTTCAGGCGCTGGTCCTCGTCCTCCTGTTCCATCAGCGCCAGGAGGATCTGCCTGTCCTTCTCCTGCAGGGCAGATCAGGAGAAGCTTCCGTGGGCCAGCAGAGCTCCAGGGCCTCAAGCCAACAAGAGCCCTTTCCAGTCCCTTGGAGTCAGAGCTGCTGGGGACAGAGCCCAGGACCGTCTGTGTGCAAAGGGCGTACTCTGGCATGGAGGCCCAGCCGCTTCCTTAAGGCAGGGCCAAGGTGGCTAGAAGAGATGGGAGGTGGCAAAGGCCTAGCAAACCAAAGAGGATGATCAGGCTGCCAACAATAGAACAGCTGCCAAAAAAGCAGGAATACCACAGGGAAGGCGTCTCCAGCATTGTTGGCTTTACAAAAAATGTTGAGATTTGGCAACAGGCTGTGATGCAATCAAGGCAAGTGCCACTGACCATGGACAGGGTGCAGCTCCTTGTACTCCAGAACTGAAGGAGTATGGGACAGCCATCTTACCAGCCTTCAGCTGTGCTCTGGGCCTGAAGCACAAAGCATTCCAGGGGCACCAACTTACCAGCTCCTCCTGGATCCACTGGGCCCGCCTCTTCAGTTGGGCTTGATACTGGTGCCTCAGAAAGTGCCTGAGAAGAGAGAAGAGGAGAGCCAGACTTTGTAATTCACAGGAAGAGCCAGAGAAAACAAGCAGGGGGGCTTCAGAACTGCCCCAGCTTGTTAAGTTCTCAAGCGCAGCTAAAAGTACATTTCAGCTACACAAAAATGTAAACAGCACCCCTGAGTATGTGCAAACTGCCTCACTTTCACCACAAGTAAAGGCACCCCACAGGGTCACTTTTGGCAAGGTGGAAATTGCAGCTGCCTAATATATCTTGTTTGAGAAATTAAGTACTGGCGCTGACCCATCCCCTAGCCACGGATAGGAACCCTGCACCCCTAAGCCTAATTTCAAGCAGGTGTCCTGGGAGGAAGATACAGTGGGAATGAGGGGAAAGAAGGAATGAGATACAAGGGGGGTGTCCCTCACTTATGGCTCTGGCACTGCCAGGAATCCACCCAACAGATTTCTCCTCAGCCAAATAAAGGTTCCCCCATTCCTGCCCTCCTCTCTCACCACCACCTCCCAAATCCTTACTTAGCTAGGGAGGGAACTAAATAGCAGCTCTCAGGGCAGCCAGGTGCCCTCTGCCGACCCCCTCATGCCCTCTGCTCTCCAACAGCCGTACCCAAGTTCAGTCTTCTTCCTCTCCTGCTCCTGGCACTTCCGCTTGGCCTCCAGGGCTTCCAGCTCCCAGTGCTGCCTGAGCAGGTTCTCCTCTTCCCTCTTCAGCTTTGTTGCCTGAGAAGAAGAACGACCCAGAATCCTTCATCTCCAGGCTCACCTCCCTTTCCCAGCAGGAAAGCGGGGGGGGGGGGACAGAAGCTGCTAGGGAAAGGAGGGGCTGGGGCTGCACACTCAGCATCCCAGATGCACATGACCAGGAGCTGCTCAGCTCTTGCACCTCCTTGCCGCTTGCCCCCACAAGAGCCAACCAATTGTGGGCATGTGCAGCTGGGCACCCAACACTCCTCCTGGCAGGGCACATCTTCCTCAGCTCCAAAAGCCCTAGAGCAGCCACGTGGAAGCGTGGGTTGCACTGACACCCAAAGCTGGGTCGATTTATAACAAATACCTTCAGTTCATAGCCCCCAAAGGCCACGTGGGGCCTGCCCCTAAATCCCACTTTCTGTGGTGGTCACATATGGGAAGAAGCAGAATCATAGAATCATAGAGTTGGAAGAGACCACAAGGGCCATCGAGTCCAACCCCCTGCCAAGCAGGAAACACCATCAGAGCACTCCTGATATATAGAATCATAGAGTTGGAAGAGACCACAAGGGCCATCGAGTCCAACCCCCTGCCAAGCAGGAAACACCATCAGAGCACTCCTGACATATGGTTGTCAAGCCTCTGCTTAAAGACCTCCAAAGAAGGAGACTCCATCACACTCCTTGGCAGCAAATTCCACTGTCGAACAGCTCTTACTGTCAGGAAGTTCTTCCTAATGTTTAGGTGGAATCTTCTTTCTTGTAGTTTGGATCTATTGCTCCGTGTCCGCTTCTCTGGAGCAGCAGAAAGCAACCTTTCTCCCTCCTCTATGTGACATCCTTTTATATATTTGAACATGGCTATCATATCACCCCTTAACCTCCTCTTCTCCAGGCTAAACATGCCCAGCTCCCTTAGCCGTTCCTCTTAAGGCATCATTTCCAGGCCTTTGACCATTCTGGTTGCCCTCCTCTGGACACGTTCCGGTTTGTCAGTGTCCTTCTTGAACTGTGGTGCCCAGAACTGGACACAGTACTCCAGGTGAGGTCTGACCAGAGCAGAATACAGTGGCACTATTACTTCCCTTGATCTAGATGCTATACTCCTATTGATGAGGCCCAGAATTGCATTGGCTTTTTAGAGGGAGAGAGGCTTGGTTCAGGGATCTGCACCTGCACCAAGGACAGAGTTACTGTCTCTCTTCCCCCAGCCCCCCCCCCCCCAAATCTCATCTCTGACTTTTCTTCCAGGGGACTGCCACAAAGAGAAGCAAGACAAGACAGATGGCGGGCGGGGTGTGGGGGCTGGCGCTTGCAGTCCTCCACCAGCTCCCTTTCTAGCACCATCCCCTCAATGCCAGGCCCCAGCATGTACCTCCACCTCCCGCAGCTGCAGCTCCTTCATCTGCTGCCGCAGGAACTCTGCCTGCTTCCTTTCTTCCTGCTTCCGCCTCTCCTCCTCCTCCTTCATCCTCTCCAGGGCTTCGCTCCGGGCTGCCTCGTATTTGTTTTCTGCACGGATCTTCTCTTCCCGCTCAGTGGCTTCTCGCTGGATTGGGGTCAAATGGAAGCGTGACCATCCTGTCCGCCTGCTGCCTTCTCAAGGCTGAAGGAGCAGGGAGAAGGGGAGACACGGGGCACCAGGCCCAGGAAGCCTGCAAAGAGGCACACTGTGGCTCCTACCTGTTGCTTCTGAGTCAGCTGATCTCCCCAGGCCTCCACCACGTGATCCTTGTGCAGTTTGGACCCAACCTGGTGGGAAGGGACAGAAAGCAGGAGCTCAGCTGTCTCAATGAACTGCTACCCGTCCCCCATCCTTTGAGCTGCAGAACTTGCTTTAGAGGGGAGCAACAGCATTGCTTCCCATTCCAAGGTTTGAGCTGGAGGAAAAGGGCAGGAGCATCCTGATACAAAGAAGCAGGGAGCCAGGGTTGGCCTTGGCACCCAGCATCCTTGGGCAGGATACAGGACACACGACTGCCACCTGCCCTGCTGCCACCTTTTTATCAGAAAGGTTTCCCAGCCAAATATTCCCATCAGCACAAAGCAGCAAGAGTCCGGTGACAATGCTCATACCCCACAATGTCCCAGAGTGACCCAACACCAGGGGGCTCAACCCAGCCATGTTGCTCAGAGTGCTGCTGGTGCCCCCCTTGCCAGAAAGCCTACCAGGGCCTGAGGAAAGGCACTCTGCCTTGGAGCTGGTCCAGCCTGGATCCTGCCCCAAGAGGAGACTGTCCTACTTCGTCCCCCTGACAGAGCTGCATTCTGTTCTAATGCATACACACCCCAGGATTCCTTGGGGCAAAATGATGCTGGATTGTGCCCTTATCTCTCACCTCTCGGAGCTTAGCGCTGTTGTTCTTCCAGCACTCATACAGACAATCCTCTGCAATCTGTTAAAAAAGCAGAAATCAGAATCCCTCATGCAGGCGGCACCAGAGCCTCACCCGCTTGCCAGTTTACTTCTGTTCTCAGACAGAACAGTACACAACAGTAGAGGAATGTAAGCATGGATATCATGTTACATCAGCAATGGGAAATGAAATTACTGACACCGCTTGGGGATGCGCCTGCAGTGGCAGAAGAATGCTGCTGGGATGCTGGGAAAGGAAGCCTTTGGCAAGACCTGGAAGCATCACTAGGCAACATGACAGTGGCTTTGACCACCAAAGCTGCTGCAAGTCAAGCTTTGGCTCCTGCAGGTGCCTCTGGGAAGCCTGCAAACGCAGCAGCACTTATGGACAATGGGGCACTCACAAAGTAGACCTATAGAGGAACCCGACTTGCCAGCAGATACACAGCCTTCCCTTCCTCATCCTGGGAAATTCTTACACTCAGCTGGTGTGTGCCCCACCCCCGCACCCCCCAGATGGTTTAGAAGAGCAGACCAACATTTCCCATGGCAGAGATCACCTCCTGACAATTCTCTCAGCCCTCCCAGTGCTTCTGTGAATGCTTCTGAATGTCGTCCTATGAGGAAGAGCCCTTAAGACTCTCTGATTTAAGACCCTGACAAAGGATGTGTCTCTCTATTGTAACCGAAGGAAAGTTGCAGCGGGTTGGACTAGATGACCCTTGGGATCCCTTCCAACTCTGATTCTATGAGAAATAGTCTTCCTTTCAGACTGACTTGTTTTCTCCGCTCCTCTCTGGCTGACTTCAGCTCGTCATTTCTCCGCCTCTTTTCACTCAGGTCTGCATCCTTGTTCAGCTGCAGCTCCTGCAGCTCTGCTGCCAGCATCTCACGCTCCTCAAAGAGCAGCTTCTGGAGTTGCCTGCGTCTCTGCTCCAGGCTGAGACACTTCTCTTCCTTAAGCTTCTCACGGTGATAGGCGGTCATGCTAGCAAAGGTTTTAAAAAAGAAAAGCGAAAATGAAAATGGTAATATTCTGCTAGTCCCAACTTTGATCCCTTTTTCAAGTTTAGCTTCTAAAAACAGCCCTGACTTCCCTAAACTTCTTTAAGGATGTCCTATTCTCTTTACTGGGACGCGGGTGGCGCTGCGGGTTAAACCACAGAGCCTAGGACTTGCCGATCAGAAGGTTGGCGGTTTGAATCACCGCGACAGGGTGAGTCCCCGTTGCTCGGTCCCTGCTCCTGCCAACCTAGCAGTTCAAAAGCACATCAAAGTGCAAGTAGATAAATAGGTACTGCTCCAGCAGGAAGGTAAACGGCGTTTCCGTGCACTGCTCTGGTTCGCCAGAAGCAGCTTAGTCATGCTGGCCACATGACCCGGAAGCTGTATGCCGGCTCCCTCAGCCAACAAAGCGAGATGAGCGCCACAACCCCAGAGTCGGCCACGACTGGACCTAATGGTCAGGGGTCCCTTTACCTTTATTCTCTTTGTTGTGGCACACAACACTGATGCTCCCAGTTTGCTGCAAGCTTGCAGAGAACAGTCCTTTCTTTCCTGAAGAAGTGTAAAAAGTCTGACCCTCTCTCAGATTCTAGTGCTTGTTTACACTTCAGCTATTTTACTTGCATTTCAGCTGCCGGGGACAGCTAACAGGGCTGTGGAGGAGGGGCCAGGGCCTTTGCCAGTGCTGCTCTTTCCCTTTCTTGTGTTTGGACAGAGTTAACAGCAAATGCAGCCAAAAATTCTACCCAGGCATTATTCAAGTTGCTGCTTCTCCCCACCCTGCTATGGGTCCCCACTGCCCTAGCCTTGCCTTTGCTTGTAGGAGTGGCGTGAACTCCACTGGGCCTGCTTTGAGCTGTAGACCCCAGACTGTTGAAAATAGCGGCTGTTCAGTTCCCACAGTTTCCGGAAACGGGCTTCTTGCTCACGGTGGTGCACAATCTGCTGCTCAAGGGCTCTGCTGCGGTTGCTCCAAAACGAAGGGATTGTAGGCAACGCCATCTGGGCAACTCTGGAAACTCTGGATTAAACACCTCGTTCCTGAAGGACATGAGAAGTATTAGTTTTAACAGGTGCATGAACCATCAGCCCACCGAGCTCCACTCCCCATGCAGGCCAGCCGGCCCCAGCCCCCAGGCACTCGGCATTCCATGGCTCAGAGCCTCCCCAACACACACTCTGCAACACAGACCTGGAAGAGATGGAGAGGAGTGTGTTTTCCCAGCTGCCTAGATATATTACGGCTGCAATGTTTAGTCCATTCTGTCACTTAGACCAACGAAAAAATTGGATCAAATATAGGAAGTATCTGTTGGTTGATTGGGCAGCAGAATATTTTAAAAGTTATTCACATAAGTAAGTGGGAGCTGCAAGGAGTTTACTGCCGGCCGGCCTGCCAGGCCACTCTGCTCCAGGGGCCTGCTATCCTGGGACTGGAGGACAGATGAGCAGCCCACTCTGGCCTTTGCCGCTGGGGAGCAGCACCTGCTGCCTCTCAGGGAGGGTGGCTGGGAGATGCATGACTATTAAAAGGGTTTAGGCAAAGGCATGGCAGGTAGAGCTAGCAGTAGCTACTATATCTGTGCACCACTGCCAGAGATGGCAGGCCTCTTAGCGAGAGGCGCTGAGGCCCACAAGCAGGGAGAGCGCTGGGGCACTCGTGTCCAGCTTGCAGGCATCTGACTCCGGTGAGAACTGAATTTTGCAACGGGGGGAACTTACATCTGATCCACCTTCAGGACTTGGAAGGGGGCAGAGGAACCAACTGGTGCCATCCATCAGCTGATGGGCTGCATTGTGCACTTTGCCCTCGGCTATATTTCGATCCTGCAGGCAAGAACTACCTTGTCTGTTGAAATCTGCACTGCAGCTAGAAGACTTAAAGTGCTTTACGCGTGTTAATTGTGTGCGTACCCAGCATCGTCCTAGGACCTGCGACAAAAACTCAATACTATTACGAATTTGGAAGTGGAAGGAAAGAATATACAGAAACCAGTGGAGATCAGGAAGTGTTTTCAGAGGTATTTCAAACAACTTTATACACAGGAGAAGCAGAAAGAAATGGACATTGATCGATTTTTGAAAATAAATGGACCACACAAAATCTCTCAGGGCCTGCGACAGCCTCCCCCCAGGAGAAAAAAGCCCTTTCCGAAATGGCAATGCTCTGGCGCGCGAGCGCACCAGGAAAGAGCACGCCGCGGTTTTCGCAGGCTCCTCAGCGCCTGACGGGCCGGGGGGGGGGGGCGCCGCTGCTGCCTCCCGGCCCAGCCTGCCTCGCATCCGCCCCTCGAGATCCCTGGATACAAAAGGGGGAAGGAAATGCAGATATGATCCATTAAGTCCTCAGTCTGGGGGCCCTCGCCAAGAAAGAGCCTCCGACGTCACACAGTCGACGCCGTGACGTCAAAAGACGAACCGTTTTCACATCGACGCGACGCGCTTCTATGCGCAACACGGCGGAAGCTGTTAAAAGAAAAGGTAAATCCTGTATTTAAATATGTAACAACCACAGGGCGATAGCCAACTACCGCCACCCACCTGGAGCCCCGGACGACACGCCGCCGCCTCCGCGACGCCTAACGGCTGAGCTCCTTCCGGTGCCGCCAAGCGGCTCCATGGCAACACTTCCGGGCCGGGCTACGGGGGCCGCCGAGGGACACGCCTCCTCCGAGCGCTCCGCGATTCCCGTCCCGCCTTTCGAGACGGACGGGAGCTGTCGAACCGCCGCAGAGATACGAGAAAAGTTGAGAGAAGCACCTTGCTTCGCACGCGAGTCACTTCCGGGTCCCCGTCCGAGACTCCTCCTTGCGAAGTCTGCGCTCGTTTCTTTGACCAGGTCAGCTGAGGCTGGTGGAGGTTGCAGTCCATCTACTGAAGGCATTCAAAGACCTTAAACCAGGGTTGCCCAACCTTGTGACGCCAACTGCTGGTGGACTACAACTCCCATCATCCCTAGCTGCCAGTACCAGTGGTCGGGGTGATGGGAATCGTAGTCCAAAAGCAGCAGGCGAGGCGACCCAAGTTTGGGCAACCCCCTTTGAAACAGTCCCGGGCTTCGCCCAAAGAATCCTGGGAACTGTAGTTTGTGGGGGGGGTGAGAGTTCGGAGGAGACCTTCCCTGCTCTCCTCGCAGAGCGGCAGTGCCTCTTCCCGGAGGAGGAGAAGCGGGGAATCCCCTGCTGTCGCTCCGCCCCGTAAGCCCCGGAGCGCCGATGGAAGCGGCCTCCTAGCGCAGTCCTGGGCTGGCGCGGATGTGGCCGAGATGCCAAGTGTCCTGGAAAGCGGGGTGCCTGGAAGCAAGACAGGCGGCCCGGCCCTTTGCATGCAATCTTTTTCTGGAGCTATTTGCTGGAGGTATTTGTCGTCTCCTGCTGCGCGTCCTGCTTTCTGCTCGGATTCTCTTCCCTGTCCCTGGCTGTTGCCCTCCTCGCTTCTGTCTGCATTTCATGTCCTTAATGCACTGGACCCCTGAGGTCGCAGAGGGTGTGGGGCTTGACATTTCTTTCAGACCCTGTAAAAATAAAGGAACCCCCTTCTCTTGCCTCTGCTCCCTTTCTGTCCCTCCATCTTTTTTCTTTTCTTTTTCTGTTGCAAAGGTGACTTTGGTAAGTGAGTAGAGGACTTGAATGGGCCCAAATGAAATTAACAGATTAGAAAAATTATGTAGAAGAAATGCTTGTGGCCAGGATGTAGAGATATGGGAATAGTTCAATATGTATGTTGAATCCGACGATCACAGAATCTGAATGTTTGAAACCCCCATTGTTCTAGGCGCATTTTGCGACAGGGAATTTCATTAGCACAAGCGGTTTCTGAGCTCTGGGAGCAGTACTGCACCTAAAATTTCAGATTAAAGCTGCAGAGTGGAAGGAAAGGGGGACCTTTTTCTGCCTCCAATTTAAGAATATTAGGGGGGTGGGCAGGGAAAGGACTAGACCATGTGAAAAATGAACATAATATTTTAGCTGCAGTTCATTCATTTTCAGCTTTGTATTTTTCTTATTAAAAAAGTGCACCTAGACATTCTGTTGTTGTGCCCATAACCAGCTCCTAGCTTCCATATCTCAGTTTCTAACACTGCAGAATCTATAAGTTTAAAAATTATATTGGTTCTGCTCCTGTGCTGTACAAGCCATAGGTTCTCACAACTAAATCTCACATACTCCATTTATATGCTACACTTTATAATCTCCGATCAGTTTACCTAATAAAACTGTAAAATAAGGTTTAAATCCCAGGAGAGTAAATTGCAAGATCACTTTTTCTGCTGAGTTGCTTTACAAATTGACATTCCTTGTGATTTTTTTGAAAGTCACTTTCTACTCAAATGCGAAACACGGCTTCAAAATCTTGAATTTAATTAAACATGGGGGGGGGAGCATTGCTATGGTTCCTGTTTTTCATCCTTTTGGGAGGCTATTTTTGCTCCTGTAAATGCTGGAGTTGAGAGAGCAACTTGAACACAACAGCAGCTGCAACATTCCCAAATTTCTCTCTCTCCTCCCCCCCAATTATTTTAACACCACCATGGAATCAGGGGTTGGGAAAACTGCAAAAGCTTGCTCCCTCTTTGGTGGCTGTTTTGGCTGGTCCTGATTGGGTGGTTTTGCCTTGTGGTGGATTTGGGAGTTCATTGCTTTGGCCTCCTGTGTTATTTGTAAAAAGCAGCTCTTGGGACAAGAGCATAGTCTGCAGTCAGCATGGCAGACATCTGATAGTTTGTGTGGAAGTCCTGACACCTTCGGCTTGTGCAGAATATAGACTCTAGTCTTCAAACAGAATTTAAAAGTGCCTTCTGAGTGTGTTTACCAGGAAGTAACCCGTTCAGTGGTGTTTACTCCCAGGTAAGTGTGCATAGGGTTGAAGCCTAAACCTGCAATCCCAAACACATTTATGGGGGAGCAAGCGCAGCTGAACACAGTGGATCTTACTTCTGAGTAGGCATATACGACTGTGCTGTAAGACTGCGATCTTGGGAGTAAGTTCCTTTTAGCTCAAGCTGAATTTCTGTAGGGATTCAAGACCAAATGTTTATGGGGTTTCTGTATCACTGTAAACTGTTCCAGGAATGAAAGCAGGAGTGTCATAGATACAGAAAATCATTGTCATTATTAAAAATTAAAATTAAAATTATTATAGAGGGGAGGATTCCACACCTTCTGAGATTCATGTATTTCTACCGTGGCCACACCTAGACTTTAAAAATGTATCCAGATTAATAAAGCATTTCGGTTTACTTGTTGGGCATGAAAATACTGACAATATTAAAATTGTTTCAGTTTGTCTTGGGAGGAGCACTAAACTTAGCCACATCATAATTCGATCTCTTTGCCAGTAGCTGATCCATCTTCACAAGGGACAAAATGTGTGACTGGTGCAGTTTTTATGGCCATCTGGCAGCTGGTGACATTTGGGAGGTGTACATGTTGTTCGAAAACAGTTGTCAACCTTTGTCCCACTTGCATCCCAGCCGTCCCACTTGGAGAGCAGCAGACGGCTTTGGGCTGCAGCCAAGCAGAGGACTGTCCCTCCTGGCATCAGCTTCCTCGACCTTTCAGCCCCCAAAGATGTTTGCACGCAAAGTGAAAAACAGATATTCCAAGATGAACTTCCAAAGGTGGAGCTTTGGAAAATCCTTGCAGTAGTATTTAAAATGGCATGAAGACGTCAGTTGGTTTAAAATAGGCTTAAAATAGTTAAATTCCCTAAGAGGTGTGCACCAAATTGGGGGATCCCTGGAAAAGTTATTTGCTAGTATTTATATCATGCTTCCCCTGCCCACTTCTAAATGTGATGTCCGAAGTGGCTTAGTATAAACACAGTGCAAGGTTTAAAAGCAACATGTTGGCCGCTTTTGAGATATTAAAACAATGATATTATTAAAACTATACCAAAGCACAGTGATGAAGCAGAAAAAGTAATAGCTAACAGGGAAAGCAGGTGAAGACAAAAGAACCAAAGGCTGTTATCTAATACCCTCTTACCTGGGAGTAAACCCTTTGAATTTGATGGGGCTTACCTTTGAATAGGCACACACAACAGAAAAATAATGAGCTCACAGTTTGACAGAAGTTCCTAATAGTGATAACCTGAACTAATGTGGCAGGGAATTCCGCATGCCAGTTCTACATATAGGTTCTGTGTGTACCTAATTTGTGCTCCTGTACAAGTTGCCTTTGTTCATGTTTAAAGTTGGTAAAAACAGAAACTGCATTCTTTGCTAGGATGACAATTCTGTGGCAAGAGGCTAAGCATTCCATAACTCACATAAATTTAAGATTTGCTGTCCTTATTTTGCAGTATTTATTTCATTACCTTTGAGTTCTATTAGCTTGTAGTACATGGAGCACAGAGCAGGCGTGATGACATCATCTGCAGTGATGCTAAGCTGATTGACACTCATTGTTCTGCTTAGTGCATGAGGTGATAAGGAGGCTTTCAAGTTCTACTATTGTGTGCAACAGATTAACAAAGCAAAAGTTGGAGAAAGAAGGAAATAATCAGAGGCTTGCTCCTTCATTCCTTTTCTTTGATGAGCTTCCTACTTCATGCAAGCAACTTCAGCAATTGACTTTGAGGGTCATCACAACGAGCTGCTGCCTTCAACATTTTACCACTACCCTCCTGCTGAGGCCATAAAGGCTAGGAACTTACACTCTCACTTTTAAAAGAAATAAATCAGAGACAGAGGAGCCATGGAGGAGAGGAACCTGTGCTGGGTTCTAACTCTCACTCCCCATAACCAGTTGGCAGTTCTGGCTGATGGGAAGGAGTCCAGCAACATTTGCTAGGCTGCAGATGCTTCCCATCCCTAGTTCAGTGGGTTGAAAAAGGACCTGTTTCTGTTCTGTACGTCTTCCAAACTTTATTGATGCAGGAATACAGATAGATGTTTCGGGGGACACCCCCCCCCCAGTCAGTGGTTACTTCTTGATGTATTGCCTGGTCAAAGGAGGTGGCCGATGCTATAATGAGCCACTCTTTCCCTGCCCCCCCTCCCGCTGCAAACTATCATCATGTTACCATGCAAATGAGGGGGGTTGTTTTGACTCCTTTTTTTGGCCTGGCTCAGGACCAAGCGAATCTGAAGTTTACCTTCTTCACAGCAACAGCTGTCAAGCTCCTTCTCAGACTACAGTGGCTTCGCCTGGATGGGTGCGGTGATTCTCTAGTTCTTGAGAATGAAGAAAGGAGGTTGGTAGATTGGGCCGCTTGGTGGTGAGGGACTCCTTGGCTCAGAGAGGCTGGTAAGTGGCAAAAACCAAAGGAAGCTCGTATTTCTGCTAATGGTTATTTGTTTGTTTATGGTGCAGAGCAACTTCTACAGTCACCATAGAAATATGTCTAGAGTTGAATTTGGCAGGGGGTGGAGAAGAAAGTGTCCTCCACCAGAGTCGTGGAAAGAAGCATATATCACACTTGTACCGAAAACAGAGACTGAAAAGACGCAGCTTAAGAACTATCGCCCCATATCATTGCTTAATGTGGATTACAAAATTTTTGCCGACATTTTGGCTAAAAGATTAAAAAGAGTTTTAGTGGAAGAGATACACAAGGACCAAGCAGGCTTTCTCCCAGGAAGACATCTATCTGATAATATGAGAAACATAATTAATATTTTAGAAAAATTACAAGTGAATATAAATACTAAGGCAGTTTTAATATTTGTGGACGCGGAGAAAGCTTTTGACAATATTTCTTGGACTTTTATGAAAAAAAATCTACAGGGTATGGGGGTAGGCCAAGGTTTGAAAATGGTATAAGTGCAATATATTCAGAACAAAAGGCTAAATTAATTGTAAATAATGTGGTGACGGAAGAATTTAAGATAGAAAAAGGGACACGACAAGGTTGCCCAATCTCCCCATTGCTTTTTATATCGGTCCTGGAGGTTCTGCTGAATATTATAAGAAGGGACCAGTTGGTTAAAGGTATACAGGTCGGAGCCAAACAGTACAAATTGAGAGCATTTGCAGATGACTTAGTACTGACGTTACAGGAGCCAGAATCTAGCACCAAAAGGGTTTTAGAACTGATTCAAGAATTTGGTCAAGTTGCAGGGTTTAAATTGAATAAGTTAAAAACTAAGGTTTTAGAGAAAAATTTAACACCAATGGAGAGAGAGAGGTTTCAGAATGAGACAGGTTTAACAGTGGTTAAGAAAGTTAAATACCTGGGGATTAACATGACAGCAAAAAATGGGAACTTATTTAAAGATAACTATGAAAAATGCTGGGCTGAAGTGAAAAAAGATTTAGAAATTTGGTCAAATTTGAAGCTTTCACTGCTGGGTCGTATTGCTGCGGTAAAAATGAATGTATTGCCTAGAATGTTGTTTTTGTTTCAAACATTGCAAATTGTGGACAAAATGGACTGTTTCAAGAGGTGGCAGAGAGATATTTCTAGATTTGTCTGGCAGGGCAAGAAGCCCAGAATAAAATTTAAAATACTAACAGATGTAAAGGAAAGAGGTGGATTTGCCCTGCCAGACCTCAAACTTTATTATGAATCAGCAGCTTTTTGCTGGTTGAAAGAATGGCTGCTTCTTGAAAACACTGACATTTTGGATCTAGAAGGCTTTAACAATGTATTTGGATGGCATGCATATTTGTGGTATGATAAGGTCAAAGCACATAAAGCATTTAAAAACCATATTGTCAGGAAAGCATTGTTTAATGTTTGGATAAGATATAAGGATTTATTAGAAAATAAAACCCCAAGGTGGCTGTCACCGATGGAAGCGAAAGCTCTGAAAAAGCTCAATATGGAGGTCAAATGGCCGAAATATTGGGAAATTTTGGAACAAGATGGAGATAGATTGAAACTGCAGAGTTTTGAAAAACTAAAAACAAAGTGCGAGACTGGCTTCATTATTATCAGATAATGGAGGCATACAATTTGGACAAGAAAATCGGCTTCCAGGTGGAAAAATCAAAATTAGAAACAGAATTGTTAGAACCCAAAACTAAGATTTTGTCAAAGATGTATAACTTGCTGTTGAAATGGAATACTCAGGATGAAACGGTGAAATCTGCTATGATTAAATGGGCACAAGACGTTGGACATAACATAATGATGGCTGACTGGGAACAGTTGTGGACCACAGGTATGAAGTTTACGGCATGCAATGCCTTAAGAGAGAATATTATGAAAATGATATACGGGTGGTACATAACCCCAGTCAAGCTTGCAAAAATCTACCATTTGCCCGATAATAAATGTTGGAAATGTAAAGAAACTGAAGGTACATTTTTTCACCTTTGGTGGACGTGCCCAAGGATTAAGGTTTTCTGGGAGATGATTTATAATGAATTAAAAAAGGTATTTAAATATACCTTCTTGAAGAAACCAGAGGCCTTCCTCCTGGGCATAGTCGGCCAATTAAAGAAGGATAGAACTTTCTTTATGTATGCTACAACAGCAGCAAGAATACTTATTGCAAAGCATTGGAAGACACAAGACCTACCCACACTGGAGGAATGGCAGATGAAAATGATGGACTACATGGAATTGGCGGAAATGACTGGCAGAATCCGAGACCAGGGAGAAGAGTCGGTGGAAGAAGATTGGAAGAAATTTAAAGACTACCTACAGAAATATTGTAAAATTAATGAATGTTAGAATGATGTTGGATTGAAGTTAAGTGGTTTCTAGCTGTAATGGTATAAAAGAATATGGAAAAATTGGATTTTCAATACGTAAAAAACTAATGTTATAATATATTAAGATTAAAGATCAGGATTAAAAAGGAGGGAAAGGAATTGCTGGACTAATAATTGAACTGGAATACAAAAAAGGGAGGTATGAGGAGGTCCGGGAAACAAGTAAATGAAAGAGAAGTGATGAAAAGATGGAATTGTTCTTAATTGTTTTTTTTTTGTATTTTGTATTTTTCTTTTTTTTTACTTTTCCCTTTTTTATTTATGTATCCTTCTTTTGAAACCTTAATAAATATCATTTTAAAAAAAAAAGAGAAGAAAGTGCCCTCCATGTCTCAGAGACCCCTGTGAAGAGGGGCTGGTTGTTAAGCCACTCTGGGAATTGTAGCTCTGGAAGGGGAATAGCAGTCTCCTAACAACTCTCAGCAAACTACAGCTCCCAAAATTCTCTGGGAGAACCCATGACTGTTTAAAGCACTTTAAAAGTATGAGGTGAAGGTGGCCTTACTTAGGAGTAAGTCTTATTGAATTCAGTGGGATTTTTCATATAAACATCAATTTTTTCCCTCTATGCTGTTTAACATCTACATGAAACCACTGGGTGGGGTTATCTGGAGGTTTGGAGTACGTTGTCAGCAGTATGCTTTTGACACTTAGCTCTATTTTTCCTGTACATCTGCAGTGGAAGTGCTGGACTGGATGAGAGCCAACAAAGTGAAGCTCAATCCAGATAAGACGGAGGCACTGTTAGTGGGTGGTTCCCTAGACCAGATGGGTGGGAGATCGCTTGCTCTTGATGGGATTACCCTCCCTCTGAAGTAGCTTGAGGGCTCAGGTGGCCTCAGTGGCCCAGAGTGCCTTCCATCAGCTTTGGCTGGTGGCCCAGCTACGCCCCTATCTGGACAGGGACAGCCTAACTACTGTTCTCTATGTTCTGGTAACCTCTAGGTTAGATTACTGAAATGCGTTATAAGTAGGGCTTCCTCTGAAGATGGTTCGGAAACTTCAGATGGTGCATAAATTTGGTGGCCAGGTTGCTCACCAGAGCAAGACGGTTTGAGCATCTTACACCGATCCTGGTCCAACTGCACTGGCTACCAATTAGTTTCCAGGCCCAAATCAAAGTATGGTTTTGACCTATAAAGCCTTGAGCGGCTCAGGACTGCAAGACCTCAAGGACCGTCTCTCTCCATATAACTGACCTGGACCCTGAGATCTTCCTCCTCCTCAAGAGGTCTGGAGGGTGGCAACATGAGAATGGGACCTTTTCTGCAGTGGCTCCCTGTTTGTGAAATGCTCTCCCCAGGAAGGTTCAGCTGGTGCCTTCATTATACACCTTTAGGTGCCAGACGAAAATGTTCCTCTTCAACCAAGCCTTTGGCCAATTAATATTCTACAGCCTTTTAAATGTGCTTGTGGGAACGGTGGGAGTATCTGTTTGATTTGTTCTTAGTGTTCTTATGTATTTTGTGTTTTTTATATTGTAATTTTATGTTGTGAACTGCCTTGAGATCTACAGATGGGACTTCCGGGTTAGCGCCATCGGTGAATGGCGGAGTTCCTCCGACCGTAGGAACTGGCTCTGTGGAAACTGGATCTTCCCACCGCGGCGAAGGTGGGGACCCGCTAGAAATCCCAGGCAGAGGAAGCCTGGGAACGTGGGGTTCGGCAGGGCACCAGGAGTGCCCCGCCTATGCACCAGGAACCCTATTTTGGGGCTCCGGAGTGAAGTGGGGTGAGCGGCGCGGTGCTGCGAGCTGATTGCTACTTTCACGGAGTGAAGCCGCACAGCCATTGCCGGAGAGCGCTGACTTTTTCCTGTGGACAATTGGATTTAAAACAAGTACCCGTGAGTAGAAATGGAAAATTGGATCAAGAAATATTTTAATTTGGCACTGAAACGGGATGGTTCAAAACAGGAAGTCCGCCTTCCGCTTTTTGTACATAGACTGAAGCAAAAACCCTGTAAGCTAAAGCCTGGAAAGTCGTTAAAAAAGTTTAAATTTCCTTCATTTATAATTACTGAAACCCCCTTGGAAGCAGGAGAAAAGGGGGGGGGACTTTGTTTAACGCCTGCAGGAGAGGGAGTGAAGAAAGATAAGTTTCCACTGTCTCTAACCTGGGAACGGGGTGTCAGAGACAGAAATTCTTGGAGAGGTTCATTAACTGTGAATGGGATACTTTGACAGATAGCTAAAGAAGAGAAATAAATTGATTCCAATGTTGCCTTCTGCATTTGAAAGAAACAAAATATCTGAAAAACGAAAGCAATTTTCCTTTGTTGGACTTGTCTTAAAAAAATGGATACAAATAGAAATTGTCTCCTCTAGAGGGAGCTTGCTAAATTGTTGCTGCAGTCTACTTGAGGACTCTACAGCTGTCAGATTAAGATCGTGGGACCAGGCCTTTTTGACCTTGACTGAATATGAACTGGGAGGAAGTTTTGGTGCTTGCTTTATGCAAGACAAGTGCCTTGCTGGAACAGATGCATGAGAAGATGGATTTGATGAATGAGAAAATGGATTTGATGACTGTTGTGGCTAATAACTGTGGACAAACAGGGAATATTGATACAGAAACTATTCAGGGACCAACTCAGGAACCTGTACTGATTGGGCAAGTGCAGAAGATAATGGAGGAGGTTGCGGTTGCACCTCAAATAATACAAATGGAGAGACCCGAGGCCCTACAGGAGCATAAGCCGCTGTCTTTGAAGATTGAAGTTGGAGTCGGCCGGGGGAGTCTGGAGCTGAGGAGATTCTTAACTTTGGAGAGACCTCGAAATATGTTTTTAAATATTTTTTTGGACTACATTGATGACTGTGGGGAGTGGGACTCTGGGGAATGGGCTGGTTGGATGAAGGGAGACGAAGATAATTTTGGGTTGGAATCCCCAGAGTCCCACTCCCCAACGAGAAAGGAAAGAAACTAAGAAAGAGACCAACAAAAGACAAGGAAAAGTGCAAGTATAAACAAGAAGAAGAAGATCTGCAGAAGGGACATGGAAGAGACTTAAGGGCCTCGGACATTAGATAACCAGGTTGATGGAATAGATGGAATGGACAGTAAGGACTGACACGACCCAAGACCAGGAAGAAGAGACGTTGGATGAAGATTGGAAGAAAATTTATAAAGAAATTTTTTTCCCCCTAGGGAATTAGCCTAAAATTAATGAACATTAGGGAAAATGTTGGAATGACTCTAGTAGAAAAGATATCAGGAGTTATGTATAATCGAGTATTAAGTGTTAAGCTCTAAAGTACTTTTTGGTAAGATAAGGTTAAATAACTTAAGGTAATTTGAATAACAGAATATGGGGAAAGGATGGAAAGGATTTGTTGAGTTAATAAATAGGTAAATTGTTAAGATAAATTATTTAGTAAAAATTGAGAAAGATGGAAAGAATTTGCTGAAATAATCAATTAAACTAGAATACAAAAAGGGAGGTGTGAGGAGGTCAATGAAACAAGCAAATGGAAGTTAAAGATATGTAATATGGGATTTGTGTCTTTCCCCCCCCCTTCTTTTTTATCTTTTTGCTGTATTGTTGCATTGGTTTTTATTTTTTATTTCCTCTTGTTTTTTCCCCCCTATGTATTGTAGTGTTGTTTTTAATTTTTTTCTTTCTTTTCTGCAATTTTGAAATTATTAATAAATATTATTAAAAAAAGAGAGAGATCTACAGATGAAGGGTAGTTTACAGATTTAATAAACAAAAATAATAAAAATAATAAATGTTAAAAGCAAATGAATCCCCAAAAAGAATCTCCACCTTGAATTGGCTACCTGTAATAAGCTGACACCCCCCATGGATCAGCGCCTAGGATTGTCCTCTCGCTGCCCCTCAGAATCTGCCCCCGAGGCGGCTGCCTCCCTCCACCTGACAGGAAGGCTGCCCCTTTCTGTGCCTGCCAACAAGATCACTTTCCCCAGGCTACACGCAAGTCCAGCAGTACAGAAGCGCACGGCTGGAGCCCCCGGCTCCCAAGTGCAGCTCCCACCCAGGAGCGTGATCCATCCAATGCCCTTGAAAAGAGCGGTGGCCATGCAGTTTGCTCCACTTTACTTGGCTGGAGGGGGACGGTTGCCTCCTGGCCTTTGCCCCTGCCCCTGCCCCCGTCCTTCCAGGCATGACAGGTGTCTCTGTGCTGAAGCTCTTGCTCCAGGAGGCGGGGGTGTTGCCTTATGCTCAGGCCATGGCACAGGAGAACAGGCAGACTTTGCGAAGGGGCTGCTTTTGGAGAATGAAAATTGTTATGTACTGAAGTTCTCACCCTGGGCCAGCAGGGGGATACTATAGATAGTTTTCACTCAGGTCCACATATGCAAATAAGGGATTGAAAGTGACGTTCAGTGATTGGATAGTTACAGAAAGTGTTACAGTTGCGTTCTAGTGGAGCTCTATATAAGCAGGCTGGCTGAACCCTTCAGTTCAGTTCTGTTCTGGCCTGTGAATAAACAAGAGCTGTCTGAAGAATCGCTGTGTCGTCTGATATGTTCACCCACAACTTAACAAAAATAGCTCATGTTTCAAGAGCCCCTCTGGCTCAGCCGCAGGACCTGGCAGCAGAGAGATAGCTCAGCGAAGAGATTCCATTGGCTGCAATATAAAATACTGTAAGAGGTGGATCTTTCCTGGAGCAAAGGCCTGCTGTGTGTTGTCGTGTCTCTTTTTAAGTGAAGGTCTTGGGGCAGCAGTTCTACATTGTGGTGGATGCTGTTGTTGTCTGTGTTTGTGCATGAATCTGGCCCATATGGGTCCTTGGAATTCCTCTTAACTTGATCATGGGGTCAGAGCTGAGGAAAGCTCTTTTTCAGTTTTGAGGGGCCCAGTATCAATTTGTGTAGCTACCCAAACAATTTGTGTGTTTATAATTCTGTGGTGAGAGCTTGCATTTAATAAAAGCTTGTGGGGGAGGCAGTTGATGCAGCAGCAGCAGAACAGATTTTTTAAAATGCAAAATTATCCATTTTGCTGCTGGCTTTTCAATGTTGACGGGGGCTGTAGTTTGTCTGGAGAGCACCAGGTTGCCAAAGATGACCTTAGGTTAACTTTCAGAACTCTGGAAGTGTGTGTTTGTGTGTGTGGTTTTTTCCTACTACCACCCCTAAATATTCTTCTCTCTTTCCACCCCCATCCAGGATTTCTGAATGGTCCTGCTAGCTTTTTTCTCTTTGCTGACTTTGGCCTGGTTCGTTTGGACCAAAATGGCAAACTACCCAAGGAAACTGGTCGTGGAAGGGCCTGCCCCAGACCAGCCACTTCCTTCCGAAACTCTGGATCTTCCCACCAATGGATCCCCCCTCCAACTCTCCAAAGCTTGTGGGTCGCAGCCCCCGCTGATGGGGCCCATCCAGGACTCCGAAGACGCCTCACAGCAGTGCCCTCCTCTAAGCACGCAGGCCTCTGTGGGTGCCCCTAAGCAGCCAGAACACCCCTCCTGCCCCTGCAAGCCCCCAATTCCCCAGTCTGCCTCAGGTCATTCGGCCCAGGGCTCCCCAGCCACGGAGTCGGAGAGGCCTCTCAGCCGGGTCATCGTCCCTTCCTCAGGCCAGTCGCTGAGGCAAATGGGGTCCCTCTCAGGAGAGGAACCAGAGAGCAGCCAGGCCCAAGTGAGGCGCCAAGCAATGACCAAGTTTGTGCTGGGCTCTTTTGAAGACAACTCTTCTGATGACGAGCTTGTGGCTGGATCCTTCAAAATGGCGGGCAGGAGGAGGAGCAGCTTGGCCAGCGTCGGGTCCTCGTCCTCCGTGGATTCCTCGCCGCTGATCTCCCTGTCGGAGACCAGTGGGGTGATGAGGTAAGCATCATGGCAGCTGGGGCAGGCAAAAGCTAGTTTGAGCATGGCATGTGAAACGGGCACAATATGAGATCCTGTGCTCTTTGTCTTTCCTAACTTATGCCAAAGCCCCCTCTCCTTCTGATTCACAGCAGTCTATCCCTCCTTTGCAGCTGAATGCCTATGACCTTAAGCAGCTTCCCCAACCCCATACCCTCAATAAGTTTTGGCTTACAGCTCATGTCCACCCAGCCAGCACGGCCACGTTCCCCCCAAAGGATGCTTCGTCCTTCTGGGGCTGATAAGAGCTGGAGGGCACCAGGTTGGGGAAGGCTGAGCTTTAAAGGATGGGATGAGGAGCTTGTGGCCTCTGGGTGTTGCTGGACTCCAACTCCCATGAGCCCCAGCTAGCGAGGCCAAGTGGCCCAGGATGATGGGAGTGGCAGTCTCAAAAACAGGCCTGCCAGCCATGTTCTGCTTTGACGGGGGGTGGGGCGCCGTCTTCTTGGTGCTGGCACATCCTGGGCTCCTTTGGGAGGAAGGGAAGGATACAAATGGAGTAAATAAACATATGAAGGAACCAAAAGGCAGAGAAGAAGCTCCTGGCTCCTCCTTTGTTCAGTTCAAGATACAGGCCAAGAGATTTCTCTGTGCCTTTTCCCTCTTCTTTTATTTTTTGGCAAACTGATTTTTTATTTGCTATGCTCCTTGCTTGTTACTCCAACTGTTGAAGTTGTGGCTTAAAAAAATGTCTTTCATTTTGAGATGCTGAGGTCTCTTTCATTGTATGTCAGTTTAGAAATGTTTGATTTATGCTTGACTACTGCAATGCGCTCTACGTGGGGCTACCTTTGAAGGTGACTCAGAAACTACAACTAATCTAGAATGCAGCAGCTAGACTGGTGACTGGGAGCGGCCGCTGAGACCACATAACACCGGTCTTAAAAGACCTACATTGGTTCCCAGTACGTTTCTGAGCACAATTCAAAGTGTTGGTGCTGACCTTTAAAGCCCTAAACGGCCTCGGTCCAGTATTCCTGAAGGAGCGTCTCCACCCCCATTGTCCAGCCCAGACACTCAGGTCCAGCTCCAAGGGCCTTCTGGCGGTTCCCTCACTGCGAGAAGCAAAGCTACAGGGAACCAGGCAGAGGGCCTTCTCGGTAGTGGCCCCTGCCCTGTGGAACGCCCTCCCACCAGATGTCAAAGAGAACAACAACTACCTGACATTTAGAAGACATCTGAAGGCTGTTCAGGGAAGTTTTTAATGTGTGACATTTTAATGTATTTTTAATCTTTGTTGGAAGCTGCCCAGAGTGGCTGGGGAAACCCAGCCAGATGGGTGGGGTGCAAATAAACTATTATTGTTGTTGTTATTATTATTATTTTATTGATTTAAAATTTAGACGTGGTTTCTGAAAGACGAAAATAGGTGATATGAAGAGGTAACAATCTCCAGAGTAGCTCAGCTTCATGGTAGCTCAGCATCCAGCCAAAGCCAGAACTTTTCTGTTTAAGAAATCCAGCACTCCCATTAATGACCCCCTTCTTAGTTCAGCCGGGGTCTTGGCTTGCAGCCAGTGGTGGATTTAGGTAATTTTAGATTGTGGACTTAAGGTTCTTTGGGGTCCCTTCGTGGGCATTGATGATTCTAATGGGTGGCGGCTGGAGGGGGGCAGCACTCTCCAGATAATAATGTATGCCTCCCTCACTACAAATGGCCTTATGGGGTGGGGGCATTAAAAGGCCGTGTGCATTGCTCAGCAACCTGCATTGAGCATCCAGCATTTTTTGGCTCAAGGCTCCAAGGGCACGGACTCATCCACATTTCTGTTTGCCCCATGATTTCCATTCACAGGTCCAAGAGGTTTTCGTTTTGTGCTGCCGCTTTTCCTGGGAAAACCTGAATGTCAATCTGCAGAAAACCCAACTGGAATTTGTTCCGATTAAGCAGTAAGCAGTGGGTTTTCCAGGAAAAGTGGCAGGACAAAAGATGAACCTCTCTGACCCTTGAATAGAAATCACAGGAGTAACAGAAATGTGGAGGAGCCCTTGCCTGTACCAGCTGCATGGCAGAAAAGGCAGGCACAGCTCCCTGCTTCATGTTAGTAAAAGTTAACTGTTAAAGCACCCGACATTTCCTAACAGCAAGGAGTGGTGAGTGAAAAGAGAGAGGAGCAGCGAGTTCAGATCCTGAAGCTGATGGAACTGTGTAGATGGGGCAGAGGGAATGACCTGTTTGTTTGTTTTTCAGACGCAAAATTATTGTTGCTTATTTATTGAATTTATATCCCTCCCTTCCTCCCCAAAGAGCCCAGGGTGGCAAACAGATGGGCCATTTAAAACAAAAGCAAGGTAAACATTTTAAAACGGGTTAAAACAGTCTAAAAAGAACTACAATTGAAAACATCTAAAATCAGTTATGGTTAAGAACATTCCAAAAGCAGTTAACCAAAAAGATAAAAAACAATCTTCCACCCAGTGATCTTAGGGTTGCCTGGAACAGTGAGAGCCAGTGTTGTGTCATTGTTTGGAGTGCTGCTCCAGGAGCTGGAAGACCAGGGTTCGAATCCCCACTCAGCCATGAAGCTCCCTGGCTGCCCTTGGGCCTGTCACTCAGCCCACCCCACAGGGCTGTTGTGAGGGTGAAAGGGGGGAGGGGAGCATTATATACACCACCTTGAGCATCTTGGAGAGAAAAAAGGTGGAATATGAAGGGCATCAATTAATAATCGTAATTCTTTAGTCACCAAATGCCTGGCCAAGCAGGAAAGTTTAAAAATTGCTCCTGAAAATAAATAATGATGGACGCAGACGCACCTGACTAGGGAAGGCATCACTGAAAAGTCTCCCTCACGGGCTGGTGAGAATCGGAGGGCCTCTGGTGGAGCCACCACCAACCAGCTCAACCAATTGTAGGGTCCGAGATGGTTGGTAATGTATTCCAGATACCCATAGTCTATTTATTATCTGGTGTTTCAAAGATCTATATCCTGCTTCTAATTTTTTTTTTAGAGAACCTCTTCTGAAGCAGTGTCACACAATAAGCCTTAATGTCCACAAGGACACATTTTATTTTTAAACGCAGGCAAACACATTAGCTACAAGTTGTTCCCAAAGCCTTCCAGGGTTGCTGATAAGCAGAGGACAAAAGGCCTGATTAGGACAAAGGACTGTTTCTTTGGGGGGGGGGCAGGCCCTTTGCCTCCCTCTTGCTGCTGCTCTCCTGTTGCAATGGGGGGGGGGGGACGACTATGTAGTGACACGTAGAAATGGTGAAGGGGCTTTGCAGCCCTGGGGGTCCCTTGCGCAGGGGACTCTTGGCAACGAGGAAAGCGACAACTTGGATTTCAGTGAGAAGCAAACCCCGCATGCCTTCCGCGAGTCTGTCAAGCCAGTGATGGAGTCCAGCGAAAGTGTCCCATCTGTCAGGCGATGAGCTTTCTGGAGGTGCCTGGCTGGTCACTATCAGAGGCGGGACTTTGGCTGAGCCACCAGAGCAGGTTTGCCCGTCAGTGTAAAGGGTGACGTGGTTTTCTCACCCCCCCTAAATTTATTTGTTGTGTTTCTATCCCACGTCTTTCTCCCAGAAGCTCAAGGTGGCCCACATGGTTCCATCTCTCCTCACCACAGCCCTGCCAGGCAGGCTCGGCCGTGACCTGCCCAAGGGAGCTTCATGGCGGGGGGGGGGGATTTGAACCCTGGGCTCTCCCGGGTACTAATCCGACACTAATCGGACTCTTCTAAGTCCTTTTTTCTCTGCTGCCCACAAGACCTGGGTGTTCTTTGGCTTCGCCCCCCCCCTTTTAAAAAGCACCTGCCTAGGAAAGGGTTGCTTGTGTGTCTTTGGGAGAGGAGAAGCAGACTCCGGCCCGGGGCTTCGTTCTCTGCCGCCTCTCGGGGCCCTTTTCCTCGGCTGAGCCGCTTGGTGCTGCTCGAGAGTTTGCTGGCCCTTTGCCCCGAGGGGAGCAGCAGGAGGCGGCGGCGGCGGAGGACGGGGCTGCCTCGGGGGCCCCAGCCCCTGCCCCCCGCCCTTCGGCAGAAGCCCTCCCGGGCAGGATGGCAGAGGAAAGCGGAGCCGATCGGAGCTGCTCCGGGGGCCTTTGGCGGTCAGTCCTGGGGGGCGGGCATGGGACTTGGTCCCCGGGAGAGGGCCGAGACTTGGCGGCCGAAGTCCCTTCTCCTCTTCGCTTCGGGCAGGCGGACCCTCTCGGGCGTCCCCTTCCCCTTGGGCGTGGCGTCCGGCGGGGAGGGGGAGGCGGCAGCTGCCTTCTCGGACGGGCAAGTCCTTTCCCCCAGCTTAAGAGGTTTTTTCAGGCACCTGCATGTCAGAAGGGGGACTGGCTTTCTGCAGTCGATATTTCCCGCGTGGGGTTTTCAGAAGTGCCAGAGGTCAGGTGGGGGCTTGCGGAAGCCCTTTCGTCTGCTTTATTGCACCCCTGGGTGTTTTGGAGCCTCCCGTGCATCTGGGGAGTGGATTCTCCAGATTCTTCCGCTTCTTCGTTTCCGTCAGCAAAGATTGTGCCCGTGTGTGTTTCGAAAACTGCTGTGGCCGGAAAAGCTGCTAGATGGAGTTTCCCATTTCCAAAACAAAATCCACGTTTCTTGTGTGACGTCACTGTGTTTCCCACCCTTGACCCTTGCTTGCCTCTTCCATTTTAAATCTTTCTTGCCCTCTTCCCTCCCTGCCCGCACTGCGCTTTTCTTTTAAACATCCAGTTTACAAAGTGAGGGGGGGAACTAACTTCACAGCATCTTGTCAGGTTAGTTGATCTTCCTTTCCCCTTGCTTTCCCTGCCTGTCATCTAAAAATTGGCTTAAGTTTTTGCTAAAAGCAGAAATAAGCAAAATTGTGTGCACGCCTTGGGAGTACATGGGAGACACTGATTCCAGTATAATTTATCCCGATTTATTTTTATTTAATGAAGGTTTTGATTTACTTCAATAAACATATCAATATAGTAAAAATAACATAAGTGCAACAAAGCAGCATAGTATAGAATCATAGAATTGTAGAGTTGGAAGGGATCCTGATGGTAATCTAGTCCAGCTCCCTGCAATGCAGGGATCATCTAGATCATGAATGACAGAGGGCCATCCAACCTCTGCCTAAAAACCTCCAAGGTTATTTCGGGGGGAGACTTAATATTAGGTTGGTAAAGTACTTAAGACCATTATGAAAACCAAATTTCACATGGTGCTGTGGAGAGGGAGTCCTTTGTATCAGTATTTCTGCTGTATATAAGGGAATTCAGGGTCCTCCTGAATTCTTTTTGGCACCACACCATTTATGAGTCCCCCCCAAAAAAATTTGCATATTTTTATAGCAAAACAAAAGTTGTAAATTCTGATTTATAAGGCTTTGAGTGTGAGTTGTTTAAATGTGTCATGCATTGCATATTGCGTGAAGCAGTTGGAAAGGTGGCTTTAAAATAAATTAATTCCCTAAATATATGTTATTAAGATTCTTTTCTCTTCCCTTCCCCCCTCCCCCACCCCACAAAATGCACCACTCAAAATGTGGGTTTAGCTACTAGGGTCCCACAGCGCAGCTGTGTTTCCCCAGCCAGAGGGTGGCATGGCCGGACGTTTGCCCAGGCCCCTGTCTCTTGATGAGAAGACCCTCTGACCAAGCAGGGCTTCCATTTCCTCTTGCACAGATTATCTGAGAAGGTCAAGTGCAGTTGAAGAGAGCTCACACTTTGCATGTCCCAACTCTGGGGAGGAGCTTTTGAGGGATGGGGCAAGCCCCAGGGCCCCAGGATCCTGCAGTCTGCATTAGAGAGGGTCTAGACTGCCTGCCTCTGTGACAAGAGATTTCAAAGGGTTTACCCTCTAGGAGTCCATGCATCCCAACAAAACTATGGCCTGACCAACTTGACTAAATGACTGAGTGGGGTGGAGATACATTTTTCATATTGCTTTGCAACTGCTTATACTTTCTTTTTGAAATGCCAATTAGTCCAGGTTCAGATTTGTATATGAAAGGGCACATCACCCCTTCCCCCATCCCCCAAAGGCTGAGGTCACTGCAAGATGACCATCAAGAGAAATTTGCTAAAGTTACTGGAGATCTGTCTGTTTCTTGAAGACTGAAGAGTTCTGTGAGTGTGGGGTGTTTGTGTTTGGAAATATATACCCTAGTGGAGTGCTCATGTTCATGAGCCTGTCATCCTTTCCAAGAGGGGATTTCCACTCCTCCTTTTTCTCTCTCTTCCCCCTTCCATTTTTCATTCTTCTTCTCCAGCTGGCACTCAAATGTTCTGTGGCTTCTGGACTGCTCAGCATTCATGGGGGGAGCCAGCGGTGGGAGGAGTTTCCTCTTGTCTTAACTCACCACCTGTGTTTGCTATCGGAAGGAGTGATTATTAATTTTTATTTTGATGATTAGGCTAAATTCCCAGTCAAAACTGCCTCACTCACTTTTTGTCCTTTGCTCCGGAGGGTGTTTGTTGCCCCCCTCCCCGGCAGCTGCATTTCTGGGAGGACTGAGGCCAGCCCTGCAAGCACTTGGCGAGAGAGCAAGGAGATAGCAGCAAGGAGCAGAAGCTGAGTGGCAAGCTGCCCTCCTTTGCCTCTCCTTAGTTAGGGGGGCATACGGAAGGTGGGAATTTGGGTAAGGATTGCCTGGGTCAGGCCAGGTCTTGCTTCACCCAGCCTTCTGTTTCCAGCTCACCAGCAGCAGCCCTCCTCTCCTTGTGCCCAGCACCTGGCATTATTTGGTGGTATGATGTGCTTGCACATGGAGGCTCTCTCTAAGATCTCACTTCCCTTTGTCACCTTTTAAAGCCACCATGTAAGCTAGTCATCATCACTGCGTCCTAGGGGGGTGAATTCTGCCACTAGGTTGCATGTTGTGTCCTGAATAGGCCACCAATTTGTTTCACTGTGGTGACATTTCATTCACATAGAGACAGAGCGAAGGGAGTCTTACTGGTCTCAAACCAGCAGCCTTGAGGCTCGTGACTCTTTGCTCTTGGCACTGCATTGGGAGAAGACCTGCTGGGTGTCCTTGTGGTCGGACACACACAATTTCTTCTGCAGCTTTCAAACAAGTTCTCCAAAGTTTATAGATCACAAACACATTTCTGAGCCAGCCTACACTTGGTGAGTCATTTTGGTCTGAAAAGAGGAGAAAAACAACAAGACATGTGGAATTATTCAGTACGTGTCACCTGGAGGGCAATTCTGGTTTGCCCTTGATAACCAGAGGAGTGGTGGTTTGAAAGCTTGCTCCTCCTTGAGCTGCCCTTCTGGTTCCAAGGAGTCGCTGCCTGTGACTCCTGCTTCCTATCAGTCCTACCAGGTCAGCTTCCACTCTTAATTTCCCTCCGTCTTCTCACCCCTTCCAGACCCAGCATGTCGGGGATGCACCTGACCAAGAAGGGGCGTGAGCAAAGGAAGCTAGACTTGCACAGGGACTTCACGGTGGCCTCGCCTGCGGAGTTTGTGACTCGTTTTGGAGGAAACCGTGTCATTGAAAAGGTAGCATCCCCAGAGAAGGGTAGCACATCAGGGGGTTTGCGACCATGGCTGGGTTTCTTGTGGGCTTCTAAAAGATATCTCTGGGAGGGTATGCATAGTCGCCCTCTTTTGGCATAAGGTGCAGAGCTCAAATGCAAATTTTTCATAGAATCACAGAGTTGCAGAATTGGAGGGGACGCCAAGGGTCATCTAGCCCAGCCCCCTGCAGTGCAGGAGTCACTGCTAAAGAATCCTTGACAGATGGCCATCCAACCTTTGTTTAAAAACCTCCAAGGAAGGTTGAGTCTGCCACCATATTTGTATCACTTTTCATTCATTTTTCTTTCCATTTTTAAGAAGACCAAGACACTCTTTTGCACAGAGCTTTGGGTTTGGAGGATGAGGTTAGACTATCGCTTTCTCCCCCCTGCCCCAATTTAATATTCGTGCATTACATGGTTTCATTGTACTAAGCTTTATGGAACCCACCCTGGAACCTCATGGTGAAGGGTGGGCTTAATAAATACTTAAGGGTATATAGTAAGCAGGTCATCATCAGGGGCACCAACTCCTAGAGCAGGGGTCAGCAAACATTTTCAGCCGTGGGCCAGTCCACCATCCCTCAGACCATGTGGGGGGCCCGACTATATTTTGGAAAAAAATTAAATGAACGAATTCCTATGCCCCACAAATAACCCAGAGATGCATTTTAAATAAAAGCACAGATTCTACTCATGTAAAAACACGCTGATTCCTGGACTGTCCGCAGACCGGATTTAGAAGGTGATTGGGCCGCATCTGGCCCACGGGCCTTAGGTTGCCTACCCCTGTCCTAGAGGCTGAGCTCTTTTAGGCCCCTCCCATGGGGGGGCGGCCCTCCACCAATCTTCAGTGCAGCCCGAGGTTGAGAACGGCTGCTTTAAAGTGTAGGGTGTGAATGTGGCCCACGCTTCTCTTGTAGTCTTTGGAGGAGGGATTGGGGTGCTCTCCATTCTCCAGCTGGAAATCTTTCCAGGATTAGCTGCTTAGATGCTTCAGTTGAGATTCTTGCATCGCAGGGGGTTGGACTAGATGACCCTCAGGGTCCCTTACAACTCTGTGATTCCATGATTCTAACAACAATCAGTAACAAACATTACCTGTGTGTGGTTTCTTCACAGGTCCTTATTGCCAACAATGGCATTGCGGCTGTGAAGTGCATGCGCTCTATCCGCCGCTGGGCCTATGAGATGTTCCGCAATGAACGGGCCATTAGATTCGTGGTCATGGTGACACCCGAAGACCTCAAAGCAAATGCAGGTAAGCAGCGAGAGTGTGGCTGCTCTGTCTCTGCATGCACATTCAGCGCTGCAAATAATTCTACCATTACAATTTTTCAGAGTATATAAAAATGGCCGACCAGTATGTGCCAGTCCCCGGAGGAACGAATAATAACAATTATGCCAACGTAGAATTAATTGTGGATATTTCAAAAAGGATTCCAGTGCAGGTAAGGTCTGAAATGCTCTATCTGCCTCTTTCCTGTTCCAGAGAACATGACAACAGAACAGTTTTGGTTTGGCGGCTTTGAGGATCAGTTGTTTACAACAGGTTTGTAGCTCTTGAGCTTGCTTCCTTGGAGTGCTTTCCGCAACCTTTTGTGTTTGGACCCTCTGTCTGTCTGCCATGAAACCTCCATGCAATGCAAAGGATTCCTGGGGACAGATAGAGAGACTCTGCTGGCTCAGGCAGCGGGTGCTCTGGGTGGGGAATGGCAATAAGGTGGCTCTGTGACCCTCTGCACTCTCAACCAGTTTCCCTCCTCGGAATTAAAGCCCTTGGAAAGCAATTTAAGCAGTATTCTGGGAACTGTAGTTTGCTAAGGGTGCTGAGAGTTGTCAGGAGACCCCTGTTCTCCTTCCAGAGCTGCAGTTTCTAGAGTGGTTTAATAGTCAATCCCTCTTCACAGAGAACTCGGGATTTGTAGCTCTGGGAGAGAATGCACCCATAACAAACTACATCTCCCAGACGTCTTTGGGGGAAGCCAGGACTGTTTAGAGTGGTATCCCGCTGCTTTAAATGCATGGTGTGAAGGTGGCCAACGCTCCTCTACTCCCCTTAGGGAGTTCTCTGCAATACGCCTCTCTTGTAATCTTTGGGCTCTGTAGGGCAGATCTTGAGTCAAAGCAGCTGTTTATGGATCTGAAGTCTGTTTCTAAAATGCTTTCATTGCAGGCTGTTTGGGCTGGTTGGGGACACGCATCGGAAAATCCAAAACTTCCAGAATTGCTTCACAAACATGGCGTTGCTTTCCTAGGTAGGCATTCTTCCGTGCAGGGGTCCTGACTATTTTGACAGTGGGCACAACAGCGTCTCCTAAGATTCCTTTGGAGGAAAAATGGGGGGGGGGGGGGCTTTTGAAGGTACAATCTTCTTTTTTTGCCGGGTTTATTTGGGGACAGGGTAGATGTTTTGCTTGTTTTATGAGATGTGTTTTTGCCAATTTCTCGTCCTGTGAATTGATATTTTGTGGTGTGCATGGCAGAATCTTAGATTTCCAATAGACTGACATGGGGAGCTGGCTCACTGTCTTTGAAATGCATGCTGCTGGGTACCTGTTAATAGGGATGATTTCAAGGTTATTTATGCACTGAGAGATTGCTCTGTGTGTGTCCACATGGATACAAAAATAGACAATTGTCTGCTGTGGTAAATTGCAAAACCGGGGCCACAAGACGAGCACCTGCTCCTCCTGTGTTATATTCTGTGTAGCACTTCAAACTGTAAGTTGCCTGGGGCAGGGGCCTGTCCTCTTGCATGTTGGTGGCACTGTTAAATGGGCAGGTGCAGGATGAGTCGTGTGCCAACCTGCCTGTTGGAACAGGAGCACTGATGGAGTTTCTGTGGTACAGCAACTAAAAACAAGCAGCATGCGGAGCAAGTGTAAGCAAGGGAGCTCTGCTGGACTTCTTGTGGGGCCTCTCCTGGCTGCTTCCTTACGCTCTTCCAATGCTGCCTACGAACGGATGGGCTCTCATGCTGTTGTGCGAGGGGACCATCCGTCCCGCTGGGCCTTGCCCAAGTAAGTACAGTTCTTGGTGGTTTCTTCCTGCACTTACCCCAGGACGACTTGTTCTGTTTTGCCAGGCCCGCCCAGTGAAGCCATGTGGGCTCTGGGGGACAAAGTGGCTTCCACCATTGTGGCCCAGACGGTCCATATCCCCACATTGCCTTGGAGTGGAAGTGGTAAGAGAACGTGTGCGCTCTGTCCCTGCCCTAGCTCAGGCTTCTGGTTGGTGCTCCCCAACAATTGCAGGCCTCCCCTGATCCCAGCTTCACTCTACACATGCCCACAGGGGATGGGACAGAGTGGAGGTTCAGGGCTCAAGGAGCACGGCAGAAACCAAGGCCTGTTTTTGTGAAATGGAGCCTCTCTCACATTTTGTCGCCCTCCTACCTACCTCTGCAGTGTTTGACATGAGCTGAGGAAGATTAAGTCTCCATTTATATCTTGTCCAGCATTCTGTTCTCACACTGGCCAACCAGATACAACAACAACAACAACAACAACAACAACAACAACAACAACAACAACAACAACTCACCCATCTGGCTGGGTTTCCCCAGCCATTCTCAATGGAAAACCAACAAGCAGAACCCAAACACAAGAGCAGCCATGAATTTGTCCAATTTCCTGGGCTGGTGGCCATCTCACTGCCTCCTGTGGGAGTGAGTTCCATAGTTCAACTCTGCGCTGCATGAAGAGGTCATTTCTTTGGTCCTCTCCCAATCTTTCAACATTCAGCTTCGCTGGACATCCATGAGTTCCAGTGTTTGGAAAGAGGGAGAGAATACTCCTCATGATCGCTATGTGTTACTTCCAGGACCCGAAGCCTCTGAATTCCAGCGGCTGGGGAGCAACCAAGGGAGAGGGCTGCTCCTGGGCTCATGTTCTGCTTCTGGACTTTGCTGGGGCATCTAGTTGGCAAGGATGAGATCAGGATGCTGGGCTTGATGCCCCCCCCCCAGCCTGATCCAGCAGGGCTTTGCTTACATGCGCTGCCTGGAGGTGATGGAGAGGCCCCTGTGGGATGCCGGTCCGGGCAGGCCTCTGGTCGGATCCAGCCCGGCTGTTCTTACATCCCTGTGGCCACCACCTAAGGCTTCTTGATGTGAATGTTTCCAGGTTTGGTTGCTGAGTGGATGGAGGACGAGAAGGAGCAGCCAAGAACCATCACTGTCCCCCTGGAGACGTATTGGCAGGGCTGCGTCAGGGATCAGGATGAAGGCCTGGAGGTAACGCAGGTTCAGAGGGGACTTTGGACTTCAGAGCAGGGGTGGCTGACCTGTGGCCCTGCCAGGGCCAGACTAGGACAGAAAATGCCACCCGACTCCTCCTCACTCTTCCACCACCTAAGGCAACTTGAGGCAGCCGGGGGAAGCCCTGAAGGTGGCGGGGGAGGGAGCAGTGGGATGGCGACGGTGGAGGAAGAGGCGCAGGAGGCAGCAAGCGGCTCTGGAGGTCAGATTTGCTGCTCCTCCAGCTGCCCCCAGCAAGCAAGCCCTGAGCCCAGCGGATGCTGCCTGACTTGGAATCACCCCCTGAAATTGCAAAACCCCCAGCAGAATTTCCTCCCAAGGCACATTCCAGCTGCAAAAGGGGGGTTTTCCTCAGGGCCACAACACACCTGAAAAGGGTTGCATTCTCCACACACAGCTTCCTTCTCAAAAAGAAACATTATCAGCCTTGAAGAAATCCTGTGCAATTTAACAGCCACATTGCAGGAAGAATTTGCCACCAAGGCTTTTCCCATCAGCCCTTACTAAGTGAGAGAAGCTGAGACAACCAGGTGTCTCCCTTTCCCACCAAATTTTTAAGCCTCAGGGTTCAGGGCTGAATTTTGATCTGCAGTTCAACCCTGAAACATGACACATTGAGGAGGAGTGGGGCAGCATTTGTATCGGGCAAAGGTGGTAACTCCCTGGGGGGCAGCCAGCAGCCTTGTTACTTAAGGAGCCCATAGCTCTGTGTGTGTGTAGCTGGGCACTTTTCACAGGGTGAATCAGCCACCATTTTGTACCGAGGGAAGTCTAGGCTGTCCACACTTCGCCTGAGAGAAGCACCGGCCTTGGCCTCCGAGAGGAGATGGTTCGCTCCGTAGTCCGGGGCTGCGATTAGCGGAGAATGGTCCTTTAGCTCTTTGCCATCTGACTCTTATTTTCCTTTCCTTTCCTTTTTCTGGAATTCCCTTTCTCTCAGGCTTCCGAGAAAATTGGCTACCCTGTGATGATCAAGGCTTCGGAGGGAGGGGGCGGCAAAGGAATCCGGATTGTAGAAGCGGCAGAAGAGTTTCCCACCCGCTTCAGACAGGTGAAAGCTGCCGTGGTGGATTTATTATTAATTTACCCCGCCCTTTTCTCCACTTAACAATTAAATGTTTAATTGTTTGTTTACGGTTAACTCGTTATGTTAATGTGACATTTCTGTATTAATGAATTTAATTTCATAGAATGTATATGCCACTTGATTGTAAAACAAACAAACAAACCATCAAATCAGTTTGCAAAGAGAGTTAATAAAATTATAAGTAAAAACAATTCTTTGATGTTCAAAAGATAAAATCAGCAATAATACATCAACATTCCACATATCTAGGTAGGCTTGTCTAAACAATAATGTTTTTAGCTGGTGCCAAAAAGAGTGCCTGGTGTAAATAGGCAGGGGGTTCCAGAGTGCAGGTGCTGCCACACTAAAATATCCATTTTATAATCTTATAATCCATGCAAGTGCCACTTCAGAACATTTGCAAGTATCTGAGGTTTTGCTTCATGTATGAAAAGTTTCCATAGCCAAGGACAAAGCATATTGACTGCTAGGCTTCCTTTTGGAAATTGAGGCCGGGGTATGTTACAAATACACTAAAATGAAATTCAGATGCTGCTCTTTGCCGCGGGTGCAGAGAACCTCAAGTCTAGGAGCTGAATATGGCTCTACGTTTAGTCCTCTCTGTCTGGCCCTCAGGACTCCCCCCAAGTCGCATTTCTCCACTCCCTCCTTGAGGGCTTTGGCTGGATGTATCCTGGAACCGTGACAGTGCCTCTTGAGGAGAGCTGTGTGGCGCTGTGTGGCTTGCAGGTAGTCCATTGTGCAATGGGAAAAGCCCCCCCCAGGGCTCCACCCACTCTGGCCTCTGGCCCCGCCCACAGCTGGTATGTGGCCCTCAGAAAGTTCTGTTCATGAGGGAATGCGGCCCTCAAGCTGAAAAAGGTTTTCCAGCCCTGCCTCCCAAAAGCTGCACAACAGAGAATCCTTAAACCTTTGGCTTCTTCAGAATATCTGAAAATGTGTTCACTTTTATTAAAATTGGCAGATCTGTACTTTGGGCTTTCCTGTGGAAAAAAATTGGGCTTTTTCTCCCAATGCTGAATCCAGATTAAACACATGGGTTGTTTTAATGTGTTCATAACAAACAGCACAAATGTTGCTTCCAGCGTTGCCGCCTGCTGTGGAGTTTGCCCTTGGAGAGGCATAAATCATTAACAGATGTGAATCAGTCTGTGACGTCTGCATTCCTTTAAGGCAGGAGTTTTCAGTAGGGTGCAACTTTGACGATTTGAAAAACCACTTTGGTTGACTAAAAACGCCTCTGATTAACTGAGCAGCATTTACTGTGTTTGTTATTAACATGAACATGGCTTAGAAAGGATGCTACCTGTTCACTCCTGCACAGGGTGGATGCCTCTCCTAAGCTGCTGCAGTATATATGTTGCAACAATTTATTTCTTAGCGTTTGGGTTTTATCACATGCACATTCAACTCACTGGCCTCATACAACTACCTGGTGTATATGCATTCCTATGCATATTTACTCAGAAGTAAATTCCATTAAATTCAGTGGAGCTTACTCCCAAGCAAGCACCCTGGAAATTGTTTGTTCAGGTGATGACTCACATTATCAGGCCAGCTCTCCAGGGTGAAATCTCTGTTGTGAAACCCCTGTGCCCAGCAGAAGCGTCCTGGCATCTGTCTGTACAGTGTGCTTTTGTGCCTCTGTGTTCTTTGAGTGTTGCTCCCTCCCCTGCCCTTTCCTGATCTTCCTTACCTTATGGCCCACACAATTCAGCACCAGTAAACTGTCTCCACAAGCCTCCCCCCCCCTTGAAACTTTGAAACACCAAACTTTGGGTGTCTCATAGCCTTGTCCTGTCCTCCGCTCACATCCTTCCCCAGTCCCAACCTTGAGTAATGCTGCTCTGGAATGTACCTGGAAGGCCATAGCCAACATGACTTGGCCGCTGTACTCCATGCTCTGGTAGCTTCCAGACTGGCTTGTTGTAATGCATGCATCTCTTTCTACAACTCAGAAACTCCCAAATGGCCCCAAAGGCAATGACCAGGTTATGGATTGCTTTGTGTTAATTGGTGGGTTTTTTGTCACCCACACCCATCTCAGCTTCCCCTCCTATCCAGCTGGTGTGGATTGTGTAGCATTGATTCCTGCACTGCGGGGCCTTGGACCAGATGACCTTTTGGGTCCCTTCCAGCTCCACAATTCTATGATTCTGTGATTCTAGGTGCAGAGTGAGGCTCCAGGCTCTCCGATCTTTGTGATGAAGTTGTTGCAGCACGCCCGTCACCTTGAGGTCCAAGTCTTAGCAGATCAGTATGGGAACGCGGTTTCGTTGTTTAGCCGGGACTGCTCCATCCAAAGGAGGCACCAAAAGATTATTGAAGAAGCTCCAGCAACTGTAGCAGCAACGTCTGTGTTTGAATACATGGAACAGGTACACACACCTGAGTTTTCCAACACAGGCTGTGAGCCAGGGGATGGGAAAGGGTCATAGCTCTGTGGTAGACCACCTCCCTTGCATGCAGAAGGTTCCAGGTTCCATCCCCAAGGATTCCCAGGTAGGGCTGAGAGAGACTCCCAGTCCATGTAGACAGCACTAAGCTGGCTTGGGCCAATGTTCTGATATGGTAAAAGGCAGCTTTCTCTATTCTTATTTAAGCTAGCCCATTATCTGGGACCACAGTAACTGGATTCTTATTCTACAGTAGCAGAGAGTGCCTGGTGCTTCCCAGGATTTTTTAGAAATAAAAAATGTTTTTTAAAAAATGGATGGTGTAATTCATGGGTTTGGACCCATCATGCCAAAAACCAGGCAAAGTCGCAGCAAACTTGCATTTTGGTCTGCCATTCTGATTCAAAATGGCACCTGGCACCCAAGCGTTGACAGAGACCCCTGTCCCCATCTCCTTGTTTGCACGCACCAAAACAATAAGCAAACTGAACTGCAGCCACCATTTGCAAATCATGTTTTTCTGAGTTTTGCAATGCAGGTATACAGGCAACCCCTCATTTACATAGGTTCAATATGTGCGTGACTGTGCACACATGGATTGGGCAGAGGCAGAACGAGGTGTTTGCAGGCTTTTTCAGTGGTGTTTCAGATGTGTGCAATTTCACTGACACATGTGGTTCCTTAGAACGTAACCCCCGTGTAAATGGCCTACGTATATTGCCTATATTGGGGAAAAATGCACACAGAACATAACAAAGAAAAAGTTGATGCATTAGGGGAACTTGCTTGGGAAATTGTGCAGAAATGACATAACAAAAATTTATATACTGGGTGGAATGTGCACTAAAATGCATATATATTTTTTGTGGTGACTTCCCTTTCCCACAGGCCCACATCCCTGTTTTTCATTTTATTATTTATTTCCCTTTATAGACTGCCTCTTCTCCAAAGACCTCCTCATGGTTCCCTTTTGCCCTCTTCCTCCTCCCCCTCCTTCCTTCACACTCACAACCACCCTGTGCTGTAGATCAGGCTGAGACCAGGGTCACCCGTAGTACTTTGGGGGTGAGTGTGGATTTGAACCTGTGTCTCCCTAGTCCCTGCCCCAACACTCCGACTGCAGCACCACACTGGTCCTTGTCCCGTGTTCAAATCTCACCTTCACCGCAAACTATTTTGTTTCTTTACTTGCTGAACATATTCCTTATTCTTCAAAATTCAGTTCTCCAAAGCAGCCAATATATCACAATGCAAGAAAAATTAAAGTCAAAGTTTCAGATAATGTAGAAGCGTGCACTTCTCTGGATGAATTGTTCCTGTCACTCTCCCAAGGCATTGCGTGTTTTATGGAGGCTTATTTTGCGTGGCTGCTTTTCTCCACAGTGCGCTGTACGACTTGCCAAAATAGTGGGATACGTGAGCGCGGGAACGGTGGAATACCTCTACAGTGAAGATGGCAGCTTCCACTTCCTGGAGCTGAATCCGCGCCTGCAGGTGGAACACCCTTGCACCGAGATGATTGCTGATGTTAACTTGCCTGCTGCCCAGCTTCAGGTAATTCAGATACTACTAAATGGGGTTTTTGTCCCGTGGCCCTTCCCAGCCAGCATGGCCAGTGGTCAGGAATGATGGGTGTTGTAGTTCCAGCAACATCTGGAGGACCACAGGGGACCCATCCCTGTTCTCTAGGACTAGTGGGAAGCAGGATCTTTGCAGGGACCTAGAAATTTCTAAGCCTGGTGTTGTTCTCATACCACCAAAAGTCAGTCTCTTTAAGGTCTTTTTCATTGTAGTAATTTATTTATTGCATTTTTATCCCATCTTTTCCTCCATGGTGCTCCAGGGTGCCATATGTTCTCCCTCTTCATGTTTATTCCCCCAAACAACCCTCCTTTACCTATCCAGTGAAGTAGGTGAGGCAGAGAGGCAGTGATTCAGTGACTGGCACAAGGTCACACCCAGTGAGCCTCATGGGCAAGGAGGGATTTGAACCCTGATATCCCAGGACCTCGTCCAGTACGCCAGCCACACTGGCTCTCCAGTTGCAGTAAAGAATGTAGGAAGAGCCCTGCTGGATCCGGCCAAGCGCCCATCTAATCCAGCAACCTCCTTCCCACAGTGGCTGGCCAGGTGCCTGCATTTAGCTCTTCTCCATAAGAATGTAGCAGAGAAAATAACCGGAGACTGAAGTGAGCTTGCAGACCCTGGTTAAGAGGGGAACCTGATTAGTGCTAAACATGATTAAGACTTGGTGCACATGTACTCTTCAACTGTGGATGAGCGTATGGGAGCCTGTAAGAGAGAGAAAAAAGGAGTATGGGATTTTTACAAGCCACTCCTAATCTCTTAGCTGCGGTTGAGACTATGGGTTCATCCACACTCCCATTTGCTTTCTAGGCACAGGTCCGAGCAGTTACCCCCTTTCCCCGCTCCTTTCCCATGGAAAACCCATTCTTTAGTGCTAAATTAGAGCAAACATCAATCTGGAGAAAACCTGAATTGCACTTTGCTCTGATTGAGCACCAAAAAGCAGTTTTCTCTGGGGGGAAGCAGAGGGAAAAGAGGAAATGTGAATAAGCCTTTAAGGGTTATCTGCATTCACTTGGCAGTTTATTTCATTTTCCTGTTGTTTCCCTAATTGTTAAGTTCTGGTTTATATTTGAGCTTTCACGTGATGTAAAAGACACTTCCTGAAATATAGTGGAATATAGCACAAGTTTAGCACTTGTTTCCATGTTATTTGCAAATAGATTTATTTTCTGGAAGCAAATATCATGGAAATGAGTGCTAAATGTACACCATATTACCAGAAGTAGTTTTTATGTTATCTGAAAACTCAAATAGAATGCAGAAATTAACAGTCAGGGAAATGTCAATAAAACAGAATAAACTGCCATGGAATGCAGCCAATATCTTGCCATGTGTTCTGATGCAAAGAAGATAACTGCATCCCATGAACTAAAATGTTTGTAAAAGCATCTGGAAAGGACCCTGAAAGGTCCAAGAAATTCTGTTTCCTTTTGCCCCTTCTTTTCTCTTCCTCCTCTCAGATTGCCATGGGTGTGCCTTTGCACAGACTGAAGGACATCCGAGCCCTCTATGGAGAACCCCCCTGGGGGGATTCTCCCATTGCCTTTGAGAGCCCCAGCAATGTGCCCGTCCCCAGGGGCCACGTGATTGCAGCACGGATCACCAGTGAAAATCCTGATGAGGTCAGTCATGGAGACTCAAGCTGTCCTTACCTGTAAGGAGATGGAGAGGGGGTGCTGAGAGAGCTTGGGTCCACATTGCAAGCGTGTGGGATGTGAATCCTTTTATCAAGCAGTGTCAAACTTCTGTGCAACAGGAGTTCACAAATTGCCTATTGTTTATTTATTTAATTTTTTTGGACCCCAGCTTTCCACCTAAGGTTCTGTTATGCTGCTTACAATCTAAAAATGAAATAAAAGCACAATCCAGCAACCATTAAATATGAACATATAACAATGAAGTTTATTATTAAATATTATTATTCAAGATGAAGCAGCAAGGACTAGCAGCCGCAATAAAACACAATTAAGTCCAGGATTGCTTGGAGAAGATCTTGCAGGAACTCAGATGACCCTGCAAGATCTGCAAGAGCCCCCCCCCCTTAATGAGGGCACTGCCTGGGCCTTACCCCTTCAAGCAAGATGGGGAGCGTCAAAGTGGACACAAAAAGAGCTTTTAAGCTTTCCGCCTTGCTTGGATTTAACTTGTGGAATTTCAATCATGTTCTACCACGTATGGTTGAAATAATTCAAGTTAAGAGTGCCTGTGATACGATCACACTGTAGTAAAGACCTGGGGACATTAAAGCCCACATCCGTTTTTTCTTAGTACCGGTCAGGTAACACCATCTATGCTTTTCAGTGACTCTGCTGTCTCATGTTTACCATTTTTGTGGCAAGCTGCCTTTTGAGACCTCACTTAAAAGTCGGCGGGGAAATAAGGCAAAAGTGTAAACGCATGTTCTCCCCCCCCCCACTTTCCTGCTCCCCATGTCTCTCTTTTGCACCTTGCAGGGCTTCAAGCCAAGCTCTGGCACCGTGCAGGAGCTGAATTTCCGCAGCAACAAGAACGTCTGGGGGTACTTCAGTGTGGCAGCCACTGGCGGCTTGCATGAATTTGCTGACTCTCAGTTTGGACACTGTTTCTCCTGGGGAGAGAACCGAGAGGAAGCCATCTCGTGAGTATTTCACTGTCATCAACCTTAGTGGCCTTAAGGAGTTGGGAGCAGGTTACCTGCGAGATCACCTTGCCCTGCATATGCTCACTTGACTGCTTTGAGCTTCAGAATGGGCGCCCTTGGAGGTGCCACATAACATTTGTTCCACATTGTGGCCGCACCATACTTTGGAACTCCCTGCCTATAGATACCACTGTGAATCTATACAGTGAATAGATATTCACTGTATTCTTTTTCACACCTGCAAGAACCACTTTTGTTTAGGCAAGCCTGCCCAGATACATTGAATGTTGCCATGTTGTTTTAATCTGATTTTAGCTTATCACTGAGGTTAATTATTATTTGAATGTTTTAAATAGCTGCTTTTAACTGTTGCTGAACTACAACTCCCATCACCCCTGGCCTTTGGCCATGCTTGCTTGGGCTGATGGGAGTTGTAGTTCAGCAACATCTGGAGGGCCAAAGCTACCCCACCCCTACAGTAAGTTAAAACAAGAGCCATAATGTTGGGCTGTGAGCTTTCCCCCTCAAATGGCAGTCACCAAAGTGTAGCTTGAGGATAAGGAAATGTGCAGCTTCATGATGTGATGGTAAACTTTTTAGATGATCAGACTGCAATCCTATCCACATCTGTTTGGGAGTAATCCCAACTGAGTGAATGCAAAGGGTTGCCCTGCAGATGTTATTAGGGAGAGGAGAGAAGGAGATGCAAGACTGCCTCTTTTCATACCAGCATTTCCAGTAACATCTACTGTAATTCCAGGCTGTGATTGGATGATACTTCAGAAAGGGCCTTGCTTCACCCCCTGATAAATCAAATTTCCAGCTATCTTTTTGAGAAAAGCAAATTTATTGCTGTATGCAGAGTCTAGATAAAAAATAAAAATAAAATCTCCTGAGGCAGATCTGTACCTTAATAAGAAAGGTTATCTTCTCAGAAACTTAGTAGTAGCTCTGAAGGAGCTGTCCATCCGTGGGGACTTCAGGACGACAGTCGAGTACCTGGTCAAGCTGCTGGAAACAGAGAGTTTCCAGGCCAACGAGACTGACACCAGCTGGCTAGATCACCTGATTGCAGAGAAAGTGCAGGTGAGCCGGGCTCCGGGTGCCAGTCATTTATGCCATGCTTCTGAATATATACTGCATATTTTTTATTAACCTTTTGGGATTCAAATATGTGAGCACCTTGGTCTGAATTCTTTCTTCTTATGAAGAAGTTGTCTGTCTATCGGTCTGCCTACATTATTTTCCCTTCAGGCAGAGAAGCCAGACACTATTCTGGGCGTGGTCTGTGGCGCTCTCAACGTGGCGGATGCTCTGTTCAGGACGTCTATGGATGACTTCCTGCATTCGCTTGAAAGGTAAAGCGCCACCTAAAGGAGTGTTGGGGGTGTTACACCACTCAGCCGCATTTGAGAAACTCTTCCTACTCACCTGGGCTTTGGTGCTGACTTGCAGTCGCAAATTATGTTGCAGGGAATGGCAGCATAGCTAAAGAGCAGCTGTCCGAGCATAGCAGCAAAGTGTGTGTGTGTGGAATGCTTAGAGTATTCTAAAGGTGCTCTGCAGATCTGTCTTCAAAAGATTGTTCTGAAGAGTAACTGAAGGGCGGTGGAGAGGGGAGGAAGAGGATTGTAGGGCAATTTTTGTGCTAAGATGGGATTGTCTTCCAGGGGCCAAGTCCTACCAGCAGCCTCACTTTTGAACATTGTTGACGTTGAGCTTATTTACGAAGGCATGAAATACTCACTCAAGGTAATGCTTGCGAAAGGTTGATCCAGAGGGGAAGGCTCAGAGAGCCAGTTGATTTGTGTGCCAAACGCCCCAGGCTCAGTCCGCAAAGACTACTCCAGTTAGGCTGGGGAAAGACTCCTGTCTGAAGCCCTGGAGAGCCCCTGCCAGCCAGTGCAGGCAACACTGGGCTACATGGACTTGACACAAGGCGGCTTCCCACCGGGAATTTTGGTATGCAGGGTGTGGTTTGGGAACATGATTGGAGAGCAGACTGTACCGGTTGCTTAGGGAGTAAAAAGATAATGAAGTTGTTCATCATGGGACATACCGTATTTTTCGTCCCATAGGACGCTCCGTCCCATAGGACGCACCTAGTTTTTTGGGGGGGAAATAAAGGAAAAATTTTTTTTCCTTTATTTCCCCCCCAAAACCAGGTCGGGGAAACCAAACCAGGTCGGGGAACAGCGGTATGGCGGCGCTCCGCCTCCCCGCTGTCCCCCGAGCTTGTGGGGCTGGCACTGGGGAGAAGCGCGCTTCTCCCCAGCGCCAGCCTCCAAACCAGGTCGAGGAACAGCAGGATGGCGGCGCTGCGCCTCCCCGCTGTCCCCCAAGCTTGTGGGGCTGGCCGATGTCTGCCTGAAGCGCGGGGCGCTCTGCTTCAGCGTGCCCTGCGCTCCGTGCAGCAGGCTGCTATCCGCAGCCTAGGGAGCCCTGCGGGAACTCCCGCGGGCTCCCCAGGCTTGCTGATAGCTTCCTGAAGCCTGAAGAGCGAGAGGGGTTGGTGCGCACTCACCCCCTCGCTCTCCAAGCTTCAGCGAAAGCCTGTATTCGCCCCATAGGACGCACACAGACTTCCCCTTCATTTTTGGAGGGGGAAAAGTGTGTCCTATAGGGCGAAAAATACGGTAAATACAGGTGCCACTACCTGAACATAATCAGTCCTCAGGAAATGGTTTGTCATGAGAGTGTTTGTGTAACAAGTCAACATTTTCTATTGATTCCTATGAGGAAATGTATATTGCTTTTCTAACCACGCAATTCTATCCCCAAAATGACGAAAAGACCCAGGAAACCCCTCTGAAACCTTGCAAAAAGCAAACAAGGAAGGGAAAAATGCTCTTATTTGCCCCATCTCTCCCCCTTCACTCCCAGCTGCTGCAGAACAGCTGCTGCAGGCCAGCCAAACATGGAAAGCAAGGCTTCCTTGAGGCAGCTTATCTACACGCAGATCTGGCTGTTTGAATATCTGAATCTGCAGTGTGTATTGTGAGGTTGGAAGTGAGCAGGGTGATAGATGGGGTAACTTGGGGGTTTCCTTCCCTCTCTGAGGGGAAGATGGGTAAAAAGGCTCCTGTTTTCTTTTTCTGGCGCTTGGGCAGGTTGCTCGCCAGTCGCTGTCTACCTACGTGATCATAATGAACAACACCCACATAGAGATTGACGTCCACAGGTTGAACGACGGGGGGCTCCTGCTCTCCTACGATGGCAACAGTTATACCACGTACATGAAGGAAGAAACAGACCGGTAAGTGGATTTCTGAGTTGCTGCTTCTTGCTCTTTGTGGAATCCAGTTCAAGGCTTAGCAAGGGAGAGAAGCTTTTCCAGGCCACCTACAAGGGAAGGGAGCGGCTTTGTCTGGCCACACGTGCAGCAGCCGTTTGCTCACAATTAAGTCGCAGTTGCCTGTGATGTCATGGCTAGCAGCTTAGGCTGGGAGCTGTAGGCCAGGGCTGTGCATTTCACTTTGGCTGTCAGGTCCTGCATTCAGTTCCCAGACCAGATAAGACAAACCTTTAGAAGAGGGAGGAAAGATTAGCATAAAAGCAGTAACAGCTCACATAGAAAAAGGGGGGAACTCTAAAGAAGAGCATAACAACTAGAGCTGCAGTGTTAAAGTTATAAGTAGCTAGATTAATCAACTAAATGGTGCCTCAATTAATTGGGCCGCAGATTTTAATTTTTTTTACATGTGCAAATACTATTTTTAATACAACTATTTATTAAAACTGCTTATATGGTTGGCAGGTGGCAGTGATCTGTTTTAATCTGGTGTTTTTGTCATAGCATAAATCTGAAGCAAAAAAAGCATGAGAGTTGGAAGGTACCCCCAGGGGTCATCTAGCCCAACCCCCGCAATGCAGGAATCACACCTAAAGAATCACTCACAGGTGGCCATCCAACCTCTGTTTCAAAACCTCCAAGGAAGGGAGAATCCTCCACCTTCTGAGATTGGGCGTTCCACATCCTGTGCTTGAGAACTATTCTGTACATTCATTGGCAAATTAATCACCCCCCCATTAAATTAGTTTAAATATTTAAAATGAATATTTAACTTAAGATTTCTTGGTCACAGCAACTGATGGAAAGACGCAACGGTAAAGGGACACCCTTCTCTCTGCAATGGGTAGCAGCTCACACCCTAAAAGCTAACCCCCCCCCCGTCTCTTTTCGGCTCCAGATACCGCATCACCATTGGCAATAAAACCTGCCACTTTGAAAAGGAGAACGACCCAACCTTGCTCCGTTCTCCCTCTGCTGGGAAGCTCCTGCAGTACACGGTGGATGACGGGGGACACGTCTGTGTGGGCCACAGCTATGCGGAAATCGAGGTAGCCCTGGCGTTTGGCCGGCTGGGAAGCATTTCTGAGGATGCTCTGGAGCTGCCTTCCCAGCCCCCGCATGGCACAGGCAAACGGGAGCGTATTGGGCGCAGTGAACTTTCAGCTGCAGAGTGGGTGGGGATGAGTGGATCATTTCTGGGGTGCCCCCTTTCCCTGGATGTCCCAAGCGCACACTTATTTTGCTTAAGGGCTAATCCAGCCCTGCGTGAATCCAGCTTTCATCCGAGGCCTGTCAGCAAGGGTGAGGAAGCCTCCTGTCACTCTCCAAACAGGTGATGAAGATGGTGGTGACCTTGGCAGTGGAGGAATCGGGCCTCATCCATTACGTGAAGCGGCCAGGTACATTGCTGGAGACGGGCTGCGTTGTGGCGAGGCTTGAGCTGGACAACCCCACCAAAGTCCACCTGGTAAGTGAGCCGAGGCTGATTGGGAAAGGAAGGTGTGTCTGGCTGGGCTCTGCTCCGCCCTTCCGGATTCTGCTGACCTGTGGTTCTAAAAGGATTTTCTCTGCTTTCTTGTGCTGCCCTCCCCAATGTCTCCCCATCCCCACCTCCAGGCCCAGTTGTACACCGGTGGGCTGCCCACTCAACAGCCCCTGCCCATCCTTGGTGAGAAATTGCACCAGGTCTTCCACAACGTGCTGGAGAGCCTGATGAACGTCATGAATGGATATTGTTTGCCAGAGCCATATTTCAGCACCAAAGTAAGGGGGGGGGTCTCTTTGTGTGCAAAGACCCCTGGCTGGTTTTGCATGTGTGAGCTTTTGTAATATGATTTTTATTAAGATTAATCTAAAACAATACAAACAACAGATCTATCAGTCAAAGCCAAGTCCCACACCCTCTCATGCCAGATGCTTCACTTGTCCTGCACAGAAAGCAAGGAGGTTGTGGGTTGCCCTGGAGGCCAACAAAGTCCCACAGGGACAGGAAGCCTTCTTCTAATCTCCTTCCTGCTGGGAGGAGCTTGGGGGTGGCAGGGCCGAGCCACGTCAGAGGCTGTGGTGGTAATGCGGAATAGGGCTCAACAGTTCCTGGCAGGAACAAGCCAGGGATCTTCCACAAGCAAAGCAAGTGGGGCCTCTTCCTTGTGCTTGGGAGGCTCCCAGGCAAAGCTGGCTTTCATTGCGCCAGACAGTTTTCTCAGATGTGCAGAACTTCTCTTAATACAGTCATACCTCGGGATAAATACGCTTCAGGTTGAGCGCTTTCGGGTTGTGCTCCGTGGCGACCCGGAAGTAACGGAGTGCGTTACTTCCGGGTTTCACCGCTCGTGCATGCGCAGACGGTCTAAATGACGTCACTCGCAGGCGCGGAAGTGGTGAAACACGACCCATGCACGCGCAGACGCACTGTCGCGTCTTACGTTCTGTTCAGGATGCGAACGGGGCTCCGGAACGGATCCCGTTCACATCCCGAGGTACCACTATACTTCCCTTGGGTTCCTTGGCAGTCCCCATACCAATAGAACCCCTCAGCACAAACTGCGATGCCCCTGAACTTGCCTTTTCCCAAACTGAATCTGTGTCTTATTTGGGAGGTCCTTGTGTCCCTGATAATTTACTCCTTTTTGATGTTGTTGTTCAGGTCAAAGAATGGGTCTTCAAGCTGATGAAGACCCTCCGGGACCCCTCTCTTCCTCTCCTGGAGCTGCAGGAGATCATGACGAGCATTTCGGGCCGCATCCCGCCATCTGTGGAGAAGTCAATCCGGAAAGTGATGGCCCAGTATGCCAGCAACATCACCTCAGTGCTGTGCCAGTTCCCCAGCCAGCAAGTGAGGCCTGCAGTGGGGGGAGGGCAGGTGATGCCAGGAGGACTGGGGGTGGGCTGCCTTCAAAGAAATGCTGGGGAGGCCCAGGGGGGATCCTGAGAGAACTGGGGGTGTTCTTGAGCTTTGTGCAGAGTTTCCCCTCCCCTCCCCCTCCCTAGGTCTGTGTAACTGAAGTTACTGCTCTTCTCCAGTTGGCATGCAGGGGTCCTCCAGACTGTGATGTGTTAATATGCGACAGCAAAGGGGTCTAATGCAATCCTGGGCTGCATCCACAGAAGTCTAGTGTCCAGCTCAAGTCATTGTACAGCTCTATTCTGCCTTTGTCAGGCCCCCCTGGAATCTTTGTCCAGTTCTGGGCGTCACAATTTAAGACGGTTATGGACAACCTGGAAGGTGTGCAGAGGAGGGCGACCAAGATGATGAAGGGTCTGGAAACCCAGCCTGATGAGGAACAGGTTGAAGGAGCTGGGGATGTTTAGCCTGGGAAAGGGGAGACTGAGAGGGGACTTGGCCTTACTCTCAGTATATGAGGGCGCTCATACAGAGGATAGAGTGAGCTTGATTTCTGCTGCTCTAGAGGGTAGGACATGAACCAATGGATTCAACTTTCTGATGGTAAGAGCTGTTCAGTAGTGGAGTGGACTCCCCCAGAAGGCTCTCCTTCACTGGAGGTTGTTAAACAGAGGTTGGATGGCCATCTGTTGGGGATTATTTTGCTGTGATTCTTGCATTGCTGGGAGTTGGACTGGATGACCCTTGAGATCCCTTCCAGTCCTACAGTTCTTTGATTCTATGAACATCCTCTGCTGCTCTGGAGAAAGAAGCATGGGCACAGAACTGAAAGTGCAGAAACAGGCAGCTCCCAAGTCATCTCCTCTAGTGTTTCTCCTTGCCCTCTCTAAAAGACATGCTGGGGTCCATAAATGGCTTCAGGGAAGAGGGCTCTTGTGCTCAGGTCCTGCTTGCAGATGTCGTACAGGCATCTGCTTGGCCCCTCTGAGAACAGGAGGCTGGACTAGATGGGCCACTGGCTGGATCCAGCAGCCGGGCTCTTCTGATGTTCTTTTGCCTCCCAGATTGCCAGCATTCTGGACAGCCATGCAGCCACCCTGCAGCGGAAAGCTGACCGGGAGGTCTTCTTCCTGAACACCCAGAGCATCGTGCAGCTAGTTCAGAGGCAAGTCCAGGGGATGGGCACCCTGCCTTTCTCTTCACTTACATGCAGCATACATTCCCTACACCCAATGTGTGTGCTGGGTGTCTGGTTTTTTTCTGCTTTCCTAGCTGGGGCTGATTTGAGTTGTAGTCAAAAACATCTAGACAGCACCAGGTTGAGGAAGGCTGGTTTAATGAATATGCTGTGGCCTTGCCTAGAAGGAGGAGAGTTGCAGCAAACAGCCCATTGGGGCCTTTTCCTACATTATATATTTGAAAGTTGTTTCTTTCTTTAAGATTTCATAACTAAATTTTGCATGGTGGCTCCTCAGTTCAAGAATCGGATTTTCATTTACATTGGGATACAGTTGGATACCATTTTGAATCAAGATTTGGTTTCTTAGAATTCCAGAGCAACACAGGGGACAAGGCTGTTAGTGATGGATATATATATATAGAAAAGTTTTAAATCTCCAGTTCAGCTTGCTCTGACCTGATACATAAATTATGTGCTTCCTTTTTTTTAAAAAAAGTAAAACCTTCATACTTTTTCATCTACTTTATTCGAACAGCTGTGCTTCACAATTAAATTCCTCAAGCTAGCAACATGATATTTTTAGCTGAGAGTTGAAAGTACTTTACAAGAGGTGGCGTTGCTCATCCTACCAATGCCTGTTGTAAACAGGCTGAGCAGGTTTTTCTCTTGCATTAGAAACCTGCAAAGCCTGTTTAACCAAAATCAGTGGGACAAAGCTATGTAGGTGCCCACCACGAGAAGCAAAGCCCCTGTGAACCCACCTTCAGCTCTCCAAAAGCTCTTGTCAACCCCAGCAAGAGAGGAATACATCTGTTCCCCTCGTTTAGGTATCGCAGTGGCATCCGAGGCCACATGAAATCAGTCGTGTTGGATCTCCTAAGGTGTTATTTGCAGGTGGAGACCCAGTTCCAGCAAGGTAGGCTCAACAACAGGTTTGCCGCTCTTCGGTCATCACGGGAGTGAAAGAGGGAGACCAAATCTGACAAGCACCCCTTTTTATTTTCCCTTTTCGTCTCAGCTCACTATGACAAATGTGTGATCCACCTACGCGAGCAATACATGCCCGACATGACCCCGGTTCTGGAATGCATTTTCTCCCATGCGCAGGTGGCAAAGAAGAATCTCCTGGTGACGATGTTGATTGTGAGTAGCAGGAGGAAGCTAAGAGCCAGGAGTCCTCTCAGAACAGGGAAGGGGCTTCCTGGGGAGCCACAGATTTTTGTGTGTGTATGTGTGCAGCAGGTCTGTGGCCCTCCGGTCCTGGTTGGACGGCAGCATCCATCTTCCCTGGCCATCGGTCATTCTGACTGGGGCTGGTGGGAGTTGTTGTTTGGCCACCTCTGGAGCAGCCCCCAGATTCACCATTCATTCAAAATTTTATTTGTATGATGCTTTTCCACAAAAATGAATCTTGCTCAAAGTAGCTTGCAACAAAGAAAACAGGAAGGCATTTCGAAATCAGCCACTGCAAGAGCAATTTCATTTCCCAATAGCATAACAGCAAATGTAACAGCATACAAAAGCGCCAACATTTCAATACCAATATAATAAGATTACACTAACAACATTGTGCCTCTTGGCAATAGCAAAAATAGCAAGGGAGCTGCTGGAAACCCCTCTTCCGAGATGATGTTCCCCTTTCTGCTTTCAGCTTCAGAAGCCGGGCTCCCTAGCCGCTGCTGGTTCCTTTCTACATTGGTGCAGGAAGAGATAATACAGTCTGGCATTTTTTACCTCCAGGATCACCTTTGTGGCCGAGACCACACCCTGACCGATGAGCTGATGGCCATTCTGAATGAGCTGACTCAGCTTAGCAAAACAGAGCACTCCAAAGTGGCCTTGAGGGCCAGGCAGGTCAGTGGGACTCCCATGTTCTTCCTTCATTCCTGGAACTGCAGGCATTTTGTGCCAAGGCTTTGTGTTGCTGCCTAAGGGGAGAAGGTTCCAAACGGCCCCCTGTCAAGCTTTGCATGCCCTGGAGGAGGGTTTGGGTTTCTCAAGGAATCTGAGGAGACCTTCCAGAGCACCTGGCATGCATGGGAAGAGTGTGGCTCTCTGGATGTTGTTGGGCACCCAACACCCAGCAGCCAGCATGGCCAGTTGTCTCAGGATGATGGATGTTGTAGCTCAGCGACATCTGGAGGGCTACAGATGTTCCTTCTCCTTAGCATTGACTCTGTGTTTGGCAGAAAGAGGATGATCCTGATATGTCCAGGTGGTAACTCTTCAGATTCCAGCTACAATTCATTTTGTAATATGGCCAACCTGATTCTGTTGGTTTTTTGTTCTGTTTTGTTTTGTTTTTTACAAATTTACTCAGCATTTTAAACTGTAATGCTTCTGCTTATTGCGATGTGTTGCTGTTGTGCTTTATTTCTGATGTTTTGTTTTCCTGCTGTATTCTATATTTTGCATTTATTATTTTTATGTTTAAGGTGTTGTCTGTGAATGACAACAAGATTAACAGTTTGATTTATACTTTGGGGTTAAAACAGATGGTGCTCTAGTTTTTGTATGTGTCAGCATGGAAAGACCGTTTGAAAATGTCTGGTCTTTGAAATCTCAGAAGAGATAGGGGCACTTTCAGTGTCTTTCCCCACTAACTTTTACATCTCCATTCTCTCCTGATCTTTTGCTCCCACGCTTTTCAGATCGTTTGAAATCCTCCGTCTTGGAGGCAGAATAAATGGCACAAAAGTTAGCAATTGTGCACAAATCTTGCTTTTCACTTGTATGTTTCAAAAGGTTTGCTGGGGCCTTGAAAGGTCCCCTGTGATTCCTCCCTCCTTGCTTCCCTTGGGCCGGTTGAACCCAAGCCCCTTTTTGTTCTCAGGTGCTGATCGCCTCCCACCTCCCTTCCTACGAACTGAGGCACAACCAGGTGGAATCCATTTTCCTCTCAGCCATAGACATGTACGGACACCAGTTCTGCCCTGAAAACCTAAAGGTGACCTGGATTGCTTGTTAGGTCTGGCTCTTGCAACTGACAGCATCTGTTCACACTAAAGAGCCATTGTCGTGTCTTGGCAAGAGTGCTGGACTAGGACCCAGGAGAGACCAGGGTTCAAATCCCCACTTGGCCATGAAGCTCCCCGGGTGTCCTTGGGCAGTCACTCATGCTCAGCCAAACCTACCTCACAGGGTCGTTTTGAGGATAAAATGGGGAGGAAGAGAATTGTGTGTGCCACCTTGAGCTCCTAGGAGAGAAAAACAGGTCGGATACGAATACATGACATAAACTTGAGTCACGCTTTAGCCAAGAAGTACTCAGGGGTGGAGCTGGTCCTTTGCCCAGAGTCAGTCTATCAAATCCCTCATTTTTTAAAAAGTAAATAAACTTAGCTGAGAAAGACCCTTGCATGCTTATCAGAGAAGACAGCATTTTCAAGCTATAGTTTTTATTCATTCCTTGTATGACTCTGTTCTTCCCTCTCCTTGTGAGTATTATGCCCTGTGGGCAGATCCATACTTTAGGGATGTAGATGGGTATAGAGAGAAGAACTCTAAGCAGCAGCATCAAAATGCCACAAACCAGTAAGGATGCTGCCTCCTGATGCTTTTGTCGAAACCTCAGCTGTGTGCACGACACAAACACAGTGATTGTTGGTGATAACTCCATCTTCTTAACTTTGCTACAGTAATATAAAGCTTGCAGTGGGGGAGAGGGCCTTGGTCTCATTTGAGGCCTGAGTGATTCTAATCAAACTTCCTCATGGAAGCATGAGAGGTGGCGGACTCCCCTTCCTTGGCTGTTTTAAGAAGAGGTTGGGTGGCCCCCTGTCATGGAATACCTAGCTGAAATCTTGCAGGGGGTTGGATTGGATACCCGTGGAATTCCTTCCAACCCTAAAATCCTATTATTCTAAATTCTAAACCAGCGTGATTCTAAAAATGTATTGTGTTCTCCAGCGGCAGGCCTGTTTGTTCATTCGCTGCTCCTCCCTTCCTTTCTAGAAACTGATCCTTTCTGAAACCACCATCTTTGATGTCCTGCCTACTTTCTTCTATCACTCCAACCAGGTGGTCCGCATGGCAGCCCTTGAGGTAAAAGGGAGGGTGGCAAAGGCTAGAGTAAGGTAGTGCTTGAATGGAACACAGTGACATTTTCCCCCCTTCCAAAAAAGGGAGGGTGCTCTTGTAGCATTGATGGCAGCTGCATAGTTTGGGGCAACTGCTGGCAGGCTGGGGATGAATGCATGCAGCATTCATGATCTGAAGGGTGGGTTCTCATTCATAGAACAGTAGGGCTGGAAGAGAGGGACCCAAAGGGTCGCCTAGCCCAAACCCCTGCCATTCACAGATGCGTTGCAGCACTCACACGACGTCATTGACATCCAATTCCAACCTGCATTTCCCCACCCACTCCAGATGTGCCCTTTCTGGGGGAAATCCAAGAAGCAAAACCACCACCACCCCAACCTGTGGCCAGCACCCCCGTTTGGGGAGGAAAAGATTATAGCAGTATGCTGCTCTTCACCTGTCGTTGGAATTCCCTTCTTTCCTCCCCAGGTGTACGTGAGAAGAGCCTACATCGCCTATGAGCTGAACAGCCTCCAGCATCGCCAGCTCACGGACGGCACCTGCGTGGTGGAATTCCAGTTCATGCTGCCATCGTCCCATCCAAACAGGTGGGCTTAGCCAAGAGCCAGAGACCGACCGTCTTGCACTGGCTCCCTGGGGCTTTGGGGGCTCTTCAACATGTGTGCATGGGAGGACCTTTGGTGCAGAAGGAAACTGGACAAGGGCAGGCTGGAAAGGAGGTGTGGGCATGGGGGCAGAGCTACTGGAAGGTCCCAGGTTCAGTCCCTGGCCTCTCCACCTGAGACCTTGGATAGCCGCTGCTGATTGGAGCAGGTGGCTCAGTGGCTGGGCATGAGGTGTAAGGAAGCTTTGTGTGTCTTCTTTCAGAGGCAGCAGCCCCGCCCTGAGCAGGTAGAGTGTCTGGTTCTTTACACTGTGCAGCATGAGTGGCAATGTAAAAAGAATAACCTGGCTGCAAGTGCGTGTACGACTCCTTGCCTACCTTTCCCTGGTTCTTTCATTCATTCTGGGCTTGCTAACTAATTTGCTTTTTGGCAAGCATGTGAAAGGGGTCTTTCTTCCGGGATCATGGGATTATGATTATTTTTTTACGTGTTCTTGGTCCCTGCTATGAAGCTTAGAAGTGAGTATCAAAATCTCCAGGTGGAAATAAGAAGCCAGCATTTGTGGCCTCAGGGCCACACTGGGAGCAAGGACTTTCAAGGGCTGAGATGAGCTGTGCGCAGCCACCTCCTGTGACCTGTCCTGGGTCAGCCTTCTATCCATGCTGGGAGTTGTGGGATCATCATCATGAGCTGTGAAATCTCCAAGGCGGCAGGAGTGAGGGCTGCCCTGGGGGATCCGTGGTGCTGCTGCAGCACTCCTGTTTCCTTTACGAGAATAGCCGTAACCCCCTTAGGCATCCAAGAGTCCTGTCTCCCTGACTCCGGGGCTCTGCTGTGCCTGATTCTTCCCTTCCTTTGCGTGTAGGATGTCTGTGCCCATAAGCATCTCGAACCCCGACTTAGCCCGGCACAGCACTGAACTCTTCATGGACAGTGGCTTTTCTCCTCTTTGCCAGCGGATGGGGGCCATGGTGGCTTTTGACAGATTTGGAGACTTCACCAGGTAGCTGAACAGCCATGTTTTTGGAGGAATGTGTTGTGACCCTGGCCTTCTGAATGTCACCAAACAGCTAGACCACATTCACACCGTACCTATGACGTGCTTACGAATAGTTATGATGTCTCCCAAAGTATTCTGAGAGCTGCTGTTCGTTCAGGGTGCTGAGAGCTGTTGGGAGGGCCCTGATCCCTTCCCAGCTACAATTCCCAGAACTCCCTTTGAAGAAGGATTGATTGCTAAACCGCTCTGTGAATTGTAGGTCTCTTCCAAATTATCCTGTGTGTAGCATCCTGGGGACAGCCAAAAGTCTTTATTAACCACCAGTCATTCCCAGGAAAGAATGTAGTTCTAGCCATTCTGTTCAAGAGAGCTGAAAGACGCTTTGGAGGGTTTCTGTTTAAGACCAGGTCTATTTGTATACCCACCATGTTGCATACAGTTTGTCTGATTCCGCCCCCCATTCCTTTTATGCTCTGAGCTATTTTCTCAACGACTGTCACTTGCCAGACATTTTTAAGTCAAGCGACAGCCCTTGTAAGGACTTCCAGGTTTAGATAGCCAAGCAGCCACTGAAAAAACAGCCAGTCAGTCCTTATTCTTCACATCGGCATTTAGGCCCTCTCATTCTTTGATTCTTCTGCTCCCTGTTTTCTCTTTTGTGCCAGAAACTTTGATGAGGTCATTTCCTGTTTTGCCGACCCCAACCCTTCCGAGAGCCCCTTGTTCAGTGAGGTGAGGGCCACGCTGTACGATGAAGAAGACAGCAAGGTGAGCGACTTGTGGGCCTCCAAGGAGCTCAAGGTGGCATACAAGGTTTCTCCCTTCCTCATTTAATCCCCACAACAACCCTGTGAGGTAGGTTAGGCTGAGAGGCAGCGACTGCCAGTCAGCTTCATGCTCAAGTGGGGATTTGAACTCTGGTCTCCCAGGTCCTAGTCCAACACTCCACGCTGGCGCGCCAATAAGTGGGGAAGGCAGAATGCCCAAGACAGCCTCTGCCACCCTGTTCCTTGTCCAGCTGCAACACAACAGTCCTGCAGTGCTGCCAATGGATCTTACTCTCCAGTAGTTGCTGCCACCATCCTCCTGTGAAGAAAGGGTCTGCTACAGGAGAGTAATACCCATGGGCAGCACTGCAGGGCTGTTGTGTTGCAGTTGGGCAACAAATGGGGTGGGAGAGCCTCTGTGGGGCTTCACCCCTTTGCCACCCTCCCACTTACTCTTGCAGCCCAGATGGGAGGGAACCTGGGAGGCACTAAAGCACTTACTTTTAGGAAGGCTCCAAGCCATGGCACCATGGCATTTGTTCAGCCTGCACAGACATTTCTGGGGAAAGCAGAGCTAACTTCCAGCTGCTTTATCCTAATCCAAGACCAAAGCAGCTTGCCTGTTTCCCTGGCAGACACCCCCCACCACTTCCTAAGCCCCAGCAACTTTGAGGCCAGTACACCCTGCGTCTCCCAGACAGTTACTATGGTTGTCACTGTAACTGACCGTGTGGCTTTGCCGTTTCCAGAACCTCCGAGAGGAGCCCATCCATATCCTGAATGTTGCAATTCGGTGGGCAGAACACCATGAAGATGAGGAGCTGGTGCCCGTCTTCAGAGCCTTCGCTCAGTCCAAGGTTTTGTGCCTTTCACTTCACTCTGGGGACTGGCAGGAAAAACAGAATGGGTCTTGGGCTTCATTGGAAACACATTTGAGTCACGTGACTTCCTCCAAAGAATCCTGGGAAATGTAGTTTGTTAAAGCTGCTGTAAGGGGGTTCCTAGCAGCTCCCAGCCCCCTTAACAAACAGAGTGTGTGTGTCAGGTTCTTCATTCAGGCGAAGAAGGAGATGTGTTGTGCCCTGACAGCCATGCATTAGGCAGCTAGCCCCCTTGTTTTTAGCAGCTTGTTTTCCATTTTTGGGCTGAGAACTCTTGCCATGTTTGTGCAGGGAGGTGGGGGCGCAGCTGCACACATCCCATTTGTTCCCCGCAAAAAATGCATTTGTTGAGCTGGTTTTTGGACTCAAGGGTGCACATTGAATGATGAACCCGACTACATCACCAGCTGCAGATCCTCAAGGCCAATGCTGGCTCCTGCTCAAGGCAAAGCCATGCCTACATTGATGCTGTCTGAGCTGATGGTTTGTGTTGCTGTTCCCTGAAAGATCAACTATTTTGCCCTTGGAGGGTGTCATGTCTGCGGGAAGTTTCTCCTTGGCTCACTCTCACCTTTGCCTCTGTTCTCTTCTTGGTCTGTTCTCCATACAGAACAACATCCTTGTTGAATGTGGGCTCCGAAGAATCACATTTTTGATAACACAGCAGGTCAGTGAAAGTGATGGAATTTCATTTTGGGGGTTTTAGGATTGGTGGGTTATTTTCTTTAAAAAGAAGACAAGGCACTAAAGGAATGTTGCTCTCGGTTGTTCTTGTATCCCACTTTTCTTCCTGAAGGAGCCCAGTTCTCTGTAGTGGGGGGAGGGGGCTTCTCCTTCTCCTTGTTTATGACTTTTGCTTTCCGTTGCAGAGGGAATTTCCCAAGTTCTTCACATTCCGGGCACGAGATAAGGTGAGTTGGCCCAGGTGGTTTTGTACGTGGAAGTTAGCTTAGCTTGCGCACTGCCAAGACCAACAGGTGCTTGTCCCACTTTCCTGGCAGTTTGCCGAAGACCGCATCTACCGCCACTTGGAGCCGGCGTTGGCCTTCCAGCTGGAGCTGAACCGCATGCGCAACTTTGACCTGACAGCAGTGCCTTGCGCCAACCACAAGATGCACCTTTACCTGGGTGCTGCCAAGGTGGAGGAAGGCGCTGAAGTCACAGACTACAGGTTTTTTGTCCGTGCCATTGTCAGACACTCGGACCTGATCACCAAGGTAAGCCTCATGGCTGAGCCAAGGGAAGCTGTCGGGGGGGGGGCGCAAGAAGTGGAAGGGGGGCCAGGAACGAAGCGTCTGCTGAGGTCAGCTCAGCCCGAAAGCAGGCATTTTAACCAGGCTCCCACCCGGCTCCTTATAGCACTGTGAAGCCTCTTCTTTTCTGCTTTGAGGGTCTTTCCTTTCTCTCTCTGATGTGGCGCTTCCTCTGCCCTCTCTCTGGGACAGGAAGCCTCGTTTGAATACTTGCAGAACGAGGGTGAGCGGCTGCTCCTGGAGGCCATGGATGAGCTGGAAGTGGCCTTCAGCAACACGAGTGTCCGCACCGACTGCAACCACATCTTCCTCAACTTCGTCCCCACCGTCGTTATGGACCCCTCCAAGGTCTGAGCCTTGCTTGCTTCCCTTTCTGGTAAACACCTAAGAAGGGCTCTTGCAGATGGGACAGACCAAAGGGGGCTCATCTCATCCAGAGCCCTGCTGCTCACAGTAGCCAACCAGATGCCTCTTCTGGGAAGCCCACCAGCAGCAGCAGCAGCAGCAGCAGCAGTCTTCCGACACACCTTTGTGTTTGTGTGTTATTAGTTAAAGTACCATGGTACCTCGGTTCTTGAAGAAAATACATTCTGGAAGCTCATTCAGCTTCCAAAACGTTTGAAAACCGAGGCGTGACTTCCCATTGGTTGCAAGAGCTTCTTGCACTTAGCGGAAGCCGCGTCGTACGCTTGGGTTCTGAAAAATGTTCGAAAACGGAAGCATTCACTTCTGGGTCTTCAGTGTTCAAGAATTGAATGTACGACAATGGAGGCATTTGGGAACCGAAGTTCCACTGTATTTTCTAATCTGCAATGCTTCTGAATGACCGTTGCTGGAAACTGCAGGAGGGGAGAGTGCTGCTCTTGTGCTTGGATCCTGCTTGCTACTTTCCCACTGGAGCATCTGGCTGGCCCCTGTGAGAGTAGGATGCTCGACCAGATGGGCCATGGGCCTGATCCAGCAGGCTCTCCCTGCATTCTTAACATTCTTAAAAGAATATTATCAGTCTGATTATGTTGGTGGCACCCCCAGATTGAGGAATCGGTGCGCTCCATGGTGATGCGCTACGGGAGCCGTCTGTGGAAACTCCGGGTCCTGCAAGCCGAAGTGAAGATCAACATCCGCCTGACGCCAACTGCCCAGGCCATCCCCATCCGCCTCTTTCTCACAGACGAGTCGGGCTACTACCTGGATATCAGCCTCTACAAGGAGGTCAATGACCCCAGCACGGGAAATGTAGGTTTCATGCATGTGCTGGAGATGATGGAATGTTTGTGTATGCTACTCCTTTGTTCTTGCATTTTTGTTCTCTGCACCAATCATGACCACATAGTATAAAGTGGGATATCTCCCTCCGTTGCTCTGTTAGCTGAGTGGCAGAGCAGCTGCTTTGCATGCCAAGGGCTCCTGGTTCAACCCCCCAGTGTCTCTGGGCACCTGGAGAACTGCTGCTCTTCAGAGGAGGCCAGGGATGGAGGACATTGGTGGCTCTCCAGAGGTTGTTGGACTCAACTCCCATCTGCCTTGGACAACCAATAGTCAGGGAGAGCAGGAGTCATTGCCCAGCACCACCTGAATGGCCACAGGGGCTCCTACTGGGCCTTATAGACACTGGCTGCCTTCGGTGATGTCTCCTGCAGCCCCCAAAGAATTTGTGCTTGCAAATGTTGGAACGGAATGTGAGAGGACAGAGGAGCCGCTGCTCTCTTGCTATCCTTGCCGGCCCCGTCTTCTGTCTCCTCCTACTCTAAGTGCCTCTCGGCATTTCACAGCCTTTTCTTTGCCTGAAGGAAATGTTGCCTCATTAAGAAAAGTAACTTTGGGGAGGGAAGTGAATAGGTACATGGTCAGTGCTCCCTTTTCTATCCCCCAGCTGTTTCCTGTTTGAGTTGTAGGTTAGTTAAAAAATGGGAATTTCAGAAATCAGAACTGAAGGGCCACCTCCACAGCAGACCTTTAAAGTGCCATGATATCCCTTTAAACAGACATGGCTTCCCCCAAAGAATTCTGGGAACTGTGGCTTGTTAAGGGTGCTGAGAGTTGTTAGGAGACTCCTGTTCCCCTCAAAGAGCTACCGTTTGCAGAGTGGTTTAACAATCAATCCCTCTTCCCAGAGCACCCTGGGAAATTGTGGCTCCGTGGAGAGAATGGACGATCTCCGGACAGCCAGGGGTGTTTCAAGTGGCATCATAGCACTTTAAATGTATGGAGCGAATGTGGCCAAGTTCTGCCCCTCACAAACTCTGTTGCCAGGTTTGAAACAGCTTTGATTTCACAAGTGTAGAAGTCTGCGGGGAAGAGTGAGGAGGAGGCGGCCTGACGCTGTGCTTTGCCTCCTGGACTAGATCATGTTCCACTCCTATGGAGACAAGCAAGGGCCTCTGCACGGAATGCTCATCAACACTCCGTACGTCACCAAAGACCTGCTTCAATCCAAGCGCTTTCAGGCCCAGTCGCTCGGCACCACCTATGTCTACGACTTCCTTGAGATGTTCCGGCAGGTGAGCTGCGGACGAGGCCCCCACATCTCCTCCTGTTGGATCAGGGAAATGCTTTGTAAGTGGGAAGAGCAGGCTCCAGTTCAGCCCAGAGGCTTCACAAAGCAGAAGAGGGATTGTGCACACTGCTGCACACACAGCCCCCATCCCACAGTTAGCTCTGGTCAGAAAGGTGTTTGAGGTTTACATTACTTATTTTTTAAAACCCTCTAGTCCCTGTTTCTCCAGAACTGATCGTGAGACACAACTGTGGGAGTACATGGCGGGGGGGGGGGGGGAGGGAGGTAGCGCTGCTTTGGTCTGACTGCAGCCCTTAGAGCAGCAGTGGAGAGTCCGTCGCCTCCAGGCTTCCAGACGGCTTCTCCCTTCTTCCTTGGTCCTTCTGGCTGGGAAGGCGAGTCAAAGCTGGAAAGCCACTGGATTCTCACCCCACTGCAGAAGCTGGGCCAGGAATCCTTGACACACTGGATCTTCTGGAGTAAGAAAGAGTGGCACTCTGTTGTTTTGCTCATGGCTCTCATGTTGGTTCCTCTTTAGGCTCTGTTCAAATTGTGGGGTTCCACGGAAGCAGACCCTGCAGATGTCCTGACCTACACAGAATTAGTGTTGGATTCTCAGGGGCAGCTGGTACAGATGAACAGGCTGCCTGGAGGAAATGAGGTAGGGCCATGGAAAGGCAAATCCCCCCCTAGGAAAGGAACTGAAAACTGCCAACATCATAATGCCATTGGATTGATTGATTACTTTTATATTCCACCTTTTCCTCCAAGGAGCTCAAGGTGACAAACCTGGTTCTTTCCCTCATTTTATCCCCACAACAGTCCTATGAGGTAGGTTGGGTTGAGAGGCAGAGACTGGCCCAAGGTCACCCTGAGTGGGGATTTGAACCCTAGTCTCACCCTGTTACCACTACAACAATAGGTGGTGCAAGAGCATTTGGAATGTTGTGTGCAGTTCTGATCACTTCCCCTCAAAGAGAACATTGTAGAGTTAGAAAAGGTTCAGAAAAGGACAACCAATGTGATCAAGGAGTTGGAGCAATTCCCGTGTGAGGAAAGGTATAGAGAAAATGCGAGTGAGAGGCAGCATGAGAGAAGCTATGGAACAAACTCCCACCAGAGGCAGTGATGGCACTGGGTAAATTCCTGGGGGAGGGGGCTACCAAGGCCTACTAGCCACAAGGGCTATTATCTGCCTCCAGGGTCGGAGGCAGCTGTGCTTCTGAATCCCAGTTGCTGGAAGCCACAGGAGGGAAGAGAGCTCTGGCGCTCGGGTCCTGCTGGCAGGGTTTCCCTTTGGGCTGTCTGGTTGGCCCCTGTGAGAACAGGAGGCTGGACTAGATGGGCCGCTTTGGCCTTATCCAGCTTAATATGTTCTTATGGCAAAGGCACAGGCGGAGAAGCTGGCTCTTGGCCCCCTAGTTCCAGTATTTTCGCTGCTGAGGTGGGGCTGTTGCTAAACCCTCAAGGGCTATATATAGGAGGCCCACTGAGGAGAGATGGGGAAGCTGGATAATGCTCTCAGACAAATGACCTCATTGGCTTTTGCTGTTCACTAAACCATAACCATAACACTTGCTATTCTTTGAAAGCAATCAGTGTCAGCTTTGTGGACAAAAGCTCCAGAACATACAGATGGTAACTTCTTCACCTCTCCTTCTTCCTCAATATCCTTCCAGATTGGGATGGTGGCCTTCAAGATGAAGATGAAGACCCCTGAGTACCCCCAAGGCCGTGACATTGTGGTCATTAGCAATGACATCACCTACAAGATCGGGTCGTTTGGGCCGGAGGAAGACCTCCTCTTCCTGCGCGCTTCAGAGCTGGCGCGCAGCGAAGGCATCCCCAGGATCTACATTGCAGCCAACAGTGGGGCCCGCATTGGGTTTGCTGATGAGATCAAGCACAAGTTCCAGGTGGGCTGGGTGGACCCTGCAGAGCCATACAAGGTATGTGGCTTCCTGGCAGATCCCCCCTCCCCCCAAAAAGAGAGTTTCACTAGGGTAGAATCCTGAGACATTTTGTTGGGGGGGGGGGTTGTGGATAGGTACAGTTCTCAATGAGATCCACTTGTCTCCTGGAGCTTCCCTGAATGTGTGCAGAGCCCTGTGTGAGGGTCTCCTCCTCAAGCGACAGCAGCCTCTCCTCTGGGCTGCAATCCCATCTCCACCTTGCAGAAAGCAGCCATTGGAAGTGGAAGCTAGGACTCACAGGAAGCCAGTCCTTTTTAATGCAGCACATAGTTAAAGGATGGAATTCTTTTGCATAGGAGGTAATGAGGGCCACCCACCTGGATGACTTTAAAGGAGGTTGGACAAATGCATGGAGGAGGAGGAGGAAGAGGAGGAGGAGGAAGAGGAGGGCATTGATCGCTTTGAGCCTCAATATGTTCTGCCTCAGGCACTGCAACAGCCTCCCCAGGATCATGCCCTTAATCCATGAGACTTCCAGAGGGGCAACCATGTTAGTCTCTTGCAAGAAAGGCACCTTAAAGCCTAACAGATTTATCATGGCATCCACTTCATTGGATGTTCAGCTGACACTGTGGGTTCAAGTCTGCAAAAAAGAAAAGAAAAGCTTATGCCATAATAAATTTCCTTCCTAATGCATAATTTAAAATCTCATGATTTCAAATAAAAACCCTGCCAGTTTCAAGTCTAAGGTTGTGCTGAAGTGGAGTGGGGTGCAAGAACTTCTTGGCACTTCAGTCCATTTCAAAAGCTCCCCTCCCCCCTTGCAAGTTTTCAGGGAGGTCTTCCAAAGCATTACGGGGCAAATAGTTATCTGCTCTCAACTGGTGCTTTGCTTTCTGTAAGGGCATCTAGCACAGTGGCCTCATTTTTCACCTGGTTTGTGCTCCGGCTCATCTGTCGCACTGATTTCAAAGTGGTGCCCCCAGTTTCCCCAACTGATGTTGCTCCACCATCTTTTTCCAAAGGGCTTCAAGTATCTGTACCTGACCCCGCAGGAGTACACCAGGATCAGCTCCACAAACTCTGTTCACTGTGAGCACGTGGAGGAAGCCGGCGAATCGAGGTGAGTCAATGGTGTCCCCCTGTCTTGGCTTGCCTGCAGAAGGTCCCGTGTTCAACCCCCAAGGGTATTTCCAGGTGAGACAGAGGGAAACAACAACCGTGTCTACAATCCCAGAGAGCCTCTACTAGTCATGGAAAGGCAGCCAAGTGCCAGGCTAGATGGACCAGTGCTTTGCCTCACTGTCAGGCAGCTTCCCTCGTTCCTGGGAGGAGGAACTCTTGGTGTTCTGCCCTGCCTGGCTCCATCTTTCAGCCACCTTGGCCTCCTGCAGGTACATCATCACCGATATCATTGGCAAAGAAGAAGGCTTTGGCGTGGAGAACTTAAGAGCGTCGGGCACCATCGCTGGGGAGTCTTCTCTTGCCTATGATGAAATTGTCACCATCAGCATGGTATGTATGTATGTGCGTATGTATGTATGTATGTATATCCTGCTTTCCCCCAGACTGGGACTCAAAGCAGCCCTGGGCTCTTTCTGTCTCCTGCAGGTGACCTGCCGTGCCATCGGAATCGGGGCTTACCTGGTGAGGCTGGGCCAGCGGGTGATCCAGGTGGACAATTCCCACATCATTCTGACCGGAGCTGGAGCTCTGAATAAGGTAGTGAGCAGGCGGCGTTCCCTAAGCTTCCTCCATGTTCCATTGCGCAGATCCTTCTTGGCACTCCATTTCCTTTTGCTTGCTCTCATGCAGCACTAAAGAGCTCCCTGGAGCTCTCTTCATCTTCTCAGCTGGATGGCTCTCATTTTGCCATGTCTGCCTCTCGGCCAAGGAGCCACCCGCTCCCAGACCATCTCAGCTGCATGCAGCTGCGGTGTGGGAAACGACGGAACAATTTCTCTCTCTGCCCATGAAATATTTTGGGGATGTAAAAAGAAAGTCACTGCATCTCCCTAAGTGATTTGCATCACAGTCCTACACGTGTTGCAGCATTTGGGACCTTTTAGTTTAGAGAGATGGCGAGTGAGAGGCGACACAATGGAAGTTTACAGAAATATGCCTGGCCTGGGGAAAGTGAAGAGAGAAAAGTCATTCTCTCCCTCTCATGACACACGGGGCTTCTCCACACTCCCTGTTGTCCTGCTGCTTCCCCTGGAGGAAGCCAGTTGCTGGCCAGTGGGGCAGGCGGGGAGGGACAGCTCAGGTCCTGCTTGCTGGCTTCCCACAGGTATCTGGTTGGCCCCCGTGAGCAGGAGGCTGGGGCCAATGGGTCGCCATTGGCCTGATCCGGTAGGGTTCTTCTTATGTTCTTCTTGGATTGGGGTTGTGTTTTTGGACCAGGTCTTGGGCCGTGAAGTGTACACTTCAAACAACCAGCTTGGAGGGGTGCAGATCATGCACAATAATGGCGTTTCCCACGTAACAGTTCCAGACGATTTTGAAGGCGTCTACACTATTCTGCAGTGGCTTACATTTATGCCAAAGGTAGGTTGAGGGCAACAGAGCTTTGACAATCCTCACAATTCCTCTCTAGTCATCCCGCCTCATAATTATCATTTATCCTAATAGGGGTGATAAACACCAGGGGTGCAATGTTTGTTTCATTTATTTATTTATTTATTTATTTATTTATTTATTATTGTCATGTTCTTGTTTTTTTCCTTGTGAAAACAAAACCTATCCATAAATAAATTCTTACAATAAAGTATCTTAATTGACTGAAAAAGTTTCCCCCTATCTTAACTGGGCAGCAGACGTAAAATTAAAAAATAATGATTTAAATTTTTTTTTTTAAGGGAATTACCAATAAATAAATAAAAATCCAGTACAGTCATACCTCAGAAATCAAACACCTTGTGAGTCAAACATTTTGGCTCCTGAATGCCACAAACCCGGAAATGAGGATTCTGGTTTGCGAACATTCTTTGGAACCCGAATGTCTGAGGTGGGTTCCGCGGATTCCGGTTGGCTGCAGGTTTGATTTCCAAACGTTTTGGAAGTCGAATGGACTTCCAGAATGGATTCCGTTCGACTTCGGAGGTATGACTGTAGTTGATGGCCACCATCTTAGAATTCTCTGTCCTGCTTCTCACATAAATAGGAGGGCAGATTTATGTAGGTTTAATTGACGGGTTGAGGATGCGACCCTATGATTCCAGGAAGGGCATTCACTGGGGCAATGGGATATTGCTGACCACCCTCTCCGTGGGCATGGATGGCAGGCCCCCTTTGCCATCCCCTTTGAGGGAGAAAGAGGGTCCCTTCTGACAATTTTATGAGGCTTTGATTCTATAAGATGCTGTTCACATTCTCAGAGCTAAGCAGCCCTAATTTCTTCCTTTCTTGATCATCTTCTCAGGGCTCTCGTTTTGTTTAAAGCTCGTTTAAGAGAAGTTTCTTCTTGTAGGACAATCGTAGCCCTTTGCCTATCACCACCACAAGTGACCCCATTGACAGAGAAATTGACTTTGTCCCTTCCAAAGCCCCTTATGATCCCCGGTGGATGCTGGCAGGGAGACCTCATCCCAGTAAGTACAGGCACTAACCCAGCTGCAAGAATTCTGCAATGCTTTTGGAGGTATGGAACTGAAAGGGGAGGGGTTGCAATGTAATAGCAGGGGAATTGTTTCTGACCTGGAATTTTCTTCATTGACATTTCCTCCTGGTCAGTGTCATCAAGGCAAATCTACAATTTGTTTGCCAGACTTCCAGGGCTGACCTGAAGTCTCTAGGTTTGTGTGGCCCTCTCCAAGTGACAGAGGGAGGTTGCCATTGTTGTTGTTGTCATTACTAATAATAATAGGCTATGCTTGAAGCTTACGAGCTTCAGCCTGGCAGGAGCTGGTTGCAGGTTATTGCATAGACTCTCTGGAAGATCTGTCCCCTTCCCCTCTCCCAACTAACCTCCATCTCCAAGGCTCAAGGCTCATCAATGGTTCTGCTTGTCCCCTGCCTAAAAAAAAACGGGTCTGAGCGGTTTTCCATTTGACCTGCTGCTTACCCCAGGCAAACCTTCCCTTCGCGACTGAGTCAGAGCAAATGTCAGTCCATGGAAAACCCCACTGATATTTGCTCTGTTTCAGCTGTAAAGACTGAAGTTCTTCCCAGGGGGAAATGGCAGGACAAGCAAAAAGCTGCATGAACACTCTGTGTGGGGAGGAATTTCCATCCAGTGACGTATTTGTTCATTTGTAGACTTCATGTTTTTTATTTGGACGACATGCTCTTGGCGACTATGGTTAATGCTTAATGTGTCATGCCTAAGGGCACCCCTGGGCTCCAGCCCCCAATGATATCACCAGAGGCTGCCCCAAGGTCTCAGGATTGGGCCCTGGGCTCTCAGGATCTGACAGCCCAAAATACAGTATAAAACCAAAAGCATTGTGAATTGCATAATTATAAGATGTGGATCAAATATGTGGAGTAAAAATGCAAGGGAAAGCAAAAGATCATAAACTCCACTGTGAAAGTTTTTTAAAAAGGAAAAAAAAAGCTGAAAATGGAGGTGACCTGCATAAGCAATCTGCCAGAGACCTGTTGCCTGCCTTCTCCTCGCAGGTTACACTGGTCCCAAGTTGTTAAGGGCTCTATGTACTAATAGTAGTAATAGTAACACATGGCAGCAAATCAATGGCTGGTGCAGATCTGGGAGCATAAGGTGTTGTAAGTGGCTGAGCCTGTCAGCTATCAGGCTGCAGCATTCTGCTGCACTAACTGCAGCTCACTGTGGCAGTCGAGGCTCTTTGAGCCTGGGACTGCATTTACCAGGGGTCTTCTCCCTCGTTCCCTGCTGCTACGACATTTCCCCAGCTTTGCATATATGAAGAGGTTGTGGTTTTGGAAGGTCACAGTCAGACTTTTCTCAGCATCCCCCGTTCCTTTATTGTGCAGCTGTGAAGGGATCCTGGCAAAGCGGCTTCTTTGACCACGGCTCTTTCATGGAGATAATGCAGCCCTGGGCCCAGACGGTGGTGGTTGGCAGAGCCAGGTATTGGCCGAATCTTCCCTCTTACTAGAGGCAGTTGGGGAGAGGAGGGGGCTGGCACATTCTTAAAGGTGCCCCCCAATGGCTGCCTGATCAGTTACTGGGGTGGGCTACACTCCTGCCCTTCTCACGGCACCCAGGCCATTTAATGCCTGGTGCAGAATTCGTCAGAATGAAAATCTCTGCTTTCTGCCTTTTGCATAAATAGGATTCCTAGTCCTTATGATCATTGAAATGCTCTTGGAGTCTTTAAATAGTTTTTCATTTGTTTTGCATGGAGTCCACATGAAGCTCTTTTCCCTCCTTCGGATTCTTTGCAGGCTGGGAGGGATCCCGGTGGGTGTGATCGCAGTGGAGACCCGAACAGTGGAGTTGGCGGTGCCAGCTGATCCAGCAAACCCAGAATCAGAAGCGAAGGTTGGGAGCACTAGAGTCATTTGCATTCCTGTACCATTGCTGATTTTAACTTTTCCATGAACCTGTATTGTTCTTCTCAAGCTGCCTTGTTGTTTTGGTGACCTCTACATTCCTTGTGTAAAACGTCCGCAGACCACATGGCTCCTCTTCTGCTGTGACACATCCCTTGAAACATGGGCACTGTGTCGGGGGGGGGGCGGAGCTTTGGCCTGAATGTTCGTTTGAAAATGGCAAAACAACAACAACAAACTTTTGGTAACCTCCCAATAGCCCCTGGCCCCTCAACCTCCTGGCTGCTGTCACCAGGATCTGAAATTTTTACCTGCTTTCCTTTTTACTAAGTTTTTGGTTTTGAAGGGCCCCCCCCCTACACACAACCTCTTCTGTTCCCTCCTTCCTAGATAATCCAACAAGCTGGACAGGTTTGGTTTCCGGATTCAGCCTTTAAAACAGCCCAGGCTATCAGAGACTTTGACCGTGAACGCCTTCCACTTTTGATTTTTGCCAACTGGAGAGGATTCTCTGGTGGGATGAAAGGTAACTTACGCACCTCTCCTTGTATGAGCTGACCATGGTCACCTGAGGCCCTTCTTCATGTGCCACCTCCATAGGAGGACAGGAAGGCAGCAACCTGAGAACGGGGCCTTTTCAGTGGTGTCCCCCCGCTTGTGAAATGCTCTTCCCAGGGAGGCTTCCTTGGCACCTTCATTATATACCTTTAGGCACCAGGCAGAAACATTTCTTTTCTGCCAAGCCTTTGGCTGTTAATCACCCATGGCCTCGTTTAGTGGGTGGGATCTTTTAATCCTGCCTTTTAAAATAGCCACGTGTTTTAGATTTCTCTGCCTTGTTTTATGCTGGTTTTAATGTAAATGTTCTTTAATTATTGTTGTCAATCGTTTCAAGTTACTTTGCTTAAAAGAGTGGCAAATAAGTTTAATTTTAAAAAATCACCCAGTGATGTTACTTGCTCACTCGGCCCTGGAGCTGGCCTTGACTCCTGCCCTCCTTGCAGACATGTATGATCAGGTGCTGAAGTTCGGGGCGTATATTGTGGACAGCCTTCGGCAATTCAAGCAGCCGGCCCTCGTCTACATCCCCCCCCATGCCGAGCTCCGCGGGGGCTCCTGGGTGGTGATTGATCCAACTATCAATCCTCTTCACATGGAGCTGTATGCAGACAAAGAGAGCAGGTGGGTGCTGAGGGAGGCGCTCTTCCGTTAGACAGTCTTGTCGTCAGAACATCAGAAGAGCCCTGCTGCTGGATCAGGCCAAGGGCCCATCCAGGCCAGCATCCTGTTCTCACAGGGGCCAACCAGAGGCCCCGAGTGAAAGAGCCCTCTCCCCCAGGACAGCTTCAAGAAACTGGCATTCAGAAGCTTCTTCCAGCCATGGAGGCATATAATAGCCATCGTGGCAAGTAGCCACTGACAGCCCTCTCCTCTGTGAATTTGTCCAGCCCTCTTTTAAAGCCATCCAAGTTGGTGGCCATCACTGCCTCCTGTGGCAGGGAGTTCCATAGTCTAATTATGTGCTGTGTGATGCAGCCATGCTTCTGAATGCCAATTGCTGGAAACTGCAAGAGGGGAGGGTTGCTCTTGTGCTCCGATCCTGCTTGCGGGTTTCCCGTATTGGGCATCTGGTTGGCCCCTGTGAGAACAGCATGCTGGATTGGACGAGCTGTCTTTGGCCTGAACCAGCAGACTCTTCTTGGGTTCTTATGTTCTTAACATCTGGAGCCCCCCCCCCAAAGGGCCCAGTCTCTGATCCAAAGTGATCCTGTCCATGGAGCCTGGCTGAACATCTCCACCAGCGTGTACTTAAAAGCCGCAAGGCTGTCTGGCTGGAAAGAGTGCAAGAGCCCTAATTTGGGCAGCTCCTATAAGCCTCTGGTCTCTGTTTCTGCAAGATGGCTTTGCTTTCCAGGGGGGGCATCTTAGAAGCTGAAGGCACCGTGGAAATCAAATTCCGGAGGAAGGAGCTGCTGAAGACCATGAGGAGGATTGATGCCACGTATGCCAGGATTGCTGAGCAGCTGGGTAAGAAAAGAGAGAAGGGCTGTGGGGCTGTTTCCTGCCTCCCTACCCCCCCCACCTTCCCCTTAAAGCTTGGCCTTGGAATAAGGTTTCTACCCATTTTCAAAGGCCGTATTTGATCCAGGGTGGGGAGGTGGGGGAGAGCAAATATTCTTGATGTGCTCTTTTTGGCATGTTTTGCTAGAGCAGACTGCGCCACCATGGCGCCCTCCATCGGCCCCATCCAGCACAGCTGCAGGATGACAGAACCATGGCCCTGCTGGCTGGGCTTGAAGGAAGATGCCGTCCCAAACATCTGGAGGGCACCAGGTTGGCAAAGGCTCCTCTGGTGAACCTGGAAGTCAGAAGAGAGGAAGCTGCTTTCTGCAGAGTCCGACTAGCGGTCTCTCGAGCTCGGCATTATCCACACCAGTTCTTTGGGGTTTCAGGCAGGGAGTCCTTTCCAAGACTCCCCCGGACACCCCAGGGGAGATAGCGCCTGGGACCTTCTGCTTGCAAGGCAGATGCCCTGACCACTGAACTCTATAGTCCTTCCCTGCACAGACTTCTTCCTCCCTGGCATTTTCCTCCCTGCTACGGATCAGCCGCTTTTTCTGGTGTCTACAGATTTTGTCTTCTCCTACAAAGACTTCTTGTATTCTTTGATTAACAGGTTCCCTGAGGCTCTCTGCAGAGAAGCACAAGGAGCTGGAGAAGCAGCTGAAGGCCCGTGAGGATTACCTCCTCCCCATCTTCCACCAGGTGGCAGTGCAGTTTGCTGACCTCCACGACACGCCAGGGAGGATGCAGGAGAAAGGAGTCGTTACAGTTAAGCCATGGGTTTTTTTCTTCTCGCTCCCAAATTCTCTGTTCTTCCAGCCTCTGGAGTCTGATCATCCCTCATGCCTGAGAAGGTGTAGGAACTGTTTTTCATTTCATTCAAGTTGGAAAAACAAGGACTGGAATCCTTGTTCCACTAATGCTTGCTGCATCTCCTTTGTGCTCCATCTCACGCTAACCTCTCTCACAGGGTTGTCATGAAGATAAAATGCAGGGAAGGGTCTTTGTCTGCTGGGCAGAGTGTCTTGGAGAAAGCGTGGAATGAAAATATAACCATACGCTTGTGGGCTCATGAACCTGCTCAGCTTCTGAGTCATACTTGCCCAACCTGCTGCCCCCCAGATGTGTTTGCCTCCCACTCTCATTGTTGGCCCCAGACTTGCTAAGACCTCCTGTCTTGTCACAGCAGAGTTGATGGAGAGCATCATTCAGGCTGCCTAAGGGGGGTTAAGTATGTCTACAACACTGGATAATGTGAATATCCTGATAAGCTTCCTCCGGCCAGTGCAATAATTTATTAATATTCCCATAAAAAAATTAACTAGCAATGACCTTATTTGCTCCCTTTTAGGACATTCTCCAGTGGAAAAATGCCCGGGCGTTCTTCTACTGGCGTTTGCGGCGCCTCCTGCTGGAGGAAGTCGTGAAGGCAGAGATCCTAGAGGCTCACAGCGAGTTAAGCAACAGCCACATCCAGTCCATGCTGCGACGATGGTTCCTGGAAACGGAGGGTGCCGTGAAGGTGCTTGGCTTGGCTCTGTTGCAAGGATGGGGTAGCCTCTGTTCCCTCCACAGAGGTTGGACTCCAGCCCAAGCCAGCGTACTCTGGGGGTGCAGGGTGTTCTCCCTCTTTCCACCTCAGCTGCTGGCCGCACAGCGCCTCCAAGGGTTTGGAGATACACCGTTTGTATGTGTCCATGGAGCCCTTGCAGCCAAACCCCTGTGTGCAATCTACCTGTAGATATAAGACGCCTTAATAATACAAAGCATGGGTAAAATTGTGGCGTTTTCAGAGTGGAAGGCAAGTTTACAGAGAGAAGGGGGCTTAAAGCCTGTGCATTTCATCCTATTCTCACCTCTGGTTAAATGGGTTTGGCAAGCTTTTGTGTGATTTTCAAAAACCTTCAAGGCCTGCTTGGTTGGAAGTGAGGGTGAGGGGTGCATACTGCGTGAAGGACCCATACCCCACTCTGACCTCTCTTCAAAGTCAGTCTGAGTTTCCATTCCTCCTCCTCTAGGGCTACCTCTGGGACAACAACCAAGTGGTGGTGGAATGGCTTGAGAAGCACCTGCAAGAGGAAGACGGGGCCAAGTCTGCCATCCAGGAGAACATCAAGTACCTGAAGAGGGATTATGCCCTCAAGCACATCCGAAAGTGAGTGTAAAGCGAGACAGCAGGGGGGCTGCTTGAGGAAGCTCAGCTTGTTTGCTGCAGGGGCTGCATCTCGGCTATTTCTGGGTTGGAAAGAGTTGCATAGCAGGGATCTGGAGGGATGACCGTCCAGTGCTTGGTGCCTGATTCACACTGCAATCGCCATTGCAAGTTGAAAGTGCAGCATGGGGCTTCTGAATGCCAGTGGCTAGAAGCCACGAGGGGGGGGGGAGTACTCTTGTGCTTGGGTCCCGCTTGTGGGTTTCCCTTAATGGGCATCTGGCCAGCCGCTGTGAGAGCAGGATGCTGGGCTGGGTGGCCTCCCATGGGCCTGATTCAGCAGCCTGCATTCTTAAATGACCCCCTTCCTTCTCCCTCATAACACGCCCCTTTGCAGCTTAGTTCAAGCAAACCCTGAAGTTGCCATGGACTGCATCATTCACATGACCCAACACATCACTCGTGCTCAGAGGGCCCAGATCTCTCACCTCCTGGCAACAATGGACAACCCTTCCTCCTCGTGACTAGGGCATTGCTGCAGCAGGAACAGGCACACGCCCACCATCGGCCTCCTTCAGACCTGACAGCCTCGTGGCCAAGCGGCGCAGCACAGAATGCATCTTCAGCGCAGGGCTCAACCAGCAGTTCCTAGAGCACAGCCACGTGGCAGGCGCAGTGGAACGGGCCTTTGGAGGACAGCTGTCTCTCGTGCACCTGAGGACAAAATTATCCCCAGCTGTTTGGCTGGCTATCAACCGAAGGTCATCTGCAAGTGTATGTTACCCAGCTACTGGTGTCCAAGACAAGTCTCGCCAGGTGTTTTCACATCAAAATGTATTGTCTTTATAAAATAACAGTACCAGTTTTCAGTGACTTTAAAAAAAAAAAATCTCTGTGATAGAATTGTGCATTGGGGAACAATGCCAGTAACCACTTCCAAACCAGTCTCCAAGGCCTTGGCAAAATGTTGTGTCACACAGACTGCACTGCAGCCACGCTGCACCACAGAACACATTGCAGAAATTCCTACAAAAAATGTTGCTGCTTCTTGGTTGTAGATGACATTTTTAGCCCCATTTGCCTGCTGTAGGAAGTTTTGTCAATTTTCCTAATGAAAGGGATTATTCCATCTCCCTCCATCATCCTTCCCAACTGCATCCCTCGAGCGCAAGGCAATTCTGCCAAGGTCTGCCCACCTCAAAAGCAAAGCAGCATCTCCACCTTTGGTTGGAAACATTTGCGCATTTCCTGGCGGTGCCTAAGGCTGTGCCCCCATCGCCAACCTAGTGGTTCCATCAAAGGTTGGCCTAATGGGATTAAGCGGACGCCATGGCCGTTGGAGGCACTGGGTAGGTTGTTGGAATAGGCTGCAACCTGGGAATTCACAGTGCATTTCAAAGGTGTAAGCACCTGGCAGGTGGAATGTATTGTAATCTGCATAATGTTGAGCATTGTAAGCCCCCCCCCCAAGAAAACTTATATAAGTGTGTAAAGGGCAAAGGTGGCAACCGAAGGGAAGTTTATGTTGCTAATCCTATCCACTGTTGAGTGTTGCATATCCTGACAGTCGCACTAACGTTCCAGTGTCCAAACCAGGCTGCCATGGACTATTCAAGCCCAGGTGGGTGTTGAGGAACATGTTGTGTTGAGTTCAGTAACAGGTGGGAGTTTTTTCTAAAAGAAAAAGAGAGTTCTGGTTTCCTCCTTCAAGGAAGGAAGCACCAAGTTCAAAAAAGTTGCTCTTTCTCCTAGCAAATATATTAATTTATGTGCACATTGTCATGGGGGGGGGGTCCTCTACTGTTCAAGCGTCTAATAAAAACATCAATGTTTACTAGAAATGATCCTCTCTGGATTTTATTTACAGATGCCACATGCATTTTGTCTGTTACCATGTCAGAGACTCACAAAATAGGTCTTTTTAATTCTCTGAGCATTTTCAACTAGATTTGTTTTTGGCCATAAAGCTATTTCCTCTCTATTGCTCTTGTTCTGAATTGCAATCTTGATTTATTTTTGGACATAGTCTCTTCCATTACTGCCTCTAGCATTAATCCTTTATTGTGAATTTTTTTAAAAAAATCATAAGGCCAACAGTAGTAAATTATTGGATGGCAAGTCATGTCATGTAAGCAGAACTGACATTACATTTTCCAAGGGAGGTTTCCTTAATAAAAATTCTGTTAGTGGTCACTTTTCTGGTTTTCATAGAACCATAGAATCACAGAGTTGGACGGGATCCCAAGGGTCCTCTAGTCCAGCCCCCTGCAGTGCAGGAGTAACAGCTAAAGCACCCCGCAGATGGCCCCCCAACCACTGTTTAGAAAGAGTCTACCACCTTTTGAGAAAGTTCTTCCTAATGCTTAATGAGAATCTCTTTTTATTTTTTTGTAATTTGGATCCATTGGTTTTAGGTTAACTTACATTCCCAAACCTTTCTAAGATTGCATGTGTTTGGGCAGGGGCTGCAGGATTGCTATTGATGCCATGCTGTCCTTTTTCACTAGTGAAGACATTTGTGGGACCTTTCTGTGAAAGAGGTTGCTGATAGGCAGCCGGTAGGCTCAGCCACACTTCCGCCGGGGAAACTTGCTCTTTACTGCTGAATGGGAGCAAACGTTTGTTGGGTTTTCCACAGGTAGACGTTTGCTCCCATTCAACACTAAAGAGCAGGTTTCCCTGGGGGAAGCGCTGGGACAAGTGGACATGTGGGCGAGCCCTGGGTCTGCTGCGTCATATGAAGGCTTGACCAAAAAGACACCCAGGAACCTGAGAATTAATAGCAACTCCTGCTTTTGTTTTATATGATTCTGGACTTGGTGAGGATTTACATCTGAGTAAAAATATCCATATGCTTGAGTTATCCCAAGCTGAAAAACCAACCCAGTCCAGAACATCACTTCTGCTGCCCTGAAAACAACAGACTCGCCATGCAAAACAGTGTGAGGAACCTCCAGCCCACGGGCGACTGATTCTTCCAAAACTACACCCAGCTTTTCATCAGCTGATGGACAGCGGTAGGGTTCAATTCTTTATTGGCATGTGATTTCAACACAGTAAGACTGAGCAGGGGGTCAAATCCTGCTCTGACTCCTGCAGAGAGGAGGACTGAGCTGTCTGCTCATCAGCTGATGACAAGGGAGTTCAGTTCTCCTCAGGGTTGCTTTGCAGTCACCTGATGTCATTATGACGCCAGAAAATTGACGTGTGTGGTCTCACCTGCCTGTCACAGTTGGCCCCTGGGGGTGGGGGGAGATAAGCGTCTGGCCTGCTGAACCAAAAATATTGCCCCCCCCTCGCTGTAAACAATAGCAGATTTGCATTACTTCTGGCAAAAGAGAGCTCCAGTGGCAGCCCAGGCGTATGATGGGGCTCAACTCTCCTGGCCATCTCTTTCTGCAGGGCTGCTACCCTGACACCTGCCTTGATCAACGTTCTCAGACTTGTGGTTGTGTAAACAAGCCCAAGAGAAAGGAACTTTCCCATTCAATATTTCCACAGTCTATAAAGAAGAGCAAATATTTTGTTCCAGATCTGAAAAAGACTTTATAAAAATTCTATCCAACCAGTGTTTAGTAAAACATTATTATAAATATAAATATTACATCAAGGTTATACTGGCATCAGCAGACTAAACGTTAAATTGTAAGTTTTCAAATTTTAAAACCAGTTTCCAGTTTTTCCTCCTCCTGTTGGTGGACCTATTCATTTATTTACCTTGTGACCTAATGCTGCAGCCCTGGAAACACTCATCTGGGAGAGTAAGCCCCACTGAAGAGGGTGGGGTGCACTTCAAAGAAAAGATCCACAGGAATGAATTGCAAAAAAAGAGCCACAGTCCTTTTTCAGCTGTAGAAAAGCGCTATTGGTTAAACATAAAAAACAGTATTGGGTCTGGCCCATGTGCCATTTTATCTCTTAAGTATCTAAAGTACTTCTTTTAAAGTTCAGGTAAAAAAAGGGAAAGCACCTGACATAAAAGTTTTGCAGTATTTTGCTGTGCTTCTGAATAATTTAAGGTTTGTGTTTTGTTTTCCTGTCACTACAACATTTAAAAAAAAATTGATGCTGAATACATAATTCCTTTTTGTTTTCATAAAAATAAATTATAAATAAAATTTACAACAGTAATACTGCCTAGTACAATAATTAGGAAATACTATACACAAGTCTAGAATATAAATCCTAAATTATTTCTCCTTTGTTTTAAAAGCCTAAGGTAATGTTTTATCCAGTGTAAAGATCCTTATTTAGTACAGCCTTTGTCAAGCCGACGCTCCCCAGCTGTTTTTGGCCATGGGTCCCATCCATCCTGGCTCACACAGATGTGCAGGTGGGGCCGAGGCTGGAGGGCACAGATTGGTGAGGGCTGAGCTGAGACTTTCTCTACCAGGGAACACGAGCCATCCTCCTCCCTCGAGAGGCAGAGCCTTCCTGGCACCTCGGAAGACTCTGCTGCCCATGGCCTGGACTAGACTGAGACCATCTGGCAGCTGCTCAGGGGCTTCCCAGAAGGGATGGCTGAAGACTGGGCAGAGGGTGGATGCTGGAGGGAAGGGAAGGGAGAGCCAAAGGAAGGGTCCAAAGCGAGAAATAGGAGCCTGCAGGGAGGGAGAGTAGCTGGATCATAGAATAGAATCATAGAATCATAGAGTTGGAAGAGACCACAAGGGCCATCGAGTCCAATCCCCTGCCAAGCAGGAAACACCATCAGAGCACTCCTGACATATGGTGTGGCTTGAGATGGACAGAGGGGAGGGGAGATTCACCCCCTTTTGCCTGAAGAGAAAAGAGGCTGGTCAAGAGGCAGGGGGATCACTAATGGAAGTGAAGCCTCTGGGAACTGGGGAAGAAGGTCTGGGGAAGAACCACCAGCAGGCCCCAGAGTGGAGCTGGGGGCACACAGTTGCAACTAGTGATAGAAAGCTCAGCCAGTTGCGGCTTGGACTGTCACAAATGACAGAGCAACCCTAATGGGCTTCAGAACAGCCCAAGCATCAGCGGGTTGGGGGGGGGGGGCTTTGCTGAAATTTTGCAGCTTGCCTTGGAGCACACCAGGATCCCTTCACATCAGTTAGTGTCTTCAAGACTATGCATCTCACCAAAATCTCTTGCTTGGGATGCTTGAAGGAGCAGCAAGGCATGTTCTCCTCCCCAATTTAGATAATTTTGCAGGCTCAAAGCACCCCCAGAAGGAACTGGGCTTCTCTGTTTCTCAGTCAGGCTCAAGGGACGGGAATGGCTCTTTCAGAGAAGGGCGATAGGCTTGTTTCCTTGGGTGCTGATGTACTGAGTGGCAGAGATGGGGTCCAGCGTTGTGTATGTTGTGTAGAGGCCTGTCACTTGCAAGTCTGAAAAGGAGGGGTGGTCAGTGTTGTTGCTGGAGGCAGGGGTGAGGCCAGCGGGGGCCAGGTCGCAGTCAGAGAGGGCCAGAGAAGAGTTGCTGAAAGCACCCAGGCTCTCCAAGTTGAAGCTCTCGTCTTTCATCTCTTCCCAGATGTTACCTTTTCATAATAGGGACAACAACAGAGCAGTGAACATTGGTGACAGTTCAGCTTTGAGAAGGTGGAAGTTGCAAGAGAGGAGGATTGCAAAATGCACCAGTTGTCCACAATCACATTGGCTCTAGTGAGAAGAGGCCCATCTTCCTCCGTGATGAAACCAGCCAGCGGTCCTAAGGAAGCCCATGAGCGATCCCCATCTCAAACCTCATGAGGACCTATCTAGATCCCCACTTGGACCAGTATCAACCCCTCCACAGCTGAGTTCAAATCCCACATTAGAGAACGATAGAGTTGGAAGGGACCCCAAGGCTCAACTAGTCCAACCCTCTGCAAGGCAGGAATCACAGCTGGAGAATCCCTGCCATCCAGCAGTCATCTCCACCCCCCAACTCTTCCCCTTACCTTGTAGTGCAAAGTCCATGATGCTGGGATCCAGGGCATCCACCTCTGCGTTCATGTCGGTCATCACGCTGAGGAAATCTGGGGCACGGCTCATCGGATGCTGAGGAAGGGGACTCTGGCTAAGACCGTGCAGCGGGTGCAAGGGAGGGGTCTGCGCAGGAGCAGGCGAATCTGGAGTCATGCACGCTTGCGTCTGGATCTGGTGGTGCAGCGGGAGGGACTGCAGGGCGAGTGTCATGACCGGCTGGGGCTGCAACTGTGAGATGCGCCCTGCGGCTGCCGCCATGTGGCTCCGCGTGGAACCGTCCCCCTCAGACTGCTTGCTCACCCGCCTGCAGCTCTCGGGTCGGTCTGTGATGAGCTTGTCCAGCTCCTCTGCAAGGGGAGATTGCCATTGATGCGTGGGGAGTAAAGTCCCTCAGAAGGGGCCCACAGCTCAAGAAAATATAGAAATTATATCCTTTCACAGCACTAAGGCCACATTCACGCAATACACTTAAAGCGCTGAAAGGCAGCATATAAATAGATACCAACATAGCATAAAATTGGGAGCCCTGTGCATGGCCTCAAGTGCCTGGGAGGAAAAGCAGACATAAGCTTTAAAAAAATTAAGAGACCAGCTAAACGAGCTGCTATCTGTGTGGAGGGAGCAGCCTCCATGCCCATGGGCATCACCCTCCGCGCATCTCCTCCCCTGCAGGGGTGCGGCAGCCACATCCGGTGATTTTGCCATTTCTCTCTGCCAGAGAACTATTGGCAGGCAGGGCCCCCAAGAGCCTCCTAGCCAGGTGCCGGCCTGCTGCTCACCTGGGTTGGCCATGCTCCGGAGAATGGCTGCCAGGTCTTTCCTCTTCCACTTCTGCATCTCCTCTTCCATCTTGTCTATCTTGGCGGGGTTGAGGGCCCACAGGCAGCCTTTGCGGGACGTGCCACTCATCTTATTCTCCACCTTCTCAAAGCATTTGTTGAGGGACAGGTTGTGGCGGACAGAGTTCTTCCACCCATCGGGCGCTGTCTGCAAAAGGGAGCAAGGCCACTTCCTCAGGTCATTTAAGAAGAAAAAAAGCCCTGTGTCCAGGGGTGGGATTGTGCCCTTCAAAGGCAAAGCACCAGCGAGCACTTCCATGAGGCAACATCATTGCTATGGGACCCAAATGGGTCCTACGTGAACAAAGGTTGCAGCAAGGACCTTTTAGTTTAGAGAAAAGGTGAGTAAGAATGATAGAAGTTTATAAAATTATGCATGGTGTTGAGAAAGCTGACAGAGAAAAAGTTTTCTCCCCCTCTCATAGGACTAGAATTCATGGACACCCTATGAAGTTAAATACTGGGAGACTGAAGACAGATCAAATAAAGGACTTTATCATGGAGACAGTTAGACTGTGGAACTCCCTCCCACAGGAGGCAGTGATAGTGACCAACTTGGATGCTTTACAAGAGGATGGGGCAAATTCAATGACTATCAGCCAGGATGGCTCTGCTCTGCCTCTGCAGTTCTCCATGTCAGCTGCAAGGCAAGCCCTGCCTCCCTCACCTTGAAATAGGGGAAGTGCTCCTTCATGAAGCTGTAGATCTCGCTGACGGGGAGGCTGCCCGTCTTGCTGTTTTTCAGGGCCATGGCAATCAAGCAGCTGCAAGGAAGAGGAGAAGTCAGAGTTTCCTCCCCGCCTTCCTGTTCTTGTTGCCGCTTCCATTTATATTCCACCTTCTAATGCAAGGAGCAAAAAGGTTGGAGTACATGGTTCTCTCCTCTTCACTTTAACCTCACAACCACCTAGTGAGGGAGGCTTACACTGAGAGACAGCGAGTGGCTCCAAGGTCACCCAGTGAGCTTCATGGCTGAGGGGGGAAACTTGAACCTTGGCCTCCCAGGCCTTAGCCCAGCACTCTTGTTCTGGTGGTGCAGAACGTGTCCCCCCCCCCTTTTTGCAGACCGTTCCTCGGAGTAATCTCTCCCCATTTCAGTAACTCCAGGTTACTGGAGCACAGTAAGCCCCTCCCACAAGTCATCCCTTCTGCATTTACATTTACAGGACTTAGGTCCAGTTAAGGATTGTTAGGTCCAGTTAAGGATTGTTTTGCAATTTTTTCACAGCGTAAAGTTCTTTTCTCATTTATGATGGCGAAGTGAGAATGACAGAGGATGTTTACTGTGGGATCGGTGCTGTTTGCGGATGCTGCAGTTCTGCAACACCCACACAACCCGGCTGGCATCAGCATGTGGGGCTTGTTTGTTGGTTTGTTTTTCTTTAGCTGGATTGATCCTTAGTGGGGAAAATCCAACAAGAGAAAGAGGAAAAAGAAACTCTGTCACTAATTACAGTACAGTTGCACCTTACATTAATTTAACTGGTGCAGTTTCAACCTTGCGCAGTTAAAGGCTGGCCTGTTGGGACTATGCAAATTAAAGACACATGAGGTTTAAGTGTGTTCATTCCCAAATTAAGCCCCACACCTGGAAGCCCTTCGGAACAGCAACTCACTTCAGCTGCAGTTGCTGAGTTTGGGGCAGAGACTTCTCTGGGGATAAGACGGGCAGGTGTGCCTGGGCAAAGTGTGGTACTTCTCACCTGTAGGAGTAGATAGGCTTGGGGTAAGGCTTCGCCTGCTGTTCCTGGGTGCTGTGAGGAGCCAGGCGGGGGGGCTGTGAGTATTGAGGCTGTGTCCCATAAGAGGTGCTGTAGATGGTCGTTGGAGGGCACTGGGTGGGGAAGAGGGGAGGGGGGAGAAAGGGGGGAAAGTTTCAGCTCTCTCAGCAGTTAAATAGAGACTTTAAAGACCTTTTCCTTCATCATAAGGGGTGGGGAGAGGAGGATACCAAGACACAGATATAACTTATAACATTACATGTTAGCCTGGACTGAGAGGTGACATGATAGCCAAAATTCTGGATTTATATTTGGATTTAAATCTAGACCTCCTTCTCCAAAGCCAAATCTTTAGATTAAATCTCTGGATTTAAACCTGGGCCTCTTGCTCCAAAATCAAGGCCTGAACCCCACTTTCGTTCGACCCATATTTTGACCATATTGTGTACAAATTGCTCTCCTGGGTCCGAGGGCTTTTCTCATTGTTCTGCTGCTGTGCCTTGTGAAAATCAAATCTTACCCACTGAATCTGAATTTATCAGATGTGCTGGAAATCCAAAGAGAGATTGAGCTTGAGCGAGCTTCAGTTCAGTGGGTAAGACTGAATTTTCGCAAGGCACAGCAGCCAAACGACGAGAAATGCCCTCAGACCCAGGGGAAATAATCAGGACACAATATGATCAAAATACGGGTCAAGTGAAAGTGTGGATGAGCCCTACCTCTGCATTAAATTGGGATTAAATCTCTGGATTGCAATCTGAGCCTCTTGCTCTGAATCCAAACACACGCTGCTTCCTCTACCACCCCCCACCGTGGCCCCTGCCATGCTTTCAAATAAAGGCAAATAAACCCACAGCAGCTCAGCTTGGGTCTCTTGCCCTTGACTTGGCTGCGCTTCTTTGTTAAAGTTGTTTTACGTCCCCTTAAAGCTCTGTGCCTCAACATACACAGCCTCGGGAGCAGGAGATGGTACCTGTTGCGCGTGTTGAGCGATGGTGAACACCTGCTGGACATGGCGGGGCAGAGGAGGGAAGAGGGGGGCTGCCTGCGCTTGCAGACTGGGAGACAGCTGCCCCCCAACCACATACTGGCTTATCTGCTGCCAAAGGAAAGAGAAGAGGAACGTCAGTTGAACCAGGTCAGAAACGCCTCCTTGGCCAGGAATGGGGAGGGAAAGGAAGTGCTTACGTTGGCACCGTGAGATGAAACGGCGTTCAGTCCTCCCAGAATGCCTTGAGGCAGGCTGGACTGGATGTGGATCATTGCTCCAGGAGTCCCTGCAGTGGCGTGCAGATTCCCTGGCATAGACCCTGCTGGGCAACGGGAGAGACATGGGGCGTTGTGAGTCTTCCAGTGTGTGTGCAGACAAAACCACGCCACTCGCACGCACAAGAGAAGGGCCAGCACATGTCCGTTTAGCACCCGAGGCACGCACAGAGGCCAAAACAAATGAATAAATCTTCAGGGCGGTAGAAATAAGGAGGGGAAAACACTCCCCACCCCACCCCCTGAAAGGGCTCCCATAGCAGTTGATGGAGCAACTCAACATCCCCGCAAGAGACCTACCTGTCTGCTGCAGCACAGCATTCTGGGAGCTGAGTCCAAAGTCCATCCTTTCGCTGGCCATTTGTTGCAGCCGAGGGACGTCCACGGAAGTCAGCCAGGACAGGGACTGTAAGTCACCGGGGAGGTCGTCTTCACCCAGTTGTGAAGGGTCAGAAGCCAAGAGTCTACAGAGCGGGGAAACAAGACGCTCAGGCGAGAGACTTAGGATGGGCTTTTCCCCAATAGTCTTGAGGTTGGACACAAATCCCTGTTGAGTATCAGCCACTGCAACCCCAATTCACACAGCATGGGCCCAAGCCCATGACTGGGAATCTGAGAAACTGTTGTGGACACCACAAAGCACCCTAATTTTATGAAATAAATAAATAAATAAATAAATAAATAAATAAATAATAAAGTAAGTTTAGAACGCTTTAACCTGTACTTATTCTATTTCTAACTTTCTGAAAGTGTTTAATTATTGTTGCTAATTCTTATTACTGATCAGTTCATTGTTTTATCTTTATTGCAAACCGCTTTGAGGTTGTTGTTTTAACAATCAAGTGGTGTGTACTTAAAAAAATAAAATAAAATAATTCTCAGATAAGAGGCTGGCAATGGTCAGAACCCCCCCTCCCCCCCCCGACAACAGGCAAAAGCATCCAGAAGTTATAACCATCTGGAGTGGGGTGGGGAATCACAATTAAAACACAGGTAACAAAGAAAATAAAAAACAGGCAACCTCTCCCAATACCAAATAAATAAAAAATCCATTTTAAAAAAAGTAAAAAGAAAATATTGAGAGAAGCAAAGGGTCTGGGTGGGCATGAAGGGGGCTCATGGTGCCCACGGGCACCACATTGGGGACCCTGGTCATACAGTGTTCAATATTATTTCACTCCCAAGTACATTAATGAAAGTAAAAATCCCATTTCACCTGGGTGCACAAAAGTACTGAAACCTAGAACCACAGTGTTCATTTGCCACACTTGGCTTATTGCAGACTGAGCGTCAAAAATTTTCCTGTTATCTAAAATAAGATTATAGATGCTTTTTCTGATAGACATATGCATCATTGGCTGAAGGCACTGAGCTTACGCCCTAAAATAAATCTGGCATTTGCACTTGCTCCCTTTGCAATTTTCAAGAGTTTAATAATACAACTGTTGCAGCCAAGTTAATTCACAGAGCTTTGTGCTCACATTTCTCAAAAGTGTTTTGCCGTTTTCCTCTGCCAACCTCAAAGCAAAACTTAGCTCGTTTTTCTCTTTTTAAGGCCAAGGGTGATTGCAGGAAGCAAAGGTGACGCCCCTGCTAGGACCCTCCTGGCTCCCCCCACCCCCGCTCTCTTCTTCCTCAGTATTAGTCCTTGCCTGCAAGATGGAATAACCGGCCTTGCCAGGCAGGGCTTGTGGAGTTCTGGGCCTGGGAAAGAGCATCAGGTGGTCCCCCCTTCCTCCTCCGCCATTGGCCAGGCTGTGAGTAAACAGGAGCATCAAATGGTTTAAAAACTGTGGAAGGTCCCTGTCGTTTGCAACAGTTGGCCCTGGGCATTGTAAGGCGAGGAGGCATTGTGCTCCAGCGACTGTTGGCTGGGGGGGGGGCACACGTGGCTGCCTTTTGTTTTTGGGATTCTTGCTTAATTGTTTTCTCCCCCTTTTTACAAACTTCCCATTAATCTGGCTGAATGACAGCAGACACACAACCCCGTGCCATCTGGCACTCCGGGGCCCCTGGCAACCCTCAGCCCCCCCCCCAACAAATAAATGGGGTCAGGTGGGCGGGGAGGGTCAAGACCCACTGCACACGCCTCCTGTCAGCGAGCGCATGGCCCGCCCCCTGCAGCACATGGCTGGGTGGGAGCACCATCTCCTTCTCCAGCTGATCTTCCCTGGAGAACAAGCTGCTTTCTATGGCAGATCTAAGGGATCCCTGTTCATTCTTTTCCCTAATAAACACTTCCTCATAAATCCGCCTTGTGTGGAGGAGAAGGGAAGGCGCCTGCCCCTTTTCTGTACCAAAGGGCACCATCTTTGCACAACTAGCCTACAGGGTAGACCTCCCACCCCTTTCCTGGGTCCCCACTCTGTATGGAGACGGGTTGGCACAGAGTTAGAGGGAAATATAGCTTTGAGAACACTCACTCAAAACCCTTTTAAACTTCTTGAACTGAATGTTATGAACCACCAACCAAGGCTAAAGCCAGCTACCCCTGGCTAGACAGTCTAGAATCATAGAACTGTAGAGCTGGAAGGGATGCCAAGGGCCATCTAGTCCAACTCCCTGCAATGCAGGACCTGCAAGATGGTTGTGTAAATCTCTGTTATGTAAAAGGGGCTGAAGGGAAAACAATGGCACAGGAATAAAGCCTGCATTTCTAGCCACTGGATGTTTTGGATTTAGGTGGCTTTTCCATCTGAAACAGGTTCTGCACACCGTGAAAAACAAGCAGGGTGGCTCCGTCTGCCAACTGCTCTCCCCTCAACTGATTGCTCACAAGAGCGCAGTCGCCAAGCACTCACTCCAGGCACTTGGTTCTGTGAGGGCCCCCCCCCCCAACTCTGCCTAATACCAGCTCAGGCCAGTGGTCCATCGCGCTTTTTTTTGTCAGCCTGGGCACATGAACTGTCTAGTGTGGGCGTGCACAGCCACAGATGGGCATCCTTCCCTGGAGGGTTTTAAGCAGAGGTTGGGAGGCCTCCTGTCCTGGATGCTGCAGCTGAGGTCCCTGCACTGCAGGGGGTTGGACTAGAGGACCCTCGGAGGTCCCTCCCAGCTCTACCATTCTCTGATTCCATGATGAGCTCTGCAGGCAGGGCTTCAGGTGGGTGTTTTCCCCAGCCCTGGCATAAAAGACCACCAGTTGAACCCAGACTTCCCTCATTGTGTTTGATTTGTTGTCCTTTCAAAAGGCAGAGTAAAAATGCCACATGGAGCAATGCTCAGATAATTTTTCTCCCCCACTGCCACCCCCATAACTCCCATTCCTGTGGCTGTTTTCATCTTAATCCACCAGTGACTCCAGAAGACAGAGGAAGCAGCTGCACGGGCACCCCCTGCCCCCCATGCTGCTGGACTACAGCACCCATCAGCCCCTGCAGTCAGCCCAGCCAAGTGGCCAGGGATGCTGGGAGATGTAGTCTTAACAATGCATGGAGAGCCAAAACAGGTTCCTTCCCCCTGAGGAGGGGACTATAGATGTCTCCTCCAAGGCAAGCACACAAACAGTAAATCCCACTCCATGGGGTGCTAATCACCCTTTGCAATGACATATTTCTTCACGGAGAGCAGGTTCCCTGGCACTCCACAGCTGGAGCAGAAACCAGAAGAAGCAGGCTTTATTCCTTCCTCTCACTTTATTCCTGATGGAGCCACAGAGCAAAACCATCCTGGATCCCAGCAAAGCCGGCCAGAGGGGGGCGTATTGGGGGCTGGGGGTCCTCCACACTTCCCTTTGCTCTGCATTTCTGGGCACAGGTCCGGGATTTCATGTCCAAGCACTTTTTTTCTGGCACTTTCCCCGCAAAAGCCTGCTCTTTACTGCTGAAAACAATTCTGCAGAAAACCAAAACTGAAGTTTGATCTGATTCAGTGGTAAAGATCGGGTTTTCCTAGGGAAAGCAGTGGGGCAAAAAAGAAAAAAAAGGGCAAGCTTTAGAAGTGCTTGGGCACAGAGCAGAAAAGCCCAGGCAGGACAAAGGGGCCTGTGGAGGAGTCCTCAGGCGGGAGCCCTATTTACTGAGACACACAAGCGCACGAGTGCGGCAGCCCTGGGTGCCATCTGGGGGCTGCACGTCTAGTGGTTAGAGTGTCAGACTAGCACTCGGGAGGCCGGGGCTAGAGCCCCACTCAGCTATGGAGCCCCCTGGGCTCTGAGCCCAACCTACCTCACAGGGTTGCTGCGGGGATTAAGTGAGGAGGGGGAGAACCATGTGACCATCTTGAGCTCCTGGGGGGGTGGGGAGGTGGGATATAAACACAATTAATTATAAGATGAGATGAGATGTCATCGTGGGCCTGGCCATGCTTGTGTCTGCGCAGCACTCTCCCTTGCCGGACCAGGATCAGGTGTGCGCATTGTAGCACTTGGGACAAAGGCTAGTTCTTAACATTTAAGCATCACAGCATCTATCAAACCAGGCAACAGGGAGCAGTGTCTGCACAAAGGTTTGATGGTCAGAGAACTGAAGGCCTCTCAGATCGGTCTTTCAAAACTGCGACTCTCTTCCTTCGTTCCTTTTCATTCCCCTCCCCGCCCCCTCCTTTAAAATACTGTATTGGAAACCGGGTCTCTTCTAAGTTCCGCAGCCCAATGGAAACATTTCAAGGGAGAGAGTGGAGTGTTCTCAGCACAATCTCAGCCTCCCGCTCACTAATTGGGGGCCAATTCCCATTTTGTGGAGTCTTCATGTGCCCCCCCCCCCATGGAGAACTCGGGGCTGCAGGTTCCAGTCGCGGGCTGCAGTGACAGCAAGAGAGTAAACAGACCTGATAGAATCTGACAGGTCCATTCTCTTCTTAAAATCAGTCAGTCTGAAAGATTTTCTTTTACATAATCCAATGTGCTTTCTCATGAAGTAGAACAAATGCTACCATGCACTTTGGGGTACAATCTAGGGTTTTTTAAATACACTTTTACTGCTTTTAAATGGGGTTGGGCAAATTAGTTTAGAATACATAATAATAAATTACAGCATTATGTTTTACAAACTTTGGGAACTCGGTTTGTACCGGGGAAAAAGTTTCAATAATAGCATGTATGCCTGCTTTTTTTTTAAGGTATTATGTTCAGCATGATCACTTAGAAATAAGTTCCATTTCAGTTTGTGGAAGGCTTGTATCTACAAATGAAAATGATATTTATTTTCCTTCTGTCTTGAATTCAAAATGATCTCACTCACTCAAAAACAATAACGTTATCTGCAAAACCTACTAGAAGGCATATATAGGTTACCTACAAAACCTACTAGAAGGCATATATAGGTTACCTACAACTTTTATTTAGCAATGAAATCCATCCTTTACAAATGCCAGGATATGTCAAGAGTCCACCAGACGAAAGAGCAGCATAAGGTGTTCCATGAACCGTTTCCCCATGGAGCTTCAGAGAATGTTAGCAAGTTGCTTGTTGAGCAATGAAAGGCTAGAGCAGGAATGTTTGCCGTGGGAAAGAGTGTCTGAAAGTAGTAGCTGCCCAAAGCAAAAGGGTAGAAGACCCTCCAGCAGAGAGGGAAGGGGGCTTCTGAGTCGCCCATTCCAAATGCACAAAAGTTGAGGATTAAAAGTGCTTTTGAGTAGGTTACCTGATGGTAGATTAATTGGTAGGAGCTTCATAGGTAAAGCTAAAGGAACCAGTCGCAGACGACACTGGGGTTGCAGCGCTCATCCCGCTCTATAGGCTGAGGGAGCTGGCGTTTGTCCGCAGTCAGCTTCCAGGTCATGTGGCCAGCATGACTAAGCTGCTTCTGGCGAACCAGAGCAGCGCACGGAAACGCCATTTACCTTCCTGCCAGAGCGGTACCTATTTATCTACTTGGACTTTGATGTGCTTTCGAACTGCTAGGTGGGCAGGAGCTGGGACCAAACAACGGGTGCTCACCCCGTCGCGGGGATTCGAACTGCCGACCTTCCGATTGGCAAGCCCTAGGCTCTGTGGTTTAGACCACAGCGCCACCCGCGTCCAGCCAGGAGCTTCATAAAAAGGTAAAGGTACCCCTGCCCGTATGGGCCAGTCTTGACAGACTCTAGGGTTGTGCGCTCATCTCACTCTAGAGGCTGGGAGCCAGCGCTGTCTGCAGACACTTCCGGGTCACGTGGCCAGCGTGACGAAGCTGCTCTGGCGAGCCAGCACCAGCGCAGCACACGGAAACGCCGTTTACCTTCCCGCTATAAAGCGGTACCTATTTATCTACTTGCACTTAAGGGTGCTTTCGAACTGCTAAGTGGGCAGGAGCTGGGCCCGAACGACGGGAGCTCACCCCGCTGTGGGGATTCGAACTGCCGACCATACGATCGGCAAGTCCTAGGCGCTGAGGTTTTACCCACAGCGCCACCCGCGTCCCTTTAAGGAGCTTCATACCACAGTATAAAATGTAACCCAGTTTAACCCAAAATACAGCAAGGCAACAACTGGGGGGCGTGGCTGTTTTTGTTTTTGGTGGTGGTGGTGGGTGTGGGTGTGTGGGTGGGTGTGGGTGAGAGAGAGAGAGAGAGTACATATAGCAGTTATTCTGCCTCCTATCACATGGTAGGATGCAATAACATTTTAGAAAGCTGCAGTGCTTTGTTTTCCTGTAAATAACTTCAGAGGGTGGCAGGAAAGCAGGACACAATAAGAAGTTTCTAAAATTCTGAACTATGTGGAGAGAGAGGAAACCTTTTCCGCCTCTTTTGTGATACTAGAACTTTGGGTCACCCATTCAAGCTTTTAAGCTGCAGTTTTACAGCAGACAAAAATTACAAACACCGCATGTAATTTAACTTAGGGAATTTGGTGTACAGTGGTGGGAAGTTCCACCGGTTACAATGTGGTGATTGGCCACCAACTGATATGGCTGCAAAGGGAAGTCAATAAGTTTCCAGAGAAGGAGTCTCTCAATGCCAACTGGGCATGATAGCTAAGTGGAACCTTGATATTCAGAGGAAAGATCCAAGATGGTAGGCGCAGATTCCCTGAAGGCGAGAATCCAAAGGCATCTGCCCAACTGGCCACGCTGTACTGTACGGTGTACTCATGTGGATGCAAGGCTGATTTCAAGCCTGAGTGCTGTTGGAGCAGGGCCAGATGGAGACCCCGCCTCCCTGCTCAGGGCGCATCTGGACTGAGGGAGACAGGGAGGGAGATTCCTTTCCCCTGGACTATGGCTTGATTCAGCAAGACAATCCTTAGACGCTCAATATTCAAAGCGTACGGATGGCTGGCATTAACTTCCAAACTGCCATAGCTCATGCTGGATAAAGTATGGGGTTTAAACTAAAGAAATACACACACACACACACACACACACACACGAAAAAAGAAATTTTTAAAAAATGGGTTTTATAAACAAGAATAATGTTATACCAATAAGTATACCAAGTTTTCTCATGTCATTTGTATGAACACATGAGTCTTCGGTAAAACAGATGGAGGCCAGAATGTGTCTGTGATTTTGCTACGTGTCAAAGACACCAAATCTCTTATGCACGCAGAACCCGTCATTCATTTCAGTGGAAGGGCTGAACCATGTTTGCACACCAAGGAGTGTACAGATGTTCTACCTGGCATTTATACACCTCCAGAAGCCATTTGACAGAAATCCCCAGTAGCACCTACTAAAATGCTCTGCCAGGTTCCCAAGGGAAGAGATAAATAATTATTAACCCTTAGTTACTGAGCACATCCTAAGATGCAAGAAATTGCCAGGCTGGAGAGCTAATTGGAAAGCAAAGGGCAAATGTGAAATTGATTCGTGTGCACGGGGGCAAATGACACTCAGAGCACCGTTTCACAGGACAGCAGGGAGAAATACAAATTCATTAAGAAAGAAAGAAAATGCTCACCTATATTCTTGTGGAGAAGGGTGGTGGCTTTGCCCTGAATTTCGAATGAGGCCAGACATGACGGAGGTGATATCACTTTCTATCATTTCCTACATGGAAAGAAGGGGAGAGGGACCACATAGGTATGACAGAACTACCCAGTATTTCAACAAATAAAGAACTAGCCTCTTGATTCTTTAAAATGCTATATATGATGACACCCAAATCTTACATATTTTGCTTCAGAAGATGATTTCCTTGGATTTTTTTTTAAAAAAACCTTTGTTGATGCTTAATGAGCAAACACTAGTATATAATGAGGGGAAAATCCGCCATTGTCAAGTGGATAAATTTGGGATAAACAACATTTTGCAGTCTTATGTGCAAGTCCAAATTCAGTAAGACTTACACAGGACCGACTTTCCAGGCATTTCTGCTGTGAGTGTCCTCATCATATGTATCTAGAGAGAGAGCAGCCTGACCTTACACATTTACAGTACTCAGAAATGCAACCCACTGGACTCAAGGTGGACTTAGCCGTATTTTCAAAAGTACAACCCATTGAAGTGAAATAATTGCTCAAAAGAAAACAAATAAAGAAAGAAACCCGCTGATTGCAGAAGTGGGTGAAAATAAACGAAGTCATAGCAACTGACAAGTTTGGGGGGCAATAATCACTCCAGCATCTTTTATCCCACTACCACTTTGTTTTCACGGGGAGGAAGGCGAAGCTGGTCCCAGACCCCCTTATGCCCCCCCGGGTCCCGGGCTCCCCCCCGCGGGATCTCTTCGGGGGTCCTGCAGAAGAGGCGCCCCCGGGCGGGGCGGGGGGAGGCAGGTACCTGCACCACGATGGCGGCGGCGGCTGCCCGGGCGCCCGGCTGCTCCCTTGGCCCGGCGGGCTGCGCTCTCCTCGCTTCCTCCTCGCTCGCCAAACCGTTTTTAAATTTCCCTCTCGGGGAGCTGTCCAGCCTGGAGCATGCGCAGAAGGGGCGGGCCGGCCGGCCGGCGGGGGGGGGGCAGCGGCGGCGCCCTCCTCTCCCTCTCTCCCTCCTCTCTCTCTCTCTCTCTCTCTCTCCCTCTCCCTCTCTCTCTCTCTCTCTCTCTCCCCCCAACCAAGCCCGGAGGCAGCGCGCGGAGCCGGGTCTCGGCCGCGAGGAGCTCCCAGTCGCCCCGAGACGCGGCTCGGCGGCAGCGCCCGGAGGGCGGGCGGGCGGGCCGGCCTCCCCTTTGGCGCCGCGGCGCCCGCGCCTCCAGCAGCGGGAAAGGGCCCGCGAGGAGGAAGCCCGGAGAGGCCCGTCCGGCTGCCGCGGAGCAGAGCTGTTAAACTGTGGAACTCCCCGCTGCAAGAGGAGGCGGGGAGGCCGGGCAGAGCCAGGATGTCTGTTAGGAGGGGCAGAACCCCCCCCCCCCCGCCCCACCAACCTGGATGGTTTTGAAAGAAGATTGGACAAATTCATGGAGGAGGAGAGAGCTCTGGATGGCTCCTAGCCAGAGTGCTGATTGCAGAGGAGCCAACTCCTAGCAGCCAAGGTCCCCAATAAAATATTTGAGGGGCTGCTCCTTCCAAGTTGATGGGCATTGCCGTTCAAATGGTGTGTGCGCGGCATGTCATGCGACTGATTATGCAGGGCAGGGCTTACTGGCAGCCCCCCCCCCATATTTTATTCAAGTTGGCCCCCCGGTTGGAGGCATCAATACTTCTGAATCCCAGTTGTTGGAAACCACAGATCTTGCGCTCAGATCCTGCTTGCAGGTTTCCAGCAGGCCTTGGGGAGCCCCTGTGGAAACGGTTTGTGGGACCCAGCAGGGTTCTTCCAATGTTCTGATGTTTTCTGCCCACCCCGCCCATTCCAGGTCTCCCTGGGGCTTTCACAGAGCAACAATAAGCTTTGCCAGTTCTTACCAGAAACAGAAAACCTCTGAGCACATGCAGATTCCCTTTTGATTGCTTCCAGATGACCTGTTTATTCAGCAATCCTCCTCATTCATTTGCACAAAGTTTGTAAACCGCTTTAAGATGTTATTAATTGCAAGTGGTATATAAATGCTGTGAAAAAAGTACAAATAATAAATGTGCAATTGTGTTTCATTTTTGCTTTATATATTATAGTATGGTTACTCCATGTGTTGTGATGTAAGTTGTCCTGCACTTCTATTTGGAGGAAGGGTGGGGTCTAAAAGCAGTTCAATAAATAAACAAACATGGGTGCCACAGATGGACATAGGAAGCATCTGCTGGATCAGGCCATTGGCCCAACTAGGCCAGCATCCTGTTCTTACCCTTGCCAGCCAGGGGCCCCCCATTATGAGAAGCCCACAAACAGGCCCCGGGCACAAGAGCAACTCTGCCCTCCTGTGGCTTCTAGCAACTGGCATTCAGAGGCATCGCTGCCTCTGACTGTGGAGGCAGAGCATTGAGTAAGCCGCCTCTTGAATTTACAAAATGCATAACCTGTGTGCAGCAATCCTGAGTCAACCTTCCTCTTCCTTCTTCCAGGTAAATTAAAGTAGACATGGTATATCAATAAGGAGTGTTCATCCGGTCTCTACTAGGGCATCATTCAGAATGTGTTTCTGCTACGACACACTGGCTAGCAAGTTCCAGTACTCTGCAACAAACACAGTGATTTGCTTAACAGAAATAGAGCAAAGGGCTGATCCACGCATCACCATGTGCACCAAAATGGGCTAGAGAAGCGAAAAACAGCACTAGGAAAGTCTAGACACACACACACTTAAATTATAGTGAATAACTGCTTTTAAACAAGCAACTTATTTCCTCAGAACGCTTAATGCCTCTTTTAATTTACCAGAGCATTTAATTCCCCCCTCCACTTGTGTTACAAATCCTCTTTGTATTTCTTGTAGATTGATATTTAAACTGAAATAGACATAAACCAGAGCGATAGGTGCTCCATTTTACAAGGCCAGGCCTCCCCACCCCCCATGGGTGAAATTTGCTTGTAATACTTTCTGTCAGTGTAACAAATTGTAGTTAAAATCATTTAGTGTGAAATTGCCCATTAATCCCACCAGGAAAAGGCATTTAGCAAAAGTCTAGTCACTTGAGAGCATACAGATGGTGCATCGGAGTTGTACAATAGGACCAACCACTGATTATATGCAGGGATGTAACGGACAAAAAGGTCTTCCTGAAAACCAAGGTCAGGAGACGTGAGGGTGGTCCTAGTGCCTGACTGGTTCAAATAGAAGGCAGTCTTTACAATATCAGCAATAAGCAAAATGCACAAGTATGTCGAGAACAACCAGGGCAGAGAAGGTGAAACGGCTGCAGAGGGAGGCCGGTGACTTTGTAGCTTATAAAGTAGCTCTCTGCACCTTGGCAGCTGGGAAGATTAGGGTGAAAGAACCAGATAAGCTAGTGGCCAACTGCAAAGGGGACTCGGAGATTTAATTTGTACATGTTATATGAGAACTACCTATGTAACAGAATTTTAGTAGATTTGTCTGTGGTTTTATTGTATATAAACAGTAGTGACTGTTGATGTTTTTGGATGATGCCATGGCCTTTGGGTAGTGCAACAAAAGTTTATGAAGTTAAAAACATAGTCAGAATATATAAACATCAATACCTGGGTGCTGCCCCAGAAAAAGGAAAATGTCTGCCTGGTGAGAAAAGAATGTCAAAGTTAGTGTCAAGTCCAGAACAGGAAAAGAGCCTGCGAGATCCGCCCCAGGGGCCCCTCTAGTCCAGACTCCTCTTCTCACAGTGACCAACCAGAGGCCTGTGGGAAGCCCACAAGCAAGATTTGAGCACAAGAGGCCTCTCACCTCCAGCAGTTTCCAGCAAGTGGTCTTCAGAAGCATTGTTGCCTCTGTTAACCTTAAATCTGCCTTGTAGGAATCCTTAGCAGATGACTGCAGTGCCTGGAGACAGTCAGGTCATGCATCCACAACAATGCTCAGAGGAGGAATGACTGCTGGGAAAAGCGCAGAGAGGAAAAACGCCCTGGTGCATCTGCAGCAACACAACCGGATGCCTTCCTCTGCCACAACTGCAACAAAACATGTCTCTCCCCTATCAGTCTCTACAGCCACAACAGGCGCTGTAACTCACCAACCTTTGGACTTCATCCTTGAAAGCACACTCTTCCAGTGTCTCCCGAGACAGATGGATACCAACTGTCTCCAGCTGTGGAGGCAAAGCAAAACAATCGTGGCTAGCAGCCATTGTTAGCCTTCTCCATGAATTTGTCCAATCCTCTTTTAAAGGCCATCCCTGCCTCCTGTGGCAGCGAGTTCCATAGTTCAACCAATCTGCTGCGTGAATAAGTGCTTTCTTTTATCACTTGTGAATGTTCTGACATTGAGCTTCATTGGATGTCCGTGATTTGCTAGTGTTATGAAAGAGGGAGGGGGAAAAAATTATTTCTCAACTTTCTCCATGTCATGTCATGGGGGTTAGTTCAAAACATCTGGAAAGCCCCATCCTGGGGAAGACTGCCCTGTTGCCCCAGCTGTTGGTGATGCTTCTTCCAGCACAAGATCTCAAATTGTTTTAGGTCTTCTGTGCTTCCTGTTACTGTCAGACCTACAAGGACATGCCAGCATTGTTGTTTCTCCCCATGTATTTTGTTGAGATAGCAGATGAGCTGCTGGCATCTGCTTTGGGGTATTGTCAGGACATGAAGTTGGTCCCTTTGCAATGTGAGCTGTGTCTTCAATGTTTCATCCCCGTTTGTCCTTTCCAGATTCTACATGGACCAGGGTGAGACTTTTCTACGCACGTCTCCTTGACAGGCATTAATCAAATTGGAACAATCGAGGCAGGGGTGTTATTTTTATCCAGGGACACTTTAGCCTGATGGATCCACCCACCCTCCTCAAATGTCTCTGTCCCAAATCCTGCCACCGCTTCTTAGGTTGCTTCTGCTCAATTTTGACATGACTCGGAAATCCAATTAAACCGTTTTTTCACCTTCCCAGTCCCCAAATCCAACATTTCAGTAATTAGTAGAAACAAGCCCCTCTCGCACTTGCTCCTTTTTGTAGTCCAGGGGGCTGTGTCCCATGATTTAAAACTAACATTTTCAAAAGCACTTCATGGTTTTGGGGAATGGTCAATTAACCTTCTGTTTCCTGTGGGGAACCCCGTGAAGAACTGTCAACAGTTGGGTTTGCAGAGATTTGCCCAGTGACCTATGAGGCCAGGAGGTTCACAGATGCATGTAACTGTGTCATCATAGATTTGTTTCCTGGGTGACAATATCGCAAGAGAATGAGCCAACTGCTTGTCGGTTTTTGGCTTCTTCTGTAGCACACGGGTGACCAGCTGAATCGATCACGATGTGCTCTCCTCCCAGCTGGTGTTATGGGGTGTACTAATGGGGAACACAAGGACAAAAGGGGATTTCTGGTATCTTTCAGACATTTCCCCTTCCTCTTTCCCTACATAATCTTTTCTTATTGATACTAATAACTCTGTAGATCAGAGAAAAAATTCACAAGCTACCTGCTGAGTTTTGTGTGCATTTTTAAACTATATATATAACTTGAGAGTAGCTATCCTAGTTGTCAACTATAGAGAAAAAAAGCAACATGCAGAGCAATCCTATACCCATAATTTATGCTGATGCAGTCGGGGGGAGGAGGAGGGGAGGAATGTTGTAACTGCATCATCAGAACAGCTGCTGTAGCCAATATTCACTTATCCTGGGACACACACACAAAACACAGGAAATGGTGCAAAAAGGCAGACACACATCCCCGGCTACCTACGTGCTCTTGTAGTGATGTGGGAAAGCTTAAAAAATTGCTCCCAATGATGTCAGGATAGCTGCAAAGTTCTGCCACCAAAAGAGGTCTGGAGGAGAATAGGTGATGGTGCCATTGTGCTGCTCCCCTGGAAGGGGGCATGTCCACCCCCCATGGCTGCGCCCTCAAAACAGCTTTGGGCATGTCTCACGTTCTTCCCATGTAATAGAACTTCATCAGCCAGCCTAATTTAGATTGCTCCAATATACACTATTCTAATAGGATACAATCTGCGGCTAAGAACATAAGAAGAGTTGCTGGATCAGGCCAATGGCCCATCCAGTCCAGGATCCATGTTCTCACATTGCCCAACCAGATGTGTTTAGGAAACCCGCAAGCCGGACCCAAGCGCAAGAGCCCTGCCCCCTCCTGCAATGCCCAGCAATGGGCATTCAGAAGCACATGGAGGCAGAGCAGAGCCTCCTAGCTAGTAGCTCCATGAATTTCTCTATTCCTCTTTTAAAGCCATCCAGGCTGGGGGCCATCACTGCCTCCCGTGGGAGCAAGCTCCATGGTTTACGGTAGCTATGCACTGGTCTATTCAAGCCCAAATACACAGAATCCACATTGTTATTAGCTCTGCAATGGATGTACCACGAACTCCCACCATAAGCTGTTTATGATGCGCAATTTCATCCGAAGGAATGGGTGCTGGACTATTGGACGATGGATTGCGTCCCTTTAAGGCATTTGCTGGCTGCTGTTTGCAGTGGCTCAAGGTGGGTGGAGAACGCAAGAAAGGCTGTTCTCGCCTCTCTCAGGAACATCATTAGACACAGAGAAAGATGTTAGTGTTTTTTTTAAAAAAAATTATCATGGCCAAGAGAGACGGGAGGTGGTGCGCAGCTTGCAACGTGGTCACCTACTAACAAGTGTCAAAGTCACCCACTGCTGACAGTGGAGGTGCCAGGGCTGAATTGCTGCCAATAAGTTAAGCATCCCATCTTGGGGTGTGTGTGTGTGTTTAAAGAGCTGCTGACAGATAGTGATTGCCCTTCTCCGTGACTGAAGGGGGAAGCAATGTGTTGCCTCTCCTCTGCACTCAGGATGGATTACTCATTCAAAATGACAGGTCCTGTCCAGTTTCTCCAAGTTTGGAGTGCTCTCGCCGCACAGATACTTAACGTTAATTCAAGAACCGGTCATGTCAGATGGCCAAGTTCAAATCCCCCCTCCTCTCTCTCTTTCTCACATACACAAAATAGTATGTTTTGAAAGGCCTGAGCCAATAATAAACACCATCCACTGGGCTTGCTTCCTCCCATGTGGCTCTCATTTAGGACATATCCCCAGCACACTGTCTCCATTGACGGGTAAATATATATGTGTATTTTTTAATGCCTCAAGAGGGAGCTGAATGATAAAAGAAACCTGGTGCATTAACTAAAAGCTCTGTGATTTTATATTGATCTCGCCATGCAGATGTCAGCGCTTCTAATAATTCTTTCAGTTAAACCCAAACGCGATCAAGTTCAGGTTTTCGTAATACAATTAGGCTTGTATGGTGGTTCTGGGATGGGGCAGGAAATACTGACCTTTCCACAACTCCTCAATGTGGACCAGAATCACATTGCTTGTTTTCTTTGTCCCTGGATGTGTTATGTCAAATGGATCCCCCTCCTCATCTGTCCACAGTCAGTGGATTTTTCCCATTGGCCTTAAAGAGAGGGAATAATCTGATGAATAGCCAAACAGTAAAATGCAGCTGAAACGGAGAGGGGGGGTGTCCTTCACGTTTTTGTATTTGATTTACTTCCTACTTCCTTATTTAATCACTGGGTTCCTAAAGGCCCCCTTGGGTGCGAATGACCCATGTTTTGTTGCTAGGGATGTGCCACTGACCCAAGCCAAGACCCCTGCCCTAGTTCACCTATCAGACAAAAATGAATATATTCCAGGAGCTATCAGCTTCCATTATCACTAACTGAGCCTGGCAGGTGGAGACGGGCCTCATTATTTTTAATTGGGTCCTATAGTTCTGCAGTTAAATAAAACACAATGGGCTCAGTCATTCAGGAAGATCTGCAGAAGACCTTCTGAGGAATAGGAGCCCTCCAGGAGAATCCCGTCTTCCCCCTCCACGTCTACCGGACTTTGGCAGGAAAGGACTGCACAGTGGATGGTGCCCAGCACAATCCTGCTCTTTTGTCTGCTTTGGAGTCAGGAGAAAACCAATTCTGCTCCTTTTATTGTTTTTGGCCATTTTCAAAACAATACACACTCTCTTAGGCGAAGGGGCCGTAGCTCTGTGGCACAACATCTGCCTTGCAAGGAGAAAACATTGAGCTAGGTGGAGCCAGGATCTGACGTAGTATAAGGAAATCTTTAATAATGATGATGATGATAGTTTACAGTCAATCAATGAAGTTACTGAATCCACTATGAAATGTCTGTGAAGCGCTCATGATGAAGGCATTCTTAGCGGCAGCCCCACAACGGTGGAATGTGATTACGTGAGATGTCAGAGTCCGACCAGGCCAGCCCATCCATTTGGCCACTGGGAGAAGAGGATGGGCCATTGGCTGGATATAGCCGGCTCTCCTTAGGTTGTTCTCTTCATTCTCTTGCAGCCTTCAAGACGTTCCACCTTTTCCCACCACCTTTAGCAACTTGTTTGATCTGAGCTGCAGAACTTTCCAATGTTTACCTGATTTTGATAATTTTACATTATGCTGGATTAGTGTTGGTCCTCTTGGCTTTTTAGAAACATTTTGAAATATTGCTTTAAGATTTTGGCAGTGCTTTGCAGTCTTAAATCGTATTTTATTGCTTATCTGATATCTCATTTGTAAACATATTTTGGATGATTTTTCCCCTTGAAAAGTGGTATGCAATTTACATCTCATTCCTCTTTGCTGCTTTGTGTGTGTGTGTGTGTAATCTGAGAGCTGAAAAATCAAAATATACTCAGTTTGCCATAAATGCTTCCATTGTAATTCAAGGTGGATGGCAGGGATGGTTAGATCTGTCAATTTACGTTTCTCTAAATTTTTCATTTTCCAGTATTTCCAGTCCAACACATTTCCACATTAAATATCTATATATTAAATATCTATATATGTTGAACTTTTAAACATTAAAACTCTCTTCCTCCTAATAAACACACCTTTGCATGTGATTTTGCCTAATATAACACATTTTAAAAAGAATTTTCCCCAAATATAATACAGTTTAAATGTTATTTTAGCTTTTAATAATAAAGAAAAAATTAAACTGTCCCATAAATATGCATGTTTGAACACATTTTTCTGCATTGTAAAATCTGGAGAAGTGCAAATTTTAAAGGCAAGCTGCACTCTGGTTTGCATATTGTTTTGAGAATGAGACCAGTCCACATTAAAATGCAAACCAAACCAAATTTCTACCCCACCTCTGGTGAATGCTAAGATCTGAAGAAGTCCCAGAACATTTTCTGATCTCATGCATGCTTTAGTTTCACAAGCCCCTGTGATTTCCATTCCCATTTGCAATGAGCGCCAAAAACAGCCCCTTCCCCTGGACAGTCCTAGGCTGAGAGGCTTGGCAGTTCAGGCAGCCCAAGAGCAAATGCTTGCTGAGAAGACCTCTGTTTTTGCAAAGCTTTTGTTACACCCCAGCTCTAAATGATAAAGTCTTTAAAAAAAACCTAAAAGATGAGAAGTATTCACAAAAGTAAGAGTGAAGGTATAGCAGCCCAGCAGAGGGCTTAATCTCTGTTGTCACCTTTGTCGTTGTCCCCCCACCAAAAAAACAATCCAGGAAAGAGAGATGGAGATTATGACCAGAATAACAGGGGCAACAATGAGCTCATTCAGACCTCAGCTGATGTTGGGGAGCCACATTCTTCAGGAGGGGCATGTCAGAAGGGAGGCAGAAAGGGACAGAGTCCTGATCTGGAACAGATGCTGCAAGCAGACGCAAGCCAAAGGAACAGGATTGCGTGATGTTACATCTTTCTGCTCTTCCTCTCCAGAGTCCCTCCAAGGCGATTCGCAGGCCACAGGGGCAGTGGCGTAGCGTGGGTTGTCAGCACCCGGGGCAAGGCAAGTAATTTGCGCCCCCTAACCCATGGATTTTAGCAGGGGGCAGAGAGCTGCGAGTGCCCCCCCCAGATGTTGCGCCCGGTGTGGCTGGCCCCCCTTGCACCCCCCACGCTACGCCACTGCACAGGGGCTTCTCCTCAGCCCCCAAGGATGCTCTCCCACAGCAAAGGCCAGCCTGGGTGGCTCTGATGAAATCCTCTCCAGATGTGGGCTCATTTCTATGCATGAGTATTGGAAGGCAGGTTCCCCCTCTCCGCAAAGTGTGTTAAGAATTGCAACATTAAAAACCCTAAATGGGAAGTCTAGGCTCTGGTTTCCCACAATCGCAGGTTGTAACATAAGCTGTCTCTTCTAAGTATATTTGGGGGGCGGCAATGTAAAGAGCTAATCGTACCCCCTTACAGCAGGACCAGCGATGATAACTGGATTCGTTTACAATTTCTCCAGAAAATCAAAGACCAGTTCCAACGGTTTATACTGAAATAAAAAAATTAAGGTCTATATATAATAAATGTTCATAAATGTACCAAGCAAACACGTACATAAATATATGAACCACATGTCTGAAGCAGCACAGGAAAACAGCCTGGAAACCATTTTGACTCCCAAACTGACCAAATGATTTCTCTGCAAGGTCAAGGAAAATGGAAAAGCCTCTCCATTGTCTTTTCATTCACAAATCCTGTCTTAAGGGTATGTCTGTGTATGAATAGGGTGAGCCTGTGACCTGGCTCAGGAACTAAGTATTTATCATTACAAAAGACTGGCCAGGCTACCCAGGGTATCCAATCAAGTGAGCATTAACAGGTAACCTGCCAGACAGGAGGTAAACAACGAACTCAGATTTCTCTTGAGCTACACCCTTTCTGTGATGTAGGTATGATGTTTCTGAGGGTGGTCTTGGACTCCAGGGCAGGCAATTAAAAATGTCTATATAAGGGCGGGCACACCTTTGTTTGGGGTCCTCCTCCTTTCCTGCGTGTGAGGGGAGAATCCTGTTGCAACAGTTCAATAAAGATCAGGCTTTTCAGCTGCTTTGCTTCTCAATATTCTCTGGTTGGCCTGTTATTTTCTCCGACCGATGGAGAACCTGCAAAAGACTCTATAAGGGCTCTTATTCCCCCATAAGGGAATAAGGGCAGATTTTCATTTATTACAATACTAACTTGCAGACTTGATAAGATTTAATGTGCTTGTTGAATTAGTATTTAGGAAAGCCAGCATTCTAGCACGGAGGGGGGTGTTTGTGGTGGGTATTGTCTTCTGAGGATGCTCTCTTGTGTCACTAAGTCAGTCTTGTGTATACCTTGCAGGCCCCCATCAGCAGAGGATGGGGCTGAGACTAACAGATAGTCAGGAAAAATGCACAAGGCAGCCGACCTCATAAAGATGAAAACACCGTAAGTAAAGAAGATTTCCCCTCTTACCAATGGGACCTCTGTGTGTTTTATTTACTCTTTTAAGCAATGCTAGTGATAATAGAATCATAGAATTGTAGAGGTGGAAGGGACCCTGAGGTCCATTTAGTGCAGCTAGTGCTTTTTTCCTGGGGGTACACAGACCCCCTAAATATTTTGTGAATCTTTTTACTTTTCTCCATTTACTGTATTTATTTTTTCCGATTTGAACAATAAAATGGTGATCTTCTTGAGTCAAAATGAGAGTACCCCTCAACATTTTTTTTAAGAAAAAAAGCACTGAGTGCAACCCCCTGCAATGCAGGAATCTCAACTAAAGCATTCATGACAGACGGCCATCCAACTTCTTCTTAAAAAACTCCAAGGAAGGAGAGCCCACAACCTGCTGAAGGAAACAGTTCCACTGTCAAACCAATCTTACTGGCAGAAAGTTTTTTCTGATGTTTAGTCGGAATCTCCTTTCTTGTAACTTGAAGCCACTGGTTTGAGTCCCACCCTCCAGAGCAGGAGAAAACAAGTTTGCTCCATCTTCTGTGTAACAGCCTTTGAGATATTTGAAGATGGCCATCGTATCTCCTCTCAGTCTCCTCTTCTCCAGACTCCAGGCTAAACATCCTCAGCTCCCTCAGCTGTTCCTCTTAAGGCTTGGAACTCAGCTATACAGCTGCAAATAAAATGTTTTAAGTGTGACACTGGATGGTGATGGTGAGCCTTATGGAAAATTCAATGTATTTTTAAAAAACGGTTTTAAAAAAGCATTTTCAGAACGCTTTTTATATGTGTGTAAATTCCACCTTGGTTTCCAAACCCTGGATCATCTTGGTTGCCATCCTCTACACACCTTCCAGATTGCCAATGCCCTCCTTGAACTGAACACAGTGTTGTTCTAGGTGGGGTCTGACCAAGGCAGAAGGGAGACATACTATTATTTCCCTTGATCTGGACATTATATTCTTCTGTTGTTGCACTCTAGAACAGCATTCATTTCTCTCTTTTTTGCTGCTGCATCACACTGTTGACTAGATTGGTAACTAGCTCTCTGTAAAATAAATATCCATTTCCCATCTCTCGTGAGCTGCAGCAGGCTAAATCCTTTCCAGGCTTGATGGCTGATCAAGTATGCAGGATTAAAATGCAACAAGCAGGTGCATTTATCTGCCTGAATCCTTAACGGTGCAATAACACCCCACTTATTGCTTGTAATATTTAGAATTAATGAATGCGGCCTTGAATAATTGATGGCTGTTTTAGCACAAGCAAGAATTCAATTAAATTCGAACAAGAGACATCCAGGCATGTGGTAAGGAATTCCTCTTTCCATTTTGTCTGACTGCAACAATGCCGTTCGGATCTGGTCATTTAAGACAACTGGCAATGGAATGGGTGTGCAAGACGGAGGGGCACGGCACGTATCAGATTGCTCAAAAGTCATTCATCATGTCAGAGCAAGGCAGGAATCCGAACTCCTGGAAAGAATAACGGGTCGGAGATCTCTCTGCATGGAGGTAGGATGGCATGGAGCTGAACACAGGCTGTAAAACGCAATAGGAATAATTAGAGCATTTGCCAGAAAAATGCTGCAGGTTCCAGAATGGCGCTTGGCCCATCGCCCTAAAGGGAGCATGGCAGAAAACAGGATGAGGCGTGGGGTCTGAAGCACTTTCCTTAGGCATCTGGCTTCTAAGAACCCCAGCCTCCCAAGAGCAAAAGTACAACCAGCGAAGCCTTAGAATGGGGGCTCTGTGTCCTGGCGAGGGGCTGGGGGAGAGGCAGCTATAGGCACTTGTGGTGGGCATGTCCGAAGGTGGCAGATTGGGGGGAACAAGTGTTTAATGAGCAAGTGTTTAAAGTGTCAACAAGTATTTTACTCAGGGTTTAATGAAATAGAGCTAGTGCTGTGTAGCGGTTAGACTAGAGTGTCAGACTAAAACCTGGCAGGGACCAGGGTTCAAATCCTCACTTGGCCATGAAGCTCCCTGGGTAGCCTTGGGGGCCAGTCACTGCTTCTAAGCCTGACCTACCTCATAGGGTTGTTGTGGGGATTAAATTGAGGAAAGGGGAAGCCATCTAGATAGTAATGAATTAAGTAAAATTACTCAACAGCATGTCGCAAAGTCTGCAGCCCTTGCATTACTGAATCTGTATTTAAATGAGAATCAGGACTAGGTGGATAAACCACTAACTGGGATTTCTCTTAGTGGCAGCATAAATGGTTATAGCTGCATTCCGGAATGACTTAAAAGGTGCAACCCTGAATCCCTGGTACAAAAGAGGATAGCCTCTTGCCCTTATGGGAAGATTGATCCACAAGTTAAGACCAGCTAGAGGAACAAAGCACAAAAGGACACTTGGCGGGAGAAAGGGGGAGATTTATTTTGTTCAGAAATTCTCCAGAAAACCAAAGACCAGTCCCAAAGGTTTACATTAACTTGTGGATCACTTAATAAGAATGTGTTTTACAGATGTATACTGCTGTTAGTTGTTTATGTGTGGGAATACAGGTTTTCATAATGTCTTTTGGGGGGCCTCCAAGAAAATAAAAATCAAATACATAAAAAACAGGGGTTCCCAACATGTGCCCATGGGCATTGCAAATCTCTGAGAAATCATCCCCCTTGGAGCCCAACAAGGCACCCTGCCTCTTCCACTTATTTTTTAAATTTCTCTTTTAAAAAACAATTTGGGGTCATTGTTGAGGTGTTGCTGTTGTATGATTTTAGGGGGGTTGTTTGCAGGTAGAGGTTATCTTTTGAGGGAAACCCTCCTCAGCTTCTCATTTTTGTAGTCATCTGTTTAGTTCTATACATTGGTTTGCAAATGTTTTAAAAAATATTCCTCATGAAATTCACTAGCACTTTAGTGCAGTTTTCTCCTGCAATTTTGCCTACTATACACATCTTTGCAAAACAGTTCCTCCTCCTATAATTTTTGTATGTTATCTTCACTTATATATGCATTTACACCATGTATGCCCTTTACACTGGCTTACTAGCAGTACATGTGAAAAGAATATTGGGGTCTTAGTGGACCACAAGCTGAACATGAGTCAACCATGTGAGGAAGCAGCAAAAAAAGCTAATGCTATTCTAGGCTGCAGCAACAGAAGTCTAGTGTCCAGATCAAGGGAAGTCATGGTCCCACTCTATTCCAGACCACACCTGGAACACTGTGTCCAGTTCTGGGCACCACAATGTAAGAAGGATGTTGACAAGCTGGATGGTGTGCAGAGGAGGGCAAGCAAGAGGATCAAGGGATCAACCAAGCCTTATGAGTAGCAGTGGAGCAAGCCGATCGGGTGCCTGGGGCGGTGTGCGTGCCCTGTGCCTGAAGGCGGAACCAGCTGCCCACGGGGGCGGGGCCAGCTGGGGCTCCATGGGGCCTCCGAGGAGTCTGCCTGCCTCCTCCCATTCAGCCGCCCTACAGCTGGGGCGGGGGGAGGCAGCGGGTGGACCATTTGGGCAGGGATGCACCCAAGCCACCACATCTCGCTCAGGAGAGACGCATAGCTCAGGCACGGGTGCAAGCCCCACGGCGAGTGCCACCCGGCATTTTGTCACCCCCCTCAGTGGTGACACCTGGGGCGGCTCGCCCCCATCGCCCCCTCTTCCTCCGCCCCTGCTTATGAGGAGTGCTTGAAGGAGCTGGGTATGTTTAGCCTGGAAAAGAAGAGACCGAGAGGAGATTTGATAGCCATCTTCAAATATCTCAAGGGCTGTCTCATGGGGGAGGGAGCATGCTTGTTTTCTCCTGCTCTGGAGGGTAGGACTTGAACCAATGGCTTCAAGTTGCAAGAAAGGAGATTCCAACTAAGCATCAGGGAAAACCTTCTGACCGTAAGAGCTGTTTGGTAGTGGAACAGACTCCCATGAGAGTTTGTGGGCTCTCCTTCCTTGGAGGTTTTTAAACAGAGGTTGGATGGCCATCTGTCATGGATGCTTTAGCTGAGATTCCTGCACTGCAGGGGGTTGGACTAGATGACCCTTGGGGTCTCTTCCAACTCTAAGATTCTATGTACATTCTGGTACACTTTACTTGCCTGGAGATGTGCAGAGTTTGCAGGGTGGGTGGACAGTGCAAATTAAGTAAGTCCATCTTGAAATGTGAACTGAGTTTAATTTCTTCCCCATCACTAATTGCACACTATGTAGACATGCATAGAATTGCAGGTGCATGATGAGGAATTTAAGACTATGCAGTCAGATGAACCACACTGCAACTTACTTCTGAGGAATCACCCCGAGCTGGATTGAACATATTGTTGTGATGCTTGGGGGGGGGGGAGGGTGTGTGCCTGAGCCCCTTCTCATTCCTGGACCCAGCAAGGGTTACAATCTAATGGAGGATCCCGCTGTTGAAGTAGCCAGGCAAGGGCCATCATGGCCCCTAAGTGTGGGTATAAATAATGGGTGGGGTATAAATAATAAATTATTATTATTAATATTAAGAAAGGAAGTTGCTCTGTGTCAGAGGGCAAATGGGTGGGTCAACTGGTCAGTGGTTAGGCGGACCAAAGCCGGAGCCAGGGGGGCTGTGAGAATTGGTCTAGAAGCAGGCAGCAGGCAGCAACCTGAGGGGAGAGAGGGGGAAAAGAAGACCCAGGTAACTACCAACTGGTGAGTTTGATATCAATACAGGCAACAACCAATTTAGGCACGTCCGAATGACGCACAATTACATATGTGTACACAGTGCCAAACCCAGAAGTAGTGCCAAACTGTCATAAAAATGTCACAAAAAGGGGCGGAACAAGGCAGGGTGGGGTGGAATGGGGTGGAGTGGACTTAGGTGAGGATTGCCTGTAGGAATGATCCTAGAACAGATAATGCAACAGTTGCTCTGTGAGTACTTAGAAAGGATGCTGTGATTACTATGACCCAACACAAGTTTCTCAAAAGCAAATCATGCCAGGCAAATCTAATTTCTTTCTTTGATGGAATCACAAGCTTGGTGGATCTGGGGAATGCTGTGGATGTAGTATATCTTGATTTCAGCAAGGCTTTTGACAAAGTTCCCCATGATATTCTTGTGAGGAAGCTGGTAAAATGTGGGTTGAATGAGGTAACAGGTGAATTTGTAGCAGGTTGACTGACCAAACCCAAAGAGTACTCATTATTGGTTCCTCATCATGCAGGAAAAAAGTAATAAATGGGGTGATGCAGGGCTCTGTTCTGGGCCCACTGATGTTCAACGACTTTATAAACGACTTGGATGAAGGAATTGAGGGGATGTTTATCCAATTTGCAGATGACACCAAACTGGGAGGGGGAGCTAATGCCACAGAAGACAGATTCCAAATTCAAAATGACCTCAACAAATTGGAGAACTGGGCGCAAGCTAACAAAATGAATTTCAATAGGGACAAATGTAAGGTTCTGCATTTAGGCAGGAAGAACCAGATAAACAAATATAGGATGTGGTACACCTGGCTTACTAGCAGTACATATGAAAAAGATCCGGAGGTCTTGGTGGACCACAAGCTTAACATGAGTCAACAGTGTAATGCAGATGCAGAAAAAGCTAATGCTATTCTCGGCTGCATCAACAGAGGTCTAGTGTCCAGATGAAGAGAAGTAATAGAACCCCTCTATTCTGCCTTGGTCAGACCACACCTGGAATACTGTGTCCAATTCTGGGCATGGGCATAGCCAAGGAAGGGTAGGGGGGCAGCTGCCCCCCCTAAATCAATACAAATCAATACAAATCTGAGGTTCTGCAGCCCCCAAACAAAAGCCTGCCCCTCTAACAAAAATCTTGGCTATACCCATGATTCTAGGCACCACAATTTAAGAAAGATGTTGACAAGCTGGAAGGTTTGCAGAGGATCAGTTGAAGTAGCTGCTGATGTTTATCCTAGAAAAGAGGAGACTGAGAAGAGATATGATAGCCATCTTCAGATATCTCAAGAGCTGTCACATGGAAGATGGAGCAAGCTTGTTTTCTCCTGCTCTGGAGGTTAGGACTTGAACCAATGGCTTCAAGTTACAAGACCTAAGAGGAGGCGTGTAGTGGTGATAGGGGATTCCCTACTGAGGGGAACAGAAGCAGTGATATGTGGGCCTGACAAGATGTCTCGGGAAGTGTGCTGTCTCCCCGGGGCTAAGATCCAAGATGTAACTGAACGACTGCAAGGAATCATAAAACCCACTGACAAATACCCCTTCCTCTTGGTTCATGTGGGAACCAATGACACTGCAAGCAATAGCCTCCAGAAGATCAAAAGAGACTATGAGGCTCTGGGCAGAGGCTCTTACGAGGCTCTGACATAATAGGCATCACTGAAACCTGGTGGGATAAGTCCCACGATTGGAATGTAATAATGGAGGGATACAATCTATTTCAGAGAAACAGACCAGACAAGAAAGGAGGAGCAGTGGCGTTATATGTCAGGGATGTGTATACCTGTGAAGAGATCCAAGATTTAGAACCTCAAAGCCAAAGTGAGAGCATTTGGGTCAAAATTAAGGGAGAGAAGAATAACAGTGACCTCATTGTGGGAGTTTACTATAGATCCCCAAGCCAAACGGAGGACATAGATGATGCCTTCCTGGAACAGATGGCCAAGCATGCAAAAGGAAGGGAGATAGTAGTAATGGGGACTTCAATTACCCGGATATTTGTTGGATGTCAAACTCAGCCAAGAGCATAAGGTCAAACAGATTCCTCACTGGCCTTGCAGACAACTTCATTGTCCAGAAAGTGGGAGAAGCAACAAGAGGAACAGCCATTTTAGATCTGGTCCTAACCAATGTTGATGACCTGGTTAGTGGGGTAGAAGTGGAAGGATCATTAGGCGCGAGTGATCATGCTCTTCTGAAGTTTACTATACAGCAGAAAGGAGCAGCCAAGCATACTAGGACTCAATTTCTTGACTTTAAGAAAGCCAACTTCGTAAAACTTAGGGAAGTGCTGGGTGAGATCCCATGGACAGTAATACTAAAAGGAAAGGGAGTTCATGATGGCTGGGAGTTTGTTAAGAGGGAGATAGTAAAAGCACAACTTCAGGCAATACCAATGAGACGGAAACATGGAAGGTACCTAAAGAAGCCAGGGTGGCTATCTAAAGAACTTTTAACTGAGTTAAGATTAAAAAGGATGTGTACAAAAATGGAAAAGGGGGAAACCACCAAAGAGGAATTCAAACAAATAGCCAGCACGTGTAGACACAAAGTCAGAAAAGCTAAAGCACAGAATGAACTCAGGCTTGCTAGAGAGGTTAAAAGCAACAAAAAGGCTTTTATGGGTATGTTCGTAGCAAAAGGAAGAACAAAGAAACAGTGGGGTCACTCAGAGGAGAAGAAGGTGAAATGCAAACAGGGGACACAGAAAGGGCTGAACTCCTCAATGCCTTCTTTGCCTCAGTCTTCTCCGATAAAGAAAACAATGCCCGACCTGAAGAATTTGGAGCAAATGATTCAGCAGAGTAAACACAGCCCAGAATAACTAAGGAGATAGTACAAGAATACTTGGCTAGTCTAGATGTATTCAAGTCTCCAGGGCCAGATGAACTGCATCCAAGAGTATTAAAAGAACTGGCAGATGTGATCTCAGAACCACTGACAGTCATCTTTGAGAATTCCTGGAGAACAGGCGAAGTCCCGGCAGACTGGAGGAGGGCAAATGTTGTCTCTATTTTCAAAAAGGGGAAAAGAGAGGACCCAAATAATTACCGCCCAGTCAGTCTGACATCAATACCAGGGAAGATTCTGGAGCAGATCATTAAGCAAACAGTCTGTGAGCACCTAGAAAGGAATGCTGTGATCACCAATAGTCAGCATGGATTTCTGAAAAATAAGTCATGTCAGACTAACCTGATCTCGTTTTTTGACAGAATTACAAGCCTGGTAGATGAAGGGAATGCAGTGGATGTAGCCAAATGCCTTGATTTCAGCAAGGCATTTGACAAGGTGCCCCATGATATTCTTGTAAAGAAGCTGGTAAAATGCGGTCTTGACTATGCTACCACTCAGTGGATTTGTAACTGGCTGACTGACCGAACCCAAAGGGTGCTCATCAATGGTTCCTCTTCATCCTGGAGAAGAGTGACTAGTGGGGTGCCACAGGGTTCTGTCTTGGGCCCGGTCTTATTCAACATCTTTATCAACGACTTGGATGATGGACTCAAGGGCATCCTGATCAAATTTGCAGATGACACCAAACTGGGAGGGGTGGCTAACACCCCAGAGGACAGGATTACACTTCAAAACGACCTTGACAGATTAGAGAACTGGGCCAAAACAAACAAGATGAATTTTAACAGGGAGAAATGTAAAGTATTGCACTTGGGGGGGGGGGGGAAGAGAGAGAGGCACAAGACTTCCGGGACAGCGCCATCGGCAATGGCGGAGTTCCTCTGACCGAGAGGAACCCGCTCCGTGAAAATCGGGTCTTGCCGCCGCGGCGAAGGCGGAGACCCTTTAAAAATCCCAGGTGGAGGAAGCCTGGGAACGTGGGATTCGGCTGACACCAGGAGCGCCTCCCCTACTCGCAGGGAAACCCTTTTTCGGGGATCCGAAGCGACGTGGGTGAGTGGCGCGGTGTTTTGAATCAACCGCTACTTTTACGGAGTGAAGCCGCACAGCCGTTGCCGGGGAGCGCTGACTTTTTCCTGTGGACAATTGGACTCTAAACAAGTACCCGTGAGTAGAACGGAAAATTGGATTAAGAAATATTTTAATTTGGCACCGAAACGGGAAGGTTCTAAACAGGAAGTCCCCCTCCCGTTTTTTGTAAATAGATTGAAGCAAAAACTTTGTAAGCTACAGTCTGGAAAGTCGTATATAAAGTTCTAAATTTCCTTCATTCATCACCACCAAAACCCCTCTTGGAAGCAGGAGAAAAGAGGGGGATTTTTGACTGTTTAAGCCTGCAGGAGAGAGAGTAAAGAAAGATAAATTTTCCACCTTCTCAAACCTGGGAATGGGGTGTCAGAGACAGAAATTTATGGGGAAGTTCATCGACTGTGAATGGAACGTCTTTTGACAGATAGTAAAAAAAAAAAAGAGAAATAAATTGACTCCAATGTTGCTTCTTGCAATCAAAAGAAACAAAGTATTTGAAAAGTGAAAGTAATTTTTCTTTGTTGGTCCTGCTTTTAAAAGATGGATACAAATAGAAATTGTCTCCTCTAGAGGGAGCTTGTTAATTTGTTGCTGGAGCTGATCTGGGGACCTCACAGCTGTATGATTAGAATCGTGAGACCAGACTCTAACCTTGGAAAAAAAAATGTGTTTACAAGAAGTCTTGGTGCTTGCTTTTTGCAAGACAAGTGCTTTGCTGGAGCAGATGCATGAGAAGATGGATTTGATGACTGTTGCAGTTAAAAACTTTGGACAAACGGCGAATGCCCATATAGAAACCATTCAGGAACCAGCCCAGGAATCTGTTTTGATAGGGCAAGCGCAAGTGCAGAAGAAAATGGAGGAGGTTGCTGTTGAACCTCAAATAACACAAATGGAGAGATCCGAGGCCTTGCAGGAGTATAAGCCGCTGTTCTTGAAGTTTGAATCTGGAGTGGACCGGGGGGGGGGGTCTGGAGTTGTGAGGGGCTCTTAATTTTGGAAAGACTTTGAAACATGCTTTTAAATACTTTCTGGATTACAGTGTTGACTGTGGGGAATGGGACTGTGGGGAATGGGCTGATCTGCTGAGGAGAGATGGAGATACTTTTGGATTGGAGTCCTCCCGAGACCTACCCCCCAATGAGAAAGGAAAGAAAATAAGAAAAAGATCAACAAAAGACAAAGTAAAGGGCAGGTATAAACAAGAAGAAGACCTGCAGAAGGGACATGGAAAAGACTTGAGGGCACCAGGTTGATGGATTAGATGGACGAGAAAGGACTGACAAAACCCGAGACCAGGAAGAAGAGACAATGGATGAAGATTGGAAGAAAGTTTTAAAAATTTATTTAGAAAAGTATCGTAAAATTAATGAGTATTAGAAAAATGTTGGAATGAAATTATTTGGCTTTAGCAGAAATGTCAAAAAGAATTATGTAAGAATATGTTATGGTTAAAAGAATTTGGTATATATAAGATTTAAGTTTTAAGTTTTAGGGCTTTTTAGGGTAAGATAAGGTTAAAATAGATTAAGGTAATTTAATGACAGAATATTGTGAAAGATGGAAAGGAATTGCTGAGATAATTAACAACTAGAATACAAAAAAAGGGAGGTGTGAGGAGGTCGTTGAAATAAGTTAATGAAAGTTAAGGATTTGGGAATATTAGACTTGTTTTTTAATTTTTTGTTTATTCTTGTTTTTTGATTTAGATGCATTTTGCGTGTTGTTGTTTTTTTTTTACTTTGGTTTTTATTGATTTGTATTGTTTAATTGTTATGTTTATCTACTTCTTTCTCTCTTTTTCTCCTTCTCTTGTCTTTTCTTTCTTTTTTCTTTGTAACTTCAAAATTCTCAATAAATATCATTTTTTAAAAAAATAAAAATGAGAGGCACAAATACAAGATGGGTGACACCTGGCTTGAGAGCAGTACATGTGAAAAGGATCTAGGAGTCTTGGTTGACCACAAACTTGACATGGGACAACAGTGTGACGCAGCAGCTAAAAAAGCCAATGCAATTCTGGGCTGCATCAATAGGAGTATAGCATCCAGATCAAGGGAAGTATTAGTGCCACTGTATTCTGCTCTGGTCAGACCTCACCCGGAGTACTGTGTCCAGTTCTGGGCACCACAGTTCAAGAAGGACATTGACAAACTGGAACGTGTCCAGAGGAGGGCAACCAAAATGGTCAAAGGCCTGGAAACGATGCCTTATGAGGAACGGCTAAGGGAGCTGGGCATGTTTAGCCTGGAGAAGAGGAGGTTAAGGGGTGATATGATAGCCATGTTCAAATATATAAAAGGATGTCACATAGAGGAGGGAGAAAGGTTGCTTTCTGCTGCTCCAGAGAAGCAGACACGGAGCAATGGATCCAAACTACAAGTAAGAAGATTCCACCTAAACATTAGGAAGAACTTCCTGACAGTAAGAGCTGTTCGACAGTGGAATTTGCTGCCAAGGAGTGTGGTGGAGTCTCCTTCTTTGGAGGTCTTTAAGCAGAGGCTTGACAACCATATGTCAGGAGTGCTCTGACGGTGTTTCTTGCTTGGCAGGGGGTTGGACTCGATGGCCCTTGTGGTCTCTTCCAACTCTATGATTCTATGATTCTATGAAAGGAGATTCAGACTAAACATCAGGAAGAACTTTCTGACAGTAAGAGCTGTTTGACAGTTTTCTGAATCAAAATTGGACTCCCTCTGTACTATTTACACCTGAAAATTTGCAGAGTCATAGAATTGTAGAATCATAGAAAATTTGTTAGACTCATAGAGTTGGAAGGGATCCTGATTGGGATCTAGTCCAATCCCTGCAATGCAAGGAATGAGAGTCTACAACCTCTTTGAGGAGGCCATTCCACTCTTACCACAAGTAAGATCTTCCTGATGTTTAGTTGGAATCACGTTTCTTGCCATTTTAACAATAACAATAACAACAATTTATTTATATGTTGCCCCAGTCACTCTGGGCGCCTTCCAACAAAATAAAACATGAAACATCCATTGGTCCCCATCCTGCCCTCTGGAGCAGGAAAAGACAAGCTTGCTCTATCTTCCATTTAACAGCTTTCAGGTATTACACCCATTTTAACTAAATTCCTAGGCAGATCAGATAATTTTACCGCTGTCCTTTTGTCAGGTGCTGTAAACAAATCACTACTAAAGTGGCAAAATTCAGGGCATCAGCAAGCATTACTAGGAACTGGAATATTAAATCTCTTTACCAAGCACGCTAGCAATGCAGCAATCCACTGAATGTGTGACAAAGCACATGCCTATCCTAGTCCTTTGCTGTGCTGATAGTTCCTAGTAGTCTTCTACTGGTCTGTAAATTGCAAATTGCATTTGTAATTGCCTGTAACTTAGAGGCTGGTCTGTGTCCATGATAATACAAATTGGATTGGGCATCATCTGAGTTTAAGAGTGAAAAAAGATTTGCAGACATTCCTTTTGTAAATTCACTTCCCCAGGTGAGAAGCGGGAGTCAGAATTATCATGTCTTGTGAGTTATTGAGCACATTAAACATTAACTTCTTGGTTTTATTGTTAGCCCAGTTCTCTGCACTTTTAATTTTTAAGCACCGCCTGCCTTGGACCCAACTTGGCAAGAGATCCTGTGACTTTGCTCACCAGCTATGCATTATTCACCATGAAGGCTGTGGCTTAGTTGGGCTTCCTTGGCTTCTGAGCTCCAAAAAGCACACTGGCCTCCGTTGGTTCCAGTGATTTGGGGTGGTGGGCGATGGGAGGGAGGGGGGTGTCACGAGGGAAGAGTGACATTTTCAGCTCGATCCCTTTTGTGATCTCTGGCTTATTTCCATGCTCAGCCTGTAATGTACCTGTGGCTAATCAAAGATCAGCAGTGGCTGCAATATAATCTCTAGGAAGGTCCGGTTTCTCGCTCTTATCTGGAGAAGCAGCCAATACTCACCTCCCTGGGACTCGAAGGGCAAAGCCACCGACATGCAGCATGAATTATTGAGCTTTCTCCACTGGGACGGAAGAGCTGCTTCTCATAACTCACGGCATCGTGTTGAGGCTACGCTGGATGGATCCTAAGCAACTCGCCAAGCGAGCTCTGAATGGCTTAGCTGGAACCATTGTTTGAAACGGCCTTCAGGATGGCTGCCCAGGTAATCTTAGCAATGGGGCGAGGTTGTCGTGGTGGAGAACTGTCCAGACCTAGGCTGGGCTTGCTTCGCTTCTCGGCAGCCACGCAGCTCCATGGCTGCAGATGGAGTCTCCCGCTGCCTCGACTGTGGGTGCACTGTGTGACCTTGGGCAGGCCACGCTCTCAGCACCTCCTCTGCATTTGCTCCTGTTTACCTGAGACAGTTCTGGCACCCTGAAACCCCTGGTTTTGCCGCCTTCTCTTTCTTGTTGGCAGGAGCTGCTGAAGTTCATTTTCTAAGTGAGGGGGTGGACTGCATCTTGCCTGTGGTGTGCATGTGCCCAGATTCCAGCCCATGAACAATAAGGCACCAAGAGGTTGCCATATTCCATGTTGCAGCTATGGAGGCATCTTTTGAACAACTGAGAACAAAGTGCATTAGGAAAAGAATATTTGCCTTCTGCTCTGCCTTTCACCGAGAGAAAGGCAGCCCTTGCCTTTTAAAGCAACAGACAACAGGCTATGGCAGAGTCAAGAAGCAGATAGGATGTTGCCTCCATTAACGTCTCCCGCTGGCTGCAGGAAACAATATCTTGATATTATGGGTGTTACAGCTGGTGGGTTCTGTTTCCATCCGATAACTGCTGGAGGTGGGTGTGCACCTGTGAAAGGGAACTTAACAGCCAGCTATCTCACAGAGTTGATGGAGAAAGGGCATCATCCATAAGGTTCCAGCATCCACCCCAAGTGTTGTGATGTGCTACTGGCATTCAAGCAACCAAGTCCAAGAAAGCCAGGGATCACAGCTCTGAAACTCTTCCATCCCAGTACGGCCTCCACTTCCTGTTTTCTCCCTGGAGTTTAGGGTTGCCTTTCCTGGTCTGTCTCCAGGTTGCCTGGCCCCCTCCAGGTGGCAGGTGGAGGAGAGAACGCCTTTAGTGATCATGGTAAAAATGATTAAGAGCGCTGTGCATGCAGCTTGCAAGCTTCAGCCCAGCAACTGCAAATTACAGTACAGACACTCTGAAGGAATTTGCTGTCCTCTGCTCCCCTCTCCCAATTACTTTCCATCTCTGGGGCCTGCCCCTGTGATGTCACCAGGGGGGTCGGCCCTGGGTCTCAAGTCTGGGCCCTGAAAACTCAAAGTCTGGCATGGTCCTGACCTGCAACCTGGGTAGAATTTTAGCTCCGCGGAATTTGAGCTCCATGGGGTAGAAACCTAGAATCTCATTCCTTGTGTAGCACCATATACTCTGGTGGCATTATAAGACTACAGTACGAACAACAGCAACACGTTTGTATGGAGCTGGTCCAGCCTGCTGCAGGATATCTCTCAGCACCTGCCACTCTGGAACAGCTGCAGACACCCCAGCACCCCTAGGGCCCACCTTCTCCCTGGGCCACAAACTGGCAGCTGGCCATTTTAATTCATCACAGTATCCCAGACATAGCATGGCTCTGGAGCATTGTGGGAAATGAAAGTGGACGTGTCGGGGGGGGGGGCACCAGAACCAGGAAGGAGGCACACCAGAGGATTCCCTTCAAACCAGCTTTGCAACCAGGGAGTGGAACCTTGCCATTCCTGACAAGGAGCTCCTGGCTTTGCCTTTCAACTTGTTGGGGGGAAGTTTCTTCTTTTGAAGTCAAATGTGACTGTATTGGATTTTCTTGGCAACTGGCCATTTGCATGTTTGTTTCATTTCATAGCACTTTGGTCACTGCTCCCAACAGGCTCAACAACACTCACCTCTCGCACCAGGTCCTGGGTGCCACTCAAGATCAGACCCAGGAGCGGACTTCTGGGGAGGAACCATGGCAGGCTAGATATCGGCTGCTGGTACTCCTGCCAACAGACATAATTATGCAGTGACGAGAGATAATCAAGACATAAATCCAGATTGCCAAATTCCCTTTTGAAATAAGGAAGGACAGCAGTAGAGCCTCGCATGCTCAGAAGAAAACATTCATCATGTTGGGGGAATGTCTGTCTTCAGGGGTGGAGAGTGAGGAAAAGCCCTTGGCCAGAATTAGGTCCAGTCGTGGCCGACTCTGGGGTTGCGGCTTCAAGTCTGCAAACTTCCTTCTTTTAACAGCCAGGTGTTCTAGGGCAGAGTCATTTAGTGCATCCAGAAATGTGACCTTTGTCATGAGAAAGGAGAGACTTGGAGTGTGGCCTTTGTGGCCAGGAGACCTGGCCTTGGCCAGAACTAGCTTCTGACCAGAGCTCTAGTTACTGGGGTGAAGAGCACAGAACTAAAGGAGGCCATGCTTGGGACCCCTTTAATATGGCCAAATTACCTAGGCCGCACTCCAACGCATGCTTACCTGGGGGTAGGTCCCATTGTGCTCAGTGGGGGTTATCTCTGAATAGACATATATAGGGCTGCATTGTTAAAGTTCCATTATATTTAAATTTCCCAACCCACTGTGAGGTGTGGGTGCCCACCCCAGCCCGCTTATTAAAACCCCACCACTCCCAAAGCTCATTCTCCTTCCTGCTTCTCCACAGCCAAACAGGGCTTATAATAATCATGACAGGGAAGATGCGGCAGTAAATCTAACTAGGGTTGGGTCATTTGTTTGCTTCCAGCCAGGCCGTTATAAAAATCTCATTTCCTAATGCAGTCAGCCATGAAGTGGCAACGGCGGTGGACAGAACCTGTTCGTTCACTTATTTATTACACGAGGCATCGCTGTTGTGGTTGCTTGTCTGGTAAAAGCAATGTTTGCATTAAGTGGTTCTCTAGAGCCTTTTACACCATAACATCATTATTGAAAGGGGGGGGGGGAGAGAGAGAAAGTAAGAAAGTAAAAGTCCTGCGTAGGGATGCCATTCGTTCAAATAAAGTAGACCTGCTCATTCCCCTTTAACATTATACGCTAGGAGGTTTGCTTGGCACAGAGTTAAGTGATAGATAAAGCTTCACCTGTTTAATTGCTGCCTGGCTGGCCGCTGAAAAAAGCACAGGCTCAATCAAATACAGGAGGGGGGAGCCACCCAACTGGTGATGCTTTTGTGATTTCACAGGACACCCGCAAACTGTTTTCTTGTCTTTAACAAGTCAGAGCCCCTGAATCTGAGGTCTATGTTCTCTCATCCACCAACCGTAAAGCAGTTAAGAGTGTGATCCGGTGCTTGTCTACTCAGAAGGAAGCCCCGTTTCTAATGGAAATTGCAACCCAAGCGATTATGAAATGGAATGACAATTCTTCCTCATGCCATTAAGCCCCGTTGGTTCATTGTGCTCCACGGGGTGTCCTTAGCTGCAGGGGCCCCGTCTCCTAAGCACAAGAGGGCCCAGCTGCCCCGGCCCTAGCACCCAGTGGGACCAAGGCCAGGGCCACGCCGCCCATTTCAAGCGCCAGTCAGGCCTTCCTCCAGAGGTTTCTGGGAGCTGTAGTTTGTGGAGGGTGCTGGAGTCGTGAGGAGAGCCTCCCTCTTCCCTTCCCAGAGCTGCAGTTCGCCGGCTCCGCCTCTCAGCACCCCCACAAACTACAACTCCCAGAGCCCCTTGGGGGAAGCTGTGCCTTTAAAGGGATGGCGCGGCGGGGGCCCAAGAACAGCCCTGCCAAGGAGCCCCGCGCAAAATGGCTCTGCCGGTGGCTGCTCCTCGGAGGAGAGGCAGCATGCCGGAGGCTGAGGAGGTAAGCGGAGCTCCGGGAGAAAAGTATGGGCAGGAAAGGGAAGATGACTTCTCTCTGTCCTGGACTTTCTCATCCCCTTCAGTACAAGAAAGAGGCCCGTCTGAGAGGGGGTTAAAATGAAATGGGGGGAGGCAGCAGGGAGACCCCACGCTTGGGCTTTATTGCCAGGACACTTGGGAGCGCTGTTTTAAAGAAGCCAAGGGCTATTGATTGATTTGCTTTCTCGTCCGCCCAGGAGCTGAAGGGGCCACGCAAGGCTTTCCTGCTCCCCGGCGTCCCTCCCAGGGAGCTTTGCCGGCTGCCTCGGGGGAGAGACGCTGGGGGGCATCGGGGGTGGGGCTCCCGAGCTGCCGCGCCCCACTGCCGGGAAGGCGGGAAGGAGGATTCGGACGCCCAGGGGCTGGACAGGGGGAGCCACCTTAGCCATCGCTTCAGTCAATAAAACGGGGCAACAAAGGAAACACTTGTCTCCAGCCGAGTTCTTCTGCATTTCTTGTGATGTTGAAGTAATAAAACTCTTCCCCTCCCCGCCCGATGAAAGAGTCCTGTTATGCAAACTACTTAATTTTAGCTAATCAAACAAAGTGAGGCCTACAAAATGGTCGCATTGCATAGAAGGCAGCTCCCTAGTTAGGCATTTGCTGCCATTGGGACAGGCTGTGGTAGCCCTTAGACACCCAATGGCCTTGCTCCTGCGTTGAAGGGGGTGCCAGGCGTGGCCCCCTGCTTAACTTTCCTGCTGGAGGGTCTTGATTCACTGCCCCCAATGCACCTAGGCTTGAAGTTGGGCAACTGAGAAAATGAGGGGCCGGGTGTAGCTAGGGCATTTGTCAGTGCTGCCGAATGCCCCTTATGCAGTGGTACCTCTGGTTACGAACGCTTCAGGTTACGAGCTCCACTAACCCGGAGGTAGCTGCTCCTGGTTGCAAACTTTGCCCCAGGATGTGAATGGAATTTGTGCGCCGGAGGCCCCATTAGCGAAAGCGTGCCTCAGGATAAGAACGGTTTCAGCTTAAGAACGGACCTCCAGAACAAATTAAGTTCGTAACTAGAGGTACCACTGTATTAGGCTTATATTTGGGGCTTTTTTCAGATGGAACTCAGGTCTGGCACCTCTCAGGTGGGTGCCATTGCAACTATTTTTCTAGAAAAATAGCCCTGGCTATATTTTGCCTTTTGGCTACAAGAGCCCACACAATAGCTTATCATGCAAGAAAATACAGAACTGAGGGGTTACAAGAACTGGGGCAACAGGAAACCTGTTTGTAGCAGCGGGGTTCAAAAAGTAAAGCACTAAATAGCCCTCTTCACGGTTTGCTTGAGGGCTAGAAGAGAGGGGGGCCACCGGGGCTGTCCCTAAGAAGGCCTTGTCCCATCACACGTCAACTAACTTCATTCTCCTGCTCTGAGGTGCACTTTAGTTGGTTGGTCTTCCTGGGAAAGGCGCAGTGTCTGGCCAGCAGCTCACAGGGGCAGAAGGGCAAAACGAGGAGGGCAGGGGAAGGTGGCCCAAGCTCTGCACTGGAATGAAGTGCCCACCATGCAGCTATGGAAGATGGGGGAGCATCCAGAGTGTGTCTACCTAACAAACTCATAGGGAAGCCTATTTGACTGCCCACCAAGAATCTTGGGCGCTGTTTGGTTGAGGGGCTGAGAACGTTGTATGGATTTGTTTATTTATTAACCTGATCTTCCTCCCAAAGGAGCCCAGGGCAGCAAATCACAAGTGATGAAACAGAACTCCATTTCTCAGAGTTTGCTAGGAGGGGAGGGTGCCCACTAACTTCTCGCTCCAAGATGTGTGTGTCATGTGTGTCTGTCTCCTGTGACCTCCCAGGGGTTGGATTCCAAGTCCCTCCATTCCCAACTTCTTGCCAGGTCTGATGAGACCTGAAGCTCAACAGCACCTGGGGGGCTGCAGGTTCTCAGACCCAGATTTAATCCAAGCTGAACACACCATGCATTTAAAGCACATCAAAAGTGCATATTCCCCCTTCCAAGAATCTTGGGAACTGTAGTTTATCCTTCACAGTGCTAAAATTCCCAGTGTCCTTAACAAGGCACACCTCTTAGGATTATTTGTCAAGAGTCGTGGGCTTTGAAAGTATGCTGTGTGTGGAACCTGAGTGTCCAGGCTGCATTTGGTGCCTTGGTGCCTTTGCTTTCCTATGTCCTAAGTCCTTCCTTTGGGTTTGTTTCCCTGGTTCGACTTTGCAACTGCTCCGCTCACAATCAACTCCAGGGAAGTTGCTGTTATGTTGAGGGTCACTGCATTGCTCTGTGATACTGGATTCGAGAGCGAGGCTTGAGCAGGTCAAAAAGGCTGGTGTCACGATTGATTGGGAACGTGCAGAGTGATACTTTGTAAAATTTCTGCTGAGATGCATTTCCTCCTCTAAGGTACAGGCTTCTCAGCCCTTCAGATGCACCGTTGTCTTTTTGACAGGTAGTCTCTTGACAACATTGTCCTGGGGTTAAAATGAGTGCAGCACTTTTGGAACCAGGAGAGCATGCAAACTACGGCAAGTCCCGTCCCTTGCCCCCCCCAAACTATCTGTTAAGTTGAGAATCAGCAATGGGCTGCCAACTCAGCACACATTTAACCCACAAGGTAATGCTGGAATCCGGCAGTTCAGTATCCTACCGTCCTGGTGTTGGAACCAGAATCTAGGTCCTAGATGAACTTTGGTCTTGGCTGCAAACACGACATCTGACCCCCCCAAGCATTTGGACTGATGCAGGGGTAAGTTAAAGTTGCAGATGTTCTGTGCAATTGCTCTGGGGACAGTGTAGATTTTGGCTAAGTTTGAATTGAGCTTGAATTGAGTTGCAGCTGAGAAAGGTTTAATGGGATGATTTAGTCACGAAATGCAAAAGTGGATCTGTTTTGTTGTCCTGCTATTTCTCTAAGATGTAGGATAAATAAACAGACAAATGTCAGCTTTCTCAACTTGCCTCGATGCTTGGGCTGGGATTTATGATGGTTTCCCCTACCTGCAATTGGACTAGGATGCATGTGCTTGTTTTCTGCCAGGACTCGGGGACATCTGTTCTCTTCTACTTGATGGGAGATGTTAAGCCCCTCCTCAGCTCCACGTCAGTAAACTACCATTGCAGGGCCTGGGACCTCTTGGTGATGGAGGGTCTCTTGGAGGGGGGTGGGCGCTTCTCTTCATGACCAGACCTTTGATACAGGGTTGGCATGTGATGGTTGGTCCAGTATTGTCCAGTAATAAAAGTAATTGCAGCATCAGTTTCTTAGAACTGTATAGTGTGCTGATTACAAAGAGCATCTTGCACAATGCCCAGAGTGCAGCACCTCCAAAAGCTTTGTTGATAAATCTGTATTTATGAGCAAGACTTGAGGGTTAATTCTGAATCAGTTAAGCCAAGCAAAATTTCCAGTTGTGGGGCAGGGAAAGGGGGCATCACTCTCCTGCCTTTTATTCACCAGTAGTTTTGATTTAATTCTTTATAAGAGGGATGGGAACCCCCTTTTTCTGTTGAGGGCCACGTTCCCAAAGGTGGAATCTGCCAGAGGCCTCGTGCCAACTGGGTGCACAGCTGAAGCCCATGGTAGGCAGGGCTGGATACAAAGTGGGGAGCGCAACCTCCTCTCTCTCTCCGGCTTCCTCTCTGCCCAGCCAGATGCAGCAGATCACAGGTCACGCTTGACAGAGGAGGCACTTATTAGTTTGGGGGTCACACGTGGCCTCAAGGCCAACCTTTCTAGTTTTAATCTGCTGTTTTACTTTGTTATGTTCCACTGCTGAATTAGCTGTTGAATTATAACAAAAGGCAGCTGTTCTTATTTTATTTTTTTAGTCCAGCTGTTTTTATTATTGTACACTGATTTATGCTTTAAACAAAATATTGATTTGATTCTTATTTACTGTGTGTTTGCTATTTTTTAACTGTGTCGTCTGCCACTTTGGAAAGTGGTTGTACAGAAATGGAAGGTACAAATTTTGGAAAGAAATTTTGCTTCCTCTCCTTCTCAAATCTGGTTTGCAGAACCAGATTAAATTATGTATAAGCAGCAACTGCATACAGATATACGGTACTTGGCTTGCATTATAGATACAGATTGCAGAAATAGTGTGGGGTTTTTTTATTTTTTTTTTAAGTGTGTACAAAGTCCTGGTTATAACTCCAGTGATGTATACTATTATACCATTTGCGCACGCAGGTGATGTCCTATGCGCTGTAACCTCAGAACTTAGAAATAGCCAGCCTGTGCAATCCAGGCTAATTTTTGCAACAAGTAAAAAGCAGGGATGCTACTCTGTTTCTCCAAACCTGACCTGATACCGCTCTTGCACTTTATGCCAAGACATCCTCGCTGCAGAACTTGGGAACATCCTGCAGAGGTGATGCCAAGCCCCTCCCCTCCCCAATGAGCATGTGGCCGCTACACGAGCTTCAGTTTAGTCTCTTGGCTGCTACACGAGCTCAAAGCGTGTTGCTGCTGCTCCTGACCCTTAACAGGTGAAGCTCCAGTTTGTAGCTACTGTGCCATTGGAAGCTGCTTTTTCTCAAAGTCAGGGCCTTGATCCGCTTGGCTCAGCATTGCCTACGTGGACTGGCAACACCTCTTTCAGAAGGGGAATATTCCCAGCCCTACTACAGATGTTGGGGGCTCAATCCTGGGACCTTCTGCAAGTAAAGCAGGGGCTGTGGCTCTGAGCCACGACCCTCCTTGTACCTGCGGCCTCTTTTGACCCCCACAAGATTCTCTCTCTGCTGCTGACCAATCCACAGATAGGGAATTGCATACCCCCTTAACTTTCTGAAGCCCAAGAGACCCACTTTTTTTGTTGGTTTCCCTGCTTGAAATTTGAATGGCCCCTGGCTTGGCCTATTGTTTCTGCACCCCAAATGAGCAGGAGTTGCACCGTCTCCGAGATGACAGCGACTGGAGGGTTCTGGGGGAGGTGGGCAGGGGAGACCGAAAGAAATATGCCTTGATTCCCTCCCACTCATCACAAAGCCCACACTGTTTCAAAGCATCAGGATTCCTGTCCCAAAGAAGGTTCTCTTGACCTGGCCCACCTTGCCACAGCATCCACAGAGCGGACGTGCTCTGCCTGGGGCTCCCCTTCTCTCTCTCTCTTAACCTGTTCATTCTTCACCTGTCGCATTGGGTTGGGGGGGGGGAGGCCCCAGAGGAAGAGGCCTGACATGGCAGGTCTAACGGAACCCCGCCCCCTGGCCCTGAGCTAGAGGACGGCCGAGCCGGTCGGTCCTCGGCTTAGTCGCTGTAGACCTGCCTGAGCCTGACAAGAAAGAGTTGCCAGGAACAAATCTCTATTGTTCGCTGTCATCTTTAAATGAGTGTCAAAGTAGGCAGGGGGGCTTTGACCGTTAACTGCACAATTTGGCGGGGGCCCTTGTGTCCAGCCTGGCCAGCCCAGGCGCCCCCCTCCCGTTTCTCAGATTAGCAGAGGCGGCCTCCAGCCTCTCTCCTAAATGGGCCATCCTTGGCCCTTTGTCCACAGACTGCCCGGTGTGAAATTTGCAGCGACGTTAAATGTTTTCTAATGAATAATTATTGAAAGGAAATGGTGGGATGTGTGTGTAATGGATTGTAGCACATTAAAACGTTTTATTCGGGGGACACAAAAATGTTGTCCTTCATAAGCGCTTTCGGAGAAGGGCTTTCTTCCCCCTCCCCACCCCCGGGAGAGAGGTTTTTTAAAAAATTCTCAGAGGATTACCATCAAACTCTTATAACAGGGTGTCTCTTTCTCTCTCTCTCCCCTCCACCCTGATAGAAATGGAAAGAGGCCCCCTGGCCATCAAATCTTTTTCAAGATGGCAGCCGTGAAGCCTGTGGAACTGTTGGAAGCTTTGGGGTTTTAAAGGAATGTTTTTGAACTGTCTTTTGCTTTGGGAGAATAGGTTGGGTTCCCCTCTCAACCTCTGTGCTTTTCACGGAGAAAGACGATCTAAGGCTGCTGTGCCAAAGTTACAGGCAAGGATTTGTCTATTGACAAGGAACCGTGGAATAATCCTGTCCCCCTCATGCTGATGACGATTAACCTTAAAAGCTTGCATTTTCTGTTCTCTGGAATATATTGCCATGTAAATGTTTTGCTGTGGGTATAATCAAGTTTAGAACATTATTATATCATCTTTAAAAAACTGCACAGGGGTGTCTGCCAAGTTTTGTCTTTTTCCCAAGCAGACAGCTGGTCACCACATTTATATTTAATGCTGGCTTTTCAGTGAGATTAGTAAGCTTACAGATGTGGTAGATTTTCTTAAAAAGAACCTGGAATGGTTTCCCTTTATAAATGATATTCTGTGCATGCACCACAAGAGTGACCATCCCCACTTCCTGTGGCGTTCTGGGGGTGTTTTGCTGGTTGCTAAGGGGCAGCTGAGTTCGAAAGCATGTCATAGTGCAAGTAGATAAATAGGTACTGCTCTGGCGGGAAGGTAAACGGCATTTCCGTGTGTTGCTCTGGTTCGCCAGAAGCAGCTTAGTCATGCTGGCCACATGACCCAGAAGCTGTACACCGGCTCCCTTGGCCAATAAAGCAAGATGAGCGCCGCCACCCCAGAGTTGGTCATGACTGGAGCTAATGGTCAGGGGTCCCTTTACCTTTAAGGAGCAGCTGGTTCCAGGGCAGCAGGTATCCCCCTGCCCTTTATATTTTGTCCTAGTGGAAATAATTTGATTATATAATTCAGTCCCACAAGATGTGGCAAAGGCTTTATGTGGCTTTTGAAAAAAGTTAAGTTCATGGAGAAGGAGAAGCCTGTGAACTGCTCTAAACCTAAAGGAAATCTCCATCCTCAGAAGCAGTTTACCTTTTGTGCCCTACAGGCTGGGGACAGGTGGGATGGAGGTTGCCGCCTTGCCCTGCCCTGCCTCTGAGCTTTCCAGAGGTGTCTGAATGGCCACTGCATGGGACTGGTGCAATCTATTTTGCCACTTGAGGCAAAGGACAAGATGGCAACCCCACTCCACATTCAGCAAACCATCCAGGCTGGAAGTTGATGCATATTTCCATGCTGATGGTTGGACAGCCTCCTCCTCCTCCGTGGCCAATGACAGCAGGCTAGCTCATGAGATGCCAGCTGGCCCCTTGCTCTGCCTCACATCCTTTGGCAGCTGTCTCCTGAGATCGGCACTGCCACTCTCTGCCCAACGAGAGGGCCAGCTCTGCAGGAAATGGGATCCTGGGCAAGGCAAGGCAGGGCTCCTTGGGGAATTCAGCAATACCAGATCTACATGTCAACAATTGCCAATTGACTGGTTGGTTTTCAAGGAGGGATAGACAGTTTCACAGAGGAGAAGTGTGCCAGAAGCTGCTTTATGCCAGGTCAGACTCTTAATTGTTCACCAGTATGTATTTTATTTTATGTTAGAATATTTGATTTAATGTTTGTGATTGTAATGCAGAAAAGATCCCTGCATTGCAGGGGGTTGGTGACCCTTGGGGGTCCCTTCCAACTTTACAATTCTATGATTCTAAGTACCACTTCTACTTTGTTCTGTATTTACCCCTCTCTCCAAGCAGGGAGAGACTCTGGGGGCCCTGCGCTTTGCCAGGTTTGGTTTCCTTGGAATGAGGGTCAGCCGAGGCCTTCAGGGTGTACCCAAAGGGTGCTCATCAATGGTTCCTCTTCATCCTGGAGAAGAGTGACTAGTGGGGTGCCACAGGGTTCTGTCTTGGGCCCGGTCTTATTCAACATCTTTATCAACGACTTGGATGATGGACTCAAGGGCATTCTGATCAAATTTGCAGATGACACCAAACTGGGAGGGGTGGCTAACACCCCAGAGGACAGGATCACACTTCAAAACGACCTTGACAAATTAGAGAACTGGGCAAAAACAAACGATGAATTTTAACAGGGAGAAATGTAAAGTATTGCACTTGGGCAAAAAAAAATGAGAGGCACAAATACAAGATGGGTGACACCTGGCTTGAGAGCAGTACACGTGAAAAGGATCTAGGAGTCTTGGTTGACCACAAACTTGACATGAGCCAACAGTGTGACGCGGCAGCTAAAAAGCCAATGCAATTCTGGGCCTCATCAATAGGAGTATAGCATCTAGATCAAGGGAAGTAATAGTGCCACTGTATTCTGCTCTGGTCAGACCCCACCTGGAGTACTGTGTCCAGTTCTGGGCACCACAGTTCAAGAAGGACATTGACAAACTGGAACGTGTCCAGAGGAGGGCACCCAAAATGGTCAAAGGCCTGGAAACGATGCCTTATGAGGAACGGCTAAGGGAGCTGGGCATGTTTAGCCTGGAGAAGAGGAGGTTAAGGGGTGATATGATAGCCACGTTCAAATATATAAAAGGATGTCACATAGAGGAGGGAGAAAGGTTGTTTTCTGCTGCTCCAGAGAAGCGGACACGGAGCAATGGATCCAAACTACAAGAAAGAAGATTCCACCTAAACATTAGGAAGAACTTCCTGACAGTAAGAGCTGTTCGACAGTGGAATTTGCTGCCAAGGAGTGTGGTGGAGTCTCCTTCTTTGGAGGTCTTTAAGCAGAGGCTTGACAACCATATGTCAGGAGTGCTCTGATGGTGTTTCCTGCTTGGCAGGGGGTTGGACTCGATGGCCCTTGTGGTCTCTTCCAACTCTATGATTCTATGTTTTATTTACACCTATATAGAGCCTGGGCATAAGATGGAGGGGCTCACAACATTCATCAGTATTTCAATGCAAACTTTAAATTTGCAGTTTAGCCCAGCACACGTTTGAACAAAGCAATCTTCCCTAAGACATTTGTGTATGTTGCTTTCACTAATAGATGCATTATAATGCACATTTTACCCCAATGCCTGCATTTTTGTACACTTTACGTGGCCAGAGAACTGCACTGCAGAATTTGTAGAAGTGCAAATAGTGAAGGATGGCTGTGTTTCAGTTTTCATATTTCAGAGGCAGGCTAGCCTTTAAATGTGAAAGGAAGTGAATTTCTCCCCATCCCTATGCTTGATCAATGTTGTCTCCATTTCCGTAATCCTAAGTGCTTGGCTGCCCTTCCTTGGTGGCGAGAGAGTGGCACTCTGCACATGCTTGGTCAGAGTCAGAAGTGCTTCTGAATATGAGCTGCTGGAAACCACAGAAGGGGAGAGTTGCTCTTGTGCTCGGCTCCTGCTTGCAGGTTTCCCATGGGGGCATCTGGTTGGCCACTGTGAGAAAAGGAGGCTGGACTAGATGGGCCTGACTCAGCAGAACTCCTCTTATGTTTCAGTGCTTCTGTGTCACGTATGGCTTGGTCCTGTACTGAGCTCAGCAGCTGGTGCTGTGCTGTGGAGAGGCCTGGGTCAAAGAAAGCTGTGCACCGCAGCGCAGGGATAAGAAACATACAGTGGTACCTCGGGTTAAGAACTTAATTCGTTCTGGAGGTCCGTTCTTAACCTGAAACTGTTCTTAACCTGAGGTACCACTTTAGCTAATGGAGCCTCCTGCTGCCGCCGCGCCACCGCCACGCGATTTCTGTTCTCGTCCTGAAGCAAAGTTCTTAACCCGAGGTACTATTTCTGGGTTAGCAGAGTCTGTAACCTGAAGCATCTATAGCCCGAGGTACCACTGTATTTGCAAGAAGACTACCTTCCCAAAAGCAGGTGAACTCTGCAAATGCTTGATGGCTGTTGTTTGTCCAGAGCCTGTCGGAAAGGGTAGGATCTACCTAGGCAGAAGTAGCCTGCCTGGAATTATACAGGCCCTAGTCACCTCCAGGTTTGACTACTGCAATCTGTTGGTATGTCGGGCTGCCCTTGAGGACGAGGTTCTCTAAAAAAAAATCCGGTTCAAGATGCAGCAGCTGCTGACTGGCTCATCTAATAGGAAGTAAGTAAATAAGATAATATTGTACTAGCCAGAGAGGCCATGACAAAACCATACAAACCCTGTCAGAAAGAGTGTTTTTGCCTCTGCCTAAGACATAAGCAAGGCTGCAGTTGGGGCACCTCCACGACTGCATGCAATGCATTTCTGTTTAGACCTCTGAATCTCCCTCACAAGTCACTGCAATTTTCTCCACTTCCTCCTCCTTGATTTTTCTTGCCACCAGCCCAAAGAGGGCTCAGCAGCCTAGAACGTCTCTGCGAAGGAGAGACTGCTTTCTTGGAACAAACAGGGGATTCAGAAAGTGCCTCCTAGGTTCTGTGTATAGTGGGCCATGTCACAAATAACGGTGAATGTCTTCTACATGCACTTGCCCACAAATACAGAGTCTCTCTATCTGCATATGGGATCTAGTTGCTCGTCCAGCACAGCTGAGGGCATTGCTTGGAAACGCAGCCCAATAGAGACAGATCTTAATAGAGCTGGCCAGAGTTTAGACAAACAAGTGGCTCTAAAATTTACTCAGGTGCTTAAATTCAGTATCTTAACTTTTTCTTCTTTTTTATGTTGCTTACACTGGACTTAAAAAAAAATCTTCATCAGCTTCTGTTACCATGTGTCTATATTTTATGCACTCACCTCGGGCAGAATATAAATCCATCAAGTAAGAATGAATTAAATCAATTGATAAGACAAATTAATAAACTTTCTGCCCACTTTGTGTTGTGATCAGCAGAGGGACTGTTAAGGATTTAATTTTAAAGAAGGTTTTAGGGTGACCTCTTGTGGGAGAAAACAGGACGTACGTCTTCTGAAAATGTGAAGAAGTCACTTGTCATTTCTGTAACCAGAGCGCCCTCTTCTCCTCAGACATGATTTTTTAAAAAAACAACAACAGGTGCCTTGTTGGGCCAAAATCCAACAGGGGGCTCAGGGTGCTTAACCTGTTGAATTTCCTCTTTACTGTTCAGCTGGGAAAAGCAGCTCAGCCCTGTTAGAGGAGGGAGGTGAATAAGGAGTTCTGCAGGCAGGAATTTTAGATGCAATGATGGTTGTGGGAGTTTAACCTGTTGGATTTCTGCTGATGTTCAACTCATGGCTTTAGTTACAGATAGGTAGCCGTGTTGGTCTGCCATAGTCAAAATAAAAAAAATCCTTCCAGTAGCACCTTTAAGACCAACTAAGTTAGTTCTTGGTATGAGCTTTCGTGTGCAAGCACACTTCTTCCCACCACCCTTCTGAGTAATACCCCTCCCCACCTTCTCACTATATAGAAGGATCTGGCAACTTCTGTTTCAGTGTATCTGAAGAAGTGTGCTTGCACACGAAAGCTCATACCAAGAACTAACTTAGTTGGTCTTAAAGGTGCTACTGGAAGGATTTTTTTTATTTTGATCATGGCTTTAGGGCATTAATAATTGGATCTCCTGCCTTCCCGCTCCTGCCACCCAAAGATTTTTTTCTTATATTTTGCTCATAGGGCAGCTGAGTGCATTGCAAAATGAAGGGTTGGTGAGCCCTCTGCCATCTTAATTTGCCCAGTGCAGGGATTTCAAAGGCCGTAGATAGGTAGATGACTTGGCTACAGCACTCCATGCTCTGGCAACTTCCAGATTGTGTTATTGCCATGTGTGCGCTGTGGTCTATGTGGGGCTGTGCTTGAAGACAGCTGAGAAACTCCAGCTTCTCCAAAATTACTAGCTGGTTTGGCTTTAGATCATATATGACCTCTGTTCTAAAACTGTGGCTGCCAGTTCTGTTTTGTTTTTTAAGGCCCAATTCAAGATGCTCACATTAGTGTTCAAAGCCCTAGCTAGGTTTGTCCTATGTCCTTTTTTTTCAGGACACACCCTCTTTTTCATGGGTATGTAAAATGAGAGTTGTCATAGTGATCCATAGCTAAAAGTAGAAGTCGGCAAATATGTCCTCTTTTTTTGCTGTTCAAAATATGGCAACCCTACAAACATTGCAGGTCTTAAACACCTGAAATGCGTAGGTTTGGAGCGTAGGTTTAGAGGCTTGGAGTGGTGGCAGCCCAGAGCAGGGCGTTCTCTGTGGCAGCCCTTCAGCTGTGGAGGTCCCTCTACACAGAGGTGCACCTGCCTTTTTCACTGAACAGCTTTGGGCAAATGTTGAAGATGTACCTCTTCAGCACTCCTTCCTTGGAGGTTTTTAAGCAGAGATTCGATTGCCATCTATAATGGATGCTTTAGCTGAGTTTCCTGTGTTGCAGGGGTTGGTCTAGATGACCGTTGGGGTCCCTTCTAACTCTACAATTCTATGATTCTATGTGTGTTTTCAGGACCCACCTATTATTGCAAATGCAATATGCTTTAACTGCTTTGAATTCTGAATGTTGAGTTGGTGTAACCCAGCCTGGGGCCTGCTGGTGAAGGCTGGGTAACATAATTATTATTGTTTGTTGTTAATGTAATATAATTTAGCTTATATAGATTTGTGTCACATGAGCCCTGCACCCTGGGTCCTTTCAGTATCGAGCAACTTGGGGCAGGTGTTTTCCTTGAGCAGGCATTTCTGGTGCCTGCTTGAAATGGCCTCCATGAGACGCTTGAGCCAGGGTCCCTGGCTGCAGGAAGGCAGCGGTCCTTGAGACAATGCTACTGTGGGTGGCAGAGAAAATGATGAGAATCTCTCCCCCCCCCATGCCCTTAATGGGTTGGTTTCTCACTGCAGTCAGTGGAAACTGAGCACTTCCTTGTGCAGCTGTGGCAGTCCAAGGATGGCAGGAAGGGAAGCAATTTGCCCGAGGGGTAATTCTGTGAAAAGAAATAGGTGAGAGAAATCTGATCCAGTAGGCAGCTCCTGGGATTTCAAAGGCCACTCACTCCTTTCTCTCTCTGGTCTCAGAGAAGGTAAGGTGTTCTTTCTGTATCCGGTGCAGAGCAGTGTGTTGGTCTTCATACTGTCAGTGCCCCTTGAGAGGGGCTGGCCGAGCATCCTGGTCAGCCAGGCCTGGGACCTTTGGGGAAGAAGCAGTTATTTCCTAGGAGGAAAAGGGGAAAGGCTGAAGCTGCCACAATGTCGAATGAGAAGCCTTGGCTGTTCTAACCCTAGATGTGCGCAGAATTGAGAGAGTTGTACAGTGGAGAGAGCAACTCTGCACATGGTCAGAGGCACTTTAGTCTCTTATTTTGTGTTCCTCTCTCCACCCCTACCCCAGGCTGTGTCAGCATAGGAACAAAGGAAGCTGCCTTCTAGCGAGTCAGTCCATTGGACCACCCAGTTCAGTACTGCCTGCACTGGCTGGCAGCAGCTCTCCACGGCTTCTGGCTGGGCTCTCTTTGGGGATTGAACCTGGGACCTTCTGCATGCAAGAACAGGTGCGGTCTTGCTTCACCGGAAGCCCTGGGAAGCAGCCCTGGAGAGTATTCACGCAGCAGATTTAGGAAGGCAGAGAGTGACATTTTTATAAGGGCCAGTGAGTTAGTGAAGATTCCAGTCTGCTGTTGGGTAGAGCTTTCTGACAGGAAGAGCTGTTTGACAATGAAGCAGACTCCCTGGGAAGGTGGTGGGCTCTTCTTTGTTGGAGGTGTTTAAACAGAGGTTGGATGACCATCTGCCAGGGATTCCTGAGCTGCGATTCCTCCACTGCAGGGGGTTGGCCCTTGGGGTCCCTTCCAGCTCTGCAGTTCTGTGATTCTCTGCTCATAGTTTCTCTGTGGGAAAAGGCAGCACGAGATGCAGGAAAGCAGGAGGGTGGGTGGCACAGCGTCCCCATGAGGATTGGGAGCACATGTGTTTTCTATTGCCTTCTGGATATTTTGGACTACAAGTCCCATCATCTCTGAAAGTTGGCCCTGCTGGCTTCTGGGCCCCAGGTTGGGGAAGTCTGCTGCAGGCCCTTCCCCATGCAGGTGGGGCTTAGCATGTGGGGAAGGCACCTGCAGGATGCTGTCTTCGCAGGGTGTACTTGTGGGTGAGATTTTGAGGGGGAGGAGGAGCTACTAAATGAGCACGCAAGGTGGGCTCAGCCAAGCAAAAGTGGGAGGTGCTTATCAGAGCTTGCAGGGCAGCAGCTGAAGAAGGAGGAAAAAGGGTTTTCTTGTGTGTGTGTTTCTTTGTGGCTGATTAGCTGCTCTCCCTGTGCAAAGGTCAGAGGGGGCAGGGTTTCTGTTGAGGCAGGTGATTAGCTGTGGGAGGAGCTTATCAGAGCTTGCAGGGCAGCGGCGCGCACAGTTTGATCCATCTTTTAGATTTAGGGGAGCTAGTCTCAAATGTTTGTTGGGGGAGACCTAGGTTTTTTTGGGGGGGGAGTTATTTGTCCTGTCTTCATGCTTTTTATGATGGAGGACCGCTGTAGCCACCCCCAACGACACGTTCTCAAGATGGAGGGGGAGGGAACAGCTGCAGTCGCCTGCGGTTCCTGCGCAATGTTTGCCATCTTGCCAAAGGTTGCAGGCAGCTTTACCTGCAGCAATTGCATGTTGATTGCCCTCTTAGAAGACAAAGTCCAGCAACTGGAGGAACGTGTAGCTACGCTCCAAAGAATTAGAGAGCTGGAGCTCTTCTTGGAAGCAACAGAGCACACCGTCTCCACCAAGGAGGAGACAGGGGACTCCCTGAGAAGGAGGCTAGTTCACCAACACAGGAGCCAGATATATGGAGAAACGTGACTCAAAGAAGTAGGAGGCCCAGGGTTCGCTCTGATTGTTTAGAAATATACAATCGCTTTGAGGTCCTCTCCCCTAGCATGGAAGACGAAGAGCAGACTCCATTTGAGGATCTCTCCCTCATTACAGTCGATCAGGTATATGAAGACGATCAGCAAAGTCAGTCCTCAGGGAATGTGCAGGCGACCTTGGAATGGACAGCTCACGGAAGAACCCCGACCAAACCTAAGAGGAGGTGTGTAGTGGTGATAGGGGATTCCCTACTGAGGGGAACAGAAGCAGTGATCTGTGGGCCTGACAAGATGTCTCGGGAAGTGTGCTGTCTCCCCGGGGCTAAGATCCAAGATGTAACTGAACGACTGCAAGGAATCATAAAACCCACTGACAAATACTCCTTCCTCTTGGTTCACGTGGGAACCAATGACACTGCAGGCAATAGCCTCCAGAAGATCAAAAGAGACTACGAGACTCTGGGCAGGAAATTGAAGCAATTAAATGCACAAATTGTCATCTCATCTGTCCTCCCAGTTGAACGACGTGGCCCAGGGAGAGAGGGGAAAATAGTGGAAGTGAACAGCTGGCTTCGCAAATGGTGTAAACAGGAACGGTTTGGATTCTTAGATCACGGACTGCAGTTTCTTGAAGATGGACTTCTGGCAAGCGATGGGCTGCACCTCACAACGGTTGGGAGGAATGTTTTTGCCAAAATCTCAGAAACCTCATCAGGAGGGCTTTAAACTGACTAATGTGGGGGAGGGAGACGGTGCTCCTGAAGGTAGGAGTCTATCAATTGATGAAGATGATCATCCAAATGTCATAGACCAAATGGAGCAAACGGCACGCAAACCTACTGGTGGGAGGAAAAAATCCTTAAATAAGAGACATGGGGGAATGATTAATGGACTTCAATGTCTGTACACTAATGCGCAAAGCATGGGAAATAAACAAGATAAGCTTGAGCTCTTGGTACAGCAAACTAAATATGACATAATAGGCATCACTGAAACCTGGTGGGATAAGTCCCACGATTGGAATGTAATAATGGAGGGATACAATCTATTTCAGAGAAACAGACCAGACAAGAAAGGAGGAGCAGTGGCGTTATATGTCAGGGATGTGTATACCTGTGAAGAGATCCAAGATTTAGAACCTCAAAGCCAAAGTGAGAGCATTTGGGTCAAAATTAAGGGAGAGAAGAATAATAGTGACCTCATTATGGGAGTTTACTATAGATCCCCAAGCCAAACGGAGGACATAGATGATGCCTTCCTGGAACAGATGGCCAAGCATGCAAAAGGAAGGGAGATAGTAGTAATGGGGGACTTCAATTACCCGGATATTTGTTGGATGTCAAACTCAGCCAAGAGCATAAGGTCAAACAGATTCCTCACTGGCCTTGCAGACAACTTCATTGTCCAGAAAGTGGGAGAAGCAACAAGAGGAACAGCCATTTTAGATCTGGTCCTAACCAATGTTGATGACCTGGTTAGTGGGGTAGAAGTGGTAGGATCATTAGGCGCGAGTGATCATGCTCTTCTGAAGTTTACTATACAGCGGAAAGGAGCAGCCAAGCATACTAGGACTCAATTTCTTGACTTTAAGAAAGCCAACTTCATAAAACTTAGGGAAGTGCTGGGTGAGATCCCATGGACAGTAATACTAAAAGGAAAGGGAGTTCATGATGGCTGGGAGTTTGTTAAGAGGGAGATAGTAAAAGCACAACTTCAGGCAATACCAATGAGACGGAAACATGGAAGGTACCTAAAGAAGCCAGGGTGGCTATCTAAAGAACTTTTAACTGAGTTAAGATTTAAAAAAGGATGTGTACTAAAAGGAAAGGGGGGAAACCACCAAAGAGGAATTCAAACAAATAGCCAGCACGTGTAGACACAAAGTCAGAAAAGCTAAAGCACAGAATGAACTCAGGCTTGCTAGAGAGGTTAAAAGCAACAAAAAAGGCTTTTATGGGTATGTTTGTAGCAAAAGGAAGAACAAAGAAACAGTGGGGTCACTCAGAGAAGATGGTGAAATGCAAACAGGGGACACGGAAAGGGCTGAACTCCTCAATGCCTTCTTTGCCTCAGTCTTCTCCGATAAAGAAAACAATGCCCGACCTGAAGAATTTGGAGCAAATGATTCAGCAGAGGACACACAGCCCAGAATAACTAAGGAGATAGTACAAGAATACTTGGCTAGTCTAGATGTATTCAAGTCTCCAGGGCCAGATGAACTGCATCCAAGAGTATTAAAAGAACTGGCAGATGTGATCTCAGAACCACTGGCAGTCATCTTTGAGAATTCCTGGAGAACAGGCGAAGTCCCGGCAGACTGGAGGAGGGCAAATGTTGTCCCTATTTTCAAAAAGGGGAAAAGAGAGGACCCAAATAATTACCGCCCAGTCAGTCTGACATCAATACCAGGGAAGATTCTGGAGCAGATCATTAAGCAAACAGTCTGTGAGCACTTAGAAAGGAATGCTGTGATCACCAATAGTCAGCATGGATTTCTGAAAAATAAGTCATGTCAGACTAACATGATCTCATGTTTAGCCTGGAGAAGAGGAGGTTAAGGGGTGATATGATAGCCACGTTCAAATATATAAAAGGATGTCACATAGAGGAGGGAGAAAGGTTGTTTTCTGCTGCTCCAGAGAAGCGGACACGGAGCAATGGATCCAAACTACAAGAAAGAAGATTCCACCTAAACATTAGGAAGAACTTCCTGACAGTAAGAGCTGTTCGACAGTGGAATTTGCTGCCAAGGAGTGTGGTGGAGTCTCCTTCTTTGGAGGTCTTTAAGCAGAGGCTTGACAACCATATGTCAGGAGTGCTCTGATGGTGTTTCCTGCTTGGCAGGGGGTTGGACTCGATGGCCCTTGTGGTCTCTTCCAACTCTATGATTCTATGATTCTATTCTATGAAAAGCAGCAGCAGCAGACTCCCAAACTGCTTCGCCGATAAATTGAGCAAATGGCCTGTCACGATGGGGTGCATGTAAAGCAGCCCCAAATTCTGTCACTTAGACATTCTCCCCGACAGTAGAGCCAGGTGAATCTGTCAATATCTGCTTTCTTTCAATTTCTCAGTTTCCAACCTTAAATTCAGCTGGCTACATTTCTGCATTAGTGACCTTTTGAAAAAATAATCTGCATGAAAATAAATATGATTTGTTGTGTACATTTATCCCAATATATGTATTTTTTGCAAGGAATTTTCACCAGTTTACACATATCTTTGCACACTTTTTGGCCAAAGAACAGCATTAAAAAAATTGGAGAAATGCAGATTTTGATAGATGGCTGTGTCCCAGTTCGCTTACTGGTTTGGGAAGTGTAAATTAGGTAAAATGTGAATTGAATGGATTTCTTCCCCCACCCCCATCCCTGCTTGACAGATAACTTCCTAGGTGTGTGTTCAGGGCTGCATTAGCTTTCTGGAACCTATGAAAGAGTCGCCATGTCCCTGTGATCTGTTCAGCAAGCCTTTCTCTGCTGCAGGTGCAGATGAGCAAGATCTGTTTCTAAGAGCCACTTGGAATCTCTCTCTCTCTCTCTCTCCTCCAAGGTGATGAAAAATATATTTGCTCAGCTCATGACCCTGGTGACCAGCAAGCTCCGATAAAAACCTTGCACAGAAAGACGCCCTGTCCAATTCACTGCCTTCCCAACCATGGCCATGAGTTCCCATTGGCGGAACAGCATCCCCAGTCAGGGCAGAGATTGCAACAATATGTTTAAAGTCCAGCTGGCTCACTTTAGAAAGGGCTGCGTTGTGGAACAGGCAGAGGAGAATCGCAGGACGGAGCCTAGGCCTGCCAGGTAAGGGAACGTGGGGGAAGCTGAAGCCCTAGCAGCTCATCCAAGCAGACGCCCCCTGGAGCACAGCTGTGCCCAGCTAGATTCTTAAAAGACTTGTGGCACAGCCTGTGTCTGAAATTCCCATTAAAAATGGCAAGTGCCCATGAATCTGCATGGGGCAAATTTTGGCAGACCTGCAAGCAAATCTTTAAAAGTGTATTTTGGGGGGCAGGAGTTCCAGGGCTCCGTGCAAACGATCTGGGGGCCCTGATCCTCATCATCACCACCACCACCACCTCCCTCCTTTGGCAGAGCACATCTGTTCAACTTGTGGAGAACTCAGTTGGATTCCTGAATTAACTTAAGAGGACAGCAGTGTCTTAGGACAGCCTTCCCAACCTTGTGCTGTTTGGACTACAACTCCCATCAGTCCTAGTTGGCCCAAAACAGCCAGAGGGGAGCCAGGCTGGAGAAGCCTGCCATCGAGCAAGTGGCAGTGGAAGCGAGGAATCCTGGCCAAATACTGCCGTGAATCTATTAAGCTGCAAAGCGGCCAAGAAAATGAGCTACAAACCAGAATATTTACAAATGGTTAGCCTTGGACCAAGGCACTGGCAGACCCCAGTGTTTTTGTGAGATCACTTTTTGTTTTTGTTTTAAGTAGTACCTCGAGGTGCAAAATAGTGTTTCAGTGGGCAGAATGACGATTAAGAGGGTGGAACCAATTGCTTCCCGACAGTCAGTGAACTTCTAGACCAAATTGCGGTGTCTCCAAATTTACAGCTGCAGGGACTCTGGTGCGCTCCGTGCTACTTTTGGTTTAAACTGCAGTGCGATGGTAATACTGATTCTGCCTTGCAGATGTCTTGCTGGTGGCCTCGTTCCAAATTCCAAATCATTTCTTAGCAATTAAGGGAGACTGATGAAAAGTGTGCATAGTTGAGAAGAGGAGACTGAGATTCCAACAGATTCAAATGACAAGAAAGGAGATTTTGATTAAACATTAGGAAAAACTTCCTTGTTACTTGTAGTATGCATGAGGCAGGAGAACTTTGCAAAATGAAGGTTTTTCTCTAGTTCTGATTATTGTAGTTTTAAGTGCAAATAAGTGAGTAAATAGGCTGAATCGGATGGATTTTGTTTCATTGCTTTTCCAAAGGGTTTACAATTTATTAATCTTGCTCCAGTTAGAAAAATTGTCATCACTCCCAAATTTTGCAGCCTTGGGAAGAAACGTTGTGTTTTCTTCTCAATGCAGATTCTAAATGAATTTTGGAAACCATAAAAGAAAATAAAAAAGTTGTGTTTGTGCAGCTTTGCAGGTCAAGCAAATGCTGGTTTCTGGAAGACACAAGGCTACTTCCAGGATAATTCACAAGCCTGGCTGGCATCCAAATAAAAGTATAATGGGATGATTGTGTCAAATTATTTCTAGAGGGACAGCAGCAAAAATTAAAATGAGGTAAAAAAAGTATGTTGTGGCTACTAACAAATACACCATAGTCCTTTATGAAGTCAAGTTTTTGCTGGCAAACGTGACAGACAGCAGGATGCAGCCATGAGAGTGTTGGACTAAGACCGGGGAGATCAGGGTTCTGATCCCAACTTGGTCGTGGAAAGGAAAGTGGGATAGAAACGCGGTAAATATATAAATAGTAATTTTATATATACCTATATTGTCCAGAGTCCTTGAAAAAGGGGTTGGCATGTAAGAAATTTATTTATTATTTATTTGTTACATTTGTATTCCACCTCCCGTGCCACCAGAGCTCAAGGTGGTGTGCATTGTTTCTCCCCTCCCCATTTTATCATTGCAGCAACCCTGTGAGGTAGGTGAGGCTGAGAGGCATTGGCTGGCCCCCCAAGGTCACCCGGCAGACTTCATGGCTGAGGGAGGGATTTGAACCCTGGTCTCTTGGGGTCCTAGTCCAGCACTCTAACCATTCTCCTACGCTGGTGCTCTGGGCGGTTCTCTTCCATCTCTGAAAACTAGCAGGTGGTGTCAAAGATGCCCTGCCGGAAGTTGCTTTGTACTTTAATCTCCCTCTTGGAGAAATTGTGCTCTTCTAGTCATCCTTGATTCAATTCCGCCCCCCCCCCTTTGCCCCTTGCAGATCGAAGCAGCGTGGAGGAAGCCCTACAAGCTGAACATGGAAGGGGCTCTCGTGGCCCGGGACAGAGTTGGGATTCAAGATTTCGTCCTTTTGGATTCTCACACGAGTGAAAATGCCTTCTTGGACAACCTTCGCAAGCGATATCAGGAGAACCTCATCTATGTAATTGCACTCTGAGCTGCTTTAGGGATGCTCCAGTTGGTCATGAGCTGTCTTATGAAGAAAGGGGTGGTGATGGGTGGTTATCATGGGATGCCTGCTGTTCTGGTAGATTGGTGTCTCTTTCAGATATGGAGAGGAAATGTGGAACTAGAACATGAGTGTTGGGCCTCCTGGGGTAGCTTCAAAAGAGGATCAGACCAATTCATGGAGGACAAGGCTAGCAGTGGCTATGGGCCACGATGGCAGGGCCGTGGGCCTTGGACCTTTTGCATGTGCTCTGTCCCTTCCTGGCTTTTGCCTGGTTTGAGCATAACACAAAGCCATAATTTGTTTCTCTGATCATGCCTTGTTCCAAAGGCATTCAGACAAACCATTGTTTGTTTTATTTCCCACGTGCTCTTCCCTCATGCCTGTTGATGGGCATCGGTGGTGGGACATACCAGGATGTACTCTTTACAAAATGTTGCTTTACAAAAATGTATATGAATTAGGCAAAATTGCACACAAACAAATTGCGTTGCAAAATGGTGTGTAAAAGTGGAGAGCTTGCACTTAAGGCTGGAAAACTGAGAAATGGAGATAACCTGCAATGGACAGACCCCCTCATCCCTGTGGCTGTTTGGGTCCTTATTTGTAGCGTTTGTTCCTTACCCCTCAGACGTACATTGGCACTCTCCTGGTGTCTGTGAATCCCTACAAAGAGCTGGGCATCTACACGGTGAAGCAGATGGAGCAATACAAAGGGGTGAACTTCTTTGAGCTGCCACCACACATGTAAGCACGTTGCCAACTTTCTTAGGTGTCTGCTTGCGCAAGTCTCCCACCCAGATTTTAAAGAACTAAATTAGATTTTAAATGGCAAAATCCTTATATTGCTATGTTTCTGAGTTACTGCTTGTAGTTGAGTAGATGTGGAGCCTGTTGCACCTTCCAAAAAGTTTACGCTAATTTGTGGACAGTGTAACGAAAGACTCATTTTTAAATACCTGGCATAAAAAAAATGCTACCACTGTAAGGGAGTAACTAGCATCACACAGGGTTGACTTCCTTCCCAAAGGGAAGGAAATTGTTGTGTAAAACGTGGCTGGAGGAGAATTTTACTTTATCCACATTTTTAAGTAGCAGCACCAGATTTGCAGCTCCCAGACTAATATGTGAAATGGAATGTTATTGTCAGGGCTTTCACCCAGCCTTTGCCAAAGAGGCGCTCATGGTGCGTTCCAGCACCATTTTTTACTAGAAAAATAGCACTGGTAATTAACCTTCAGATTTCACACTTCTCCAAATCTTTCCATTTAAACTATTGTCTCAAAAATGTACCAAAATGTATGTTTTAAAAAGTGTGCATTTTAGGATTACATTTGAAAGTAAGAGTTTAAGTATGAATTTAAATACAGATTTTTATACATTTTTTAATTTGTCTGTAAAATTAATGAGGAAATTGAACAGAAAGGACTTACTAATACACGTGCAATTGGCTGGTGATAGACTGATTCAGCCAGTATGGTGTTGTGGTTATGGCACTGAACTCTGACCTGGGAGACCAGGGGTCAAATCCCAGTTCAGCCATGATGCTCCCTGGGTGTTCTTGGGCCAGTCACTGGCATCTCTCAGCCTAACCCGCCTCACAGGGTTGTTGTGATGATAAAATGAGAAGGAGAACTGTGTACGCCACCTTGAGATCCTTGGAGGAAAGGTGGAATATAAATGTAATTTTAAAAATAAAAATACCTGCCTAAGTGATGAAGGATGCTTTGAAACCTTCTAGCTTCTGAAGGTGCCTGGCATTGTTTTACTTAACTCTGAGAAGGCTGTCACTGTGACCAGTGTGTGTGTTTGGTCCTTTTCCAGTTATGCCATAGCTGACAATGCCTACCGGGTCATGTGTACAGAGTACAACAATCACTTCATCCTGATTTCGGGGGAGAGCGGTGCTGGGAAAACAGAAGCCTCCAAGAAGATCCTTCAGTATTTTGCCATGACCTGCCCTACCACAGAGCAACTGCAGGTCGTCCGAGACAGGCTCCTGCTCTCCAACCCTGTTCTGGAGGTAAGCAGGAAATGCACCTTGCTCCCACATCAGAGGCGAGAGCAACAAGATTTTGTCCGCTGCCTACCCAGCAGAGTTCTCTAGGAGGTTTACATAAACAGTAAAATGCATGATACAAATTACATTATTATTATTATTATTATTATTATTATCCAGCTTTTCCCTTACACAAATTTTAAAAATACAGCTAAAATATAATTTAAAATCATATAAAAGATAATCATCAAAAAGTAACTGAATTCTTAATAGAATAAAAACAATATAAAACAAATCTATTACAAGACAAATAGTAAAAACAGCTCAGCACTGTTAAAGCCCTTTCCTTAAAAAAAGCTTGTTGGGATAAAAACAGTCTTCACCTGCTGGCAGAAGGATAACAAAGAGGGAGCCTGTCTAGCGTCTCTAGTTCCAAAGTTGTCTGGGAGCAGCCACCACCTAGAAGGCCCTCTCCCGTGTCCCCACCAAACGGTGACGGTGGGGGGACCGAGAGAAGCCCCCTCCAAGATCTCGGAGGTTAATCTAGGAGAATAGGGTCTTTCATCTGCTGGGCCTAAGCCATAGAAAAAAGCATTAAAACCAAGATGGGCTCCTTGCTGTCAGGATGTATTTATCCTAACTGAAATCTGAGTAAAACGCAGCCGCTGAAACAGTTGGAATGGGTTTTTGGCACCTGTGGAAACCTCCCTGGTGTTTAAGGACAGTTGAGGTGTGATGAGTGCCCTGGTTGCAATTTATTCATCTTTCTGTCTTTCGTGCGGTTGCTTCATGATGAGGCATTGTATTTTTAATCTGGAACCCTGTCTGAAATTGTTTGCAATGAGGAATGGGATAGAAAAGCTTTAATAAATAAATGAAATTTTGAAAAAGAGTGGGGAAATGCTGGAATGCAAGGGGGGGGGGAGAAAAGGGGAAGGGGTGATGTGGGTGGCACTGAATGATCAGCGCAACTAACAAGAACAACTCAAGGACTGAACAAGGCGAGGAGGAAGAGAGGGGAGGGGAACACCAAAAGACCTCATTGCTCCTTTTTTGTTTGTGCTAATCTGTAGGCTTTTGGAAATGCAAAAACTTTACGGAATGATAATTCAAGCAGGTTTGGAAAGTACATGGACATCCAGTTTGACTTTAAGGTAAAGCATCTTTCTTTCTTTCTTTCTTTCTTTCTTTCTTTCTTTCTTTCTTTCACTTGGAATGGGGAGATTTGCAGTGGTCTGCTATAAGAGCCACTTATGCGCCACTCCCCCTGAAGAAACCAAATGTCGTTCTCCTCCTCCCACATTTTATCCTCACGCTGACACTGTTGGCTGACAGAGTGACTGACCTAGCATTTCCCAGAGAGCTTCATGGCTCAGCAGGGATTTGAACTTGGATCTCCCCCTGCCAAGCCAGATACTCCACCACACTGGCTCACATCAGGGTTGACTGTTTGCTCAAGTGAAGGTGACTCTCTGCCTTCTTAGTGCCATGAGATGCTTCCATGTGACTTGAGACAATTCAGCCATCTCTTCTTCATTTCTCTGTCCATTTTTGAGGTGCAGTGGAACCAGAACTCTACACAGGGGATAGTCATTGTCTAGGTTTTACTCAGTAGACCCTCTGAAATTTATGCTCAGACACAGAGCTTTTAAGTGTGCACCTGTGCCTGGAAAGAGCCAGGCAAAAGGTACATGTGGAGAAGCTCTTTCTATGCTCTGCCTCCACTTTAGGTTGCCCACTTGTGAGAACAGGATGCTGGACCAAATGGGCTCCATTGGCTCTTCATTTGTTATCACATTCTCTCTCTTTCCTTTTGTTTTTCTGTTCTTTTCTTCCCAGGGAGCTCCTGTTGGTGGGCATATCCTCAGCTACCTGATAGAGAAGTCCCGTGTTGTCTACCAAAATCCTGGGGAACGGAACTTCCACATCTTCTACCAGTTGCTGGAAGGCGGGGAAGAGGATTTGCTCCATGACCTCGGCCTGGAACGCAACCCTCAGAAGTACATGTACCTAATTCAGGTTGTGGGGGGCTCTTTGTGTGCCCCCTTCTTAACAGCTCTGTTCTCTATGCCCAGCTTTCTCCGGTAACTACTGAAACATGCAGTTTCAACCCAATAACAGAGGCACACCTTACTCTTTTGAACCCCAAAAGGCTTGGATTCCCAGCCATCAGAGGAGCACACCCAACCCGCTGTGGGTTCTGATCTGAGCAGGCTTCCTGATTTGGGAGGGACCAAACCCAGAACAGTGTCTTTGGTAGACAGAGCGAAAACAGGCCCACAGTCCCTACTGTGGATGGGTAAATCTTTTTGCACTCTGCAAAGGAAATAATCCAGTGTCTCAGTCACACTCACACCAGATGATGCAGGAAGGTGTCAGGTACCCAGCAGGAGAGAGGATGGGACTGTGCAATTTATTGTTTTGGTCCTTGCTTCTCCCAGAAGCACATCAGAAATCCTCCTTTGGTTAGGTGCTTTGAGCTCATGGCAGCCACTCATCTATTTCTCAGGGTGCAATAAAAGTTATTCCATGCCCCGTTGTTTGGCAAGTACTTGCAGTAGGTCAGGCTGTGTGTGCCACTCAGCACAAACTCAGCATTTGCTTCAGGAAAGAGGACCCCAAGGACCTCAAGCAGTGGGCCTTGATTTAGAAAAGGGAGAAAGGAATATTCCCATTCTATTTTGTTTGTAAACTGTTATTCTGCTGCTTCAGGGGAATGCTCAATTTTTAAAATATTGTAGGTGTAGTGTATATGATCCCGAGCAGACCAAGAACAAAAATACAACTGAGCATCAACACAGACAGAATTAAGGGTGGATGAGTCTAAGCTTTGGTTTCCCCATTTTTCCATTCTTAAATTCAGTTTATCAAAACTTCTGCCTCACTGTTAAAAAAAACACGTTAATTTTTTTGTCAGAATTTTAGTGTGAATCTCCTAATTACACATTTTTGCAAGCAATTTCCTGGAATAAAATTATTTGTTCTACATTGCTATCACTAAAATATGTACCCTTATGCTCACGTAGCCCTAATATGCTCATTTATCTATGCACCACAAAATTTAGAAAAGCGTGGTTTTCCAAAGATATTTGTATTTTGGTCTGCATCTTGTTTGAGGATGTGCGAAATAAGTGGGCACTCCTTAAAATGTGCACCACCTGCGTTTTGTTCTCATACCTGCATTAGTGTGGGCTGCATGGCTCTCATGTTTTGCCTCTGGTCACCCACTGTGTGAAAGAGGAGCCGGGACTCAGCTGGCCTCCTGCCCAATCCAACAGCTGGGCTCTTCCTATGCTCTGGCCGGACTGTATCTCCAAGCTGCCAAATGGAAGGCAACCAAATGTACTGTATGTATGTGTGGTCTTTGTATCTAGCCTTTCCTCCAAAGAGCTCAGGAAGGCACTTGGAAGGCGCTCCCCACCCTCATTTTACACTCACCCCATAAGCTTTTGGCTTTTCTACACTTGCCTTTCCTCCACGCTTTCCAGGTGCTTGAAAGCTCAGTATTCGAGCGCTCCCCCCCCCTTTTTTCTCCAGAGCTTTCCCTGTGAAAACCTGCCCTTTAATGCTGAATTGGAGCAAATGGCTTTCCCTGGAAAACCCAAATTGCCGTTTGTTGTGCTCCAGTTTTAAAGAATGGGTTTTCATGGGGAAAGTTTAAGGGTGAAATAAAGAGCACTTGGACACTGAGCTTTCAAGCGCAGACCTGTGCCTTGAAAGAGCTGGGCAAAAGGTTAGGGTGGCTCAGCCCTTTGTGTCTCTGTGTGGGGTTAAACCTCCAGCCTCACCCACTTCAATCCCAGACTCCGCCATGCGCTTTGCCTGTGCAGAAGTTTCTCATGCCACCCCCCTCTCCCCACAACAGGGGCACTGTGCCAAAGTGTCTTCCATCAACGACAGGAGCGACTGGAGGACGGTGCACAAAGCTTTCACTGTCATTGACTTCAAAGCGAGAGACCTTGAGGTACAGACAAAGGGGGGGCAGGTGAAGGGGGCGTTGCTTGGAAGTGGGCCCCTGCTTAGTGATGGAAGGAAACTGGAATCCCTGTAGAAGCCAGCAAGCTTTTTTTTGGTCAAGAGCTGAGTGGAGCATAGGGAGCTGCCTTGCAGGGCAACAGACCACTGGCCAGCTGAGCTCACTAGTGCCTGCAAACTGGCAGCTGCTCTTCAGGGTTTTGGGCAGGGTCTCTGCCTGGAGAGGCTGAGCACTAAGCCAGGGACTTTCTACCAGAGCCAGGAAGCCATGCTACTTCCCCTGCATGTAAAATGAGATTCTGCTCCTCACACTTATAAGTTGGATATGGCTTGCTCATGAGCAAGATGGCTGCGTAGCCCTGAGGTCTTTGTCCCTGAAAAACTAAATAACTAATGAAACAATAACATTTATGGGCATTAAAGTACCAGTTGACCTGGAACAAACTGGGGATGAAGCAGGAGGCTGAAGCATGCCTGGCGGACCATCCAATGGTTCTGAACACTTTAGCAAAGAAGAAACGGGCAGGGAGTACGGTGGGGCTCACAGCAACAAGGTCATGAAGTTGAAAAGTTATCTGTCACGGGAGGGAGCCTGAGCAACACAGTTCAGTCTCTTGTGAAAAGCATTAGCAGATGGCAGACGACCCTTTGAGTCCCTTCCAACTCTTCCATTCTAGGATTCTGTCCACAAATGAACAGAACTCTAAATGAAGTTCATGCACAAATCAAAGAGCAAGTGAGGAAGGAGGAATCAAACTGTGGTTGGAAGGTTGGAAGTGGTGACTAAGGAACTCTGTGTAAAGAGGGAGGAGCAGCTGAGCAAAGGCAGTGGGCCAACATTTGGGTGAAGGGACCTCTGAATTAGAAGAAGGGACTAAGAAGTCCAGATGGAGGGCACTTAAGGGAACTTACTCTCCAGTTTTAAAAATGCACTGTTGAAGAAACCATATACCTGGTGTTGAGAAACCTATAGGAGCTGATCCAAATTTCCCTATCAAACCTATCACAGACACACTAGGAAAAGTGGGCGTGCACCCTCATCACTGTAAGAAACAAAGTAAGAAGGCAGGCCGAAAGAGAGTGGACACGGATCAACAGCAATGCAACCAAGTAGGAGCAAGAGCTCGTTGCTCTGAGAGAGCAGGGGGCTGGACTGGGCATTGGCCGGATCCAGGAGGGCTCTTCTGTTCTGCAGCATGGCAGGTGCAGGGCATAAATTGGAAGCGAAATGCCCTTTCTGAGGTTATCTAATATGTGCAGACTGGAGTGATACCCACTTCAGCCTCTGAAGAGGCAGTTGGTCTGCAAGGGTTCTGCCAGCCATGCGTAGTTTGTTCTTCTGCTGCTCACCCTTTCTTGTGCTCACCTGACTCTTTGTGTCCGCAGAACCTCTTTGGAGTAATTGCCAGTGTCCTGCATCTGGGAAACATCCAGTTTGAGGAGGATAGCAATGGCCATGCCATCATCACTACTGGCTCCCAGATCAAGTGGATCTCAAAGGTACCTGCCTGGTGGGGGTGGCAGGTGGGAGCAGCAGCTTCCAGTGGAGTTCCTCGTAGGTTCTTGCTATTCATTTGCATCCACATGATGCCAAATCATCAAAATGCCATTCTGTATTCCTCCCCCATTTAATCCAGCTTTTATCCACTTCAGATGGTGAAGGAACCCACCCTCTGGTAGGCTCACCTGCATTGAACCTCCTTTTCTGCCCTTGCCAGCTGCCTGGTAATTTAGGAAGCAGCAAAAACATACTACCAGAAGAATATGTTTTTCTGTCACTTCAACATGGCATTTGCATTTCAGGAGTTGCGTCCCCTCCAACCGCTAGGTGGTACTTGCCATTTGGCTTCAGTTGATTGCCCTTACCATGTAAAAAGGTAAAGGGGACCCCTGACCATTAGGTCCAGTTGTGACCAACTCTGGGGTTGCAGCGCTCATCTCACTTTACTGGCCGAGGGAGCCGGCGTGCAGCTTCCGGGTCATGTGACCAGCATGACTAAACAGCTTCTGGTGAACCAGAGCAGCACACAGAAACGCCGTTTACCTTCCTGCCGGAGCAGTACCTATTTATCTACTTGCACTTCATGCTTTCGAACTGCTAGGTTGGCAGGAGCAGGGACCGAGCAACGGGAGCTCAGCCCATTGCGGGGATTCGAACCGCTGACCTTCTGATCAGCAAGCCCTAGGCTCTGTGGTTTAACCCACAGCGCCACCCACGTCCCCTTACCATGCACACCACCATAATTAAATCTCTGCCTTCACTTATGTAAGGAAAACATCAGAGTCTGTATTTGTGTTCTCTGCTTAACTGTGTTTCACTTGAGGCATCAAGACAGATTTGGGTAACACAACCAGATTTTGTGTTTTCAAAAATGGAGCAGCCATTGTTGCTTCATCCCAGAATCCTACCTAGGTATAGCCTGATACAGTCTGCATTCTCCATCTTCAGATGATACTGAGCAGAATTGGCCCAGGACATTTTGCTGCTTGAGGCAGAATTCCCAGCTGCCCCCCTGCCTCCTCCTCCTCTGCCCCCACCACCTGGGGAAAAGAAAAAAGAAATGGAGGCTGGAGAGAAGCAGTGGCCTCAGGTGGCAGATCCAGGTCCAAGGAGCACTTCCTGTCTCACCTGAAAAGAATTATGGAGAACTCTAAAGCTTGTACAAAATCTTGGTTGCTCCTAATGAAAGGCACTGCTAGACTTTGAAATTTAAGGTCCATTTCCCCCCTCTTTCTTTCTAGCTTTTGGGGGTCCACTTATCAATTCTGCAAGAGGCCCTAACTCACAGAAAAATTGAAGCCCGGTTTGAAGAGGTATGCTAACAAGCTTTTCCTGATTTGCTTGCAAAGAACTGAAGTAGCCAATTCACTAGGTGACCCCACCCTTGTGCTCTTCCTCCCCAAAGGTTTTAAGTCCATTGGATGTTGACCTGGCCTTTTACGCTCGAGATGCAGTGGCAAAGGCCATTTATGGGCGGACATTTACTTGGCTGGTCAACAAGATCAACAGCTCTTTAGCAAACAAGGTGAGTCTCTTGCTGTAGCTAATACAACGTGACCCTTTGAAACATTTTTTTAAAACCATGTTTGCAGTTGGCAATCCGGCAGTCGTTCCAAGATAACTGTTCCTTCTTGGAGCCAGTCTGTGAGAGACGGGCCACATCCCCCTCTCTGGGTCCCGTGCTGACTGGAGAAGGGAGGCCTGGCCAGAACAGAGTGTATTCTTCTGCATAGCCCACCTTTCCCCCTTAAACAATGGATAAAGGGGCAGCCAGATAGGAAAAGTCCTTTTATTTACTTATTTACCCATCTATAGGCCACTTAACTTACTACAAAAAATCCCTCTTTGAGCAACTCACAATAAAAAGCTAAAAGCTCTGGAACATACATTAACACAAAAATATATCTACAAATATCAAAAATATCAAAATTACTGAGCACTGTAATCCAAAGTTGTAACTGAGTTTTATAACTCTGGATCATAGTGCTCAATAAGCCAATATTCTGATAACTTATTCTTTATTATAAATTGATTTTTATAGAAATTTTCTTAGACAAATAAGAAATACATAATAGTAAACACAACATATATAACAAAACTTTACTCTGAACTTAGTCCCAGTACTACCTGTTGATAAAGAGAATAAGAAAATTGATGCAACCAGGGACATAATAATAATAATTTATTTATTTATACCCCGCCCATCTGCATATTACAAAATGAGGTAATATGTAGAAACAGTAATCTGGAATGTCAAAGGAAGTCATTTATATGTTTTTAAGCAAAGGCCCAAAGTGTTTAGGTATACTACCTGCCCATAATGGACTCAGAAGATCCGTGGAGGGTGAGGAGGACTGCTCCCTGTAGGCTTAAAAATATATAGAGAAAATTTGACAAATGGAAACCAAGTAACTGAAAATGATGTTTTGGATTTAATCCCCCTAAGTTGTTGTTGTTGTTGTTGTTTGCTTTGCTTGGCAGGATCTCACCAGGAAAACTGTGATTGGGCTGCTTGATATTTATGGCTTTGAGGTTTTTGAGACAAACAGGTAAGTTACTCTTGCTCTGGTCACTTCCAGGCTTGATTAGTGCAATGTGCTTTATGTGGGTCTGCCTGGAAACTTTGGGCTGGTCCCCATGTGCTTCTGGTCACAGCATTTACAAAAAAACCTGACTTATGCGTATTGAGACCTAAAGGAGGAGAACATCTTTTGCAAGCTCTTCCACTTCCAATTGCTCAGGGTGGTTTTCCTTAAGGGCCCCTGGTGAAAAAGTAAAAATGAAATAAATTTAAAATCCCTGTACATGGAAATCTCGCATATCAGTGGTGGTGGACTGCCCTTTGTTGGAGGTTCTTAAAGAGAGATTGGGTGGCCATCTGTCAGGATCTCTCTAGCTGTGATTCCTGACTTTCAGGGGGTTGGACTAGATGACCCTTGGGGTCCCTTCCAGCTCTACAGTTATTGGATTCTCTGACATTGGACTCCTTGTCCCTGACATGGCAGGTGGGGTGGGGGGAGGATTAGAAGAGTTGTCAGTCCTATGAGACCCCACCCCCCACCCAGCAGTCTTAAAGCAGCTGCAGTGCAGAAACGGGTTTACCCTCGTTAGCTCCTGTTTGAGAATTAAATGCCCATATTTTTCAAATGACTTTTCTGCACTTGGAATTTCCTCTCAAGTTTTGAGCAATTCTGTATCAACTACTGCAATGAGAAGCTACAGCAACTGCTGATAGAGATGACCCTGAAGGCTGAGCAGGAGGAGTATGAACTGGAGGGCATTGAGGTAAAGGCCGCACCCCCCCCCCCCAAAAATATTCCTTATTGCCTTCCTGGTCTGTCGTCAGATCCTTCCTTAAGATAAAACACGTATTTAAGTACATGTGGATCGAATGAAATTTCAAATAAACACAGGTGAAGTTGACTTAGATGATCTGGTCATTCATGATCTGTCCATCACTGGCCTTCCAGATGTTGGAGGATTTCAGCTCCCTACCATTGCTGGAAATTGGTCGGGACACGGGTCCCCCATACCCCAAACAGCCAAAACAGGCGTTGCCAGTTGTCAAAGCAATATCCAAACCTGCTGAATGTGTCTGCCAGAGGGGGAAGTGGGATGGGCACATCACAAGCAGAGACCCCACTTTAGTTCTCTGAAGAGCCTGTTGCTCCTGTTTCTGCCAATCCTTGCATAGCCCAAATAGGGCATGGAGATGGGGGACATCGGTTTTGGGAGACTCTCAAGGTTTGCAGAAGCAGAAAAGAAAATCCTCAAGGTAGGCATCGCCCCCCCGAAGCAACTAATGAGGTTTGAGGGTGCCCAGTGTGGCCATGGAATGCCAAGGTAAGGGCGCTTTAGCGGGGTGTATGTGGAAAACAAGGTGGGAGGGGGTAACATGGAATGAAGCGCTTGGAAACCCAAACAGGAGTGCCTCATACGGCAACATTTTGCTGCAGCTCACCCCTTGTTAATCTTCTCCAGCCCAGAGGGAGTTTAATTCCTTGTTTGAATTCTCTGTCCAAATCTCACCTCAGTTCTTCAGCCTCAGATTGTCCCAAGGACTCCTGTCCCCAAAATAGCCCGTCCCCACACACCTGGATCTCAGAGATGCTTTTGCTGATGGAAAAGTTATGTGCATCAGGTGTGACTTTTTAATTTTGCAGGAAGCCCTCTTGAGTCTCTGTTTTTGCTTCTCATTCCAGTGGGAGCCAATCCCTTACTTCAACAACAAGATCATATGTGACCTCGTGGAAGAGAAACACAAGGGGATCATTTCCATACTGGTAAGAGAGAAGATTCATGTTTAAAAGTTTGAAATGTTTAAAAGTCGTGGCTTCCTGCCAAAAATATACTGGGAATGGCTAGGGAGTTTCTAACGGAGAATTAGTCGCACACCCTTCCAAAACTACAGCCCCAAAGTTTCTTTCTGAGTCGGGTGCAGCAGTTAAACCAATTTCAGCCAGGTTTTAGTTTGGTGGTGTCAACACCCCAGGGATGCCTGACTGCCTGGGATCTACATCTTCTTTCTAGTCATGTTAGCTCAGTTGGTAGAGCATGAGGAAAGAGCCCTCGAGGGCATTTCCTGCATCTTCCAGCCTTCAGGAGCGCAACTGCCTCCAATGGTGGGCATTAGCCGTTCTCCTGCTCCTCCTCCTCTTCCTCCTTCTCCATGGACGAAGGACTTGTACTCTCACCCCCAGGAAACCACCAAAGTGGTGGGTTTTCAGGGATAAAAGGAGTTATTCAAGAATGGATAACTTTTCGCATGCCTCCTTGCCTGCTGACAGAGAAATGGAGCCAAATGATTTATAGATGGGCAACCTGAGGCCAGGACTCTCATTAGTGGAAACTTCATCAGACTTGGCAGTGGCCCAGGGAGACATTTCAATCTGTCCTTCTCAGAAGCACTTGTGGCTTGTGGGATTTTGCATCCTGGGGAACTGGACCGGAGGGGAATAGAGGTCAGCTCTGAGCCCCCTTCCAAACCCCAGCTCCCAGAATCCTTTGGGGGAACCCCTGACTGTTTGAAGTGGTGTCATGGTGATTTAAATGTATGGGGAGAATGTGCCCCCCCCTGAAGAAATCCAGTTTTGGCTAGCTGAAGAATAGGCAAGACTTCTCATATTCCTTCCTGTGTCAGGATGAAGAATGCCTGCGGCCCGGAGAAGCGACAGACCTGAGCTTTCTGGAAAAGTTGGAGGAGAAAGTAGGAGACCATGCCCACTTCGTGACGTATGCACCTACGTTCCGTAACGTCCCCCAGAGGAGACCTGCTTCCCACATGCCCTTCCCTTCCTTGGAGAGCCCTTCTTTGTTCAGAGCACCCCCTAGCCCTGCCCAGCCCACCTGGCTCTTCTCTTTGACCCTGAGGGAGGTGCAAATGTGCTGCCCCCCAGAACGGAAAGGTTTTGACCTCTTCTCTTTCTGTCTCCAGGCGGAAGCTTGCTGACCAGAAGACGCGGAAATCCATTGACTGGGTGGACTTCCGCCTTCTTCACTATGCCGGAGAGGTGACCTATTGCACTGTCGGTGAGAAAGCAAGAGCCCAGCCTCTGCTGGCTTGGAGGTGCCACGTTGGTGGTGGCACCAGACCAGACACACCAAGACCAGACCAGGTTAAAGAGTGTCGGAACTAATCCCTAGTGACATCCCATGAAACGGAATGTTGGAAGATTCAGGACATGTAAAAAGAAGTACTTCTTCACGCAACACGTAGTTAAACTATGAAACTCCCTCTCACAAGAGACGGGGATGGCCACCAACCTGGGTGGCTTTCAAAAAGCGTTGGGCGAATTTGGAGCAGGAGGTTTTGGATGGCTTCTAGCTACAATAACTATTCTCTGCCTCCACATTCAGAGCCAGGCATGCCGGGTTCTGCCCAACATTGTGGGTGCCAGACGGATCCCATTGCAGCCACAGCAGGCCCCGCTGGGCTTTTTGGAAGGCGTAGCAGGCCCCATTGGGCTTCCTTCTGTTATGTAGGGCTGCACAATATTGAGGGGGCCTGGCCCCCTCATGGAAAATTTTTGGGGGAGCTCAGCCCCCACAGCCCCACAGATATGGCTCCCCTGGTCAGAGGCAGTGTTGCTGCCAAACGCTGCTTGCTGGTTTCCCACAGGCATCTGAGTGGCCCCTGTGAGAACAGGATGCTGGGCTAGAGGGCCCCCGCTGGCCTGATCAGGAGGCTCATCTGATGTTCTGACATTAACTAGCTACATCTAGCACACGACGTTTAATCCTCGGGCTAAATTTCCAGTAACTCTCTTGGGCTGCTGGAGTGAAGAAAGGAGGAGTTCAGTCCCACAAGATGTGGGGTGGGCATCAGTTTGGGATTTGCTTCACAGAGAAGACAACTATCAATGGCTCCTAGCCACTATGATTCTATTTTTGTGTGTGTTTTAATTCACTTTCGTTTCCCCACCCCACCCCACCCCAATTCCAGGATTCTTGGAGAAAAATAATGACTTGCTGTACCGGAACCTTAAAGAGGTAAACACATCTTTTAATTATGTTAATTTGTTTGGGCTTCTATCCTGTCTTATTTATGAGACATGAATGGCTAATTTAAATAGCAACATGGGCACATGTTCTTACATATACAGTGGTACCTCGGTTTTTTAACGTCTCGGAAGTCGAACGTGCCATGCGTCTTCCGTATTGAGTTTTACGGAAGTAAGTGCTTCTGGAAGTAAATGTTCAGTTTTCGAACATTTTGGAACTTCAACGGTCTTCTGGAATGGATTACGTTAAAAAACTGAGGTACCACTGGATATTTAAATACACAAACCCAGTACATAAATAATACACAAATTATTTCATGTAAAACAAAGGATGTTTTAGGGGTCTGGTGTCTGGTCTGGCAACAACAGATAAAACTACCTGATTAGAGATGTTAACGGAAAATCTGAGGGCTCCCTTGGACAAAAACAAAGACACCAACCAGAGCAATTGGAAGCAAATCAGCAGCCAGTAGGCTTGGTCTTTATTGAAGAAAAGACTGTTGCAACAGGGTGTTCCCCTCACTTGCAGGAGAGAGGAAAGACCCAGAAAGGTGGTGTGCAAGACCTTATAAAAACTTTTGAAATTCCCATCCTCTAGGTCAAGCCCACCCCCAGAAACATCATGCATACATTACAGAAAGGAGGGGTTGAGGGAGGAGTTGTGGTGGTAACCTGAGTGTCCTGTCACCTGGCTGGTTCCTCCTTTCCTCCCCCCGGCCCATGAGTCACTTCCAGGAGACAAAGGGAGTTGGCAGTTTCCTGCCCCCAGAGGGAAGATCTGATCATTGTCCTTTGTTTCAGTCCATGCTGAATCCACTCCCATATGCAAGTTCTTTGTGATCTTGATGGTCTTCTGTCTAGGACCATCAGGGTTGGCATAGCAACTGGGCCGGGCTCCTGTGGATGTGCTGGGATGGTGAAGGGATTATGGCTGACCAGAACCCAGCCACCCCCCTTTGATAGTCCTTGTCATATGGAGTAAAATAAAAATGGAACAGTGCAAATCCAATGTATGGTTGATTTTTCTATGAATTTATAACAGAAGTGTGGCATATGTAGTGTGTGAGTGTGAGTGTGTGAAGTTTGTATAAACTGAATGATTGGGGTGGGGGGGTTCCTGCTACAGAGATAAGTAGAGAGAGTTTGGGGGTGACCGCCCCCCCGGATCTCCCCCCCCCCTTATAGGGTAGCTAGATTTACTGTGTAGTGCAGTGCTGGTGGTGGACCCCCTCCCCTCTCTCCTCTCCAGCAATCTTAAATTGCCCCAAAGCAAACTTGAAACATGAGCCATGGTCTGGAGAGGAGACCCTTGGAAGCCCCAAGTGAGCCCCCGTTGCGAATCTGTCCTTGGATTCCTCCTCCTCTCCAGTCTCAACAGCAGCCAGTCTGCATTCTGTGGGCACTGAAGACCCCAGCCCTCTTTGGAGACTGTTTTGGGATGCTCCCCCCCCCCACGCCTTTCTTTTGAAAAAAAGATTTGCAAGCCTCAGGGATTTCCCTCCACCCAAGCTGCTGGGTGCTGCTGTTTTGCCTGCCTAAACAATGGCACTCACAACTGTAGCATCAGGAGTAGGAGGAATGATAGGTTTTATAGTGTGAGGCTCTCAACGTGTGATAATTCTGGCGACTTGAAAGGAGAATCCACGATGTTCTGATGGGAATCCTCTTGTTTTCTAAAGTCAAAGCTTGGGTTATGTTTCGTTTTAACAGCAAGATCTGACTTGGGATTTGCAAATTTTCCATGCCCCCCCCCAAAAAATGTCCATGATTTTTAAAGGAGGTGTATTTTCTCCAGCTTCCTGTGCCCCATGCACGTCTAGAAATTTTGCGTCATTTCCCTCCCCCAGCAAATTTTGAATAGGCCCCCCGTGCTCTGATCTTCCCAGTGACTTTGCTTTATTTTCATTTGATCCCAGGTGCTGTGCAGGTCGAAAAATGGGATCCTCAGAGAATGTTTCCACCTGACGGAGCTGGACAACCGAAGGAGGCCTGAGACTGTGAGTTTATCCCAGGCATAGGCAACCTAAGGCCCATGGGCTGGAAGTGGCCCATGGGGGTTGTTTAACCCGCCCATGGACCCCCACCTCCCACTCGGTTGGCTCCTGTGTGCTGCACTAAACTGGCGCGGAGCAGAGCGGGGACCACCTTCTGCAACACTGGGCGGCTTCCCATTGGCTGCAGGAAGCTCCTCTAGCCAATGGGAAGCTGCGCACGCCTCTTCCGCGTCGGAAGGAGCGCTGGAAATGGTGTCTGCAGGATCGCGAACCGGCCCATGCCCCCAAAATGTTGCTGACCCCTGGTTTATCCTATACATTTGGGCCTAGATGTCAGGGCTGAGCTTGATGCAAGCTTCAAGTGACGTAGCTTGAAACTTCAACAGTTTTGTGGAAAGTGGTGGGGAGGGGGGGCCTTAATTAAAAAAAAACCTTTATTGCCTTTGCTAACAACTGAAAAGTGCAGTGCCATATGCAATGCAAACAAACAATAAATACTAAGGGAAAGACATACCAATATAAACTGAGACATCCATATTTCCCAAGGTGGCATGGATGGTGAATGCGGGGGCATTTGAGTCTGAAGCACAGGAAATAAAATCCAGCCAGATGACATGAAAGTGCTCTGGATCCTCCACCTCCCTGGAGGCACGCAGCTTATGTGTAATTTTTTCCTACAATAGCCTGAGTCCCTAAGTTCTTATACCACAAGGACAAATGTAGATCCCCTCCCCCGGGGGGGTTTAATTGCTGAGCTTTTGAAATGCCAGCAGCATCTAACATCCACGTCAAAAGCTCTTTTGGGAGACAAGCTTTCATGTTGTTTCGGAATATGTGGAGAGACGACAGTTGTGGGGAAGCCAGGGCACGTGGTTTAAGATATTTCTTCATATGCTTGAGATCAAAATATAGTGGTACCTCGGCTTAAGAACTTAATTTGTTCCGGAGGTCTGTTCTTAACCTGAAACTGTTCTTAACCTGAAGCACCACTTTAGCTAATGGGGCCTCCCGCTGCTGCTGCGTCGCCAGAGCATGATTTCTGTTCTCATCCTGAAGCAAAGTTCTTAACCCGAGGTATTATTTCTGGGTTAGCGGAGTCTGTAACCTGAAGCGTATGTAACCCGAAGTACCACTATAATGAAACCAGAGGGCATTCCCACCACAGATGGAAGGATGTCCCCAGAACTCACAGTCCCACCAGCAATCCTGTATTAATTGGAGGGGGACACTTTTATTTTTACATTTTTATGATTTGTCCTTGCAACTGTACTTCCTAGGTGACATTCTGTGTAACTGTTTTGAATGAGTCCTTTCTATTTGCTCAGGTGGCAACTCAGTTCAAAAACAGCCTGGCTAGTTTGATAGACATCCTCATGTTGAAAGAACCTTCCTACATTCGATGCATTAAACCCAATGATGACAAAGCGGCTGGTAAGGTTGTCTCTGGGAACTCAGCAGAAGGGTACATTGTGTTAATAATAATAATAATAATAATAATAATAATAATATGCAAAGCTCTTTGCTCTGGCTGGCAGAGGTCTGCGGTGATGGGGACCTGTTCTAGACCTACTAACCAGAAAACATTTTAGCTTAAGATGCAACCATAGGGTCAAGCTTCCCTTCCTCTTCAACTTCTATCCTTCCCCACAAAATGCCCAATACTATAATTGGAATAAGGAAAGGCAGGACGGGGGGGACTTTTAAAAGAAGTAAGAAATGCAGTTCCTCCTTGGCATAACTGAGTGCATGTCTGGGTTTTCCCACTGAGAGGATCTCTGGGAGAATATATATTCTTATTGGATTGAGGGGTTGTTTTGGATGATTTCTTTGGGTCCCAACCAACCCTGTGGTTTTGTGCCTGCAAGACTGTAGTTTGTAGGGACTGCTGCAATGATTAGCCCAGATAGTGGCCGTAGCCAGGCCAGCAAACACTCCATTTACATGTCTAAAGAGCAGGTGAAGGACAGATGTGTTGCTACGGGCACAATCAGCTTGCAATGCTCTTTCAGAAATGGCGTAGGGCTCCACCTCCGTCATCTGGCTGGATGCCACATCATCCTGGGGTGGGAGAAGAACAAGCCAAGGAGCTAGTCTTTCTTTTTATCCTGGACTGAAGCTGGAAGCTGGAAAGGAGAGGCGTGACTTGCTCTGTGTGCAGAAGCCAAAGCGATGGCTTGAGGGGGGCACCCCTAGAAACCTAACAGGGACGTGAGATCTGTTGGGGTATTCATGCTGTGAGTCTCTTGGTTTTATGCTTGGGTTGTATATATGTGTGTGTGAATAAAACCATATATCCTAAAGACAATACAGTCTCTAGTGACCTCCATTCCAAGGAAACTGAACCCTGGGTAACGATAGGCACCATCCCAGTCTCCAGGTGGTGAGAATCCAGCAGTTTCCAGCCACTCGCCCAGTTTTGGTTTCCTGGGAATGGGGGCAGCAGACTCACAGCTTTGGATCCAGCACAGAGCAGGCAAATCTCTGCATCTCTGTGTCCCCAGCTTCCAGCCTGCTTTCAGCTCAGCTGACACACACAACTCTGGCTGTTGTTCTGCTACCTAGCAGCCAGAGGAGGGGAGGGGGGTGAAGGAAAGCCTCTGGAGGGCACTGTCGCTTTGTTGTAGCTCTTGCAACCTTGCGTATTCTTTGGGGATACTTTGGGTCACTGTCTCACAAAGAAACTTGTCTGATCAGTTCAGCAACCTACTCCATTAGACTCCAGCCCTCGCTGGGGATGGGGATCCAAAAAATTGGAAGGGACTCAGAGCATAATCCAGAATCACCACCCCCCCAACAACCATATGTATCTTAATGGTGTAAAAGGAGAAGGGAGCTCATGGCTTGGCCAGCCTCTTCCCTTGGGTCAGTTGCCTGCTCGCTCTCTCTCTCTCTCTCTCTCTCTCTCTCTCTCCTAACTTAAAAGTTTGCACACAGCGGCAGAGGAAGCTGCTCTGGTGCCTGGGACAACGCGCCCAGGGTGGGGCCAGCCGCCCATAGGGGCGGTGCGCACCGCAGGGCCTCCAGAGTCTGCCTGCCTCCTCCCACTCAGCCGTCCTACAACTGGGGGGGAGGCAGTGGGCGGACTGTTTGGGCAGCGTGGAGCCTGTGTGTGCCCAAGTCATAGAATCATAGAATCATAGAGTTGGAAGAGACCACAAGGGCCATTGAGTCCAACCCCCTGCCAAGCAGGAAACACCATCAGAGCACTCCTGACATATGGTTGTCAAGCCTCTGCTTAAAGACCTCCAAAGAAGGAGACTCCACCACACTCCTTGGCAGCAAATTCCACTGTGGAACAGCTCTTACTGTCAGGAAGTTCTTCCTAATGTTTAGGTGGAATCTTCTTTCTTGTGTTTTTGGATCCATTGCTCTGTGTCCGCTTCTCTGGAGCAGCAGAAAACAACCTTTCTCCCTCCTCTATGTGACATCCTTTTATATATTTGAACATGGCTATCATATCACCCCTTAACCTCCTCTTCTCCAAGCTAAACATGCCCAGCTCCCTTAGCCGTTCCTCATAAGGCATCGTTTCCAGGCCTTTGACCATTTTGGTTGCCCTCCTCTGGACACGTTCCAGTTTGTCAGTGTCCTTCTTGAACTGTGGTGCCCAGAACTGGACACAGTACTCCAGGTGATGTCTGACCAGAGCAGAATACAGTGGCACTATTACTTCCCTTGATCTAGATGCCATACTCCTATTGACGCGGCCCAGAATTGCATTGGCTTTTTTAGCTGCCGCGTCACACTGTTGGCTCATGTCAAGTTTGTGGTCAACCAAGACTCCTAGATCCTTTTCACATGTACTGCTCTCAAGCCAGGTGTCACCCATCTTGTATTTGTGCCTCTCATTTTTTTTTGCCCAAGTGCAATACTTTACATTTCTCCCTGTTAAAATTCATCTTGTTTGTTTTGGCCCAGTTCTCTAATCTGTCAAGGTTGTTTTGAAGTGTGATCCTGTCCTCTGGGGTGTTAGCCACCCCTCCCAGTTTGGTGTCATCTGCAAATTTGATCAGGATGCCCTTGAGTCCATCATCCAAGTCGTTGATAAAGATGTTGAATAAGACCGGGCCCAAGACAGAACCCTGTGGCACCCCACTAGTCACTCTTCTCCAGGATGAAGAGGAACCATTGATGAGCACCCTTTGGGTTTGGTCAGTCAGCCAGTTACAAATCCACTGAGTAGTAGCATAGTCAAGACCGCATTTTACCAGCTTCTTTACAAGAATATCATGGGGCACCTTGTCAAATGCCTTGCTGAAATGAAGGTAGGCTTCATTTCCCTTCATCTACCAGGCTTGTAATTCTGTCAAAAAACGAGATCAGGTTAGTCTGACATGACTTAATCCCAGGAGAGACGTGTGGTTCAGGCCCCGCAGTGAGCGCCGCCTGGCATTTTGTCACCCCCCTCAGTGGTGACACCTGGGGCAGACCGCACCCACCACACCCCCTTCCTCCGCCCCTGTTTGCACATGTGCCCTCATCCAGCTGGTAGCAATAACCTCTTGTCCTTGGTGTGGGTTTTGTCTTTTGCAGACAAATTTGATGACTCCTTGATAAGGCACCAGGTGAAGTACCTGGGCCTGATGGAGCACCTGCGAGTGAGGCGAGCCGGCTTCGCTTACCGTCGGAAGTATGAGCACTTTCTGCAAAGGTGAGGCCTAAAGCTCTCTCCCCACCCTTGTTTCCAGCAACTGGTATTCAGAAGCATCACTGCCTCTGACTCTGGAGGCAGGGCAGAGCTGCCTGCGTCACGGCTGGTTGGAGGCAGCAAGGCTTCTGAATACCAGTTGCTGGAAACCAAAGAAGGGGAGAGTTGCTCTTGTGCTCCAGTCCTGCTTGGGGCTTCCCACAGAGGCATGTGGTTGGCCTCTGTGAGAACAGGATCCTGGTCTAGGTAGGATATTGGCCTGATCCAGCAGGCTTTGATTACATTCTTACTTTCACTGCATCAACTGCCCTATAGGCAAAGTAAAGGGAGGTTTCATGGACTGGTTGGTCACAGAGTTGTGGTGGGAGGAACCAGCTGGGGACCCCCAAGGGAAGAAGGTTTGGGGCCTGGGGAGTGGGGGTGGGACGACAATGAGGGGTCAGAGGGAGAAGAGGGAGCAGACTGGCAGGAGGCGGTGCTGGAAGAGGCCACAGGGTTTGGTGAGCAGGAAGAGTCTGTGGCGGAGAGCGGTCCAGGCTCAGAGGCAGGAGAGGACGGGGCCCAGGAGACAGCGTTGAGAAGAAGCCGGGGAGTCTCCCCTTCTTGCTGTGACCAGTTCCCCTTCGCCACGGTCTAGAACACGCCAAGGAAAGAGAGAGAAGCAGACAGAGCCTTAAGCTGCTGGGGAAGGAACTGGGTGAGGAGCCTTAGAGAGCGGTGGGAAAGAGGGACCTTCAGCCCTTGCAAATGCCTCATGGGGGCAAGGGCTGCTGGCAGTCACCACTAGGCCTGCGCTGCTTTGCTTCTTTGAACAAAGAGTTAACTTCACTGATACCGTGTTTTGCTTTGAGTACACTTGACTCCAGCTTCTGAGAGGGGGGTCAGAAGTGGGTCAGGAGATTTGCTTGGAACACACTTTCCTTTAGTCCCTGAATTTATTTATAATTTTGTTTTTAGGTACAAGTCCCTGTGTCCAGATACCTGGCCTTACTGGCAAGGGACGGCTGCCAAAGGAGTTGAGAAGCTAATCAAGCATATTGGCTACAAGCCAGAAGAGTACAAAATGGGAAAGTAAGAGCAACATACAAATAGGCATTAGGATAAATTGCTTGCAAAAATGTGTACATTGGGCAAAATATTACAGAAGAGTGTCTGTTAGGAGAAATGTGTGCTAAAAATCTGGAAGTGTTTTCATGAGGACTGCAAATGGATGTGGAAATGTGGTGAACTGAACTTAAAAGGGGGAAATTTTGTCCATCTCTTCCTGGGAGTTCTTAAATTTGGTGAGACCACCCTCAGAGCAAATGATAGAATTTTGGGTGCCTGCATCTCATTGCATGATTTTCTCTTGTTTAGGACCAAAATATTCATCCGTTTCCCAAGAACACTGTTTGCCACAGAAGATGCCTTTGAATTTAGAAAAAATCGGCTAGGTATGTAATTTGCCCACTTTTGATCTTGCAAATCCCCAAAAGTCATTTTTAACTGAATATTTTGATGCCACCTTGTTTCTGTGAGGGTTTGCCCTAGGCAGCATCTGAGAAGACCACAGCCTTGCAGTTCACATGGCCTGAAGGAAATTTAGGATTGCTAAAAGCAGGTGGATTTTGCAACTAGGAATGGAGGAGAATTTTATTTGGTCTGCAGTTTTACATGAGCTGATTTAATTTGCACAGATCAGAATGTAAACATCCTCCAGATTTTGCACTTCTTTGGATTTTTCAGTACAGCTCTTGGCTAAAGATATAAACAAAAATCCACGTAAAATGCATTTTTTAGGATAAAGCGTTTAGAAGTGTGTGCCTTGACATACAATCCTTGTTTAGATAGGTATTTTGCAATGGAATGTGTAAATTGATTTTTTGTGCAGATTTTTTAAAAAGGAAATTTGTAGATTACTTCAGAAATTTATGGGGATGTCTGTTTGAATCAGAGGCAGCAGCAGTGGAAGAGATGGGACCTTCATGGAGTCTAATGCTTTGAACCCCTCCATCATAGGCTCAGGTTGCATATATGTGTAAATGAACCATATATCATAAAGACAGCACAGTCTCTGCTGGGACTCATTGTCCAAAACGAAACGCAGACCCGGCTAAGTGCCTGGAACTCCCTTGCATCCTGCTCTGCTGTGGAAATTGAAGGTGGTGTGTGACAATCTTCGTCTATCTATCTACCAACTAATTGTTTTGTTCACCTCCTCAGCCTTCCCTCGACATAGCCCCACCAGAAGCATTTTAGGCTTCTGTCCTTCAAGGGTGGAGAACGAGTGGCTGGACTCCTGCTCTCATCCTGCCCCTGACCATTGTCTGCGCTGGCTGCCAGGGCGGAGGGGAGCTGGGAGCCCAGCAGCATCTGAACAGCCGTCGCAAGTTGCCTGTCCCAGGTTTAAAACTAGACTTGGAATGTAGACTTTCACCTCACAAATACCGTACTTTTTGCCCTATAGGATGCACTTTTTCCCCTCCAAATTGAAGGGGAAATGTGTGTGCGTCCTATAGGGCGAATGCAGGCTTTCGCTGAAGCCTGGAGAGCGAGAGGGGTTGGTGTGCACCGACCCCTCTCGCTCTCCAGGCTTCGCACAGCTCTCCGCAAGCCATGGGAGCCCGCGCTGGGCTCTCACGGCTTGCGGAGAGTTGCCTGCATGCTGAAGCCTGGGCGCACTGAGCTCAGCGCGTCCAGACTTCGTGCGGCTCTCCGCAAGTCGCGGGAGCCCGGCGTTGGGCTCCCGCGGCTTGCGGAGAGTTGCCTGTTCTGGGGGCTGGGGTAGGGGGAAGCTCGGGCTCCCCCCCCCTTTATTTCCCCCCCAAAACACTAGGTGCACCTTATGGGACGGTGCGTCCTATAGGGCGAAAAATACGGTATATTTTCAGGGAAATTTAAGCTCTGGATTCCTGCGGAAGGTGGCAGACTCTCCTTCATTGGAGGTTTTTTAAACAGAGCTTGGACGGCCATCTGTGATGGATTCTTTAGCTGAGATTCCTGCATTGTAGGGGATTGGACTAGATGACTCTTGGGGATCCCTTCCAACTCTACCATTCTCTAATTCCCAGCTGCTTTTCCTTTTCAGTTTCCAGAATACAAGCCAAATACAAAGGATGCTTAGGGAAGCGTGAGTTCCAAAAGATGAGGGAAGCAGGTAAGTAGCAGATCTTAGCTGCAAAAACCCCAGGGGGATCTTGCTTGGTTTTGTACCAATTCGGGATTTTTAAATAAAAAATGCATTATTTGGAATTGAGACCCAAAACGTCTTTATTTCAAATGCTGGTTTCTAACATTCAGCTTCTTGCTGCAATTCTGAATGTTACTAACGAACATTAATTTGCTGCATATTTATTGATTTGATGTAAACAATGGTTAGCCCCCTCTTCAGCTGGAAAGTGTCCCAGACTGCAGAGGCGGAGCAAGGTCAAGTGGTACCCAGCGTGGAAATTTTTTTATCACGCTCCCCCCATTGACGGCTTGGGGTAGGCTTGGGCGTTCTGGGCGGGCAGCACACCGAAAGTCACCCCCCTCAGCAATGACACCCAGGGGGGTCCGCCTCCCGCCCCCCTTCCTACGCCTCTGCTAGAATGTAGCAGAAACAAGGTGGTCCCTGCTCTCAGGCTTACAGTTTAATAAAATAAAACTTGGCCCCCTGTTCTTAGTTACAAGTTCTTTTAGTGCCTAGATGGATTGGAAACGGGTCAAGGAGGGGGTGGGTAACTTTCCTTTCCTTTACAGATTCCCATTTCAGCTGGGACATGAGCACTGGAGAACATACTTGGGGTCTACTCTCCTGAATTAATTTCTTTGTTCAGCTTCTCTGTTTCCTAGTTTTCAGAATAGTGCAGCTGAACAAAGAAATTAATTCAGTGTTTACTTGGGTCTTCAGCAAGAACCGCGCATTGTTGCCCTCTGCTGTCTGTCCTCTGCCACAATTATGTGACATTATTATTCATTGATATTACTTACAAGCAGCTTCACAATAAAATATTTAAAACTCTATAAAATAACTGTTATGTTGAAGTGGGAAGGGGGGAACCTTTGGCCCTCCAGGCAGTGGCATAGGAAGGGGGGTGCGGTGGGTGTGGGCTGCCCCAGGTTTCATCACTGAGGCGGGTGACAAAATGGCAAAAATATGTGTTTTTAAAATAAATAAATAAAATTTGGGCTCCCAACACTTTTTTTAAAACAACAACTCCTGCACCCCCCTTCCTACGCCACTGGTAGCCAGGTGAGGCGGGGGCACTGGGCTTCATACCACGGGGCCTGCAGCGGGCCTGAGCCATGCGTCTCTCCTGAGGGCGGACTGCCTGCAAGCTCCGCGGTGCTTTTTCGAGCAGCCTGGGGCTTGCGTCTGCCCACCACCTCAGCCGCCCTACAGCTGAGGGGGAGGCTGCGGAGGGGCTCCACGCAGCGCACCCTCCCTTGGCTCGCCCCGCCCCCATGGGCAGCTTGCCCTGCCCCTGGCTGCAGGATGCGTGCATCGCACTGGGCACCCGAGCAGCTAAGCTATGCTGCTGCCCCCAGCGGTTTCTGAACCGCACCTCCCAGCATGGGGATTCCAAAACCCTGATGTTGGCCCTCGCACACACTTCAGAAAACTTTATTTTTTAGAAAAGATAGGGGGAAAGCAGGCAGAAGGTCGAAATGGACCTCACAATGAACCAGAGCACTGTGGCTCTAAAACTGGGCTAAACATAGCCTATTTGCCACACTGTGGTTGTTTGGTTTACTTACAAGTAGTCAACAAGGATGGTCAATTTTATAGAAAGTCCAGTCTGGATCCCTGAGGGTGGGAAGGCAGCTCAGCCTTTTAAAGTCTCTCTCCTGGGAGGGAGTGACTTCTGTCCCTTCCTGACCCGTGAGAACCCGAGTCAGTTGCTCAGGTCCCTCCGTCTCTCGGGTACTTATGACCCCTCTTTGGCTTGGGATGAGGAAAAAAGGATCGTATTTTTCTGTGTATAAGACTATGGTTTTTTTATTAGAAATATATGTTAAAAATGGGGGGTCGTCCTACACACGGATAGTGCAGAAGGGGGATGGGTGATTGTTGGCAGCTGTGAGCCGCAAGGCCTGCTGTTGATTGGCTGCTGCAGCAATTGGGCGGTCATTTGGTGTTTGCTGGCGGCGAGCGGACAGATGATTGGTCAAGGCATGCAATTGGCAGTGGTGTTCAGGAGGGTGAGCGATTGTCGGCAATCCCCCCCACAAAACTCAACAACTCCTCCCCACAAAGCTTAACCATTCTGGGCAATCTCCCCCCATTTCCTTAACTTGGAGTCCCAAAAAATAGGGGTCGTGGCAGCTTGACTTGGAGGAATGGTGGGGCAGGTCAGGGCTTTCGCATCCCTCTTGGCAGCCCCTCTTTCTTCTTGCTCTGCCCTTGTGCAAAAGGGTCCTCTTGCCCCTCCATGGTGACTCTCTCTGTTTCGCAGCCATTAAACTGGAGTCCTGCTGGAGAGGAGTCCTGGCCCGGAAGCTGGCCAAAAAGAGGATGTGGGCAGCCCAGACCATCCGGAAGTAAGCTGGCTTGTTTGTTTGTTTGTTTCATTCAATTTACATTGGATTGCTGAATTGTAAAGCAAAGCAAAACCTCAGAGTGGTTTACAAGAAGACTAAAACAATGAAATTATCAGTAAAATGGACCACTCCTGTAGGTACATCAGAGGCTTCATCCACCGGAAGCAACCCTTGAACCGCAATAACAAGGACTTTGTGAGGCTTGTGCAGTACACCTACCTTATGAAACTCAGAGATCACATCCCAAAGAACGTCCTGGACAAAAGCTGGCTTAAGCCTCCAGAGATCATGCAAGAGGTGAGAGCTGTTAGAACCTCCATGTTCAGAGCTACTGTACCTGTGAATGCGGGTCGCTGGGGAACAAGAGTGGGAGGGGGGCAGCTGCCTTTCAAGCCCTGCTTGCAGGTGTCCCGCAGTGCCTGGCTGGCCACTCTGAGATGCTGGGCAAGAGGGGCCTTTGGTCTGATCCAGCCCTTCTCATGTTAGCTGAGGGCACTGATGAAGGGCAGGAATTTGAACCAAAGCTCAGCCGTCCTTTGGAATCTGCAATTCTCCAAATTTTGCAATGCAGTTCTCCAGCCAAGGCACATGTAGGGAAATAGGCATATACTAAAGTTTGGTGTTGGTCCATGGGGTCACGAAGAGTTGGACACGACGAAACGACTAAACAACAACAACAAAGTTTGGTGTACACAAAGATGCCTCTTCACTGAAAATAGCACCCAATATTATGTTAGATGTGTATGTATATATATTTAACAGAAAACACAATATGTACATATTTTGGCCAAACTGCTTGTATATGTTGGGAGAAATTTGCACTAAAATGCTGAGGAATTGTCACAAGGACTTTCCTGGAAGGAGGGAAAGTGGAGAGTGGCTGGAAAAATGCAAAACAGAGAGAAACTAAGATTGGCAGATTTGCCCATTCCCAGGGCAGACTGAGATCAAGCTGCAGGGGCCTTACGGAGCTGAAATTCAGTGCTGTTTGCAGTCCCAATATGGCATGGAAGGTCACAGGTCCCCCATCACTGCTAAAAGCTTGCCTTATCCCCATCTTGCCTGGTGCCACCTGCTCTGACTGGCAGCTGCTCTCTCAAGCTGAAGTCTTCACTAGCCAGAAACCGGGACTTGAACCTGAGGCCTTCTGCATGCTGCTTTAAGGCCCCTTCCCAAACATCCATCTTGTCCCACTTCAAATGACAGATTACACTCCCCCCCCTCTCAACCTAGACATCTGAGTTCCTGAGAAAGATCTGCACAAGAAACCTTGTCCGGAAATATTGCCGTGGCATCACAGCACAGAAGAAGGCACAGGTAAAGTCTGGGCTTTTGAGTTTTTGTGGGGCTCAATTCTTAAAATGAACGGTGTTGGGAGCTGGAATCTGTCCTGTGTACATCCCCCTGGCTCCTAGTTGCATCTACTGTTGTTGTGCTGACAGTGCACTCTGCAAAGGCTCAGAGGTGCAGAGGCTTGGGAGCTCTCAGAAGGGCCAAAGACCTCCACTGCAGCTCTCTCACATAATTATTATTATTATTATTAATTAATTAATTATTTATACATACATACATACATACATACATACATACCCTGCCCATCTGGCTGGGTTTCCCCAGCCATTCTGGGTGGCTTCCAACAAAATATTAAAAATACAATAAAACATCAGACATTAAAAACGTCCCTCAACAGGGCTGCCTTCAGATGTCTTCTAAAAGTCAGATAGTCGTTTATTTCCTTGACATCTGATGGGAGGGCGTTCCACAGCGCAGGTACTACTACCGAAAAGGCTCTCTGCTTGGTTCCCTGTAACTTAGCTTCTCACAGTGAGGGAACCACCAGAAGGCCCTGGTTTCCTTGTGGGGAAAGACCAGGACAGTTAAAAGCAATTCTTTTCATGGAAAATCAAATACTCTTGTGACAAGAGCTGCCAGAGGTTTGGGGTTTCTTCCATTCCCCTGAGCCAGTAGTTTTCAACCCGTGTGCCATGGCACCCTGGCGTGCCTTGAATGATGGCCAGGGGTGCCGCAGGCAACACTGGTCTCCGTCCCCCTTTCCTTCCCTCTCTCCTCTGATGCCCTCTCAAGTCTCTGCCTCCCAAAGGCTTGCACAGCTGTTTGTTGCACCAGCCCTAGCTACAAGCTCCATGGGCAAAAGGTGCCTCTGGGGCTGGCCAGGGGGTGCTGGTTGTCAGGAGTTGAGGCGGCCTCTGAGTAAGCAAGCAAGCGGGCCAGGGAGCCTAGCCAGGCAGTCCGCCAGCTGTTGGGAATGGACAGACAGGTCCCAGGCCCCTGTGGGGCAGTGTGAGGAGGCCCCTCTCTTTGGGGCAGGGGGGGGGCAGCTCAGAGACCAGGGGACTCCTAAGGAGAGGAGAGGAATACTCCACAAAGGAGGGTGTTCCCAAAAGGGTGAGAGGCTGCTAGCTCTGGAGGAAGGGGTTACATAACTGGGCTCCTGAGCCCCATAGGGGTGCCACCGAAACAATGTAGTTGGTAAAGGGAGCTGTGGACTCAAAAAGGTTGGAAACCTCTGCCCGAAGCATATGTTTAAAGTGCATTCCCACAGAATCCTGGCAACTGTCATCTGTTAAGGATGCTGAGCATTGCCAGGAGTCCGCTATTCCCCTCACAGAGCCACAGTTCCCAGAGTTCCCTGGGAGGGACTGATTGTTAAAGCACTCTGGGAATTGTGGGGGGGAATAGGGCTTAGAATCATAGAATCATAGAATCATAGAATCATAGAATCATAGAGTTGGAAGAGACCACAAGGGCCATCGAGTCCAACCCCCTGCCAAGCAGGAAACACCATCACAGCACTCCTGACATATGGTTGTCAAGCCTCTGCTTAAAGACCTCCAAAGAAGGAGACTCCACCACACTCCTTGGCAGCAAATTCCACTGTCGAACAGCTCTTACTGTCAGGAAGTTCTTCCTAATGTTTAGGTGGAATCTTCTTTCTTGTAGTTTCTTCATGCCTCTCAACACCCTTGACAAACTACGGCTCCCAGAATCCTTTGCGGGAAGCTATGGCTGTTTAAAGTGGTATCGTGGTGCTTTAAATGTATAGTGCCAAGGTGGCCTCAGACTGCCCCCCTTCAACAGAGGATGCATGACAGAAATGGCGGTTGCATCCTGCCGTTTGCAATGGATGCCCTCGTGAGGTGGCGCCACCATGCACCTGGCCTCCATTGGCTAACTGGGTGGGGCAAAGCAGCGACGAGGTTGGTGTTGTACAAATTGCAACCAATCAGCAAGCAGAATTGACGCTTTATGGGTGTCTAAAGAACTTCTATTAAAAGTAGCAAAACCAGAGATCCTACCGAGAACCATTTCTCATCATAAGTCAGTCATGTTAACACTAAGAGGAGAGATGAAAAAAACCAAGATGGAGTCTCAATGAAAACTTATTAAATGATGAAGAAATTTTACAGAAAGCAAAAAAGACATTGAGAGAATTTTTAAAGTTTAATATGAATCAAGGTACAGATATTAAAGTAGTGTGGGATGCTGGAAAAGTGGTGATTAGGGGATTCTTTTTTCAACAAAATATGTTTCAAAAAAGAATGAGGGAGAAGAGAAAAACAGAAATTTTAGAAGAGATAACAAAAAAGAAAGAAAAAGAACTCCTAAAGAATCCAGGAAGCGAACAATTAAACAGAGTATTAAATTGTTACAAACACAATTTGCAACGATCATTGACCAAGAAATTTATTGGAAAATCAAAGTATTAAAACAGAAATTTTGAATTTGCAAATAAGCCCAGAAAATTACTAGTGTGGCAACTCAAGAAAAACAGAGTGAAAGAGTCGTTAAGAGGCTGAGAATAGGAGAGAGAACAATAGATGATCCAAATGAGATTGTGAAAGCTTGGTAAGATACTACAGAGATTTATACCAAAAACGAGAGGCAAACCATGAAAAGATAGAAGAATTTTTAAAACATACCAATCTACCAAAAATATCAAGTGAAAAAATGAACATGCTTAATGCGCCAATTACGATCTTTGAAATTCAATCTGCAATTAAAAAAGCAAAAGTAGGAAAACCCCCAGGTTCGGACTTACTTTCAGCCGGTTATTGTAAAAAATTGGAAGATCTTATTAAGTTGTGGGCGAACATGTCAGACGACACAGCGATTCTTTAAACAGCTCTTCTTTATTCAGATGCCAGAACAGAACTGGCTGAGGAGCTCAGTCAGCCTGCTTATATAGAGCTCCAGAACAATGCAACTGTTGCCATTTTCTAAAACTATCCAATCACTGAACGTCACTTTTCGATCCTTCATTTGCATAACTATCTACCGTATCCCCCTGCTGGCCCAGGGTGAGAACTTCAGTACATAACACTTATATTGTTCCCACTAAAAGACATGATGAATATTTTAGTTAATGGGAAAACACCAGTTTCATGGTCAGAGGCCTATATAACGCTCATTCCTAAGCAAGGGATGGATTTACAGCAGGGGTCAGCAAACTTTTCGGAGGGGGCTGGTTCACCATCCCCCTGACCTCGTGGTGGGCCGGAGTGCGCGCACGCGGCGGAGGAGGCTTCTCTCTCCCCCCCCCTCCCCTGCCCTGCCCACCTCTGCTGCTCTGCCTGCGGTTGGGGGACGGCGGCAGCGGCACCCCTCCTTTTTGGGCCAGCTTTTCCGGGTGCCAGGCTTCCTATTAAAGCCCAGCCCCCTTCCTCCGCAGGACGGGGAGAAGCCAGGAAGAGGGAGGGAGGAGGGAGGCCGCCATAGTGAGGGAGGAAGGGCAAAAAAATGGCGCCCAAATTGTTTTTGAAAAAAATTGGTGATTGCGCCTATCCAAGCGGTGATTGCAGAACCGTTCACGGGCCAGATTCAGAGGGCAATTGGGCCGAATCTGGCCTGCGGACCTTAGTTTGCCGACCCCTGATTTACAACTTTGCACCAATTATAGGCCAATTTCATTACTTAATAGTGACTACAAGATCTTTGCGGATATCTTAGCAGAAAGACTAAAAAAGGTTCTGAAGGAAATAATGGTTTTTTACCTGGATGCCAAATGCAAAATTATATAAGAAACATCATTAACATCTTAGAATACTTGCAATCCAGAAACAGTAAGCAAGCAGCATTAATGCTGGTTGACACAGAAAAGGCGTTCAATAATATTTCCTGGAGGTCAATGGGTTTTGGCGAAACCTTTGTCAGAGGAATACTGTAGAGGCAGTATATTCTGGACAACAGTCCAGACTTATAATAAACGGAAGGGAACTAGACAAGGGTTTCCTCTATCCCCATGACTGTGTATCTTGGTGTTGGAAATTCTGAATAGGAAAATAAGGAATGATGTAGGTATAAGAGGTATAGTATTGGGAGGAAAATCTTACAAATTGAGAGCCTACGCTGATGACCTTATCATTACTACGGAAAATACCAAAGAAAGTTTTCCGAAAGTGATTGAGGTGATAAAAGAATTTGGACAGGTGGCTGGTTTTAAAATTAACTGTAAAAAACCCGAAATTTGTTAGTTAAAAATATGGAGTTGCAGGGGAAAAAATGAAATTTAAAAAATCACTGGATTAGAGGTGAAGAAGAAAGTCAAGTGCTTAGGGATTTGGCTAACAGCAAATAATATCAACCTATATGAGGAAAATTACATAAAGACTTGGAATGAGATAAAAAGAAATTTGGAAATTTGGGATAGACTACATCTTTCTTTTTGGGGAAGAATCTCCACAATTAAGATGAATGTCCTTCCGATAATTATTTTTTTGTTTCAGACTATTCTGGTGTTAGGGGGAATACACTGCTTTAAGGACTGGCAACGAGACATTTCGAAATTCATATGGCAAGGGAAAAGACCTAGGATTAAGCATGAACTATTACTTGATGTTAAGGGGAAAGGGTTTTTTTCCTTACCTGACCTCAAATTATATCACGATGCAGCGTGCCTAACTTGGATTCGTGAATGGGTAGTACTGCAAAACACAGACCTGTTGGATATAGAGGGGTTTGACAACCATTATGGTTGGCACGTATATCTGGTTTATGACAAGGTGAAAGTCCACAAGGGTTTTTTGAATCATACGATAAGAAAATCCCTTTATAAAGTATGGGCTAAATATAAAGATTTACTCAAACTGAAAACCCCTTGGTGGCTTTTCCCTATACAAGCTTTCGCAGTTAAGAAAAAAAAAATCTGGGACATTATATATAATGAACTTTAAAAAATCTTTATATGTTCATTCCAAAAAACCCCAGAAGTCTTCCTGTTGGGAATCATGTTTAATGAAATCCCGAAAATGTTTAGAAGAATTTTCATGTATGCATCAATGGTGGCTAGAATTTTGATAGCAAAAAATTGGAAAGGAGAAGTGATACCCACCAAATTAGACTGGCAGGTGAAGATGATAGAATATATAGAACTAGCCAAAATGACTGGCAGCTTAACAGGTGATTCAAAGCAGAGCTTAAATAAAGAATGGAATGTCTTTAAAGAATATTGTCAGGTGGTGGTGTGGTTGCTCGAGAGCAAACAGGCAAGACTCCAACCTGTCTTTTCCAGGCTTTATTATTAATACAAACTATTTACAGTGCAGAGCGTCGCAAGTCCATGTCTGCTCGCTAGCAGAATCTGGGAGTGGGCGGTCCTTGTACCTCCCCCAGCATAACAGTTGTGTGACCCCCATCCTTCTCCTCCCCTCTCTGCGCCCAAACCGACTGCGCAGAGTGGGCGCTGGCAAAGGGGGACTTGCCTCCCCTCCGCTTTGCTCAGGCTCAGTGTTGGGGCTCTCCCTAGCATCTCCTGGTCCCTGCGCCCCTTCCCCACTGGGGGCGGGGCTTTCCTCCTCGCCAGAGGAGGAACTGCTTCATAACGGAGGCTCCCTGTAACACAACTGCCCTTCCACCTCTCGCCTCTGAGCTGATGGCAGTTCCCTGACAAATATTTACAGCTACATTGTAAAAATGCTTTGACGAGTCTAGGCTGAACCTTGCAGGACAATATGAAACACAAATAAATTAAGTGATAATTAAAATTAAGAAGTGATAATACAAAGTGTGAAATCGAAAGGGAAGCCTAGAAAACATAGTGGGATGAATGGAAGTCAAAGGAATATGTGATGCTTTTTCTTGTTTGTTTGTTCTTTAGTGTTGTTACTGTAGTGTTTTGTGGTTTGTTTGTTTGTTTGTTTGTTTTTAAAGTATTGTTTCAATAAAGTATTAAAACAACAACAACAACCAAACGAATGCATCACCTGGAGTGCTGGATAGCTTCCTGCCGGTGCGTTTGCACCAAGCTGGTCTTCGCATCCCCTTGCCCCGCTGCCCACCTCACAGTAAGCAGCAGTGCAAACAACGGGAAGTCAGTGGTGCCGGGCATACTATGGACTTAGGTCAGCTACCTGAGAGACCACGTTCCTCATGCAAACCAGCCTGGGCTCTGAGAAGGGGAGGCCCTTCTCTCAGTCCTGCCCCCCTGACAGGCCCGCTTAGTGGATGGAGGTGTGGGAGAGGGTCTTCTCTGGGGGGGCTGCTCCCAGACTCTGGAACGCCTCCTGGAGAAGCCAGAATGGCTTCCTCCTGGCTGTCCTTTCGTCAGCTGGTGAAGAACTGAATGTTTTTGAGGAAAGGGCTGTTGCTGTGATTTGTTGTGTTTGTAATTATCTGTATTTTTAATAGATCTTTTATATTATTTTAAATCTATGTGTTTAATTGCATCTTAATGATTTTATTTTCTGTTTTTAGCTTGTTTAATATATCTGTGTAAGACACCTTGAGGCAGGATATTATTATTATTATTATTATTATTATTAACAACAACAACAACAAATACAGTGGTACCTCGGGTTAAGAACTTAATTCGTTCTGAAGGTCCGTTCTTAACCTGAAACTGTTCTTAACCTGAAGCACCACTTTAGCTAATAGGGCCTCCCGCTGCTGCCGCTTCGCTGGAGCACGATTTCTGTTCTCATCCTGAAGCAAAGTTCTTAACCGGAGGTAATATTTCTGGGTTAGCAGAGTCTGTAACCTGAAGCGTATGTAACCTGAAGTGTATGTAACCCGAGGTACCACTGTACATGAATGAATGAATGAATGAATGAATAAAACTGAGCCCATGGCTTGCAGGAAGGAAGGTGTCCTGATCTTATGCCTCTTAGTAACGTAAGTACAACTCCCCACATCAGCCTGAAGCAAGAGTTTTAATGTGGTTTCCTTCTTGCAAAATACTGGCCTAGTCTCTTTCTTTTGTTCCAAAACAGATGGAGGAAAAAGTGATTGCTAGTGGCATCTTCCGCGGGAAGAAGGCTGGCTATGCCCAGAGTCTGAATGAACCGTTTCTTGAGACCAGGCTAAGTGAGTAGACCAGAAAGGGCAAGGCTGGTTGAGGATTTGGTTCACTGGAGGCACAAGACCTGACACACACATTGTGGGCTCCTCCTTTGCAAGGAAATGCAAATATGTAAGGCTACACAAGCAGAGGAGAATGAAAGCTTAAAAGCCTGATTTCCTAACCAAACTTTTGCATAGCTAAGGCATCTCTTAGGAAGAGTCGCCCTGGAAACAGAAGAGAACTTGGAGCTAGCTTACCTGAGCAGACAAACCCAGGGTCCTTGGAATGAAGGTTGGCAGAGACTGGTGTCTTTAGGCTATATGGTTTTATTTGCCCATATATACAACCTGATCAGAGGATAGAAGGGCTCCCAGCATTAACACCCTAGCAGACCTTGCTTCCCCGTTAGTCACAGCTTGGGGTCCAGCACAGAGCAAGCAGGTCTCTGTGTCTCCAAACTGCTTCCGGCTCTCCCACACAACTCTGCCTTTTGTTCTCCTCCCTAGCAGTTTGTGGGGCAGAGGAAAGACCCGCCCATTCGCTTGATGGCATGGAGCAACTTACTTGGTTGTGCTTCACATTTTCTTCACATGTAGTCAGCCACAACCACTGCCTAGGCAGAGGGACTGGTTTAGCAGGCTTGCTCTTACACCTTCTACCCCCACAGATACAGAACCCAAGAATTGGAAGGAACTCAGGGTGTCATAGAGACTGAGCCCCCCCCCCCCAAACTCACAGCAGTAATCCTATACACAAAGAATTCTGGCCTGGGATGCTTTTAGCAAACAAAAACAGGTAGAGGAGAAAGGCATGAGAGCTGCTTCTGCGAAACATCAGTCTAGCTGGGTTACAGACATTTAACTTTAACTGGTACATAATTAAAGGGTTTGATACATATTTTAAAAGCTTTATATGTACAGTGGTACTTAATTCGTTCCGGAGGTCCGTTCTTAACCTGAAACTGTTCTTAACCTGAAGCACCACTTTAGCTAATGGGGCCTCCCGCCACCGCTGCACGATTTCTGTTCTCATCCTGAAGCAAAGTTCTTAACCCCAAGTAATATTTCTGGGTTAGCGGAGTCTGTAACCTGAAGCGTCTGTAACCTGAAGCATATGTAACCCGAGGTACCACTGTAATAAGATTAATGTAACAAAGAATATCACAAGCATAAATGTGTCAACAATCATTGACTTAATAGGTTTGTGGGCTCTGGTATTTCAGCCCCCTTATTTGAACCGTGCATTTTAATTGTGCCAGGGGAGGGTTGAGGGGATGCTGAGTTCAGAGATGGAGCAGCTGATCAAGGCGCAAGTTGTTTTGTCACTGAGGCAAAAATTAATCCCAGAAGCACCTCTCCTTCCTGCCTTCAGCAGTATAAATATTACAATATGTAAATAAATAGCAGTTTCTGCCCTTCCATAACAATCAACTTTGCCTAATGGTAGAGCTGGTACTGACTGTGATATGTGTTTTGTTGTGCCAGAGGCAGCCTAAAATCTCTCCCCGAGATCAGTTTCCTTTCCTTGCATGTCTCTTTGTGGCTCCCCACTTTTGTGCCGGGACTGTGACCCTTGCTCTTTCCTGTGTTCCTAGACGAGAGCGAGTTGAGCCCCAAAGTCCTGCAGCTGATCCGCCACGAGAGAGTGAAGGTGAGGGCTGGGGTGCATGGGGCAAGGGCAGGCCAACCTGCACAGTGGTCCTTGAATGGTGTGTGACTAAAGCTGTGACTCTCAGGCGAAGCCGCCTCTGCTTCTAAGACTCGCCTCGTGGTTGCTTTTCAGTATGTGACGCCGGTGGTGAAGTACGACCGGAATGGCTTCAAGCCCCGAGAGCGGCTGCTGGTTCTGACGCGTGTGGCAGCTTATGTGGTGGAGATGGCCAAGATCAAGCAGAGGATTGAGTACGCCACCCTCGGAGGTAACATCCCTGCTGTCCTTGGGCAACCCTTTCCCTTCCCCGGCATCCAGCCAAGTGAGATGGGGAGAGACCCACCCATTTGCCTCCTTGGCAACAGAGCAACCTGTTTGGATAGCATAAATGGCCTGGTCAGCCAAGGCCATCCCTCTGGCAAAGGAACTGGTTGGGCTGGTTCAGCAGTCTCTTCTAGCAAAGAGCCTGAAAGGGACCCAGGTTGACCACCCCCTCCCCCACCTCATAACAGTCCTTTCTTGCAGTCTGTCAAATGGCCCATGTGAGGGAGAGGAAGCAGTAAAGAATGAAACTCAGTTCTGCATCCAAGCACACAATAAAATCTACCTGCCAGGCTTCTTTGCAGCTTGGCAAAGAAAGGCAGTCCTTCCAAATTTTTCTAGCAAGTGACTTTGTTTTGCATTCTTTTTCCAAGGCCTTTCTGCCAGCAGCTTGGGCGACCATATCTTAGTCATCCATGTTTCAGAAGACAGCAAACCAGAGAAGGTAGCAGTTTCTCTTTACCCGCCCATGGTGTGTGTTTGCGTGTGTGAAATGCATGGAAATAAAACAAGCTAAGGAGCAAAAGGAACGCCTTACTTTCAGACAGTGGATGCCTGTGATACAGCTAATCATTATCAGAAGAGAAAGGCATGACTTTGAATAAGTGTGGGGAGAGCACTCGCGTCTTGCTCTTATTATTATCAGGGGGGCCACTGTGAAAACAAGATGCTGGGCTAGAGGGGACCCCTTTGGCCTAATTCAGCCCAGGCCTCCTCTTCTGTACTCGTGAAAAGTTAGCTTATCAGTTTTTATTTTCCTTAGTGGTAGGATATGGGGCTGCACACCAAACTACATGAGATTAATGAATTGTTTAAGGTAGCTAGGAAAAATGGCTTTGCAGAACAAAAGTATGTTTTCCAAAGTCCTATTAGATACAAATATAAAAGTATTATAAAAAATGTACAAACTGCTGTTGGAGCAGGAAACTAAAGAGGAATTTGTGAAATCGAGCATGATTAAGTGGACACAAGATGTGGGTCACAGTATTGATTATGAATTATGGGGAAAGTTGTGGAAAATAAATATGAGTTTTATGGCATGTTATGTGCTAAAAGAAAATGTGATGAAAATGTCCAACAGATGGTATTTAACACCCATCAGATTGGCAGAACTGTCTAAGAGTTTACTACTATACACCACGACTGCAGCTAGAACCTTATTGGCACAAAGGGGGAGAACAAGTCTAGTACCCACTAAGGAAGAAAATGTTTGAATTTGCTGAACTGGTTGGTCTGACAAACGGGATAAGAGAAAACAAAGATCAGGAATATAAGGAGGAATGGATAAAGTTTATTTACTATTTCAAAAAACAGTATAGACAAATTCATAGTTTGCAGGTCTCAAGTAAATCCAGCAGATTTGAAATACAGTATTTGACAGATAACAAATTGGATGATTAAAAATATGTGGATTACACGGAGTAGTAAAAGGTAAAGGTACCCCTGCCCGTACGGGCCAGTCTTGACAGACTCTAGGGTTGTGCGCTCATCTCACTCTAGGGGCCAGGAGCCAGCGCTGTCCGCAGACACTTCCGGGTCACGTGGCCAGCGTGACAAAACGCCGTTTACCTTCCCGCTAGTAAGCGGTCCCTATTTATCTACTTGCACTTTTGACGTGCTTTCGAACTGATAGGTTGGCAGGCGTTGGGACCGAGCAACGGGAGCGCACCCCGCCGCGGGGATTCGAACCGCCGATCATGCGATCAGCAAGTCCTAGGCGCTGAGGTTTTACCCACAGTGCCACCCACGTCCCAACACGGAGTAGTAGAAAAGCAAAAGGAACCAGGAAAAGTGTGGAAGAGAAGTCATATGGTATATGTATAAATGTGGTATTTGGTACGAAGTTGTAAGTGGGACGGGGGGAGGGGGATTAAATATGCTCTATGTTCCTGTTTTAGAAAATGCGAAGAAAGAAAAAAGAATTTTCCTGCCACACCCTTTGAGAACCACTGGTATAGGGACATGTTTAGCCCAAGTGCATTTTTTTATTTTATTTTTTGCTTTTGAAAAGTGTTATCAACCTCTTTGTATTCAATTTTCAAATGCAGCTGTCTGATCATAACACAGTGGTGAAAGGGGAGTTTCTCCTTGAATGGAGAGCCCTGCCTGACTCCATTTCTTGCTTCCAGGGAGACGCCATTCTGCAGTGTGAGCACTTTTTTGAGACGGTCACAAAACTCTGCATTCTGGCCCACAAGCAGAATGTCTCGGTGGTCCAGGGAAGGTGGGTCCCTCACTCTTCTGAGGCCTTTGCATTTGCAAATGAATGAAATCATGGGATTGATCGTTCTTAAGCATCACCCACATCTGTTGACATAGGAAGCACAGGCCTGCTTATCAGCCTGAATTTCACACTCCATGTATTTAAAGCAAAAACCCAGGGGACTATTTTGAAGAGGCTGTTCTGATGCCACATTGGGAAGGATACACCACTGAATTAGGAAGGGCAGGAGAGGCCTGGTGCCTTCATAGCCCAGAAGTGGGCTTCTGGGAAGCATCTGAACAGCCACTGGGGGGATTCTGGCCTGATGCCTCTGACATCCTTGTCCCAGTGCAGGTGGCTCAGAAAAACCACTTGGGTCCCAAATGAAATATCTGAGACTGCCTCCTTCCCTCTAGGCCCTTTCGGGTGCTAAGATTGGCAGAGGAGCCCCTCTTGGTAGTTCTGCTGCCCTCAGAACTGCAAGGGGATGGTGGTTGTAACCCCAGGAGAGGGCCTTCTCTGTGTCAGCCCCCAAACTGCAGAACTCCCATCCCATTGAAGTGCAACTGGTCCCTTAATTGTACAGCTTTCCATGACTGTTGAAGACACACCTGTGTTTTTGGGACCCACTTCAATTCCTGGCAGTGGCTCTCCAGGGACTTATCAGCCTTATTATTTCTGCATGGAGAGCAGGTCTTCTCTCCCTTCCCTAGAGGCCAGGATGGTGGTTTTGCACCTAAGCCTGGTGGGCTTGTGAATGTCATTGCTGGTGTTTCTTTTTTGTAGCCTCCAGTTCCAAATCAGTTCAGGGAAAGAAGGAACAATGGTTTTCACCACTGGGCAGGATGCTCAGGTCTACAAAGCCAAAAATGGACAACTGACGGTGGTAAGTCCTTTGCAATGACTGTGGCCCTTTTTCTACAGGCAAAGAACTGGATGCTGAAGGAATGACTAGCAAAGCAGATTTAGGGGCCTAAATGTTGTAGCTGGAGTGAGGTTTTTGCAGGTAACTTGGGGTGGTGAGCAGACCAGTGTAGGAACATTGCAAGTGAGTGTCTAGATAACCAAGAGGAATCCAATTAAACCCAGGTATAGTGTCAGACCAGACCATCATGAAGCCAAGCAAGCTTTCAAAAGTCCCTTGGGTATGTTTAAGTTGGCCTTGCTTGAATAATTGCATGTGAAGCTGCCCCCTAGGCCAGACGGTGAGGCTGCTTGTCCACCTAGCGTAGGCGACAAGGGCTGGAAATGTCAGGTGCTGAGCCTTCTACCTCCCAGGCAGGTGTGCTGCCCCCTTATTTGTCTGTATTGATAATCCGTTTGTGATTTTCCATGCTGATGAGCTGTAACCTTTGTGCCCATCCCTCTTTGGAGTCTGAGGCTCAAACTACAGCTTCTTCCCTTGAAGAAGGGAACAGCTTCTCTTTCTCTCACCCAGCTGTTTTGCTGGACATCCAGCAAAGCTGAATGTTGGAAGATTTAGGAGACAGATAAAAGAAAGGACTTCTACATGCAGCACATAGATAGACTGGGTCAAATTCTTGGAGTAGAAGGCTATCAATAGCCATGAATCATGATGTCTGCGCACTATGTCCAGAATCAGAGGGGACAGTCCTCTGAATGCCAGTTGCTGGGGATCGTCAGTGAGGAGGAGGCTACTATTGCCTTCACGTCCTGCTTGGGGGCTTCTTCTCTTTGGGGCAGCTGGTTGATCCCTCTGAGAGCAGGAAGCTGGATAAAAAGGGCCACCTGATCTAGCAGGCTCTTAGATTTTCCTTCCTCATCCACACAGTGGATGATTTATAATAGGCAAGATTGTCAAAACATGCTTTTATTTCAAGGCCGGTGCTTTCTAAAGAGAAACATCAAAAGTAGATCAATCAGATCAAAGGTCCATCCAGCCCAGCCCCCCGTTGCTCGTAAAGAAGTTTTTTAAAATCAATTTTCATCTTTAAACTATTTAATATGCTTGTATTGAGATATATATTTGTTTACATTAGAACATACAACATGCAACAATTATATGTTAAATATTAAATATTAAAAATAAAACCGCAATAAACACTCGGATAAATGTTTCTGAATATAATAACAAAGCTGTGTCAGAGTGTCTATACCAAAATTATTACAGATATGATGTATAGCAGTACGTATTGCTTTGATTGGCGACCATAAGTAAAATGTACCGGTATTTTGTATCAACAACAATTAGAATTTATAGGAATTTATAGGGCATGAATTTCCTTTTAAAAAGCCAGATCCCTTAGTTGCCTGTCAGCTCCCCTTTGTCCTTTTGGTGGGAATCACAGAATTGTAGAGTTGAAGGGGACCCTGAGGATCATCTAGTCTAACATCTTGCAGTGCAGGACTCTCAAGTAACAATGCTTCTGTTTAGGCAGGGGCTGCAAAATGAGAAGGGAGCCATCTAAAATTTTTTTTTAATCTTTCTATGTTTAAATCCAACAGGTATCACCCAGAATAACATCCTGATGGAAGCACATGTTCCACCTTTGCCTGTTAACTGCTGATGTTCGAAAGAGAAAGTAGCCCAAACTCCTCTGTGGAGAGGAGCAGAATCCATATTATAATTCTGATGCTTACAAAGAGTGTTTTGATGCCATAGGACTGTTGCAGATCCCATGACTGACTGTATGAATACTCCCAATAACTGGCTATATTTTTGTGATAACTTGCCTCTAATCTAAGTCAGCAGTTACAGATTTCCTTAGATTTCCTTAATAGATCCAAGTGGGGAAAGCCTCAGAAAAGAATTGCACCTTAGAAGTGGAGGAGGAAGTTCTACACTCTGGAAAAAGTATTCTTCCCATTACAGGGCTGGAAGCGTAATGGCAATCTGTAAAGCTGAATCCTACAGCCTGGAGAAATGCGAGGCAGGCAGCTGTTGTCCCTTAGGGTTTGGGAACACAGCTCTCCTCATTTTTCTCTGGCACTGTTTTTTGGGGGAACCTTGAGATCCCTGCTGCTGCTTGGGCAGCCACAGGCCCACCGAAGGGAGATGCGGTGGGGTGGGGGGGAAGGTTCTGCAGTCGAAATCGTGCCTCCATGTTCCTTTCTATACTAGCAACATGTGACTGTAAGTGGCAATGTGAATTAAAAAGACTAAGAGAAACACGGCTTTGAAATGATCTTGTAGGGTTTTTTGTTTTTGTTTTTTAAAAAGAACTAGTTCCTGACTGGTTTTAAAGCCTCCTTCTAGCTCTGTCTGAAAGCCAAGTAAGGTGGCCAGCTGAGGCTTCTTCTTGACCAGTCACCTTTCTGTTACATGTGGAGCAGGAATGGGGAGAAAGGCACACTTGCCAAATTTGCAACTCCTAAACCAGTATGTAAACTGAAACCCTCTTTACCTTTGAAATCCACACTTCCCTGAATGTTGATCTGCAGTTCTTCAATCAATCAAGGAATGTGTATAAAAATGCATATTGGTGAAATTAACATACAAAATGCATTCTGTAAGGGGAAATTGCTTGCAAAGCTGCATGCAAATGGTGTATTAGGGGAACAATGCACAAAAGTGTGCATTAATTTGAATGTGTCTCTTTAAAAAATGCAAATGTTTGTGGAAAATGAGGCAAACTGAACTTAAGAGCGGGAAAATGAGAAACAGAATAAATCCAGAATCCATTTGTCCAGCTCTACTGAGGAAGCCCCAGAAGCTCCTCAGGGGTTCAGCAATGACAGGCTGGTTGCTCTGATTGGCAAAGGCGACCAAATGGAGACTTCAGTGTGTGAATGTTGCAGGTTCAGCTGCTGAACGGAGTCTTGCATCTCCCAGCCACAAAGCTCTCCCAATGCTACCCGGATTCAGATGGATTGAACCAGCAGGTGTTGAGCAGCCCTGAATTGGAACGGTCTTCTGGTGATATCTGCCAAAAAATTAGGGCCTGCTTGTGTAACTGCATTTGAGTCGTCTCTCAATTGTGTGCTTGCTTCTTGCATGGGAGGGAGATCTCCCCACCTCCTGGCACGTCTGGCAAACTTTGGCCCAGCAGCCCAAACCATTTTTGATGAACCTTCCTGCAAAAAGTATTGGGCTACATTTGTTAGCTGCCTGCAAGAGAAACAAAGGAACAGCCAACAAGTTGGAAATTGGCAAAATGCCTATTTATTCTGCATATTTTCAGACCTGCATAAAATACATACATACAGACTTAAACATAGAAACTTTGCTCTGCTCTGCAAATATTACCTTGTAGCATTGGAATGAAGGCTGTGAAATTGAAGCTGTGGGGGAGAATTTCTGCTGCTGCTGCTGCTGACGACAGAGGAAGGGTCCACTGCTGCTCTTAAAAGTGCTTGTCACTGGATGCAGCTGGCAGCTTGTTCCCGCAGCCAGGGGTGGAGGAAGGGGGGGTGCAGTGGGTGTGGAGTGCCCCCGGGTGTCACCACTGAGGGGGGTGACAAAATGCTGGGCAGCACTCACCGCGGGGCCTGGGAGAAACACGGTGGCTTGGGTGCGTGCAGGCTCCGCGCTGTCCTAATGGTCTGCCCGCTGCCTCCCCCCCCCAGCTGTAGGGCAGCAGAGTGGGAGGGGGCAGGCAGACTCCAGAGGCCCTGTGGTCCACCCTGCCCCTATGGACGGCTCGCCCCAGGTGCCCGAGCGGCTTCCTCTGCCGCTGTCAGTCATGGCCTCTAACCTCGCTGCAGGAGACTGCTTCCCCACACAGATGTGCACTTGAAGGCTCCTTCGCCACACTCGTCAACCACAGCAAGGCTTCATTTCAGGACACAAAATCCATTGCTCAGGCAGCTGAAGTGCTTCATGCAAGGTACAGCCACCCATTCTGCTGCCCCTTCACCTTCCACTTATAAAGGGCTTTTACCGCTGCACATGACTTTGGGGGCAGCTGGGCTACTTTTTCCTTGCACCTCTAGCTCATGCTCTATAGTTTGTGTCTGGAAGTTAACACCCTGCTGGCACGGTAAAAGTAGCAAGACTGTCAGGCTTCTACTTTAAAGGAAACAAGTCTGCAGGATTGTCAGGATGCTTCCTGGTTGCAGGTGGGAGAATGAAAAAGCACCTCTCACTGTGCCCCCACATGGGAACAATTGAGGAGGAGAAGGGACCACCTTTGGCCTACAGGGAACCTGGGGCAGCAAATACTACAGCTAGATTTAACCACCTAAACCTTCCATGGCCACATAGGTGTCTTGTTTGTACCAAGGAGAAGTACCTTATTCCTTGTTCTGATACTGAACAGTGCAGAATTCACTGGCAGCTGATGTGCAGCCTCCCTTCTTCACTGATCCCACTTTTTCCTGAAAACAAAAGTCTCACCGAAGAAATGGATTATCTTGAAAGATGCACTCAGCCCTGGACATTGAAACAAAGAGCACTTCCCTCTATTGAAGAGCATTTTTTTAAAAAGCTCAGAGAACTGAACAGGGAGAGGAAGGCAACTGCACCCCACCCCTTCCTCTGGCCCCAGGAAGCTAAAACCACCGGCACTCACTTGCTTATTTCCAAACCGTCAAACTAAAAGACGGGCAAGGAAAGGTGATCTTAATGCGCAGAGCTGATGTTACAAAATTGATTGGCTGACAGGAAGAGGAAACTGCTTCCCTTTGATGTGGGATTATAAGCACCCCATCCTGGAAACAACAGTTACCTTTGGGGATCTGTGTGTAGCAGGCTCAGTTCTTCCACATTCGTAAGAGCAAGGTAGGATGCTAGAAGCAAAGGCTTCACAGGAATCCACCATCCTGTCCCATAACTGCAGACACAATTTCTTTCTTACACTTCCAAAAAATGTGAGGATTGCCCCCCCCCCCAATTAGGCTGTACACAACAAGAATAAAGAGAGGAAGTTATCAGACTCTTGCCGGAGAAGTTTCTTAAGTGCCTTCCTTGAACTACAACTCCCAGATAAACTTAGCTGTAACATATTAAGGATGTCAAAATACTGAGCAAGTTTTACAGCGATGTCACTATAATACTTAAACATGTTTTTAACAATGAATCCTCCAAGATGATGTGGAGTTGGGAGCATCCAGAGCGCCATCATGACACACCATTTTGTTCCACAATGTTTTATGCTGCACAAGTGACAGGCATGAAATGGGATAAATAAGACCACCAACCAGTGCCTTTTTTCTCTCCTGCAAAGGGAGAAAGTTGCAGCTGAGGGGCTGCATTGACTGTGGGAAGATGAGACAGAGACCCAAACACACAAAAAGGAATGAGCCGAGTGAGACTTTGATAGCGTATTAATACTTCAGCCTTCTCTGGCCTGGCACCCTCCAAATGGGTTTGACTACAACTCCCATAAGTCCCAACCAGGATAGCCATGTGATCCTGTGGCTGATGGGAGTTGTAGTCCACCCCTCTGGAGGGTGCCAGGCCAGGGAGGGCTCCTCTAAGCTTCAGCAAACAGCTTGATGCTTTGGCTTTCCTGCTACTTCAGTCCCAAACGCAACATTACAGATTTCTGGTTAATCTGCTTCCTAACGGAAGTAAAAGAGAAATTGTGCAGAGGTAGATTTAAAAGGGGTGATAATCGTGCATCCTGCCTCAACACACACAGAATGTATTCTCGTATATGGAAGGTGCTCCTCTAAACTGCCTCCCACCTCCTGAGTAGTAAGACTGAGGCTTTACATATGCACATGAGCCTACATGACCTGGGAGAAAATCTGGTGGGGTAGGGCTTTTGCAAAAGCTGCATCTGATACTTTGGGGCTGGGGCTGGAGGGATACGCAGGACAGCCCCTTGCTCTCCCCACCCTGTGCTGTAGGTTCTCTCACTTTTGAGACATGCTTTGGGTTACAAAAGAAGAGAGCAGGGCACAGCAAAGACAGTGGCATGGCAAGTTCACATTTTTGTTTCTGTCCCACCTACAAAACAGGCAAGAGCAACTTACACACCCAAGATGGGACGGATGGAAGGAGAAACAGATGCGCTCCCAAAATCAGCAGGGTTTGTCTGCATGGAAGTGGGTGGGAAAACGAGAATTGTAAAAGCCTGCCTGAAATGGGAAGAGGCATTGCTTGGACTTTTGTTGTGGAAAAACTGTCACAGCATGAAAAAACAAACAAACAAACAAACAGTAACCAAATGTTAACTTAGGAAGAGGCAAGACAACACTTTGGCCCTGCTGCAGGTACATTTCCCTAAAGAGTGGCCAAGAGAGGACCACCTCTCCTCTGCCCATGTCCAAAAAGAAAGAGGGAAACGGAAGGATTATCCTTCCATCCTAGAAGTATGTTGTGTCCTTTTCCTCAAAGTGCCCCTGTCTCTGTTCACAGACAAGTTACACCTGCACTTAGGAAATTAGCAACCTGGTGCCAAAGCAAGCAAAGAGGTTTCTACTGTAGATTTTGTCACAGTGCATGAATTGAGAGGCAGCTCATCTCTCCCGTTTTAACTTTCAGGAAGAGAAAGTGGAAGGTGTGTGGAAGTTGAGCTGCTTTTCTTGAACCCTGGACTTGAGTGAGATGGAGAGGGCAGGCAACATCTTTGTTTTGCTAGCACAGCCATCCCCAGCAACAAAGCCCTTTCCAGAGGGCTTTGGACTACAACTCCATTAGGATGGGAGCTGTGAGTCCAAAGCTCCCAGAGAGCACCAGGTGGGGGGGAGGCTGCCTTTGCAAAATGCCCCTGCAGAAGGAAGATTCCTCAAGGCACGAGAGAGCAAGAACAAGAAGTGCTGGATAAACCAAGACAGGCATTGATTCCCAGAGGCTGGAGCGAGTCCACAGGATTGCTGTGAAGCTGGACACCTCGTGGATTTTCATGATAAAACTATTGTGTTCCATACCAAAAATACTCTAACTTGTTTATAAAATAACAGTTTATAGACCGCATGGAATATAAGTTAGGTGCCTGGCAGCCACTGGAGTGAGCCTGGACGGAGATTTTGCCCCAACAGGACTGTGGGCTGAGGCTGGCTTCTCTCTCTCTCTCTCTGTCTCTCTCTCACTGGTGCAGGTGAGTGCGGTCGTCCGGGCGCTTGATGTGGATCCTGCGGACCCGCTCAATGCGCTCCCGCTCCTCGTCCTCCTCCAGGTGGTGCGAGCGGCCAGCTGCCCCTCCAGTCGCTTCCAGCAGCGCGTTGTCAGGGCCTCGTCCATCTTGGGCTTCATAAAGCAGAATGTTTAATGTCTCCTCGTAGATACGGGCTTCTGGGAATTCAACCTGGACACCCCAAGCAGAGGGAGGTTAAGAGGAATTCCTTTCTCCCAAGCTGGAATTCAGGGCAACTTACATTTTAAAACATCATTATAAAATACAAAGGAAAACAAATTAGATAAAAACCAAGAGTTAAAATACACCAGACCCTGTTTAGAGCCAGCAGTTAAACTACAGTTTGCCCTGACATCTGCCCAGCCTGAGCTCCGCCTGCACCTCCATTTCCAGAGGCCCACTGGAACAGGAAGCTCTGAGCCTGCCAGTGGAAGGATGACAAAGAAGGAGCCCATCTAGCCTCTTTTGGGAGGGAATCCTGCAATATGGGAGCAGCCACTCCTGGGTCACCACCAGTGTGCCTCTGATGGGACCAAGAGAAGGTGCTCACCTGAGGATCTTAGCACTTGGGTGGGTTCACAGAGAGAGAGAGAGAGATGATATTTCAGGTAGCCTGGGCCCAACCATAGAGGGCTTCATAAGTTATCACCAGCACCGTATTGTGCCTAGAAATAGACTGGTAGCCAGTGACGTTGTTTTAACTGTGACCCAACATGTTCCCTAAACCATCCTCAGTCAGCAGTCTGGCAGGAAGCTTCTTCCCCCGGGCCCTCTTGCCTAGGCATGGAAGAACTTTGCAACCCGGCTATGTTGGGGGTGGGGGGTGGGGCAGAGGGGAGAGAAGAAGAGGGTTGCAGGGGCAAGCTCAAGTGCTTGGTTTTGTCTGCACTGACCTACCTTATACATATCATTTTGGGGAGTGGGTGGGTGTTGTCAAGGAAGCAACAGCAACAAGACTCACCTTGGTCTGCTTCTTTTCCGTGGCATACACAATGGACGTGCAGCAGACTTCCGCTATCTTGCGCCCCTGTCCGTAGAAAGACCAGCAGCAAATCTCGTCCCCAATGACATCCTTGATGAAGAGGACCCTCCCATTGAAGCGCAGCGAAAGCTTGTCAAACAGCTCAATGTTCTTCAGCATGTTGTCATCGGAGTTGCTGAGCCAACAGGACAGGAATGAGGACACCTTCCAGTTTCCAGGGGCCTCTTTTAAACCCCTGCTCCCACTAACTCTACTTTTAGTCAAAACTCCATTCCCCGCCTCCACACTTTGTTTCATCAGCTCCCACGGGGCATTGAAAATGGCCTTATAGGACTTCCGGGGTGGCGCCACCGGCAATGGCGGACTCCCTCTGAACTGGAGGGACTAGCTCCGCGGGAAACGGGTCTTCTCCGCTACGGCGAAGCGGGGACCCTCTTAAAAATCACAGGCGGATGAAGCCTGTGACCATGGGACTCGGCGGGCACCTTTAGCGCCCCCCAACCCGCTAAGGAACCCACTAACGGGCTCTGAAGTGAAGAGGGGGAAGTGGCACGGTGCTGTGAGTCAACTGCTATTTCCATGGAGCGAAGCCGCATAGCTGTTGCCGGAAAGCGCTGCCTTTTTCCTGGGATAATTTGGACTTTAAAATAAGCACCCGTGAGTACTTAGACTTTGAATAATTGGACATCAAATAAGGACTAGCGAGCAGGAAAGAATTGGATTTTAAAAATTCTACTCTAATTTGGTACGGAACAGGAAGGTCTAAACAGGAAGTCAGCCTTCCGTTCTTTTGTAAACAGAATAAAGCAAAGACAATTTAAACTAGAGCTCAGAAAATCGTTTTTAAAAAGATTGGATTTCACCATTTAAAATTGTGGAACCCCCCTTTGACAGCAGGAGAAGGGGGGGATCTTTTTGGATTGTTTAAAGTGACTTTAAAGTAAAGTAGCTTTCCTCCGTCCTGATCCTGGAGCAGGCTGTCAGGACTGACATGTGAAGTTCATTGACCAAAGACAAGTGTTTTTGACAGACAGCTAAAAGAAGAGAAACATAGTGACTCCACTGTTCCCTTTCGTATTTTAAAGGAATATATATGGACAAAGTATCTTAAAAAAGGAAACTTTGTTGCAAGAACAAATAGAAGTCTTCCCCCTAGGGGGAGTCTGTGAAACTGTAACTAACTCCAGGGAGCCGGCAGCTGTCACAGATTACAACCGTGGGAAAAGGCATCTGACCTTGGAGGACAATGTATTCAGAAGCTTTGTTGTGTGCTCTCTATAAAACAAATGCCCTACTGGAACAATTACACGAGAAGGTGAGCTGGATGGCGACTTCGACTAGAAATTTTGAACAGGCAGTGGGAAACTTTGAACAGACAGTGGGAAAATATGTGGAGCCCACTCAGGAATTAAATCAGGAGTGTGTCTTGACAGAACAGGCCCAACAGGAATATGAGTTTTCGGATTTGACAAATGAACTTGGAAAAGCCAGATTTGGAAAGGAAAAGTTTGGCTTGGTTTGGAAATGGGGGGCTGGATTGACCCCCCCTGTTGGGATGTTTGGACTTTTCAAATAAGGCAATGGGCCGTGAGATGTTTGGGACTGTGGGGGCTCTTAATTTTGGAGGGTCTTTGAAACATGCTTTTAAATACTACATGGAATTCAGTGTTGAAAATGGAAAAGGGGCTGATCCGTCGAGAAGGGTCAAAAACATTGTCAAGCTGGAGTTACCACGAGCAGGAGACAAGGGAAAATACAGTTACAAATATGAAGAAGAGCCGCGGAAGGGACATGGAAGAGACTTGAGGGCCTCGGATATAAGGCTGCCAGGTTAATGGGCCAGATCGACGGGAAGAAGGACTGACAAAACCCGGAACCAGGAGGAAGGGACGTTGGATGAAGATTGGATTTGTTTGTATCTCTTTTCTCTACCATTAGAACTGTTTTATAAAATTGATGAATGTTAGAAAAATGTTGGAATGAAATTACTTGGCTTAGCAAAGATGTTTAAAGAACTATGAAAGAATATTATGGTTATGAGAAGCTGGTAAGGATAAGATTTAAGTTTTAAGCTTTAAGGTTTATTTTATTATAGAAAGATAAGATTAAAACAGATTAGGGTAATGCAATGACAGAATATTATGAAATATGGAAAGGATTTGCTGGGATAATTAATAACTAGGATACAAAGAAAGGGAGGAGGAGGTCTAAGAAAGAAGGCAATGACAGTTAAGGATCTGAATACAATGAATTTGTTTTTAAATGTTTTTTAAGGTTTGTGATGTATTTTCGTATTTTTCTTTTTTCTTTCTGTCACTTTTTCTCATTTTGAATTTTTTACTCGTATGGTGGGAAGGGGTTTGTTTCTTTTTTTCCTTTTCTACTTTGTCAACTATTTTTATTTTGTACTTTCTGCTGTTGCTATTTTATTTTTCTCTTTTGTGTAACGTTTTGAAAATTTCAATAAATATCTTTAAAAAAGAAAAAGAAAATGGCCTTATAAACCTTCCCTGGGTGCAGAAGGTGAAAGCTTTTTTTTTTTTAAAGATATTTATTGAGATTTTCAAAATGTTACAAAAAAGAGAAAAAAATAAAATAGAAGCATAAGAGAGTACAAAGGATAAAAATAATTGACAAGATAGAAAAAAAAACGAGGAAAAAAAACCAACCCCTTCCCACCATGTACGACAAAATTCCAAATGAGAAAAAATGACAGAAAAAAAGAAGAATGCAAAAATCACAAAACTTTAAAAACATTTAAAAACAAATTCATTATTTTCAAATCCTTAACTGTCATTACCTTCTTTCTTAGACCTCCTCCTCCTCCCTTTCTTTGTATCCTAGTTATTAATTATCTCAGCAAATCCTTGACCTTATCTTTCTGTAATAAAATGCGAAAGGGAACAGTGGAATCACTAGGTTTCTCTTCTTTTAGCCATCTGTCAAAAACACTTGTCTTTGGTCAATGAACTTCACACGTCAGTCCTGACAGCCTGCTCCAGGATCAGGACAGAGGAAAGTTACTTCACTTTAAAGTCACTTTAAACAGTCCAAAAAGATCCCCCCCTTCTCCTGCTGTCGAAGGGGGGTTCCACAATTTTAAATGGTGAAATCCAATCTTTTAAAAGCGATTTTCTGAGCTCTAGTTTAAATTGCCTTTGCTTTATTCTGTTTACAAAAGAACGGAAGGATGACTTCCTGTTTAGACCTTCCCGTTCCGTACCAAATTCAAGTAAATTTTTAAAGTCCGATTCTTTTCTACTCGCAAGTCCTTATTTAGTGTCCAATTGTTCAAAGTCTAAGTACTCACGGGTGCTTATTTTAAAGTCCAAATTATCCCAGGAAAAAGGCAGCGCTTTCCGGCAACAGCTATGCGGCTTCGCTCCACGGAAATAGCAGTTGACTCACAGCACCGCGCCACTTCCCCCTCTTCACTTTGGAGCCCGTTAGTGGGTTCCTTAGCGGGTTGGGGGGGGCGCTAAAGGTGCCCGCCGAGTCCCATGGTCACAGGCTTCATCCGCCTGTGATTTTTAAGTGGGTCCCCGCTTCGCCGTAGCGGAGAAGACCTGTTTTCCGCGGAGCTAGTCCCTCCAGTTCAGAGGGAGTCCGCCATTGCCGGTGGCGCCACCCCGGAAGTCCCAGAAGGTGAAAGCTTTTACCTGGTGTAGGAGTACTTGTTGTTACTTCTGTTGTACAGCAATTTTACCGCTGGCTGTGGGGAAAGCACAAACAGGTAGGGATAAATGTCACAGTTTGATGCTTTTGTTATAGAGCTCACCTTGAAAAGGGAACTCTCCCTTCAGCTGTCAACTGGGGGATGCCATTCCAGGTGGGACAGGAGAGATAGGAAGCCCAGCTCCATCTGGTGCCTCCTGCCCCTGAACTGCGCATTCTAAAGAATGACTCTTTAGAAACTGGCACCTAAGTTTTTGTAGTAAAGCTAGTATCATTTAGAAGTTGTTCCTTGGTCAAGCAATGAGAGTGAGGCCTTGTGGGTAACCAACAAGCCACAAGGACCATGGGAAATAAGTTCTGTCCCTTTAACCCCAGACTAACAGGCACCCAGGGTGTGAAAGTTTTATTATGGGAGAGGAAACCCTGATTTAATGGAAGGCTTGACACCTGGGTCCAAGTTCTGCGCATTCCGTTAGTGATGTTATCTGGCCTTAATGGCCTGGGAATGTGCATCTGCAGAGGCGCCAAGGAAGGGAGGACAACCTTTGATTGAGGCTCTGGGTTCTTAATTGGCCCAGCTGCCAGAAGTTAGATTGATTAGTCCACAAGCCGGTCATTGGAGAATTTAAAAATAATCAAGAGTTATGATTGGTTTTGGGGGTTCCGACGCCACGTGTGAATCAGGGTTAAAAGATCTGGGAAATGGCTGAGAAAGTGCGCTCTGCAATCCGCAAATCGCCCGGCTGCTGATGTTCCATCTAAGTAGCTGTCTTTACCTCCTTTGTGATGGAGAACTGCGAAAGCCTTTGAACTGCGGAACCTTGAAAGGACTCTATCTATTTCTTTTGTACTTTAGTTGTGAGTATGCAAGCTAGCTAGATTTCACAATGTTTTTATTTTTCTTGTCTGTAACTTACTAAAGATGTGCCTGCTATTTTAGCATGTTTTCTTATGTTCTTTTAAAATAAATTTTAATTAAGAAACTGTTTTGGTTTGTGTGCCTTTCCGGGGGGAAAGTCTAAGTCCTAGCCTTACGCTTAGTTACGCTCTACCGTAAAACTTCTGTCTGCAAGTTTGTGGATTCAACTTGTGGAGTGGGGATAACCAGTAACAACAGGGTACAGCCTACTCCCTGGGTTGTGACTCTAGGTTTCCCGGAACAGAGGGAGTGGTGGCAGCTCTACCGGTGTGATTTTGTCCTGCTTCTGTATAACGTAACGTTGCCTGCCAGCCCTGTTCAAGAAACCTGATCTGGCCGGTGAGCCAAGGCAGGTGAGGGAGGAGCGAGCGGCTGGGGGCAACTTTACTACATGGTGGCAGCGGTGGGATCGAGCTTCCCTGCGGAAAGGCACTTTGAATTTTTTTAAATTGGCACGTATCTTTTGGGAGTTACAGGTAGTTTATTTTTTTGGCTAGAGATAGTTAGGAGATGGATGCCGCGTCGTCGCAGGAATGCACCTTGCAGACATTAGACCAGTGGGGATTGGTGGGAGGAAGCAGTTCCCTTCCTGTGGAGACCAATCCCCCCCAAGCTTTAAGTCCCAGAGCGGAATCCGCCCCCTGGTTTTCAGAAGACCCTGATTCAGAGGGGGAGCTGGTGGATGCCAGCGAGTTAAGTACTGTCCGGAGGGGTCGGCGAGAGTCCTGTATTGCGGAAAGAGCAAGGGGCACGCCAGTTACCCAACCCCCATCGCCTCGTGAGGAAGTGGATGCCTCCACACGTCCGAGGGGGAACTATCTTGTTTACACAGAGCCTAAAGAGATGGATTTCTCAGAGGGTTATGATGTGGAGTGGATGCGAGATCCGGTGAATGGTGGATTCCGTTGCCGAGAGAAACATCCAAAAATGGGCCAATCCATCCTGATGGGGCCGAGAGTCAGCCGGATGGCGTATGACTACAAAGATCTGCCGCACCAGCTGCAGGAGGTGACTGTGGGAGACTGCCGCCGAGAAGCGGGCGCGCCCGACGTCCGCCGGATGGAGAGACAGCGGTCACTCAGTCCGGGTAGAGTCTACTCGCCAGTCAGAGCTCAAGAGGTGTACGTGCCGGTGCGACGGTATGTGGCAGAGGAAGAGGAGGAGTTTTTTCAGCGACCCAAGCGTGGATTCGCAACGGCAGCTGAACCGGTACGCCCGGAAGGGCCGGTGTTTCAAAACCCTGCGCCGAGGTATGAACTTGTTCCAGTGAGGGGAAATCACCGCCAACAGTCCCCTCCAGGACTGTCTTTGAGTACTCTTAATTGGAGGGTCTTCCCGAAATATCAGCCCCCCACTGACGTTCTGAGTTATCTGACTCTTTTTGAAGTAACTTGCAAGGACATGGGAGTTGCTCCAACTATGTATATGGCTGTTCTGCGCCCCCTAGTTTGTGGTGACCTGGCAGAGCTTATGGGTCACCTCCCCTCATCTGAACTCAATGACTATGAAAGTTTCAAAAAGTTAGTCATGCAGAGGCATGGATTGCACCCCGAGAATTATCGAAAGGCTTTTCGAAAAGTAGAGAAGTCGGGGCTCAGTGATAATATTGCAGTTTTCTCAGCAAAAATGGCTCAAAACTTCGAACTGTGGCTTGCCGCCGAAGGGGTGGGGGACTTTGAAGGATTCAAACAGCTTATATTAATTGAACAACTGATGCGTTCCCTGCCCTCAGAAATTGCTAGTCTGGTTGCAGACCAAAAGCCACGAACTCTAACGGAAGCCACCACCTTTGCTGAGTCTTTTAGGCTTAACCGCTCCCATTGGACCAACAAGGGACCAAGTAATGTGTGTAAACCAGCAGTTTCAATGGGGAAGTCTGCTCCCCCCATTAAGGAACAAAGCAAAGGTTTCCTGACGTCTGCAAAAGACTCTGTTGTAGTAGGGGGAGAACGTACCAAATTGTCCCCAACCTCTGGATTGTGTTTCTTTTGTAAACAACCGGGGCATGTAAAAGCAGCTTGCCCCCAGCTGGGTAGCCAAAAGCCTCCTATTCTCACTTCCACCCCTGCCGTGCACCTGATTCAGCGGCAGGAAGAGGACTGGGAAGGGGAACAACAAAAAGCCGGAGCTGGGGAAACCCCGATCCTGGATGGGAAGGGTGTGGCAGCTCCTGACGTTATGGCTCCTGGAACAGCTGAAGCCACTTCTAATGCTGTTATAGTGGGACCTGTGGGTACCAGTGCTGATCCAAATGCGCCGCATGTGAAGTGGGCTATTTCGAAGTTTACAGCGCCCATTGAAGTCAACGGGATTGCTGTGAACTCTTTCAGAGACACAGGGTCAGATATTACCAGTGTGTCCCGTGATTTGGTTATGCCTATACAAATGCAGGATAAACCCATGAAAATTAGTCCCTATGGGGTGAAAGAGATTTTTCAACCTACTGCTATTATTCCAATTTCGTATATGGGTTTTCAAGGAAAAATGTTAGTTATAGTGCATGACCCGAAGATGTGTAAAAGTCCTGTCCTGGTTGGTAATGATTTGGGATACCGGGTTCACCAGCAACAACATACAGTCAACATTTGTTCCATTAAGGTTTCACCCACCCAGGTACAGGGGATGGAGAACTGGGGAACAACACCTCAAGGTTTGAGGGCTGAGGAGAATCTTGTCCCGGATGGGGAAGGTGGAAGTCTAGCGCCTGATGCTATAACTCCCGAAACTACTGGGACTGTTGAGACTGCAGTATCTGAGAAATTGGTTGGGAGGAGGGTTGGCTTAATACGCACTGCCACTCCCTGTGTTAATTGGCCCTGCTCAGCGTCTGACGTAATCCCCAGGGTTCATCGAGTTGTTGTGCCTTCTTTTCAAAGTATGGACTCTGTTACCGGGACTTTACCAAAAGACTCAGTTTTGTCCCAATGGAACCAGCCTGACTTCCAGAAGAGTAATTCTGGTGGGGAAATTTAATTCCCCAACCAGCAACAGCTGATGTGCTTACCTCCAAAGTATTTATGGGGGGTCCATTTTTTCCAGGTCTTGAAACCCAAGTTAGTGCAAATTTCATTGTGGGGAAATGCTTTGAAATCTGCAGTTCCGTTGCAGCAGCTTGCAGCAAACCTAGTAGCAGAGACTGTGAACTATGCAAGCGGTCCCTATCAACCAAAAGCTGAGAGGCAAGCAGAAGGAGGGGGGTCAGCCCAGCCCAGTCAAGCCGCTGTAGGAAGTTTTGAGTTTTTTGGTCATTCTCTCCTAGGTTGCCGGGAAGCTGCAGAAACTCCCCTGGTGAGACTGAATTTATCTCTGTTGGGGCTGACAAAGAATTTCTTTACCCACAGCTCAAGGACTTTAAAGACCCTGATGATGTGTTTATTGCTTTTCAAAAGATGTTTTATGATGCAAATGTTTGTGTAAAGAAGAAATTGAATTTGGTGGGTCTTTTACAGAATCTCAGTCCTAGGAAACAGGATGATGATGTTATGAGCAAAAATGTTTTCAGGTTTGCTTGGAATTCCATGTTGCCCAATCCCTGTGTTCAAAATCTGTTGGGAGTTTTGGTTGAAATCTACTCAAGGAATTCAGAGTTTGTGTTGGGTTTTGGCAAACCCCTAGAAGATTCTTTGGGTATGCTCAGAGGAAAATGGGAGGGATTGGAAGAAGTTAAGTTGATTCTTTCTGATTTGTGGCCAAAACACCTTAAGCATGTGCAGAGTGTCTTGGCTCGAGTGCAAGATCCAAACCTGACCAGAAAGAAACATAAATGTCAGTTTGCTCAAGGAGAAGTGATTCCCTTGGAATTCAGGGTGGGGTCAGGAAACGTCAAATCTCTAGAGGCCAAGGTGCAATACATTCAAGATTGGCCCCGCCCCGTGGTGGAACAAGATGTGCAGTCGTTCATAGGGTTGGTAAATTATTATAGGAAGGGTGTCAATCATTTTGCCACATTAGCTGCTCCTCTTACCAACCGTTGTAAGAAATCTTTGCCAGTGAAAGTAGATTGGACTGAAGAGTGTCAACGGGCTTTTGATCTGTTAAAACATGCCCTTGTGAGTTCCCAGGTTATGTTGGCCCCAGATCAGAGACGTCCGTTTGTGGTACAAACTGATGCCAGTCAGACCGGGCTGGGAGCAGTTTTGCTCCAAGAAGATCAAGAGGGAAATTGGCGTCCCGTGGTTTACCTGAGTAAAAAACTGGTAACCCGGGAGCAAAATTATTCAGCCATTGAGAAAGAGTGTTTTGCTTTGGTCTGGGCTCTGACCAAACTGCGTTCTTATCTGTGGGGCAACATCTTTGAAGTTCAAACGGATCACTCCCCACTTTGTTGGCTGGAGAGAGTAAAGGCATCCAACCAGAAATTGCTTCGGTGGAGTCTAGCCTTACAGGACTTCCAGTTTAACGTCACACATATTGCTGGGAAGGACAATGTGGTTGCTGATACCTTGTCTAGGATGTATCAATCTGTTAAATGAAGTATTAAGGTGTATTTTGCCTGAATCCTCAGCTGGAAAAAAAAACTATTGGTGATTATTGTCTTGAAACTGTGTAAATATCAGACTGGGGGATGGTGCTAATGATTTTGGGAGCTGCTGCCCCCCCAGACTGGTCCAACTACCTCAATGTATATATTTTGTTGGATGAAATTGCGGGACTTAACCCTGTAATTTCATCTTAGGAGGAGGGTGTAGTAAAGCTAGTATCATTTAGAAGCTGTTCCTTGGTCAAGCAATGAGAGTGAGGCCTTGTGGGTAACCAACAAGCCACAAGGACCATGGGAAATAAGTTCTGTCCCTTTAACCCCAGACTAACAGGCACCCAGGGTGTGAAAGTTTTATTATGGGAGAGGAAACCCCTGATTTAATGGAAGGCTTGACACCTGGGTCCAAGTTCTGCGCATTCCGTTAGTGATGTTATCTGGCCTTAATGGCCTGGGAATGTGCATCTGCAGAGGCGCCAAGGAAGGGAGGACAACCTTTGATTGAGGCTCTGGGTTCTTAATTGGCCCAGCTGCCAGAAGTTAGATTGATTAGTCCACAAGCCGGTCATTGGAGAATTTAAAAATAATCAAGAGTTATGATTGGTTTTGGGGGTTCCGACGCCACGTGTGAATCAGGGTTAAAAGACCTGGGAAATGGCTGAGAAAGTGCGCTCTGCAATCCGCAAATCGCCCGGCTGCTGATGTTCCATCTAAGTAGCTGTCTTTACCTCCTTTGTGATGGAGAACTGCGAAAGCCTTTGAACTGCGGAACCTTGAAAGGACTCTATCTATTTCTTTTGTACTTTAGTTGTGAGTATGCAAGCTAGCTAGATTTCACAATGTTTTTATTTTTCTTGTCTGTAACTTACTAAAGATGTGCCTGCTATTTTAGCATGTTTTCTTATGTTCTTTTAAAATAAATTTTAATTAAGAAACTGTTTTGGTTTGTGTGCCTTTCCGGGGGGAAAGTCTAAGTCCTAGCCTTACGCTTAGTTACGCTTTACCGTAAAACTTCTGTCTGCAAGTTTGTGGATTCAACTTGTGGAGTGGGGATAACCAGTAACAACAGGGTACAGCCTACTCCCTGGGTTGTGACTCTAGGTTTCCCGGAACAGAGGGAGTGGTGGCAGCTCTACCGGTGTGATTTTGTCCTGCTTCTGTATAACGTAACGTTGCCTGCCAGCCCTGTTCAAGAAACCTGATCTGGCCGGTGAGCCAAGGCAGGTGAGGGAGGAGCGAGCGGCTGGGGGCAACTTTACTACAGTTTTGCTTTTCCTCTTCCCTCCCTTGTCTCTTTTCCCTTGCGTATCCTGTTTTTTTTAGACTGCAAGCTCGCAGGTAGAGACTGTCTTGTTTTGACTATATGCCAGTCTCTTTGGCTGAACAGTGGGGTACAAATTCAATCAATCAATCAGTCATAAACTTTGCATGGTGAAGATTGGGAGGGCAAAGCCACGGTGGAGGGTTAAGACTCGGAACTGCCTCCTGCACATGAGCTCTGGTACAGAATGCAGCTGCTTTAGAATATCAGAAGAGCCCTGCAGGAGCATCAGACCAAAGCTCCTCCAGTCTGGCATTGTGTTTCTCACCAAGGCCCTCTTCCCTTTGTTGCCAGCAAGTGATATCCACAGGTAGACTGCCCCTGTACACAGAGGTTCCACTCATGGCCATGTACAACCATGAACAGACCTGCCCATTATGATAGGTCTATCCTTCTGTCAAGGAGTGGCTGAGCTGTGTCCCTCCAGTTATTACTGGACTACAACTCCCATCTTCCCTGACCACGAAGTCATGCAGGCTGGGGCTGATGGGAGTTGGGAACCCAACATCCAGAGGGTCACAGTTAGCCACCCCTTTGCTATGTTTTTACTGAAGTCTTTCTATTCTGACCCCATATAAAATATCAGGGTGCTGTAATATGATCCTGGCCTTGCAGGTTTAACAATCTAAGTTTCAAAGACAGAATACAGGTGAAGATAAAGGTGGTGGTGGGGAACCGGTGAGGAGAAAGAAAGAGTAAAGAGGCAGGTAATTCTCCACCGCACCCCCAACCCAGTTCCTAAGGGAAGGCAGAGATAATAATAATAATACATTTTATTTATATCCCGCCCTCCCCAGCCGAAGCCGGGCTCAGGGCGGCTAACAACAATAAAACAGTACAACAGTACAACACAACACAACACAACACTCTAAAATCATTCCTTATAAAATTAATTCAAATTAAGCCCAACACTTAATCACAGAGGTGGAAGGGACCTAAAAGTCATCTAGTGCAACCCTAAGCAATGCAGGAATCACAGCCAAATTGTACAGGTAATGAGGTGAAAACCATGCGGGAATGTGTAGTTTGTGAACATGCCAAGCTTAAAACATAGCTTTTCTCATCCAAAGAGCTGCTCACCTTGTTTGATGTGGCTATAAGTTTCTGCTCTTCTTTGGAGGATGTGATGATGGGCACCTTGCAGAAGGGCTCGTAGACCTCTTTGTTCTGCTGAAACGAGAGACCCAATCAGAACGCAAGCAAGAGGTGGAAGAGAAGTCAGGAGCCCACCAGGAAGAACCTACTAGCCCAGCTGAAGAGCCACCAGGAATTGAGGTACATCAGGCAGTGACTCAAGACAGGGCCTTTTCTGTGGTGGCACCCTCACTGGGATGCTCTCCCGCCAGAAATATGGTGTTTGCATTGCACAAGTTTTGACGCCAACGGAAGACACCTGTCTTCACCAAGGCAAACAACAAAAGGGCTTTTGTAGCCACTGTGGGTTCTCAAGTGCCTGATGCATGGCCTACTTACCTGTAGGGCAGCCTGGCACTCATCCACCAGACCTTGGACCAAATAATATTTGGCTTCTGCCAGCAGCTCTTCTATCTCCCGCCGGCTCTCTGGAAGGGGTACAGCACCGTCACGCAGGTAGTTTAAGATGGTCCCAAAATGTTTACCGCAGCGGTCAATCAAAATCCAGCCTGAGACAACAGCAGATGAAAATTAATGGAGGAAGAGGCAAAGGAGGAGAGCAGAACAAAACCACCGTCTCCCTGTTACCAGTGAGAGGACCACCAACAGGCCAAGGTTTGGGGTGCCTAAATACCTTGCAGCGGAGATGGGGAACATCTGTGGCCAAGCATATTCCCACTGGGAGGCTAGTCTGCAATCCTGGGGCCGCCACAAAAAGGGGTCACCTCTTGCACCTGCTTATAGCACCTCATGTAATGACAGGGCAGAGAGTAGAGCCTCTTATGCTGATCTCAAGTCCCAAGCAGGATTTTGGGCAATGGAAGATCTAGAAAGCTTTAGAAAAGGAGGTGCCCTGTGAACATTTTGGAATTCTAATGCAACTTGCCTTGACCAAATAGGAATCAGCTGCAGGAAACTGGAAAAGGAAGCCCCTCCCCACTCGTTTCAGGTTCACTGAAGTGCCATGATCAGCAGCCAAGAAATAAACAGCCCATCAGTCTAGTAAAAATATTTGTGGGTTGTCATTTTGGATGGCTCATTTGCAATGCTGGGCTTACATGCCCCCAAGTGGCCTCCTGGTTACCTTGAGCAAGTGACCCAACAAAATAACAGATTCATAGAATCGTAGAATTGGAAGGGACCTGAAGGGCCATGGAGTTCAACTCCTTGCAGCGTTCAACCCCCCTGCAAGGCAGGGATCACAGGTAAAGAATCCCTGACAGCTAGCGAATCATTTCTCTAGTCCCCCCCCCCTTATATTAAAGAAAGGGGCAAAAGGGCCAGCTAAGGGCATCTAGGAGGTAAGAGGGCTCCCTAGAAAATCTCCTGCTGCTGGCATATTCTGTTTATTAGGGTGCGATCAGTGAAAATGAAAAAGCAATGAAATGGAACTGGGTGCCTCCTCTTTCTCCACCCCCCCTCAGCTCCCTCTCCTAGCCCTTGACTGAATACAGCCAGAGAAGCAGTTTCTCAGAGGGAAGCTTCCTGCGCAATCGTCAGCAAGGCACAGCCAGCCATAAACAGACCAAAGGCTTTGGTTTATGGGCAGAGAGACAAGAATGCATTTGAGGAGGGTGGCGGGGGGGGGGAGCTTATGCAGGACAGACGCTTGTCTTTAACAAATAAGGGCAATGCAGGCCAAAGGATCTGATGGGTGCCTTGAATTAATGGCCTTACAGTGAAAAGCTGATTATGCTCTTAGTTCTCCAAGCCACGAGTTTTACATAATGGCTCCAAATGGAACAAGGGACAGTCTATCTTTCCAGCCCTGCTATCTTGCTCTACTTTGCCCTTACGGCGATTAAACCTGCAAGTTTTCTTAAAATCAGAGGGTGCAAAAGTCTGTATTGCTCTTACTCGCTCCCACAGGAGGCCGGGATGGTCACCAACTTGCATAAGAAGAAATAATAATAATAATTTTATTATTTATACCCCACCCATCTGTCTGGGTTTCCCTAGCCACTCTGGGCGGCTGGATGGCCTTAAGAGAGGATGGAACAAATTCCTAGAGGATCAAGGCTATTAGCCATGGGGATGGTGCTTTGCCTCACAAAAAAAAGCAGCCACGCTTCTGAATGCTGGAAGCTGCAGGAGGGGGGGAGGCTCTGGGGTCAGATCCTTCCTGTGGGCTTCCCTTGGGGGCATCTGGTTCCCTGTGAGAACAGGAGGCTGGACTAGATAGAGCAGCTTCCATGACAGACTTCATCTATCCCATTGTTCAGTTCCTCCCTGACCAACCTTCTGAGACTCTTAGGAAAACTTTGCTTCAGGGCTCCGACAAGTCCATCACAGAACAAGTGGCAATTTTTTTGAATATCATCATCATCATCATCATTATTATTAGACTATGAACTGCCTGATACATTTGAGTCTAGCATTATATTTTTTTCAGTTGTCAGCATGTAAGTGGAGCCTGCTGCATCTGGCCATCTCAGTGGCCAACCAGACGCCTCTTTTGGGAAACCCGCAAGCCAGAACTGAGGACAAGAGCCCTCTCCCCTCCTGTGGTTCCCAGGAACTGGGATTCAGAAGCATTACTGCCTCTGACCAGAGAGGCAGAGAACAGCCCTCATGCCTGGTAGCCATCAACAGCCTTTCCTCCATGAATTTGTCCAATCTTATTTTGAAGCCATCTGAGTTAGTGGCTACCCACTGCCTCCTGTGGCAGGGAGTTCCATAGTTTAACTATGTGCTGCATAGTGCATTTTTATTAATGCAAAGATATTGAGTGAGGCTAACAGGAGCCTCAAACAGCCACCTCTTAAGAGCACACTGGCACTGCCCATCTTGGCCCTGCCATCCCTCCTGGCCAGGAGGCCTCCATTACCTTCGCTGTCGGTGAGGACCTCCATCCGACCACTGAACATGGCCTTGAGCATGGTGTCCTGCTTGGTCAGCGTCTGCATGGTGGTGTAGTACAGGCCCCCACCGATGTTCAGCTTCACATACTTGGAACTGGGGCTGGCGCCTTTGAAGGACATGGTGCGGGTTGCGGCTGCTGGCACTGCAGTGCTCACCACCGTTTCTCCAGACATCTCTTCCTGCAAGAGCAAAGGAGCCTTCTGTGAGGACCCTCATGCCCCTCTGGTTACCTGCGCATCCTAAACAGGTTGGACCAAGAGGAGCCCAGCTGGACTGGAGCCAAGGCCCTTCGGGTCCAGCTTCCTGCTGCTCAGGGGCCATCAAATGCCTCAGGCACTGGACACAGAGGCAGCAGCCCACCTGGGCTGGGAAGAACGTAAGCAGAGTCTGGCACTGACAAACAGCCACCTCCAGATGCCTGCCTGCCTGCAGGCTGGGCTTCATAGGCGTCCCAGTGAAGAAGCATACGGGGTGGCGCCAAGTTGTGGAAGGGAAGTCGAGGCATGGGGGCCAGCGGTTAGTGTTGGACTATCCCCACTTGGCCATGAGGTTCACTTGGTGACTTTGGGTTCCAGCCACAGTCTCTCAGCCTAACCTACCTCACAGGGTTGTCATAGGGTTTAAATGAGGGAGGGAACAGGGTATGTCACCCTTAGTTCCTAAGAGAAAAGGCTGGGAGTTGCAAGAAAGGTTCAGAAAAGGGCGACCAAATGATAAAGGGGATGTAGAGATGCCCCTATGAGGAAAGGGTGCAGCATTTCGGACTTTGTAGTATAGAGAAAAGGCAAGTAAGAGGCAACTGGACAGTTTTATTGAATGATACCTGGCATGGAGAAAGTGGATCGAGAAGTGTTTCTCTCTCTCAGAACATTAGAACTCATGGGCATCCAATGATGCTGAACGCTGGAAGACTCCAGAGAGGTAAAACAAGGTACTTCTTCAAGCAGTGCATAGGAGGCAGGGATAGCCACTAACTTAGATGGCTTTAAAAGAGGCACCTGGTTAGCCACCGTGGGAACAGAATGAGGGACCACTGGCCTGATCCAGCAGGCTCTTCTTATGTTGTTGCTAGTTATTGGGCTCTCACGTGGGTGCAGTGTGGGTACACAGTGCGAGGCAGCAGGAAGTGTCTTGGCAAAACTCAGTAAGGAAACTAGCGTCAGGACTTCTCAGAGAAACGTCAGGATTTTTGCATAATTTCATCACTCAGTTGCTCTCATTGGCCTTTTGAAATACTTTTGAGAGTGTGTAAGAACTGAATTGCAAGCAAAAGATGAGCTGCTTCAGGCTGGGGGGGGGGGAAGGTTGATGATTCCTGGTCAGGTTATGTGTGTGCTTATCATCTTCATGGCTGACTCCTGAGTGACTCCCTCCCCACCAAAGCCAGTTCACAACGCTGCCTTTCTCTGCAGTAAGGGCTTGGCTTATTTTGAATTCAGCCAAGGAATTTCAGCTTCAGTCCCAAGAAGCTCTTTGGTCAGCTTTTCCACAGTGCAAGCAGTACAGACAATGAAGCAATCTCTCTTGTTCTTCCCACCTGCCCCTCCTTTCCCTAAACATCAGCCAGAGAGTTATTCTACAAACAGACGCCTTCTCACCCTCCTGCATTTAAGACTGTCAAAAGGATTCCAACCTCAAGTGACACAGCCCTGGTGTTAGATAAAGTTCTTCCTAATAGCTGCCAACTTGTGATCTACAAGAGCCTAAGCTTGGGGTCCCCAACAGCACCCTCCCATGGCCCTTGCCCAAGTCCTCTGCTCTGTTTTTAAAAATTGCTTGGGGAGGGAGTTGTTTGGTTGGAGAGGGCACATATTTTGGGGAGGGGGTTCCTTTGTCTATTGGTGTGGGTGGGTGTAGGTTTTTCCTGCCATTTTGGAAATGGGTGGAGTTCTGAGCACTGCTGGTTTATTTTCTGTGGAATTGGCATTTTGTGGTCCCCTTTATAGCTTCTTTCCAAAGGTGCCCCGTGCCCCAAAAGCTTCTGAATAAGCCCAGAATGCAGTATGAAAATGGCTGTGCCACACCCCACCCCACCCATTGTGAGTGAGAGCCTATCAAAACAAACACATGAGGTCTTTAGAGGTACCACAGAACAGCAAAGCTATCCCTCTGCAATGGACAAAGCAGGCATGAGTCACTAGCCAGAAGGAGCCCTTCTCTGACCTTATCAAGGGGCTGCATTGGAGATCTATCAGGTTTGGAAATCTCCTGGGGCAGTGACAAATGGCAGAAAGGCTCTTTTTCACTTTATCAGGCCTGGCCAGGCTTCTGTGCTAACAATAAACTTAGATCACCAGCCACCTCAGAACAATGAGCTTATCAGGGCCTCAAGCTTTGCACAGAGGGGAAATTAAAGTCCCACTCACCATCACAAAGCCAATGAAAGAGCTTTGTCAGAGGGGAGCTTTAAGGCCATGGTTAAATTATTAGGCTGCCTGAAGGCAGGGGAGGAAGTCAATTAATAATGAAACAGAGTGCTGAATGTTTCATGCGGCATCTTGTTACCAGTCAAGGGGAGCTCCAATTCCCACCTTATCTCAGGGATGCATTAGATAAAACCTGACAAGTCAGGATTAAAAACAACCCAGCTAGGAAAGGAAGAGCCAAGAGGAAAAAGGATAGCAACATTTCTGTGGCTGGGGGAGAATCTGACTTACTTAGATATTCCTGGTACAGTGGTACCTCGCAAGACGAATGCCTCGCAAGACAAAAAACTCGCTAGACGAAAGGGTTTTTTGAGCTGCTTCGCAAGACGATTTTCCCTATGGGCTTGCTTCGCAAGACGGAAACGTCTTGCAAGTTTGTTTCCTTTTTCTTAATACCGTTAATACAGTTGCGACTTGACTTCGAGGAGCAACTCATAGAACGCGGTGTGGTAGCCTTTTTTGAGGTTTTTAAAGACTTTGGTGATTTTTGAAGCTTTTCCAAAACTTTCCTGACACCGTGCTTCGCAAGACGAAAAAAATCGCAAGACGACAAAACTCGCGGAACGAATTACCGGTAATTTTGTCTTGCGAGGCACCACTGTACACTTCTGGGGTGAGCTGAGCAGACAATGTGCTTAACAGCAGCCCAATGGCTAATTCAAGTAAATTCCAAGTGAACAAGAGTGACTTAATAATACATGTTGTTGTGCTGCTGCTGCAATGTCTAAGCTTACCGAGATGGTATGATTAAGAGAAGAGAGACAGAGCAGAGAGAACCCAGTTGCCCTTTATGGAGTAGGTAAAACACAAGTATAATTTGGAACCATTTAAAGACTTTTCGCAGCCGATATAAAGGCGAGACATTAGTTGAATTATGCTTGGATAGTTTATGACACAACGGGTTTGTAAGTGAAAGGTCTTACCTTCCATCTTGTTGTGATCCTTAATGGAGCACAAGTAAATCAGTTCATATGTTTATAATAACATGAAATAAAGAGAAGGGAAGGGTGGGGGGTTTGAAAGACTTTCCTCATATCTCCATGCCCTTCAGAGGATCCCTAAGTGGCTCACAATAACACAAATTTACTACAAAACACACATTCGTCTAAAAATACAAACCGGAAGCAGAGCAGTCAGATAGAATCATAGAATTGTACAGTTGGAAGGGACCCCAAGGATCATCTAGTCCAACACCCTGCAATGCAGATCAACACTCTAATACGCTCTCTGTCAAACTGGCACTCTTCAAGATGTCTTGGGACTACAAATCCCATGGTTGTGCTGGTTGAGGCTGTCGTCCAAAGCCCCTGGAGAGCACCAAGGTATGGGAAAGACTGTTCTAATGGAGCACCCTAAACTGGTCCCCTATTCTCAAAAACCTGGTGGGAGAGAATGGTCTTGACTGGTTTTCTAAAGACTCCAGTGCAGAATGTTTGGTGGACTTTCCCCACAGAGGAAGAGCCCACATGGAAAGTATCCACATGCAACAAACTAAAATATTCAACAGTCCACCACCCGCTTCTTAAACCTTTCTTGTATGCCCCATCTTTGCCTGGCCTCCCCCTATTCCTCCTTCCCAGAACCCTCACGACCCATTAACAGCAATTCCCACATCTTCTTGCAATGAGTTCCATAGGACATTGATGTGTTGAGTGAAGAAGTCCTTCTTTAGGTCCAGCAGTTTCATCTGATGAATTCACTCCCTGCCTCACGTATGCACTCCCCGTTGGTGACCCACGAGACCGTCTCATGGCATCCCATTTGCTATCCTCTCCCCTGCCCTAGGGGCCATCCAAGGTGTGGCTCACTTCTGAGTAAACCTGCATAGGATTTACACTGAAAGAACATGAAAGTCTGTCTCCCTCCAGATGACTTGGACAACTTAAGAAGACACCTGAAGGAGGTTTTCAATGTTTAGGGTTCTGTTCTGTTTTAATATATGTTGGAAGCTGTCCAGAGTTGTTGGGACAACCCAGTCAAGTGGGCGGGGTATGAAAAAATATTATTACAACTCCCAAGTTGTGCTGATGAGAACTGATGGGAGTTGTCATCTGGAGGGCACCAGGTTGGAGAAGGGGGCTGGGCATTTACTGCACAGTTTATCACTTCCTAAGCCCCGCCTCCCTCCCGTGCCAAGCTCTAAAATGCCACGCACATTGATGGCCCTACAGAACAGATCATCATCGGAATCGGAACTGATTTTATTGATGTTGGGTTTCATCCTCATGCTCACGGGGGGGGGGGGGCAGACTGAGGGAGGCCGGGGAGGTTGGGGCCCACTCGAAACTTCTCCCCGCTGAAGGACACGGGGTCTCTGAAGCCAGAGAGGAGGAGGAGGAGGAGGAGGAGAAGAGGTCGCCCCCTTTCGCTGGGCTCTGCCCAAAGGGACTTGCCTGAGAGGCCCCCCCGCCCCAAGGGCTTCCTCACCAGACCCCCCCCGCCCCTCCGAAGTCCCCCCCCTTCGCTCACCATGAACAGCCCCTCGCGAGGCCCCCCTCAGCCAACCAGGTCCCGAGGCGAAGACGAGGAAGAAGCAGCGGGTGACGCACGCGAGGAAGGGGCGGGGCGCCCCCAAAAACTTTTCTGCCGAGCCCCACCCCGATTCTACCCATGCTCCTTTGCGTTCCTCCCCGGCTTTTTCCACAAGGAGGTGGGCGGAACCCAAATCCCAAGGACCTGAGTTTCCGGACGGAGGAATGAAAGCAACGGACAGGGCCAGCTCCTGGGAGCGCCGGTCGCGACTGGGCAAGTCTAGCCTCCTCCCATCTCTATGCCTCTTGCGCTCCGGCTGCAGGAGGAGAGGCGGGACTTCCGGGCCAGCGACCGGTTTCTTCCCAAGGGCCGGAAGCGCCGGTGTTTTCCTTGACTCTATGGTCCGTTTCTGGCGGTCCTCCTTGGAGTTCTTTGGGAGGGGAAGGGGGGGAGGCGGCCGTTATCGAGGCGACGGAGGAGGAGGAGGAGGCGGCGGAAGGGCAAAGCAGAACAGCGCCTAACAACTAGCGGGTCACACACACACAGACACACACTCTATCCCCGTGGGAGCTCCCGACGACCCTGGCAGGTAGGACGCGCGCGGCGTTGGCGCCGCCCTCGCTGGCGCGGAGCCGGAGGGTCCTGAGGCGCAGCTCGCGGCGGGGGCGAGATTCCAGTGGCTGACCTCCTGCCTCTCCCGCAGAGCCGGGGGGGGGGCCTCCTCGACTCCCGAATGGCGGCCCGAGAGCTCCTCTGCCTCGGCTAGAGAGAGAGAGAGAGAGAGAGAGAGAGAGGTGAGGAGGAAAGTGCTGGGTGGGGCAGGGGAGACCGGGAGGAGGAGCGCCCTAGATCCGTTTGGGAGCCCTGCTTTCCGGCCTGCTAGCCGTAAGCCTTTGCCTGGTTCTCTGAATGCGGTGGGCTCGCGCCTCATGCCAGACAGCCACTTCCGCTTCATCCCAGGGACCTCACCTGTCCAGGTTGGGAAAGGCTGAGGGAGATCGTTTTCATTTGATGTTTGGGAAAGTGCTCTGTGTAGTTGTGAAGGAGCAGCTCTCTGCCTAAAAGCTCACCATCTGAATTAAAGCATGAATAGAGAAGGTGGCAGCCAAGGGTTCAATTTGCAGGATGCTGTGTTAGGTGGACCCTTTCCTTTTGGAAAAACAGAACTCCGGGTGATGCTAGAAAAGGGGTGCCCAAAATAAAGGATGCCTGCTCAGTAGCTAACCTGACGGTAAGTGAGTAAAGGGATCTCGGCAGAACCCAAGAGGAGTTCTGTTCCCTATTGTGTTGTAGGCAATGCAAGCAGGTGTGGCACAGCTTTCCCAGCTGTCCTTCCCCTCTCCTTCTGTTGCCAGAGACCTCCAAAATGTTCAGCGCAGCCCAGTTGTCTAAGGCCCAGTTCCTTGACAAGGCGCGCCAGGCGCGTGAGGAGCGCCGGGAGCTGAAGGAGCGCGAGCGAGCGGCAGTGCAGATCCAGGCCCTTGTCCGAAGGTTCTTGTGCCGCTGTCGTTTGCAGCGGGAAATCAGGTGCGTGCAATGCGTGTGCAGGTGCTGGGTGGATTTGGCTTTTGGCCTCTGGGGACTGAAGCCTTTTGCCAGTGGCTATGCCAGTGCTGGCTCCCAGGGTCCCTTGTCTTCGATGAGGGGGGTGCTGCAAGATCCAAATCCTCTCCTGCTGCCTTTGAACTTTTTGGATCCTCTGAGCAAAGTGAGCGTGGCATTGCTCTTGGGGCATTGGTGGGCCCTTTGCCTCTCTAGGGCGCTGGCAAATTCCTGAACCACCTACCCAGTGTAGCTAGGGAAATATCTTAAGTCAGTCATTGTGTGTGGGCATCTTGACCTGTTCTGCCATGTATGCTCTGAGCCGATCTGCAGCTCCTTCTGCTGCCTCTATCCAGAGGAAAGAACCTGAACAGTGTTGTCATTTGTCATGGAAGGCGGGAAATCCTACCTCACCTGCACACACCAGCCTTTCTCAAATTACATTGTACCTTTTCTTTTGGACTTTCCTTTGTGCTCCCCAGGAGAGAAGTGGATGACTTTTTTGATGCAAACGGGCCTGGCAAGAAGACAGCACTTTCGATCTTCAAAATATCCCGGAAGCTGCTCTTTGTTTTCAGGTGCCAAGATGACAAAGAGGTACTACTGCTTTGCTGAAGGTCTCCTCGTTGCATGCTATTTATTCTTGATGCTAGGGGTGGGGCTGTTCCAGTCACAGAATGGGGAGGGAGAATTTTCTGGAACAATGTGAGCTTGGACAGAAACTACTTACTGCAGCAGCAGATTCTGCCTACTTCCAGGCTTGCCCGAATTCTGAAAATGATCCTGAGCCCCAGAGTCTCTGCAGGGGCAAATATGTGTTCCATAGGAGAACTGTTGCATTTTTCAAGAGGTAAGCTGAGCCCAAAAACACATATCCATAGAAAGAACTGCTGCTCTCCCTTTGTGTGAGTTTTCCACTTGGGATATATCTCCTTTTGTAGGAGTCCTGGGCCATTCTGCTTTTTTTTTATGTTCCAAATGATTGAGTGAACCAACTGACACAATGCAGAATGCCCTATCCTTGGAGCAGGGATGTCCCCACCTGTGATCCTCCAGAGGCTGCTGGACTCCCAACTCCCATAATTCCTGACCATCAGCCATGCTGGTGGGGCTGGTGGGAGTTGGAGTCCAGCAACATCTTGAGGGCCACAGATTCCCCATCCCTAATCTAGAGGGAGGACGCTGCTCTGAAAGAGTAACTGCACTGGAGACCAGTCAGTGCATGAGCCTCGTGCTCTGCTTAGGGACTGTACGGCAGCCTTAGACTGGCCATTAGGAGAACAGGATGCCGGACTAGGTGGGCCATTGGCCTCATCCAGCAGGGCTGCTCTTACGATCTTGAGCAAAAGACAACCTTTGGATTGTAAGAGTGAAGTCTGTTTACTGGAAATAATGGAAAGCGCTGCTTTGCAGGAACCATTGGATTGAGGCAACAAAATGATTATAATTTCATATTAACTCACCTGCTTTTCATTGCAGAGATTTGAAAAGTTGTGCCGCTGTATCCTTAACAGTATGGATGCTGAAAATGACCCTAAGGTGAGCTAAAGTCACTTTTCATAGACTTTAACATGAGAGTGTGTGCATATTTTTTCCATAAAATATCCCCAAGAGCAGGTGGAGAATTTTTTAATTCCATAAGCATATGCTGGAGCATTGCTGGCTAGTGTTTCCGAGAAACATGAATATTTGTGGTTGTTCTAAAACAACCAATGTCAGAGGCTTTCCTGCCACATACACACTGCAGCTCTGAATTATGGGGTGACAATGCTTTGTTCTGCATTTTCCCAGTCCAGTGACTGAATGATGGCCTCTCCCTCCCCTCCCGCAGTTATCATGGTCTTCTGTCACTTGCCCACAGGTGTGGTATGTGTCCCTTGCACTTTCGAAGGAGCTCACACTGATGTGGATTAAGCAGGTCAAGGATGTGCTGTGGCTTTGCTGTGAGTTTCTGAAGCTGCTTAAGGTATGGACTGCCTTGGCTGTCTGTTTTGTGTGTGTTTTCACTGGCCTGTGACCATTCCAGACTTCCATTTCATGTCTCTGGCGGTTCTTTCCCCTAGCCAGACATATTGCAAGACTCTAAGCTGGTGAATCTGCACCTCACAATGCTGGTGACATTTACGGACACTTCCACTTGGAGAATCCTGAGGGGGAAAGGTAGGTGTGTCGAGTTCCATTTTTCTAGGGCTTTCTACTAGCCAAAATGACAAGGCTTTTTTATACTTGCTGTGGAATCTTGTCAGCTTCTCAAAGATGAGTGATGGATGGCACTGTTTCTGCCTTGCCTGCAGAAGAAAGTGTCTGCTCAGCATCTGTTTTGTTCACAAAGTATGTAGTACAGAGATAGAGATACGTGAAGTAACTTCCAAGGTTTGGGGCTTTAAGGTTGGCATTAGATGCCCACTTAATTTTGAATTATAAGACCAGCCCGTTCTCTGGAGAGCAGTTTGCCCCATAGTGTATGATTTAGCTGCAATTGCCAGCTGTCTCCTTCTGTGGTGTTCCTCTTGCAGGAGAAAGTCTGCGGCCTGCCATGAACCACATCTGTGCAAATATCATGGGACACCTGAATCAAAAGGGATTTTATTCCGTGCTCCAGGTTTGTTGTGCTTGGTGTAGGGGGTCTTAGTTTTTGTGTGAGATTATGTATATTTGCATCTGCTCAAAGAGAAAATAAATGATGGTTAACAGTGTATATGTTTTGTTTTGTTTTAATATTCACCTCAGCTTGTAGAACTAGCTGTTCTTTAAAACGAGTTCTGTTTGCTACTCCCCTAGTTGCCTTTTTAAGTAATTCTGAGAGCTCATGGTAGATCATGGCATGGCATCTCCAACAACAGCTCCTACCTGGGCTGAGAGAGGTGAATGTCTCTAAAACCTCATGGCTGAGCCAAAGTTTTAACCTGTGTGCTCCCCATCCAGTACCTGCTGTGTCTGCAGCACTGTCCTGGCTCTGAGTGCTCCACAGTAGGCTTTGAAACCGATGCTGCTCATTGGTGAAGTGCAAGAGCAGCTCATAATCTTTGTGCGCTGATCTGTGAGTTTGCTCCATAAACATTTTTTTCTGAGAAAGCATTCAGTACAATTCTCCACTTGGTGACAGTGATGTGCTTTATCCTGCTTTCTAGAATAGCTCTTTTAACTCACATAGTTGATCTCCAGGCAAAGCGAGCCCAGTGGCTGCATTGGGGCTGAGCTCTGTCTGCCATGTTTTTATTAGTTACATTAGGGTATCATCTTCAGGGGACTGTTGGAGAGCCATAAGCTACTCCTGTCAGAAGTCTGGAATCTATAAGTTGTGCTTTCTAACAGTTGCCCCTCATATAGACACCCATATGGAGCTCCCTCCCACAGGAGGCAGTGATTGCCAGCAGCTTGGCTTTAAAAAGGATTAACAGATTCATGGAAGAGAGGGCTATCGATGGCTCCTTGCCACAGTGGCTAAGCTCTGCCTCTGCAGCTGGAGGCAGCAATGCTTCTGAATCCCAGTTTCTGGAAACGGTAGGAGGGTCCTGTTTCCCATAATGAAGATATGCTTGGCCACTGTGAGAACAGGATGCTGGTCTAGATTTACCTCTCTTTCAAATCAGAACCAGTGAAGGTCCTGTGTGAGTGTCTGGAGGGGGTTGGAGGATGGGTGGCGGCTAACAGATTGAGGTTGAATCCTGACAAGACAGAAGTACTGTTTTTGGGGGACGGGGCCGGTGGGTGTGGGGTACTCCCTGGTCCTGAATGGGGTAACTGTGCCCCTGAAGGATCAGGTGTGCAGCCTGGGAGTCATTTTGGACTCACAGCTGTCTATGGAGGCGCAGGTCAATTCTGTGTCCAGGGCAGCTGTCTACCAGCTCCATCTGGTACGCAGGCCGAGACCCTACCTGCCCCCGGACTGTCTCGCCAGAGTGGTGCATGCTCTGGTTATCTCTTGCTTGGACTACTGCAATGCGCTCTATGTGGGGCTACCTTTGAAGGTGACCCAGAAACTACAACTAATCCAGAATGCGGCAACTAGACTGGTGACTGGGGGCGGCTGCCAAGACCATATATCTTGAAAGACCTACATTGGCTCCCAGTATGTTTCCGAGCATAATTCAAAATGTTGGTGCTGACCTTTAGAGCGCTAAATGGTCTCGTCCCAGTATACCTGAAGGAGCGCCTCCACTCCCTCATCCACCCTGGACATTGAGGTCCATCTCTGAGGGCCTTCTGGTGGTTCCCTCACTGCGAGAAGTGAAGCTACAGGGAACCAGGCAGAGGGCCTTCTCGGTAGTGGTACCCGCCCTGTGGAACGCCCTCCCACCAGATGTCAAGAAAATAAACAACCAGCTGACTTTTAGAAGACACCTGAAGGAAAGCTTTTAATGTTTAACAGACCACTGTATTTTAATATTTTGTTGGAAGCTGCCCAGAGTGGCTGGGGAAACCCAGCCAGATGGGCGGGGTATAAATAATAAATTATTATTATTATTATTATTATTATTATTAGATGAAGAATTGGCCTGATCCAGCAGACTTTTCTTATGTTGTTGAATCTTGGCTGCACCTTCTGACTTCCGGAGCTTTTGGCAGGGTTGGGGTTGGAGATAAATGACAACCAACACCAGAAACTTATAAGGGAGGCTCTTCTCTCTCTCTCTCTCTCTCTCTCTCTCTCTCTCTCTCCCCTCCCCTAACATACAGGGGTACCTTGGTTCTCAAACTTAATCAGTTATGGAAGTCTGCTCTGAAACCAAAGCATTCCAAAACCAAGACGCACTTTCCCATAGAAAGTAATGCAGAATGGATTAATCCGTTCCATACAATTAAAAACAACCCCTAAAACAGCCATTTAACATGAATTTTACTATCTAATGAGACCATTGATCCATAAAATGAAAGCAATAGACTTGGCTGCAATCTACTACCGAGTATAAAAACTGGCAGTGATCTACCCATTGTCATTGGAGGGATAAGCGTGCGGGGTGCGTGAAGAGGGAGTTCAAGTGGGGGGAAAGGAAAGGGAGGCAAAAGTTCTCTCTCTGAGGAGCAAGGTGGCTTCTCCCCCCCCGCCCAGCTTTTCTGGATCCCTTCCCCCACACACCCAGCGCCCCTTCCTCACCTTCAGGGCTGGCACAAGCAGCCCCCGCCACTTGGGTGCGTTCTCCTCACTGAAGAACTCTTACTGCAGCAGGGGCACCTGCATCCTGCCCGCCAGGCTGTCCCGCACCCAGTGAGGGGATGCTGCGGCAGTCACTTCTGGGGCCGAGCAGCTTGGCATTCCCTAACTCCGTGCCGGCTGCAGCAGCAAAATCCGGAAGCCGAGGGGGTCGTTGATGTGGCGGCTCCCTTCTCGGCTTCCAGATTTTGCTGCCGTGGCTGGCGCTGAATTAGGGAAGGCCGTGCTAAGCAGACAAGTGATGTCGCTGCCTCCCCGTGCCGCTGGGTCCCTCTGCCGTCGCTGCAGCACCAGCCACCCCATCCTCCGGGACTAGGTGTCACCAGTGGCCGGCGCTGAGTAAGGGAAGCCCAGGTCGGGTGGCCAGTGAGCGGGCAGCGGAAGTGTAGCACTCAAAACGGAAGTGCACCCCCAAACTGAGTACGTTCAGGTTCCAAAAAAAGTTTGAAAAGCGGAACACTCATTTCCGGTTTTGAAGCGTTCAGGTTCCAAATAGTTTGTGAAGTAATCTGTTTGAAAACCGAGGTACCACTGTATTGCAGCACACTGACAATTCTTGACAATCCTTTCAGCTTCTTCGTTCTTCTTTTTCAGATTTTGCTGACAAATGGCTTGGCGAGGTCAAGACCTTCCCTCTCCAAAGGCACTTTAACGGCAGTCTTTTCTCTTGCATTGCGGTTAGTCAATAGGCCAAGTTATTACTCTTCAGTAAAGCAGCTTTAAATAAATGCATGTGTGGGTTTATTTCTTCCCCATTGCATCACCCTGAATTTACAAGTGAGTAGTCCCTTCCTCTGGATTTTATTTTTATTATGGCAGTCAGGGAGGCATTATTTCATCAATTCTGTTGTAAACCCACAACTTTCCCCATTTCAAGAAAGACTTGAATAACTTGCCAGCGCAAGAGTAACTTGCTAAGCAGGGAGCTGGTTCCAGGGTGAACTTGTTCTTTGGAACATGCCCGCAATCTGGAGTTAAAAATTAAATTCATAAAATATGTTGAGAGAGAAAAATGAAGCACACATTTGAGTCATCAGAAGAGCCCTGCAGCAGGATCAAGCCAAAGGGGGCCCATCCATCTAGTCTACCATTTTCTTCCCCACAGTGGCCAGCCGATGCCTCTTTGGGGAAGCCCACAAACATCCCCCAAAAGGTACTTCCAGAGTCATTGTCTTTCTTGCTAAGACTTTGCTTTCCTTACTACGGGAGTGGCTGTTCTTGTCTCCGTGTGCAGAAAACGTATGCTTCTCTTCTCTCCTCCCTTACGGTATTTTTCTCTCCCCAGCCCTGTGGTTGCGGCTCAGTTTTCTGACAATCTCTTACGATCCTTTTTGATCCACATCATATCCGTGCCTGCTATAGTCACCCATCTTGCTACGCTTACTCCTGAGGTAGGCAATCCCTCAAATGGCGCGAGTCAGAGACAGACTATTGGAGGGGGCACATTTGTTTTGCTTTGCTAAGATCTCGCAGTGCTGCTGTGCTAGATGGGGAGGAGGTGTCCAATTTAGGCAGAGGGTTAGTAGACCATTGAAAGTGGCTTTGTGAGCCAGAATTGGCCCACCGGCCACAGATTCATCTACCCTTGATTTATATTACCTCTGTCATTCTTACAACATACCTGTAACATGAGGTCAATATTATTATTATCCTGTTTAGATGGAGGTGCTGAGGATGGCAGAATATTATAGTGTAGTGTTGGCGGGAAAATGGGTGTTTGTACTTTGCTGTGGAGAGAAAATAGAACTTTATTTGCCTCTTCCTAACTTGGGCATAGGTAAAACTACTTGAGTGCATCACAACACTGTTTTACTGACCGAATCAAAGCAAAGATGCTTTGGGAAATGTGTTTGACTGATAAGCCGAGGTACAAGTGTATTTAAATAAAGGAAGCTATAAAAAGTTTGCTTTCCTTTCAGCGTTTGGCAGTGATAGAATCGCAGGACCTCCTGCGCAAATTCATACTGTTCTTGAGTCGCGAAGAGCTGTGCAGGGACGTCTGTGTGTGTTTAGAAGGGAGCCACACGCTCTGCCTTCTAGGTAAGCAAAGCTGCTTCCTATCTCATTTTTTTTTTAATAAGATATTTATTGAAATTTTCAAAGGGTTACCAAATAAAATAAAAGCAGTAGAAAATACAAAATAAAAATAATTAACAAAGTAGAAAAAGAAAAAAAACAAACCCCTTCCAACCGTATGAATACAAATTCAAAAATAAGAAAAAGTGACAAAAAGAAAAAAAATACAAAAATACATCACACACAATTAAAAACATTTAAAAACAAATTCATTATTCTCATATCCTCAACTGTCATTACCTTCTTTCTTTGACCTCCTCCTCCTCCCTTTCTTTGTATCCTAGTTATTAATTATCCCAGCAAATCCTTTCCGTATTTCATAATATTCTGTCATTACATTACCCTAAACTGTTTTAATCTTATCTTTCTATAATAAAATAAACCTTAAAGCTTAAAACTTAAATCTTATCCTTACCAACTTCTCATAACCATAATATTCTTTCATAATTCTTTAAACATCTTTACTAAAGCCAAGTAGTTTCATTCCAACATTTTTCTAACATTCATCAATTTTATAAAACAGTTCTAATGGTAGAAAAAAAAAATATACAAACAAATCCAATCTTCATCCAACGTCCCTTCCTCCTGGTTCCGGGTTTTGTCAGTCCTTATTATCCTGTCAATCTAGCCCATTAACCTGGCAGCCTTATATCCGAGGCCCTCAAGTCTCTTCCATGTCCCTTCCGCAGCTCTTCATATTTGTAACTGTATTTTCCCTTGTCTCCTGCTCGTGGTAACTGCAGCTTGGCAATATTTTTAACCCTTCTCGACAGATCAGCCCCTTTTCCATATTCAACACTGAGTTCCATATGGTATTTAAAAGCATGTTTCAAAAACCCTCCGAAATTAAGAGCCCCCACAATCCCAAACATCTCACGGCCCATTGTCAGATTTGAAAAGTCCAAACATCCCAGCATAGGGGGGTCAATCCAGCCCCCCATTTCCAAGCCAAACCAAACTTTTTCTTTCCAAATCTGGCTTTTTCCAAGTTCATTTGTCAAATTCGAAAACTCATATTCCTGTTGGGCCTGTTCTGTCAAGACACACTCCTGATTTAATTCCTGAGTGGACTCCACATATTTTCCCACTGTCTGTTCAAAATTTCCCACTGCCTGTTCAAAATTTCTAGTCGAAGTTGCCATCCAATTCACCTTTTCATGTAATTGTTCCAGTAGGGCATTTGTTTTATAGAAAGCACACAACAAAGCTTCTGAATACATTGTCCTGCAAGGTCGAATGCCTATTCCCACTATTGTTATCTGTAACAGCTGCCGGCTCTCTGGAGTTAGTTACAGTTACACAGTCTCCCTCTAGGGGGAAAACTTCTATTTGTTCTTGCAACAAAATTTCCCTTTTTGAGATACTTTGTCAATATTTGTTGCTTAAAGATGTGAAGGGAAGCAGTGGAATTGCTATGTTTCTCTTCTTTTAGCTATCTGTCAAAATGCTTGTCTCTGGTCAATGAACTTCAAACGTCAGTCCTGACACCCCGCTCCAGGATCAGGACGGAGGAAAGTTACTTTACTTTAAACTCACTTTAAACAGTCCGGAAAAGATCCCCTCCTTCTCCTGCTATCGAAGGGGGTTCCACAATTTTAAATGATGAAATCCAATCCTTTAAAGGCGATTTTCTAAGCTCTAGTTTACATTGTCTTTGCTTGATTCTGTCTACAGAAGAACGGAAGGCTGACTTCCTGTTTAGACCTTCCCGTTCCGTACCAAATTAAAATAGGTTTTTAAAATCCAATTCCTTTCTGCTCGCAAGTCCTTATCTAATGTCCAGTTGTTCAAAGTCTAAGTACGGGTGCTTATTTTAGAGTCCAAATTGTCCCAGGAAAAAGGCAGCGCTCTCCGGCAACGGCTGTGCGGCTTCGCTCCACGGAAATAGCAATTGACTCATAGCACCGCGCCACTTCCCCCTCTTCACTTCAGAGCCAGTTAGTGGGTTCCTTAGCGAGTTGGGGGGGCGCTAAAGGTGCCCGCCGAGTCCCATGGTCACAGGCTTCATCCGCCTGTGATTTTTAAAAGGGTCCCCGCTCGCCGTAGCGGAAAAGACCCGTTTCCCGCGGAGCTAGTCCCTCCTGTTCAGAGGGAGTCCGCCATTGCCGGTGGCGCCACCCCGGAAGTCCGCAAAGCTGCTTCCTATCTCAGTGCTGCCCCTGGCCAAGGATATGTGAATCAAGCTGTGTGGCTAGAGCGTCTCTGTGGGGGAGGCCACACAGAAGGATGCACTTGACCTCTGCAGTGTTGGCACAAGGCCACCTGAAATGATGCTTCCTGAGAATTTTCAAAAATATTTTTAGAAATCAAATTTCTGTTCCTTTATGGCAGTGAAGATATGCCATGTGGGCAGTGTGTTGGTGAGCTATCAAAAGCTAGAGGTGTAGCTCCAAAGGTACTGCCATGGTCAGAGGGCAGAGGATTAATGACAATTTTATTTGCTTAGATGTGATTGAAGGGCTGTGATCGCAGGGCTTAGTGTTATGGGAAGTGCCGTGGATCAGTGCCAGTGCAAATATGAAGCTAGTTCAGACATATTTTGGAGGACAACTTAGATGTGAGCCATAAAAGACAGTCAAATGTGAGCCATAAATCTGGCTTTTAATTTCCCAGCATCCAATGCAAATAAAGAAACAGGCAAGGGAAAATAGTTTTCTTATCCTCCAAACTCACATGATGTAACAAAACGTTTCATGTGGCTAAACTCGGGTACATTTTTTTCATGAGGATCTTTATAGAGAGGACCCTGGGGAGCATAATGAACAACGTCCTCTGTGACCTTTTTACACAGAGGCACTTGGCATAGCACGAAGAAGAACAAAACATGCAAATTTGTTTAGAAATTACAGAAACAAGAAACAAGAGTCACTGGCAACCAGCTATTCCCTGCTAAGGATTCCAGCCACTTCATTTGATTCTCCTCTCCCCCCACCCCGCCTGCCCCCCTCCCGTTTGTCAGCATTCGATGGTCACTGAGTATCCTCTGTCCTTCCTGGGTTGTTTGGAGTTGTCTCCCAGCTCTTGAGGTTCCCCCTCCTTGCTATTTCCCTCTTCCGTCAGTTCAAGCGCTGCTGCTGCTGCTCTTTTCCAGGCAACCTTGTCTACTTGGGCTCCTTGAATGACAAGGTGTTGGAGGAGGAGACAGCCCATTTTGTGAGCGTCCTGATTCAGATGCTCTCCTACTGCCAGAAGTACGTTTCTCAGAAGAAGTCCAACCTCACACACTGGCACCCTGTGCTTGGCTGGTTCTCCCAGACAGTGGATTACGGGTAAGCGTCACTCTTGGTGGACAGGGGCAGGGGGGGAAAGAGGGTCTGTAGATCAATGGGAGGAGACCCAACCTATGCACCAGCTCCCCTACATCATCAGTTCAAAGGATCACACCACAGCTGATAGGAAAGATCTCTCTCTGCCTGCAATCCCCACCCCAGCCCTGGGAGCTGCTGATAATTCCAGACAGTTCTGCTTGCTGGTCACCTAGACCATGAAGCCCTCCCTGCCATGTGTCCTGTGCCTCATTTCCTTGGTCTGCCCTCCCCTGTCCTAGCTTGAACGAGTCGATGCCTCTCCTCACAAAGCAGCTGCAGCACCTCTGGGGCGCCCACCTGATCCGCATCCTCTTCAGTGACGTCCTGAGCAAGAAGCTTCTGGAGAACCAGGATGCACCTCGCCTGCCAGTGCCGACCACATCTCCGCAAAACAGCCTGCCCATGAAGAGTGAGTGGCTGCGGAGCCCAGCGGCCCTCTCAGGCTTCAATCCTTGACCCTTATTCTGGAGAAAGTTGGGCTGGGGTTTTTATTTTTTGCCCCATTTAATTTTAGTTTTGCATCTAGAATAGTTTAGAAAAGCCCTGACCCTGGGAGGCCTAGCAGACCTCTGCTGGTTCTCCTTGGGCGCCACGGCTCCTGCTGAGGGCCTTTTCCTCTGCTACACCCAACCAGCAGGGTTTTCCCTGTGTATTTTTGCACAGGCCTCTCTGGGTCAGGGAACAACTTCCTGGAGGATCCCTCACTGTTCTCATGGAACACTAGAATTGTGGAGTTGGAAGGGGCCCAAGGGGTCTTCTAGTCCAACTAGTCCTGCATTGCAGGAGTTCCTGACAGATGGCCGTCCTGTTTAAAGGCCTCTAATGAAGGAGAGCAAGCCACCTTCTGAGGGAGTCTGTTCCAGTGTCAAACAGCTCTTACCCACAGAAAGTTATTTCTAATGTTTGGTTGGAATTTCCTTTCTTGCAATTTAAATCCGTTGGTTCAGGTCCTCCCCTCTGGAGCAGCAGAAAGCAAACTTGCTCCATCTTCCATGGGACAGTCCTTCTGGTACTGGAATATGGGCATTGTATCCCCTCTCAGTTTTGGGACAAGGCTGAGCCCACAACACAACAGTGCAGAAGCTTAGGACAAAAATAGTTGCATATGGGAGCATATCTTTTTTCTTTTCTTTTTACCTCTTCTCCCTTCAAACAGTTCCTAGATGGGATTCAGAGTAAAATAGAAAAACAATAAAATCAACTCAGAATAAAAATCAAGCATAAAACAATAGAAAAAAGAGCAATTTTAAAAGCATACGATTAAAAAAACAATTTAAGCACAGAACTGGTTTTAAAAGCCTGGTGCAAGAAAAATTAAGTCAGTGAGGAAAGGGCCAGGCAAGCCTCTCTAGGCACAGAATTCCATAGATTTGAGCTCTGGAAAATTTGGAGCTACAGGTGGAAAGATGCTTGTGAAGGAGGTATTTACTTCACAACATTTATACGCTGTTTAATAGTAATAAAACCTCCAGGTGGTTTGCTATATATTCATAAAAGTTTATATACTGCTTAACAGTAAAGAAAAACCTCAAAGTTGGGTTTTTTTAAAAAAATAAAAAAATAGAATTTGTCAGAAAAGACAGTTGAAAACAGCTATTAAAAATATTCAAATAATAATTAAAATCAGCCATAAGCTGAAGACATATTAAAGTGTTCCAATACCTAGGTAAGCTTGTCTAAACAGTAATGCTTTTAGTAGGTACCAAAAAGAGTACCCTGAAGGCAGCTGCCTGATGGCAGGGAGTTTCAGAGTGTGGGTGCACACAGTAAAAGTTCGACTTCTTGCAAAGGCAGAATGAGCATTATGTGGCACCTCCAACAGTGGGCATATGTGGGATGAGGCAAGCTACATACATAGAGAGAGAGGTTTTGAGGGGAGGTTAAAGATGAGAACATTGTCAATGCTTGTCTGCCCCAAGCTGCTGTGCTCCAACTCACATCTGCCACCACAACCTGAGGGCCAGGGATCAAGGGAAGTTGTTGTCTGACAACATCGGGCAAGTGGCCGGTCCTAGATTGAGGTAGATCTCAGGATGACTTTCAGGAGTTTAGGAAGGGCTTCCAATTCCTCATCATTTAATAGCAGCAGCAGCAGGAGCAAAAGGACCTTTGCCCCGGTGATGCTCTTAAGCATGGATCAAAGTCACAGGTGTAGATTTGTGCTTGTATTTACAGGGCAACCCATGGCTCTGCTAGTGGAGCCGCCGTTTTGCATTTGGCTTCACTCCCACTCCGGCCACTTTAATATAATTTTTTTAAAATCCCTGGATCCCACAAGCCTTTAAAGTTTGCCCCCCCCCCCCATTCTAGTACGTATGATGCGTTTGACCATTTTGGGGTCTTTCCAGCATGAGAATTTTTTGCTAGTGGTTATCCACAGTGTTAGAATCTGAGATATGAAAGCTAGGAGCTAAATGGCACCTTAAACCCAGGTTATGGGTGCAACAACGGAATGTGTAGGCACACTTTTTTATAACAAGAATACAAAGCTGAAAATGAATGAACTGCAGCTAAAATATTATGTTCATTTTTCACATTACCTAGTCCTTCCACTGCCTACCCACTCCCTAATATTCTTAAGAGGGTCTCTTCTCCAGTCTTCAGAGAGCAGCTAGAAGTGGGGAGGCAGAAAAAGTCCCCCTTTCCTTCCACTCTGCAGTTTTAATCTGAAATTTTAGGTGCAGTACTGCTCCCAGACCTCAGAAACTGCTCGCGCTAATGAAATTCCCTGTCGCAAAATGCGCCTAGAACAATGGGAGTTTCGAACACTGGTTCTCCAAATCTGAACAATGGGAGGAGGGGGGCTGTTAGGAGGGAGGGAGTCATTTGAGTGGGAAGATCCCCTTCAACACGGTTCCTTGGGGTCTGACTGTCCCCTTCTCCATTTCCCATTAGACCTTTTCAAGCGTGCCTTCCAGAAATCCGCATCTGTCCGCAACATCCTTAAGCCTGTCGGGGGCAAGAGGGTGGATTCGGCAGAGGTGCAGAAGGTCTGCAGCATCTGTGTCCTGTATCAGATGGCCCTCACCACCCTGACGCAGATCCGGCTGCAGATTCTCACAGGTTGGTTGAGGGGGCATTGGAGGGGATGAGGAAGCAGGCAGAGTTTGGGGGTACCTGACGGAAGTGGGGACCTGGTCATCAGGTAAAGCTAATTTGAAACAGTCCTCCCTCTAAGGCTGGCTTTACTAGGACCAATGTTCCCCAACCTGGAGCCCTCCAGATGTTTGGGGGCACAACTCCATCAGCCCCAGCCAGCGCAGCCTGTTGAGTGCCCCTTCTCACCTGTTCAAGCTGCTTTTTTATAGTTAAATTGAACCAAGCGTCCAGTCCTAATCATGCTGAACATTAATGTAGAACATTAATCTCATCACAGTCAATACAGCTCACTTCAGAGCAAACATAGAATCGTGGAATTGTAGAGTTGGAAGGGACCCTGAGGGTCATCTAGTCCAACCCCCTGCAATGCAGGGATCCCAGTTAAAGAATCCTTGATGGGCAGCCATCTGACACTACCTCCCAAGAGGGTCCATTCCAATGTCTTAATGGCTTTTAGCTTCAGAAAGTTCTTCCTAATCTTTAGTTGGAACCTCCTTGTCCTTTGAATCCACTGGCTCGAGTCCTACCCTCTGGAGATCAACTTGGCCTGTTTAGGATGGGAATGTTCTGAAATATACAGTCCTCTCTCTTTTGGATACCTGATGTGGGACAAATTCCCACCCCCATCTGCTTTTTCTCCTGGTGCAAGTTCTAGAAGAGCAGATAATGGCACCTTGAACTTTGCTAGGCAGCGGCTGAAACTGCCATGGTGGGCAGGGTCAGAAGGCCAGAGGAAAGGCACAGGTCCCCTTTCTGCCTTACCTGCTGTACCTGCCTGCTTCCCTCCCGCTCCCCACATCCTCCTCCTCATGGTTGATTTTCTACTAGGCTTCCCCAGAGCCTTGAGGACTAGAAGCTTGTGTTTCATTGCCGCTCTGTGTGTGTGTGTGTTTAATGAGAGATATTGTTTATAATAATAAACAATTAATGGAGAGCTGTTTGGCCTCCTGGGGCCGGTTCACTTGTGGATTTCCCCTCTCCTAGGCTTGACCTACCTGGACGACCTGCTGCCCAAGCTGTGGGCCTTTATCTGTGAGCTGGGCCCCCAGGGCGGCTTGAAACTCTTCCTGGAGTGCTTGAGCAACGACACCGAGGAGTCCAAGCGGCTGCTGGCCATGCTGATGCTTTTCTGCGACTGCTCCCGGCATCTCATCACGTAGGCTATTTTAATATATATATATATATATATATATATATATATATATATATATGAATAAAAAATTTCTCACATCATGCCAGCTCAAATTTCCTGCAGACGGCAAAGGTGCGGGCAGGCAGAAGGGGCCTAAGAAGGTTCCACGTGAGGATTTTCTTGGGCTCTGCCTGCCTGCTTGCCTGTGCCTTTGAGAAAGCCCCCCCCCCCAGCAGTTCTTGCAAGCTGGAGAAGTATGGGGGCCACCTCAGCTGAGCAGTGGGAGGCTTCCCACCCCCCAGCTGAGCAGTTTAAGGAAGCCCCAATGCTCCTCTGGCTCACACAAGCTAGAGAGGTATGGGAGCATGGACTGGGCGAAGTATCTTGGCTGCTTCTTCCTCCCCTCCTCCACAGTGAGACAAAGGAAAACTGTTCCTTTTCTCCCCTATCCCACTTCTAGAATTCTTGACGACATTGAAGTCTACGAAGAGCAGATCTCTTTCAAACTGGAAGAGCTGATCACAATCTCATCTTTCCTGAATTCTTTTGTGTTTAAGATGATTTGGGATGGAATTGTGGGTAAGTGATTTTGGTTAACTACCTGTTCCTTGAGATTTTCTAGGCTTTCATCCATCTATTAAGACAGACCCAAAGATTATTAAGACCCAAAGAGTACTCATTAATGGTTCCTCGTCATCCTGGGAAAAGCGACAAGTGGGGTTCTGCAGGGTTCTGTCCTGGGTCTGTTGTTGTTCAATGTCTTTATAAATGACTTGGATGAAGGAATTGAGGGGTTGCTCATGCAATTTGCAGATGACACCAAACTGGGAGGGGGAGCTAATGCTGCAGAAGACAGAATTCAGAATGACCTTAACAGATTGGAGAACTGGGCGCAAGCTAACAATAATAATAATAATAATAATAATAATAATAATAATAATAATAATAATTTATTATTTATACCTTGCCCATCTGGCTGGGTTTCCCCAGCCACTCTGGGTGGCTTCCAACTGAATATTAAAAACAGTACAGCATTAGACATTAAAAACTTCCCTAAACAGGGAAGTTGTCTTTTAAAAGTAAAATAGTTGTTTATTGCCTTGACATCTGCTGGGAGGGCGTTCCACAGGGCAGGCGCCACTATCGAGAAGGCCCTCTGCCTGGTTCCCTGTAACCTTACTTCTCGCAATGAGGGAACCGCCAGAAGGCCCTCAGCGCTGGATCTCAGTATGGACGATGGGGGTGGAGACGCTCCTTCAGGTTTACAAAATGAATTCTATAAGACCATCAGAAATCAAACTATTTGGAATCAATTCCTTTGGCTCCACATAGAATTGCTTTCACAGAACAAAAACTTGGTGTTATGCCCTCTGCCTTTCTGCTCTAAGAAATTGCTTTTGGAACAGCATTTCTGTGTGTTTTGTAAAATCAGGCATAGGCAAACTCTGGCCCTCCAGATTTTTTGAGACTACAATTCCCATCATCCCTGACCACTGGTCCTGTTAGCTAGGGATGATGGGAATTGTAGTTCCAAAACATCTGGAGGGCCGGAGTTTGCCTATGCCTGGTAAAATGGTTATAGAGGACGTGACAGTGTCTGTATAAAGATCATCATGAAAATCATCTGTCTGAGTTTAGCTGCAGGGGAAATTTTCTTTATATCAAATGAGGTTGTGTGGTTTTCACTGTTGGACAAAGAAAATAATGTAACCTTGCGTATTTCTTTTTTTGTGCTTGCTGCCGAGAAAATGAGAGCCAAATTTGTGGCTCTGCTCTGAATGCTGTATTCTCTTTGTTGTGGCATGTAGCTTTACAAATACAATGATTACTATGAAAATGTTTTAGTGCCAGTCAGAGGCAGGGGCCAGTTTTCATTTGCTCGTGGGGGGCCGGGGGGCAGACTTGTGGCCCCCTAGGTGTTGCTGGTCTCGCCTTCCTCCCTGCTCATTGGACATGCTGGCTGCCTTGTAACATCTGGAGGGCCACAGCTGTCCCGCTTTCTATTGTTGAGTTTTCCGCTGTGGGTTACAATGTTTTTGGCTTTATTGCAGTGTTTGTTTTCTCTCCCTCTCCTTGTTACAGAGAGTGCCAAAGGAGAGACCCTGGAGCTCTTCCATTCGGTGCACGGCTGGTTGATGGTTTTGTACGAACGAGACTGCCGCCGGCGTTTTGCTCCAGATGACCACTGGCTGCGCAAGTAAGCACCTGCTTCCAAACGGAGTAATCCAGATTCCTACCCACCCTGTCATAATCTGAGTCTAGGGTGTTTGGTGCGTTTTTCTGGTCTGTTTGCCCTTACAACATTTTTTCAAGTTTACTGTTATGCCTCCCCCTTTTAAAAACACTTTCGGGACTGCAAGTGACTTGACCAAGGCAGGAAAGCGAGTCCTTGGCAGAGGTATGAGCAGAACCAGCTCAGCCTAGCTCTGTGCTGGCACTGGGCCTTGGTCTGCTGCAGGATGGATTCTGCCAAAAGCTGTCCTGTTAGAAGTTGCCCACTCAAAACTGGCAGGTCCTGTTTCTTTCAGGACTTTCAAACCTCCTGCCACATTTATGTTTGTTTTATTTTTTTAGGGACCTTAAACCGAGTTTGCTCTTCCAGGAGCTTGATAAAGACCGGAAACGGGCCCAGCTGGTCCTGCAGTATATTCCCCACATCATCCCCCACAAAAATGTGAGTGGAGCCTGAGCCCGGAGCCTGGAAAGGAGGAGCTTGCTGAATTGTGGGAGTGATGCTCCAAGGCAGTATTGTGTGGCCCCGTTAAAGAATCAAAATATGAATGAAGCACAGGCCTTCTCACCCAGATGCTCTTCTCTTGCGAATTCATAGAAGCACAGGGTTGTAAGGGGTGGAAGGTACCCTAAGGGTCATCTAGTCCCACCCCTGTAATGCAGGAAGCGCAACTGAAGAATCCCTGACAGGTGGCCACCCAACCTTCGTTTAAAGGCCTCCAGCGCAGGAGAGTCCACCACCTTCCAAAGGAGTCCGTTCCCCTGTCCAGCAGATCTGACCACCAGGAAGTTATTCCTATAGTCTAGTCAGAACCTTTCTTTTCCTTTGAATTCATGCACGCCCATCTGATTTGAGGGTTCTGTTCATTGCACAGAACTGCAGCCCACCTTCTCCATAACCTGGCCTGGTTTTGTCTGCCCTCTGGCCTTTCTCTCTGGGGTCTTGGGCAGAGGGAGGGTGTTTCCCATCACCCTGCAGAGCAGGTCCTGTGGACCACTGAGCTACAGACCGTCCCCAAGTAAACTAGTGGCCAAAAGTGTGGAAACCTTTTGGGGAAAGTGTATTTCTGAGGTTTGATGGATTATAACACCCCCCCTTTTTTAGTAATACCATAAAATTATATATCAATGGAAAGATAATTTAATAAATGAAGAATGTAATGCAATAACTTTTATAAATGATTATTACAACATAAATAAGGAGGACATTTGTCAGTGTGTTATGTGATTGCTATCAAGTTGGTTGGGTTTTTTTTTTTTTTTTTTGTTCTTTCATTTAGTGAGCTTGTAAAAAGTAATAAAATTAAAGAAATGGTGCAAAGAGTTGACTGGTCACCCAGAAAGTGAAGTAAAATAGTACTATTAAGTGAACAAGGCTACAGTTATGAAGAAATTAGAAGAAAAATTGATGGAAACTTAACAAAAGGTGGCATTTCTAAATTTTTGAAGAGGTATAAGGAGACTCCTTAAAATATCAGACTGGTAAAGTCAGGAAAAGTGATGATAGAAGAATTGAGAGACTGTGCCTGCGTGACAGAATAAAATCATCTGGGTGTATAAAAGATGACATGGTGCATTGTATTGTGAAGTTGAATCCAAGGACTGTTTGGTGCAGACTGCAGGAGTATGGTCTGAATGTTAGAATTCCAAAGAAAAAGCCATTGTTATCTCTCAAACAAAGGATAAAAAGGTTAAATATGGCTAAAACCCATGTTAACAGGACAGCGGAACAATGGGACAGTGTTATTTGGAGTGATGAGACCAAAATCCCCTTGCTTGGTAGTGATGGCATGAAATAGGTGAGGAGGAGTATCGGGAAGATTTACACCCTACTTGTGAAACACCCAATTAGTGTTATGATTTGGAGTTGTATGACAGCAAAAGGTGTGGGCAGAATTTGTGTCATTAATAGGAATGTATCAGTACTTTTCTGTGTATAAGACTAGGTTTTTACTCTAAAATAATGTTAAAAACCGGGGGTCGTCTTATACACAGATTGGGGGGGGGGGCGACAGGTGATTGGTTGCAGCCGTGAGCAGGAGCGGCCATTTTGTTGGTGATTGGTGGCTGCGTCAAGTGCTGTTTCGGATTGGCTGCTGCTGCGTTTGTCATTTGGGTTAGTGATCCCCTCTCCCAAAAAAAACTCAACAGCCTTGTGCAATCCCCCCTAAAAAGCTCAACAACTCTGGGTCATCTCCCCCTATTTTCTTAAATTTGAGTCCTCAAAAATAGGGGGCACCTTATACACGGGGGCGTGTTATATTATACACGGGGGCGTGTACATAGCCCAGACCTTAACCCAATCGAAAATTTATGGAGCCGACTAAAGAAACATGTTAGTCAGAAGTAACCCAGCAATAAAACCCAATTAATAGAGGCAATAATTCAATCTTGGTTGCATGTTATTACAGCTACAAAACTAAAGAACTTGGTTCAATCCATGGGAAGGCTAAAGGTTACCCTACTAAGTATTAACTGACGTGATAATTTTTGTATATCTCATTTTTTCATATTTCTTCTTTAGACTGCTGTTGTAATAAATAAGACTTCATAAAAGTTATTGCATTACATTCTTCACTAAATTATCTTTCCATTGATATATAATTTTATGATACTACTCCAAAAAAAAGTGGTGTTATGAGCCATCATTGCCAGAATAAGATGACACCTGATTGGCTCTCTAAACACTCCTTTTTCTGGTTATTTGGCTATCGCTTTTGATGGAATACAGATAATTGAACAAACATGGTAGCAGTGCATTCTTCATTAAATTATATTTCCATTGATACATAATTTTATGGTATTACTAAAAAAAATGGGGGGTGTTGAGAGCCAGTGTGGTGTAGTGGTTAAGAGCGGTAGTCTCGTAATCTGGGGAACCGGGTTCGCATCTCCGCTCCTCCACCTGCAGCTGCTGGGTGACTTTGGGCCAGTCACACTTCTCTGAAGTCTCTCAGCCCCACTCACCTCACAGAGGGTTTGTTGTGGGGAGGAAGGGAAAGGAGAATGTCAGCCACTTTGAGACTCCTTTGGGTAGTGATCAAGCGGGATATCAAATCCACACTCTTCTTATGAGCCATCAAACCTCGGAAATACACTTTCTCCAAAAGGTTTCCACAATTTTGGCCACTAGTGTAGTGCGTTCCCCTTGGGCCTGCCCAGTGTGGTCTAGTGATTAGAGTGGCAGACCAGGACCTGCGTGACAAGGTAGTGCCAGATTAAACCCTATGGAGGCCCCTATGCAGTCGAAATCTCGGGGACTCCTTGTAAATCTTTCAAGATCAAATCAATATTATTTTGATCCATTGTCACAGGGCCCCTGAAAGGCATGGGGCCCATAGACCAGTGCCCACTCTGCCTATTTGGTCATCCAGCGCTGAGACCAGGGTCCCCACTCGGCCATGAAGCTCCCAGGGTGACCTTGGGGGCCAGTCACTGCCTCTCAGCCTGACCTACCTCATAGGGTTGTTGTGAGGAGGGGCAGAATAGTGTATGTATGACACCTTTTGCTCCCTGTAGGAACAGTGGGCTATAAATGTAATAAAGTGGTTGAGATGAAATGTGTTCAAATCCTCCTTGCTCAATCCATTGCCCTCGGGATATTGCTGAACTCCAGCTCCTCTTATTCTTGACTACAAGCCAGTGGGACGGAAGCAGTAAAACAGCATTTGGAGGGCACTAGGTTGGGGAAGGCTTGTTGAAACACTGTCTGTAATGAAGTAAAAAACTGCAGCAGCTGCTATTTTGTTATCAAAAGATATATATCCTGCGTCTCTTTAGCATCTTTGAGGTGGGTTGCAATCCAGAAATAACAATAAAGCAGGGCGCTGTGACCCTACAGGGAAAGAACGGCTACAGGGAAAAGCAGTAGCTGAATGTTGACCCAAGGAAGAGGCTCCTGAGCAGCTGCCCTGGAGGCTCAGGCTGGTGTTCTGGTGACCCTCCAGGGAAGGAGAATCCTCCCTCTGTGCCCTGCAGCTGTTTCCCTTCCAGATGTTGCTGGGACTCCCACCTGCCAGCAGTGGGCCTGGCCAGTGGCCAAGGATGACGTCTCTTGAGGGGGGAACTGCAGGTTCCCCAGGTGTAGTCAGGTGGGGGAAGGCTGACCTTGCACTTAGGCAACATGGCTTTTGAACAAGCGCATTCTTTTGGAACATTTTCAGAGGGCTCTTCTCTTCCGGAACATGGTGACAAAAGAGAAGGAGAAGCTGGGGCTGGTGGAGACCAGCTCCGCGTCGCCTCATGTCACGCACATCACCATCCGCCGGTCACGCATGCTGGAGGTGAGTGGCATAGCTTCTTCTAGAAGGTGGTGCAAAGAAAACCACCTCTTTCTCTGCTAGCCTTTCTGTGAAGCCTCTTGATTTGCTGCTTCCTGAAAACAAGGTTCAGGATTCTTGGCCTTGACTGGCCTTAGCTCCCCAGGGTTTGAGACAAGTGGCTTCCAGCCCTGTTTGGACTGAGGCAGCTAATGAAGCCTTCTCATGCCCACATTTCACTTTGAGCCAGCCTAGTTGCAAACTGTTGCAGGTTTCAAAGGGAGTTCTGCCACAGTCCATACCAACGAACTGTTCTCCCACCCACACCTGTTAGGAGCCAGAGTCTGGAGCAGGCCTAGTGGTCACAGCAACTCTTCCCAGTAGGTCTTGCCCCAGTGAGGCAGTTGCAAGGCCCTGCCTTCCCAGTGCCCTCTAAGACTCCTCCCCTGGGTCCTTCTCTAGCCACATGAGGCTTCTTTGCCTTGTTTCTCTTTGCTCTGCCCTAGTCATTCCTTTTCCGTGTTCTGGGAGACTCGAGGGAGGGGAGCTGCTCACAGCAGGGTGCGGGAAACTCCTTGGCTTCTTCTGCAGTTGCCCCCCCCCCTCCAGCCTCCACTTCAGCCTCTGAACCTGGACTCCCCTCTGACACAGCCTCTTCCTGCTCACCAAACCTGTTACCGTCTCTGCTTCCAAGACTTCCTCCCCATGGTTTTCTCCCTCTGACCCCCATTGTGGTGCACCCCCCTCTCCCCGGGCTCTGAGCCGGCTGCCTTTGAGGGGTCCCAGCTGGTGCCCCCCACTCCTCTGCATCCAACCAGTCCACAACACCACCTTTCTGGCCTTGTGGCACTTGCCACCTCTCCCCAGGATGGGTACGAACAGTTGCGCCAGCTGTCTCAGAACGCCATGAAGGGAGTCATCCGGGTGAAGTTCGTGAATGACCTGGGAGTGGATGAGGCCGGCATTGACCAGGACGGCGTCTTCAAGGAGTTCCTCGAGGAAATAATCAAGAAGGTCTTTGACCCTGCGCTCAACCTCTTTAAGGTGCCAGAACCCTGTCCCAAGCCCTGTCTTGTCAGACAGCCCCAGCTGGCCATGCAGGCAGCCATGGGCTTATGTTGCTCTCTCTTGTCTCTGCTGCTGCGTGCCGGTTAGACCACCAGCGGCGATGAGAGGCTGTATCCCTCCCCAACGTCCTACATCCATGAGAACTATCTCCAGCTCTTTGAGTTTGCTGGGAAGATGCTTGGAAAAGCCGTCTATGAGGTAGGAGGGGCGTGGCGGCTTAGGGGCCTTTTTCAACAGCTGCCCTTGGCACAACCAGTGCCAGCCCTCTGTGGGTGGTTTGGCTCTTGTACGGGACCCCAAGCATCTTTCCTAAAGAGAAACGTTTTTGCCCATTGGGTCGGGGGCGGGGAGGCAGGGAGGCTAGCAGGAGCTGGAGCTGGAATAATGGAGCCAACTAATTCTTGTTTTATCCTCCTCCTCCCTCCTGAGTTTGACAGGAATAAAGCTGAGACTCAGGAGGAAGATGCAGGAAGACCGTGTTGCCACACACTAGACTGGAAGCAAATAACAAAGGGGGGGGGGGAGCTGCCTGAGGGCAGGCTGAGTCTGGTGGGGCAGTGCCCCCTTCTCCCAATGGACCATCCAGGATTTTTGTTATGGGATATAGATCGCCTCTTCCAGTGTTCAGGCTCTGATTACTTGGTGGCTGGTGATAGTGAAATGCAGCTCTCGGAGCCGTTTTCCTTCTCCCCCTTTGCAGGGGATTGTGGTGGATGTTCCTTTTGCATCTTTCTTCCTGAGTCAGCTGCTGGGACATCATCACAGCATCTTCTACAGCTCTGTGGATGAACTTCCCTCACTGGATTCAGAGTTCTATAAAAACCTGACCTCCATCAAGGTTTGTTTGCCATCTTTTGGCTTTCTCTCAGTGCCTTGTTCAGCTGGCACCTTCTCCTAATGGGCGCCTGGCCACTTGTCTGTCCTTATCTTCCTTTAATTATAACCAGCACAAGGGGATTTGGGCTTGCAACTGATTGCTCTAAATGCAGTTCTGATAACTGAGTGAGACGTCTGTCATTGTGTTTCTCCCAGTTATTGACTAGGCCCAGTCTCCTTGCGCTTGGCCCAGGGAGCAGAAACTAACTGCTAAGCTAACAGTGTGCCAGGCTGTCTCCTTCTGCAGTCAGACATCGTTAGCACACATTAAGCAACATGTATAACATTAAATTGAATGAAAAATTCAGCATCTAGAAAAGATTGGGTTTTGTTTTTTTAATGAAATTGTGAATGCCAGAGAAGTTTCTAGACTCTGTGAATGTCTAGTGGGAGTTGACAGTGAGTGGCTGATGCCTATTGCAGTGTTGGAAGTAAGAGGAATAGGTGAGTCAGAGCTGCTAGTGGTGGCTGGGATTCTGCGTAGCCAGATTCATCACATACAGCGTTGCACATGAATGTATTTGGCTGAGCTTAATTTGGACACGTGCAGCAGAATTCTGAGAGAGTGCTAGAAAGTGAAGCCCAGCCAGTTAGGGTGGAAACTGAGCAGCCTCAGCACTTAAACTCTCCCCTTCTTTCTTTCTCCCCCCTTCTCAGCGTTACGATGGAGATATCAGTGACTTGGGCCTGACGCTTTCCTATGACGAAGACGTGATGGGCCAGGTAGGGCTCCCTCCCAATCTCCTCATCTTTTTTTGTCACATTTTCTGCTTTTCCGGGTCCAGTAGGGAGTGACACCCCCTTTGGACTCTGAGTCCAGCCCTCTTGGCCAAATGCTCCATGAATTGCCCTGTGCCAGGCAGGGCTGACACTTCCCATTCAGACTTTTTTGCTCGCTGTCTCCTAAAAAGCTTAGCTCTTCATTCTTTATTGATTTGAATCCTTCCCCCACCCCCCTCAGCTCCCACAGTTCTGCCGCACACATAAAGTATACACTCAACATGAACATGTACAAACCTCCCCACAGGAGCTGGCCCACCTCCGCCCTCCCCAGTAAGCACAACTCAGCCACCCGCCTGTGATGGGGCGGGGCAGGCTGGGCCTCTGTGTCATAGGGCCATTCTCTCTAGAAGGTGTGACACCCCCAGCCGCACCCCCCGACCTGAACTTCCCGTGGTATATTACAAGCAATAAGTAATGTCTCTCTCTCTCTACCTCCCAACCCCACCGTTTTTCTAGCTTGTTTGCCATGAACTTATTCCAGGAGGGAAAACCATCCCTGTAACCAACGAAAACAAGTAAGTGATCACTTATCAGCCCTGATCCCCCTGGGGCTGCATTCTGTCCCCTTCCCAAAGGGTGGCTGACTTCAACATGTTGAGGCGGAAAGGGTACCCCCAGTGCCCAAGTGACTCCCACACCAGGCAAGACGTAGGAACGAGGTGCTTGCGTCACCCTAGGTATCCAGATTGCCAGAAGAACTTTTGGAAATGGAATATTTCCAGGATGTGGTGGGAGTTTTACCTGCTAGCACTTTTACCTACTAACATTTGTAACTCAGGAGGTGGAAAACCTTGACTTTTTGTTAGATATAAAAAAATGCAAAGCAGTGTTCCAACCTTTCTTTTTAAATATCAGGTTGTGGGAGTTCCATTGCCCCACCACACGCTTGAATCGCCCTGGTGGGTGGGATTTCCTGCAGCGGCTGCCTTGTGTTTGCACCTAATGGCCCTGTTGTATGTGACTGGAAGGATCCTGCGCTCCTTGTGCTGCAGTTGGACTTCTGCCATTTTTCACAGGAAGCCGTCCTTGGGAATATAAGCTGCGGCAGCATCCAGAGCGCTGCATTTGCTTTGCCCCAAGTGCTTCTGTGTGGCCCGTGGGATCTTCCTTTTGACCTTGTGGCTCAGCTGATCTCAAACTCCTTTGGAAACTGTTTCAAAAGTGGCGCACTCTGAGAGGAGAACTTGGAGGCAGAAGTTTGGCTTCCAGTCCTTGTTGGGGAAAGTTTCCCCTGGGAGCTCCCCATGGTCTGCCTTGTCACATGCGCTGCTTTGTGGAACGAGAACAGGATGGGGAGTCCTCTTGAGCCTTTCTGAACTAACCCTAACCGCTCTGCCCTGTGGTGAGGGGGCCATTCTTCCCCACCCCTAGGATGGGACTGGTGTGCTGGCCATGACCACCCTCTCTCTGAAATGCACACCAGGGACTGCCACCCTGGCCACATTGCTCACCAACCAACCCCCCAAACCTCCACTCCATTTACCAGTCCCCCACCCCATTCCTTTTCACCTCATCCAAACCCCGTCTTGCAGCTTCTCTGTGTCCCTGCGTTATTTAAACCTAAACCTGCCATTCTGAAACCTGCTTTCTCTACTGCTACCTTCCTGTGCCCTGACTTCATGCCAATACAGGATTGGGATGAGGCACTGCAGGTCCTCTTGTGGGGCTGCGTGATGACAGCCTTACATTTTATGTATATAGGGATGGAAGGAAGGATGGATGGATGGATAGATAAATATGGGTGCCTTTCTGTCCCCCACGTCAGGATCAGCTACATCCACCTCATGGCCCACTTCCGGATGCACACGCAGATCAAAAGCCAGACGGCTGCCTTCATCAGCGGCTTCCGCTCAATCATCAAGCCCGAGTGGATCCGTGTCTTCTCTGCCCCTGAGTTGCAAAGGCTCATATCGGGTGACAACGCCGAGATAGACCTCGAAGACTTGAAGTAAGGGAGATGGGGGGGGGGTGTCTCTTTCCACATTCTGCTTCATTGGATGTCCACAAGTTGTATTATTAAGAAAGAGGGAGGCACACTTTTCTTTCTCTCCTCTGTCCATGCCATGTGTAAGTTCATAAAGCCCAAAAACTTTGAGGAGGGATTTGAAAGGCTGGAGAGGAGAGGGAGTGTGTGTGTCTCCATCCACCCACCCATGCAGGGTGGGGGAGCTCCACACATCAGGGGCAGCAAGGGGCAAGTCCTTTCAGGTTTATCTGCGGCAGAGTGTCCAGTTTTGATCATGGGTGTGGGGCACATTTGGAAGAGGTAATCATGGGAATATCAAAGCTCATTAGGGTGCTGAAGGTTAACGGTGACCTCCTTCTCTACTGGCTTGAGTCACCATACAGTGAAGTTTCAGTGTTTCCAGTTGAAAGTAGCCATTGGTGGGTGGGTGTCCCATGGGAAGTGAGCAAGGGGGACCCCTCTGCAATTCACCTTCTTTATTTGCATAATGGTCCCACCAGCAGCTTTCATGTGGCAACCGGAAGTTGGGGGCAGAGCTGTAGTCCTTCCTTTGATCTAGTGACTTCAGTGACCTATGAACTCCACTTGATTTTTTGTCTCTTCTTCCTTAGGAAGCACACTGTGTACTACGGGGGCTTCCATGGCAGTCACCGAGTCATCATTTGGCTTTGGGATATCCTAGCCAATGATTTTAACCCCGATGAAAGAGCCATGTTTCTTAAGGTAAGCTGTGTGTGTAAAACAAGAGTGACCAACCAGGCCTGGTGCCCTCCAGATGTTGGGCTTCTAGCTCCCACTGGCCTCAGCCAGCATGACCAATAGTCATGGATAATGGGAGCTGGGAGTCCACCAGGTTGGTCGTTCATGGACCTTAGTCACTTGAGTACATGTGGATAGCTCAGTCAGTAGAGCATGAGACTCTTAATCTCAGGGTTGGGGGTTTGAGCCCCATGTTGGATGAAACATTCCTGCATTGCAGGGGGTTTGGACTAGATGATCCTTGTGGTCCCTTCCAACTCTGATTCTCGCAAGTGTAGTTTCTTGCTGGTCTTCTGAATGCAAGATATGCACTGTATATATGGTTACCTGTGGGCTTTCCCCTAAAGAGAAAGCAAGATTTTGGTCTTCATGATCCATCATAAAGGGCTGCTTTAACATTGGAGCTGCCTTATACTGAGGTCTGCTCTTCTTACGTAGACTCTTTCCTACCCCTATCTGGGAATGCTGAGGATTGAACCCAGGAACATAGGCACACAAAGTCCTTGCTCTGGTATTAAACTGGGGTCCCAGCTTGTTTAAATGCAGGCACATAAAGGCTGCTTCAGACAGAGAAAGGACTTTGATCAATCTAGACCAGGAATCCATTCCCCACTTGGACATGAAACTCACTAGGTGACCTTGGCCCACTCTCACTCTCAGCCGTACCTACCTCGCAGGGTTGTTGTGGGGCTCCAATGACGAGAGGGAGAACCATGGACATGCTGCCTTGAGCTCCTGGGGGGTTGGATTTAAATACAATAAAGTAATAATAATAAATGTGGGGCAGCCCCTCAGCGCCACCCATGACAATGGTGCTGCACCCCAGTTGAAGAGCCAGCCTGATCCAGTACACGTCTCCCCCTTCCCCTTGCTCTTTTTCCTCTCCTGTGCCAGTTTGTTACCAGCTGTTCTCGGCCACCACTGCTGGGCTTTGCCTACCTCAAGCCTCCCTTCTCCATCCGCTGCGTGGAAGTATCAGATGACCAGGTATGTGCATGAGCCAAGCTGGCGAGCCTTGACCTCCTGTGTTCCCTGCAGGTGCCATGGTCTCCTTCCTGGCATGGAAGTGTCTGCTGGCTCCACCCTCCCTTAAAGGAGTCACAGTTCACAGAATTAGACAAATTCTTGGAGAAGAGAGCTATCAGGGCCTACTAGGCACACCAGATACTTCCGAGTGCCATGAGGTGGTGGAGGGAAGTGCTCTTGTGCTCAGGTCCTGCTTGAGGGTTTCACATGGAGACGTCTGGTTGGCCACTGTGAGAACAGGAGGCTGGACTGCAGGAGCCACTGGCCTGGTTCAGCTGAAAGGAACACAGCCACCCCCACGGAGGATCCCAGGCTTGTCTTTAGAGGACAGCCCTGGGGCCAAGACCCTGGAACCTTGAGGAGGAATGTTGGGGAGGGGGATGGAGGGAGATCTTTCTCCCAATTCAGCTCTCCACCCCTCACCCCGGTTCAGGTTGTAAGCCCTTTTAGATTTACTTAACCGGATCATGTGTTTTGTGGAGAAATCAGCTGTGTGGGAGGAATCCAGGGTCTCAACAGTGAGGCTAATGGCAGAAGTGGAGGGACAGCCAAGGGCCAGGCAGCAACTGGGGAGTTTAAGGCCAGTTTAGATGTTACTAGGGTAACACTTTAAACAGTCATGGCTTCCCCAAAATAATTATGGGGGTTACAATTTGTTCAGGGTGCCAGGAATTGATAGGAGACTCCTATTCCCTCATGGAGTTTTCGAGTTATCTGTGAAGAGGGATGGATTGATCTATGGACTGCTCTAAGAACTGTAGCTCTGTGTGGGCAATGGGGCCTCCTCACAGCTCCTCAGCACCCATCACAAACTACGGCTTCCAGAATTCTTGGGGGTGGGGAGCCATGACTGCCAAGTGGTGTGAATGTGACCTAGGCCACCAGCAGGCCTGTGTCAGCCATGATGCTCTGTAACCATCAAACACCAAAGGTGATGCAAAGCAGCTCCCAGCTGAATCGCATACCGTAAGGCAGGCCTGTCCTTTGGGGTTGGTCCCCTCGCTCTGCTCTAGAGAGCAGTTATTCTCTGATGTGGAAATAGTGAGGACCCTGCCTGGAACAGGCTGCTCTGTTGGGGTCCCAAGGGCCTTCTGGGCAGAGAGCACCCAGATCTCATGCAAGATGCTTTGTTCAGCCTGCAGCGCTCGCCAGGCACGTGTGTTTGTGGCACCCCAAGCCCTCTTTTTCTCTCCCCAGGACACGGGGGACACCCTGGGCAGCGTCCTGCGGGGCTTCTTCACCATCCGGAAGAAAGAGCCAGGCGGGCGACTGCCCACCTCCTCGACCTGCTTCAACCTCCTCAAGTTGCCCAACTACAGCAAGAAGAGCGTTCTGCGGGAGAAGCTGCGCTATGCCATCAGCATGAACACAGGCTTTGAGCTCTCCTAGCCTACGCTCTCAAGAGCTGGATGGGCTCTCAGGGCTATACCTTGGTAAATGGCCGCCTGAGCAGGTTGTAGCTCTGGCCTGGGGTCCGGCATCGCTCTGATGCCGCTGGACGCAACTCTGCAAGGAGGACCTCCTTGGAAACGCAGCTGGCCTGCCATTAAATGTAGCATCAAGAGCCAAGCCTGTGCATTGTCCTTGGAGGGGGGCCATGCCTAATGGAGGATTGCACGCAGGGCAGGCAGGGCCACACAAACTACTCATGGGCCCAGGGGTGTGTGCCCTGTGGATAATTTTTATCTTGGTCTTGGGCAAACAGTTGGACCTTGCTGTGGGCCAGGCCAGGTCAGACTCTGGCAAAACGCTGTGGAACGAAGGTCGGGAGCTGGCTTTTCCCTCCCACTTTGGCTTCTGAAAAACAGGCTTGAGGCTTCTCAACTCAGGAGCCCCATGAGATTGCAGGAGCTTTCTCTTCATGTTTTTTGTGTTCCTCTCTCTGTGCCCAGGTTTTGTCGCCTGCGACTTTCCCACAGCTTGCCAAACTGCTTCGCTTTGACTCTCGGTCTGAATACACGTTTGCCTGCAGGCCCCCAAATGAGTGCTTCCCGCTATGTGGGGAGCACAGGTTTGTGATGTGGAATTCCTTCCCCGTGGCAGATTTTTGCTAGTTGTGAGCCTGCAGCTTGTCAGATGTCGGAGAGCAGTCTTCACCAACCCGGTGCCCTCCTTTCTGACCACTGGCAGGGGATGGTGGAACTGGGAGGATGGGCCAAGGCCCCTTTGGCTGGGAACTCCTCTTAGGGCCTCAGTTGGCAGAGCCCGCTGAAACATTTAGTGGCTGAGCTAATCTGCAGAGGCTCCTGGGCAGCTGAGAGCAGTTCCCTGCTCTAACCTCTCAGGGACTTTGCTATGCTGAATAGCTTCTCAATTTCCGTTCAGGAACAGCAACTCCATTAAACTCTGTAATTGCAAAGGGGTTTATGCTGAGGTTCCTCGTTATTCATTGCTTGCTCTGTATTCACATTCATTTGTGCACTTGTCCTTCCCAAGCTCCCCTTCCTTGACATCTCCCACAATCCCAGATGTGCCCAAAGGGAAGAGAAAAAATATTCCCACAAGGTGATATTTCTCCCCAGGGATCCACCTTTTGCTGAATCTGACTGGACCATGTGCAAAGCACAGGGCATCTTTCAGGGACTGGACTTGTCCTGGTCCTGGTCTCTGCTTTGCCACAAATGGGTGGATGTCTTTGGAATGAATAAACACCAGGAAGCAAGGGAGAAAGGTCACCTTGTGCAGGGTCTTCCCTCTCTCCAAGTAGATTTGTGATCAGCTCAGTCTCCCACCCAAGGAATCCTGGGGATCTGAATAAGAGTGGGAAGGAAGGGATTGAACTGTAATCAAATGCAAAATATTTTAAGAATGTTGGGTTTTACTGGTTTTATTGTTTTTCTTTTTGCAGAAGCCCCATTTAATGCTTTCTAACCTTGATTATTCCACCACTGCAAATCTTTAGCCTTGAGGTGTAAAATAGTTGCTTGTTTTTTAAAATAATTCTAGTGAAGGGCTGGGCCCAGAGAACACTCTCAAGCATGAACCTGTTAACTGAAAACCCAAATCCCCACCTTTTCTTGATTTTACTTTGAATGTTGCAGAAGAATGTGTGCCTCATGTTTTAAATGCTAGACATTAAGCATTCTCTTAATGGATTTGGCAATATTGCACTACAGAAGTTGCAGGACACTCTAGGGCAGCCTTTTGGATGTTTTGGACGACAGTTCCCAACAGCCCAGATCTGTGCTGGTTGGGGCCCATGGGAGTTATAGTGCAAAACATCTAGAGGATGCCAGTTGGTGAAGGAATGTTGGGGTGGCACGGGGCAAGCTCTCCAGTAGAATCTCTCCAATAGAGTAGGAATGGGGGGGTGACACTATACAGCACCCCCTCCCAGTGGTCTCCTTGACCCTCTGATGAACTGCTTCCTCCATGTATACATTTTCAGAACTGATGTGCAAATTGTGATTGTGTACTAAATATGTTGAAAGAGTTTGGCTGTTCTAGCCCGCAACAGTTGGGCATGGTGTGGCTTTCCCAAACAAGGAAAGCTATGCAAGCTGTCAGGGGTCTAACATCACCCCCACCCCAAAACAATGCCTTGCATGTCTGTCATGAGGTGAGGAGAGGAAAGTTTGCCATAGGAGATTAATAAAATATTTTATCTTGGCCCTCCTGTATCCTAGCATTTTACAGCATATTCTCCATGTTGGAAATAAACTTGACAGATTGGTTCAATATAGTCATAGGGAGGTGGGTTTCTCCTCCCCACTTCGTAAAAATTGGCTTCTGTTTCAAAGAAACCTACAGCAGTGTGAGGAAACGTACAACAGAGACTCCCATGACTGAAGAGGAGGTATGTCTCTGAACAGTTCAACAGACCCTGAAGAGGAAGGGTCGGGTATGTTAAATGGCAGCCACTGAGAGGCAAATGAAAAATTGGGAGTCCTGCTGACAAAAGGAAAAAAGCAGAAGCCCTCTGGCAGCTGAGCTGCATCCCAAAGCTCCAGTCTGGTGATGCCCACTGCTGCCTCCCACCTCTCAACAGCAGTTTCCAGGATCTCTCTGCACAAAGGTTACAATGGCAGAACTTTGCTGTGCTTGAGATGCTGCGTCTCCTGCCAAAGTGTTGATGGATTCAACGATGACCTCAAAAAGAAAAAGAGGACAAGGAAGTGTAACAGAGAGGCTGTGGTCTGCAAGTCAATCTGAGCCAAAGCGCCAAGTGCCTCTGGCAACAGAACACCTCTTGCGGAGAAGGGCTCTGCAACACATCAGGCGTGGCATGTGCTTCTCCCCTTTCCTTTTATCAGCACATGTCAATAAATGCAGCTGAAGTCTATTCATAGTGAACGCTCCAAGTTCTCTTAGCAAGCTGGTCTCAAAATGGAGCAAGACTGGAGCTTCAAGCTTTAAATAAGCTTTCAGGAGTAGATTTCAATAGCTCAGTTTGAAACTGCAAGCAATCTTCCATCTTGTCCAGTCCTCTGTCTGAAAGCCTGGCAGTCCACCTCTTGCATCAGAGGGCCTCTGCTCCCTACTCCGTTCTGGTGTAGATCTTCTCCTGCTTCCCTTCCTTCATTGCAGCATAGCGGGCAAGAACAAATAAGTAGTCGCTCAGTCTAAGGAACGGGAGAAAAAAGCTGTTGTCCATCTCTGTACAGGATAAGAGCGTGTAATGGGCATGTCTACCCTAAGGGTGGGGCAGCATCTAGGGCTGGAAGGAGGAAGATGTCCCTGCGCATGTAGCCAATCAAAAAGGTAGAGGAATGGATGTGCTCCCCCTCCCCCAACTGGATGTCCTCCAGGTGCTTCAGACTAAAATCTAAGCTAGCCAGTTGGGGAAGGCTGACTTAGGCAGTTGCCAGGTACCAAAGTAAAATCCAGCCCCCGTGAGGCCTGCACTTTCAGTGGAGGAGGCAGGCACTGAACGAGAACCAGCATCTATAGTAATGGGATATGGCAGAAGGCCACGTTTAGCCACGATAATCTGGCTGCTGCATGACCCGCCTCCCAAAACAGGGAGAACAAGAGTCAAACAGGCTGTGAGAAGTTACCTGTGCCTGCTCCATGATGACACTACCTGCCTTAAAAGGGGGCAGAGTATTTGTCCTTTCCAACTGGTTGCAGCAGCTCTCTGCCAGAGAAGGGTCCCTTCCCCATCACCTGCCAACAGCCCCTTTTACCTGAAGATGCCGGGTGAAACTTTGGACCTTCTGCATGTCAAGCCTGCATGGAACTACAGCCCTTCCCAAAACACCTTCCGCATGTGGAGCAGGGAAGCGCTAGCAATTTGGGTATGCCTGCAGGGTGTGCACCTAGAGAAAGGACATCTCTTCCCCACCATCCTCTCTCAAAGACCAGCAGACTCCAGATGTCTCCTTCCGCTGCCCCAAATCTCAGCTTCCATGCTTCCTCCTCTCCACTTCCCAGCTTAAGCACAAAGTGATCCAGGTGGAGCCTTCCAGACGTCATTTGACCACGATTGCCATCACCCCCCATCAGTGGCCATGCTGGCTGAGAATGCTGGGAGCTGGAGTTCAACAACATGGGCAGGGCATCATTTTGGCTACCCCTGCACTAATCTCCCACTCCCTTTCTTCCAAGTTGTTGGAAGAGAAAAGACAAGACTGTTTGGTCTCCGCAGGACAGTCAGCACGGTCCATGTGAGTGCCCCAAGGTAGACCAGTAGTTCCCAAACTGGCATAAAATGACTATCAGACTCTGAAAAGCTGGTACCACTGGATCAAATTCATCAGTTGTGTTGAATTAATTAAACTAAATAGTTTCAACTGGATTTTGAATAAAGGGGCAATTAGTTGTTACTGTTTTGAATCTTAGTGTTATCTTCTTTAGTGGGTTATGCAAACTGCTATTTTGAATAGTGCTTTCTATAGGGTTGGGGGGCACTAGGAACCAAGGGGCACTATGGAACCAAAGGGGCAGGGCTCCCAAAATAGATGCAAAAAGGACTCTCATCCCATCCCCTTGTCTCAGTAGGAGATATCCAGCAAGAAGTACCCAGGGAAGAGCAGCCTTCCCCATCCTGCTCTCCACTAGATCAGCCCCAGAAACCAGCAGGGCCAGTGGCCAGGAAAGGAGGTGCAGAGAAGCCCTTATCTGGTGCCTTGACTGTGTGATCCACTAGAGTCTAGACGCATTGCCCTGCCCCCCCCCCATCCCAGCTTTGTCAAAAGGAACAGTTCCAAGTTACCTGTTCAAAAACTTGGCCACATCTGCATCTGCTTCTCCCATTTTCACCAAAGGAATCACACTGCAGAAGAGAAAAGGAAGACAGTCATCACTACAGCTGATATAATTGGATCCAAAACCACCTTTCATGCCCCCCATTGGCATGAGTAAATTTTGCCTTGTTCTGCCAGATCCTAAGGTGCCAAAAACATTATTTGCTAAATGCACCAAATTCTCTGCTCCAAACCAACTGTGCATTTAAAGGGGGGGGGGAGAGTACCCACAATTAGTTTGCATTGGCCATTAACGGCTCCTGCAGAACTCAGGATCTCTTTTGGCAAACACTTCCTTGTCTTGCTGCACAGTACAAACTCTGATCTGTGCCCTCCCCCAGCATTGCTGGGGAGACCTGTGGTCATTTCCAAACAATTTTCATGCAAGCCTTATAAGGTTGACATGCCAGCGAAGACTAAACAAGAGAGGTTGGCAGCCCAGACAGCTCACTCAGGGCAGCAGGGGGTTCTCATGGCTTTGTCATTGCAGTTGCTCACTTACCACCTCTCGGCTCTGCGGCAGATGGCTCTGGAGAGATGGAGAGCAGTGCTGCTTTTGCCGCCAGACTGAAATGACATTAAACAAAACATCCAGATCTGCCTTATGCCAGGGTCAGGCCCATCCAGCCCCCGTCCATCTGCTCTGACGGATGAGAGCGCCCCGGGGTCCTCAGCAGAGAGCAGTCTTTCCCTGATACTTTTGAGACAGGGCAGGCTGGGGACTGAACCTGATACCTGTGGAGCTGCAAACCCTCGCCTGAAGCAGAAACAGGAGCGTTTGCAGCCAATGCAACCATTTTGGCTACCTTCCCACAGAAGTCAGAAGGAGTGTCTGAAAACATGCCCTAAGGAAAGTGCTGTGAACTAGCTGTTAGTTGTGATTCCTGCACAGCAGGGGGTTGGATTAGATTATCTTTGGGTTCCCCCCAGCTCCACAATTCTATAATTCTGTGTGAGCCTGAGGGGAGCGATTAGCCCAGGGCCTTACAGCAAGCTTGGGATTTAGGTGGCAGTTAAATCAAAGTGGTTTGTGATGGCCCCCAACTTAGACTGCTGTAAAAAGGAGCTACAGAAACTCATGGGTGTCCACAAGTTCTAGCATCATGAGAGAGGGAGGAATCCTTTTCTCTGGTGCAAAGGGGGAGGAATCTTGCTTGGTCTGGCTGCATCAAAGTGTTCCCTGGCACACCCAGGGGCGAGCAGGATCATTCTCCCTTTGCATCAGCTGGTGTGTGTATTGGGGGGCAGGATCCATGCACCCAAACCCAGAACTAAGCAGCCTGATCAATGGCTCAGAGCTTCCCAAAGGCCCCAGCAGTGTGCTTGCCAAGCAGGAACTCTGCACAAGAATCTGGGTGGCTGAGCCACCTGTCACTCACAGCCCTGTGACACTGTTCCTGATGGGAATCTGGCCAGTGGAAACCAAGAGTTGTCTGCCCCCCCACCTTCTATGCTGCAAGGCCTCTGCTTTGTGACCTCCTCACAGACAGAGCACAACGGAACACGCAAAATACCTACGGGTAAAATGAAAGCTGTGAGTGGCGGAAGCTGCTCAGAGTAGTGATCGATCCAGGCCTCCAGCTCCAGAATGGGCTTTTCACTGAACGATGTTCGCTCTGACGAAGAAGAGACACGGCTGAGTGGACCAGCCAACCATGGAGTCACCCCCAAAGCGAAGCCCTGACTTCATTCCCCTGCTTAAGTCGCAGGATAGGGACTGCCAGCACATGATGCATCAACCTTGCTAAAATGAAGGAGGCTTGAGCCTGGGTCTTGGGGCCTGTGTGGGTTCCAGTGCTGAGTCCTGGAATACCTCAAGCACCTCTGAGCATGCACAGAGCATTTCCCCCCAAAATGGTTAAAATGCCATCTTGCATTTTTAAACAGGGTTTAAGTAAGTGGGCAGCCCTAACAAGCAGAAGCACTATGGCCAACTTGTGCATTTGGCAACCTAGCAAGTCAACGTTTATTAGAGACATTTATACTTGGGATATATTCATATGCAATGCTTTTAAGGCATGCATCAAAATCTTTGCAGAAAAAGCATTTCCCCACTAAGAAACCACAATGGAGGCTTGTGTGTTTCTGTTCCAGGGCATGGTCTGAGGGAGCTTGACATGGCTGAAGCTTGGCAGGTCTGGGTCCAGTCAGACCCTTGCCTAGGGCCCTGCCAGGAAGAAAGAAAGGAATGGGGTGTAAATGCAATAAAAAACCCAATTTAAATAAGCCACATAAACAAAGGTTTCATGGTCAGAGTACTTCCTTCAGTTGTCCAGCAAAACTGATCCCCAAAAGCAATGGCAGCAAAACCATTTCAAAAAGGGCAGCAGTTAGCTTATTTTTAAAAATGAAGATCTATACTAGGTTCCAATTACTTAAATGTGACTCCCTGGCTGAGGATATGGGAGTTGCCACGTTGGAGCCGGCATCCTGCAGCGCACACTGGACCTGCGGAAACAAAACAGAGCAAAGGTGTTTGGGATGAGCACTATTTTTTGCACAGATGGCGAGACATTCAGAAAGCAGTTTTAATTGTCGGTCTGGCCCGCCTTCATGTCTCTGAAGGTGCCAAAGAATGGGCAGAGTTCTCTGACCTAAACTGGAAGAGGCTTTGGAACGCCCACCACCACTGGCTCCATCAGGGGTGGGAAACTGTGGTGGTGCTCCTCTGGCAGATGAAGCTGCACTCCAGCTCCTATCAGCCCGGCCAGCATGGCCAATGGGCAGGGATGGTGGAAGGTGGGATCCAGCCACATCTGCAAGAGGACGACAACTGCTGGCTCCCTGCCCTTGCCTTAGCTTACACAAGCAGATGGACAAGAGTTAGGCCAACAGCTCTTAGGCAGAACACCTCCGCACAAGATGCTCAGTGATAGGATATCCCCAATGACCGAATGCTAGCAACTGTTGCCAGCCATCTCAATTTACTGAATTTATCGCTCCCATAGGAAGCACTGATAGCCCCCAACTTGGAGGGCTTTAAGAGAGGATAGGACAAATTTAGGGAGGAGAGGCTATCTGTGCTCTGCCTCTTCATTCAGTGAGACTTCCAAATACCGGCTGTGGGACACCTCAGGCAGGGAGGGGCAGGAGAGCACTTGTGCTTGGATCCTGCTTGAGAGTTTCCTACAAGCGACTGGTTGGCAACTGTGAGAACAGGATGCTGGCTGAGATGGGCCATTGGCAGGGCTCTTCTTCAATAAAAATCTACTAGCAGAGTAGCAAATATATAAATTAAGCAACACACAGTAACAATACAACAACAACAACTTACAGTCATCTCTTGGGTTAAATACACTTCGAGTTGAGCGCGTTCAAGCTGTGCTCCTCAGCAACCCGGAAGTAACGGAGCGCGTTACTTCCGGGTTTCGCCACTTGCGCATGCACAGATGCTCAAAATGACGTCACGCGCATGCGCAGAAGCGGCGGAAAGCGACGCAGGCGTGCGCAGGCGTGCCGTCGCTAGTTACGTTTACCTCTAGATGCGAAAGGGGCTCCGGAACGGATCCCGTTCGTATCTAGAGGTACCACTGTATTATTTATACCCCGCCCATACTGTAAATAAAAAGAACATGAATGAAAAGTCTTAAAGTTTCTCTTGCTGTCTCCTCTTAGCCCAAGAGTTGGACAAGAGGGTCCTTTGGTCTGATCCAGGAAGGCAGTCCTTGTATGCGGATGCTGTCAGTGACGGGGATACAGCTATTTCTTACCTGGTGAAGTTCCTGCACAAACGAGTGACCTCCTTCACTGCCAAATTCAGCACTTAGCCTGCAGCAAAATAGGAGAGATTTTACCCTGAGATATAGGCAACTGATGCTGTTCGTATGAGAGATTTACGTCTTGTGGAGGCACTACAAACAAGCCTGAAACCAGTTGAATTGTCAAGTTCCCCCAAAGAACTATTGTGATGTGAGAGCAAGAACATTTCTTCATGAGAGGTGTATGGACTTCTCATGTTCAGGCAGACAGGAAATTGGTTCAGGGCAGACACAATCTGTTCCTGGCTCTTCATATGAGATGAGACCTGCAGGATTAGACCAGAACATCTGGCCTAGCATTGCTTGCCCTTAAGTGGCCAACCAAATGCTTCCAAGAAGCACAGAAGCAGAACAGGAAGGCAACAGCCACTCCCATTATTGCTCTCCAGCATGTGGAATTACTGAGGAAGACTGCCTCCCAACTTGAAGGTTCCATAGTGCCATCCTTGCCTAGCAGCCACTGAAAAAGACCCCCCCCAAAAAAAATGTCCAATGTGGGGGTGAGGGAACATCTCTGACCCTCCAGATGTGGTTGAACTGCAACTCTCCACAGCTGGAATCCAACATCTAGAAAACTACCACAGATTCCCTCTGGGAAAGCTCATTCCAGAGATGATTTTTTTTGGGGGGGGGGGTTGGAATAACCTCCTCCAACATCTGGCAAAAGACTGCAGCACTCTTGCAGGGCGAGATGATGTCCCCTGGAGCCATGAGCTTCAGCCTGTGGGCAGGGCAGCAGGGCCAGGCACAGCCTGCTCCTCTGACATCACCAAGGCAGGACACAAATGGCGAGTCATGGCTGTGGGCAGCTGTAACAGAGCGAGGCCTCTACTCCAGTTCCAACGGGCTCCTGTCACTCCCCTCTCCACCCTGGACCATGCTGCCTGGCAGGTTTCACTTCACTTAATAAAAGGTTTTGAAACTGCTCTTTGTTAATCAGGTAACAGGGTGGGGCTCAGAATAAGGTTATGCCAGGGAATAAGGTTGTGCAAGGAAATATGCCGCCTGCTGCCAAGCAGCAAGAACAGCTGCTGGGGAAAATGAGAGGCTTTCCTTGCTTCCCATGACAGAACTGCTTTCTTTCATATCAAATTACCACTATTAAATTTTTTTATTACCCACCTTTCACCAGCAAGTCCCAGGGTGAAATTCAACAATTTAAAAATTCAGAGTTAAAAAGGTTAAAGCTTATTAATGTCACAGTAATTGGGTGGGTCCTAAAAACCATGTCTCAGGTGCCAAAGGTCCAAAGCCATAAAGTGAAGGTGCCAGACGCACCTGTGGGGAGGGAACAGCGGAGGGGCTGCCCGAGAAGGCCCTCTCCTCCTGGGCCACCACCCACATCCCAAGTGCCTGTTGATCTTAATATACGGAAGGGTTCTGAAAGGAGGGGGTCTTTCAGGAATCTGGGGCCCGAGTTGTTTAGGGCTTTGAACACAAAGGTGATCACTTTGAATCAGACCCAGAAACAAAGTGGCAGTCTATTATTCTCTGAAACATTCTTATAAATTGAAGAAATAATTTACAGTCTTTTGGTTACCCTATGGCTGAACTCAGTTCATCGAGTGTTCCCAAGGCATCAAAGATCTGGTCATCTTTTGCTCTCCTCTCTCCAGTGAATGTGCTGGAAAACCCTTTTGAAAACCATGCAAGATGATAACAGTGAGAAAAATATGAAGCGGCTCACACCCAAGAGCCCAAAGCCCTGTTCACACGTGCATGTGCAATGATTGATTTCTGTAGCCCCAATGACTGGCAGCTGAATGTGGCAACTGACTCCAATGAAAGACCACGGAATTTCTCTGCAGTGACTCATTCGCCCAGGCAAGGAATCACTTGGGACAGTAGGCTTCACAGTATTTGCACTAATACAGTAAAGGTAAAGGGACCCCTGACTATTAGGTCCAGTCGTGACCGACTCTGGGGTTGCGGCACTCTTCTCGCTTTACTGGCCAAGGGAGCCGGTGTACAGCTTCTGGGTCATGTGGCCAGCAGGACTAAGCCGCTTCTGGCGAACCAGAGCAGAGCAGTGCACGGAAACGCCGTTTACCTTCCCGCCAGAGTGGTACCTATTTATCTACTTGCACTTTGACGTGCTTTCAAACTGCTAGGTTGGCAGGAGCAGGGACCGAGCAACGGGAGCTCACCCTGTCGTGGGGATTCGAACTGCCGACCTTCTGATTGGCAAGCCCTAGGCTCTGTGGTTTAACCCACAGCACCACCCGCGTCCCTTACTAATACAGTATCCCCACTCAAATGTATTATTATTATTATTAAAAAAGAATCTGAGCAAAGCATCTCATATTTTACAATCTCTTGTGTTTTCTTTTGTTAACATGTCACAGGTACATTATAAAATATTTTCCATTTGTTTCTGTGTGTAGATATATATTTGAAGCAGCCGATTCCAGCAGTCATTCTAAGGGTGTCAAAAATGCCCCTTGTGGCACCATGGTGCTCTCATGGGCCAAGGATTAGCCGGGTGGATCGGAGACCTGCCTCCGCTGGCAGGATGCTGCTACCTTGGTCTCCTGTTTTCGTGTATAACTTGGGGATTTGGGTTGTTTTCCTGGGCTTGGCATCCATGCTGCAGAGGAAGAGGAGAGGGAAACGGTCCTTTACATTCATTCCCTTTGCATATTCACATGAACTATTTAGTGAACAAAAATTAAGACACAACACATGATGCAATCGACTTTCAAATGAGGATCAATGCAACGTCCACCACGAGCGCGCCCGGACTCGCTTCGGTTTGCGGGAGACGCCGCCTCCTCCTCGGACGCCTTTTGAAAGCCAACCCTTAAGGTTTCTGGTTTTAGAAGTAACGGAGGCGCCTCCCCGAATCAGGCTTTTCTTCGCGCGCCTCGCCCCCCCCCCCCCCGCTTCCACGGCGCTTCCTCCCGGCTAAGCAAGGAAACGGGCCGCTTCACACGTGACGCTGCAACCCGTGCAAACGGGGCTCCGGCCGGGCCCGGGGAGGGCGGCTCACCTGGGCGCCTCTCCGGCCCCGCTCCGCTCCCGGCCCAGGCGCCTCGCGCTCCCGCCCCGGGGCCAGGCCGCCGCCGCCCGGCGCAGAGCGCGCCCGCAGCAGAGCAGGGCCGCCATGGCGCCGCCGCCGCCGCCTCGCGGTCCTCCCCCGCTCCCGATTGGCCGGGCGGCGCCCAGACCCGCCCCCCGGAGGACGAGGGCGGGGCCAAGCCGCCGCGGCGCTGCCGGGATTGGGGCTGCTCGGGAGGCGCTGCGGGGCTGCGGGGCCCGGCCGGGAGGAGATGCGGCGCCGGGTGGTCTCGGCTCCGGGGAAGGTGATCCTGCACGGGGAGCACGCCGTCGTCCACGGCAAGGTGAGCGGGGGGGGGGCGGATCGGGGCCTCGCCTCAGGCCGAGCCGCCGAGCGGGCCGGGGCGAGGCGGACAAGGCGGCGGGAGGAGCGCGCCTCCGAGGGCTGCCCCAAGGGAGACCTCGCCCGCCTGCACCGCCTTCGGGGTCTTTCTCTTATCCCCTTGGGCCCGCTTTCCCGCCTGCTCTTGCGCTGTCTTCGCGGCGCTCTTTTCCAGGTCTGCTCAAAACCCTGCCCGGATATGCAGAATGTTGGTGTGTGTCTTCACTTATCATTGATTTTAACTATTTTTGAATGTTTTAAATAGTTGTTTTAAACTGTTTTTACTGATGATAATTCTATTTCTCGTTCCTTTTATAAACTGCTTTGTTTATTTTTATTTTTTACAAACAAGTGGTATGTAAATTTTATGAAATAAATAAAAAGTAAGCAATGGCTATATTGCAAAGCCTAATTTGGCTTGGGACCTCAGCTAGCTGCCGGGACTCCAAAGTCTTCATCCGAGGCTCTGCTCAAGTGCCCCCTTCAAGAGGGAGTTTCAGGGGGGGCGACAAGGGGGAAGCGGTTGCAGTCGCCCATTTCTGCTGCACCCGCCCAAGCAAGCTCTGCTGGCACTGACTCTCCTACCTTTTTGGCAGCAGGTTAAGACTTCCTCTATTCCCAGGCATTTGGTGGGCTATTGATTTTTGCCATTTTTGCAACCGGCCCTTTGTGTTGTTGATTTTTCAGGGCTTTATGTGAGGGTTTAAGTATTGGACAGTCTTAAGTTTTATTTTGTGTGTGTTTTTATACTACTTATAAATTCTGAAACAGCATTGTAGGAGGCATTTTAATATAACAAATAATACAAACAGTGCACAGAATAAAAGCAATCCCAGAGGAGTGATGTATAAAAACAGCATAACATGATTGGCTGGGGATGAATTCAGATTTAGGTTGCCCATCAAAACCCCATCCACTAGAGAGGAAGCCCCATTGAATTAAATAGGATTTACTTCTGAGAAGATGTAGTTAGGATTGCCCAACAGAAAACCTGAAAAACAAGAAGGCCTTTGCCCAGTGCTGAAAAGACATGGAAGGAGGTGTGAGCCAAGTCTCTTCAGGGAATATGTCGCATGATGTGAGGCACTCCACAAACAGGCTCAGATGAAGATCTTCAACTCCATTTCCCAACATGTTATGATGATTGATAATTATTATTTAATGAATGTCTACCCCGCCCTTCCTCCCCAAGGAGTCCAGGGCGGCAAACAGGTACACAATTTAAAAACAAAAAGCAGAAACATTCTAAAAATATATTTTTAAAATTACAATAAAGAATGCCTAAAAGCAGTTACAGTTTATTTATTTCATAACATTTACATGCCATTTGCTTATTAAAAGAAAAAATCTCAAACCAGTTAAAATCAGAATTGTAGAGTTGGAAGGGATCCCTAAGGGTCATCTAGTCCAAGCCCCTGCAATGCAGGAATCTTGACTAAAGCATCCATGACAGATGGCCAGCCAACCCCTGTTTAAAAACCTCCAAGGAAGGAGAGTCCAGCAGACGTCTGGTGGAGCGCGATTCTGCCGCAAACGGGGATTTCTCTGAGAGAGGATCCCGTGCTATTTCGGAGAGAAAAGGGCGCTACAGGGTGCAGTAGCCCCTTAAAAAACCTCTGGTGGGTGTCCAGAGTGTCAGGTTCCCAGCGGTGCCAGAAGCTATCTGCCCGGCCGTCAGGTAACTCCAAAAAGGAGCGAAGAGAACGGCGGAGCGGGATAGCGGGCTAAGGGAAGCCATTATCTAGCTCTGAATAGCGAAGCCCCGAGCTTGCAAGTAAAGCGCTTCGCTCTCAAATTCAAGAAATTCGGCTCCAAATTAATACAAGCGGAAAGATTTTGTCTTAAGAAAGGATCTGAAAGACAGAAAGATAACTGCGGAGTTCAGCTGTCATCTGGAATCAGCTCAGACGCAGCGCTACGCGCAGAGCGGCAAAATCGAAAGTGAGTTGCCGCTAGCGGCTATTGTTTCTTTCTCTCTATCAACTTTTCTAAAGTAACTCTTCAAGAAGTTACAAAGTACTAAATGGTTATCAAGTTTAAGAGGGAACAGAAAGCTAATAGGTGAAAATAGAGGTTTTCGATGTAACGGAGGAGAAAATAGAGGGAAAATGCTTTTCTACTTTCATTTTTAAAGAACAAAGAACTGCAGACGGAAGTGGAGTTCGACTCCATTGTAAAACTTTAAAAGAACATAGTTGGGACAGAGATCATAGAATCATAGAGTTGGAAGAGACCACAAGGGCCATCGAGTCCAACCCCCTGCCAAGCAGGAAACACCATCAGAGCACTCCTGACATATGGTTGTCAAGCCTCTGCTTAAAGACCGCCAAAGAAGGAGACTCCACCACACTCCTTGGCAGCAAATTCCACTGTCAAACAGCTCTTACTGTCAGGAAGTTCTTCCTAATGTTTAGGTGGAATCTTCTTTCTTGTAGTTTGGATCCATTGCTCCGTGTCCGCTTCTCTGGAGCAGCAGAAAACAACCTTTCTCCCTCCTCTATGTGACATCCTTTTATATATTTGAACATGGCTATCATATCACCCCTTAACCTCCTCTTCTCCAGGCTAAACATGCCCAGCTCCCTTAGCCGTTCCTCATAAGGCATCGTTTCCAGGCCTTTGACCATTTTGGTTGCCCTCCTCTGGACACGTTCCAGTTTGTCAGTGTCCTTCTTGAACTGTGGTGCCCAGAACTGGACACAGTACTCCAGGTGAGGTCTGACCAGAGCAGAATACAGTGGCACTATTACTTCCCTTGATCTACATGCTATACTCCTATTGATGCAGCCCAGAATTGCATTGGCTTTTTAGCTGCCGCGTCACACTGTTGGCTCATGTCAAGTTTGTGGTCAACCAAGACTCCTAGATCCTTTTCACATGTACTGCTCTCAAGCCAGGTGTCCCCCATCTTGTATTTGTGCCTCTCATTTTTTTTGCCCAAGTGCAATACTTTACAGTTCTCCCTGTTAAAATTCATCTTGTTTGTTTTGGCCCAGTTCTCTAATCTGTCAAGGTCGTTTTGAAGTGTGATCCTGTCCTCTGGGGTGTTAGCCACCCCTCCCAATTTGGTGTCATCTGCAAATTTGATCAGGATGCCCTTGAGTCCATCATCCAAGTCGTTGATAAAGATGTTGAATAAGACCGGGCCCAAGACAGAACCCTGTGGCACCCCACTAGTCACTCTTCTCCAGGATGAAGAGGAACCATTGATGAGCACCCTTTGGGTTCGGTCAGTCAGCCAGTTACAAATCCAGATCAAATATCTTTCGAGACCGGCTTTTTTTCTTACTTGATTTTTGTGGGTCTTTAACTGCAAAAAGGAAGATTGACAACCCAGCCACCCAAGGTCGTATTATAAATATTTTTAAGTAATTGGGACTTTATTTACTATGCCACGTTAAACTGGATTTAGGACCTCTAGTGGACGGAATGAGATAGAACAACTTGTTTTTCTTGCCTCTCTTCTGTTGTCATATTAGTGGATGGGACTTTATATGGAAAAAACTACGCTTCTTCCTCTTTTTTCTGTTATTTAGTGAACTTTCCTCTGGGAATTTTTACAGGAGTTTGGATATAATTTTTGAAAAATGGACTAAATAGTGTTCTAATCTTCGAATCCTCTCTTCTATGGAACTGTGATTTTTTGCATATTTCCATTTTCTGGATTAATTTTGATTTTAAGTTCCTACCTCTGGTTGAATGCCTGTGGAGTATTTGGATTAATTTTGGTTTTGGTTTTGATTTTTTGGAATAGGTTTGAAAGCTTTTGCTTTTTAATTTTTAACTTTGGGTGGTAGAATTGGAATATCAAATTTGGAATACTAGACTTGGTTATCAAGAAGCAAGCCTTATTGGAGGATTAGCCTAATTGGTGGCAGAAGATTGGTCAACTTTGGTCTTTGCTTCAATCCTATTTCTCATTAACTCTTCATTTGTTTTAATACGTCACCAATGGTTCTATTATTGATTTCTAATTAACCGATAATACGATTCTTAGAAAACACTGTATTATACATTATAAATTACAAGTTTGAAATTGGTTAAAATTTTAGAAAAAGTAGAAAATTAGAAAAGTAGATTTGATATTTATTTAAATTCAGGCTATTGTTGTATTAGGAGGTATTTGGGGACAGTTGTTTGATTTATTTACTTTGCGATATCGGGGGCCTAAAAAGTGGGTGTGGGGAAAATTTCTGTTTGATACCCATTTTTTTAAGATGTCATTCCCGCCGAAGAAAGGGGTTGATGGGGGGACGCCAACAGAAAGGAAAGGCTCTAAACAAGAATCGGACTTTAAGGCAGAAATTTTGAGAATGTTTGCAGAATTTAAACAAAGTGAAAAGAATTTAGAATCAAAATTAGAACAAGTTGACAATAAGATTGGGAAAATGGATAAAAAAATTGATGAAACAGTTAATGAACTGAAAGGACAAATAAAAGACGTAACTAAGAGGACACAATCTTTAGAGGAAGGACTGAAGAAGACAAAATTGGAAATGAAAGAAGTCAGACGAGAGGAAGAGAAGATTAAAGTGGAGATGTAGGAATTAAATAGATCACAAGAGGAAATCAAAGATTTGATTGCTATGAATGAATTGAGACAGAGGGAAGTCAATCTGAGATTTAGATCTGTGCCGGAGACACAAGGTGAAAATATCAGAGAGAAATTAATAACGGAAATTGCACAATGGATGGAGGTTCCAATTGAAGATGTTGCAAAAACAGTACAAAGTGCATTCAGAATGAGAGTAAGAACACCTAAAGCAAGAAAATTTCCTGGAGACTGCCTAATCACCTTCAAAGACAGAGAAATGAGGAATTTGATACTACTAAAGAATAGAGAGAAGAGACTTAATATAGATGGGGATTACATAATTACTTTTAAAGACATCCCAATTAGACTGTTGAAACGAAGAGACCCATATAAACCATTGGTACAGAATTTGAAGAAAAATAAAATTGAACTCAGATGGGAATTTCCAGAAGGAATCTCTTTTGCCTATAGAGGGAAAAGGCACAGATTGACGAATCCAGAAGATACAGGAAAATTTCTGAGGAAGTATAAGGAACTAAGAACAGAAGAGGAAGAAGCTAAAGGCGCAGAAGGAGGATTGGAATTGGAGGAAGAAGAAGAAGGGAACGGAAAGAAGACAGAAGAGGAAGAAGAAGAAGAGGTAGAAGAAGTAGATAGGTTATAGGAAAGTTAAACAAATTTACGGTATTTTTCACTCTATAAGACGCACCAGACCACAAGACGCACCTAGTTTTTGGAGGAGTAAAACAAGAAAAAAATTATTCTGAATCTCAGAAGCCAGAACAGCAAGAGGGATCACCGCACAGTGAAAGCAGCAATCCCTCTTGCTGTTCTGGCTTCTGGGATAGCTGCGCAGCCTGCATTTGCTCCATAAGACACACACACATTTCCCCTTACTTTTTAGGAGGGAAAAAGTGAGTCTTATAGAGCAAAAGATACAGTATTTAATTAGAAACCATCATGGCGCTAAAGTTATGGAATTGGAATATTAATGGGATGAACGAGGAAAAAAAACAGAATAAAATTGAACAATTGAAAATTGAAAATTGAACAGAAAAATCTGGACATCATATGTTTACAAGAAACACACGTGGCAAGAAAGCACAGAAAAATTCTGATTAACAAAAGATTAGGAAATGAATTTATATCTTCGGATAAAGAGAAAAAAAGAGGGGTTGTTTTATATATTAAAAATAAAATTGAATCGCAACAAATCTTTAAAGATGAAGAAGGAAGAATTATAGCAGTCCGGATCAAATGGCAAGGGGAAAATTTGATAATTGTCGGGATTACGCACCTAATGGAAACAAGACTGACTTCTACAAAACTTTGGAAGAAAAACTGTTTGAATTTATGGATCAGAAAATTATAATAATGGGAGATATGAATGGGGTAGTCTCACTGGAAATGGACAGATTAAGAGATGGAACATCTAAAGAAGGAAAACTACCTAAGTCTTTCTTTTCAATGATTAAGAACTGTAACTTGATCGATATTTGGAGACTTAGACATCCATTGGAGAAACAATTCACATATTTTTCTGAACCGAATCAATCAATGTCAAGAATAGATCAAATATGGGTCTCGAACGAACTGACTCCAAGAATCCTACAAGTTGAAATACAATCTAAAGTAATTTCAGATCACAATCCAATAAAAATGGAACTAAAAGGCTTTGAAGAAAGAACATTCACATGGAAAATTAATGAACATCTTCTGGACGACCAGAAAATCGTAGGAAAAGCACAAAAGAAACTAACTGAATACTTTGTTGATAACTGTAATAAGGGTACAAAGATGAGTGTAGTATGGGACGCAAGCAAGGCTGTGATGCGTGGCTTTTTTATCCAGCAGAATTCATTGAAGAATAAAAACAGAGAAAAAGGGAAAAAGGAAATTTTAAAGCAGATAATGGACAATGAACAAAAGCTAATTAGAAAGCCAAATAACTCTAAAATAAAACAAGAAATCAAGACTTTGCAATCACAATTTGCAATGATAATAAACAAGGAAGTGGAATGGAATATTAAAAAGTTAAGACAGAGAAACTTTGAGTTTGCTAACAAATCAGGCAAATGGCTTGCGTGGCAAATCAAAAAAAGAAAGGAGCAGAATACAATCAATAGAATCACTGTGAATGGCGAAGAGACAGAAAATCCGAAAGAAATTAGAAAAGGATTCTTGGACTTTTACAGACAGTTATATAAAAACAAAGAAAGGAATAACATGAGGAAAATTGAGAGATTTTTAAAAGGGAAAAAGCTGCAAAAGATCCCGGCAGACAAAAAAGACCAACTGAATGCCCTAATAGAAACGGATGAGATTAAAGAGGTTATAAAGGAATTGAAGAGGGAAAAGGCCCCAGGACCAGATGGATTTACATCAGGTTATTAGAAAGAGCTAAAAGATGTTCTGATGATACCCTTAAAAGAAGTTATGAACAATATTCTAAAGGAAAGAGACATCCCGGAAACATGGAAAGAAGCATTTATTACACTTATCCCAAAACAAGATTCAGATTTAAACCAAGTTAATAACTATAGGCCTATTTCATTGTTGAATACAGACTACAAATTTTTTGCAGGGATTCTAGCAAGAAGAATGAAAAAGATATTATTAGAAACTATTCATAAGGATCAAGCAGGTTTCCTTCCAGGCAGACAGATGAAGGATAATGCAAGGAATATAATTAATATTTTGGAATATCTGACTGCCAGGAATGAGAAACAAGCTATACTTATGTTTGTGGACGCAGAAAAGACCTTTGATAACATAGCATGGGACTGTTGAGGCAGGTGATTAGCTATGGGAGGAGTTTATCAGAGCTTGCAGGGCAGCAGTTGAAGGAGGAGCAAAAAGGGTTTTCTTGTGTGTGTGTGTGTGTTTCTTTGTGGCTGATTAGCTGCTCTCCCTGTGCAAAGGTCAGAGGGGGCAGGGTTTCTGTTGAGGCAGGTGATTAGCTGTGGGAGGAGCTTATCAGAGCTTGCAGGGCAGTGGCGCGCGCAGTTTGATCCATCTTTTAGATTTAGGGGAGCTAGTCTCAAACGTTTGTTGGGGGAGATCTAGGTTTTTTTGGGGGGGAGTTATTTGTCCTGTCTTCACGCTTTTTATGATGGAGGACCGTTGTAGCCACCCCCAACGACACGTTCTCAAGATGAAGGGGGAGGGAACAGCTGCAGTCGCCTGCGGTTCCTGCGCAATGTTTGCCATCTTGCCAAAGGTTGCAGGCAGCTTTACCTACAGCAATTGCATGTTGATTGCCCTCTTAGAAGACAAAGTCCAGCAACTGGAGGAACGTGTAGCTACGCTCCAAAGAATTAGAGAGCTGGAGCTCTTCTTGGAAGCAACAGAGCACACCGTCTGCACCATGGAGGAGACAGGGGACTCCCCTGAGAAGGAGGCTAGTTCACCAACACAGGAGCCAGATATATGGAGAAACGTGACTCAAAGAAGTAGGAGGCCCAGGGTTCGCTCTGATTGTTTAGAAATACACAATCGCTTTGAGGTCCTCTCCCTAGCATGGAAGACGAAGAGCAGACTCCATTTGAGGATCTCTCCTCATTACAGTCGATCAGGTATATGAAGACGAGCAGCAAAGTCAGTCCTCAGGGAATGTGCAGGCGACCTTGGAACGGACAGCTCACGGAAGAACCCCGACCAAACCTAAGAGGAGGCGTGTAGTGGTGATAGGGGATTCCCTACTGAGGGGAACAGAAGCAGTGATCTGTGGTCCTGACAAGATGTCTCGGGAAGTGTGCTGTCTCCCGGGCTAAGATCCAAGATGTAACTGAACGACTGCAAGGAATCATAAAACCCACTGACAAATACCCCTTCCTCTTGGTTCATGTGGGAACCAATGACACTGCAAGCAATAGCCTCCAGAAGATCAAAAGAGACTACGAGGCTCTGGGCAGGAAATTGAAGCAATTAAATGCACAAATTGTCATCTCATCCGTCCTCCCAGTTGAACGACGTGGCCCAGGGAGAGAGGGAAAATAGTGGAAGTGAACAGCTGGCTTCGCAAATGGTGTAAACAGGAACGGTTTGGATTCTTAGATCACGGACTGCAGTTTCTTGAAGATGGACTTCTGGCAAGCGATGGGCTGCACCTCACAACGGTTGGGAGGAATGTTTTTGCCAAAAATCTCAGAAACCTCATCAGGAGGGCTTTAAACTGACTAATGTGGGGGAGGGAGACAGTGCTCCTGAAGGTAGGAGTCTATCAATTGATGAAGATGATCATCCAAATGTCATAGACCAAATGGAGCAAACAGCACGCAGATCTAGTGGTGGGAGGAAAAAATCCTTAAATAAGAGACACGGGGGAATGATTAATGGACTTCAATGTCTGTACACTAATGCGCAAAGCATGGGAAATAAACAAGATGAGCTTGAGCTCTTGGTACAGCAAACTAAATATGACATAATAGGCATCACTGAAACCTGGTGGGATAAGTCCCACGATTGGAATGTTAATAATGGAGGGATACTATCTATTTCAGAGAAACATACCAGACAAGAAAGGAGGAGGAGTGGCGTTATATGTCAGGGATGTGTATACCTGTGAAGAGATCCAAGATTTAGAACCTCAAAGCCAAAGTGAGAGCATTTGGGTCAAAATTAAGGGAGAGAAGAATAACAGTGACCTCATTGTGGGAGTTTACTATAGATCCCCAAGCCAAACGGAGGACATAGATGATGCCTTCCTGGAACAGATGGCCAAGCATGCAAAAAGAAGGGAGATAGTAGTAATGGGGACTTCAATTACCCGGATATTTGTTGGATGTCAAACTCAGCCAAGAGCATAAGGTCAAACAGATTCCTCACTGGCCTTGCAGACAACTTCATTGTCCAGAAAGTGGGAGAAGCAACAAGAGGAACAGCCATTTTAGATCTGGTCCTAACCAATGTTGATGACCTGGTTAGTGGGGTAGAAGTGGAAGGATCATTAGGCGCGAGTGATCATGCTCTTCTGAAGTTTACTATACAGCGGAAAGGAGCAGCCAAGCATACTAGGACTCAATTTCTTGACTTTAAGAAAGCCGACTTCATAAAACTTAGGGAAGTGCTGGGCAGTCCCATGGACAGTAATACTAAAAGGAAAGGGAGTTCATGATGGCTGGGAGTTTGTTAAGAGGGAGATAGTAAAAGCACAACTTCAGGCAATACCAATGAGACGGAAACATGGAAGGTACCTAAAGAAGCCAGGGTGGCTATCTAAAGAACTTTTAACTGAGTTAAGATTAAAAAAGGATGTGTACAAAAAATGGAAAAGGGGGGAAACTACCAAAGAGGAATTCAAACAAATAGCCAGCACGTGTAGACACAAAGTCAGAAAAGCTAAAGCACAGAATGAACTCAGGCTTGCTAGAGAGGTTAAAAGCAAAAAGTCAGAAAAGCTAAAGCACAGAATGAACTCAGGCTTGCTAGAAAGGCTTTTATGGGTATGTTTGTAGCAAAAGGAAGAACAAAGAAACAGTGGGGTCACTCAGAGGAGAAGATGGTGAAATGCAAACAGGGGACACGGAAAGGGCTGAACTCCTCAATGCCTTCTTTGCCTCAGTCTTCTCCGATAAAGAAAACAATGCCCGACCTGAAGAATTTGAAGCAAATGATTCAGCAAAGGAAACACAGCCCAGAATAACTAAGGAGATAGTACAAGAATACTTGTACTAGTTTAGATGTATTCAAGTCTCCAGGGCCAGATGAACTGCATCCAAGAGTATTAAAAGAACTGGCAGATGTGATCTCAGAACCACTGGCAGTCATCTTTGAGAATTCCTGGAGAACAGGCGAAGTCCCGGCAGACTGGAGGAGGGCAAATGTTGTCCCTATTTTCAAAAAGGGGAAAAGAGAGGACCCAAATAATTACCGCCCAGTCAGTCTGACATCAATACCAGGGAAGATTCTGCAGCAGATCATTAAGCAAACAGTCTGTGAGCACCTAGAAAGGAATGCTGTGATCACCAATAGTCAGCATGGATTTCTGAAAAATAAGTCATGTCAGACTAACCTGATCTCGTTTTTTTGACACAATTACAAGCCTGGTAGATGAAGGGAACACAGTGGATGTAGCCTACCTTGATTTCAGCAAGGCATTTGACAAGGTGCCCCATGATATTCTTGTAAAGAAGCTGGTAAAATGCGGTCTTGACTATGCTACCACTCAGTGGATTTGTAACTGGCTGACTGACCGAACCCAAAGGGTGCTCATCAATGGTTCCTCTTCATCCTGGAGAAGAGTGACTAGTGGGGTGCCACAGGGTTCTGTCTTGGGCCCGGTCTTATTCAACATCTTTATCAACGACTTGGATGATGGACTCAAAGGCATCCTGATCAAATTTGCAGATGACACCAAACTGGGAGGGTGGCTAACACCCCAGAGGACAGGATCACACTTCAAAACGACCTTGACAGATTAGAGAACTGGGCCAAAACAAACAAGATGAATTTTAACAGGGAGAAATGTAAAGTATTGCACTTGGGCAAAAAAAATGAGAGGCACAAATACAAGATGGGTGACACCTGGCTTGAGAGCAGTACATGTGAAAAGGATCTAGGAGTCTTGGTTGACCACAAACTTGACATGAGCCAACAGTGTGACGCGGCAGCTAAAAAAGCCAATGCAATTCTGGGCTGCATCAATAGGAGTATAGCATGTAGATCAAGGGAAGTAATAGTGCCACTGTATTCTGCTCTGGTCAGACCTCACCTGGAGTACTGTGTCCAGTTCTGGGCACCACAGTTCAAGAAGGACACTGACAAACTGGAACGTGTCTACAGGAGGGCAACCAAAATGGTCAAAGGCCTGGAAACGATGCCTTATGAGGAACGGCTAAGGGAGCTGGGCATGTTTAGCCTGGAGAAGAGGAGGTTAAGGGGTGATATGATAGCCATGTTCAAATATATAAAAGGATGTCACATGGAGGAAGGAGAAAGGTTGTTTTCTGCTGCTCCAGAGAAGCGGACACGGAGCAATGGATCCAAACTATAAGAAAGAAGATTCCACCTAAACATTAGGAAGAACTTCCTGACAGTAAGAGCTGTTCGACAGTGGAATTTGCTGCCAAGGAGTGTGGTGGAGTCTCCTTCTTTGGAGGTCTTTAAGCAGAGGCTTGACAACCATATGTCAGGAGTGCTCTGATGGTGTTTCCTGCTTGGCAGGGGGTTGGACTCGATGGCCCTTGTGGTCTCTTCCAGCTCTATGATTCTATGATTCTATGATTTATGTTGAAAAATCTGGAGTGTATGGAAGTGGGAAAAGAGTTTTTTAATGGGATAAAGGCAATATATACAGAACAGATTCTGTTCTGTATATAGCTAAGTTGATTGTAAATAATGTGACTACGGAAGATATTAAAATATCTAAAGGAACTAGGCAGGGATGTCCGCTTTCGCCATTGCTGTTTATAACGGTCTTGGAGGTCTTTCTTAATGCGATCAGACAAAATAAATTAATAAAAGGGATAACAGAATGAATATAAAGTTAAAGCCTTTGCAGACGATCTGGTAATAACGATTGAAGAACCAATAGAAAGTGCAAAAGAAGTATTAGAGGAGATTGAACAATTTGGGAAGGTGGCAGGGTTCAAATTAAATAAGAAGAAAACTAAAATAATTGCAAAAAATATGAAGCAAAGTATGATAGAAATAATGCAACAACAAACAGAGATAGAGGTGGTGAAAAAGGTAAAATATTTAGGAATTTGGTTAACTCCTAAAAATATTGATTTGTTTCAGAACAATTACATACCAGTTTGGAACGGAATAAGGAAAGATCTGGAGGTGTGGGGTAGAATGAAACTATCTTTTTGGGGTAGAATTTCTACGATAAAGATGAGCGTTCTTTCAAAGATGTTATTTTTATTTCAGACTATCCCCATAATAAAGGGGGTAATGATTTTTAAAGAGTGGCAAAGAACGATTTCAAGGTATATCTGGCAGGGCTAAAAGCCGAGAATTAAATTTCAGCTATTAACAGATAAGAAGGAAAGAGGAGGCTTTGCCCTGCCAGACTTGAAGTTATATTACGAAGCAGCATGTCTTTGCTGGTTGAAAGAATGGATAAAACTAGAAAATAAAGAATTACTTGACTTAGAAGGTTTTGATAACAGATTTGTACTTATGTTTTGGGAAGAAGAAAATTCATAAAGGCTTTGGGAACCACATCTTCCGGAGTGCGTTAATAGAAATATGGGATAGGTATAAAAACCTATTAGAACCAAGAGTTCCACACTGGTTATCTCCGTTAGAAGTTATGAGTGTAAAGAAAATTAATATGAGAGGTAAATGGATTACATATGGTGAATTGATAATTAAAGAAGGAGGAAAATGGAAATTAAAACCATATGGTTTTATATGCAACCAATCATAAACATAAACTTTAACTAATTCATATGAAGAGTATGTTTATGATTGGTTGCATTATTTTCAGGTTAATGAAATGTTTTAAAAAGATTTTAAAGAATGTGGTTATGCAGAAAAAGTTTCAAATCGATATAATAAACAACGATTGTAAAATTCTGTCTTAAATGTATAAGATATTGTTGGAATGGCATATGAAAGATGAAGAAGTTAAGTCGGTATTGATACAATGGGCCAGGGACTTCGGTTATAATATACAATTTGATGATTGGGAAAAACTATGGAAAGAAAACTTAAAATTTACTGCATGTATGGCATTAAAGGAAAACGTGTTGAAAATGTTTTATAGATGGTATATAACACCAGTAAAATTGGCAAAAACGTTTAAGACGTCTAATAAGTGTTGGAAATGCAAAGAAAAAGAAGGAACGTTTTATCATATGTGGTAGGATTGTAAGAAAGTCAAAAGTTTCTGGGAGATGATATATAATGAGTTGAAAAAGATGTTAAAATACACATTTGTAAAGAAACCAGAGGCTTTTCTTTTAGGGATTACAGGAAACGAGATAAGAAGAAAAGACTGTAAACTCTTTCAACATGCAGTTACAGCTGCAAGGATTTTACTGGCCCAGAAATGGAAACCAGAGGAAATACCGACGATTGAAGATTGGAGAGTGAAACTGACAGACTATGCAGAATTGGATAAGCTAACTGGGAAAATTAGATATCTTAAGGACCAAAAGTTCATTGAAGACGGGGAAATTTGTAGAATATCTGAAAATACATGTGATGTGCAAACAACGTTAGTGGGATTTAAAGAAGCACTGTGAAATTTGAGATGTATTGTCAAAAATAATAGATGTGGGAGGGAAGACCAATAACAATACTAAGGAGAAGGAATGCGTAATTAAGAGGTAAAGATGGATGATTGTCAAAGAAGCTGAAGGAAGTCCAAAAGAGAGAATTTGTTTGTTAAAAATTGGATAAAATTGTATATTTGTGTTGTAAAACAATAAAAATTATTATATTAAAAAAGGAAGGAGAGTCCAGCACCTTCCTTCATGCTTCCATCCAAAGATCTCGAGAATTCTTCAGCCATCAAATGCCCAAGTAAAGAAAAATGTTTCCAAATTCCTCCTTAAAGCTAATAATGGTGGGCATTCCACAGTCAGGGAGCCACTACTGGAAAGGCCCTGTAAAACGAAGAAGCTTATTATGGCACCAGCTTTTCTGGACTACAGTCCACTTCATCAGAGGCATGGAGTGTTTTCCTGAGCTGCAGGGGTATGTTTGTGTGTAGATTAGTGAAGCTGGGAGGAAATAAAATGCAGAAAAGTGCAGACAGTGATAATTAGGCTATTAACATTCACAAGACCACGGTGATAACGTATTGGTAGGTCAGTTAACACACCTTAGAGTTGGTGAGGTGGACCTTGGTCCACAAAAACTTCTGCCATAGCAAAACTGCTTGTTTTTAAGGCACCACAAGACACATTTATTTCTCCTGCGCAAGTCTAGCATGACTACCCCACTGGGAATTGTAACATTGTGGGGAACGTTAATATTTATTTTTTTGCAAGAGTTAAATCCATATTGAGAGTGGTTGTTTCTTTTTCTCCCTGTACCCGCAAAATGCACTTGGCAATGTTTCCTCTCAGGGCGGCGGGGGGGGGGGAGAAACTTTGTCAGCCACAGGTGCACGCTCCCTTCTAGGCAGGCTTGTCCCCTGTCCCCTAACCCAGGCAGGCTTCCGGGGGCCAGTGGTGGGCGGAGCCAGAGGGAAATGGGTGGAGCAACCCAGGCAACGCTGCCTAGATTCCACACACTCACACATCCTCCCCGGGGTCAAGCAAGGGGCCAAGTTGGTCCGAGTTCACAGACCCGTTCCAGCCTGGAAGACACACTCGAGGAAGAGTGCAAACCAGGCCTGGTAAGGGTTGTGTCCTGGGGAGAGTCCCAAGGAGCAGGGGGGCGGGATCTGGAGGGCACCTGAAGTTCTCTGTGCTGGGGTTTTAGAAAAGGCCTCCCCATGCCGATCTCTGTGTGTGGTGCCTTCCCTGTTGAAGGTGTGTGTGACTCCTGCATAGCAGGGGGTTGGACTAGATGACCCTCAGAGCCCCTTCCAACTCCACAATTCTGCAATTCTAGGTTGCCCTGGCCGTGGCTTTGAACCTGAGGACATTCCTTCAGATGACTCTTCGGAATGATGGGAAGGTCTTGCTACATCTGCCAAATATTGGGACCAGGTTACACTGGGAAACATCTGAGCTGGAGCCCTTACTGGCAGCGTTCCCTGGTGAGCACTCTGGATGCTTGGGGGGTGTTGGGGGGGACTCCTGTTCTTTGCTTCAATCTGCAGAGAGCCACAGCTGCTTTGGGAGATCCGTTCCGGGGAGGCCTGAGATGAGGGTCCCACTGCCCAATCTCCAGGCATCCTGTGTGGGCTGCCTGGGGCTGTGAAGCACAGCAGAGGGGCAGGAGCGCAATGGCAGAGCGTTGACTTTGCACGCAGAAGGTACCAGGCCGAATCTCCAGGTCAGGCTGGGAATGTCCCCTGCCCGAAACGCTGTTGCCAGTCCTGCCAGCCCTGAGCTCGATGGAGCAAGGCTCTGACTTGGGATGAGATAGCTTCCTGGGTTCCTGTGGTTGGCCTAGTAAAGGCGTTTCTCTGATGTCCATCCTGGCTCTCAAATTAGCCCCTCTGCCAACCTTAAGACCCTTGAAACAGTACAATCTAAATTCTTAAGATCATTATTTGCTACCCCTAAGTGTACACCTAATGCAGTCTTAAGGCAAGAGGCAGGACTGCCCAGAGTGGAATTAAAAGTCTGGGAACAAGCAATATCCCTCTGGCTGAAAATCCATTACAATCCTAAGGGTCTATTACCTTGCTTCCTGGCCGCAGTTCCTATCCTCCTTGGCTTATGCAAATAACTAACAAGATCAAACAAATTGGCCTAAACCCTGAAAATATTTTTATTGGAACTCTGAACAAGGCAAAAGCTACTATTACTCGGAGACTTTATGATATCGAATTACAACAAGAAGGCGCCCTACTCCCAGAGACGTATAGATGTTTAAAAGCTTGGCCTAATTTTACAGCTGCCCCTTACTTAACCAACATCACTAGCGAAGCCTATAGATGGGCTTTCTCTAGAGCCCGCTTTGAGACAATGCCCTCAGCAGTGCTGTACGGCAAATTCACGCGGGTTCCAATGCATGCGCGTCTCTGCCCTTGTATGTCTAATAAGGTAGAATCTGTCACACACATTCTTCTATCTTGCGAATTCTATAGTGAAGAACGAGCTCAACTTATTTTACCGCTTCTATCAAAATTTATACCCCTTCAATATTATTTGGAATCCTCCCTGAAATTCTTCGAAAATACCTCCTGGAAGATTCCTCAAGCTCAGTATCATATGAGGTGGCTAAATTTTGCACTTTAGTAATTAAGAAACGTAAATCTCTTCTGTTGAATGGCACACTGCGAAGTTCCCTTGTGTAACCTTTTTTCTTTTCTGAAGTTGTTGCTGATTTCTTGTTGTCTGATCTTGGGATGTTTAGTGTCACTGGCTTTGGCCGCAATAAACTTGAACTTGAACTTGATGTCCATCCTGGAATAAAGCAAAATGTGTCTGGTGGGTCCGTCATGGACCATTAAGATGCCTTCCTCTCCATTGGCTCTTTCTCCAGCTGGCCTGATTGACTCTCAGCCCCCCAGCCCAGAACAAGTGGAGAAGCTGAAGGAGTTTGTGGGGGCTGCAGAGGGAGCGGCTGCGGCCACACACAGCCTGGCCATCGTGGCCTTCCTCTACTTGTACTTGTCCGTTGCGTCCAAATGCGGGTAAGGCTCTTGGGCACCTCCCCCCACTTGTCGCTGCTTCACCCGTGATTTAATGCATTGATATTTCTCTCCCAGAGAGCCTTGTAGTGGGAATTATAGCGTGTGCCTTGACTGAAGGGCCTAAAAGAGAAGAGATGCAAAGCAAGAGTGCCTGAAATGATATGGTTAGGAGAAACTGCTCGCGCAGACTGTGTTAAGAATGTGTCAAGGAAAAGCTCACATTGAGCAAGTCCTGTAAATAGTAGGCATCCTGATCTTGCAGAATCAGGCTTCCAGCTCTGTTAAAGCAGGCATGCTTTTCATCAGAGAATGGGACCTAATTTGTACGCATGTGGGTGGGTTCCCCAGTGGGGGCCGTTCTGCCCAAGTAAAGTTCCCTTAAACATCACAATGCTGTGTCTGTTGAAGAACTCCACCACAACCCTTTAGTGGTGTGGCTCTCTCAATTCTGAATCCTGGCTCTCTGCAGTGAAGTGTATGCTGTAAACTGACCTGTGATTTTCAGGTGAAGGGTAGTACTGTATACACATTCAATAATAATAATAAAATAGTTGGAAGCTGTAGCTCATTTGGGGGTGAGGTGGGGAGCCGCTAACCCACAGACCAAATTGGGACCCAGCACAGGTCCCAGTTTGGCCTAGAAGGCTATTTTCCCCAAACCACACTCCCTGGCCCCCCCACCTAGCATCATAGTTGACATAAGGTGTGAGTTGTAGATAGAGACAGGGCTGGATCTATTGCAAACCCTGCCAAAAGCCATCGGGAAGTCACCGCGCCCAGATTGTTGGCAGTGACCAGCTGTCCTGGAGCAGCCAGTACCTTCAGAAAGCAGCTTTGAAGTACCTATGCTCAGCACTTGGTATAGGGTTGGCAAACTTGTTATGATGCCTGATGATGGACAGGTGGTAAAGCAGCTGGTTTATCATCTGACATCATAAGGCCCAGTAATGGCCTGGTTGGTTATCCTTGCAAGGAGAACCCCTTGCTTCAGGAGCTGCTGAAGGGTCATGGCTCAGTGGGATAGCATCTGCGCTGCATTCAGAAGGCCCCAGGTTCCATCCCCTGCAGCATCCTGGATACAGCTGTTGCTGCCAGTCCTTGTAGACAATACTAGGCTAGATGGACCCAAGGGTCTGGCTCAGTACCAGCAAGCCTCCTCCGTTCCCGGCTTCCTATGACGCCAGAGCCAGAGCAAACAGATTTGTTCTATTGTCTGTGTGACAGGATAATGCAACTCATTCCAGTTCTTCCTTGTTGGTCCTGCTCAGTAAATGATGGAATGACAGGTGGTTTACTTTTTATTTTTGTAATGTTGTGTCTTTCAGGGTTCTTCCAAGCATGGACATCCTGGTGTGGTCTGAGCTGCCCACAGGTGCTGGGTTAGGTTCCAGCGCTGCTTATTCCGTCTGCCTCGCAGGGGCTTTGCTTTCTGGGTGTGGGATCATCAGCTACCCTCTGGGCGAGGGCCAGTCTGTAGCCAGGTAGGAGCCCCAGAGAGCTGGGCATCGTAGAATCACAGAGCTGTAGAGGCGGAAGGGTCATCTGGTTCAACTACCTGCAGTGCCAGCATCTCGGCTGAGAGATGGCCGTCCAACCAATTGGGGGGGGGGCGTGAAATGCTGATGGATTCACTTCTACCTCATTCAGCTATTTTATCTGTTCAATTATCTGTCGCAAACAGAAACAAATAGATATCAATAGATATTTTTCTTTGCCTAAGTATAAGAACCTGGAAGAACTGCTTCCAAATACAACCAGCCAACATTATTATTTATTAAATATATACCACACCTTTCCTCCAAGGAGCTCAAGGTCCTCTCTCTCCCCCCACAGCAACCCTGCGAGGTAGGTCAGGCTGAGAGGCAGTGACCGGCCCCCAAGGTCAGCCCGCGAGCTTCGTGGCTGAGTGGGGATTTGAACCCCATCTTCCCAGGTCCCAGGCCACCACTAAACAACCACAATAGGCAATACTGGTCTGCATGGACAGACTCTGGCATGGTGTGAGGCTGTTTTCTGCCTTCCAGGTGGGCTGAGGATGAGCTGGACTTAATCAACAGGTGGGCCTTCCGAGGAGAGCAGGTGATCCATGGGAACCCCTCTGGAGTGGATAACGCCGTGGGGACCTGGGGTAAGTGCTTTCTCTCTCTGATTTAACATGAGAAGAGGCTTCTGGATCAGGCCTAAGGCGGGGCATGTAGTCCAGCAACCTGTTCTCACAGCGGCCAGCCAGAGGCCCCAAGTGGGACCTGCCTGCAGGACCTGAGCCCAAGAGCCCTCGCTGTGGTTTCTGGCAACTGGTATTCAGAAGCTTTGGTGCCTGCAGCTGAGGAGGCAGATGGCAGAGCCACCATGCCTAGGAGCCGTCTCTAGCCTGCTCCATGAATTTGTCCGGTCCTCTTTTAAAGCGTCCAAGTTTGTGACCATCACTGCCTCCTGTGGGAGCGAGTTCCGTAGTTGAGCTACGCGCTGTGTAAATCATAGAATCACAGAGTTGGAAGGTACCCTGAGGGTCATCCAGCCCAACCCCCTGCAATGCAGGAATCTCAAATAAAGCATCCATGACATCTAATATTTCCCCCCAGCTCAGGTCACAAGTGACAGCATGGAATGGCTTGCTGGATTTTAATTCCACTGGTATCACCACAGTCTCCATCTGCTACGCTTCTAGAAGCCATTCCGGGGGGGGGGGGGAGGCGTCCTGCATCACACGCTGGGGTCTCCCTCACATCCTAGATGAAGCTGCCCCTTTGGAACTATCAGTAGTTATCTTTCTTCAGATATTCAGAATTCCTTTCCTTCTCTCCCTTGCTTTATGACAAAGGAGTGACTCAACATTGCTCTGTATTGTTCATTGTAAATTGAGTTCTTTGTGCCAGATCATGGAAAACAAGACATCTTCTGAAACAGTGTTCCAGTGTTAAGGCTCTTCTTCTCCCCCTCTGTGGAAACTTTTAGGTGGAGCTTTGAGATACCAGTCAGGAAAAATCTTGCCGTTAAAAAGGTAAAAGTTCACTCTGAGCGTTAATGTTTATGCTGCATAAAAACTACTTTTAGTGTGATGAATGTGGTTAATAAGCTGCTCTGTGGGAAGGCTGGTGGGTTTCAGACTATATTTGCCGGGGGTGAGGAGGTCTTCACACAGATGCTGGACAAGCCGCCTCTTGGGGGGTTGCTCTACCCCTGGGCTGTCTGCATGGGGTGGGGTGGGAGACGGGATGAACTTACAGGGACACTCCACCCCCCACCCCCACCAGCCCTTTGAAATAAATAGTTAAAAGCTCTTCGTGATGGCCACTGCATGAGATGGCTGCAAAAGAGAAATTCATGAAGGAGGAGGCAAAGGCTCTCGGGGGCTCCTGGCCACTCTCCACCTTCGAAGGTGTTACACCTCTGATTCCCGGCTGGGCAGGGCAGGTGAGCAGAGTCCTGTGGCCTTCAGGTGCCGCTTGCAGGTTCCCCACAGGCTTCTGGCTGCCCATTATGAGAACAGGAGAGGGGACCAGGGGGCACCCACTGGCCAGCCCCAGCAGCAGGGCTCTTCTGGGGCTTTGATGTTTGATGGTTCTGCTTTCATCCCCTTTTTGTGGGGAAGGGCATTGAATAAGGTGATGCAGCTCCAGTGATGTTAAATTCCCATTTAAAATAGGAGAATATTCATTTCAATGCATTGCATATATAATTAGTTAATATACATGTTTATTTATGGGTAAACTTGTTCAGATGGCAACCAAAAACTACAGAAAACTTTCTTATTGGTCAGCAGTGTTGACATATAGGGAAACTTGTTGTTTGGCAAAGGAACCACAGTGAAAATATATAAGCACAAGCCTACTTGTCACTTGCAAGTATCAAATTAAAAGTAAAACATGTTTTATAGTTAAAGTTGAAGCATTCTAAGGTGGTGGCACCAGTAATTGTCATGTTAAGGTTTGGTATATAGAAACTCGGTAGTTAAATCATATTTTATTCTTCCATTAGAACATGTACATGTTATAGGACAAGTCAAAAAAATACAATTGGCATGTTAAGGTTTGATTCAAGTAAATTCAGTAATAGACTATCTTGTGCTTCTAATAGCTCTAACACTTAATAACTGTTTTGGTGACTAAAACACAGCTTGATGAACAAAACTATATGCATACATATAAAAAAGAAGCCATTAACATTAAATATATTATCATTATATGATAATATATTTCAGTATATCAATCTCTGGTAAATGGCACCTTGTACCTTTGAATAGCACTGCAAAAACCAGTTACTGGCACTAAATAAAACTATAGAAATGTCAACTGTTTAAATCAAGGCCACCTCACATGCTGTTACACATAATTGTATAGGCCTAGGTACTTTCAGTGTATAAAGCATTAAAGCTACTTTCTGTAAAAAAAAAAAATCACACTGGCCAAGGGTATAGAATTGCTAAGAATAAGGGCACACCAAAATAGAAAAAAGGCTATTATATAGTTGAAATACATATGAATTCAAATGTTCATCAAATTAAATGATGAAACTTTAAAAAAATAAAAAGTTTTCTGTTGCTCACATTTCAGAACTCCCAATGGTGAATGACGCAATGCCCAGTAATGTAATGATAAAAAAAATCATTATTCATTACTTACACTGACAATTTCACAGCTTGACTGATTATTTACTAGATTTTTTAAATGTGGGTTGTAAAACTGGTTCTTACATTAGAATTTACAGTTTGTGGAGAATATTCTCCGGAGAATATTCTCACCTCACATCACTATGCAGCTCTGAGTTCGTTTCCCTCTCTGGCACCTAAAAACCTCCACACACAAAGGATCAATATTAATTCCTCAGCCTTGCGAGATGCTTATAGATGCTCTGACTTTTTGCAAACAAGTGGCATTTAAGGAATAACTTGCTTGCTTAAAATTACAAAGCGTTTGAGGACAGAATGCAAGGGGTTTCTTTTCAGCCGTTGGCCACCCTGATCCCTTCTGCCAATGAACCATAATCAGACTCCATTAAAATCTTTCGTGGGGCGTGAAATTGCTCTATTAGCCGCTAACATCAGGCGCTGGTTCATTATCGCAGATGGTATTAGAAAGCAAAGTTATTTTGGTTCACAAGACGCAGGCCTTTTGTCAGGCAGCTAAATGGCCTCTGGCGGCACGCTGAGGTAATTCTAACCACAACGTGGCTCCTAATGACGTTTAAGCTTTTGGGTCGAGGTCTTGTGTCTTGTGTGAAGTCCTTAATGGCTGCGCAATGGTCATACGAACAAAAGTGACTGGCGTTGGGGGGGGGCTGGTCCTGGCTCTGAGCCTGCAGAAGGCCCCACGTCCGTTGGTGGGGCTGCATGGGACCCCTCCTTCCTTGAGAGGCACTGCCTGTCAGGATACACACCACCAGACTCTACAGAAGAGGATGCTCCATTAGCTCAACTAGTGTGTATTTCTACAAACTTTTAAGGCTGAGTTGTAACGGGGGAAGCTGCCTTATTCCGAGTCAGACCTTTGGTTGACCTAGCTCAGTGATGTCTGCACTGATTGGCAGCGGCTCTCTGGGGTTTCAGGCAGAGAGTCTCTCCCAGCCCTGTTTGGGGATGAAGTCAGGGATTGGGCCTGAGACCTTCTTGCCAGGCCGATGCCCTCCCTACCCCTGAGCTCAGGCCTTTTCCCTCTTTCTACCCTGGGATCTTGGAGGGAGAGCCTATGAATACCCTAGAGAAAATGGGGAACCCAATAATAATAATAATAATAATAATAATAATACTTAATATAATGGTGTTATTTCTACCCTGCCCACCTGGCTGGGTGGCCCCAGCCACTCTATAAGAACAGAAGGGTCTGCTGGATCCGGCCAATGGCCCACCCAGTCCAGCATCCTGTTCTTACTGTGGCCAACCAGATGCCCAACATGGGAAACCCACAAGTGGGATCCGAGCACAAGAGCAGCTCTCCCCTCCGGAGGTTCCCAGCAACTGGGATTCAGAAACATGGCTGCCTCTGAAGGGGGGGAGGACAGAGCACAGCCCCCGGGGCTGGGAACCACCCATAGTTCCTGCTCCCTCACAACATTTGGCGTCTCCTTCACTTGCAAAGAATTAAAGTGAAGTGGAAAAACATGGAGTGAATTGGCTTGCTTGCCCACGTTGGAGAAGAGACAACATTTTTTGACTCTGTTCTCCTTTTTTCCTTAGAGTCCCCACTCTACGGATTTTATTGACCAACACCAAGGTCCCTCGGAGCACCAAGGTCCTGGTTGCAGGGGTTAAAGACAAGGTGCTGAAGGTATTGCTTCTGATACAAAACCAGTATGGCCTAGTAGTTAGAGTGTTGGATTACTAGGCCTGGGAGACCAGGGTTCAAGTCCCACTTGGCCATGACCTTGGGCCAGACACTGCCTCTCAGCCTAACCTACCTTGCAGGCTTGTTGTGGAGGGCTAGAAATGAGGGGAAGATCTATCTATTGGGTGCTCCTCGATGGAAGAAAGCTGGGATATGAATACAATAAATAAAATAACTGCCCTTCCATTAATTGGGACTCTGAGTCCCCCCATGATATTTTGGTTGGAAAACTGGTTAAATGCCGGCTGCATGAGAAAACTGAACTCCAAAGTGTGGTTGTCAGTTAAACTGGAGGGAGGTTTGGAGTGGTATGCCATTCTTAGGTGGAGGAAATCCCTTTTTTCCTCCTGCAGTTTCCTGCCATAATGGAGCCGGTGCTGGCTTCGATTGACGCCATTTCCCAGGAGTGCGAAGATGTCCTCAAAGCAATGGCCGATCATCCATCTCAGGAGCACTACCTTGTGCTGGAGGTGAGGAACCCTTTATTTACTCCTCTTTGAAACCAGCCAGGAGAGGCAGGACATCACTGGGAAGAGGCAAAAGCAGATGGGGCAGTTCCAGCTTGCTAAATCCAGTGTGTGTGACTACAGAGTGAGGCTGCAGGTGCAGAGCGGTCACAGCGAAGCAACCCGAGCCAGCTGTGTCTTCCCCGTGTCCTCAATGTCCCTTCAGGTAGCCTGCCACCCTCCCTTGGGTGCAGTGGGCAAGGGTGGTGCCCCAGCCCTGGAGTCAGATTCAGCCACTTGTCTGGTCAGCTTCTGAGCATGGGATGTTGGCAAGGGTGTCACCATCTTGGCTTCCACCTCTGGCTGTGCCATGTTTGGGGCTGGCCCCATGGCTGGGATCTTGCTGTTGGCCAAATCCTGTCCCCTCCCACTTCCCATGTTAATGTAAGGCCAGAAGAAGATCCTACTGGATCAGCCCAGGGGGCCATGTAGCCCAGCCTACTGTTCTTACAGTCGCCAGCCAGATGCTCTGAAGGGAAACCCACAAGCAGAACTCTCCCTTTCTGTGGCCTCAAGAAACGGATCTGCAGAAGCACTGCTGCCTCTGACTACGGAGGCAGAGCATAGACCTCATGTGAATTTGTCCATTCCTCTTTTAAAGCTATTCATGTTGGTGGCCATCCCTGCCTCCTGTGGCAGCAAGTTCCACAGGTTAACAATGCGCTGGTCTCTTTCTCCTTCTGAACAGGAACTCATTGACATTAACCAGCACCACCTGGATGTGATTGGAGTTGGCCATTCCTCCCTGGACAGAGTCTGCCAAGTCACCGCCTCTCACGGGCTGCATAGCAAGCTGACGGGCGCAGGGGGAGGCGGCTGCGCCATCACTTTGCTACGGCCAGGTCAGGAGATGCTGCACATCCTGGGGACACTCTTATTTATTTGCTTACAAACTTTCATCTGGGGAGTGCATAAGCCCGAGTGTGAGCCAGGGAGGCTTGCCCTTGGTTGTGGAGTCACGAGGCTGCCCTTAGGGATGACCCTCTTGCTGTTTTCTCATCTGTTACATGGGGATAAGCACAGTGGCCTACTTTACAGGGGTGGTGTCCTTGATGCAGCTTCATTGATGTGCACAGTGCTTCCAGAGTGAGATAAGCGAAGAAAGCAAGTCTTTAATAAGGACTCCTGTGCTGAGTGGTGGAAGTTCTGCTTTGCTGGTCCAAAGTCCACTACCAGCTATCTCTCGCCCTGACCTTTTACTGGTTGAGGCTCTGGAGAGCTGCTGCCAGTCAGAGTCGACAACACTGGCCTGAGTTCCTCCCAGCTCTACAGTCCTCTGATTTTGTGTCTCTAGCCCAGCCATAACGCCTGATTCTGTGCATTTTCTTGGCAGACACTCCTCCTACAATAGTGGCAGCCGCCACCCAAGACCTGGACGCCTGTGGGTTCGAGTGCTGGGAGACGGACATTGGGGCCCCGGGTGTGTGTGTTCACTCACCCCCCTCCCTGAAAGCAGAAGTGCAGGCGGTTCTTAGCGGGGTTTAAAGGCGGTGGCAGAGGCTCCTCTTCCTGCTGAGAATTGGTTCCCGGTGCCGCGAGTTCATCACCCTCAGCCGTTCCCCAGATTTGACCGCAGAGGCCTCGCTCAAAATTGTGGGACCCCTGGAGATTTTGGGTTTACTTGACCTATTGGACCCTGGAGAATGCAGTGCAAGGATTCTGACAGGGCCTGGTTGCTGGAAGCGGTGGTGTCCCCACGAGTTGCTTTGCGGGGCCTGGTTACGCAGCTTGGAAGGGCTGTCACTGGGTGCTGAGGGTGCTGGGTGCTGGCTGTCTTCTGCTTGACTCTCTTCTGTCCTCCTAACTTCAGCAGGGAAGTCCTTTTCCACCCTGTTGAGACCTTGCCAGGGCACGGCTGCTTTGCTCCCCTGTGCGGATAAGGTAGAGCTTCTCTCATATTCCCTTGCAGGGTGGCTGGAACTACATGCGCTCAGGCATATGTGGAGTTGGGGAAGCACTTGTTTGTAAAGCGGGTGGGGGGGGTTGATTTTGTTCTGTCTTTTTGCAAGGGACAAGTGACAACTTTTGGGGAGGCTCGATCCATCACTTTCTCCCCCCCCCCCCCGCAGCCCCCTTCCTAGCTGTTCTCCCACCCCCCAAAATGCAGTTGATATGTGCACTGGGACCTCAGTTGGCAGAAAAGGCTTAAGCTCCACTCGCCCCAAATCGCAGCTTTGCAGTTCTTCTGAGGAAGGGGAAATTGGGGGCCCAACCGTGAATGCCTTGCGGGACCAAAAGGAGCCAACATTCTCTCCTCTGGACTTGTCGGCACTACTTCCGTCTTCCATTGGTTTCAGCATTTCCCATAACTTTTCTAGACTTTGGCTCAATTTCCCAGCCTTACTTGGCATTGGGAGATCTGATTGCCTGGTCTCTGGAAGAGTCAGCTGTCTCAGGTAGACAGCCCTGTGGACTCCCAACTCCCGGCAGCCAGCAGGACCCTGCACACTCAGGAATGCTGAGAGTTGGGAGTCCAGCAAGGCCTCGAGGAGACCCACAGGTCCCCCCACCTTGGTCCTAGGCACAGAAGCTTGATGGGTGGGGTGGAGGAGGAGGTGCCCTTGTTCCTAACAAAATGTCCGGCAGTTTGAAATGGAATTGGGGTGGGGGGAAGTGACCTCCTTAGTCTGTTGGTTCTGTATCGCTTCCTAATGATGTGTACACACACAGAGAAAGAGAGAGGTAAATTGCAACTTACACAGATTTACCATGTGCGATTTCAACTTTATGTGGTTGAAGGCTGGCCAGTTGAAATTGCAACAATTAAAGTCACGGAAGAGAGAGAGGTTAAAAGTTCTTTTTGCGCAGGGTTTTCCTGGCCCGAAAATAGCTTTTAAGTTCTCTGCCTTGTTCTGGGAGGCTCTTGTGAGATTTCATGGTACCATCCGAGACCTCGCAAGACCTTCCCAGAGTCTGGTGAGCAAGGCAGAGAGCTTAAAAGCCCTGCTTGGAGGATAAGACCTGTTTGGTGCACAGGGGCAGTTCAAGGGGCTGGTTTGAGAATGTGCTTTTTTGCAAATATCCACCATCCCAGAAATGTAGCCCCCGTGCAAGACGCAAGTTACCTGTGGGCGTGTATGCATATGTGTGTGTGAACACTTACCAGGGCTGCAAGTTTTGATCTGGGGAGCCTGTGGTGAGTTTTCTCCAGATATTGCTGGACTACAACTCTCATTAACATCCCTGTCCATTGGCCATGCATGCTGCAGAAGATGATGGGAAATTGATTCCAGTGACACCTGAAGGGGTTGCCCCCTCCCTTTAATGAATAGATTAATCAACTCATATATGGTTCTTTTTGAAGGGAGGGGAGACTCTGCAAGTTGAGGGCACACTTTGAAGAGACAGTTTTGATTCTGGTATGTTCCTGCAGTGGAGAATGAAAAATAAAACACTGCAGAGCTATCCTTTGTAATTTGAAATGGTGATTATTTTGTTAGTTTGTGGGTTGTTTGTATTTGGGGGGGGGGAATAACCTGCCCAGCAAAAAACAATGGGGAGGAAACAAACACCACCCAGACAGGGATCTGCAGCAGGTGGGCTCTGCCCTGCTGCCCCATAGCTTTTTGCCCTGATAAAGAGATGGGTCTGTGATAGGTTACACTCACTTCCCAGAAGATGGAAGAAGCACCCCAGGGGTCCTCTGTCTTGGACCCGGTCCTCGCCCACAGAGAGGAACCGATCCATGAAGTGGAAGTCCTGGGAAGCTTGGAAGAAAGTGATCATGTCCTCCTGGGTTTCATGATACAGAGGCAAGGGGAAGCTGATTGTAGTCAGACATGCCCTCACTCCGGACTTTAAGAAGGGCAATTTCAAAAACTTAAGGAGCTACAGGGTGAGATCCCACGGTCAGAAATACTCAGAAGGGAGTCCAAGATGGATGGGAGTTTCTAAAAGGAGAAATATTGGGTGTCCAAATGCAGGCAATTCCAGTGAGAAAGAAAAGTGGGAGGCATTTAAGGAAACCGGTGTGGCTGCCTAAGGAGCTTCCAGATGAGCTGAGATTGTGGGAAATCACAAAGGAGGAGTATACACAAGTAGCCAACAGTTGCAGGACGAATGTCAGGCGGGCTGAAGCTCAGAATGAGCACGGCCTTGCAAGAGAGCCAAATAAACTTCTTATTTTTAACCTATGTTCAAAGCAAGAAGAGGAGCAAACAAGTGGTAGGTCCTCTTCGTGGAGAAGACTGAAATATGCTATTGGGTGACAGAGAAGGCGGAACTGCTCAAGACCTGCTTTGCCTCTGTCTTCACCGAAAAGGAGAGCAATGCCCAACCTGGTTATAAGAGAATAATTGACGTAAGGAAGAAGCTGCAGCCCAAGATAGGAAGAGAGCTGGTCAGGGAACACCTAACTACTTGAAATGAATTCAGATCTCCAGGGCCTGATGAGTTGATGAGGGACTAAGGGAGCTTGTAGATGTAATCTCAAAGCCTCTGCCAATAATCTCTGATAATTCTTGGAGAACAAGTGAGGTTTTTGCAGATGGGAGGCAGGCAAATGTTGCCGCCATCTTTAAAAAGGGAGGAGAAGACCCAGGGAACTGTTGACCGGTGAACTTGACATCGATACCAGGAAAGGTCCTAGAACAGATATGTTAACAGTTGGTCTGTGAGTACTTGGAATAGGATGCTGTGGGGGGGGGGTTGAGTCAGTTTTAAACTTGCTACACAGAAACCCATTCCTTCAATTTGAGCATGGGTTCCTCAAAAAACAAGTCATGCCAGATAAATCTCATTTCTTTTTCTTTCTTTTTTTGATTTCAGTAAAGCTTTTGACAAAGCCCCCCCATGGTATTATTGCAAGGAAGCTGGTAAAATGTGGGCTGGATGAGGTGGATTTGTTGGGTGGATTTGTAGCTGGTTGACTACTAGCCAGGGTTGCTCTGCTCTGCCTCCGCTGTGGGAGGCAGCCGTGCTTCTGAATGCCAGTTGCTGGAAGCCAGAGGAGGGGAGGATGTTCTTGTCCTCAGGTTCTGCTTCTGGGCTTCCCCTGGTCCGCCATGGTGAGAGCAGGATGTTGGCTAGGTGGGCCCCCTTTGGTCTGATACAGCAGACACTTCTTACGTTTCTTATGAGTTAACTTGCCCTTCAATGGCGCACAAAGGCTCCAATGCACAAACTGGGCTTTGATCCGCACACAGATTGTTTTCCAGCCGTGGTAAGTCCAGGCATTGGCACAGGCAGCTGTAATAATCTCCCCTCCCTGCCCCCACCGTTCACCTTTGGCCACATCTGCTCCATACCTTTTAAGCGCTATGATGTCCCTTTAAGCAGCCATGGCTTGCCCCCAGTGAATTCTGGGAGCTGCAGTTTGTTAAGGGCCCTGCCAGTTGTTGAGATCCCCTTTTCCCCTCAGCTGCAACTCCCAGAGTTCCCTGTGAGAGCAGCATTGGGAACTGTTGCTCTGTGAGGGGAAGTGGGGTGGGGGGTCTCCTAGCGACTCTCAGCAGCCTTGGCAAAGTGCATCCCCAAGGAGTCTTTGGGAGACTGCTTAAAGGGGTCTGATACTGCTTTAAATGCCCGAGTCAGGTCAGATGCCTTGGTCTGCCCCTGGTGTTGGGCCCTGGCTGGACACCAGAGGGCAGCAGGGATCCACCTTTCGGAAGAAGTCCCTTGAAATCCCTGCCCACCTTTTTGCCCTGACGTGAGCACTCCTGCAAATGGTGGGGGTGACAGAAGTCAGCAACCTATTTCTTCCCTTGTAGCTAGAATCTGCCATTACCTGTTCTATTTTTTCTCTTTTTAAAAAGTTTGCTTTCAAATACTGCTATCAATGTACATTGGTGCTTTACATAAGAGCTTACATAATTTATTTATTGCATTTCTGTCCTACCTTTTTCTCCAAAGAGCTCCAGGCGGTGTGCATGGTTGTCCCCCCACCTCATTTAACCCCCACAACAACGCTGTGCGGTAGGTTAGACAGAGAGGCATGGGCCAGCCCAAGGTCCCCCAGGGAGCTTCATCACTGAGGGGATTTTGAACCCTGGCCTCCCAGGTCCTAACCTGACACTCTGACTCTTACACCATGCTGACTCTCCGGTTAAGCAATGTAGGCAGGCGCCTGCCCCGTGGAGCTTACAGTATCAGTTTTGACAGAGTGAGGAGAGAAGGAAAGGTGAAGGAGAGGTGGACTTGTTTATTAAAGGGCTTCTAGAGAGCGCAGGAGGGGAGGCTGCTCTTGCACTCGTGTCTTGCTCAGGGGTTTCCCATTGAGGTATCCCATGGGCCACTGAAAGAACAGGTTTGTGCACTAGGTGGGCCCTCATGGACCTGATCCAGCAGGCTTTTTGGATGTTCTTATACTCCAGCAGCCTCGTTCAGACAGTGACGTGCTGTCCCTCGTTGGTCCAGGCAGCAGTGGAAGCTGCCGCTGTCCATTAAAGCACGCAGCATTTTGCAGAATAAGAAGCCAAAGAGACAGACCCCTGCTGCATCTGTCGCCCATCACTTTTCTTTCGTGACCTTCCCAAAAGGGGCAGCCCCCTTGGAGAACAGAGCATCTACCTCTGGACCCATCCTCTGTGGGTGTAGATTTTGCCTACATCCATTGTCAGCTGTGTGGATTTCATCTGCCCCTTTGCAGAGAAGCCACAAACAGACCTGGGAGGAGCTTTTCCTACTAATACTCAGCCCAAACATGGCAGATAAATGACCTTTTGCTGCCACTTCTCTTCTTGTAATTATGGCGCACTTTCTTCTACCTCTTGCCCAATTAGCTCTGTTTCATGCACTCTGGCGGCCCTGTTGGGGCTTCCTGCCTTGCACGGGAGAGAGAAGGTCTGTAGCTCAGGGATGGAGCCAGCTGCTTCGCATGCAGAAGGGCTCACCTAAAAAGTTTTAAAGGAAAGAGGACCTCTCCTGTTGAGACCCCAAGGGAGCAGATGTTTGGGGCTTCCTCTGCACCACACTCTAAAAGCACTACGATTCTGCTTTCGAAACAACATATCCACACTACAGATTGAAGGCACTTACAATGCCTATTAACAACACATGTCTTGCCCCTAAAGAATTCTGGGAATTGTGATTTGCAGAGTCTTGGGAACTGTAGCACTGCAGGGTGAAACTACAGCTCTTTGGGTGAAGTCAGGTGATTTAAATGTGTGTTGGACGTGTGGTGTGGATCTGCCCCCTACAAGCACCCCCCAGCACACACCAAGAAGGGACCAAGAAGAGTCCTTGTTCCAGTAGCACATTGAAAGTGCCATGGTGCCCCTTTAAGAAGCCATGGTTTCCCCCAAAAGCATTCTGGGAGCTGTAGTTTCTTCAAGGCACTGAGAGTTGTTGAGCATGGCCTCCATCTTGGCTAGGAGCCACCAATAGCCTCCTCTTCTGTGAACTGGTCAGATCCACTTTTAAAGCCACCTAGGTGGGTGCCTGTCACTGCCTCTTGTGGAAGGGAGTTCCACAGTTCAACTATGTGCATGCAGAGAATTCTGTGCTGGTGTGGAATCGCAGGATGCCCCCTCAGCTTGGCGCTGTCGTTCTCTGGGCTGCCCCTCTTCCCCCGCCCGCCCGCCCTTGGTGCAAAAAACTCCCCCTCTGGATTGTGCTGGCACAGAGGCAAGGAAGGCAGGAGGGGCATCGCCCTCCCCGCAACTCCCATCCCTGAGCCTTTCTTGGCTTCCAGGCCGTGATTTTATAGATGTGCATTAATGGAGCCACCGATTTCCACTGAAGGATTGGACTGGTAATTTGGCTAATTTTTCTTAAGCTTCATTTTTCACATTATGAGCATCACGGAGAGAAGACGAATGATCTTCCACGTTGCCTCTTAATGACCGGAGGAGGAGGAGGGTGCCTGGCTGAGAGGCACCAACAAAGGTTCAAGATCTTTTGGAAGGCAAAGCGCGTGTCTGGCTTTGGGGCTGGATCCTGCGGAGCCCTTTGGAGCAGAGCGGCCTTGAACTGGCAGAGTGTGACGGGGGTGGGAACAGCAACCCCCTGTTCTTCTCCCACTCACCGGAACTCTTGGACATCCCATGAATCAGAAGGTTGGGCGATCCAGGACAGAGAAAGGAAGGGCTTTCTGTTGGCGTAATAATAGAGTATTGGACTAGGACCTGGGAGACCCGGGTTCAAATCCCCACTTGGCCATGAAGTGCATTGGGTGACATCCTATGCCCTTTTAAAATGTGTTGGGGTGGTGTTATTGGGTGGTGGTTTTTATTTTGATTGTGTACTTTATGGTTTTATATTCCGACTTCATCCTGTGAACCACCCTAAGATCTGTGGGTATAGGTCGGTACATAAGTTATAATAATATTAATAATAATAATTATTATTATTTGGGGCCTGTGACGGCCTCTCAACCTCACAGGGTTGTTTTGAGCATAACACGGGGAGTTGGAGAACCATGTGCAGCACCTTGAGCTTCTTTGAGGGAAAAGGTGGTATAGAAATGTAAGAATTCCAGCTTCTGGAAGCGGCTGGAGGGAGGGGCTCTTGCGTCTGGCCCTGCACCCAGTGGGCTGGATGGGCCATTGGCAGGGTCTTTTCACGCTCCTTTAGCCAACGCCAGCCAAAGCCAGAGAGCAAGAATAGTGCATGGCCATAAACCAGGGCAAGGGATAGATTTCTGGCATGGGGATTCCAGTTGGGGGTAGAGTGGAAGGTGACATTTCTCGCTGGGGTCCGTGGGAGCCATGCTTCAGGAGAACATGAGCCCACCGCCAGAACGTTCTCCGGTGTTCCCCACCGCCATGCTTCACATCCTGATTCCTTGGTTCAGCAGGGCCAAGGCAGCACGCTTGCAGGAAAGGACAGGTATTAGAGGAATACACCAAAGGCTTCAATGGCTGCCACCACTTCTTTTTTTAAAAAAGAGGCCACCACAGATTGGTTTGGAGGCAGGGAACAATGAGGGGATTAAATGATCTGAAGGGGAAATCAAGCCCTTTAACCTGCTTGAGAATGTATCCTTATTTCTAACACTGGCAGCATTAAGATAAATTCAGCGGTGTAAATAAGTTTTCATGGATGTAATAATGGAATATTGAATGATTTGCAGGGATTTATGTTATGCAAAATGAACCATGGAAAGAGAAGGGAAGTCATTCATATCGTAAGGATGTGAAAATGAGTACTTTAAATTGTAAAACAGAAAATTTAATTTTGTGTGTGTGTATATATAATAAAAATAATGCAGAAGGCCCCAGGTTAATCTTTGTTTGATGGCTTCCAAGAAAACGAGCTGATTCTGGTGTCCTTTGCGACCTGCACCAGCCATGCTGTTTTCCTGCCTAACCTTGATAGGAAGTCAAAAATAAATAAAAAACCCTTCTCCGGCTTTCCTATGGAAATGGCAGGTGCAAGGAGAGATGGGGGATTTGAGATAAGAAGGCAGCAGTGTTGACTGTGAGGGCGCTTGCTTCCCTCACCCACCCTCTGCTGCCCAAGGCACAGATGGGGATATATATATATATATATATATATATATATATAATCAATGTCTGCAGTAGCTTCTTTCTGCTCTGATGAATAGATTCTAAAGAGGCAGTGACATTATTTGAGATAAGAGAGGAGAGAAAAAGGGTCAGTGATAGAAAATGTCAGAGCGCAGAGATGAAACACAGCGGCAAGATGGGGGTGTTGGGCCATGCGCTTCCTATCCCACACACACATCCCCCTTGGAGGAGGAGGGAGGGAGGGAGGGAGGGAGGGAGAGAGAGAGAAAGGGTTTGAAAACTTTGAAATTCTAATATAGTTGAGGGGAATCAAGTCACCATACTGAGTCCCCCCCCCCCACTCCAAATGAATCCCCTCTGCCTCCAATTGTTCCTCAGGTTGAAGGCTTGTTTCTGTGTTGTTTGCTTCATCCCCCAAATTGTTTACAAATAATAACATGGAATTACATTCCACTATACATGTGTTACATTCCACTATATTTCTGAAAGTGACCTTTATGTTGTGTGAAACCTCAAATCCAATTTGGAAATTAAAAGGAAAACATTGGGAAAACAGAATAAATGGCTCTGTGGATGCAGCCTCTCTCTTCCAACAACATAACTACCACAGCATTTATTCAGGATGTTCTTTCTGGTTTTCAGAGCTAGCAAACTAAACTTGTGCCAGTTGCTGGAGACGTCAGGAGGGAAGAGAGCTCTGGCGCTCAGGATCTGCTTGCAGGTTTTGCATGGAGGCGCCTGGGTGTCCCTGTGAGGACAGGAGGCTGGCCACTTCTCTCCCCAACAAACTCACGCTGTGATAGGGTCTAATGTTATGCACACACCTGTGAGGATGGCCCCGTGTCCAATCTTGCCCTGCTTTGGCTTGGCAGCTCTGCCCCCTGTCCCTGCTCTGGTCGTTCATGGGTGGATTGGGGTGAGAGGGCAGTTCACAGGATGGCAGGAGAGACAGAGCTGTGCCCAGGACGGAGGGGCACCTGAGAGCAGTGCTGGACATGACTGCAAGTGAGTGGCAAGGCTGAGGAAAAGCAGACATGGGGTCTCACCACCCTCCCGGGTGCAGCCCCTTGAAAATGGAAGCTCACAATTCCTTTTGCCATTCATCACCCCGAGCAACCAAGGAGCGTTTTCCTGAACTCCTCCTCTTCAATGGCTCTGGTCACACCACCTCCCTCCCTGGCAACACCATCCCAGAAGGGTAGCATTTGGACTACTGGGTGCAGTTCATGCTCACCTCACCTCAGGGAGGATACTGTACAGTTAGAAAAGGATCAGAAAGGGGCATCCAAAATGATTAAGGGGATGGAGCGACTCCCCTATGAGGAAATGACGTTTGGGACTTTTTAGAGAAAAGGCAAGGAACAGGAGACATAACAGAAGGTTTATTATTTTTTATTAAATTTCCACAAAAAATTCCAATACTTATACGTGACAGAAGTTTATGGCTAGAGTAAAGAAATTCTCTCAAAATGCTTGAACTTGTGGACATCCAGTGAAGCTGAACATTGGAAGATTCAGGGCAGAGAAAGAAAGTCCTCCAAGCAGCACCTAGTTAACCTATGGAACTCCCTCCCACAGGAGGCAGGGAGGGCCACCAAAGTGAGCATGCCAGGCCTTGTCTTTAAAAACTTGGCAGGTGGGACGTAAAAAGTTGTTGGGACAGCTTCCTTGCTTCCTTTCTGTTCTGGACTTCTTGCCCTGCTTCTGAACCCCCAGACCAGGACTCCTGAGCCTTGTGCCTGAGGGAAGAACTCTCTCTTAATTACAAGTAGGAGCTTCTGCTTGAGTGCTTCGGAGTGGAAGCCGGGACCATTTCATTGACTTAGGCGGAATCATCTTGCCAAACTTCGCCTGCCTGCCTGATGCAGGATAAGCAACGACAGGTTCCTGGGCAGATTGCTGCCCAGCCTCCGCTTTGCCAAGGACTTATTCATATGCCCGCCAGCTTTCACCGATTTTGGTCATGGTTAGTCTGTTAGGTGCCACAAGACTCTTGGTTCCTTTTGCCACAACAAACTTAACTTGGCTTCTCTGTTGGAAATTGTGCCATACTAATTTTACATGGCGACAAGAACTGATGTTTCTGTGCCAGAGAAACAGATAGAGCTAAGAATGCAAGAGCTGCTTTGCAGGATCTGGCTAAAATCCACCCACCATCATTCAGCTGCCGTCAGGATGTCCTGGGCAGCTGTCACGAAGGGGCAGCTAGTCATGTTGACTGTCTCCACATCTACCACTCTCAGGTATACAAGAAAGGAGATTCCGACTAAATATTAGGAAGGATTTTCTGACAGTAAGAGCTGCCTGGCAGTAGAATGGACTCTTTGGAAGGTGACGGACGTTTGTGGTTGGAAGGCCATACAGCCATGATTCCTACATTTCGGGGTGGACTAGAAGACCCTTTGGGTGCCCTTCCAGTTCTACAATTCTTCTAGTCTACTGCCTTTGCACACAACAGTTCCACTTTGCTAGCACAGCTGCTGGAAGCCATTGGTCCTCCATGAATCCATCTATAAACCTTTTTCAAATCCTTATTACCACTAGGCTCTATTTCCACATCCTTTCCACCGAGGGAGTGAGAACTGTGAACGGCTACAACACTCATTGAAGGATTTAAGGCGTGAAATCCCCCCCCCCCGCACCTCATGGCACAGTGAAGGTTTTGAAAGTTAAGTATTACTGTCGGGCTTTGTTGTTGCCTAACTGCGACAGACAAATTGAGAACTAGTTGTCAAAATGTCAGAGCACAACAAATCAACATTCAAAATGAGTCTCTGTGCAATGTGGTGTATAATTAAAAAAAAATCCTTTTTAGAAATTTCAGCAAGCGTTGGCTTGGCTTTATATTTGTCTGCGTGATTAATAAAGGCAGCTAATTTTCAGACTTTAAAAACAGCTAGAAAATAGCTCCTAATTACATATTAGGCCCCTAACGTCCCCCGCTGAGCTCGGCTGGTATTGGTGGGCCACGGATTTTGGCAGGGGTTTAATTACATTCTGAGCTTCATCTAATTTTAGTTAAATGTAATGTAATCAGCAGCAGATGTCTTGAAATAAAATATGAATTATGAATATGAGGATATTTCTTTAAATAATTCTTTAAAAAACGATTTGCTGTTTCGTTCCCTGAAGCAGCACAGCACTCATTAGGAAACAGGTATGAGGCTGCATTGAGAAAAAGGGAGTTTAGGAAAAGAAAGGAACTTTTGCTGGAGCAGCTTTCAAAGGGCAATCAGAATACTACGAAAGCAGGACAAATCATCGTTTCAGGTGAAGGTATCAAATAGAGCTTAAGTGTATTTGCTCTACAAGGTCAGCTGGATTTTGAAACTGGATATGAGGGTTGGATTTCCCTTGCTGAAATGTGAATGCTGATGCCTGCACTCCTTGCAACATCCATCCAGAGAATTATTGACCCTTCCAAATGGCTTGGGGCGGGGGCTGCATCCCTCAGGGACCAGCTCCTTCCCTCTGACTCTTCAACACCCCTGGATTGGCTCTTGCAGAAGACACTTAGATTATGGTTTATATTGCCCACATTGATGTGCTGACCAGCTTGCCCCCTTCCCAGAGCCAGAGGAGGGGTGATAGGCTGCACAAGGACATAGTCTCTGATGGCTTGAGGAAAGCCCTGGAGAGGAGGAGTCTTAGATGGCTGTGGGGAGGCAGGGACTTTCAGTCTTGGCAAGTGATTCATGGGGCCAAACCTCCCGGGGCTAAGCTGCTGTGCTCATTAGGCCTGACACCAAGTCTGTGGAGATCCTGCTTTGCTAATAAACAGTTAACTCCAACTTTGAACAGTGTGATTTACTGCCAGCTCGCTCTGTGACACCACTACACACACACACAATTTTGGTGTAGAAGAGGCCGTGAAAGTAAGCCTATGGAAGATGCTGTTACTCAGACTCAGTGGCGGAGCTTCATGCTCTGGCACTGGGAGGCGGAGAGCAGGCAGGGGGCATGCCACCTGCTGGGGCATGGGGGGGGGCAGCTGCGATGGCACCCTACCAGGATCACGCTGCTGGGGGCGCTCCCCCCACACTCCTCTTCCTCCGCCAGTGCTCAGACTATAATGGTGGCTGACCAATAGGATTGGTGCTGAGAACCGGGGTAGAGTACTGGATTGACTGTGCAATCTAGACTGTGGATTTAGATGGCCTTTTCTGCCTTGAAGCTCACCTTTGGTAAATCATAGCCCCACTGCCTAGCCTACCTCACAGGCTTGTTGTGAAGATAAAATGGAATAATCTCCATGTATGCTATCAGAACTGCTCAGAGGAAAGCTGCTCGATTCCTCTTCCTGCCAAGGTCCTTTTCCTTTGTGCCATATCTTTTAGATTTATTTATTTATTTCCTCATATTTATATACCACTTGATTATAAAAAGTCTCAAAGCAGTTTGCAAAAATAATTTTAAAAGATCCTTAAGGCAGGAAGCATCATTTTGTAAGCTACTCAAGGAGTGCCTTTAGACTAAAAGCAGGATAAAAGTATTTGAAACAAAGGTGGTGATGCATCTCCATGTTCATGGTAAACCATGCAGGTGAAATATTGTACAGCTCTTACTCACTTCTGTTTTCATGGCATCACAACCATTGTCAGAGGAGCGTAAGTCCGAAAGAACGCATGCGTATCCTGCCAAGCCTGTGATCTTCCAGGCAGAGGGGGATTTGAATTTGGGTTTCCCAGGACCAAATCCAGCGCTCTGTCTGCTGTCTCACTGGCCCTTTGGGCAGTTGGTTGCCCTCCAGGTGTTAGACTACAACTCCCATCATGGCGGACCAATGACCTAGCTGGCTGAGAACTGGAGCCCAACAAGGCTGCAAGGAAGGCCGTGGCAGCCTAGCCACCCTTGCTTTAGAGAGAGTCATTTTTTGTGCTTTGTTATGTCACAAGGATACCTGCCTCTGGGAATGTGGGGGAAATTGCCTTGCATTTCAGTGTCAAACCTGCTTAATGTCCACATTCCAAAACAAGGCACAAAATGAATGTTGTGCAAAGGATGCCTGCTCCTCACTCTCAATATACTCTGGACTATGGACCTTCTGAATTATCTCTTCATCTTGATACCCAGTAAAGAAAACCCTGTGAAGAAAATATAAAGGTGGGATAAAGTATTAAGATTATTGGTATGTATTGAGTTTAATAAATAATTTTAAAATCAACCCCAAACTGAACTTCAGTTCTTCTTCCAAACCTTTATGAATTTTGTGATACAATTCTTCAACCAAAAAAATGCAAATATTATGGGAAAGTGTTGCACACCAATCAAATATAGTGAATAAAACATATAAAAATATGTCATGTAAGGTGCGATTAGTTGCAAAATGTGTGGATTAGGCAAAAGAAAGCTAATATGAAAATACTGATGGATTGTTGTGAGGACTTTTTTTAAAACTGATGCAGAAATGTGAACCAACCCAGACCCTGTGATCATAATCAGATCACTTCTCCATGTGCCTCCTCCACGTGGGGCCCAGAGAGTGGCAACACAAGAATGGGGCCTTTCCAGTGGTGGCTCCCTGTTTGCGGAATGCTCTCCCTAGGGAGACTCACCTGGCGCCTCTCATTACACATCTTTAGGTGCCAGGCAAAAAACATTTCTTCTTTTCCAGGCTTTGACTTCTGATTATCTGTCGTTTCTTTTAGTAGGTGGGATGTTTTAATCCTACCTTTTAAAAATATGAATGTGCTTTAGATTTTTTCCTCTGTTTCGTTTTACTCTGTTTTTAATGTGAATGTTATCCGATTGTTATTGTAAGTCACTTTGAGTTTCCTTTTTTAAAAAGTGACCAATAAGTTTAATAAAAATAATAACAATTTTTAAGAATGGTTTGTTTAATTTGAGCCAGTGTGGTGTAGTAGTTAAAGTGTCGGACTAGGACCTGGAAGACAAGAGTTCAAATCTGCGCTTTGCTATGAAGCTCACTTGGTGTGACCTCTGGCCATCACAGCCTCTTAGCCTAGCCTACCTCACAGGGTTGACGTGGGAATGAAATGAGGAAGGGAAGAACAGTGCATCCCATCTTGAGCTCCTTGGAGAAGAAGCTGGGATATAAATGTAGTGGTTGAGGATGATAAAGATAATGGTGCAACGGAAGCTGAGAGAAATGTGTAGATCTGCCCCTTCCTCGGCCTTTGCCAGCCCCCACCCCCCGCAGCTTCAGCTGGGCTGCCTCTCTAGCCAAGGACAGCCCCCAGCCTCTCTTCCTCTTCCATCCCCCTGACACTTTGGTATATTTTAATCGGGTTTCGCCTGGATCCTCCCCCTGCCCCCCACAGCCACAGAGACACGCTTCCCTGCCTGGGTTAGCAGCCCTCGCTGTTCAATTCATCAAGGGAGTGACAGCTAAAATTCATTTGAAGATGAAGAAAGTGCAGCCTAATCCTTTCTGGGAGACATTGATAGACTAGCAACCAAGGAAGAATTGCAGAGCAGTAATGAAATTAGGCTAAAACTGCTGGCGGATAGCAGATAATTGCCCTTGTCTGTCACTAGGAATAACATCTCCCCAAATCCAACACAATGATTGGGGAAACTTGGAGGAATTGTATTTATTTATTTTATCCCCCCTTCTACCACCTTCCTTTTCTAGAAGAGACCTCCCCCCCCCCCCCCGGCTGCCACAATTGGGATTAGCTGTGCCGGATTCTCAGCTGCACAAAGATCATTCTCCCTGACATTTCTGATCCTATCAAACAGAAGGAATTGGCGCTTAGATAGGAATCTAACAAATCACAAGGTGAACAGAGAAGGTTAGTACAATTGTGTGTGTCCCCGCCCCGCTCTGCTTGTTAATGGGTTTAAACCAGGGGGGAGGGTTATGCCCCAAGTCCATATCCCAGGTAAGGCTGCAGTCACAACATGAGGATGCCACAAGGGTGCCACTCTGCCTAGCCAGCTGTCCCGACTAAGTCTCTAAGCAAAACAACATCTGCCTTTTTCATATGCTATCTTGAAGGCTAGGGTGGCCAAGTCAGAAGCATCCCAGACCATCAGATTTCAGCGCCCAAACTTGAGACCTAGGGGCAGACCCTGACAGTGTTTCAGGAGTGCCCCCTAGGCAATTCTTCCTCTACGCTCCCTCCCACCACTCAGCCCTGGAGACAGAGGTTAATTGGGAAAGGGGAGGAGGGCAGACCCCACCCCAAGAGTCTTTTAATTTTTGTAACTTAAAGTAAGTCCATCATGTGACATATCATATTAAGGCCCATGATGTTCTGAAGAGATTGGTGTTTTTAGTTTTGACATATCTTGATTCTGAGCTGAGCTTTTAAGGTTTTTGTGTAGTCTGGCAAGACCAATTATTTATTTTTAAATTTCAAACCCTCATAACTCAAAAACGGGAGGAGATAAAAAATTAATATTTTAGATTTAAACTTAGTTTTGATCATTCAACAAGTGTGCAAAATATTAAGAACATTGGATGATATGAGGTAAAAAAGTTGTCTCACTTGATATGGAATGACAGCACTGCAGAAGTCTCATGTGCGATGGCAGATGGTGGTGATCTTGTGAACCACCCTGAGATCTTCAGATGAAGAGCGGTATATAAATTTAATAAATAATAATGATAATGATACTAACGATAATAATAATCTGGACAATCAGGGGCAGCCCATTCCATTTCAGTGCCTGAGGCCCCTTCGCCAAAGCCTCTCCTGTGGGGCTTCCTGCCCCAGATGCGCCCCCCTGGCTGCAATGGCAGGGGCAGGAAGGAGGCCTGTGGGGATGACGCCCACTGGGTTCCACCACCTGAGGCAGCTGCTTCCATCTGCCTCGGGGCAGGTGGCCCCTTGCGCTCCAGCGTCTCTTTGCAACCCTGGCCAGTTCCCTTTCTCCCTCGGATCTGGCGGGGAGTCACTGCAGGTTCCAGGATTGCTTCTCTTGAGGTCCAGACACTTTTCTCCTTGGACCAGGCAGGGACATGAGCATCACTGGGTCACCCAGCAGGCAGACGAAGTCTTAGGGCACCAGCATAGCAGGGGTACCAAACGAAAGAGAACTAAAAAAGAAAAGCACAGAAATAGTACTCGTGGGAGAAATCAAAACTTAGTTAGACTTCCTTTCTCTCCACTCAACCCTCCTCCCCCATTTCTTCCATTCTTATTACTTATCCTCACCTAAATTGGGGTGGGGGGTGATAGTCCTACTAATATAAATCAAAATAATGCTAGGAAATCAGATTCCATCACGTGCCACAAAAAACTGTTTTGTTTTATTTTAAAAAGTAAGTGGAGAACGCTTTTATTTGTATAGATCTTTATTATTTGTAAAGGGACCCTTTCCTTTTATTATACCTCTGAAGCTGCTCTGCATCTTCATACGTTTGTCCTCCCAGGCTGTGGCACTTTATGGTTTACATCTTTAACATCTTCCTTTTCTTTGTTTTTGTTGTTTGTACTTTTGTTTTGCTTTGTTAACCAATCAATTATACGTGTTTGTGTGTGTATAGGAGACAATGGACCTTTGAGGGTGAAATCAAACTGTTGGATGGAAATATATATTTAAATATATAGGATTTAATTTTATGGTTTAGTATTGTTTTGATTTTGAACCGCATGTATGGGGGTGGGGGGGGGCACACCACAAGCTCTTTCATATTCCTGCCCTGGATATGAGCAATCGGAAGAGAGTCCTGGGGAAATTCCTACTTCTCAGGAGCTTCCCACTGTTTCCCCCCCCGCACTCAAAGGTGCTGTCATGTCAGGCTCAGAGCATTTGGGGAGCTGGCTCCTTCTCTGGCCCCCACCAAGGCCTTTACCCCCCTCTCCACCTCAGGGCCCATTGCGAGAATGGAAGCTTCCTCCAGGAGGCCGTAAATTTGGCCGGATCTTTCTCAGCTACGGAGGTGAATCCCAGCCGGAGGCTGACCAGCCGTTTGCTTGGGGATTTATGGCCAAGGAGGTTGGCAGGCCAGGCGAGAGAGAAGACCGGCCAAAGGAATGGTTTATGTGCTGCTGCCGCTGGCTGGAGCCCCCATAATTTACTGGGGCCGAGATGGGGAATATTTCATCCTCTGTCTTCCCAATGAAGATGGCTTGTGTTTGAAACCGCCTCAGTACACACAGTCAATCCCACTTAAGCGTCGGCTGAGAAGAGGCAGAGGGGAACGGAGGACACTGCCTTATCCCAGCTAGCGCAGTCTTGCCTGCACGGACTGGCAGCAGTGGCTGCAGGGTTCAGGCCAGGAATGGAAGCTGGGGCCTTCTGCATTCAGGACAGGTGCTCTGCCACTGAACTGTGTGGGCAGTCCCCTAAATGGAAGGTAGGGTTCTACTCCTCATGAATAAAGGGCTAAATACAAACAGAGGAAGGTTTGTATTTCTCCAACATTTCTCCAATGGAAATAGGGATGTCCTAAGGAAAAACGGGACGTTCCATGATCAAACCAGAAACCAGAACGGCATCTGGTCCGTTTTCCAGGGACGTCCCTGGAAAACACTTGGAGGGTCTGGCAGCTGTGCCTACTAAGCCTAACCCCCTGTAATTCTAACCCTAACTCTACTCCCATGGGTAGGCAAACTAAGGCCGGGGGCTGGATCCGGCCCAATCGCCTTCTCAATCCGGCCTGCGGATGGTCTGGGAATCAGCGTGTTTTTACATGAGTAGAATGTGTGCTTTTATTTAAAATGCATCTCTGGGTTATTTGTTCATAGGAATTTGTTCGCCCCACCCCCATATAATCTGGCCCCCTACAAGGTCTGAGGGATGGTGGACCGGCTCCCTGCTGAAAAAGTTTGCTGACCCCTGCTCTACTCCTACTGACTCCGTAGTGTCTACACTACCTGGCAGCTGCTCTCCAAGGCTTCACCTCTCCGTCCCTGGAGAGACCAAGAGTGACTGAGCCTGGTGCCTTCTGCCTGTGCTATGGGCCTTCCCCATAAATCACCAGGGACCCACATGCCCAACAACCCTTCCATTCCTGACTCTGGCATGCATCAGGCCCGGGAGTGGGCGTGGGAAAGGAAGCTGCCTCACACTAAGCAAAGGATGCTACGCCTGATACACACCATGTGCAATTATCTTTTATTTTATTGCTGGTTCAAGGTTGTGTTCATAATTCTCCCCCCTTCTCATTTAATCCCCACAGCAACCCTGCAAGGTAGGGACTGAGAGGCAGGGACTGGCCCAAGGCCCCCCAGGGAGCTTCTTGGCTGAGTGGGGATTTGTAGAAGGCCCTGGGTTCGGTCCCTGACAGCATCTCCAGGGGGGTGAGAGACCCCTGTTTCCAGGTAGTGTAAACGCAATGAGCTATAAGTGGTCTGTCTTGGTAGAAGGCAGAAATCCCAAAGCAGTTTACATAAAAACACAATATCATTTTTAAAAAAATCTATATTCAACCATACCACTAAAAATAAAAATAAATGCATCTAATAACAGAGAATCCATCCATAAAACATTTAGGAAGATATCAATAAATAATGAAACAGAGCCGGACGATGGATCTGATGAGCCAGGAAAGCCTTCCTAACTAGAAGCGTTTAAAGCCTGCCGCTGTTTCTGCCTGAGCTCCGTCTCTGGGTGCTCTGGTGAGTGGGTCCCCCCCCCCCCAGAAAAGGCCCACTTTTGAGATGCCATAAGGCGCCACTTTGGCCACTTAGCCTTATGACATTTGTGTGCTGCCTACACCAAAATCACTACAAAATAGGAAATAGTGTGAAAACGGTTAAAACCCATTCTGTATATAAAAACAGTGAAATAATTCCAATACAGATGCAAAACAAGGGTGCCTCTGAGCATGCTCTGAGCTGAAGGATTTGTTTTCAGTGCACAAATGGAACTGAGCATCCTGTCCTTTC